TTTGTTCAGTATCATATACTTCACATGAATTTTTCGTGAACTTCACATGTAAGTCATCATCACAAAGTTGACTGATGCTGATCAAGTTTGTACTCAGTCCTTCAACATAGTAAACTTTCGACAACTTTGGAATCCCTACTTTTTCAAGAGCGCCATATCCACTGATTTTTCCTTTTGCACCATCACCAAAGATAACATCTCCACTTCGGTCTTCAACATAATTTTTCAGAAGTTCTTTTTGATTAGTCATATGTCGCGAGCAACCACTATCAAAATACCATCGATCTGCCCTGGTAGACTCTTGACTTGACAGAATCACATTGCATTCCTCCTGTTTCAGACTTTCCTTAGGCATCCACACCAATTTGACTTTGATGCTATGTTTCAGACCTTCTGTAGGCCATCGAATGTGTTTCCCATTGATAACATCCTTTGCCAGTTTGAAACACTTCTCAGCTGAATGACCAGGATACATGCAGTACTTGCAGTCAGTAGGCTGTAATAACGACGATCTGTCATTCTGAGTTCTTCTGCGATATCTGTTCCAATTTCTGTTTTTGCTCTTCTTTGGATTCTGTTTCTTTACAGATACTGAATTCTTCTCTGGAAATTTGACATCAGTTAACAAACCACCACGCACAAATGTAGTTGGTTTACTTTGAGAAGATTCACAGAATCCCAATCCTTTGTGATCACCAAATGGTTTACCAATCGAAAGGACTTCATCTAATTTTTCCTTTCCTTTCCGAAGTCTATCATTTTCATCCTTCAACTTCAAATTCTCTGACTTCAACTTCTGTGATTCAGCAGATTTATCATCAGCAATCTTTCTCAGTTTTTCAAGTTCATCCTCAAGTTTTTCTTTTTGATCTTCCAGACGATAGATTGTTTCCAGCATCTCCTTGTTCTTCACTACAGCTTTCTTCTGTTCGATTACCATTTCCTCATAGGCTTCGATCAACTCTTCAGCATCAAGTTCCCTTGACTCATCAGCAGCTTTCGGGTTGGATTCCTCATTTCTTTTACTGGTTTCACCAGCATTTGCCATAAATGCCACCACTTCATCACTTTCTGTCTGTTCCTCACCTCCAGCAGATTCACCATCTTCATTGTCACTCCATGTGGCTTGATAAACTCTCTTTTCCCTCTTCTTTACTGTTGGACACTCTGATTTAATATGTCCGACTCCACCACATCCATAACAGGTAGGTTCTTGAACCGTCTCTGGTTTTGCAGACACCACAAACTTCTTCTTAAATTCCCCATCGAATCTTTCTTTTGGCTTGTTGTATGTAGTTGGTTTCTGCTCAGGGTATTTTCGTTGAGAACTGGATGTTCCTCCTCCATGATAGCTATTTCTGTTCTGAAACTTCCCAAACTTCAGCTTGGCAGCTCGTTTCTCACTAATCATTCGTGAAAGTTTACGGCTCAGCAGTGCCATTTCTTCATCAGACTCTATCATCTTCAAGTCTTCAGCATTTAGAGCCATGCTTTTGGGTGCTTCATCTTCGATATAGTTCATTTCATAGCTCACCAACGTACCATACAGTTCATCCAATGTCATATTTCTCAGCTTTGGTGGTTCATCGAGCATAATCACTTTCGGTCTGAAATTTTTTGTGAGACTTTTAAGCATTTTCCTCACCAGTCTCTTTTCTTCGAAGTGCATTCCAAGAGCTTCAGCTTGATTCACAACATCCATGAATCTGTTATGATAATCAGCAATCGTTTCATCTTCATTCATCTTCAGTCCTTCAAACAAGGTTTCAACATGATCCAGCTTTGATTCTCGAACTTGTACAGACCCTTCGAATGCATTTTCCAGGATGTCCCATGCTTCCTTAGCAACTTTGCAGTTGGATATCAACTTCGCTTGAGTTTCATCTACAGCATTAAAAATCGAAAAAAGGGCTTTCGAATTGGCGATTGCAGCCGATTTTTCATTGAGAGTCCATTCTCTTTTCGGTTTCTTCACAAGAGAGACGTTATTATCTTCATCTTGGATGGTCTTCATGGGATGAGACCATGCAGACTCAACAGCTTCAGAAACATCTTCACCTTGTTGCATCAGAAAAGCTTCCATCTTGTTTTTCCAACTTCGATAACTTGTTCCATCAAACAATGGAGGTCTCGATGTAGATCGACCTTCCTTACTCATCTTTTCAACTGTGAAAGAATCTACTCAGCAACTTAGAGAACACCGCTCTGATACCAAATGTTGGGATGGAATAAGTGCTACCCCGATAAATTCTTGTACACTTTTCAAAATGGGTCAACTCCCGAAGCGTGGTAAAATCACAGTTGTAACATTATCTTGTCAACGAAATAAGGGCAAAATCCAAAGCAATAAAAGACAAGATATTTGGTAACCCGGTTCGGTTATAACCAACCTACATCCGGGGGATTCCAATCCAGGAGAAGTTCACTAATCAAGGTTGATTATGAACTAAACAGCCCAAAACTCCTATATCCCATACTATGACGCAAACCACCTAGGAAAATCCCTCCACAGGTATAAGTTGTCACGAACTCGTACTGACAACTAGCAAATAGCAGGGTTGCTCAGACTTTGGACGAATCTCCTGATCGGATTTCCAATCTCTTCTTCCTCCGACGATGTCTCCGGCAAGTAAATGTGACAAGCACTCTTTCAATGCATGGAGAAGGGAAGGGTTGAGGTTGAGAGGATTTAACTTACTTTCTCTCACAACAGTTCTCTCTCTCTAACCTATGCAACAACCACAATACTTCCCACATAACAAACCAAGAAGCAGCCAAACAAGGCATACAGGACAAACTCAATTAAAACCCTTTGCACGAAAGTGGAATGATGTAATCCTGCATGAATTCTGTCAAAGGTTGACCACCCCAAAATTCATTCTTTTTGTCTCTTCTAAGGTTCCCAAATCGAGAAGAGTAGACCATCAGAGTTGCAGGCAGTCTGTTGAAATGACCTGAATGGAAACAGAAAAAGGCAGCAGGAGAAAAGCAAGAAGAACCATATGCCAAAAAAAGTTGGAGAAAAATATTGTTCCAACATGATCAGTGGTACTTAATTAGTTGATAGATGAGGAACAGGAACAATGCTAAATTTAGCTTAATTTGATTAGTTAGGGTTATATATATATATATATATATGTAGTATGGTATGGTTTCTGTTTTCATTTGGGGCTGAATTTAGCACACAGTAATGGAGTTTTTGTTCCTGTTTCTGTATTCATCTATCCATCATATATGCTTCTCTTCCAATAAAGACGACAATTTTATTTTTATTTTTATTTAATATGATTTGATTTTTAAGTGTGGTAATGACTTGTGCTTACATTTGTTATTAAATATAGAAATCAAAATTTAGATTTACATTTGCAAGAAACATTGCAAATTTGTTGGTTTTATTTACATATTTTGTAATGTTACGTCATGTAATTTTAGGGTTGGTTTGGTTTGTGTTTTTCTTCAAATATTTTACTATTAAATGCTTCATAAAAATATAAGTGTATTAAAATAATATTCAAATTCAAATTCAAATTCAAACACAAACACAAATTTTATGAACCCTAATCCTACATGTTGTTGCACTTTTCCCTTTTTGCAATTTTGGAACTTCACATGTTATCATATATGATATATGAATTTCAAAATGATTATTTTAGAAAAAAAAAGTAATAAAATGATAATTAAACATATATATATATATATTTAGTTTATATTTATATTGGGTTTAGGGTTTCTGAATTTGGGATGGGATTGTAGTGGAAGGCATGATGCCCCACTGCATCATTGTGTAATAAGTGTTTATTGGTTATTATATAAATTTATTTAATATCATTTTTTACAAAATTTAAATTTATATAAAGTTGTTGAATACAAATAGAAAATTTGTTGGTTTGTAAGAATAAAATTGTTGAAAATACTAATAAAATTTCTGTGATAGTGTAAAAACTTTTATTGTCTATAATATTAATAATATTTCTGAATATAAATATTTTTAAACTAAAATCCCCTAACTGTATCTAAAAACATTTTCAACAATATGAATCGTATTTTCCAACACATGAATTAAGTTATCATCATCATCATCATCATATCCATGCTCTTTCTTATCTTTTGCCAAAATCTTCCATCTCACTCATTCATATAAATATTACTTGATAAAATAAATAAAGCAATAGGTGTATCGATGAGATTCATGGCATCTACTAATTATATGTAAGTATGTTGTCTGAATCCGACAAGGATGGGAGATTATGATTGACATATATATATATATATATATAATATTGAAGCTTGTAGATGACGAATCGACCAATTTGAAATGTGACAAAACATCAATTAAACTACACCCTCGACTTTGATCACTTCAATTTCAATTCTAAATTCATTCAATACACACACAGTGAGTGAGGTACGTTCATTATTTAACAGACATGATGAGTGATACAAGAAAAGCTAAGGAATATAAAGTAGATTAATTAAAGGGAGTGTAGAATCATCAAGTGGAAAAAGAAAAGCTTCGACCTTTACTTTTAATTATTTTCATGTGTGTAATTATTTTTTTTTTTTTTTTTTGAGGGAATTATTCATATGTAAGACATGTACCAACAATGGGAATCTCTTTATTTGTCTTCTTTGTTAAGTTAAATTTCTTTTGCTTCAAACACCTCCAAAGTTTGGGGGAAGGGCTGTGATTATATATACCGTATTATATTGTGTAAAAATTTAATAAACTTTTTATATTGTGTAAAAAGAAAATTATATTATATTATATTGTTCAATCATTGTTAGATTAAAAAATTAATATAAAAACTGGTGTTTAAGTGCTTGATTCCAAGTATACCCATTGCAATAGCCCTTAATGTTACGTTAAAAGTTTTGGGCCATAACCGAAGTGGGTTAAAGAATTATGGGCCTTATAGAATAATATTGAAGCTAAGACATAAGCCCATAAAGAACAACAATTTGGCCCATGTAAATTTGTCCTGGCCCAACCCAAAACAACAGCAGAAATTTCAACTCAGAAAATTCATAAATTGAACAATTCAAGATACATTAGACAAAACAAATGACACAAGTAATGTAATTGGATACACATACAGAGACAAACTCACACAGACCAGACACGACAGGAACATTTATTAATAATACTTATAATTATTTTTTAGACGACAATTCAAATGCAAGAAAATCAATTATTTAATATATAAATATATATTAAGCAGAGCCAGATTTGAGCTTCTTGGTAATGCCGGCAAAGTACTTCCCCTGGTGAAAAGCTTGTGCCAGCTCAACCTCAGTGGGCTGCCTGGTCCCGTCTCCGGCGAAGGTCCCGGACCCATAGGGACTCCCTCCCTTCACCTGCTCCATTTCGAACATACCCGCCCCGAATGTGTACCCGATCGGGACAAATATCATGCCCTGGTGAGTCAGCTGCGTGATCGCCGTCAATCTGCACGTTCAGTCAATTATTTGTTTATTAGTAATTATTAATTAATTATTACATCAAATCAAAACAGATCAAATTAAATCGAAATCAATCTTCAATTTAATTTAATTCATTCATTACGGTGTGGTCTCTTGGCCGCCTCCTTGAGTGCCGGTGCTGTAGAATATTCCGGCGGGTTTTCCGGCGAGTGCCTGAGTCCTCCAGAGGCCGCCCGTGGCGTCCATGAAGGCCTTGAACTGAGCAGCCATCATCCCGAATCTCGTCGGAAAACCGAAGACGAGGCCGTCCGCCTCCGTCAGCTGGTCGGGGGTGATCACCGGCACGTCGCTCTTCGGCGGTGCGTAGAGCTTCGAAAGAACCTCCTCCGACAGGATTTCCGGGACCTGCAAGCAATTATTGAAAATTGCAAATTGCACCCTCCTTAATTATTTAATTAATTCAGAAATTATTTAATTACCTGCCACAGCTTGGCTTCGACTCCTTCGACAGACTCGGCCCCTTTCTTGATCTCATGGGCAAGCTTCTCCACGTGCCCGTATGTCGAGTAGTACCTGCACCATTAATTCAAATATCATATGTAAATGAGATGATCATGAATTAATAATTATAGGATATATGAAATTGATTTCAAACTTCAAACTTACACAATGTAGATCTTGGTGGCCACCATTGTCGATCAAATGGGTTTAGTAGCAGTGGTGCTTTTTAGGGTTTGTGTAATGAAATTAGCGTGTTGGTGATGAAGAAAATGTTGGGAATTAATGGAGTATATATACAGAGCAGGGATCGCAAGAAGGTTGACTAAATTATACACATAAATTCATGGCTGCTGCCACCTACATTAATTTAATTAACTACTTATTTATTGATTATTTCCCAGTTGCCATTCATCGTCGTCATTCTTGGATCACCACTTTTACCCTTTTTTTTGTTTTTGATTGGATTAATAATTATTACATTATAAACAACAAATTAATATGTAGTGGTAAGTACTATATAAATAATCTTCTGTATGTTGGAAACTTCTTTTCGTGGACTTTCTTCTGGAATCTTCTGTTGTGAGATGAACGGTGTGGATGAGATCCCCACAGATCAACGGTCCCGCGTTATGGTCAGCCTGGGAATTGTGAAAGAATAATCAATATGTAACCAAAGAAGAAAATGAAGGGAAGATTCAACGTAGGATTATAAAATTACCAATTTGGTGCTTAGGTAAACACTAGTGCTACTAAACTAAATAAACTATTGAATAAGATTTTGTTAATTGAATCAGCCCACTAAATTGGAATTTTGCACATCTATCTTAGTTAAATAATTATTTCTGTTTAATTTTCTAATCATACACATATATAAATATATATATATATATATTCATGGGACCACATAAAAATAATTCAGGATATGCTAAATATCAAACAAATACATAAACATTTATACTCATTATAACCAATATATATATATATATATGTGTATATCTTGTTCTAAGTTACTTTCGGACATTAGACTATCTATTTTGATTTTGTCCCCAATTCTTTTCTAGTATAAACCATCATGCTTTTCCATTAAAATATATTGATTTTTTTTATTCTTCTAGTATTAGTTTTATAAAAATCATACTTAACGTACAATTATTTCATTCAAATATTACAATACAGGTACAAAAACAAACACAAAGCAAACCCTTTATGGATCATTTTTGAAATGTGTCAAACTCTATTATGGGATTAATTATAATAGTTTGTTGATTTTTTTGTCCTAATACAATGAGACGGAGGGATACGGTTTTTAAGGCGATGATATTTAATTAGTTAATAATAGTATGTTATAATATTATTATATTATATTTTTATGTGAAGGGTATTGTTAGTAGCTTTAAAATAAGAAATAATGGTACATGATTAAAAGAAATTTAAAATATTTATTTAAATATTTTAAAATTTACATCTCAATATAATATATGCAATAATTATATAATTTTGTAGAGAATAAAATTTTATATAATACAATTAAATAAATAAAATATTTATTTGTGAATAAGATAAACTAATTTTATAAAGAATGAGAGTTTTAATTATAGATAAAAATATTTGTTTATTGAAGAAGAAATAGAAATAAAAGAGTTTTGATATGATAATAATTAAATTAATTTATATTTCTTAAGTATGTTTTAAATTAGCAAAATTTACTAAATATAAAAAAGTATCATTTAAAATAAAAATTACATTATTTGTTATGAGAAGAAGAGAGTATATATTAGTATCCCTTCATTAAATTATGTTCTCATTTTCTTTGTAAATTACAAAAAAGAATGGGAATAGAATGAGACGAAATTTGTTGATTAGGTGATTATTCAAATCACCACATTTAAAATTATTTCGAATAAAAATAACAAAAACCAATGACATATATATAAAAATAAAATAAAATGAAAAAAAAAAAAGAAACAAAGAATTATTATTATTATTATTATTTTTTTGTAAGGAATACTTTTGCTTCGACCAATCAAACAAAAGATTATACTTCTTCCGTCTCAATATAATAGTTTTGTTTACTATTTTTGTCCGTGCCAAAAACAATAGTCTTATTTTCATAAATAATCATGTCACTATATAACTATACTTACTCTTTCATTATTATTACACAATTGTCACTATTTTTTACACTAATACACTCACAAAGACAAAAATATTTTTTATCCGCTATTAATATAATATCAATATTTCTTAAATTTCATGTCCAACATAACCAAGACTATAGTTTCGGGACGGAGGGAATATCCTAATTCCATTTTAACAGATAATATGTATTAATATTGTTTCAAATTCTTCAGAATCGACAAATAAATCATCAAAAAGTCCCGTCCCTTATCCTAATAAATTAATAATACGATGTTCGATAAAGAGCTAGCGACGACGAATTCGCATCGCCACGTCATTAATGCAGACAAAATCTTAATTACATCATCATGACGTTTTTTTTTATTTTTCATTATTTACTTAATTATTTTTTAGCTTAGTTGACCCAGTTTGTTGTTCGGACGCATCTAATTAATTACGTATTGTTTTTTTTCCATAGTAATATAAAAAGACAACAATGGTAGACATGAAGTAATAAATAAATCGAGAAATTAAATAGTAACTACAAAGGCATCCAACCCATCAATCAATCTTTATCTATTTATTTATTTATATTTGAAAATTAGCTATTGGCGTCTGAAAGTAGGGAACTTTCGAGAAATTGGTATTACGTGAATTATTTCTTGACCAAGACTTGGATAAGCATGACATCTTCCGGACATCATTATTACATAATATCAAATTATCATCTAATTTATAAAAATAAAAGTAAATAAATAATTCAATTAAACCCTATTATTATTATTATTATTATTATTATTATTATTATTATTATTATAAGTTCTAAAGTGTTACGCAAATATAATTGAAACCATATGTTTTAGAATATATAAAGCAATTTTATGTTGTTCTTAGGTAGCAATAACCTATCCATTGAGACCATATTTTGTTATCAATTAGACAATATTAATCTATGTATTGTGACTATTGTCCAACCTGAATTAATAGAACATGCATTTAAGGAAAAAAAAAAAAAAAAAGAAGAACCTTTACATATATATGTGTACTTGTGTTTTAATTTTAATTTATCTGGTATTTTGGGTATTAATAATTTTTAAATGAAATAGTTATTAAAATTGTATTTTTAAATGAAAACTCTATATTTAATTTTAAATATAATGTTTTATTGAAAATAATTTTAAAAATACAAACAAATATATATATATTTATTAATTTGTATTACAAATAATAATTTTTACAATTAAATATGAATGATTTTTAACAATATAGAGTACTAGTTTTTCTTATAAAAATTTATATAAAAATATATTTAACTAAAATTTAAACAAAAACCTCCAATCTAAGGTTTAAATAAAAGACATGTTACTTTAAGGTTTAAATCTCAAGTTTGAAATTTAAAATTTATTTTTGATATAATATAGTTAGTAAAGTATATCATAGTACTATTTCATTAATGAAAAGTAACTCTTCTCACTAATGTATTATATAAAATATATTTAATTTTTACATGGAGAAAAAAAAAAGTGTGTTAGATTAGTATTTTGATTTAAAATATTTTTTTTATGTAATATATGAAAAATTATATTTATAATATAAAAAATAATATTTTATGTTAAATTATTACTTTTTTATAAAATAATTAAATATATATTATTTATTCTATGTGAATATATATGTTATATTTTTAGGTGAACAATTGTAAATAATGTCACATCAAAATCAAATATTTAAAAATTTCTGATTATCATAAATATTTACTATAATACTTCCGTTCGCATTACCCGGCCCATTTCGATGCCCAAGAAATCAACTATCCAAGGACCTACCAACCTACATGAAAAATATTTGTATCCTAAACCTAAGGAATTTAATATTAAACTTTTTAGAATACAAAATATATTTTACTCATGGTTGAAATAAAATAGAATTTAATATGACATTTTCTTTATCACAATAAATATTTTATTATATAAAAGTATATTTACATACAATTCAAATTAATTATACTAACAAATATTTAATAGTAACATACTTGTCTATACTCTATCCATTATTCAATTGCATTTAATAAATTAAAGTGTGGCACAAATTACTTGAATGGTAAAATGGTAAATTTATACTGACAAAGAAATATTAAAGGTTAATAATATTCAATTAAAAACTTAACATTATTCAATTTTTTAATAAAAATATATTTACATAAATACATATAACTAGTAGAGGAGCAAAAAGGCTAAGGTAATTATTTTAATTATTTTAAATTATATTTAGCTTATTATACTCTCATTATCGTTCAAATGTGTGCTTATATGATTTTTATTAAAAAAAATAAATAAATAAATAAATAAATTTTTTACTTTATAAAGTTAAAAAAAAATGATACCTTTTTTTTACTTAAAAAATAAAATGATAATAAATTTAGATAACAATGAAAAATAAATAAGAATAAATTTGAATGTCAGAAGATGTATATAATTTTTTAATTTAAATAATAGGTCATTTTTATTAATTTAATAAAAATTATTATTATAAATATTTAATTTAATTGTCTTAAATATAATTTTTTTTAACTTTATGATGTTTTTAATATCTAAGAAAAATAAAATACAATCATTTTTAAAATTTTAATTATATTATATATTTCTAAAATAATATTTTAAAAAATGTTTAATTTATTAATATATCTGGAGTTTGTTTTTTTTTAGTAGATTTGAAAAAAATTAATTTAAATTTAATATTAAAATAATATTATTTGATGATATTTTTTTGTGTGATTTTTTTTTTCGATAGAGTACAGATAATGAAGTTTGAAGAAATTTGGAAAAAAGAAACACCAAATCTTAATCTGTGATCCAAACTAATTATATTAAGAAAAATATTTTTTTATTTTATCTTAATAATAATAATAATAATAATAATAATAATAATAATAATAATAATAATAATAATAATTTCCCTGTGTAGCTGATAAAGTCGCATTAATATAATTAGTTCAAATATTAGTAATTAATTTTGACAATTCCACACTGACCTAAGCTTAAATTAATGATTAGGTCTAAATTTTGCCAAAATGAACTCCAATAGGAATACGCTTTTAAAAAATAGGCTATATGCAGTTCAAGTCACTGACCGTAGATCAGATCCACAATAAATTATATATACTAATGAAAGTAGTTTGAGAATTATTTAAAAATTAATAATAAAAAAAATTAACTTTAAATATCTTTTGATGTGGTGTATTATGATATTTTTATTTTAAAAAATATTAATTTTTTATATAATATTTTTAATTAAAAATATACATTTGATATAATAAAATAGCACGAATTCTTTTCAAACAAAGTTTATTTGTAGGTTTGTTTCTATTATTGGTCTTAAGTATGACTGTTCTTTTAACAAATTTTTATTATGTAATTATTAAATATTATATATATTTTTTGTTTCCCAAACTACCAAAGAAAAAAAAAACCCTCTCTCTATAGCTTTAGCTTTTCTTTTTAAAACTCTTGATACGAATTGGATAGTGGAAAGGCATTTAGAATTGATCAAATATTTAATTGAATATATTTTTTTTTGATTATTTTTTAATTTACCAAAATTTTCAAAAATTTCAACTCCACTTACATAATCAATTTTCACTCATTTGTTTAGACAGAAATTAATAAAATAAATAAATTTTGTGCTATAGGCTTTTAATAGGCCAGACCCAATATGTGGTATTTTTAGCTTTGATTGGGCAAGCACAATAAGCCGAACGTGATGGGTCAGGCCCAAGAAATGCATTTTTTAAAAAAACGTAATGATATTATCTGTGTGTTTTGTCAAGCCCAATAAGAGGGAACAGGCCTATCAAGAATACGTTTTCGTTTCCAAGTTTATGTCTCCAAAATAAATAAATAACATTTTCTTATCTTGATTTCAAGAACATTTAGAAAAAACAATAATAACAAATATTATTAAATAGAATATATATGATGACATACGGTTCCAATTTCAGAACAAATTACAGTGTTAATTGATATTGTTATGAGCTGCAATATATAATTCATTTAATTAAAGACACTATTTGTGATGTAGATCTCCAAGCAATACATACAGCCGCGGTTTTTTATAATTATATATATATATATTTGTAACGGTCAGAATTTCAGGCTGACGACACTGGCGTTGCTATCTTCTCCGTCGAGTCTCTGCCGTGCGTCTCCGCCGCCGCCGCCGCTGTCGGCCTTCCAGCTACCACTCTCCGACTTCCCATCTTCAATGCTTTCCGACGGGTCTCCGGCGGCGCCACCGCCTCGAACCCCAGACTCCGGAGATGCGTTTTTCTGCATTAATGGAGGCTTGTTGTACTGCAGGTTATGGTGGTGGAGGCTATGGTGCAGAACACTATTAGAGTGCGGCGCTGCCGCCGCCGCTATTGCCGGGTAGATTTCCTGCCGTGGTGGTGGTGGCGCGCAGAGAGGAGGCGGGACATGATGGTGCGCGGTGGACGCGGCAGCATGCGCTCCATACAAAGCTGCACCTGGTGCCCCGCCGTGTGCGGCGGCGGCCGCCGCCGCATATTCCGGCGGGACCCAAATGCCGCCGAGGACCACTACTTGTGGCCCCGCCGTCACGGCGGCTTGCGAGCTCGGACTCGGCCGTCTTGTGTGAAGCCTGTATTTCTGCACATATACACAAATTCAAGTTCATACTTATATATATATATATAGAGAGAGAGAGAGAGAGAGAGAGAGAGAGAGAGAGAGAGGGGACCTGTAGGTGGCTTTTAACTTCATCATTGGTCAAGCCATCAACCTTCATAAGCTCTCTGATTTGTTTAGGAGTGGCCACTGTAGGTATACAAACAGAAAATGGATAATGAAACCATCTAATTAGTAAATCCAAGAAAATCCAAACATGGAAAAGACAGTAGTGTCTAAAGTGAAAAAAAAAAAACGTTGAGAAGCCAACATCATGATTGATGCTGAACTGATCGTTAAAAAAGAACACACTTCAAATATATATATATATATATATATCCACCTTGTTGTGCCATGATCATGATTATTGCCTTTTCACAAATATCCTATAACTAGAAACAGATACAGTTCCACAAGCTTGCAAAGATTTGATTTTTAATGTTAAAAAAAAAAATCATTACCTTGAGAGCCACCCAACATCTGAAGAGCATTAACAAACCGGCGGTGCAAATCCGGCGACCAGCATCTCCTCGCTTTCCTCTGCGTCGAATTATTCGATTGTTCTTTCTCAGCAGCACCAGAGATGTGGTTGCCATACTTGCTGGCGCTGCGATCTCTGCGGAAGCTCGGTTCAGGCGAGTTCCTTTTATCTTCTATAGCAGATGAGGCAAGGGCTAATTCAGGGAAGGTTTCGCCGCAGGAAGAGGGAGATACTCGGTCCTTATTCGATGTAAATGGATGGAAGGCTCCACCTCCATTATTGATCATCCTTTGCTGGCCATTCAAAGCAAGTTTGATGTCAGTTTCTTGATCAGATGTGGTGAATGATTGAGAAGCTGCTGCCTTTGTTCCTTCGCATTCGGCTTGATTCCATAGCTGTGCAGATGTCATCCAGCTCGATTTTTGATCTGGAGAAGCATCGGCATCATTCTCAGCAGTGTGAGATGAATTAGGGTTTCTGAGTGGAATGAATTCTTCCAGTACTGGTGTAATCGTCTCTCGGCTTGACCTCTGCGTCTGCAGCTGCTGCCTCGACACCTCCGTTGCTGATACAAAAAATCAAACTTTAGATCAAGAAGATAATAAACTAAACCTTTTGTCTATCACAAAAAAAAAAATATTAGGGTTTGAAAGAAGGTAAGTACCATTGGTGAGAAGCTGCATGCAAAGAGGAAGCTCGCGCTTGAAGGCATCGATCTTGAGTCTTTCTTCTTCGAGACGGGCAACGAACTCTTCAAGCTTTTGAGTCCCTTCTGCAGTCTGGTAATCTCCACAAGACTTGAGAAGCATTGAAGCAATCTGTGGTTTGAAATCGAAGCATAGGTCGGAGGGCGGCGCCATCATTTCTTGTTCAATTTTCGACACAGTAAAACCTGCAGGACTAATCCTCAATTCCTAGATACACTCAACACACACTTATGGGAAGGGGATCAGATCAATCATCGATTCAGGAGAAGAAATGAGGGTTGTTTTAGGGTTGGGATTTGGGAAGAAGATGAGAATAAAGAGAGGGGTGTGTTTGGAGAGCAAAAAAGAGAGAAAAAATTAAAGCAAGAATGAGGAGAGGGGATTGAAAAAGAGAAAGAATATATGTGATTGGCAGTAGCAGGAAGAAGAAGAAGTTCTTGCCAAGAGGAGCAAAGGTAAAAGGTGATATTTAATGGTGTCCTTGGGGAGAAGGAATAATCAGTAATTGAAGAGACTCACATTCACTTTATATGTTGGAAAAGAACCTTGTTTTTTATTACATTTTGAACCTCATCAGTCACTACTATTACTACTGCACCAACCATATCTGATTCTCCTTCCTATGCTCCCCTTTTTCTTTTCCTTTTAATTATGCTTTTCAATTAAAACACATACAAATAATTCTCTACATATTTAACACTTAACAACACTGATGGGGTTTTAGAAATAAGAAATTAATGTAATTAGAATGAAGCTAATTGAAAAGGTTCCCCTAAACATCATCATCATCAACTAATTAATAGTATTAATAATAAGGTGTAATTAAGTAGCTTTAGAGGGTATACGAGGAAAGATTCATGGATTAAAGTAAGTGATAAATAAAATAAAAAGCATTAATTAAACGACCCAACAAATTGCTTAGCATCTTATAAATTATGCATATATTTATAAAGGGGGAGGAAATATTCAAAATGGAGTTCAGTATCAATCCTCCATCTGCAACACTTGAACCCTTTTTCATTTTTTTCAACTTTGAAAAGTTGCATAGTTATTAAAGTACGTACTGCATTAAGAGAAAAAAATTCGTTTGAATTAAAAAGAACAAAGGAATATTTTATATATATCTGTGTGTGTATTGAGAGAATATCTGATGAGCATATATCAGACAGTAAATTCTATATAGTAGCAGTACAGAAATCCATGGCCTGCAAGAATTAGGTTGAAGGATCGAGGAAACAAAGCATGCATGTTGCTGTTCATAAAGAAATTTATTAATTATTATAATCATTGCTATTATTATGCATACACATAATTAAACATCCCAAGCAATTAATTAAAATTGAAATGATGATACTAATGAAGGAGGAGGAGGGAATCTGCTTTTCCTATGATATACCCAACTTTACTTAAGTGGGCATATGCATGTAATGTAAACTGTAATGTAATCAAGAAATTCAAGATTCTTAAATATCTCCATGCTCTAAGCTGGTTCTCATTTTCTACCTATACTAATAATAAAATTGTGAAACTAATAAGAATGGTATCTAATGTGCAGCTAGCAAACCCATAGCACCAATATTGAATTTTATATAATTGCCCATATATATGAGTATATATATATATATATATATGTATTATATGCATGCTAAAGGTAAGGGAGAATCAAATTCTTGGATGGATGGTTGGTCACTTTCTAACAAGGCAAGGCAAGGCAATTAGGCTTCATGCACAAGACTCCAATCCACACCTTTTCTGCAGATTCCTCTTTACTTTCTTTTCTTTTTTCAAAGTTCAAACACATACCCAAAGTTAATTCTTCTCTATCCTCTCTCTCACTCTCTTTAATCTATCTGCCTTTCATTGATCACTACTGCTTTGCTTTAATTTTATGGTAGATTTGTGGGTGGGTGGTTTTTTAGGGTGTCTTAATTCTTGCAAAGATTCTTCTCCTGACACGTATCCGCCAAATATTCTTTCCCTGTCTCTCTCTGAATATACCTTCTGTTTCATGCAGGATTATTTAATGATCACATAACAATCTGCTTTTTCTAAGCTAACTAATTCTTCGTCCATTTTATAATGTCATAATATTTACACGTATTTTTAGACAAATAAGATTTTTCTTATAAAATAACACATTTGTCCTTAATATTGTATATAGAAAATAAAAGAATAAATAAAGTAAAGCTAAAAGAGTAAACTTTGTGTATAAAAATAAAAATAGGACAATAATTGTTGGACATTCTAAATAGAAAAATAGGACGTTAGTTTGTGATCGGAGGGAGTAGTAATTACCATACTGTTTGATTTTTTATTTCTTTTGGGGAATTCTTACGGTGGGAAATCCAGAAATGGACCGAAAGTATAACTAATATTGTTACTAACAGTAACTCAGAATCACTGTGAGGAATCTTGAAAATATTATGCCAAAGTTAACAGCCAATGCAGAAATACAGTGGAATGAAAGCAGAGTGTTATTTCAATGTTTAGATAGATTATGAATCAGTTCGAGGTAGAAAAAAGATCAGATGAGGCTCAAAAATGAAGGAAAGGAACTCATCAATACCTCGACAGTGCGCATAAATAAAATGAAAGGCCTCAGCCCGACTGCACCATCATCCCTCACACACAACTGCTAATCTTCATCCATTGTGATCCATCCAATGGTTGAGGAAGTGTAGTGATCTCTCCCATTTGTCTTCTCAAGAAGGCTTCTCCATATCTGCATTGAAGCAAGCAATTATTCCCCGACTAAAAAGTCTAAACACTATTTCATAGCATTTATCTCTTTAAAACAAACTCCCCTGCTTCTTCTGATGTCACAATGCCAATGCAGCAGATAGAAGAACAACACAATTGGGGAAATAAGGCCCTATGTACTTATGTTTTCAATTTTGTTTTTACACTATTCGAAACCTATTCTTCGTTCGAAACATCACATCCAACACGTCAAACAATTATTTGATCACAAAAATTTCTAATTCTCTGAGTATTTGATCACAGTTACTCATTGTTTCCATTGAAATACTTTAATTAGTAGCATACAGATGGTTGATCAGTTTAGTTCTAATGGAGTAATTGAGATTCAATTCCAGTCTCCTTGCTCATCACACATTAACAACCACCAATGACAAATAACTGAATCCAAGCACGCAAGAAGTTCTACTATCCCTACACCAAAATGTTGCCCAATCTATGATAATGAAGCACAAATACACATTTAGCAGTGCAAGTTTTGGTAACAACAGCAATGCAGATCAACAAAAAGGTTGCCAGATCTCAGCGAGTACCATCCATGGGGTTATGAGGCCAAACCTGCAGTATTATCAGAAGCATCATGATAGACGTGCTCGTCCTCCTCCGGCACGCGGCGCAGCGTTGCGGCATCCTTATCTGCTGCGGCTGCCTTTGAGTCCTTGTCGCCGGGGAATCTGACAACGACGACGGGACAAACGCAGTGATGGACGCAGTAGTCACTGACACTCCCCAATCTCCCTGTGTTGCTGCTCCGAGATGCTCCAAATCCTCTGCTCCCCATTATGACGACACTCAGGCCGAGCCTCTCGACCTCGAGGCAGAGCCTCTCCTTCATGTCGTGATCCTTCACGATGTGGATCTTGAAGGGGATATTCGCCTCCACCAACGGACGGGCCACGTCGTTAGCTTTCGTCGAGGTGAAATTGTCGAAATCGTCCTCCATCTTCTGCTTCGATTTCTCGTCGGCGGTGTCGGCGGATGCGTCGACCGCGCCCCAATCGGCTCCGTACAAGATGGAGGTCGGGCGGACGTGGAGGAGAATCACCGCGTCCCCGGGGCGGAGGTAGTTCTGAACCGCCCATTTTACGGCGAATGCGCTCTCGTCGCTCAGATCTACGGGGATTGCAATCTTCCGCTGCGCGCCAGATGTCGGGGACGCGGCGGGGTACCGCGGTGACGCCGGCTGGTGCATCGTCACCGCCGCTTGGAGGTCGTTTTCCGGCGGCGGTTTGTCACGTGACGCCATCGAACAACAGCTTAATTGAATCGAATCGAATCGATCACGGCCACGGGTGCGTTGGAAAATCGAACGCCTCCCTCTAACTTCTCTTATACCAAATTCCTGAAGCAATGGGACTATGGGAGCGATTGACGGAGATGATAACGAGCTCCGGTAGAAGGCACGAAGAACACGTCATTCACCACTATATATTTTTTTTTTTTGTATATATATTTCCATTTAAAAATGATCTTATACTAGTTAAATATTTATTGCAATTTTCAAAAAGATTATATATGTCTATTTTTTTTTTTTGTTACAAGGTTGAAACATGTCCATGCAGTTCGGTAACATTTATACGTGAGATATATGATTTGTTTAGTATTATACTATTACTTTATTGTTTTAAATATGTTCAAATTCGACAAATGGCAGGGTAATTAGAAATCTAGCTAATTACATTTCTTAATTAAATAATTTATTCTCATTGAACAAAGACCAAAAGAATATAAAAAAGAAAGAAAAATACTTATATGTATATAATAGAGAGCAACATTGATGTAATAATGAAGCTAAAAGAACTCTTTATTCACATAATGGACAAATATTTTCGATAGAAAATTTATTAACAATTAATCAAATTATCCAACAGTTGTAAAAAATTAGCTTAAAAGAGATATATATATATATATATATAAAACAATTAAATGATAAAAAAAAAAAAAAAAAAAGAAGGGGAAGAATGCCTTTAATTTTCTTTAAATTTTTTTACACTTTTTTTAATATAAAATTTCACACAAAATATTATATACAATACTATTTTATTTACAAAATACTTAATTCGTCTTTTAAAAAAATATTCAATTTTCTAAAATACATTATTTTAATATTTTGTAAGAATAAAAATTAAAAGATCAGTATAAGTTTACTAATAATAAAATATGGCCTAAAGTAAAATAAAGATAATATACATATAAATTAGTGGATGAAAATTTTGAATATTATTTTTACTAAATACTATAATTGTTAACTACAAAAACTATTACCAAAGAGCTAATGGATAAAGGGAAAATAATAGACCCCTTGTGAGTCTGCTGTTGGGCAGCTTTTAAATCGGATCATTTTATTACTTTTTTTTAACGTGAAAATCTGCGACTGCTGTTTAATTCGGATAAACACTTAATCGAATCTAATTCCTGCAAATTATGTTCAACAAGCTAAATTACATTAGCAGAAATCATATCAGGCAGGTGGATCTGGACAATAAAATCAAAACTTACCAACCACCTCCCCCCACTGAAAAAACACACTCTTTTTATTAACAATGATGAGGGTGGAAATTCTTGCAAAAATTCCTAATTCCAATACAATCTCATCATCCCTGAAATTTCATTTCTCTCTTTCTCAATTTCCCAAACGATGAATGAATATGGTGGAACAGATAATTTATCTCACTTGCTCCAAGAATTTAACACCATTTTCCAGTGATTTAGAACTGTAGTAATTATAGGTAGCTCTGTTTTCTCACCACTGTCAAAAATCATAAGTATTAATCTATCTTTCACAAAATGAACACTAAAACCATTCTCTTGTCCACACACAAACCTAAGAGATGAGATGTAATCCAAGGATTGACACAGCAACATTAACAGAAGAGAATATCCCCAAAAATTTACAGGCAATTAAAAGATTCTGTATGGAATCCATAGAACAAGAAATCCATGAACAACCTCACAGTTCGAAAAGCCCAAAAACAGAAGAATCAACAATCTTAAACGATCATCTCAACTAAAACTTTAAGCTAATTGGAAAATATATTGTTCATCAGATCCACCAAGGCTTAATGTAAACAAAGAGAATGTTCACTATTGTATCAAACATAAAATTCACATTGTCGAAACATAACAAGATCAAGAAGGATTCATCTTTCATACCTTAATCGCACCCACATTGTATATAATCACGTTGCAACACCACAATAGGTTCTTTATTTTATCGGATAATCACTCACATTGCATGCCAACAATAATCATCCACAGCTTTACATCATAAGCTTTCAACCATATATATATATATATATTATAAGCACAAAGTTTTGCAAGATCTAAGAGTCGCCAAGATAATACCACAAGAGCTAATTAAGCATCAAAACTAAGAATCGCATGTACCTATCATCAATCTATCATTATAATCATCACCTCGATTCAGCTTTTCTGCACCCATGGAGACATCCCCCTCTGCATTCAACATGATCAGCTCAATCAGCACATACAAAATGCACAACCAAATCGACAAAAAATTTAGACAAAGAACTGTACCAGAGCATCATAGCTCGATAGGAATCAGCAGCAACGCCCACCATGTATAATCCAGGAAACACACACTGTAGAAAACAGGAAGAAATTTAAATTAATGATGAAGAACATCGAAGATTAGGAAGGAGAATGAAGTTTGAATCGATCAATTGCTCATACGTCGAGCTGTTTCTGGACATTCTTAGGCCATTTTCTCGGCCTCCGAGCGGGCTTGCCGCCGGTCAGGGCATAAACGTCTTCTTCGATTTCTTCCCTCGACAGAGAAATCCAGACCTTCCTCTTACCCTTCCTCTCAAATCCGCCGCTCCGCTGCCCGCCTTCGACCATATCCTTCAGCCGCTGTGATCTCAGCGCGTTGCAATTAAGATTCGCTTTGTTGCCGTTCGAGTCGCCGCACGCTTCTCTTCTCGAAGTCGTCGCCGCAGCGGCGGCGCCCGCCGCTTTGAGAACCTCCTTCCTCGGACGCAAGTTCCACGGCTTGGTCTCTCCATTCTCCTCCTCCGCCGCGTCAGGTGGTTTGCGATTGGGATCGGCGGGTGCGTCCTCAGCCCCAGGCTCGCCGGTTTGGTGTTGATCAGGGGAATCGCGGCGGCGGAAACGGTGTGGGTGGGAACTAGTGGACCCAGCGACGGAGGAATTCTTGTGCGCCCATCTAAGTTGGGGCAAAGAGAAGTTGTGCAATGGCTGCGATTTCACCGGCGGCGCTGCCATCAGAATCACCGCATGTATGCTCGATACGCACTCCTAGTTGTCGATTTTTCGCTCCTTCCTGCAACGACAACCGCCGATAAGATCCAGAGAAAAAGCTCGACGGTGTTTGTCGGCAACGCAGGAAGCAATTCGGCAATGAAACAGAAGAATCGAAGCTTGTAAGGTTGGAGGCAGAGAGGGCAGCGGCCACCGCACAGAAGCCACAATGTCTCTCTCTCTCTCTCTCTATATATATATACACACATACATATGATACTGAACAGTACGCAGTGAAAATAAATACTATATTAATTAATATTTTTAAATTATCAGTATACGATTATATACAATCTCTTTTTTGAGAATTTGTTTGGGATCGGATATTATGTAAAATAAATTTAAATATAATATAAATATAATTATTTAATATAATATAACAATAGAAAAATCTAAAAACCTCTCAAACAAGCATATCATGATATATTTTTATTTGAAATTAATTAGAAAGTAATTATTTTATTAAATATTCTATTTTTAAAAAATATATTTCTATTTTATTATAACATTATTATTTTTATATTAAAAAATAAAATAAAATAAAATTATTTTTATATTATTTTTAATTTTTTATTATCATTAAAATATTATTATTTAAAATATACTTATAAATTAGATGATAATAATATTTTTCACCTATCATTCAAATTTATGGTCGTCTGTTATTCAAAATTATTTTTGAATATAAATTTTATGAAAATTTATATAATTGATGTGACGAAACCTGCTCATGTGTAGTTGATGTGGCAGTTACGTCTCCGTGTAGTATAGCTTGGCATATCGTCCAAACTCGCCGCATAATGTGACGAGTTACATTAATAGTGTAATTTATATTTTTTTGTAAATTTTTTTTATTTTATCATTAATTAAATAATTGAATTTATTCTTTACATAATATGACAATCTCAAAAGTATAATTAGTTGTTTTAGCTTGATTTGAACTTATTAACTGTACAGGCTCAATATGACTCAACTCGTTAAAAATTTAAGCTAAAATAATGACTCAAGTTTGGCTCATAAAGTTCGAACTCTAACTCGACTTGAATTTTATATATATTTTATATATACATTTAATTTATATATATTAAATGTATTTATTCATAATTTATTATAATAAAATATTCAAATTTTATAAATAAATATAATTTTTGATATAAAAAAATTAGATATATTTTATTAATATAAAACTCTATTATCACTAACGAGATCAATTAAGCTACCTGCGAATCTTGTATAAAAAAATATAAATTTCGAATTCGAGCCCGACTCGTTTATCTCTGTAAACAAGTCAAGTCGAGTTTGGTTCGAGAATTACTGAATTTGTTTAACAATTCTAGTACTAGATTTATATGTAAAAAGTATTAATTTTCGACATAAAAATAAATACAACATTATATGTATGATAATATGTTATTATAAATTTCAAATAAAAAATATATTATTGACTTTCATTTTTTTTTTTTTTGTTTAATTGTATCATTTTAATCCATTCACATCTTTTATCACATTTTAATTTTGAAAAAATTCATTTGTACTTCGTACATCAACTAGCTAAAGAAATATTATTGGGAAAATAATAATAATAATAATAATAATAATAATAATAATAAAATAGTAAGATATGATCTATGAAATTAATTCATCGACTGTGAAGTCATCAATTTAATTTTCAACCTCAATCGATTTAGTCAAATATTATTCAAAAGAAAACTTTGATAACAACTTGTGATGAATGAGAAGTACTAATATGGGCTTTTTGGTAAATGCAGCCCATTTGTAATAAACACTGAATAATTTAATACAGTACATAGCTCATTTAGTTGGCCCATTCCTAATAGAAGAAACATTACTTTTATGGGATAACTAAGTTCATTGTACAAATTTAAATTTAAGTTGAAAATTGAATTAGAAATAATTTATTTAATTAATATAAAAGTAACAAATAATATTAAAAAAAAATCAAATATCTGTTTGAATATTTTAAAAATTATATATCAATAAAAATTTTATAATATATAAGTATTTGAAATTGTCAAAGTAATGCAGCACGTAATGATTTTGATTGTTTTTTATATGTAAATTTTAAAATATTAGTATAATATTAATTTATAGTATAAATTAAGAGAAGATAATAAAAATAATTTTATTAATATTGTATAATATAAAAGTAGTAATATTTGTGTAATATACTGTAAGTTCAAAAAAATATTTTTAATGTTAAGCAGATAATACAATTACTAAACAAATAAATACTTTGCTAAAGGATGAAATGACTATTTTTTTCGTCTCAATTCAAAGTATAATTTTTTATCATTTTCGTTTTCACATTTCAAAATATCTATTTCTTATTTCACAAAAAATAATTATACATCAATACAAAATTATTTTTAATTTTTACATAAATTATAAATATATTATTACACATACAATTACTCAAATGACAAAAATGTCTCTTATATTTTTTCACTAACTAATAAATTATTATTATTTTTTAATTTACTATAAAATTTAAATGGCCGTTTAATTTGGGACGGAGTACGTTTTATTTATTGTATTTTTATATGCGCATTAGCTTCCATCAACAACTTACTTACAATCTCTGCTCTCTTCGTCCCAGTTAATTTGTCAATTTTAGTTGAGAAACAAAGTAATAAATTAAAATTAAAATTACTAAATAATTTAGTTAAAATAAAAAAATTTGAATTATAAAATTTTAAAATATAATTAAATTGTATAATTATATTTAAAAAAAACAAATAATGTAAAATAAATCAAATAAAATAGATAAATTATATACAACGGAATGAGCATATATGTCTAGTCTTACCAAAATAAAGTTGTTGTCAAGACAGTTTTTATTCCGAATGTACAATTGTCTGCAAATAAACACACTCAAACTTTAGACACTCCATAAATTACCAATAATTGTCCCATGGCCAAATCTCTCATAAATTACCACAAATCAAGCATTAAGACACAGCACAATAATTCTTTATCCTTTCCCCATAAATAATAATAAAAATAATCCAATCAACCCCACAAGTACCTGTACTTAAAAATAGCTCCCAGAAAAGTGTTCTATGTGACCCGACCCGGTACCGCATCCGACCCGGTACCGCCTGGCAATTCGTCCCCGCCCGGAACGACGGCAATCGGCCTCGCCCCATAGTACAACGCCGGATTTCCATTATCGGAGATTATTCTGCCGGACGTTTCGTATGGCCTCACCCCCGGAGCGTACACCTGATTGACTCCCGGAAATCCGATCGGAACTTGCACCGGCGCAACCGCATACGGCTGAACAAACTGTGCCCTGATCGGAACATGTTGAGTATTTCCGGCGGGGACGTGACCGCCGGAGACGTAATACACCGCTGCCGGCATGGGCTGAACCGCCGCCGGATTCGGATAGTGCCACATCGGGCTACCCGAATACCCGGCGGGCTGGGGAACCGTTTTCTCGCTCATCATTTCGGATTCTCTGAAATCGGCCGATTTGGTTTTCACCGGCGGAAGATCAGGAATAACCTGCATCCCCGGCGGCGCAAGGGTCGACGACGCAGAGCAGAAAGGCGACGCCGCCGCCGGAGCCGGCGATCCCGGGTCGGACATTGATATATTATCGTTGACGAGGTTTTTGTGCCTGAGCTTTGCGCTTTCTTTCAAAGCGTCGTCGGAATTATCCAGCCCGAATAGGTAGTCCGGGACCTCCGACACAATCGACGACACCTCGGACCGGCCGCGCTCGAGAACCGGACCGGTCGCCGGTCCGCCGTTGAGAGCATCGAAGAACCAGTTCTCGCGCTTAGCCGAGCCGTCGAGGAGCGAGCTGATACTGCTCGCTCGTGAGTCCCCGCCGTCCGTGGGGAAAAGGAACAGCCGGAGCCGAGCCGATTTCTGCCCCAGCGCCAGCCGATCGTACTCCTCCATCATGTTCTCCACGTCTTCATCCGTCGTGACGGTTATCAGCGCGTCCAGGTCCTCGCTTGGGAGCTGGTACTTTACGCTTATACCGGTTGTACCCGACACCTTCGACAGCACCGATAGGAGCATCGCGAAATTGGTGTGGCGGTTGACGGCGACGATGCGCGTATCTCCGCCGACGTACCGGAGCTGATTGTCGTGCGGCCGCGGCAGGATTTTGCCGCCGAAGCTGCACATAAAACGGATTCGCGGCTGCAACTGCGGGTAACCGCCGTCGTCGTGTCGCTCCGACCGCGGCGTTGACGCCACTGAATCGGCGGCGCCGGCGGGATCCACATCGCTCATCGGAGCAGCCATAGATTAATTAATGATCAATTAATCGGAAAGAATGAGCAATTCTTAGAACTACAGAGCTCTCCAGAATGTACAGCAGATCGAAGACGAAGCAATTATACTAACAGCAGGGAAGAATGTTTTCCCAATGGGGTGGAGAATGATAAACGCACGGGGCTGTCACGCACGCACTTTCACAGACGCCGCATTAATAAAAAATGTAAAGGGGAACCATTAGATTTGATTATTAGTTATAATTGAATTATTTTTAAATGACTTGCGAAACTATTTAACGAATGTGAAAGTAACGCCAACAATAATAACATCATCCCTAATAATGGCACAAAGTTCTTATTTATTTATTTTATAGGAATTAAATTATTTGAATGAAAAGGAACGAAATCCCCAATGTGGAGAGTTGATGTCGATCTCTACTCACAATAATGTCAGGGCATACATCAAAGTGGTTCAACTGACCCCACGCAGTAATCATTCTAATAATTTTATTTTTTTTAATAAAATTATTTATTATTTAATATATTAAAAAAATAATAATAAGATGCTGCTTTTATAATTTATGGATTCCCGAATGAACAAACTTACTGGTCCACAAATTTATTTCGTTTTAATACTCAGCAAGTTGACCAATAAGTAGTGAATATTATAAAAATTAGAATAAATTAGGTCGTTACACATATTCTACACTTATACATATATATTTAATAGAAATACATCAAATAGGGTGTGTTTGTTTCTAATTTCAAATCAAAATTATAACTATTCAATCTACATATATTTTTAATAAAAATGAATTAGTTGTTTCGCATAAAATATCATTGAAGTTTACTATTTAAAAAATATATATATATATATTTCAATGATATGGTAATTCGGTAAATTTTCGAAAAGACAAGTCAACTTAAGTGAACTATATATGTAGGCTTCAATAATTTGAAATTTTGAATCTTTTAACTTCACGGTCATAAGTTCATTTTTATACCACTAATCTACTTTTTAGTGTTTGAGACTTAGTTCATACGAATTTATTTTTGAATATTCTCATACTAGTGGAGTTTACTTAGTATATATAAAATGTATTATTTTTTTCGTAACTTTTGACGTGAGACTTGGATTTGCACCACAGCAATAAATAAATAATTCAAAACGCAAACAAACGGACAATATATTTTTTACCCTAAAATTAATTTGACTTAAAATATCAATATTACTATATATTTATATTTAGCGTTTAGTTAGTAAAAAATTATATATTACTATCATTGCATTTTACTTTCAGCCAATCCTATTAGTTGAAAATATATACCTATATAGAAAACGATAGAGATTCTTGGCAGCTTCCGGACTTCTTCACCCAACAATTGAACTACAACCGTGAAGGTCCATCTGGTGCGGTAAGTCCGGGAGCTTCTAAACTTGACTTGCTAGGGTAGGTCGTGACTGTACATGATGTAGTACGTACGCCCCAAAATTAAATTAAATTATTTATAAATTATTAATTTTGGACGGCAGATTAAAATATAATAATAATAGGCGATTGGTGATCATGTCAAAATATAATAATTCTAATTATTTATTTATTAGTAGTACGTGTGAGCAATGAAGCAAACTCAACAAAGTACAAAAGGGAGTAGTCACCATAACGAACAGCCTTAATTAACCAATAATAATAGTGTTTTTTTATTATCAGTGAGAAATGATATGTAACATTAGTATGATATTAATATATTAATTATATTTTAAAACTACACATTAAGTTATTAAAAATATTAATTATGATATAATGATCTATAAGAAAATTACAAAACTAGTATAAGTGACTATTGATGTCCGGATCAATAATAACGGTTTTTTATCGGTCTCATAAGGAATGACCTAGTGGTGTGGGGTTGAACGCGTGACCGTGTGGTCATAGGTTCAAACCTCCGACGACTTATGTCACATGTCACATATGGTTTGCCTAATGTGATTTGCCTATCGGACCTAATTTGCAGGGTATTAAGTTCAAACGGGGGTTTATCCAGTGCGCACTTTCGGATTAGCGGCTGCGGGTTCCCACGTCATAAAAAAAACAATAATAGTTGTTCGGTTTTTGGATTTGAAGTTTTGAATAGTAAAAAGTTGAGTTTGAATAGTTGTTTGTTGTGATATAATAAACAAAAAATTGATCTCATAGAGTGTTAAATATGAATCCATGGAAATGATCATTCACCTTTATAAACTAGTGGAAGATCCCACATTTTTTTAATGTGAGATATATTCAACACTTCTCCTCGAGATGATAATCTAAAAAATTCATACCGAATCAATATCCAATACGGGCACTTTGATACTATATTAAAAAAAAGATTCAAAATTTCAACCTAAAACCAATTGGTTATAGGTGGAGTGACCCTTCAACTTTATAAACCAATAAAAAAATCTCACATTTTTACAAAGCTAGATATATTCAACATATAATGATCCAAACTTGCTAAAGGAAATATCAATTGAGAATAAATTTTGTTAAATTAGTGGAATACTTGCTCAAATTAAAAAATTTATATAAAGAAAAACAAAATGACAAGAATGCCCCCACGAGACCCATTCAGTTCATCCACACATATTCTTTCATTTATTTGGATAAGAAACGACCACAGCTCAAATATAATAATGCCTTTTTATCAAATATCTCATTGTTATTATTATTTAAAATATCACCTAAATATCATTTTAATCATAATTTGACATGTAATGATTTTATTAAATAATACTACTATAGCATAGTTGTATACATATAAGGAGAAATGAATAAAGAGCAGAACTTATCAATAATAAATTATTACCGGGAGAATTTAGGTAAAATATAATTAGTAAGTAGTTAAAAAATATATTAGTAAAAATAATTATTATTTAGTAAAAATAATTATAGATTAAGATTAAAATAACTAAATAGTTTAATTAAGATTAGAAAAATTTAAATTTTAAATTTTAAAATTTAAAATATGATTAAAATTTATAATTAATTTTTCAAAAAAGAAAGGGATAAATTATATGAGACGGACGAAAATAGAAAATAGGGACAAATTATATAGGACGGAGGGAGTAGAATTCAACGATGATAGTAATAATAATAATAATTTTGTGGTATATATATACATAAAGCAATGGACATTAGCGGAATAAGACAGAAATGATGGGTGTAGTGGACCTATAAAATGGATGCGGGCCTATGACTGCTAAGCCCAATGCTTTATAGCTATTGCGGGGCCCAAATTTCCTAACCTCTTTATCACTGACGTGGCATCCACTGCTCTTTTGTCTCCTCTTTAGCCCCAACCAAAATTTTAAAATCTTAGAATTCATAAAAGGCTTTTTTTTGCATTATTAATTATTATTAAAAAATATTTATTACTTTTACTATTTTATATTTTTAAATGTTTAAAAAGCATATTTAAATTTTTTAAATATTTACTATTTTACTATTTTTAACATTTCGATTGATATTATACTTTAAAAAAATATACTCCCTCAGTCCCACGAAAGATGAGCCTTTTTGTTAGGAACACGATATTTTAGGTAGCTTAGGTTATTAAGTTATTCATAATAAGTTATGATAATATTTTATTATTTGTGTATATGTGTAGTGTTGTTGGTATCTTAAATATTTTTAGAATTATATCTCAATAAAATATATGCAATATGTATATCATTTTATAGATAATAAAATTTTATATAATAAAAATAAATAAAACATATATATATTTATTTATCATTACCATAAATTAGTTTTATAAAAAATGAAAAATTTTAAAGGTAGATAAAAATATTTCTTAATTGAGGAGAGATATAGAAATAAATGAGTTTTGAGTGGGTACTATTTGTAAGATATTACAAATTTAATTAAATTGATTTATATTTGTTTATGTATAAAATTAATAAACTTACAAAAATAGAAAGGGGTCATCATAGTGGCGGAACGAAGGGAGTATTATATTAGATGGATTTCATTTCTAATCTTTTATATTTGTATCATTTTTTCAATAATTAAATATAGTTATATATATTTTAAACTTTCAATATTTAAAAAAATTATTTTAATTATAATAAACATTATTTTTTATTCATTATTTTGTGTATTATATAAAATATAGTATTTTCTCAAAAAATGATATCTATATTATAAACACTTTATTGAATTATAATTTTTAAAAATATTTTAATTATGTTTAATCATATATATTACATAATAAATTAAATATTAATTAAATAAATGACGTTAAATCAAATTTAAAACTTAACTAAGCTCACTCTTGACAAGTGTTAAAACAGGGGTGTTTGTTTGTTTTTAATTTTGTTTACTTTTGATTTTAAGTTTGAATTAAATAAAATTAAAAATTTGATGTTTTATTCGAATACCTTGTATATTTATATAAATAATAATGAAGACTATACATTAATAATAAAATAAAATCGAACTTTTGTAGTATTTAATAGTTTCTTTGTATTTAGAATTTTAAAGTTTTATAATAGTTTTGAATGAAATTATGGGTTAGCGATATCTTAATTAAAAAAAAAGAAATAGTTTTTGTTTTAAATAATCCGAGTAAAAAATCTTTATTTAATAACCTAAATCACAGTTAAAAACACTAAACCAAAAGTTACACAACAGATACGAAAGACATACAGTAAAGCCCAATTACTGTAGCAACAATATTTACTGCGAACCCAAATACATAAAGCCCAATTATAAACATTTTGAATAAGTATATATATTTATATACATTTAAATCTCAATGTTTTTTAAATAATAACTATTTATGTTGATTATATAAATATATATTTTATATTTTTAAATTGTATTTATAATTTTATTATATAGGAAATGATATCTATATTAAATCTATCTTCATTGAAATTATTTATAAAATATTTCAACACAATTTCTAGTTTATTTTTATCAAACGTATTATTATTATTATTATTATTATTATTATTATTATTATTATTATTATTATTATTATTATTATTATTATTATGAGGTGGCATGTCTACAGCCTTCTTACTTACTCAACAATCAACATTAATTTCCCCAAATTACAAAACTAATTAATTATTCCAATCCGTCCTAATCATAATCGTGTAATAATTGACAAATTACTTAACATTTACGACTATTGCCGTTGGAAAAAATAAAATAATATATGTATATATATCATGTGAATTTTTTATTTTTTCACCAATAGAATTGGAGAAAATATTTATTGATGATTGAAATATGGAAAAGGACAGTTAATTAATTTAACCAAGTTAATAATATCACATGTCACTGAAATTTCTCACCCAGCACTTAAAACAAAAGAAATAAAAACATTCATACTAAAATTCAACACAATAGTAACAAACATACAAGCAATGCAATAATAATAATAATAAGGCACAGGGAACAAATATAAAAAATATAAATATAATACTAATTTTATATTTTCTCCGTCATTCAAATATATATTTACTTTATATATAATAAAACAATATAATTTATATGCATGTAAAAGTTATTATGTTTTGTATCATCCATCTACAATAAATGCATCACATCTAATACTTATTTTTAAAAAATATTTTTAATTTTTATCTAAATTAAAAATATTATAATTACACGTACAATTACTTTGTACATAATCGATTTTGAGTGGGACGGAAAAAGTATGTTTTTATTAAAAACTGTAAATAATGAATAATGTTGATTTTAAAATTTCAACCAAACAATATTTGGGACAAAAACTCGTAAGTCAAGTAAAACCCTGGGCAGACCAACAAACCAATTGCTGACAAAAATGGCTATAGTCTGTCTAACCAAACCCAATTTAATTATTCTTGTCATCTATTTAAATTAATTATAGAGATTTTTTTTAAAAAAAAAAAAATTAAAATAATAAAAAGTTTAGGATTTAATGATATTATATTTTTAAAAAAATAATAAAAAATTTAAAGTGATAGTTTTCCAGAAAAGTATATAAATATTGCAAAAACCAATGTCATGTAAATTGGGCCATACAAATATAGCAAACCATACCCAAAATAAACAAAAACCAATATATGTCCCATTTAAAAAAATATATACTTTTTAATTTTATATTGGATCAGATCAGATAAAGTGTTGAAATTTTAATTTGAATACTTAAAACTTAATTAATATAATTATATTAATTAATAAGTTAAATAAATGTGATTAATTTTAACCATTGACAACTGATCTGATCCATTTTTATATTTATTTTCTAGGAAGCAAATTTCCCATTTTTTGTGGCTTTAGTTTCTCCAAACGTGTATTATCAAATTCACATATTGTAACAAAATGGGGTTCTAAATAAAATGGAGAGATTTTCAAATTTATCAAGATGGTCTGGTTCATACACTGTCCAAAAACACCACTTCGGAAATTCATCACGTGTTTAAATAGATACATCTTAAATTAATAACTTAAAAAAGACTTATGAATATTTGAGTCCCTGTTACATAACAATATTTATTAGTGTGGTCTAATTATTATTATTATTTTTTTTAATACCATATAAAAGAGAACATATATATGAAATTATATGACAATTTGTTACACAACATAAAAATGTATTAAATTAATTATTGATACACAGTGTCCAGGCTATATTAGAAAGGTTAAATCACAGACCAATAATTGGCAATTAATCACATACCTAAACAAATAGTCTAAACACTTTCGAAATTTTTTATATTATTCATCAATAATAATTTTTTTATTAAAAAATATTACATCAAATATATATTATTTAACAAAATATAAATAAAATACTCAATTTTTTATTGTTTTTTCTTAAAAAAGTAAAATTCTAATATTTTTATTATTTAAACGGAAACGTAGAACCGACGGTTGTTACTGCAAACTATGCCTGACAGGGAACCATCCCGTGATCATTGCAAGTTTACTCTTATACCATGTTGTAATGAGTATTTGATATATACATTTTTATTATTTTTTAATTTAATTTATATAGTACTCCCTCCGTCCCATATACCATGTCCACGTTGCCGTTTCTGTACGTTCCATACCATGTAATTTTTCTTTTTTGGAAAATGATTACACACTTTAATCTCATTTTAAATTTTTTAATTATTTTTTTTATTTTAATTAAAGTAATTAGTTATCTTAATCTTAATTTATAATTATTTATATTATAGGATAATTATTTTTCTAATATATTCTTAATTATCTACTAATTACACCCCTCCTGTAGACACGGTAGGTGAGACGGAGGTAGTATTTTTTTTTTGTTGAACATGTATTTTATAAATAAAAAATTATGATAAATTATTTTTATTATAAATGTAAGAAATGTTTATTTATATTAATATTTTTCACATTTATCTATATTTACATCCTGTATTTAAAATATCAATTTTACTTTTAATATTTATTTCTTATTAAAAAATAAACTCAAAACAATGGAAATCTAAAAAATAATCAAAATTACATATAGACAATCGTTGAAATAATATTTGGGGAGTATTTAATAATTGCACTGACACCAATCATTTGCGTTATCCTTTCAATAATTTCCCCTTCCAATTTCTGATTATCACAAACTTCAATTGACAGTAATTATATAAAGCCGGAAAAAGGTCATGAGACCCATGCCCCCAAAGTGGGCCCCCCACATTTTACAGCAATCAATGCCACGTGCACACTCACGACGTACCGCAGTGTTTGACTCGCCGATGAATTAATTGCAACGAAGGACAACAAACACGAAAAATAGCACAAGGGCCACGCCGTTATTTTCAAAAAAGCTGTCCGGACCTTTTCCACGTGGGCCCCACCCATTGGTCCCGCTTTCCGTGCTTTGACACGTGACCTAACACTTAGTCAAACCCCTACCTTTAAAAAACCATGCAACTCTTTTTATACTGGTGGTCCCCGACACGTGTCAACGTCTCCTTCTCCGGCAGGTATCTCCGGCGGCTCCGCCGCCGGCAGGGATCTTTCCGGTTGTGAAAAGGTTTGGCAGACAGTACGGCGCCTTTATAAGAGACAGGCAGAATATGTAGTTTGGTCAAATGAAAAATGAAAATTTCTCAACAAAAAAAAAATTAAAAAGATTAGTCAAATTAAGTAATGGTAGATATGGAGTGAGAGAGTAAATTAATTTAAAGGGATCACGTAATTAAATTAATGGGATGAATTTTCTGGAACAATGATTGTTGTTTACTATATATGATAATAATGTTTTAATTTCATTTATTTATTAGTGAGAAGTCGTGGAAGTGGTGACTCATGCACTTTCGACTTTCCATTTTCGTAAGCCATGTAAATATATTAAGCTACACATTAAATTATTATTTCCTATTATATTAAAAAAATAGTATTATTTAAAACTGTCACCAGATCATCTGTCTGTATAGAATACTGTATGAATTATTGCACTTGTCGACTGACTACTGGCAAATATTATTGCATCAATCAAATCCATTGATTTGCTGATGAACATGACCATGCAGAGTAATATTCAACGTTGTACTGTATGAACACATATTGCTTAAGATTTGCAAATTAAAAAAAGTCGAATTAAAGGGCAAGAATTATAGTATATCAAGTGGGTGTTTCAATTTCATATACAGAAATTTGAATTCTTACATAAAATCATTAACGTTCAAAAAATCGGGAATTTCGAATTTGAGCAAAGTGCTGCTGCTGTTACTTTCTCTTTCGTCTTCATTACATGAGCTGTTCACATTATTGTAATAATTAGTTGAATTCGACGAAGGCGTCGACATGTTGGAGAAGACCGAATTGTGGCCGCCGAGATTGTTGTATTGCTCCGACGACGATGTTGGAGCCACCGCCGGAGCACCAAATTCCGACAGCGTCGGAAGCCCTAATTCGCCGCAGCTGATTTGCTGCCAGTCCTGATTTTGGGGGAAATCGGAAACGTCGTCGTATTGCATCAGCGGGCAATTGGGGAAGTCAGTTAGATCCTGATTCGATTGCAGTAACTGTGGTAGAATTTCGCCGCCGTGAAAGATCTGATTTTGGCCGGAATTGTCGCCGGAATTCGGAATCGGAGTAAATTCCTCCGATCGTCGTTGAGAAGAAGCGTATAGTGAAGAAGACGCAGCTGCAGCTAGTCGCAACAGGTGAGGATTGATCATGGCGGGATGAAACCCTAGAAAACCCGACCCGAATTCGATTTGGGAATCGCCGGCGGCGGCGCCGCCGTAGAGCTGAGATGAATTGTGCAGCACGGCCGAGAGGTCGAGGAGATCGAGGCGGCGGCGGTGGGTCACGGGGTCGATCCCCATCCGCAGCAGCTTCTTCCTTATATGCGTGTTCCAAAAGTTCTTAATCTCGTTGTCCGTACGTCCGGGAAGACGCGCAGCAATTGCAGACCACCTATTTTTCGTCAAAAGCAAAAAAAATATCAGATTCATAACATCAAAAATAATTGTAAAAAAAAAAAGTTCCAAACGTAATTAAATTAGGGAAATTGAAATTGTGGAGTAGTTCTTACTTGTTTCCAATTATACTGTGGAGTTGAATAATTGTCTCTTCTTCTTCCAATGAAAACCGTCCCCTTTTAATGTCGGGTCTGAGATAATTTGTCCATCGTAGACGACAGCTCTTTCCACACCTTTGCAGCCCTAATTGATTAAAACATATATCGATCAAACTGCAAATTTTATTTTAACTTTTCAAAATAAAAAATTTGATGAAATGAAACATACCAGCATTCTTAGGAAGGGTTCTCCAGTTTCCATAGCCATTCTTGTGTATATAATCAACGAGCTTCTGGTCTTCTTCGGGAGTCCAGGGACCTTTCTTGAGCCCATTTTTTTCACAGCAAGGAGCTCTTCCCATGGCGATGATGATGAAGGATTTAATTTAGCTGTGAATGAAACCTTAATTAAAGGGGTGTTCTACTACAGGGTATATATATGTTGTAATAATTAGTTCTTGTGAAGTGACAAGCTTTGCAATACCGTAAGACAGGCAACCTTGTTGTGTTTCGTGGCAGATATATATAGTTGGATCTTTGGATGATACTTTCTAGTGAAGCACCCTGGATCACAGCACCAGAAAGCGTGTTTATATGGTATGGTGTTCATCAGGTGTTTGAAGTCCTGTGGGCTTGTGAGATGAAGAGAGATGGAGACAGCACATAAGGGTTAAAGGCGTAAAGCGCAGTCAAACGGGTTCGGTGCCGCCCGCCCGACCCTTTTTCCTCTGTATGATACGTGTCACCCAGACATCTATTATCTTATCAAGGAGCTCCAAGGACCATCAACACCAGATGGATCTGCAATGGCAATCATCTCTCCGGTGCTCAAGTCCTGGACCATGAATCGGATTGTACATTAGTAGCGCTATTTTGTATATGTTTTTTTTAACCTCTTCTGATTTTTTGGTGAGGGTTTACCGTTCACATGTAATAAATATTTTATTTTATTTTTTTAATTCCTCGAAATTTTAGCTAAATAGAATTTCACATGCTTTAGTTTGAAAAAAATAAAATAAACCACACGCATAAAATGGATGATCCGATTGTAAACTTAAACACGAGATATCTACACGCCTTCATTAGTATATAAAAAAACTTGAATATTTAAAATAATTAAGAATCAAATCAAAATATGCCGTAAACATATTGTTACAGAAAGGCGATTTTCCTAAAACATGGAAGAATTACAATTAATATATATAGTTTATCCCTAATGACTTTTGCAAAACATGAGAAATGAGACGAACCCATTCGGTCAGAAATATAAGACAATGAAAAAGATGATTATGATACAAATTTTTTAATTAAAAGATTATGTATTACTTTTAATTAAACTATTAAATTCATATGTTTTTTTGTTTTACTTTATAATAAGTGACTTAGTACGCATTGAGATTTTATAAACACAGCAAGTTAATAAATTAATTTGGAGCTCTATTATTATTATTGGAGCATTATTTATCCTTCAAATTTAGAAGGTTTATTTATTTATAGTTTGCCCCAATATATATATATATAGTCAACTGTGAAAAGTGAGGTACAGCAATTTAATTTCACACCATAATATATATATATAAAGTAGCTTTCATTTGATATATGTATGGCTATAGGCAAAGTCGATGCTCACACTGTCGATATATACATTTTAATTAGAATTTGCTATGTCTGGACAATTTATAACCTTGATTTTTTGGCTATTCAGACTTTACAGAATTCAATCTTATTGACTTCTTTAAAAGCCATTTGCTCCAATAAAATTTGGAATTGGTATCCAGATTATAGATTATTGCATGGAATCTTTATTTCAATCAAAATGTCAATGATGAGCTTTGGCTATATCCTATTCTTGCCTAGCTACTTGTTAATTTAATTAAATTAAAAACCATTAATCTATTACTTAATTAATGTCAGCATTGTGTTTTTTTTTTAAATAAAAAATAAAAAATAAAATCCAATTTAAATATATACATCATTGAAAATTATAAATAAATAACCCGTCCTAATCAATTCAACAATTAAAATAAATAAATAAATGACCACGACGACCTAAGTGTGTAATTAAATTATTTAAATCAAGACAGCAATTGGGGTTGTTAAGGCAATTTTGTGATCATGTATTCATGTCCTAAAATTTTGGAAGACAAGTTTGTGTTTGGTAGTGGCCTTTTCTCATTAAAGGCTTATTTTTAATTTTTTGTTATCATATTGTATTACAAATATAACATCAACACTAATTATATAATACCAAATTATTTAAAATTTTACTATTCCCAATCAACTCGACTTAGAGGTTGAAGATTGTAAAAACTTGAAATAGGTAAAAAAAAAAAAAATTAAAAGTTAATTAATGTGATAGAAAGAAAAGTTTAATATGATGTTTTAAATGAAAATTAAATTTGTATATAATTTAAAAATTAGGTTAATAGTTTTAGATGAATAGTGAGATTAAAATACTATCCCACATCCAAACACACACTTATCACTTCTGCTGAGGTCGAATATATATTTCAATTTCATAACACATTCATTAAATAATATCCAATAATCGAATATACTAAATATGTTCGTACATTATGCCAAAGTGAATAACCATTGCACATTTTGAAATATATATTTTGAATAAAAAAAGAAGTTGTACACCACTAGCAATTTATAAATTAAATAGCCTTAAATTAATAATAGTATATATTGTTTTGTAGTATTATATTAAGATATATAAACATTGTATTTATTATTTGATGCATAACCTTTATTTTTTTAATTTAATTTTCTTTTTTGCTATTTATTATTTTACTTTCATGTAAAAAAAACATTGTAGTAATATCTAATAACAGCTATTTTTATTTGAAAAATACGAAACAAAAATAAATACACTCACAAAGTTTTGGTAATTCTATCACATTAATTAATTATATACATGCAACGTAGCATAATAGCAAATATTATCTATATCTATGTATAAGGGGTAATAATTTTTCTAGAAAATATCAAAAACAATACACTTAATTTCTATTTATAAAAAAAATTATAAAATTTAAAAATATAACGAAAAAACGACAAACACAGCCTTAATAGTTTTCTACGCAAAAACCATTTAAATAAAACAGCGAAATGATTGGAGGATGCTCATTAAATAAGTTCTTATTATATGCGTACTATAACATTAATTATTTAATTAATTAATGGTTTTCTCTTACCAAATTCAGTACTATTAGGACACGCGTTTACACCCATGTATACTTAACTACCGGATTATTAAATGAGTACACTACTAATTTCAAATATTTCTTCTCTTTATAATCAAAAAATATATATAAGTAAAATTTAAAATATTATTAATTATATATATATGCATAATACAATAAATACGTCAATGGCCAATTATTCTTAAATAGATGTGTTTGATTTGTATTATATATATATATATATATTTTTAAAAAATAAAAATAAAATATGTTGAACTTGGGTATGAACGTGTGTGCTTGATTTCTTATCCACCTTTTATTTATTTATTTATTCCAATTAATTACTCTGCTGCTGCAGTAGGAATTTTGGTCAAAAATATGCTATAAATGGAAGTAGGAAACTGTTCATCAAATTTGACCAATCTTGAATTGCAGCCATAAAGTGTAATCTTGCACGCACACTCCTTCACAAATCACAGTACCATTATGTCCACATTACAATTTATTTGCCCACCAATCCCATTTTCAATTCAATTTTTTTTTAAAATTTAATTCAATACTATATGTGATGCAATCGGGTTCCATATATTATTTAATCCCTCTCAATAATAAAATAAAAAGTGGATTTTTTAAAATAACTATTAGATGGGCCTAATGAAGGCCCAATTTATGATGCTCCCAAACAACCGGCAGGTGTGGGTAATCCCAACCGGCGTAGGTCATATTAAGCCCACAGATTGTCACCCCTCCCACAGGCGCAGCCGGTTGTTTTGTACCTCCAGTTTTCCCCAAATCCATCAACAAAACCCTAAAACCGCGGCCATTTTTGTCGACACTCACCAATATAAATATATATATATATTTGCACTTCTCTTATTTGAAATTCGTTGCTGGAATTTCGAATTTGTTAAGGTGGATTTTGGTTTGATAATAATATCTGTATATGAGTGGGAGAGGTGGTGTGTTTGTGTACCTGCGGGCGATGCAGAGTGGCAGCAAAGAGCAGTCGTCGAGGTCGAGGTTGGAGAAATCCTTCAAGGATTCGAACATGGCGTCGTCGTCGTCGTCGTCGTCTTCTCCGAGGATGTCGTTTTCTACCATTGATAAATCAAACTTGAAGTTGAAACGGGCTGAGGAGTCCCTCCGGACAGTGATGTATTTGAGCTGTTGGGGTCCAAATTGAATGAATGTATGAAAGGAACCAAACCCACACCGCTTCCATTTTCTATATATATATTGAAATTGAGCCGGGTCGGGTGGGTGTGATGACAGTGGGCCAGTTTTGCAACAATGGGCCAAGGGCCTTTTGAAAAGTTTAAATAGACTGGGTTGAGCACAAATATAACATGGGAATTCCGTATATGGGCTTATTTATAGGCCCAAACTTATACTTGGGCTGATCCACTTTATGGAAAACATAAATTTGACAACTTAGTGAATAGAATTAGTAAAATCATGTTAATATATAGATATTTATATGAAATAGATAGACAATATATTTTTATTTAAAATTGACTTGTAGGTATCTTATGTAAAAGTATGTGGGTGTATTGTATGAATATATCTTTGTGTTAAATTTAATTATATCATATGTTACATGGGAGTATATTGTATTGTTGTAATATAATTTAAACATCATTTATGATGTTGTCTATTTTTTTATCTTGTAAAATTTATTTTTATATTGTGGGTTGTTTGTTAATATAGTATATTTGTATTATTTTTTTTTATATATAGTGTATTGTATATTCCTATATTGTATATTGTATAAAATTCATAACAGAAACTAGCATCAAATTAAATTTTGCTTTAGAATCAATTCTTACAAAAAAGCATCAAATTGGGAAAAAGGATTTGATTCGGATTAGAACCAACTACTAACCCACTCTCTTACAACTTTTCCTTGTCCGTATTTATTAAAGTTTGTTAGTTCCATGGCCTACTCAATCCAATAAAGAAATTATGAACTGACCTTTGGGTGTTTTTGTAATGAGCACATACAACCCACCATTTTTGCTTCAGAATAAAGTCATCACATTTCACCTTCTTTAAGAAATAAATATAAGCAAAAAAAAAAGTGGGGCTGGAGCATTGTTTTAATTTGCTGATATCCAAAGCATTGTACAATACTGAAGGAACAATTTAATAGTTAATTAATTAATTATACTTTTTAAAAATAATAATAATGAATTTTCATTTCCACACCCACAATTTTACGAAGAGCTTATCCAAATCTCCATCTTATCCTATTCAATCCAATCCAATCCAATCCAATCCACATAGACAACCTTAATTCCATCAAACTTAGGTGGTCTGTCACGTGATTCTTGGAGGGTTAAGGCAATATTTTCCGTGACGAGAATCACTCCCACTCTGCCTATATTGTAGTGATCTCAAGTTAATCCATATCCAAATAATTGCCACCTCATTTTAGAGGCCGTGACCAAATTTATATGATGTAAGTTACTTTTAGAAGTATTAAATAATCTTTAGGTATGTTATATATATATATATATATATATATAGCTTATCCATTCATTTTTACTTCACAAAAGATATGTGCAACGGATGGAATGGATGATGTGTCACTACCCTTTTCATTAATTTATTTCTATCACACACAATAATAAAAAGGTTACATGTGAATTCGATTCCCACTTTTGAGCAAGTAGTGAATGTTAAGGTTGTCCTTCTTTACATTTTATTAACTTCCAAATCTCACTTTTTTTTTTTTGTTTTAATTGGGTTTGAAAGTTCTAAAGTTTAATTTAAGTAATATTTTATATATAAAAAAATAATATAAATTAAAAAGAATCATACCCAAGTGTTTCGGCAATAGATTATTTTTATATATTTTTAATCTAATTTGTCACTTTGTTGAGTTTTAAGAGGATTTTGTTGTCCGGTCAGACAATGAATCGGGGGATCAAAGGGGGCGAAATCCCCCTTGCTTGGGTCCGGGGGCGCAGAGTGACCCTTGCCCAATGGTATACAATATTGTGCTTTTTGAGTTCATATTGGGCCGAGTCCGTCTAATATATCTCTTAGTTTAATTGAATAGAATTAGAGATACATAATTTGTAATATATAACATTATCGTCGTCAATAAAAAATTTTTTTCGTTTCTGCCCGTAAATAATCAACACGTTGTTGGTAAATCACGTAAAATATGTATCTTATTTATGTTATCTGTTTGTTATTCGATCATTAATTATAATTTGTGACAACAGATTCAATATTATATCCACTGCTTAAAAAAAAGAGACAATACACACATTAACATTTGATTTTCTTCTTTTTCGTTCGATCTTCTTTACCATCATCACCAAAATAAACATTAAAATCCAACTAATCAATCATAATTGCAGCTGGGTTTGTACGTGTGACAACATTTTAATTTGGTCATACTTTCTCATTCTTCTTCTTCATTTGGATGGATCCATTCCCATTGGCACGATTCGGATACTCGACTTCAGACATAAACCTCGACCAGAACCAATGCTCCTTCCAGACAACCGCCATCTCCTCTATCGGGACATTCTTCGTCTCCGGCAAGAAGAAGAACACGAACACCGTCATCACGAGCACGAAGAACCCGAAGAACAAGAACAGCCCGAACTTCAAATGGCACAACATTTTCAAGAACACTTGCGCCACGATGAACGTGAACAGCATGTTCACCGAAACGTTGATGCTCTGCGCCGCCGACCTTATCTCCAACGGGAATATCTCGCTCGGAACGAGCCACCCCAACGGACCCCATGACCACGCAAATCCCGACACGTAAATGCATATGAAAAGCACCACGACGACCGCGTACCTATTAGAAATAAATTATAAATAACTCAAAAATATTTCAATTTATTAATCATCAAAATAAAAGATTTATATAAATATTTAAAATATTTCAATAATACCATTTGGGCAGATGGCCCGGATCACCGTCCACCCCAAACTTCACTGCTATGCATATCGACACGACGATCTGTTTCAAGTGTAAACATAAAAGAGTCAAACCTCGAGCTCGTCCGAGAATGTAATAAACGTGGAAAAATGAATAGCGTCAAAAGTTTCAATTTAACCTGGCATATGAGCATTTGGATGCCGCCCTCGAGGAAAAGAAACCGTCTCCCCCACTTATCGACGCCGTAAATAGAAACGACGGTTGCCAAGACATTGACACCGCCGGTGATCACCGATGACATCAGCGCGGAGTCGCTCCCAAAACCGATTGTCTTAAAAAGGACCGGCGCGTAGAACATGATGACGTTGATGCCGGTGAGCTGTTGAAAGAACGGAATGGCGATGGCCATCGTGAGGTGGGGGCGGTACTTCCGCTGGAGGAGGTTCCTCCACGGGTGCTCGACTTGTCTCGACGCCTCGCTGGCGGCGACCATGTCGTTGAATTCGTCGTCCACGTTGGCGATTCCTCGGATTCGGATGAGCTTGCTCTTGGCCTCGTCGTTCTTACCGCGCTCGATCATGGAGTTCGGAGTCTCCGGGAGGACGAGTGATCCGATGGTGATGATGATGGCGGGGACCATAGCGCCGCCGAGGCTGAGCCGCCAGCCTAAGCTGCCGTCAATTTTGGCGAAGAAGTAGTTCAGGACCTCGGCGGCTAAGATTCCGACCGTTATTGACAGTTGGAAGCCGATGTTAAGGGCGCCTCTGTATTTGTACGGAGCCATCTCTGATAAGTATAGTGGTACGGACTGTAAGAACAATATCAGATGAAATCAATCAGTTTTATTACATCAAGGAAAATATTAGGAATAGTTTTATAATTAATTAAATATTAGTAGAGGGAAATTGTGATATCAAGATATGTTTGTTTGAAGTCAACCCCATTGTGTTTGGAGTAAACGTTAGTGGGGAAAAAGAAGCATACAAAAACGTCACGCCCTAAGAAAAAGAATAGCATTCATTATTAGGATTCGTGTTTATTTTATTTATATATATAGTTTGAAAAGGATGGATAGATATCTTGAATAATTAAGACAAGTTACGACAATATTTAGGTTAAGCACACACATAATCACATATAAATATATATACTATTATAATCAAGCTGTCTTTTTTACAGGCTGATCATTGAATATAAGTATTACTACAATATTTGAGCAAGTATGATGGTTACAGCTAAGAAGAGCAATTAATCAATTGCACCCATGACCAGAATAAAAAAATAATAATTTTTCATGAAAAATATCATAACAAAAACCTATTATTTCAAAAAACGAGGCTTCTGTCGAATTGTAGTCACTATTCAGATCTGAGCTACTCTACAAAATTGCACTAAAAGAATTTTCACAGAAATAAGATTGTACTAATAAAAATCATATTAGTATTAACCAAAAAAAAAAAAAAGAAAGACAATGGGAGATCCTGGTCCAAATAATCCAGATTCCGAAGCAAATCCACACCACTCATTTTACGCAACCAATGGTGTGGTGCTGCGCTCCCGGATGCTCCCAAGAAAACGGCATGCCAAATTTCAGAACATGCCATTGTTGTCGGCACCAACAACTTGAAAGAAAAACAAACCATAACAACTGGACTGAATATATCCAATACAAAACAAAAACATGCGAATATCTTGAATCTAAATCCAAATATATATATATATATATCTAAAAAAACACAAATTAATAAATGAAAATGGAACCTGATTGGCGAACCCAATTCCAAAACCGAGAAAGATACGGCCGACTATGAGCATCCAAACCGCCTTAGCGAAGGCATTGATCAAAGCTCCGGCGCAAAACAGCACTCCGCCGAGCATCATCGACAGCTTCCGCCCCAGCTTCCGCGTCACCGTCGACGCCACCAGCGACGACAGCAGCGCCGCCAGATACAGCGACGACGTGAACAGAGTCAGCGTTTCGCTGTCAAATTTGCAGTACTGATTCGTCGTGTCGTCGGCTTTCTGCTTTCTGAACACCGACGGGAAGAACTCTCTCTGGAATGTGTCCATCTCCGTCACTCCACCTGAACAGAAACAGAAACAGATCCCCAAATTAAAACCATTTCCCCCAAATTTTAACCTAATTAATTTCCCAATTTCAGCCAAATCCTTCTGCTCCTACCTGAAATTCCGATGTCGTAGCCGAAGATCAGACCTCCCATGGCGGCGATCACGCAGGTAACCATGACGTACGGCGTCAGGTTGCCGGGATATTCCCTCCCGTCGCCGGGACCAGGGCCAAAACCACCGCCGGCCATTGCTGGTTTCGGTCGAGCACGAGTGTGGAGAAGAAAGCTTTTTAAGTCAAAAACGTGAGAAACTAATAACTAGTGAAAATGGATTATAAAAAATGGGCGCAGGTTTGTATGCATAGACAAATGTATATATAGAGAAATGTTGACTTCAATTTTGTCCCATCCAAACACGGCCTTAGCTTAGCTGTCAAAATAAACCCACTAGTGTAGTGTGTGTGCTACATTACCCATAGACATGGGCTGCTTCATTAACAAACCTTTATCTGTATTCTTGGAAATTATATTTAACATTTCTTATTGTTGTAATTATTATTATTATTATTATTATTATTTTGTATTGACATAATAATTTTTTATCTAAAATAATATGAAAAATTCAAGATGCACTATTTGCATAGTGAAAGATATATATTTTTACGTCCATCTACAATGAGAGACTGCAAAATTTTCATTAAGGAAAGAAAGATTCCAAATATTACCAAACATATTAACAAACCAATATTAATAAATAGCATATATTTTAAAATATTCATTTAATTTTCTAATGAATACTGCCAAATATTTGTAAGCAAAGTTAGTCCTTCTTAAACACAATGAAAGGTCATCTCAAATTTGTTTCAAGTACTTACAAATAATATATTTATTTTATTATTCTAGTTAGTATAAAATAACATTTATATGTGACAAAAAAGATCTTAAAAGTCGCACATAAGTCTAAATGAACAACATAATTATACTTGGATTATGAACATTGAAGTGATTAAATAAAATCCATTTAGCTCTCTGTTTGTGCTTCCTAAACAACAACAAATAATAAAAATGAAATAAGTAAGGGGTTGTGACCAAACTTGGGTGGAGTTAACGAAACAAGTGGAGACCGGAGAGTAGCCGTTGGATGCAGAAAATGGTGGATTTCATCAATTCAAGATGAACGGTTAGATTTGAGTCAACTGTTGAATTTTGAGGAGGGAAAAGTCCAGCCATACACGTCAGCATTTCATGTAAAGAAACTTCAATCATAGATTGGTTAAACCAAAACAGGTAACAACTGTGAGTAAATTGAACAGATAAAATGGATGGATCATGGATATTGATTGCTGCGTCAGCAAGCGGGTTTACCTATGTGTATATGACGTAATCGATTGGTTAAAACATAAACGTCGGCAGTCAGGCGAAGGAACGCTTTTAGAAACGTGCTTCTAAAACCACGCTTTCACTTCAGCGCTGAGTTGTGAGACCATAACAGCGTTTAATCAACAGCTTGTTTATTTAATTCTAAACATTTATTTTTTATAAATAAAATATAGATAATAATAATAAGAATATATATATATTTCGTCATTTCATCCATGCCATCTAAATTTATCCATTTTGTATTATGGTAAAAAAAATTAATGTTCATACAAAATTGAACAAATTCTTGATATAAATGAAACTCATGTACTAGCAAAATGACAAATTTATCAAAAAAATATATATATATTATTATTATTATTTTGTTTATGTTGAATTGTATCATAACATTAAATATGTAAATGTAATTTGAGAATAAAGTGAAGAATCAAAACGTAGTGTGTAAATTTGTAGTGATTGATTGCAGTTTCATGGACTTCCAACACCAGATGAATCCTCTCCATCATCCCAAGCAATGAACGGCGTGGATCTATCTGGCGTCGGAAGTCCCTGGTCTTGTAAGATCATCTTTTAAACTGATATCGCATCGACGGCTGAGGAGCGCCCAAATTTTCAAACACGAGGGGCTTGACTTGAGCCTTGACCGGAAGTAGTAGGGCCGACCAACTGGCTTTTGGCCGCATAGAAGACTTTAGGCTGTCAGTGGGACCCACCTGCCTATCTATATCCAAACTTTGGAACGTTGCACCATTCACACCTGCACCGTGCGTACGATAGCGACGCCCCTTCATATTAGTAATTATTATGGTTAGGTTAATTAATGCAATTTTCTTAAATACATATTTTAATTATTTGAATCAAGACAGAGAGGGTTAATAATTTAGCCACACAATTTTTTCTTTAATTTTCAATTAAAATCGAATTGTTTTGGAATTCATTGAAGTCACAGAAAATTAATTAATGAATGCACACAAGTGCACTGTATTTGTTTTGTAAAATATTTTTTGATGTGAAGCAAAAATAATTATCTATATAATAGTATAAAATAATAAATATATGTAATATATATATATATATATATTTTTCAAAAATAACAAACCATTCTATGTCAATTTAGATATAAAAATGCATTAAAAGATCAACCCTAAGTTATTTCAATTTTTGTTTATAATATTTTTTTTGGAAAATATATTATGGGCGTAAAAGCGTATATTTCTTACCACAAAGAATTCAAACTCTAGCAATCCATATCTACATAAAGGCATTTTGAATATACAATGCTAAAAAATAAAACTATTGTCCCAAAATAGTTTAATTAATTATTAACAACACCTTTTAAGTCATTCAATGTACTAATAATTTAAATTTAACATATATTGTTACATGATTTAAAAACTAGTATATAATTATAATAGTAGTACTATTCTCTATTTCATTTGACTGTCAAATTTTTAAAAATAAATTAGAATCAAATAATTACTATTATTATTTGAAAGTAAAGCAATGTTACATTTTAATGTAATTCAACATGTATACAATATTTTGAATTATTTTTAAATTCAAGAATGATTTCACTTTTTAAATTTGTTACTCTTATGAATCATCCATCCCATACCATACCGGATAAACTATAAACTAGAATGAAAAAGTCAACTATTGTATAATAATATTAATACTATAATATCCTCAGGGTTGACTATCTTGAATTCCAGCCGTTATCTACACTATATGTTGTAATAAAATATTGTTTTTTTTTTTTTTTTTTTTTAACATATGCAGACGCAGCAAATTTGTAGTGTAATTTTAGACCGTTGCGAGCATGTGCATATCTTTTTTTTTTTTTTCTTAAATAATATTATACTGATCATAATAATCTTATCTAATTTGTAAAAAGGCGGTTTTGTTCATTTCGAAAAAAAGATGGTTTGAATTTGAAATTATTAAATTTTGTATACACATGCATACATAAACCACATACATATATATTCACACACACATACAAAAGACATTTGGGATTTTTTAGACAGCTTTGATTTAATTTAATTCAATTTAATTTAATTTTTGGATGTATTCTCCCTTGTCTTCGAATCTTTATCATTGCAGTTTTATTAGAAGAAGATTATTTTAATGTTTATAAATATAATTATTTAAAAAAAAAAAATAACATGTATTATTAGATGAACGACGCATGTATTATAAGATGTTCACGTCAAGGGTTATATTGAAAATAGAAATAGGGAAGGGACCACAATGAAAACGATAGAATGGATATGCAATTTGTTTAAAACCAAACAAACAAACATAAATTTGTATAATTGAAAATATATAAATATATAAACTTTAGCTTGTGAATTTATTTGGGGTTTAATTTTATATTTTGATTTTAGTTTGTATAATAGTTTGAAAATAATATATTGTGAGACAAAATATTGCATTTTTAAAAAATATAATGAAATCAAATTAATTACTAGTAAACAGAACTAATATGAACATAGCCTCTATATGATATATTTAAATACTAGTATAATAGTTGTTGGGGGACTATACGTGATTTTTAATAAAAATACCAGTATATTAAATGAAATATATTTTTTAAAAAAATAAAAAATAAAATGGTCTTTCTTTTTAAAAAAAATGAAATTGGGGTTTTTCATTTAAATAATATTTTTTAAAAAATCAATATATTTTATTAAAAATCATACCTGATAAATAATGATAATTTATAGATGTGTTATCCTAGAATGAATAATGTGGATTTGAATAAGTTTATTTTTATATAAAGTACTTTCAGTAGCGACTGCGAATTCCCACGTCACTTTATAGCATGCTGAATAATTATAAATGTAGAAGAAAAAAAAAAGAATTAATAACCAAAACAGTTGGTAGATAAAGAAATACTAGCATAATTAGAAAATTTATAATTATTTAAATTTGATGCATGCATGTGAATTGACATAATAAATTGTTATATCATTAATTAATTACTTGCCTTAATAATGAATCAATTAGATGACAGCGACAACTAAGATATATACCCAGAAAATTATTTTTAATTAAAATCCATTGGTTATATTTTTAAAGAACATAATTACTTAAAAATAAAACCAATGTGAGAAGAAAAATGTATTGAAGGCTTAAAATAATAATCTCAAACTAATTTCATAAGTACATGAAAATAATTGACATAAATAATAATGTCTTTATTCTTATTTTTAAATTATGTAATTAATAAATATAATTTCTTTATTTAAATTATCGAACATATTCTTTATTTAATATATCATATTAAAATATTTTATAATGTATAAAATGTAACAATCCCTAAAATCTACTTATTGCATGGAGAAGATGACCTGACCTGTCTTTCTCAAGCCTTTAAGCCTAAGAAATGTATTCCCATGGCCATCATTCATTTATTTATTTTCAAGAAAAAAAGATTATGATGTGCTTGTCGTGTATAGATGTTTTCTAAAGTTTGATTTTTTTATTTTTTTATTTTTGAAAAGAAACTACATATATTTTATACATTAAAAATTATTTTCATATGATATATTAAATAAAGAATCTGTTAGATAATTTAAATGAAGACATTATTATTATTATTATTATTTGTGGTAATTTTCCAAATCTAATTATATCCTGTTGCTATAGCATATCTTTTACGTGTTTGGTTGTGTTTCAATATATATATATATATATATTTACTATTTCCATACTTGCAATCATTTTTTAAAAAATAAATATGTAAGAGTATTTAATATTTATTTTTAATTTGAAATACTATTAAATTCACAATATACGATACTAAGAGTTTTACATTAAATTTAATTTATTTTAAATACTACTCCCTCCGTCCCACACGAACTGAACCATTTGATCAGGGACACGGTATTTAAGGTAAGAATGTTTAATTAGTTAATAATAATTAGTTATATATTATTATATTATTTTTTGTATAATTAATAATATTTATATTTTTAAAATAAATTTAATATATACGATTAAAAAAAATTAAATATATGTTTAAATATTTAAAAATTATATAGCAATTAAAAAATATATGCAATATGTATAACATTTTGCAGAAAATAAAATCTTCTATAATACAAGTAAATAAAAAAATATTTTTGTTTATTTATAATTAACATAAATTAATTTTATAAAAGATATGTAGTTTTAAATATAGATAAAAATATTTACTTTTTTTTGAGGAAAGAGGCAGAAATAAAGGGGTTTTGAGTGAGTCCTACGTCATTTATGATGTTGTATGTTATATAGTTAATTAAGTTGATTTATATTTGTTAAATGTATTTTGGTTTAATCATTTTTACCAAAAATAGAAAAGTATCAATTGTTACAGGACAAACAAAAATAAAAATAGTGTGAATTGTGGTAGGACGGAGTAAGTATTTATCTGTACTATTTATTCTACATTTCAAATGATAAAATACAAACAAACAACAGTTCTGGAGCATACTGTGAATGGTAGCAATCACCATAATTTATGAATGGAAGAAAATTCCTTATTCTTAGCACGTCCTTGTCTGTAATAATTAATCCCTCCATTTATTGGAAATTGTAAAATAAAAAATTAAATAACATTTCCTCTGTTTCAATCTGATTGGAGAAATATATATACGTATGTATTTATTTACTTTATGGAAAAAAAAAATTAAAAAAATTCAGATTCATTCAATATGTATACTTACGTTCGTTTGAATTCACTTAGTCTTCGGCCCAGAAGAGTTTATTTCTAATATTTGGCCCAACAAAATATATTGAAAATATAAGTTGGAGTTTGAATTTTAATTTGGATTTGAAATATTGAAAATTTTAGTTTAGTTCTAACACTGGGGCCAACAAGTGTATCCATCACCCCAAAATTTTAGTTTGGTACAGTATGATCAATTCATTAGAGACGAATAATTATAATATTTGAAATAAAAATAAAATAATGAAAGCAATATTTAAAAACGGATGATCAAATGAATCGTCTGTCACACTACACTAATTTATTCCCGTTACATCCAAATTCCAACAATACTCCAAAAATAAATACTAAAAATTAGTAAAATATACCATAAATCATAAAAAAAACTCGAATTCCTCTCCCTTCCTTATTAAACCACCTCTTATTACAACATCACTAACCAAGAAAAAGAATCTCCAAACAGTCCAAACTACAGAGCCACCCTCCAACCACCATTTTTGTCAGTCAGTCAAGTCAGTCATAACACTCGATAAAATACCGAAAAACGGATCAAAACGTTAGAACAAAAGGAGGAGCGTCGCGTCTCGGCCCAGCCACCGACCGGTAGACGTAAACCCGATCCGCCTGTACCTCGTCTTCGTCACCCTCGTCTCTGATCACTTCCACGTTCAATCTCGGGTTCTTCGTCGCAAGAAGCGCGCAACCCTTCATCGTCACATGGCACGTCGACATCCACAGCGACCGCATGTTCTCATACTTATCAATCCCCGAAAGCAGCGCCGTGTTCCCGAACGGGCAATCCCGAATCTCCAGCTTCCTCAGCTTCGGACAACCCCTGAGAACATACTGCATCCCCCGATCGCTCGTCCCCGCGAACGCCACCGACAGAGTTTCTACACGCTTCCCGTACTTACCAATATACTCGAACGTCTTATCCGTCAGAAGCCCCGAAACCGAAAGCCTCTGAAGTTTCGTGCAAGTTTTGACCACAGCGCCAAAGCCCTCGTCCATGGGCTCCTTCGTAAGATAATCGGGCTCGTGCGGGATCATAATGCAGAGACGGAAGTGGGTGATATCCGGGCAGTTCTGGACGATCGTTGCGACCGCAGCATTGGTCATCCTCCGGCAGAAGTAGAGGACATATCGGAGTTTCGGGCACCCGCGAGATACGGCAAGAAATCCCAGCTCGGTCACGCCGTGGTGGTGATGCTGATCGTAAGGGTCGATCGGGAAGACTCGGAGCTCTTCGAGCAAGGGACAGCTCGATCCGATAACCTCGAGCCCCTTGTCTTCGACGGAATCAATTACCTATTTATAGCAAACGGATATTTATTACCAATACAACTTCTCATAAAGTCTATCAACGCTTCATAAGTAAGGACTTACCCAAAGGCGTCGTAAATTCGGGCACTGAGCGAGGAGCTTTGCGAGCTCGCCGCTTTGAAGAACTGCATCGCTCAAGTTCAAGAATGTCAGGCCAGCACAAGCCCCGTAAATAACAGGGAGATCCGGGGAAGCGGCGTCCCATAATCCGGAAAGAACTCGGAGTCTCTTACAATTACTGAATGCTTTTTCAGCGTCCAGGTATTGACGGGGAGTGAGTTCTTGCAGGAAGGAGCCGGTTCCGAGCTCGGTTAAATTAGGAGCGTGCACGAGAAGGCGCTGCATTTGGTCCGTAGTAATGCTTTCGTTGACCTTGAGAACCCTCATTGATCTGCACCGACTCACGAGCCTCTCGAGGGCATCGAAGCTCACCTCGCAGCTAAGGCTGCTGAAATTTAGTACTTCTAGTGAGGTAAAGTTGTCCGGGAAGCAATTCAACCAACCCCCGCCCACATCCATTGTAACGCTGTCTTGTATTTCGAGCTCAGTCAAGTTCCTAAAACCATGTACGCAGTGCAGTTAATATATAATGTTTTATTTGACTTATTTCTAACTCCTGAGTGATGCTTCAATGCAAGAAATATGTCTCGACATTAAAATTCAGTAAGGTGAGTCCAAGCAAACAGATAACAGATCACTAGGCATTCAATCGAATACGTTTTTCCACAGCGAATGAATGCAGAGATATGCGGCCAAGTATGACATCGAGAACATCGTATCCATTAAATGCCAAGTAATAACATGTCATGAAAAAAACATAAAGCTTAAAAAGAGAAACATAAAGTAGAAGCACTCATATTCCCACTGAAATTTTCGATTGTACCTAAAAGCAATAAAACTGAGCACACACAAACAAGGGGTGGAGGGACTAAGCCACATGCAACCCCCTCCCCAACTTTAGTTTTTCCCCACAGCTGAAGACACCTTTCGACAAATCTAATTACACACAAAAGAAGGCATCGCATTCTTTTTGTTAACATGCAGATTTAAAATTTCTATGCCCAGTTTAGCTAAACTACTGATCTCAATAAAGCAGAGTCAAATACAAGTAGTTCAATTCACAATCAGAAATTAAGATAAGTAGATAAAAATTAAACAGTAGCTTACTCTAATAAAATGCTTCCAAGTAATGCTCTTAGGCTTGTTTATTCAACAATTCTAGAAATTCTCGTGGAGGCCCATCAATGCAATCAAGGGGTGATGAAACAATTATATGATAAAAATTTAACAGTAGCTTACTCTAATAAAATTAAAACATATAATTATTAATTTCGCAAGCTCCGGAAGAAGACTTTTACCTGCAGCGCTTTGTAATGGCTTTAAGCCCTTCTTCGGTGAAACCATCACAGCTAGACAAAGACAAAGCTTTGAAACTTGGAAATGATTCGGCTAAGAGCTCCAAGCTCTCATCATTGACAGTCATCCTCTTGAGCCTCAGCTCCTCCAGAGAAGGGTAAACCTTGGCAAACATGACTAACCACGGGTGTATATTAGCACCCCAATCACGAGGAATCATATTGAAATCAGAAAACCTTGGCCTTCCTTTCATTCTGACACTCTTAATTTTTGAAAATCTACGAGCCACAATTTCAGGAGACACTGAATAGCAATTTCCTATAAAGATACTAGATCTTGTCCATCTCTCAGCGTTGTACCAATCTTTGCACACGAGAGAGACCGAGCTCTTGTCCTTGTGTGAGTCTATCAGTGAGAGGACTTTCTCCAATACTTCATCCGGGAAAGCCGTCTGAGGCAGAGCCAATCCATTGGAATCGGCTGAATTTGATTGCAATACTTTGTATTTCTTCGTGTTCGAATCCATCTTTGCTGAATAAGGAACTTGTAATCCTCTCTTGATCTACAGAAGCTGCACATACATAATTCCATTAATCTAATAATCCTTAATTCCAAAATTACCCAAATTGGAAATGAAAGGTTTGTTTACTTGTGTTCGTTATACCAATTTGTTCATATTCAATCTACCAAGTTCTCTTCAAACACAAAATATCTAACGTCAAATTTCCCTTCAAAACATGGCATCCACAACTATTTCACCTAAAAAAAAAAATCGCAAGCGAAGCTTCTCGAAAACGAATCAGAACTTATTTCATACAAATGTATGCAAAGTCGTACTCCAAATAAAGGAGACAAGATTCCTCAATCTAAAATCTAGTGATGCTAGTACAGAATTCCAAAACACAGATTCCTCTAGAACAGATAGAAATGACCCAACAATTCACCACCGCAAAATGGAAATAAAAATCCCAATCAAGGCTTCCAATAAAGAAAACCTTAATTCTTCACAGAAAGAGTACGGTACCTTCAACTTAGCCACAGATGCTCAATGCTACAAACTCGAAACCAACTTTCAAACATAAAAAGAAAAAAATCAGAACAGCACACAAACGAAATCGGCAGAAACACAAATATTACCAAAAATGCATCCGCTAACGATTTATATACACCCAATAATTTCTGGCAAACAAATGCAATTATATCCACACACAAAATAGCGACTCCATATCCAATAATTGCAGCATGGGGGAAAAATAGAAAACCCAAAACAAAACAAAAACCGAATCTGAAAAAATAATGCAAAAGCGAAAAAATAAAATCAGGGGGTTTTATACCTCCGCCTTGAAAACTTGCAGAAACAACCGAGGATCCGTAGGTATGCTTCCACAAAAGCCACTTGCAATTGCAACTTACCGCAAGGAAATTCGAAAAAGCACCAAAAAAGGCAATACAATTATAGCAGCGTCAATGGATGGATCAGAGACGTACACACACGCGCGGGAGCAAATCCGTATACGAATGGAAAGACCATAATTAATAATTGCGGTATTTATACGTACATTTATACCGTATAAATGTACTGTCTAAAGCGTTTAATTTTAAGGCGATCCGGTTTAGGAGATCCGGGCCGAACCGACTCTTAGACCGGACCGGCGACCCACGCCTGATCTACCGGCACGTGTGCGGCATCCATGGTGCTGTGATGTTGCCTGGCACTTGGCGCACGTTAGTTACCAGTCAGTCTAACGACGTCGTTTAGTTTGGCTGTGGGTATTTCTGTTAAGTCCTGGGAGTTCACATACAGTCCAAATCTGGATCGTTGATAGATTGGAGTCCCCAGATGAACGGTGTGGATTGACTAAAGAGCTGGTCTCCGTGATGCTTTTAATCAATAATTTTATTTTATTTTTAAGAAAACATTTTTGTCCTTTTCCTGTGACACCAAATCAAATGTGTGAAGATTCTCAATTCAAGGCATATTCTCATCACTGTTTATTTAATTCATTTTTTCACACCCTTTATTTGCAGCTGAAGCTTGTTTAATTAATGGTACTGTTTAGTTAATATTTATTAATTTTTAAAAAATACTTAAACTTGGCTTAGCAATGAGAAGAAATACACTTATTTATTAAATTAAAAAATAATCTCACCAGGCAGCCAGCTAGAATCCAGCTGTAACCTGACGCTGACCACACGGTCACGTGCAACAAACACGTGATCCCATCTTTGATTGTGCAAGTTCAATAACTAATTAAAGTCTCTTAAATAGATATTTTTTTATAAAAAAATTAAAATTAAAATAATAAAAATTTAAATAGTTGGTATCTCAAGAAAAAATAAATACTCAATATATTTTTTAAAAAAATCACTAATAGTATCAAATTTTAGAATATATATCCAGAACCTCATTATTTGGATGGCCCCTCATGTAGTAATAATAATAATTTGGATATTATATAGTTAAAACACAATTAAATTGATAAATTTATGAAAGTTTCCATTGTTATTGGTGGAGATATTGGTTTGTTCATCTAATAGTATCTATTTTTATGATAAAAAATAACTATATCTAAATATTAAAATACCTCTAATATATATATATATATATAAACTCCATCCGTCCCGCAAGAACGTTTTCATTTAGTTTTTGCGTCATTGTACTTAACATTAAAAATATCCTTATTATTTGAATGATTTATTCGACAAATATCATTGCATATGTATTATAAGAGACTACTAAACATATTTTTGTATTATTTTGTTGATTTGTACTATGTATTGATATCATAATTAATAATCAAATATTAATACACAAAAAATCAATGACAACTTTATTGTGGGACGAAGAATGAAGTATATTTTATTTGTTTTACTTCTAAGGCAAAAAGCAAATACCAAAATCATTTTAGATATTTTTATTAATATCATTTTAGATATTTTTATTAATTAATAAAATATTATTATTTATTAATATATATATATATATGTTTAAGTATGCAATATACTACTATATATCTTTTTAGATATAGAATTTGATTATTCATCTACTCCCATAAAAATAGTTAATTTGGATCTTATATAAAATTTAAGAAAAATAAATATTTTTATTAAAAAATAAAAATATGATTTTAACTATTTTTTAAAATTTAATTAATAGTTGAAGACGATGAAAAAATATATAATAAAGGTAAGAATAATTATAAAAAATATGTGTTGAATTAAAAATAATAATTAAATATTGAAATTTCATTTTGCTAAATTAATAAGAAACTAAACTTGACATTTAAATTTAGATTATTATACAATGTATACTACTCTTAATTTGTATTTCCTTTGTCACATATTTTATATTTCCTCGTTCATTTAAATTTATGTTCACATTTTTTTTTTTTTTTTGTTATTGAAAAATATTCTCGTTTTATTTTTAAGTAAAAAATTATTACAATTTTGTATTTTTTTTACTATACAAGAAAAAATAACTATATTACTCACTTTTATTAAAATTTATGTCCGGTCAAATAAGCACACCTTTGTACGACGGAAGGAGTAATATTTTTTTCTTTTTAGATATCACATATAAGCTGCAATATTTTCAAAAAGTTAATAATTAATTCTCTATTAAATATATATTATATTTTATTTTATCATATCAATCAAATAAAACAAATAAATACATATTTTTTATTATATTACTTAATTATCAAATTATTGTATTTAATAAGTATTTTTTCTGTCTCAATTGAAAAAAAATATTCGAATTTTATAATAAATTAAAAAAAATATATATTATAAAATTATGAAAAAGATTTTGATATATTTGATTTTTAATTTTATATATATAATAATTGTATATTAAATGACATATTAATAATTTAAATAAAAATTAATATTAATTCTATCGTTATACTTGTAGGAATGGGAAGTGAATCTGATAGAAGCATCAATACAAGTCAAATAAATTCATTCATGCAATTAATGCTACTCTGCAACAGACATTTTTTAAGAGATCGTGATTATACGTGCATATGTCTTAATTGCATACATTAAACCTTAATTAATTAAAAAACATTAAATAAATAAAAATAATTTTATTTTATCTTATTTTTAAATTATAATTTGGCAGTTGATATTTGATAACATAATATGATCTCCACCAACGTCTTTTTAAGCCGATCTTCAGACTTCGAGGGTGTGTTTTGATACATCTTATTATATTTGAATTTTGAAAGTTTAAAATATTATAAGAAAATTATTTCTTTTAAATGTAGTTTTTTAATACTCTCTCCAACGCCCATTTTGAAAGTTTAAAATATTATAAGAAAATTGTTTCTTTTAAATGTAGGTGTTTAATACTCTCTCCAACACCCGGTAACATATTTTTACATTTTTTTTTTTTGGTATGTCCCAAACATAATGCAATATTTTTAAAATAGTAAATAATTAATTATACTTAATCTCTAACCCACACTTTATACCCTCACATCATCTAAATAAAAAAATAAAATATATATTTTTCTCTTTATCACATCACCTAATTTCTAAATTATTTTACTTAATACTATCCACCTAAAAACTCGTGCCAAAAGCAAATGTTGCACCTTATTTGGGATGGAGGGAGTATTAGATTTAAGATTTTAGAAAATATAATACTCCCTCCGTCCCATTAGAAATGTGACATTTGCTTTTTACACGTAGATTTTTTAATATTAGTATTATATTAGATTGTAGTGAAAATGACAAAAATACTCCTATTAGTATGGTATAATATAAAAGTAATGACATTTGTGTAATATAAAAGTAATGACATTTGTGTAATATATTGTAAGTTGAAAGAGTATTTATCATGTTAGGTAGGTAGTACAGTTACTAAATTAAGAAATGATAGTCTTGTTTTGGAACAGACGAAAATAAAAAATGGTAACTTTTCAATGAGGACGGAGGGAGTATTATTATATCCTTCACAATTTTTTATTTTTTATTTTATAATTTGACATTTTTACATAATTTACTAGATTATATCCTTTTATATTTTTTTTTCCATTTTACTTTTATTTTGTATTTTAAAATATTTTAGAAGATATGTATATATTGGTTTGTTTGTTTAGTGTTTTAATTTAAAGTATTTTTTTATGTGAGAGATAAAGGATTATATTGAAAATATGAAATATAATATTTTATGTTAAATATTATTTTTTTATGAAATTTTAAAACATATATTATATATATATATTAGGAATTAGATATAATATATTTGAACAAACAAACCCTATACTTTTAGAATATTGTAAATAAATAAGTAACAATAATAAAAAGATAGATAAGTTTATTTTAGGTATAATAAAATTAAATTTTAAAATAAAATTTAAAACTCAAAATTTGAAGTGGTTTGGCAATATCATAAAAGTGATATGAAATCTCCTTTTGTATTCAGACTTTATATTATGAAGTTGGAAAGCAAATATCAAAGTAGCTATCCAAGTCCCAATCCAATTCAGAACTGCTTTTTTCATGAGGAACAAATCTAATAATATTCAAATAGATATAATCCAATGAAATAATTAATAATAACTCATTTCAACATAATAGATAAAAATATTAAATTAAAAAAAAAAAAAAACCCACCCCACAACAAACAGGGGACATAAAACTGATTGTTGTTTTTCCAAGAACAAGACCAATAACTGAATAAGGGTTGCTGTCAACGGAAATTTCACACCACATTTCGGGTCAATAATTTTACAACACAATAAATAATTAGACAATTCTAATAAAATTATACTCTTTCCATTATGCATCTAAATGACATATTTTACTAGTGTAGTGTGTTTCTTTACACTCAAATATCAAAATTTTACTATTTAAATAATATTTATATTTAAAAAATATATATATTTTTTTTTTCACAAAACATTTCATTATATCTTTTTTAATATCAAACTCAAATAAAATTTTTTAAAATTCCATCAAAAGAAACACACCCGATTGATTTCCTAAATTTGTAATAGGCCTTGCTATTAAAATATTCTACTATCAAATACATCAACAGAAAGCTGAATATTACAAAGCTGAATATTATCAACAGAAACCTCTCGCAAATTGGAACAGAAAGAATCCAATTATCAATCTTATAGTGAACACTCACTACCCACCCCACCCCTATGCACGGATAAAGACACACAATGCTCTGTGTGTGTGTAAATAAAAATAAGAAAACACAAGGAGATGGGGAATGACATTAAATAGAACAAAAGGAAAATATCAAGTCTAGTTTGGAAGATAAGATATAAATACATAAAATAATATTTTATATAATTGTAAGGGAAAAATAATGGAAAAACACAGAAGGGACTTGACATTACTAGGCACACCCCAAAGAATGGCCACTCTGTCTTTGTCCTCTTCAACTTTTATTAATTTAATTACATATATATATATATATATATGAAAACAACAAACAACATAATAGGTGCAATGGCAATGGAATGGATATATATACATACATATGCACATATGTATGTATATATATGAGTCATCATCTATCCACCAATGATGAGAATTGACACCTAATTTGTTGTCTCCCCAACTTCAAGAACCCCCATGTTACCTGCAATCATCTTTTCCCCCTTCCATCATTATCCAATGAGCCTGCCCACTGGGGACTCGCCACGTGTACATTCATGGCCCCACATAGATCAACACGAAAATCATGTTGATCTCTGGGCCTTTGGGTTCAATGGCTGTCCATCCATCCACATGGGCTCACCAAATTCATATTCATATTCATATACTAATACTACATTCAATTAATCCCAAACAAAAGGGGAATGGGATTGGAATAGAAATTAATGCAATTACTTATATCCCCCACCTTACCAAACAACGTAACAGAAATAAAATGGTCCATTACTTACTAAAAAATGGCCATCTTTGATTTGTCTTATTGCATCTCTCTCATCCAAAATTAGCTGTTGGAGGCTATCCCTGTAAATGTAAACCACAAAGAAATCATGGAAAACATGATTACAGCAACTTAAGGTGATATTGAGGATAGGTAGATAGACATATGGATAAGCCATGTAACCTTGAAAGAAAAATAAGTCGCGACTTCTTTTAAATGCCGCTCGAGTCCCTTCCGAAAATGAATCGCCTCATCCAGTCTGATATCACCAGCATTCTTGTGCGCCAGCTCACTAGCTTGCTGAAGAGATTGGGTACATGTATACACTAATCATGTCTGATTGAAGATGCAGATAAGTTGCTGTTGTTGCAATAGAGAATAAGGCAAAGGCTCACCTTGCATATACAGAATACCAAAGCCACTGAGTGCTGTGGCCGATCGAAATCCAATCTCCGGGGAGTTGGGCAGCAGTCTGCTCACCTCCTAAGGGAGCAAATTGCCCTAAATGTTTGTACCTTGATCACAAAGTAGAAAAGTAATGCAAGCAATTAATCTGCAGTCCATTTCGAAGTAGTTATGAATGCATTGCAGTAAATGGTTCCAAACATATTATATATATATATATATATAATTAAGCAGTGGTGTCAAAGGAAATGGTTCGATTTGTACCTGAAAGGGCGGAATCTGTGACGCCCTTCACCCCTGAAGCGCAGGGGACCTTCAGGATTTTTCTCACATTTTTCCATGCGGTTGAAACAGTCGGCAAGATAAGAACCTTGCTGGGCTGCAACCTGAAATGTCATCAATAAAACATTGAAAGCGTATAACATGCTTTTCTTGAAAGAGACTGTTAAGTATGAGAGGAAAAACCTGGGCAGTTGCTGGAAGGTTTTTCATTTTAGAATCCACCTGGGAAAGGACCAATTTAAATTCGTCAAGATTCACTTCCACAGATTCCTTCACAGAATCCCCTCTTGAATCCTTCAGGAGATCAACAAGGTTGTACAATTGTTTATTTTTCAAATAGAGTTCCACTTGAGGGTATCTTTCACATATATCATCAAGCACTTCTTGGAATTCCTTGACAGTGAGTGTTCCAGAGTTGTCCTTGTCTGCTTTTTGAAATATTGCCCAAATGTCTTCCTTAAAAGTATAAACAAATCATGTTAGCTTCAAAACAAAATATTAGATATTGATATGAACGGTAAAAATTTCAAAATGATAAAAGTACTATCACCAAAATGTAAAATATATTTTGCATGGATCTTAGAAAGCAGAATGAACTAGTAAAAATCACACAAATAGACACAACTAAGAGATGAAAAATATCTTTTGCAGAGAGAAAAATAAAGCAGATTAGACAAGAAAACTCGACACCAGTAATCTAGCAAGGCAAGTTGCTGCTTCTTTTCATATCAAGTATTTCTGCAATATTTGTTTTGGGTTGATTTCTTTTTGCTAGGAGGGTGAAACAAGGGAATTGTATGAAACCTATCATCACCTATTTTGGTGTCATTCCACATCATATAATGCTTTCTATGAATCACTGATGCAATGTCAAGAAAGTAACTAGCATTGAACAGTTAGAAGTTAGAACCATGAAACGAAACATAGGGGTTATAAATGATTTAGGCAACATAGTTCATTTGATTTTGAATCAAGGAGCCAGTTTGAAATTTTTGACAAGTCCCTCCAATTATGAGTTTTAGATATTAAAAAAATTATATACCATGACGCTTCGTTGATTGATTGTGGCACAGTCTCCTATTGCATAAATACTGTCGCACCCTTCTACGCGCAGCCATTCATCAGTTGCTAGAGCACGTCTTTTACCCTGATGCACAAAAAGTTGTTCAGAAATCACAACAATTTTATTTGGGATCTATTCAACAATAAGCCATTACACAAAAACACCTTAACAAGTTAAAACTGTTAAGAACTTCCAATTTACCTGACCAATTTGCTTCATGAAATCCATTATAACAGGGCGAGTACCAATACCAGTTGACCAGACAACCATTCCATATGGCATAGTGGACAAGCCACCATTCTTAACCTCTTTAGTTGAAATTTCTTTGTCTGTTACTTTCACAACCATTGCTCCAGTTTTGATATCAATTCCGTCCCTTTTAAACTTATCCTCGGCAAAAGCTGTGATTCTTTTGTCAAACCTGTAACAACTCACATGAGACCATAATTCAAAGGGACCTGCAAATATGTGGCACTGCATATTTGAACAAGACAGATCTTCTTCATAGAAAGAAATAAACTAATAAAATTTTGATGTATTTACACAGTGACCATATTAGAGCAAGACGAGACCTTCCTCGATCAGAACCGATGTCCACTTAATTTCTTAATTTGAATGATGTTTCTGAATCTTTCAAGCAATAGAACAACATTATTGATATAGTTGAAGTCAGAGCACAGGTTGATTATTTTACCAGTCTCATTCCTGCACGGAACAGACTCAATTCATAGACACTTTGAGGAATCTAATGGATCATTCGGGGGCAAATAACAGAATCATAAACACATGCACTTATTTTTATGATAGGTCATCATCATGCTATCCATTCACAGTAGTGTGCAAGTTCCGTCTCTAATTATTTTAATTATGAAAAAACTGCAACTCACATGTTCAAAATATGATCAGTAGCTTCAAGAAGCGTTATCTTTACAGCTTCTTTAACCTTTGGGTACAACTTCACTAGATCTTCATTCACATAATCATGAAGCTCTGCTGCAAATTCAACGCCGGTTGGACCTCCTCCAACAACAACAAAATGAAGAATTTTCTTTCTTTCATCATCACTTAGGTTAGGCAAACTGGCCTGCTCAAAACATTCTACAATGGTCCTACGAATTTTTTGAGCATCTTCTATTTCCTGCAAGAAAAGAAGCTTAGTGGAGTAAGTTTCCCTTGGAGTAGGCACAATTTATGACAGATTCAGCTCCTATAACTTAGGATAGCTGATGTTTTATGCTCAATATGACATTGGGTGTGATAATGTTTCAATCCTCACTTCATTGATTCAAACTCAAATCATTACTGTCGATATGAATCACCCAAAAACATTATAGCGAAAGCGGACAGTAAACATTTCACAATGAAACAAGCCCTTGGATGCTACCTTCAAAAAATGGCAGTTCTCTGAAACACCAGGGATGTTAAAAGTATTTGCACGAGCCCCAACGGCAATCACAAGATAGTCGTAGTCTACAACAATCTCCTCTTCGTCGGTTGGACAGCCAGCCAGGTAGGACCGGCAATAAACTTTTTTATTTTGTGAATCAATCTTGAAGCATTCTGCTTCCCAATAGTGAACATCTACCTTTTTCTGCTAGTGATAAGAATCCAGTGAGCATACAAATTAATGGTAACCACACCGCAGAAAGGAGACTAGAATGCTGAAGATTTCACTTTAAGCCAAGAGGAAGCCAAATTTGTAAATCTAGGATTTACAAATGATTAAGTCATACTAAAATTAGCTTCTACATTTTGGCAAGACTGCTGAATAGATATGCATGAAAAGGCAAAAAGGCTGAAATTGCAGTAATATAATTTAAAAGCTCAGAGTAAAAGAAGTTCGTAAAGAAGACAGAGGGAATGCTCAATCAATTCCATGATCAAATAATAATAATCACAGAAAATTTGGGTATGATGAATAGAAAGCCTATAGTTCACATTACCCCAAAGACATTATTTACCTTTCTCACAATCCTTCGAATTGGTTCCACTATGCTTCGGGGTTCCACAGTACCACAAGTCACACTTGGTAGCAATGGAGTAAAAGCAAAATAGTTACGTGGTGATATCACCTGGACATCATAGGATGGGTCTTTCAAGCTCTTTAAGAAACTTGTTCCAGCCCAACCGGTTCCAAGCACCACCACTCTTTTTTTCTTGTCACCAGCCTCAGAAGAGTCTGGAATATTACTTAATTCTTCTGCTCTGGCTTCCGAATAAGCCACAAGGCCACCACCACTGCTTTTCATATATAAATTTGGAAGGATTTTAGTCAGCATATCAAGAGCAATTGCAAATAAAATGAAAAGCCCAAGAATTCATTAAAAGTTTGTTGTACCCAAACATGAAATTTTATAATCTACCGAAATCTTCAATTTCATTTAACGAACCAAGTCAATACTAACTTTATAAACGTAGCGAAAAGAGAGCCAAATCAAACATTGACAGAAACACAAGTTGCTAAATCATGATCCCGATCTACAACATTTTCATACTATCATATCCATTCAACTCAGCAACCATCATTTCATTTCATAATCAACGAGACATAGAAACCATACGAATCAATTCTAGCCGGACACATTAGAGCAGTCAACAGAACAGAACTCCATCCACAACAAAATCAACAATAACAACAACAACAAAGCAACGAAAACCTGATGGTGAAAACAACCAACGCTTTAGCAAGCGAACTATTCTCCCGAAAATTCCGCGAAAATCTCTTAAACACCGTCATCTTCTCCATGCCTAAAACTCCAACTCCAGATCACCTCCAAAACAACAAATCAAACAGAGCAAATAAGGAGATTCAAATTACAAAGAAATTCCAGTTGCAAGAAGAAATTGAATTGACAGAGTGACTGGAAAGCGGTAAAACCAAACTGCCCACGAAGGTCGGAGGAGAGCGCACGGGAAACGTGATGACTGAGCTGTAACCAGAATTGTTGTGAAGAAGTATGTTTTGGGCAGACGAGTTGCACACGAGAACGAGACGCGTGTGACCAGAAAAGGAAAAAACCAAAAAAGAAAAGAAACGCTTATTCGTCGTAACTGGACACGAGCGAGATTAGAGTCCACGTGCGAACTAATCTTCGTTGACAACCGCTGACAGCCTGAGAGGCCATAGCTCCTCTATTTAACAATTAATTAAATAATTAATTTATTTAGGGCACCTCATTATCTCAATAATGTCTATATTAAATCATGGGACAGTAACATTAGTATTGAAAATTTTCTATTAAAATACAATTGTGATTTGATATGTACATTCTACCCATTTTTCTAAGAACAATTGCAATATTTTTATTTTAGAATGTCATGATAGTTAATACTTTATATTTTTAAGTAAATTTATTAATTTTAACTATATTTAATAAATATAAATTAATTTAATTAAATTTTAATATATACAATTATTAATTTTTTTATTTTTTAAATAAATTAATATTTTTATCTATATTTAGAATTTTATATTTTTTTTTTACCATTGTATTTTTAAATCTTTCTCTTAATCTAATTTGTTTTCAATCCCTTACAAAACTAGTATTTTTAATCATAAAAATAAAATAATTTATATAAAAAAACAAATATTAAAAACTCTTTTACCGCAGCCATCAAATATACTGCAAACTTGTATGCATTTTTTCTTCTTCTTCAAATAAAATAATAAATAAAAAGACAAATCAACTATTAAATTTTTTTGCATTAATTGTTAAATATAGTACATTAAAAAAATGCAATAAATAAATAAATATTGAACATACAATAAAAATTAAATATACAAATCAATAATAGTGAGTAAATTTGATGGACAAATTAAGTATATAATATTGAAATATTGAAGGTATATATATGTAATTTCTGTTCGTATTTGGTTGCAATATACTACAAGTAACATATTTTTTTACATGTATGACGTAAAAGCAAAAACGATGTTGTTTTCAATTTTCAAGCATCGCTGATTGAATGGGTATATTAATTTGATGGAATAATTTCCTTCGTTGCCAGCAATTACTATCATCATCAGAAGTAAATAGTGACACAGATAAATCTGCCAGTTTCTTCGCATTCAATCTGGACCGTCGGATCCTCCTTTGCTTTGGAGCATTTGGAGCTTCTACCTCATCGAAGAAGCCAAAATCTTCTGGTTTTGTATTCAGAAAAGTGGAATTCTTACGAGGTGTGCTGAAGGCAAAGTGAGATTGCTTTGCCATCAATGCCTGCATTTCAATTCAATCCAAACAAATTGATTCTACCGAGAAGAAAAACCGAGGAAGAATTTGAAGAACAAATCGATGAACTGAAGCAGAGATTGAAATTAGGCGCAACTTACTGCTGCTCTAATAGATTTGGACACAAATGATAAAGTCTTAAGATCAGCATGATCTACTCCACATAGAACCCTAATCTGCAGAGGAATACGTAATTGGCATTGGTATGGCTTAACTAATCAACACATGATTAATAATTCAGTTTTTGTATCACAATCAGCAAAACGAAAAAGGAATCTATCCTCATTAACTTCCTCCATCAATTAAAGCGTGAAATTAAAACAGTTGTTACTAACCAGAATTTCCTGAGGCAAATCTTCGAGTGCTGCAGATTTCAGCACGCTCAAACAGCTCTGTTTCTCCGAAGATCGCCTGATTGGAACGAATTTCTTCATCGCAAAATTGATATTAAGTAACAATTCAATAAGCCACAGGATGAACTGAGGAAACCTATTAAGCAGATGGTTATGCTGAACAGAGAAATTAAAATTGCAGAAATCCAAATCAAGAGGCGGAGAATCAATTGGCGGTTCATCTAATTAAGAACCGCCACTCAGATTATATATACACACATATACATACATATATATATATATCAGTGAGTGAATGTATGTATATATATCAGATTGTGCAATTAAGTTCCCACACGCTCAGCCATTCATTAAAAATATATATATATTTAATTCATTAAATTTGCATTGACGTGTCTTTAATTTAATTTTTTTATTACTATTTCTAATTTTCGAGAATATTCTGCACACGTGTCGAGCAGAAAGAGTTTTGTGCTCTTATGACGTGGCGGATTTTTATTGGTCAGGTTGGTGTATGGTAGCTTACCAGTAACGCGTAGTCGTGGGTCGTTAAAGTTACCGGACGTGGATGTAGTGCGGAATGCGTACATTTCCGAAGAGGGTATAAATGTAATTTCGTGGATTTGAAGTTAGTTATAAATGTAGGGCAACGGTCAACGCGTGGACGGTTGAATTACTTGCTATAATTGTGGTGGGAAGTCTTTTTGTTGTCCTTAATAAAGTTACAGTTGAGATTTTTGGTATTATTTTTGAGGCATACGCATTCAATACACGTATAAAATATTTAATTTGAATTAATTTATTTAAAAGGGTATTGAAAAAGTGAAATTATTATTATTATATAATTTAATGCGTAGATTTCGACTATCACAATTAAAAACTTGCAGATTTAGAACCCAAATTTTGCTTTGGTAATCCTATTGACTAATTAATTGGAAATTGCGATTGTTATTTATAGTAAAAGATAAATTGTTTTAAGTAACCTATTTATATACATATTAATAGAAGATGTCAGTAATTTTCAGAATTTAAGTTATATTGTGATGATCTTGTATAATTGTAATAGGTAACTACATTACAGATATTAAGTATAATAATTAACTATAAATCCTTGTATTATTATAAGATGTTTAATGTTTTTTCATGTCAAGTATTTGAACCAATTTAGGTTGATTTTATATTAGCTTCATTCAAATTCTAATTTAGTTGAGTTCAAATTTACAATCTAATGTTAGAAAAAAAAAATATATATATATATATATATTGGATGAACTAATACTCTATCAATTAGATATATCATAATTGGATGAGCTAGTCCTTCAAGCTGTTCAAGTAAGTAGAACATAGTGCACCAAAAATATCCCAAGCAATACTAGTAATAACACAACCTGTAGCATCTTAACACACTAGAATAAACGACCTCCTGAAAATTTAAATCCTAAAATAGAAAAACCTAATAATAGTAATATATTATGTATTATATATAAAAAAATGTGAAACAAAATAAGAAGAGACAATTTTTAATGAAAATCCTCTTTGATGAGCAAATTCAAGAGATCACACAGTTAGTGTTGTTGGTTCTTTTTCTTTCCCTTCTTTTTATCTCTCTTGCTCTGCGGTTTCACCCGGGATCTCTTCTTCGGGGCTTTCTTGAATTGTTTCTTCTTGCTCACAGGGATGACCGTTTGCTTTCTCTTCTCCAGAGCCGCTTCCTCTGTTTGGGATTGAGGTCTTGCCGGCTCCGGTTGGGTGGGACCCTCCTCCGGCATTATTTCACGCGTAGTCACTGTCACTTGCACATCACCATTGTCGTACATGGTTGTCCCTGAACCAAACAAGATCACAAGGGGTTTATAAAAAGCACTATGGAGATTGCTATTGAATTCGACACTTAAGTCTAGTGAAGCAATAGAGGGTATGGTACAATATAGTATGATGTGTAATGGTTTTGAAGCTCGTGCAAATCACCGTAAAAGAATTGCATGTAATGAAAACCGCAATAGTTTTTGTAAATTGCAGTAAAGCATACACAATTTATCGTATGGAATGTTCCAAAAGCTTGTGTGCTTCCTTGATTAAACACATCAATACATACATACATATAGATGTGCGTATTTGAGAGCATAAATATATATTTATATATGCTATAGGTACTGTGTGCTGATGATAGACACACTCAACTTATATTAATTTAATACAAATGCAGCACATAAACTAACAAACTTCTATTGATTTCAGGACATTACATATATGCTCATAAAGCACATTCTTAAATAAGAACAGACAACACATGTTTTCAAATAGTACAGCAGGTGTTGTCTCCTAATTTTTCATGTCCTCATTGAAAAAATCAGCATGGTAAGTCTCATATATATATATATATATATATATAAGCATCAAGTCAAATTAGCAACTTATACATAGGGTAGTATCAAAACTACAGTCAAGCGAATCATTATCTTGCCATGACAATTAATTGCCATGACTGTATGTTCATAGCTACATGCGTGTGTGTGTTCATGAGCATCGAGGCATCTTAGACACATACAGAAGTAATATTCTTCGGTCCGAACAGTTGCTATATTCCTCTTGTTTTCTAGAGATAGTTTATTATGCAATCTAAATTTTCGTTGATATAAGTTTTGAGATAATACCTGCAACTGATGCAACTGGTTCAGAATTGTCATCTTCTTCATCATCGGCTGCGGATTCAGCACCATCGCCACCTGAGTCAGGTGGAGCTCCACTATTCATAATGAAATCTCTTTCCAACTTTCTCTGAAATTCAAGTGGTACGTGTTAGCATTATGGTACACTGCTAAGACAAATCTTCAATTTCAAAAAACAACACTATGCAATGCAAATACTTCAACAACAGTTTCAGAGAATTCACACAATTCAGAGATTTGGTAGCAAAAAACTTCAAAGTATCAGAGATTTCAGTGCAATCAATTGAAGAAAATAAATTCATAAATGAAAAAAAAAAAGAAAAAAAGAGAGAGAGAGATCCATAGAAAAAACGGCCAGAAAATCCGATAGATTCGTGTGGAGTTGTCGACATACGAAGGGGAACGAGTTACGAAACAATTTAGAACAACAAAGCAAAGCATCTCGTGTGGAGTTGTCGACATACGAAGGGGAACGAGTTACGAAACAATTTAGAACAACAAAGCAAAGCATCTGGCTGTGAAGTGCTAACCCGTTTGCGCATCTCAATGCGCTTTCTGCGGTCTGCTTCTTCCTGCTTCTGCCGAGCCTCTTTTCTCCGCTTCTTCTTCCTCTTGTGGAAACCGGTGACGAAATCCCTACAATCAATCACCCACAGAAAAATCAGAAATCATCATCAATCAATTAGGGATTCCTCCGTATGAAGTTAATACAAGCGAATCATTCAAACAAAACAGGATGAAATAGCCCGTACTTGAGGTCCTTTTCATTGAATGACAGTGACAGTGTTTTGTTCTTGAGAGCTCTCTTCTTTATGTGGCGAGAACGGGAGCGCAGACTCGGCGGTGCTCCGTCTTCCGCCGTCGCCTCCTCCATGGCCGCTGTGACAAGAAAAGTAGTAAAACCCTTAAAATTTAGACTTGCTCAGAAGGTTTCGAACCGACGGTCCAGGCCGGCGACGGCAGTTAACCGAAATCCAAACCGCGGTTCGGTTCCATTTAAACTGTAATCGTAAGTCGAACCGGCGGTTCAAAGTTTTATTTAAAATAAGATATTTATATTTAAAATTTATATATTTTTAACCAAAATAAATATTATTAATAGAAAATTAAGCACTTACTCTGTCCAATCTTGACTCTTGAGGCCATATTTTCTATTTTTTTTTTTTTATAACCATGGACAATTTTATTTCATTAAACTTACTATATCAAAATATATTTAATAAATATAAATTAATTTAATTAATTAGATATCATATTATATCATAGAATTCCTTAAAAAAAATTTATTTCTATCTCGTACCATTTAAAATTCTATCCATTTTATAAAATTAGTTATATTAATTATTATATATATATATTTTTATTTGTATTGTATATCATATTCATATTATAAATATTTTTCAAAGTGTTAAAATGCATATTCTAATTAGTTAGTGTTATATATATATTAAATTTATTTTAAAATATCAATATAATTAAATATATATATAAATATTACTCATTATTATTAAGGGTGTGTTTGTTTGGGGGTTTGGATTTTGAGTTGGAATTTGAATAGTAAAAATTTTGAATTTGATAGTTGTATGATGTGATGTAAATAGGTGTTGATGTGATGTTTTGAATGTAAAATTTATTTTTAGTATAATATAAAAAATGAAAAATAGTTGTTTGATTTGATGTTTTTGGGAGGAAAAAATGAGATGTATAGTAAGATTTTGTAAAAGTCTTACAACCGAACACACCCTAAGTAAATAAATGTCATTATCTTAAATATTGTATAAAAAAGTGAAAAAGGTGTGAACGAGTATTATTTGAAACAACTACAATATTTTATTTTATTATTTTAAAAAAATATTAGTAATATTCGTCTTAACTGGAAACCACAGTGTGAGGCGACAGCCCAAAGTGTGTGGGCCCAATACCCACAAATTGCAATTAATGGCCCATTCACACTAAGACCGCGACCTTTCTTATACGTTTTTTTCGTAAAAAATAAAAAATAAAAAATGGAAATAGAATAATATAAAAACTACACTGAAATGCATTTTTTTATTTGATTTTGGTTAAAAAAACAAAACCAATAATACGGGAAAAAGATGATTAAACAATGAGTATAGACTAAAGATAAAGTGGGTGACAATATTTTATTAAAAATATTCTCTATTTTTTTAAGCAATTAAGGACATTTATAGGAATACATGGTTTTTTTTTTATTAGGTTCAATCGAAGTTTACCCAACCTATTTTCGGATAGGGATTGCGAATTCTCAAATTATAAATAATAATAATAATAATAATAATAATAATAATAATAATGATAATCATTGATGAACTAAGAAAAAGAAAAAACACCAAACTTAAATATATAAAGGTAGAAATTTTGTACTCAACCTGTGTTTGATTGTTTCTTATTTTCATTTAATTTTTTTGGAGCATAATTTGTTTGGTTTGATTTTTTATTTTTGATTTTTTTTAATTATAATTTTGACTTTCTCTTTTAAAAAATACTTTATTTTTCTATTAAAATATTATTTAAATTAAAATACAAAATTGAAGATGGAATACAATCTTATAAGAACACATACAATACTTTAATTAGTTGATTTAAATAGGTCATTCAATTAGTTGTTTGTATTAATGTGTTTGGTGAAATAAATGTTTGATATTAATTATTTATATGTAAAATGACAATTGAAGATATTTATATTTTTACTTTTAAAATTTTTTAATTGTGTTTATTTAGTTTTAAAATTTTAAAATTTTTTATTATTAGTTATTTGAAATTAGGAATGTGTTATAAAATATTTTTTAATTAATTTTAGATTGATAAAAATAATAGTATATACTTTTATTAAGAAATATGAATATTTACTATTAAAAATGATATAAAATATAAAATAATAAAATTTTAGTATATATATTTATTATATTAATTATTGATTAATTTAATATATTTATAATTTTTAATAAATTTATTCTATTTTATTTAATTTTAATATACAAATAAAATAATAATAATAACATAATTATAGTTTACAAATAAAATTAATTATATATAAAAATTAATTAATTTAAATTTATAAAAATAAAATTATAATTTGATAAATAATATATTAAAATTATTTATAATTATTGCAGTAAAAAATGTATTTATATGTAAAAACTACGGGTAAAAGATATTTTTTTGTCTTGTGAGTGTAGTAGTGACAATTGTGAAATAATAAAAAAGTAAGAATAATTTTACAGTGATATGATTATTTATGAAAATAAGACTAGACAAACAAAAATGGACAAAAGGTAAAAAAAATTATTGGGACAGAGTAAGAAACAGGCAAATAAAGAATAAATATATAGCTTTTAAAAAATTAACTTTTTAGGCCAACAAATAGTTTATTTAAAATACATAAATTACTTTGACAAGCTAAAAGCTCTTGATAAATATTTAATTTGTCAAACACCTCATCAACAGTGGCTTAAGATTTGTTTTAGGAGTGTTTATTGATAAATATTTAATTTATATATATATATATATATAAACATATAAAGTGAACAAAACGTATATTGTAGATTCAATTTCACTACCATATACAAGAAAGAAATATTTTTATAATTTTAGATACAGATTTCGTTTTGTGTTAGTTTGTATGCATACAAATACAATACACCCCACCCCCCCCATAAAAACTTGAATCCAAAATTTTCAAGCTTTTTAAAGCAAAACAGGAAAATTAATAATATGATAATCAAACCTCAGAGCAAAATATTGCTAAAACAAAGTACTCTGGAATGGATTAAGCTTGGGCTCCACTGCTGCTTGTCGTCGTCGCCTTCTTCTTCTTCATGTGCTGATCCAACGATTTCTGCCGCTGAATCCTCATTTCGTCGTTGATCTTTCTGATAAAATCCTCGAATCGTCGGTTCAGCTCCTCCTCAGTCGGCGACGGTTCCTTCTGAAACGACGAACTCGTCGGCGGAGAATAGTTGCCGTTGCTGTCGCTGGTTGCGAAGGAATCGTGACGCGCCTCCGTTATCATCTTCCACACGCTCTCCAGCGTCTGATTCTTCTCCGGTTTCGGCGGAATCGCTCCTGAAAGAGTTGAGGAATTTGAAAGCAGCGATTAGGTCAAAATTAGGGATTTGTGAAATTTTTGTGTGATTATGTTGGCGGTTTTCGGGTAGAAATTCTGAGAAGTTTCTCAATGGAATAAAAAGGCATTTAATTTTTTATGATGTCACGTTTAAATCACGTGACGCCAGCAAATATTAAGAGCCTTTAAGAACGATGCGACGTCGTTTGACGGGGACTTTTTGGTAAATTTAAAAATTACTCACCTTCAGCAGCGGTTCGGATTGGTCGCCGGCGATTGATTCTGGGAGTTACCGGAGGCTTCTCTTCCGCCGTCGGGAAGTACTCCAGCTGAAACTCCGGTGGAATTCTCTCCGGCGACACCGCGGAGTTCGCTTCCATGGATGCGTCCTCAACTTCACCATCGTCGTCGAAATCAACCACAGATTCATCTTCAATTTCATTACTATCGACTCTCAAACCGTTAACCGTCACCGGTTTCAGCTCCACAATCCGATCTCCACTTTCGTAGACCACAACCGCCTGCTTCCGCTCCTCCACGACGTTTTTAATCTCCGATTCCACCGGCAACGCCGCGAGCTCCTCCGGCGGAGGAGTTTGCACCGAAATCAGGTGGCGATCGCCTCGAACCGCCGGCTCCGAATCTCGAATCTGCTGGAATCGCGACGACGCAAAAATCGTTATAATGATACCGTTCACGATTACAAACAAATAAGGAGGTTTCAGCCACACCGCCGGAGCTTCATTCACCGTCGCCGGAACGGACGCCTTTATCGCCATACCTAAAAGCAGAGCTCCAGCAGAAATCAGCAACGCTTGCATGGTTAAAATCCAGGTATTCATCAAGCTCGCAATGAATTCAAATTTTTAATTAGTTTATCTCAAAATGTGTACAATTGCGATTTGCGAGTGAACAGATGAGTGCGAACAGAGCAATAAATGGCAGTTACGGGGGAAGAGGTATTTATACAGAATCGTGGAGGTTCGATAGACGAAGAACGCTGGTTGTGGACCCCGGCGAAATCTGGGCCGTCGGATGAGGGAGCGCAGGGATTTCCGTGGCGGGAATCGAATGGCTCTTGTTCAGGAAGGAGTATTGGGACAGTTGTAATTAAGGTATGGTTTATCCACTATAGGTCAAACTGAATTAATTAAGATATAAGTTACCTGCGGGTTATGAAATTAAAAGATTTTCTTACAAGCCGAATCTTCTTTATCCAGGTTGTAGAACGACAGTAGTTATCAAAACAATAAATGACAGTACCTACAGTACTGAAATTAAAATTTAATGCTCCCTCGCTCTCTTAATTGCTATTCGTTTGCCTTTTACACATAATTTAAAATATATTAGTATCAATATTGATATTTACTGAAATAATTTTATTAGTATTGTATAATATAAAAATAATGATATTTATATAATATATTATAAATTGTAAAGATATTTATAATATTAAATATACAGTATAAATTACTAAAATAAATATATACTTTAATATGTAACATATCAAAATAAAAAAATAAATAATTTAACAAGAAAATGAGAGAATATTATATTGAATAACACAATAAATTATCAAAACACATACACATACACATGTACATACGATATTGCTACAAAAGTTGCATTGAATGTACATAAATGTCTATAAAATATTTTCAGCATCATAACTAGACAGTATTTAGCAATAAAAATATCAACGTCATACTGTTTAATTGTGTTTATCAGATTAAATTTATCAACTATGCAATGGTTGTTATTTGAGAATTACTTTAGATATAATTAATTTATTTAATGAAATTTTTAGTTATAAAATAACACACCCACAAAATCGAACTTTTTTTTTCAATAAATAACTATTGAAAGTGGTTAATTATTGCCCGTTGATGTATAGTTTAATTAACAAAACATTAATCAACAACGTCAGTACCCCAAATATCTACAATACTACTGTTGACTGTATTTAATCAAATAAAGTGCCAATTAATTAATTTAAAAACAGGCCCCACATAACTACAAATTTCTAACACTGTCACCTTTATTTTGTCTTTCCTTTTTCTTTTCTCTTAGTAAGATTATTTATATGAATAAACTATATGAAAATGAATTACTATTTTATTTATTTTCTGCAATATAATTATATATATATATATATATATATAGTTTTTAAGATAAAGGGGCTTTTATTAGCGGCGAACGGCTGTCCTTTGTTGTGTAAATCTGTGTTAAAGCAAGATGCTTAAATACTATAATAGTAAATTATACGTTGAGATTGAAGTTTTTAGAAGTAAGCCAATTATTAATTAAATGATTTTAATTTAAAATAACTTCATAATTGTGCATTAAATAATATTATGAATACTATATAGATTTGTTATAGGGCTATATAATATAGATTCATTAATTAATGAATATAAATATGTTAAATATTTATTTTTAAAAATCTTTTAAATTAGATATAATTTTTTTAATTGAATTAATTCATTCATCATTATTGAATTTTGTAACCAACAATTGATTCAAATTGCTAGTATTATTTGGGTTGGTATCTGTAAGATTGTATAAATGATGGTCTCACTTAAAAAGTTTAAATTATTACAAATACATATCATTTATTTATTTATAAACGAGAGACAATGTGGACGATGAGATTCGAACACGACATCTATGACTTTGATATCATACTAAATTTAATTGATTTCTATTTGTAGATATAACTAAATAAATTATACTTATTCCTAGAAATTTAAATTTTTAAGTTAAATGATTATTACATCATCTAACTGTTTTCATATGTTTTTTTTTTCTTTTTTTTTTTAATGTAGAATGGATTAGTAATTATATATCATATGTTAAATAAAAAATTAATATTTACTAAATTGTTTTAAATGGTATTATGGTAATTAAGAAATTTAATAATTAAAATGACGTGGAACCCGGAAAAAAAAAAAAAAAAGAAAAAAAAAGGGAGGATACAAATAAACAAACTTTTTAATATTACATTCATTTAAAACTCATTATATGATTATAAATGTTTTGACAATGTATGCTAATCTTATTTTGACCCTACCTTTAAAGTTTAGGCTATAATTTATTTACTTATTGTACGGATATTGTTAGGGCAACTCCAATCCAGTAGGTTGTGCAAAAATATGGAGTAACACTGTACATTCCACTCCATTTTTGGAGTGAAGTTTGTGTGGTGTTTTGTGGTATTTATGTATTTTTGTTATTTTTTTTGGATATATTGTGTAATTATATTTTTTTTAAAAAATTATGTATAATTTTATTTTTTGAAAAGTGATATAATTTTATTTTTTAAAAATAATGTATAATTTTATTTTATTTTTTAAAGTGATATATAATTTTACCTTTCGAAAAGTGATATATAATTATATAGTTTTTTAAAAATAATGTGTAATTATATATATTTGGGTTATATTGTAAAAATAAATTAAAGTTGGGGTGTAATTTATATATATATATAAAGTTATGTAAAATACTATAAAAGATGAATATATATGGAATATACTTTTTAGAGTGAAAAATTGAAGTTTATGGTTGGAGTAAAATTACCGTAAATTAACTGCTTTTTTAGCAAAAATGAAGGAATATGTTGGAGATGGTCTTAAACAAGAATACCATTCCTGTCATTCATATAATTTATTTAATTTTAGACACACTCATTGTTAACTAAATGTCAAATGATTGAATGGTAACTAAAAATATTGTTCAATGAATCATATATTATTGTTAAGGTATAAAAGTTCACTCGGTAATTTTTTTCCCTATTTTTTCTACTATTAATTTTCATTGATTTATATAAAAATACACTATTTTTATTTTTTCTCAACAAAAAGTACATAAACTAATATTCGATAAAACAAAATCTCCAACTAAACATACACTAAAGATGTCTTTGTTAATTATTACTTTTAACATCTTCATTTTTGTATGGTTTCTTTTACAATAAAATATAGTTATATATAATATTATTATATATCTATCACCTAAGTTTCAATCAAACAATTATATTTAAAAGATAAAATTCACTATACTATGGCTTATTGAATTTTTGAATTTAATTTATATGTATCATATAATCTAAACAAAAGTATTTATTAATCTTACGGATAAATGACGTCAAACACAATAGTATTGGCCATTTATTATTATTATTATTATTATTATTATTATTATTATTATTATTATTTTCTTACCGATTAATTACACGCAGAAATATATCACATACGCATAAAATTAATTAATTTCATCTGACATATATTCGGGATATTTCTAACAATCTTTTTCATATACATTAAATCGGTATTTAATGCGGACCGTCGTCTTCTAACATGTCAAGAACTAAATACACACCGTTGGATCAGTAGTTAGGACGTTCAACGGTTCAGATTCATTTACTAGTTGAAGTCCCGGAGTTGGAATTTTCAGTCGGCGAGGACAGTACGAATATGGCGATGGGCGAGTCCGGGCCCACACAGCCTGGGCTACACTCTTCCACCGACCATTTACCATTTTAGCAGGTAAAAAAAGGTTTCACTTTTTTCGTATTTTCGTAAATAAACTATTTAAATTAATATTTGGGACTTTATGAATAATTGGTCCCGCGGGAAAATTGAACCACAATGTATAATGGGGTCATCCACAAATAGACAAATAATTATTCAACCTTTTTTCTCATATTTATTTATTTATTAATCATTATTATTATTATTATTATTATTATTATTATTATTATTATTATTAACGATAATGTATGTAAGATAATAAGCAAGTGTAAGTATTTAATTTAAAATAAACAAACACATGTGCCTTGTTTGGATGGGAATTTTCATTTATTTGACATTTATCTGTGTTATTGTGTGTTTATGTGACATTTATCCACTTTAATCTCTATAAGTACCTTGGATTTCTTTTATTTGTATTAGGTTTTAAATAAATATTTAAATATTATTTGTGTTTATAATTTTAGACATGCTTAGATTGATATTTTGTTGATTTTTATTTTCATTATGTGTATATATTGGGTGTGTTCTTAGTGTAGATATTATATACCGAACATCATACACTATACTCATTTTTAATAGAATATATTACATTAAATAATTTTATTTTTCTTTTACATTAATTAATTGATACCTGCACTTATCAACTAGTTTGAAAGAGTGTGTTTGGTTGGAGAATTTTATCCGAATTTTATTATTTATTAATTTTTTTTTAAAATTATCAAATTAAATATTTTTTTTTTCTATTTATATCATATCGTACAATTATTTAAATTCAATTTTTCTTTACTATTAAAAACTCAAACTCAAAATCAAAATACCAAACCAAACACACTCAAATATGTCGGTAAAGTTTTGCTATTACACTGGTTATCATTTTTATTTTAAACTATAATTAAATATCAAATTTTCATTTAATCTATTACCAACAAATTAAATTATATATATATATATAAATAAAACAGTGTATCAAATACTATTTTAATTGAGTTTTTTACTATTTTAAACTCAAAAAATACAAATCTAAATTCCAAAGAAACACATTTCTTAAATGCAATATTAAAAAAACAATACTTTGATACAAATGATGTAAACTATAATACTAAAAACAATAATTTTTAATGCATATATAAAAATAAAAACCAACCAAAGGCAAAAGTTGAACACAGACGTGTATATTTTTCATACAGATGTACGTATATCCGAAATTGGTGTGCATTGCCACGTGGCCAACGGTATTTAAACTACCTTCAAAATCAATCCACCCCAAGTCAAAGGGTGTGTTTTGGATATGGGATTAATTGGCTTCATATTACAAATCATTCAATCTCTTCTCCTTAAAATACAAATCGAATATATTACATTATTGTTATTATTTATTTATTTTTTCCCATCCAAAAATTTTATATAAAATAAATATTTAATTAAATATTTTCAATATCAGTATATCTTGAAGTTTTCAAAATTTTTATCATAAATTTAAAATGTTACCGTTTTTTTTTTTTTTTATTGAAATCGATATCCAAACTCAATTGACAATTACACTACCAAACATACCCCAAAATTTCCGCTAGTCATCAGAGAAGCGTGAGCGGGAGGGAGGGACCAAAAATGGGACACGTGGACTCAAACAGGTGATAGATATATAGAAAGATGATAGTTGCCGTTTTCAGTGGATGTGGAATGAAAATGGTATGTCGTATACGACGTCGTCTACTGCACCCCACACGTATACGACGTCGTTTTGACAAGACGAGTAACTGTCTCTTTCACAAATTCAGTTAAAATTAGTTGCACTTTTAGTTGTAAGTTTTTTTTTTTTTTTTTACTATTTGAATTTTATATTTTAAAAAAATAATAAAATATATGGAGAGCATTTTTCTTTCTTTTTTTCTTTTTTTTTTTCTTGATACATTAGATATTATTTAAATATAAAAATCTAAATCAAATCTTGCAAAAAAAATAATAATAATAAAAAAAAACATTGGCGTGGTAGGAAGTTAAATAATATTATTACAATAAATTGGGGAGGGACTTTTTGAGCTGAATATGTTCAACGCGTTCACACTCTCGGACAAATGCTCATCTCGATCTGCTGCACTGTCTAAGCCGTAATATTTGGGTCATCGTCATCCTCTTCACCTTCATATTTTATTTATTTATTTACCAGCACTCTCTTATTTATTTAAAATGTTGTGAGAATATATATATATATATATATATAAATTTGTGATAACATAGTAAATAACTAAAAGGTTTTGTGTTTTATTGCCCACTAAACCCTAAAGAATAAGGAACCATAATGGATGGTTTTGTATTGATTATATTTGGACAAAAATTTTGTCAAAAGTTTTTAATCTACCCTTTTGATTTATTTGTATTATTTGTTAAAATATTTTAATATCACACTATATATTAAGTTTTTATTCAACATGTATTATGTATTAAAATAACACGTTCATATAACTGCATCAATTTTTATTTTTATTCAATATATTACTATTTCCAAATTAATCTTAAATTACAAAATAATTTTAAAATATATCTAAATACACTTTGTGTTATATTATTATTACTGTATTGGTTAAATATTTATGCGATGGAGTCAAGTCAAAGAAGAATTTAATTTTATTTATTTTGACCTTAACTAATTTTATTTAATTATATATATATATATATGTGTGTGTGTCTCTGTATGTATGAAACTCAACAAATCCACTGGTTTTTTTCGATATCTTTAAAAGTACTGTGAATGTACACGTCATTGGTTAGGAAAATTTAAATAATTAGTATATTTTTTCCCATGACTGTAATGATATTATATGCTTAAATAAAAATATCAATATAAAATAATCATGAACAATCAATGAAAGAAGAAACATATGTAAAGTTTATATGCTTTAGTTATACGTAAGATTATTCATCTTGTTCTCTAAGCTTTTAAACAAAACTTAATCGAACTCAAATTTATATTTAATATTAGATCGATAAAAGAAGAAAATCTAATAAGTTTATAATAAACATGAATTTAGATAAAATTAGGTCAGTTCTTTTACCACGTAAGAGTTATACTTAATTACTTACATTGTAAGTATTGTCTTCCATTTTTTATACTTTATGCCAAACCCACTCGACTTGAAAGTCTTTCAATATAATGTTTAATATAATATATATATATATAATTTTAAAAGGATGTCTTTAGTTGCAAGTTAAGATGTAAAAATTGGAAATTATGATGTAAGTTAATTTATGCCACAATATATATTTTATTACAAATACCTTTAAATAAATTTTGAGTATTTTAAAAAATAATTCTTGTATGTTCAATGTTAATTCATGATCAAATTTTATATAATTAAAAATTATATATTTATACATAATTAATATGAATAGTTTCTTATTAAAAAAATAAAAATATAATATTTATTTATTAATAGAAATAAAATTAAAAGATAACAAGCAAATTTTATTTTAAAAATATAAAAAAGTTGATGCGCTACAACGGCAAAATAACGAATCCTGAAAATGTTTATAAAATATCGTTGAAGATTGCGGAGGGTCCTGGCCTGTGGGTCCAGGCGATGGACAACCCGTGTTATCGAAAATCTTTGCTCAAAAGCAGTTAATGCTCGGTGGGTTCCACAGGTGCTGGGATGAAATGGAACCGCACTTTCCAGAGTATCTAGGCCGTTCGATTACGTGATGAACGGTGAAGATTAAACCGGTGCTTGGAGTCCCGGAGTTGTGGTAAATCGAGGTCCAGTGAGGATAAGCAGTTACTTGTCGGTTATATTAATGTTCCATTCTCTAACTACCTTATGCGACTGGGACATTGTCTGGACGGTGGGGATTAGTCAACACACTCCAACAAGTTACGACATGGATAATTCTATTTTATTATTATTAAAATTAAAAGAAATAAATAATTTCATTTTTGTCAAATTTAATTGCCTTTGCCATGTGTGGCAAACTGATTGCTCTGTGTATATATCAAAATTTAAACTGAATTTGATTAAATATATATATATTTTATTTAGTTTTTAGTAAGGGTGTGTTTGTTTGGGGATTTGGATTTTGGATTGGGATTTGAATAGTAAAAATTTTGAATTTGAATAGTTGTATGATGTGATATAAATAGGGTTTGATGTGATGTTTTGAATGTAAAATTGATTTTTAGTATAATATAAAAAATGAAAAATAGGTGTTTGATGTGATGTTTTTGGGGGGAAAAATTGGATGAATAGTAGAAATCCTCCAAAATTCTTCAAACAAACACACCCTAAATGTATTTTGCTCTTTCGATGTTGTTGCATGATGGGCCAACCTTATAGGCCCATTATATAAAAATGTAAGTATTAAATTGCAACTATATGGGCTTTAGGGCCCAATCAATCATAAGTGAAATGGAAATAAAATCAGCCTAGTTTTTTCGACTCATTTGAATTTAATATATGTCAAAATAATGAATCGAATTATAATATAAGTTACTTGTAATGGAATCTGGCATCCATATGTCATTTAATTTAAATATAATGCAATAAAAATATAACTGACCATTTTACCTGAAAGGAAATTTATATTATATAATATTTACTGTTTAAATATATTAAATAACGCAATAAACACCTCAATAAACTTCAAATTAAAAAAATAAATTAATACAGACCATTAATATATAATCTTTAATTTATTTGTTTACACAAGCAAGAATATGCAATGCTTTAGCCCAACCACTGCTTAATGGTTGGAGAAAGGAAAAACATTGAGTAAATCTCCACCGTCCGATTAAATCTAATGACTCATATTATTGTCACAGTCACATGTAATTGCGGTTGTGGATAAACATTAGCTGACATATTCTCGGGTTCCGTGTCGCCAGCAGTACAAATGATGCATCTCCACGTAGATATTTATATTATTAATTAATTCAAAATTCCAATAATTTTTAAACAGTAAATACACATTACTGCACTTACCATATTTATCAATAACAGCAAAATATAAGTAATAAATATTTTTACACAGGCGATGACCCACTCCCGGGCGTCCAGGTCCCAAACACCAATAGACGGTGCAAATCGGTTCCGGAGTCCGAATCCAGGAGTCACACGCAAAATCAAAGAACATTTGGATAAAATTGCCACGCATTGAGCTGTCCCCACAACGGTAGCCTATAAATAGAGTACCAAAACGTTCTCTTTTCCATCATCATTCTTTCGTTGTTCAGATAAGCACTAATTCTCTGTTCATTTCCTTCCATTGAAGAATAGTAGAAAAATGTTGGCTGTATTCAAGAATGGCGTGGTGAGCCCACCAAACGAGCTCCATAGCCCAGTTTCATCCCAAGGTCCCGGAACCAAAACTCCAGAAGAAACCCTCAAGGCCTTCCTAGCTTCAAATCCCTCCAATGGCTTCTCTCTCGGATTCCCAAACAAAGCCCTTTTAGCCTACGCTTCAAATCAAAGGTATGTAATAAAAGTGCATAAAATAAGTAAAACCCTAATCCCCAAATTGACCTAATTATGATCAATTCTGGTCGGTTTTCAGGCTGTTTTGCAGTGTGAATGACGTGTACTGCATTTTCTTGGGGAGTTTGAACAACCTATGTGGTCTGAACAAGCAGTATGGACTGTCGAAGGGTGCCAATGAGGCCATGTTTGTTATTGAAGCTTATTGCACTCTCAGAGACAGGGGCCCTTTCCCTGCCCATCAAGTTCTTAAAGAGCTAGAGGGTAGTTTTGGATTCGTGCTCTACGACAACAAGGCTGGTGCTGTCTTTGCTGCTGTTGTAAGCACAATTTTCATTTTCAATTTTTTTGTTTTTACAATCCAAACACAGCCTTATTGTTTCGAAATTTGAGTTCCTGATTTGGTTTGCCAAACGCGGCCATAATATTTTGGTAGGGTGCGGACAGTGCAGTGAGCCTCCACTGGGGCGTAGCATCGGACGGCTCTGTTTTGATCTCAGATGATGTGGATATTGTCAAAGCCAGCTGTGGGAAATCCTTTGCTCCTTTCCCTGCAGGTATAATTTATTTATTTATTTTAATTTGTTACTTTATTATTATTATTTAATTGTTTATTTATTTATTTATATTTGTATTGGTTTAGGGTGTATGTACCATAGTGAGGGAGGATTAATGAGCTTTGAGCATCCAATGAACAAAATGAAAGCCATGCCGAGAGTGGACAGTGAGGGTGCAATGTGTGGCGCTTTCTTCGCCGTCGATGCGTATAATAAGGTTACCTCCATGCCACGTGTCGGAAGCGAGGCGAACTGGTCCACCTGGGGTTGATGTACAGGATCGATCCCTCCCTTCGCTAACCTCACCGCCTGTGACTAATCCATGACGTCTGTGACTTTGTGTTGTCTGTTATTGTTTTACCGTTCAGTTGTTTCTGATTGGGCTGTCGTCGTGACTCCCTCACGGTATATGGTAGTGTGCTGTAGCCAGGAGGCTTTTTACTTTGTAATTTGAATGAATATTTGTTTAATGAAAGCTTAGCTTAAAAAAATAAACAATCAATACAATTTTTTTAAATACATAGATTTATATACTTTTTTGCAGATTAATGAAAATATTGAAATGTTCAACAATTGTTATGTGGCAAATGGTCGTTCAGCCTACCATCAAATCTGATGTCATAATTTGTAGTACTTCTTTTATTCTTAACAATTTATTACTATTATTCTTAATTTGGGATATCTTAAATTTTTTGTAAATTTTCTTTATTTACAATATATTTTTTATTATTTGAAAAATAATTTATAAAAACATACAAACGAAGGAAAAAAAAAAACTATTAAAAATTACGCGCACACAAAAAAAAAAAACGTACTGAAAATGAAGCAAGCATAAAAAGGGGGACATATTTAGTAATAGAATTAAAATTGTTGATTGATTTTCACGTGTATATAAGAAATTATACAGGAAGGGGGAATTATGCAAATGGGTGCAATCGGCAATAATTATAGATTCAAGGGGTGAAACTTGTCATTTTGACAACTTAAGAGGACAAATTTGAGAAACGGGTTTAGTTTGAGGGTTACGTGGCAAATTCCTGTAGTTGGTCGTTACCAGCAGCATAGAATCGAGGTGTGTGTATTTTAGTGGCAGACGAAGCTCTCTCCCCCAGCCATGACTTCCGAGTTCTGACTCATTCTCCGTTGCCTCTTCCACCGCGTGCATCCAAGGAAGGACTCCACGCGGTGTTACCGTTCAAATCACAGCTACACGCACGCCTACAACTCCGATCACTTTCCTTAAATCGATTTTACGCATTTACAGTTCGATCGTGGCGACTGATTAATTGGTGAGTAGCAGCAGTCCTTGTTTCATTTTTTGAATTGTCAAATGTGTTTAGTTGTTGATTAATTTCTCTCTGCTGCTTGTTTTTTTTTTCTTTATGGATCTCTGTGTGTTAGGAATTCTGAGATCGTTGTGAAAATGGTGTACAAACGAACATATTAGCTGTTTGAGTGGCTGCGGCTGCTGCTTCTCTAATTTTTCCGTCTAACTCTGAGCTGGTGCTGCTTCTAGTTTTGTAAAATATCGTTTATGTTTGAGATTCTGAATTAAATTGAAGCAATTCTGTTGAGAGAGAAGGGAGAGAGAGGGGAGTCAACTCAGTATAGTTCTGTTGCTTTTCACATTATTTTCTGGAGTAGATGTAATTGCCTACGATTTCCATTTCGTGCAGAATCAACTATGTACAAGAAAATTTCCCATCCTTTCTATGACTATGAGTTTTAATCGCAGTAATGGAGAGTCATACAAGCGATAGCAATATCGTAAACCTTGTTAACTTTATGCATATTATCATATTTTGAAGGTATGCTGAGTGAAAAATCGTTGATCCTTGGATAGATGTTGAAGGGGAGATCTACTGATGCGTTGATAAATAATTATTGTGGACGTTGACGCATGTGAGTCTTGGCGATCATTGTGATAGAAACAAGGACATGAATTGCAGCTGTTGTGTTGCCTCAACCGTGCTTCGGAAGAAAAGCAAGAAACGAGATAAGCAATCCATAGAAGAACAAGAAGGTAAATGTTTCATCACTCTGTTGTGGCAGAACAACTTCAAATTTTGATGCATAGCATTTCACCAGTCTGTTTTCATTTTTTATTTCTACTTTTCAGTTTCCATGATTTTGATCTCAGGATTCAACATAACACCGTTTTCGGCTTACAATTTATAACCATTTCCTCGCAATATGTTGTTAGAGAAAGTCACTCAAGTTTCAAATTGCAACATAAATGCTATTTGATATTGAAATCATATTGTTGCCAGTGTTGGCTTAGCAGTATATGCATGCTCGTAGAATCTGAGAAACTGTTCATAGAAATAGGTATACTTTTCGCTTCCCACTCGAAAATTAAATAGGAAATTCTGCAGCTCTGTAAACTTCATCGTTTCAATGTATTGAGAACACTTTTGAACATTGTATTAGCTTAGGACACAGTTGGGGTGGGTGTACGATGCTATAAGTAGATGGTTTATTCATCTGTGTTTCTTTCATTTGGTGCACCATTGTTATTCTTTTCAAAACTATTCTTATTCTAAATGTCTTCTTCTCAACTGTTCCCACATCATATGTCTTTACCAGGTGCCTCAGTTGTAAATACCAAAAGCTTCTTATACAACGAACTACGATCGGCAACAAACAACTTCAGTCTTACCAACAAAATAGGGCGAGGTGGTTTTGGTACAGTTTACAAGGTACTATACTTAACTTATTTGTGCTCCTCATCAATGGTTTCAAATTGTTATTTCTTTTTGTAAAATCCTTGAATTATCTACACACGAGTTTGAAATTCTTAATCGTGCATTGCAATTCCAGAAATTAAAATGAAAGTGCTCTCATGATAGAGTTGAGTTAATGTAAAAATAAGCAAGAAAGGTAGCCTTTCTATACTATTTGAACCAAGTTTATCATTTTACATTATCTAACTCAATAACTCATCTCTTCAAAGGTGTAAAAATAACTGAGTGCATTTTGCCATTTATTTGGCCATGGAACTTGATTGATACACTTGCTCGCGCATGTGCGCGCGCACATATATACATATATATATATATAGGGTGTTGTCAAAATGTGAATTATTTTATTCAATATTGTGTTGACAAACATAAATTATTGACTAACAACATATGATTTTAATTAAATATGCTATGTTAATTGAAACTATGTGTTGACAGATTTATATTTGATGAAATGTGTTGTATGTGGTTTGTGGACTATTATCAAATATGTTGCAATTGTATTATATTGCCATGTACATTGTGCTGTTTATTTATACTTGATGGGCTGATTGTCAATAATGTCTGTGTTGTTCTTTGAATAAAATAATGTAGCACCTCTATATACACATACATATATATATATATATATATATATACACTCTTATGGCATTTTCTTAGCTAATCGAAATCATATTTAAACAGGGAGTTCTCAAAAGTGGAACACAAGTTGCAGTGAAGAAGCTTTCTCTGGAATCAAATCAAGGAGTACGCGAATTCTTAACAGAGATCAATACTATATCCAATGTTAAACACCCAAACCTCGTCGAACTACTCGGTTGTTGTATTCATGGACCACACAAGATGTTGGTGTATGAATTCGTCGAGAACAACAGCATCGATCGCGTACTACTAGGTATTTTCTCTAAATCATCCCATGTTTGAACCACAATAAGACATAATTCTCCCAAATCAAATGCTAAACACACTTCTCCCCTTGTAGGTCCAAGAAGGTCTCTAGAATTGAACTGGGCGAGAAGGTCTGCCATTTGCGTGGGTACTGCCAAAGGACTTGCATTCCTTCATGAAGAACTTATCCCTCACATTGTGCACAGAGACATCAAGGCTAGCAACATACTTCTCGACAAGGAGTTTCACCCGAAAATAGGAGATTTTGGACTGGCTAAGCTATTTCCAGACGACATAACCCACATCAGCACACAATTAGCTGGAACAACGTATGTCTATCCATACCTTTATCTCAAATCTATTGACTCTCAAGATTCTAAAGGTTTCTAACTATAAGTTAGTCATCTCGATCAGGGGTTACTTGGCTCCCGAATACGTTTTGGGCGGGCAGTTAACCATGAAGGCTGACGTCTACAGCTTTGGTGTTTTAATGCTCGAAGTTGTAAGCGGCAGAAGCAGCGCGCACGCCAATTATGGAGGCGCACGGATGCTGTTGATCGAATGGGTATATGCCGACAATTCTACACTTAACTTTTATATACATTAAAAAAAAAAAAGTGCCATTTTGGTCGTAATATAAGATAGTTGCTTCACAGGCATGGGAGCTCTACAAAGAAGAGAAGCTTCTGGATATGGTTGATGAAGAGGTGGGAGAGTTCCCAAAGGAAGAGGTTCTAAGGTACATAAAAACAGCTCTATTCTGCACTCAAGCAAATGCTAGCAGAAGGCCGGCGATGAGCCAGGTTGTCGAGATGCTTACTAAAAATGTGAGGCTTAATGAAAAGGAGCTCACGCCGCCCGGTTTCTTTGAGGATTCCGGGCGGCGCAGTGGTGGCCAGACGAAGGTGTATAAGTCGTCGGACACTTCGACTGGCCAGATGAGCTCTGCTCCTATTTCTATTACTCAGGTAACCCCGAGATAATATAAGATTAGATAAAGATAGAAATTTAGAGAACTGCTGCTGCTGAAATTCAGCAACTATTCATTGCTATCCGTTTTTTACAATCTTCAAATATGCATATTTGTATCATTGTATATGTATTGCACACTGATTTGTTGTTGATGGTCTAAGAACCATCAAAATTATTAAGTGATCACAAATAAATTACAAAATTATTTTCAAAATCCATTTCTTTTTTTGTCAACTGTAAATTGCATGGTCGTAATATGGGTGCGGTGCGGCGCAAGAGTTCTATCCCTTCGACTAGCAGTAATAACTACAACATTTATGCTGCACTCAACCAAACAAAGAACACCACAACACATTACAATACCAGAATATGTAAACCATTCTACACAACTACAAGAATATTATTCATAAGCTGAAATTTCAACACAAAGTGCCATATCCGGCCAAAAGAACCTAAACACCCCCCACCCCACCCTCAGAAAAAGAATATATATTTATATATATGGAAACAATATATTGTCTAGTGTATGCAATCAAAACTCGGAAAGCGTTAGTTACCTGGTTGGTGATTGGCGGAAGGAGTTGCTTCTGTGGAGGCTTGTGGAACACTGTTAGGATCAGAATTATTGGCTGCTGGTTCAGCATTTGCAGCACCGTTTGAAGTTTTAGAGCCTTCTGCATCCTTCCCATCTTTCCCAGCCTTAGCTGGAGCAGCGGGAGGGGGTGGTGGCATCATGTGAGGCGGGGGATTGTGCTTAAGCTTCACCAAGATTCCACGCATCCTTGAAAGGTCGGTTGGTTTGCCCGGTTTTGGGCCTTGAATGACTGTGATGGATGGCTTCTTATCTTGATCCTTTTTCTTTCCTCTCTTCTCAATGTTGGCAACCTCATGAGGAACGAGCTCTGCTATGGCTTTCCAGTACTGTTTGTCGGCCTCTTTATGGAATTTTTCTTGACCAGCTAGGAATAGCTGTTTTGTGTGTGATATACAGAAGTAACAGAATGTTCTTATGCTAGGAAAGAGATTTGAATAAAGAAAAGGTGTGAAGATCTGGAAACAAAGAAAAAAGCTCAGACCTTCTCTTTTTCTCTGTTGTTGGTTTTGTTGGTCTCTATATTGAGTTTTCGTTTCTCGTGGAAAGCTTGCTTGTAGTCTTCAGCTTCTTGAATAATTTGGCTTCTCATTTCTTTTTCCTTCTGTTCTTTCTCCTCAAGACGAATGGCATTTAACCTGCATCAAAAGCTGAAATGAATGGAAAGCTAGTGGAGTCTTGAGAATAGCATGAATGTCAATTCTGAGGTTTATTTTTTTATAGCATGATGTTTACAAAGTACAAACAATAACACATTTGAACACGTTTGGGCTTTTAAGGTTAAATGGAATGGTGGATTTTCAGGCCAAAAGTAAAATGGAATAATGGATGCAAGAGCAATTTAAAGGTTTGTTGCGTAGTACTTGTATAACTAACTGAATGGCAGAATCAAACCTGAAAGCATAACGTATCGATTTATGCAACCATCAAACATCATTTCATGCTTACAACAATGCACACTAATCAATAATTTATCACCCTCAATCGATCCAAAAATTATAAACAAGTTAAATTATGGCAACAGAAGATATATACATATATATATATCATATGTGTGTGCGGCGCTGAGGAAATATAGATCACCGGGAGTAAATCATGTTTATGGCAATTCGCTTGAGATAACGCTACATCCTTGATCAAACGGAGTGCATCTTAACTCTAAACAACTATCCAGGTCAAGGGTGTCAAAATAATACTTAGCTATTACACATATATGTTCTAAATTGGTTGGATACACCATGACTAACTTCTAAAGATTCATCCGAAACCAACTTATACTTCAATTAATGCTTCCTCTTAAACTACAAAATTATGCAATGGAGATGTTATGAGCCATGCGATGGCAAACCGACTACGATTTTTCATTTTCATCATATTTGTAAATAAAAAATCACAATCACAACAAGAGATCTCCACGCGATCGGCAGCAGGAAAGCTAAAATGGCCTACAGCAACATCTGGTAAGCGCAACAGAATACCTAATAGCCAGATCCCACTCGTAGATATATCAAATTTCACGAGCATCGAAGGATCAATAGAGCTATAATCGAAATAGGATCTAACCTCCGCCATTCCCGAAGTGCGAATCCTTCCTCTTGCATCTGATTAGGCGGCGGTAGGATTGGTCCATCCGAGCTGAATAGCCCCTCCGAATCTCCGCCGATGTCATACGGTGCATTAGCATTGCCATTCGAGATCGGAACCGAATCAGAAGCTCCGAAATTACCACCGTTAGAACCGAAACCGAACGGATCGGAGCTATCCGCATGATTCACCTGCAAGTTCTCCGACTCTCCCAACTCTGAAGCGTAAGGTGCGGCAGAGTGAGGCGGTGTATCAACGGAGGAAAACACGGTATAGGAATCGTCGAAGGCGCTGTATCCACCGCCGTTCTCGAAAGGACGCGCCGCCTCGTCACCATCCGCGCTGTACGCGTCGAACGATTCCATCTCCTCTTCACTCTAGAATTGTTCCGCCGGAATCTCGATTTCCTCTCTCTCTCTCTCTCTCTCTCTCTCTCTCTCTCTCTCTCGTTGTTCCACCGCCAACGCGGAAGCAACGTATGAATGCTTCCGTATCCAGTAAACCTGCTTATATACCTGTGTAGTGTACTGTAATGCGTATATATACGTCACGTCACTGCGCGGTGACGTGTTCATTTTACCCTCCAAAAACCGCACTAATTATTTCATATTAAAAATTAAAATGCGTCCCCTCCACTTTTCTTCTAAATGAAGATCACGAAGCTGTTAACTACCAGTTTACTGTTATATTATTGGAAGTTTGGAACTAAAAGCCATTTCTAACACTAACGAATATATGTATGCGATCATTCAACAATATAAATACATATATATTAAGTTAAATTACAATCAAAATTTGATGTAGAATAATATACGCTGGTCCAAAATGTTATCATCTAATATATAAACATTCAACACTAATGTAACAATATATGAGATTATATTTTGTACACAGTTAGAAATCTATCATGTCATTTAACCATTTTATTTATCTATACACAAAATTGGAAATACTAAACACACTGCGTATTTACTTATCCATATAATATGAAAATTATATACCATCTGCATATAAAATCATAATAATAAAAAAAAAAAAAAAAAAATCAAATCAAATCAAATTATAAAAACCACCACCTAATTTATTTTCACAATTAATTCCCTATCATATATGCAGCAACAGAAGATTTTCTGCATAAACAAGCAAATAAATTATAAGCCCTTTGATAGAAGACAGATTGCAAATAAGCACAATCAATTTACACCTATACAAAATTTACTTCAGTTCAATAAAATCCCATTCCAACTCACCCCCTAAATAATCCATAACTCAAAATAAAGAAGAGCTTATACTATACCTCAAAACAGTGCCCCCAAAAACACACCTACATCGGCTCCGGAGGTCGCGGCAGCTGCCCCGGCACATCAATGAGTATGTTCGATCCGCAAATACCTTTTGCAAAACTTGCTTTCCAAGGATCTCCCGGTTGATGGCCCCTTTTTTCTCAGTATAACCACGCTCCATTTACATGTCAAGATAATCTGCAGGTGTAAGAAACCCCCGAATATGCCAAAGACTGTCATTCCGTCCTCTTGTTACAAAAGTTTGGGTATCTAAACTGTCGCGCTTCCAGCAAGTGATGTCAGTTCAGTCAGTCAGTTAGTTGAACAATCTAGAGAGACAAAAGTGAACAACAGCGGGCAATATCTAAACATTTGGCTTCAGGAGGGATATATCTGCAATTGTTACATATCTTTGGCATTGGGTTGTGAAGTATACAAAGATGGAATAATGTAGAGGAGGGATTTTGTTAAGGAACAGGGGATTCGTTGTTCTTCGGGTGCCGGCCACCTGATGGCATTCGCTGGAGAACTCTAGAAAAATCGGGTTTTAATCTTTTATTAGACATGTCCTGCATGGATCTGAATCAGGAAGATTTAGAACAATGGATAATTGCAAAACAACGGCAAGAAGAGGTATGCATTGTCATTGAGTAAAGTTAGAGATGTTCAGCAATGAGAACTATTAAGCTGAATTTATAAGATGCAAGGCATTCTTAAATATCAGCGTGAAAATAAACATAATGGGTAAAACTACTCACCTCGGAGAGCCCTGACGCTTGTAAGGAAACTGAACCGGAAAATTTTTCAAGGATAAAAGAGCTTTTTCTGCAGCCTAAATGAAATTGTTTACAATTAAAAAAGTGTAAGAGAAATGAATTTGATACACACAATTAGAGACATGGAAGAATCCATGTGGAAATTGATAATTAGTAGAGAAGAACCTGAGATTTAGCATCATCCCACGTTGACCCAATTGCCTTGCCCAAGATTTGGCCATTGATCTCAACCTAGAATGCAAGCAAGAACTAGAATCATCATTCTTTCATTGGTGGAACCTTTGTTCTCTTTCTCTAAATATAGGTCTATTAAGACATAAGGATAGAACTTCGCATCCAAACAAAAAGGGGAATACAAATAAACAGTGACATTCCAAACACATAACAAATTTTCCAACCTTCAACGTTTTTACAATCAGTAGGAAATAATAGGTAAAAAACAACAAAATTGGTAACTTATAATTGGCCAAAATTTGTTTATGATTTATGAAGTTCAAAAAAGGGGACATTCTGACCTCTGCATAAATTTCTTCTTTCAAGCCTCGAGCTGAAATCTGAGGTCGAGTATGGAAAGCCACATTGCGGCCCTCCATTTTGCACTGAAAAAATAGTGACAACAAGAAACACAGCATCTGAATGGCCAGAAACTCACAATTTACATAACTCATGATGAGATATATATAAGTTTAATACTTACAAGCTCTTTAAGAGCAGCAATGGAATTAGTTGGTTTCTTAGACGCATCAAATCTAGGGTCTCGAATTCTTGTTGGTGTTGATGCCGTCGAGGGAACAGACTCCTCAGACAATGCCTGATTACTGAGCCTACTTCCATCTCCAGGAATGCTGATCGAATCCTGTTTAAGCTGAGACAAGTATTTATCTGCAAAAGAATAGTCGATCTTTGTAATGACCCAAGAAGTAAGTCGGTATGTAATAGTTCAAAAACTACAGCAGCCAAATTATCCTATCTTGCGTACAAAGTTGCCACATACTACTCCTAACCCGATACTTCTGCTAGTTTTGGCTATTTCCTTCTTTATACGTGGTATAATTTAAATTAACTTTTGGTCCAGTCCTTATATGCTTATTTTGTAATATTTCATATATTAGTAAAAATTGTGTAGAAAATGGCAAAGAGTAAATTGTGTCAAAAACAAATAATTTTTTGCAAATATTCAAGGTTTGTTTACCTGTAATTTTTTTTTTACCTATTTTTACTATTCAATCTCCAAACTTTCCTAAAGAATGTCACATTCAACCACTATTTCTTCTAAAAAGAAACAAAATCCAAAAATAAAAATAAAAAGACATTCCAGATAGTAAAGAAATAGCAAATATTAGGACAAATGTTCGCAAGCCTGTATGACAAAGACTAAATATGCTTTATGCACAGATATCTCTGACCTAAATTGATTATCCAGGGAAACAGTTAGAAGCCAATGTACAATATGCAAAATAATTATCTTCAGCATCCAAAGACCATATTGTTAATACAAAAAATGACACCATACAGTTAGCTCTAAATCAGAATATATTTTGGTATCAGGACCACAAGCAAAAGAATTAATTATAGCATCACAAGATAATCCCCAGGAAGTGCCAGAAGAAAAACGGCCTAAAGAGAGTATCATATGACTTCTAATATTCAAACACCAGATATGGTACATGAAAATCCACTGTTAGAAGGCGAGAAAATAAAGAGGATTATGATAATTGTAGGTAGATTCGTCATAAAAGATAAAATTCTACCAACTCCCACAGTCGAGAAGGGTGAAAAAGAAACATGAAGATAAATAAGAACAGGGATACTACATTTCGATAGTTTAAGATACGGATGAATAAAATGTGAGACTGAAAGGACTTGAAAACAATGCAGAGCAACAAAACAGAGCAAAACCAAAGTCAATGAATTACACAAAGATCATTGTCCAGTATATAGATCTACCGTAAATCACTAGAAAGCAAACTCAAGAGGAAAGGAAAACTACAAACTGAATTCACCCCAGCCAGCCCAACAGTTCCCTCTTCACCTTTATTTATTTATTTTGAAGCTGATCTTAAACAATGGCTTCAACTAAAAGTTTTAAGCTAACTGAACTATGCAGTATTGTATATTTATATATTTATTTCCTTCAACAATCCTGTCAAAAAAATGATGGAATCTTTTTCCACAAACCCTTAAATATGACAAGTTTTCAGAATATGGATGATGATATTGATACCACCATAAAAACTTGAGCTAACAAGAGATAACAAGCAAAGAAGACAATCCAACAGATTTAACTATCAGCCAGCATTTGTTACCAGCCAAATACATGAGAGAACTTTCAGCTGCGTTGTGTTGTGCTTCCCTTCTGGTCCTACCCATACCTTCGCCCACCTTCTCCCCAGCAAAGAAAACCTGCAGAAGACCCTCAAATTATGCAAGTGAACAAAATTCCCTTCCTCTTTTGGTGCAAGAAATGCATGAATGAGAAATATGACAGCATCAAGATACATTCAGAAGTCTAGAGCAACCTCAGCAGAGAACTGCAGTTCTACACTTGATACTAGAGCTTGCTTAAACTCCACCTGCAGGTTTGAGACAACAGAAGTCAGAATTAGGCCGATAAGATTAAAAGAATAAAGCAGATGTTTCATACCCTCGCCCCACACTTAAGAGCAATATCCTGTAAAGCTCCAGCAAAAGTTTCATTGTAGGAATCATTTTGTCCAGATTCAAAATCTGGATCCTTGAGAACAGGTGCAGGGCTATCATCTTCACCTTGAAAATGGGAATGGTGAATTAGTTCTGATGCTTTTGATTGACGTTGAGTATGTATTTAGTTACGGATTATGATTTCAGATATAACATAGAAAGATCAGTCAAAGAAAATAGAAAACAAAAAGAGTAACATATGGAGGCTAAATGAGCTAGATCCATATTTGGGGATTTTTGAAAAAAAAAGAAAAATATTAATTATTTGTCAAATCTGATAAAAAGGTAAAATCTCCAGTTTCTGGCTATTATAAATTTCCTCAATTCAGGGTGAAATAGCAATTTTACTTTTAAGGATTTACCATATTCCACAATGAAGTTTTTTCTTTTATTTTTTTCCTTGAGATTTTAACATGTGGATGAAATGAAATTTGCAGATATCAAGCATATCTTTTTCTTTTCAATAAATCTGACTCACGAGAAAAAGAAGGGAAATGAGGCCGTGGTGGATTTATCCTTAACACGTCTTCTCTCGGGAGTTCCTGAATACATACAATAACACACAATATAAATACTTCTCACATAAAGAAACTACCAATAACTAATATTCCATTGGTGGCATAAGATTGATACTACTTACCTTTTTCGGCAACCTCTGGCTTTCAAGAGCTCTGCCAGGAGGAATGGGTGTTTCAACTTTGTTGAGATAGGGCGTGTGGTGGGGCCGGTGACTTTCAATAGGAAGCGACCCAGAACTAAACTCCACAGAAGGTGCGACTCGATTCAACTGTCTGAGGTTCACGTCCTCTTCACCAGGAAACCATCCACGTGGATGAACTCTAGGTACAGGCACTTGTGCAGCTGGCTCAGTTGGAAACTTGGGGGGGTCAGTAGGAGGGTGTTCTCTAATGTCTTGACCATGTTGCAAAATGAGTAATCTTCTCCTTGTATCAGGGTCTAACTCAGATTCGGGTACCTCTCCTTCTTCCCTTGCAGGAGAACTCTGCAAAGATGTTTCTGCTTGTCCAAGGTGGGTCGTTGGGGCTTTAAGGAGTGTAGCAGTGACTTGTGGTACGTGCTGACTGGGGAATGGCATCGAAGGCCCTTGTACTGCTGTTGGAGGATGAACTGTAAATGAAGTTGATGGTGCAGAGTACTGAAGGGTTGATACAATTCTTGGATCTAGATTCATTATGGGTGTAGAAGCAGCAGTCGAAGATGCGGCCATTGCCTCCTGAAAGATTTTAGAATTTCCCAATTTAACATCCTAACACAAATAGATAAATGAATTAAAAGGCACTTCAAAAAGATTTAGAAAAGGAGAATAGCATGGTAGGAAGGAATATCAGCATAGAGAAACAGCGCCACAAACAATCAATCTTTCTTGGCACCAACAAAGCATATAAGAATTTAAAACAAGAAATTTAACCTTTAATCTTCTTTCAACCTCTGGACCTGCCATCCCATCAAAACCAAGCAAATCTTTGTTGCCATTTGATATTGAAGGATCCTCCTACAAAATACCAAAACTAATGCAGCTTAGTATGTGAATTTTTGTGGTGTAACTTGTATTGCAGCAGGAATTCAAAATCAGCTTTTAAAATAATAAAATTGAGTGTATTGTTCAGCAGAGGTTTGAAGGTTAAGATTGGATAAACTAACCTCTGAAACCAAGTAGTTGCTCACATCAGGTGGAAAAGGCAAGTCAGCAATATCATCTTCATATGCCACTTCAGCTATTCGTTGCATTAGACCATCATCAAACTCCCTGAGTCAAATACATCAAGTAAATCACATGAGAAGCACATAATCAAGAAGAAAAGGGAAAAAAAAAAAAACACAAACACACAGAGGAATACCAAACTTACTTGAAAAAACCACCTCTAACATTGCAGGCGACATTTCTTGCAACACAGAGCACAGGAATGGTATTGTTGGCCTACCGAAGTATATTAAAGACAATATTCACAAAAATATAATATCAATATTGCAGGCAGAAATAGTTTGTCGGTGAGAATTAGTTACTTCAGCTTGAGGTGCAAAATATGGCATAAAAGCAGGAACAACATGCAGTCGAGGTTGATCCTGTTCTTCCCATACTTTTAAACGGTCATCGATCACCAAAGCCATCTTTGGATGACAGTTTCCATCCTGGAAAACGTTAAATAGTGATTTCCTCAAACCTGCGCACAAGTTAGTCAAATATTAAGGTCAGAAGTAATAAATCCAATCTAAAATTGAACTCACAGTTCCCCAACCTTACCTGACTTAACACACACTATGCGATCAAAAAGCTCCCTTGGGCTAATCAAATTGGAGTCTGGATCAAGAAGTCTCCACATTTCTAACGCATAATCTCTTTCCGCCATTGTGCAAACAAAAACCTCAAATCGCTTTCGACCTTTAGCTGTCAAGTAGCTTCTGAGATCTTCCCACGCAGGTCTTAATCTCACGAGAACACTTGTATCACGTACCTGCAGTAGCACAAAGTCAATATCATGCGATGTAGATTTTGCTTTGTTAGGGCTTTTCTGAGTGAGACAATGCAGATAAAATTATAATATAAGCTGCAGAAGAAAGAGCAGTGTCTTTACCTGTGGATTGATGCGAGTAAGAATAATGTTTCTATCCGGTAGCCGTATAAGTGGGCGCACAATAGTTGGGTGATTGTCAGACAAAGCCAGAACCACCTCAGACTCTGCCTTAATGATTTTTCCATTGTCATTTATCTGATCGGCTTCAGCATATTGCTTCAAAATACTTCTATCATCCTGATAACGCCTAACCTCCGCCATCATGCCATTTATACGCTGTTGGTCAGTCTCAAAACTTATTTTCCGCTGCAGCGAATCTATCCTATCCTCAAACGAACGCATTGTATTGGCAACTATAAGCGTTTCATCAAGATCAAAAACAATGCCAAGACACCTTAGATTCAGCATGACAAGGCAAGAATTGTAGAGGGCTGACGACACATTAAATCCCCAGAAGCAAGGGGTTTGCCCTTCGTACTTTCTTGAATGCATTGCAACTAAATGAACATCCTGGCCATCTATAAAGGCTACAGCCGTCTGCAAAGTATTCATTATGGCAAGAAAGTAAGCATTCGAAACTAAAAGTAAACTAATGACAGTTGTAATAAAAAGTTCAGGATGGAAACCATGACGTCTCCAGTTTCAATTTACAGAATAATGAATAAGACGAGGACAGATGCAAGAATTAAAACATAGAGATGAATAGCATGACTAATGGAAATTAATTATCTTTAACGAGATAAGAACACATCCACATGTTCATCATTTCACCGCGAATCATGACTCTAGGATTCACCATTTATATTTAAAAGAAGAGATTTAAATATATTGAAACACTTGTTCAAGAATTGGGTCTAGCCTTCAACCTATGCAAAGAAGCAACATATTTATATCATTCGGGAGTTCTTTTTACATCACTTTGTATCACAATTTAATACCCTTTTCCGATTTCCAAATAAAAGAAGTCAATATTTCTTTCGCGGCAAAGGCGCCAAAAATATTTCTAGAACAAAAGCATTGCCCTCTTGGATCAAATTATAGTTTCGAATGCCTTCGAGATTCAATTGGAGATTACATTTTGCATAATATGAAATTGACTTAAAAGCTCTTCGCCCAGAAAATCCTACATTGTTGCAAAAGTTCAAGACACATAAGTAATCTACCAAATTTTACATTAAATAGAAAAGATAGGCCATTAGTCAATTTCCCTATAGCTATAGCCCAAATCATTCTTCCCCAAGTGTATGTGCAATTCTGTAATAAGGTTTACTTGCTAAAATTTAGAACCCATGGGTCCTTATCTGCACAATGCTTGAATTGTCCCAAATATGAAAATTCTTTACTGTCTAAAGATCTGCATTATTCAAAAAAATTTCAAAATTAAGGTTCCTTCAGTTCTGAATCACAATTAGGGTTTCACTTTCTTCATCACAAGGTTTTATTAATTAATTTAGTTATTTATTTTTCCCTAACCAGTGAGAATTGTGGTTTCTGTACTGTTTGGCGACAATACCTTGTTATCCTTGAGACAGTTGGCGTGCAATACAGATAGCGGCGAGTCCACCGCGTTCTTCGCCGCCGATTCCAGTTTGAAGCATATTCCGGCGGCAGAGTTAATGGTATGAAGCACGGCGAGTGGGGGGCACCTCTCACTCGGCGGCGAATAGTGAGAAATACGAATTACCCTAATCTCTTCACCCCAAACGCCGCCGTTCTGCCGTAGCAGCTCCGCCTCCCCCAGCAACCTCTCCCCGTCGTACACCAACACTAATTTTCGATACATTTATATATATTCTCCCAACCAAAAACGAAACAATTTCAAACTCCTTCGCTAAATTGGAACAATTTTGGGAATCAATCAATATTTTAATCAAACTCCACCGGTTTTTGTTTCCTCGTTTATGTATCGGAGAAATCAATCGTTCAGTAGGAGAGGTAAAAACATCAGAAGACGACGAGATGCGAAAAAAAAAAAATATATATATATATATAAACAAAAACTAGGGATTTGGAACCAAGATTTTCAAGTATGGTAGTAGAAAATTCCCGATCATGAAATTTTAGGGTTTAGGGTGGATGTTCCCGATCAAGATCCAAGATTTTGGAAGTTCAATTAAGAGTTTGATCGGTGGCGGATGATGAGATGAATATGAACAGGAAAACCCTAGATCCAGAAAAGCGTCAGATACCTGCGCCGCGCTCGCTGCGTGCTCTCCCTAACCTAATTCTGATTCGGCTAATCTGATGGCTGACGCCTTTTCCTTTTTTCTTTTTTCTTTTTTTTTTTTTAATTAAATTTCCACTCCTTTTCCCTTTTAACTATTAGGCCAATGTTATTGTTATAGAATTTACGATCATTAAAATAGCCTCGGTTAATGTCGTGTTCGTTTGGTTAATTTTTTTCAATTTTATTATTTATTATTATATTTTTATATTATATTAAAATTAAATTTTATATTTAAAATATTACATAAACTCGTCAATCATCTTAAGGACTTACTATTCACTTTTTAGTGGTCCCTTTTATATGCTAAAATTATGATAATATTTTTTTTTTATTTTTCTTTTTGTTAAATTCATGTATAGTTTATTTATAATAAAATATTTTAAGTTTGCTTTGTATAAAAGTAATAAATGTGCCTCCACCCATTTAATTTGTCTCACTTTCTATTTTCGTTTTCACATATTATTTATCTTTTTTTTAAATATAATTATATATTTTAATTATATTTTAAAATTTATAATTTATACTCCCTCAGTCCCCTTCTACGCTTCCTTCTACGCTTCAAGTTTACATTTTGACGTCATTATACTAAACACTAAAATTATTTTATATTTGTATGTTTTTTTTACAAATGTCTTTTTATTAGTATTACAAGAGTATAAGAGACTAATGAAAATATTTTTATATTTTTTAATTTGTACTAAGTTTTGATATAATAAATAAAATTCAAATATCAATATGCAAAAATAAATAGAAACTTTAGAGTCAGACAAATGTAGTATTTTTATTTTAATTAAAATATTTTAATTATATTAATCTTAATATATAATTATTTTTATTAGATTATAATTATTTTCACTAATATTTTCTTAATTATACAAATACTTAAAACTTCGTGTCTAATTTAAATGAGACAAACAAATGAATAATACTTTTGAAAAAATGTGTTAGTTCATTTTCTTAAAAAAGAACACACCCCTTATTTAATTATAATTTTATTATAATATTTTCTATTTATCTAACTATATTTTTATTAATTCTTTATAAAAAAAACTAGAATAAATCATTTTAGTTTTTACTTACCCAATTTGATATTTAAACACACCTATTTTTATGTGCATATTTGTTACCATTGAAATTTATGCAATATAAAAATAATATGTAAGAATATTATTAAGTTTCGATATGTTGGTAATTTTAAATGAAATACAAAATTACTTTATTATAAATAAGACAGTATATTAATAATTACATGTAAAATATTAAATTTTTAATTATTATTTGAAAATTCATCTACTAAAATAAATAAATAAATAAATAATTATGAATATTTCAAAATAATAAAATAGATATTGATATGTTGATCTATATTAGGGAAAAGTTATTAAAATATAAGATACAGAAATCTTTTAAAAAAAATCTTCAAAGAAAATCGTACTTAACACATCTGTTTTATGGGAATCGATATTAAATTATCTATAGAGCTTATCCTACATAGATGTTTAATAAAAATAAATTCAAATGTTCACATTTTAAAATTTACTGCTAAAATATTCCTTTTAAATGCTACAATATATATATATATATATATATATATATATTCAGTTTGGTGTGCTAAGCCGTGAATCCATATTATTTTGGTACTTAATAAAGTTGATTGTCGGATTTTCAAGATTTAGATCATGTTGGGCTTGTTCTAATATTACAGTGTTAGGCCAGCATTTATGATAGGGTGTTTTTTGTATCATATGCTAAAAGAAGTACATCTCTTATTTGCAAAATATTAATAGTAATTGTTCATATTCTTATGGTCTGCCTTTTTATTCAATATTTTTAAGATAAATATATATATCTATTTATTTAATATTCCATCTTATATAAATAATAAAAACATTGCAAAAGAAGTAGCTCGTATCATATAACAGTAGAAACCAGTGCAATTTAGAAACAGTAGAATCCGAGAAGCAATAATCAGTTACCAGCAACTCCCGGGATCTCAACACCCGATACATACAAATCCATACAAGTCTACTACCATAGCGTTCCATTTCCGGCGTCGGACTCCCGGAGCTTCGAAGAACCATCACCTCTTTCACCCTCCCTCCCCGACTGAACTGACTCACTCACTATCTCAAATTACAGTTTAAAAGTTTCCCATTCAGAAACCCCAAAACCCAACTGTCAGCCATTTCCAAAATATCATCCAAAAACAGTACCAATCAGGCACAAATTTCGAGACTCAATCATTCATCACCAGAAAAACAAAACCCAAACAAGAACTTCTCTCACTGCTCCCAAAACCCTCCAAAATTTCCCCCCAATTTTTTCATCAATTCGATCCCTGCAATGAAAATGAAAAAAATCTAGGAAGTGAACAAGTTATGAAATCTCCAGACGCCATTTTCAGCTGCAGAGAAATCTACGCTACAATTTCTCTTATCTCCATCTTTCTCTTGGCTTACAACAGCAGCTCTGTCTTCTACACAACCGTCCCCATCCCCGCCGCCACAGACCCGCCGGAAAAAGTCACAACTCCGGAGGAGAATGTCGCCGGAAAGTCGTCGAGGAAGGTCTTCTCCGTACCTCAATTGAACACCCGAATCCCCCTTTTGAGCCAAAATCGAAACCTAGCAATTTCCCCAAATCGAACTGCTAGACAGACTAAGAAGAAATTGAGAAGATTTGAAGATCGAGTGACGGATTTCTTCGACGCCGATTGTAAGAATCAATTCTTCATGACATGGATTTCGCCATTGGAGACATTTGGAGGTCGGGAAATCTTCGTTCTGCACACTCTATTCACAGCACACCCAAATGGCTGCTTGATCATCGCCTCAGATTCACTCGATTCCAAAAACGGGACGAAGGTTTTGAAGCCCTTTTTAGCCAAGGGTTTGAAAGTTTCAGCAATTTCTCCTGACTTCAATTTCCTGTTCAAGAAAACCCCTGCAGAGGCATGGTACAACCAGCTAAAGAGCGGGAGCCTGCATTCCGGGGTTGTACCATTGGGACAGAATCTATCCAACTTGCTAAGACTGGGCTTGCTGTACAGATTCGGGGGGACTTATTTAGACACAGACGTAATCATTCTGAGGAGCTTTAACGGTCTGAAGAACGCCATTGGAGCTCAGACAGTCGATTCTATTACAGGGAATTGGAGCAGATTGAACAATGCAGTAATGGTGTTCGATCGAGGGCATCCATTGCTGTACAAATTCATTCAGGAATTTGCCCTTACATTCGACGGCAATAAATGGGGCCATAATGGGCCGTATTTGGTGTCCCGAGTCGTCGCGAGGATTTCCGGGAGGCCCGGGTACGAATTCGAGGTTTTGCCGCCGCCGGCATTTTATCCGGTGGATTGGAGTAGGATTAAGGCCCTGTTCGAGGGGCCGAGGAATTCGACGGAGTCGAAATGGGTAGCAGCAAAACTCGATCAGCTTCGGAGCCGGTGTTTCGCTGTTCATTTGTGGAATAAGCATAGCCGGGGGATGGTCGTCGAGAAAGGGAGCATTTTGGAGCACTTGATGTCGGGTTTCGGGTATAATTATTTGAATTCGACGATGAATTTTTAAGGTTTGCAATGTCTCATTGCAAAGAGATTGATCATTTCGTCTAAAAATTTGTATGTTATTAATTGCATATGTAGTTTAGGGAAAGAAAATATTTTTCATTACATGTTACGTACATAGGTGTGTTAGAGATTAGGGCATAAAGGAGCATGCAAGAAAAAAAGGTTCTTGAATGCTAGAATTGTCGTGTTCTGTTCTCTGTATGGTTAAAATTCTTTTATAAAGTCTACAATTACTACAAGATCCTTATTTACAGTGTTTCAAAATTTTGGAATTGTTGCAGGAGTAGTGTGTATATTGCATTTATTGTATGTGGGAGGTGGTGTGTGGTTGTTGGGGGCACCCGGGATCTCAGTCCAGATGCATGAACGGTTGTGCTCCTTGGAGCTTAGTTTAGTCATGCGTGGTTGATACCTAGACTCGGTTAGGGCACGAGAGTCTTGTGTTGTTAACTATGTAAGAATTTACCTGCTATTAGATTAGAATTTTATAAATTTTAAATATTTTTTAAAAATAAATACTATTATACTCAATGTTTTGGAATTTTGGGTGTGTTTATTTTGTATTTTGTATTTTGAATTTGAGATTTTCTTTTTTATTTAAATATAAAAATCTATCGATAATATAAAAAATAATATTTTGTATTTAATTATTAATGTTTTTGAATGAATAAAGTATATATATTATATGTTTTGTATAATTATATATAATATTAATATAAAACGTGTTACAATTAAAAAGTTCAATATTTGGACAATATTCATAGCATTCATTTAAAAGAGAGTAAATTGATATTTATATCTATTGTTGGGATATATTAGGTTAAGTTCAATGCTTCTAGGCAGTTATTTGTACATTATTTAATGTTGTATATAAATTTATTTTGTAACTCCCACTTGTAATCTCATTGCTAATTATTTAACTCGTAAATACAAATGTCCAAAATGTGACAAATTTTTATAATAATAATAATATCTTGGGACGTGGGTGGGTGGGTTGATTGAGATTTATGAGGCGAGGAGGGGAGAAGGACATCACTTCTCTGTATGAATAATTGTATCGTGTGATCCATGTGCTGCGCTTTAAAGTTTAATCTCTTTCGCTGTCGCCCCCTAATATATCATAATTATTTTTATACCTTTTTGTCTCTTTTCTATGGGAGGAACGAGTTAAGACACTGCATCATGATGTACTACTCCGACCTTACAACCTTATCTAAATATAATTATTATAATAATTTAGTTGATTTTTCCGTCGGGTTTGATTTACAGTGTATTAGGTTTGATCGGGGGTTTCACTTTCGGATAACGGCTGCGAATTCCCACGTCATAAAAAAATAAAAAATAAAAAAATATTATAATAATTTTAAAAAGAAATCCTAAATTTATAAATCATTAAAAAAAAATGAGTATATTGTTTAGTTAAATGAATATAGTACATTTGTTAAATTTATATTTTTTTATTTTTACATGAAAATTATATTAGGCACGATGAGATGAAGATAAAGAAAAAAATAGAAATAGTTATGTTACACTTGTTTGGTTGAAGTATAGAATTGAAAGTTAAAAATTAAAAAATAATATAGTATTTTTTTTATTCATAGAGAAAAACAAATAATTAAAAATTAAGAGTCTATTTATTATATATATTTAATAATTTGACTATTTAATTTTTATAAAACATCGTATTTAAATTATTATTTAAATAAAAAATTAAAATTAAATTAAGTAAATAAAAATTACAAGTACTTATTTCACTATATTAATGTTTATTTGTTGAAATATCTTTTACTCAATTCACTAGTTTGTTTGGGGGATTTAATTAGATTTCTACTATTCATTCAATTTTTTCCCCCAAAAATATCAAATCAAACACCTATTTTTTTTTTTTTTTATATTATACTAAAAATCAATTTTACATTCAAAACATCACATCAACACCTATTTATATCATACAACTATTCAAATTCAAAATTTTTACTATTCAAATCCCAACTCAAAATCCAAACCCTCAAACAAACACACCCTAATGTTTCTTTTGTCTCAGTCATTTTGCCAATATATACCAAATCGATTCATCTGACATGTCCCTACATGAATTCTCTGCTTATTGAATACAATTCAATTACATATATTATTGAGTATACTCTTTATATGCAGACGATTTACTAATTTCATAATATTATAACTTTACGACTTATTGTTAAAATATTAATTTATATTTAAATATTTATTTTTTTGTATGAGACATAGTTATGTAATACGTTGAAAGCTAAAAGAAAAAAAGAAAAAGATAATTTATAAGTATCAAATATGTTGAATATAAAGCCTTTATTAATTTTTAATTTTTTATGCTTAAATAATTAGTTATAATGTTATATGTACGGTATTTGATATGTCCCACCTAAATATGTCTGTCTCACATAACTTGTCCTTTCTATTTTTAGAAATATAATTATGCACTTTAATTGCATTTTAAATTTTAAATTTTTTTAATTTTAATTAAACTATTTACTTATCTTAATCTTAATTTATAATTATTTTTACTAAATAATAATTATTTTTACTAATACACTTCTTAATTACTTACTAATTATATTTTACCTAAATTCCCATGTAGAATACACCCATATTACATGGGACGGATGGAGTAATAAATAAAAAAAATTACAATAAGGGGCTGTTTGGTTCGTGGATTTTGTGGGATTCCATGGAATTTGGATTTTAAAATGCTAATGAATCCATATTTGTTATAAAATTGATAATGAAATTTTAAGTGTATGGATTTTAAAATCCTGCAAATGCAGAATTTTTCAATAAGAGTGTACCCCCTGTTACTTTAAAATATCATGTCATTATATTTTTCATTTTACTATTATACCCTCATATAAAAAAATTATATTTCTTTTTCTTTTTAATATTAAATGTATATAAATATATATATTTACATTTAAATTATATTTTATTGATTTTATAAAATATTGGGATATAGTAGAAATAAAGTAAAAATGACTAAAATAACCTTATTAGTATGTGTGATATAAAAGTAATGACATTTGTGTAATATATTGTAAGTTGTAAGGATATTTATAATGTTAGGTAGATAGTATAGTTACTAAAAAAAAAGAAATGAATATTTTGTTATGGGACGGATTAAAATAGAAAAATGGATATTTTGTTATGGATGCAATGAATATTTATTTATAAAAATATTATATATATTTAATTCTTTTACTAAATAATTTAAATAAATTAATAATTTTAAATATCAATTAATAATTTAAATTTATTTTAATGGTGTATTAATTTTGTATTTTTAGTTTAAATTATTTTTTTTATATTAAATATGAGAAAGAATGTCGATAGTATAAAAAAATAATTAAATTGTCGTATTTTTTAGTGTATCGATTATATATTACAATATATATTTTGTATGAATATATATTATATCTTTTATTATTAATCGAAAATCGTATTAAATTTTTTTTTATTAGAATACACTAAATTTAGTAAAAAACAAAGTTTATGGAAAAAAAATAGATGTAAAGTTTAATTTATCACAATAAATAAAATTCGTTGAAGTATAATTACGTCATTTAAAATATCAAAAATCAAAATCCTTGAACCAAACACATGATATGATTCCAAATCTAAATACAATAAATCCTAGAAAAGTCTTTAAACCAACCAGCCCTAAATGTTTTAAATGAGAAAATAAAAAATAAAAAATAAAAAAATCTCAAAGCAAAAGAGCCTAATTAGCTCGGTTTTGATTCATACATTACCTAAATACACACAAGTAATTAATTAAAATGGATGGCTAATTGCATTTTATAAATTTTACTACATCTGTCTCATTATTTTTGTTTGATTTATTTTTGGCACGATTGTTTAGGTAATATGATTTTAATTAAAACAAAAAATTATTATTATTTTAATTTTTTGTTTGAGTATATTTTTATAAATTAATTTTAGAGAGGTTAAAAAAAAAAGTAGAAACATTTTAAATCATTTCAAATTTAAAATAAATAAAAAATGGACCAACTGAAGAATAAATAAAGGCCATTGATTTATTGCACGTGATGTAAGGCCCAGCCCATGTTGGTATGTGTATCTGTAGCCGCACACACAAATGGACATGTGATACAGACAAAAGCCATGCCTGTTTGTAGTAGTATGGATAATGGCATAATGCATACGTAGTTCTTTATTTGTTTTTATTTTCAATTTTTTTTTCTTAGCCAATATTAATCCGTTCACGATAATAAAACAATTATCAAATGATCAAAACTTACTGATGTGTTTCTTTAATACAATATTTTCAAATTTTACATGTACTATGCAAAATTTGAAAGAAAATATATATATATTTATATATAAATAAAAATCACATTAAACACGTATTTTGTATTATATATATCTATCTATATGTATATATATATCCATATCTGTTCATTATACAATACTTTTTTTTGGATCACGCTTTATTTGTTCAGTTTCTTATAAATACTAGAATCTAAACAAATACTATATAATTAATAAATAATTTAAAAATATATTAATAAAAAATATTATATAATATAAGTAATTATCAAATTTAAAATATAATTATTATTTAATGATAACAATAAATTTTGTAAAAAGAGAGTATAATAATAATAATAATAATAATAATAATAATAATAATATTATTATTATTATTATTATTACTAGTATTATTACATAGTGAAAGTACAGGTAGGAGGCAATGTGTGTGTGCTTGTTGTGGCATTATATTGTTGGGCGGATCGAAGCCGCTGTATCTTGCGTCCGCGATCCCAGGCGCCTGTCTCCCTTTATCCACTCTCTACATTCTACAATCCAAATTAATCAAAATATTGGATTTTTTTAAAGTATTTTTATTTGAAGATTTTTTTCTTTATTTTTAAATTAATATAAAGTATAGAAAAATATATTGTTAATATAAAAAATAATATTTTATGTTAAATATTAATTTTTGTAGAGAATAAAATATATATTGAAAATCACGTCGAAAATAAAATTACAAATAAATTCATTATTTAAATAAAAATTCAAATCAAAATTTTATTTCTAATCAATTTGGAATCACAAAGAAACAAACCTAAAATTTTTCATACTTTCATTTAATTTGAAGTTATTTTTTTGTAAATTATTTGATATAATATTTTCTTTAATATATATATATTAAATAATAATTTTAAAAGTTTCAAAAAAATCATTATATAAATCAAACCTAGATAATCGCGGTGCATGTATTTTTATATTTGAATTTTTTTACATTATATTTATTTATTGTAACTTTTACTTTTTTTTAAAAAATAAAAATACTATATTATTTTATTTGACAATATATTGTACTTCCTCCGTTCACGGATAAAGTATATATTTACTTTTGGCGTGGTTAGGTAAAAGTAGTGAAATGACATTTTTGCCCCTGCCTTTTAGTATAAAAGTAATGATGTGATATAAAGTAAGGTTATTTGTGGAAAAAAGTGGGGTATTTAATAAAATGATTATTTTGTAATTTGACGTCCTAAAATAAAAATTCGTATACTTTGTAATTGGACGGAGGTAGGGAATATTTAGATTATTTAGATCAAAATCTAAATCTTAATAGACAGAGATCCATCATGCTTCTAGTTTATTTTTTATAATAATAATAAACATAAATAAAATATAATAAAATTGTGATTTCACGTGGTCGCATCATAATTTAATTAACTATTATAATTACATAGGTGTATATATGTATGTGTGTGGGAACAGAAATCATTGTAGTTTAATTTAAACTAAGCATACCAAACTGGACTCCTACCCAAAAAAATTCCAGATTCAAAAAGGGCAATATTTAAATAAAATGGTAAATACTATTCCCTCCGTCCACAAATTAATATTCTACTTTTCTATTTGAAACATTTAATAACTATTGTCTTATTTTTTTTTTAAACACAAATTTTACATTTTTACCCTTCATTCATTTATTACTTTTTCATATCTACCATACAATTAAGGGCAAATTTGTTAATTCATAACAAAAAGACAATCACCTAAAAAAACCGTGTAAATATACTTTAGAACAATAGAAATTGTACGGAGGGAGTATAATATTACTATAATGTTTGTAACGAGATATTGAATTTTATTTTTCATTATTAATCTATCCTTGTGTGTCTAAAAATTATTCATTTATTTTTCAAAGAGTTAATAATAAATAAGGTTGGAATTGTGTGTCAACTTTAATTGCATCCGTTGGTTGGTCTGAAATAGTGTTGGTGAGTGACTGACAATTAGTTTATTTTTGTTAGTGTGTAATGAAAATTGAAGCAACCAATCAATCACATCAAAATCAAAATCAGAATAATTAAAAGTGACAATGAAATAGAAATATAAAAAAATGAGTTTTAATTAAATTTAATTTTAGGAGGAATAGAGAATAAATGAAAATAATTGGGGGTGATGATCATAGTTTTTGTGACTATAGTGCCAACTCTAATGTTCCCCTACTGCCTGCCTACCCTACACATACTTTTCATGAATAGATACCCAATTTAATCAATTTTAGCTTCGATCAAAAAATTATTATTATTATTTTTAATACTATTAATTTACAATATTATTTAAAAAAGTAATATGCCAAATATTTTTCTTTATTTAGACAGCAATTTCGTTAACTTTTAGAGTTTTGTAAAATTTCTGAAAATAAACAAAAATGAGGGTTTGTTCTTTTATGATTTTAAATCGAAACTAATATATTATTATAATTTAAAATATAATAATTTTTTTTTCACAAATTATCGTATTAAAATATTATTTATATTGACATTGTAAAAAATATCGACAATATTTATCAAAAATATTTTCTTTTTTCTAAAAAATAAGTATTTAGTCATGAAATATTAAACTAAGTACTATAATTTATTATTATTTTTTAAAAGAATTTCAAAATTTTTATAGAAATTTTTCAATCTAAACAGAACTCAATTTATTTGATCCAACACTGTTTAAATAAAATAAAAAATTCTTTCAGAACTATGACATCAAGTATTTTTAAAATTTTATTTAATATATTCAAAAAAATTATTATTATTATTTTCATTTAAAATATCAAATCAAATCAAATATTTATATTATATTATATTAATTCAAAATTTTGCTATTCTCGAGCACAAATACAAACCTTGAAAAAAATATCTAAATTTGCTGGATGATGTTTAATTAGATTTTGTTAACACAAAGTGTTAGTTATGTAAATAAAACATATATATATATATATATATATATTAATTAGTGATGCATGCGTGCATTTGGTGTAATGATGATCTTATTTGATACCATATATAAATTAATACCCTCACCCTCACCTTAACCCCACCACAATGTTTTTACAAATAGCAAAAATTATATGTATATATAGGTTGTTATTTTATTTTATTTTTTAATTTCATCTTATTCTAGTAAGAAGGAAATGAGTGTTATATATATATATATATATATATGCATATAGTTGTCTTAGTGCAAATCTATTATTGAATGTATTTAATCTTTGGTTTGGAAGTTAAAAGCTTTGTTTAAGCAACAAATTTTTACTCATTTATCATTATTTATTTTTTTAAAAATATTACATCAAATATATATATTTTTTCTTACAAAACATCAAATTAAATACTAATTTTTTACTTTTTTTTTTTCTTAACTTCCAAATTTTCAAAAACCTCCAAAAATCCGACCTAAACAAACCCAAAAGGTTTTTATTTTTGAATAGTATTTTGTACTTTGTTTAATTATATTTTAGAAATATTTTAATGGTCAAGTTGTATTGAAAGTGGTAACATTTTGAACTAAAAATAAATATATTAGATGTAGATTTGCCTAAACTATTCCAAACATTCAAATGCTTTGATTTTTTTTTTTTTTTTTTTTAATTCAAACTAGAATTATGAAAAAAAATCGTAATTGTGATTGGACTTTTTAATGTTTATTAAAATACCATATTAATTGAAAGTGTGAAATGCCTTCCACCCTATTCAAACATTTTTTTTTTTTAATTATTATTATAAGCTTCTAGAATGTAGTGAATGGATTTAGTAACATATATGTGCTCTAAAGTTTATAAAAATTTATAATTTTTAGTCGTTCAAATTTAAAATATTTATTATCAAATTATAAATTTTAAAGGGGAGGGATGTAGTATAAATAAAATAAAGATAGTAAGATTTAATAACTATATATTGCACTAACTATTGGAACCAAACACTACTTAAACTTACAAATTTATGGTATGATATCTTAATTACATTTTAAATAAAAACAAATGAATAATATATAGTAAAAATTACAAATAAATAGGATGTGATTTTTTTTTTAATATTAATAAATTACATTTTTTTTTTATGTGTATATATATATAAAAAAGGATGTGCTTTAAAACTTAAACTGACTCTTCTTCCTTTATTTTTATTTTTATTTATTTTTTTACTTTTTTTCAAGAACATAAAATATATATATATATATACATATGCATATACATGTATGTGTATATCCATATAGACAGAGAGATGGTGACACCCAAAACAGATATATAATAGAACGATAGATACACAGGCACAGACACAACACACAATCTCATCTTTTGATATACAATTAATTTTCCTTCTAATTTAAATCCCCAACAATTCATCATATTAATTACACACACAAATCCATGGGGTTGAAGGCCACAGAACCTTCCGGCGACCATTCATCGCCGGAGCCGCCACAACCGCCGCCACGGAAGTCGCCGGAATCCCTCAAGTGTCCGAGGTGCGGTTCCGACAACACCAAGTTCTGTTATTACAACAACTACAACAAGTCTCAGCCCCGACACTTCTGCAAATCCTGCAAGAGGCATTGGACCAAAGGCGGCACTCTCCGGAACGTCCCCGTCGGCGGCGGCCGGAAAACCACCAAACGCCTCCGGACCAATTTTCCGGCGGCCGATAGTGCCCAGCCGCCGCGCCGCCAGGGTCGCGCCGGATTATTACCTTTCGACGAGGAAATAATTAACACGCCGATGATTGGCGGCTCCGATTTAGCTGATACGACATCGTTGCATGACGTTAAGCCGCCTTTGTTGGATCAAAATCCGACTCCCAATCCTATAGTCATTAATGATCTCATTAATGATCAGTATTCTGGGATTAGTTTGTTCGATTCTTCTTATGTATCCGGCAATGGCGGCGCAATTCCAGTTCCGATTCCGAATCTAACTCCGAACTTGAATATGAATAACGATGTGGATTATTTGTCGAATAATTATTTCTGGAATTGGGATTGGAATTATTGGAAAGGGATCGGCGACGTGTTCGTGGGATCATCCGACGTTGTTTGGGACGATGTCTACGCCGAGACAAAACCCTAGCTAAGAAGCATCCTAGCCTGATCGAGTTTTAATTAATTAATTTAATTTGTTGTTTTTAAAATTTAAAATTTTGATTTTAAGGATTTGTATGCATAGGTTGATTAATAGTAGTTAAGATTGTTGGTTAAGGGCATGGTTCAGTTGTGTAATTTAATATAAAATATTGTACACTAGCTATTTGAATACCATATATAGTTTTCAAATTCTAGTATTTCTGGATCATATTCGACATGCATTCTGTTAATACTTTTTTGTTTCCTAATTCATATATGTATATATATACATATATAATGCAGTTAATACAAAACTATACAATAGAAGCCAATGAAGCATGATCAAAGCATTATTAATAAATTGTACTATAAATTATAGCTATAACAGCAGTCCGCTGGAGTCCAGTTGTTTTTATTAAAATGCGTGCATATATATACTATATAAAATGTGATATATATATAATAATAATAATAATAATAATAAATCAAAATCCATTCACCCTATACATACATACGTATACGTATACTAATCAGGACTAGCTAGTACTTGTATAGCCTATATATGTATATGTATAATGTGGAAATTGAAAGTAGGCGTGGTTGTCAGAATCAGAAGATATTGGGACAAAACAGAATGTGTAATTTGTGGTGCTGCTTGTTTGAGTTAGCAGCTACCTCATATGTGATTTTTATATACATTTCTGGAGAACATTATTAAAATTATTATTGAAAGATCAATGGATTGGATGGGGTCTCTTGACAAGCTGGGGTGGGGTGGGGGTGCCCATTTGATGTGTATATTATATAAAATTATATACATACATGTACAGACATGTAGGTATGTATATATATATATATTTGGAAGATTCTCTTTATGGATATGTACGTTTATTAGTACCGCCTTCTTTGAACACCAGAGTTTGTTAGTCTGTTTCCATTTGAGAGATCATTTAATTAACTATTTTTATATTATTTTAAATATGTGCCATTGATCGATTATTACTTTGGACGATTCAGTTCAATAACTTTTATACTGATAATTTTATAACATAATTAAGCACCCTAAGAAGAGCATTTTAAATCAAAACCTTACATGATAGACTTGATCAAGAAAGCATATGTAGGACCAGCCACCGTAGACCGTACCATATCATACCAAATTACCAACTCAATCACTTCTTACATACACAACGATCACTTAACATTGTCAAAAATATTTATTATATTGAATCATAGAAAAACAATATCTTAATAACAATTTGCAATTTTCGTAAAAAAATATTATTTTCTCCTACAAATAGTCTTTACATATAACATACAATATTGGATTCATCAAGATTTAAGGATCAACTCTTGACACCACAAAACCACCATTGATTACCTGAAAAATTTACATGGAATAAAACGAACTGCACATAGCAACTAAAATGCCAAACCTGAGAAATTTCTCACGAAAATATTACAAATGCATTTATTATCTCCTAATCAATAAAATTGATCATTCATAGCAACCTTTTCAACCCACAAGTATAGATGAATGTAAAGAACAGACAAACCTTATTTCGAGCCAGCTATATCGATCCCATTCGAATTCCGGTGTCCCGACTCCCGGGCGCGAGCCCATCGCTGCTCCTCGAATAGCTTACGTAAAATAGCCCCGAGAGTATCCCCGTAAAGACAATGAATGCAGCCCCCGCCCCAAAGACACCCTTCCTCAGAGTCTCGCAGGACGGAGGATTATCCGAAAAGTATGTCCTGTACTTGGTGTGGTAAGCGTTACGAACCGAGCCAGCCAATAAGCATACCTCAGCGATAAAGAACACGACCCTGCATGGTGAATGTTCGAATTCGATCCTCTTAAGTTGCTAGAAGTAATGAAATGTAAAGCTGGCTAATTAATACACATGAATTCATTCATCATGTAAGCAGAGACTTATTGAGATGGTGAAATTTTGGGTTGGGATTTATATACCAGCAGGTGATGAAAAAGACTATTGTACGAACCCGGGCACGGCCAGGCTGGAGAGGCCTCCCACAGCACAAGCACCGAGCGACTGCCATTATCAGTATTTGGCTAGCCGTTAGAAGCAATAGTGATCCCACGCCGAGGCCGGTGGCTATGTCCTTGTCGTAATGGCAATACTTGGAATTATTTGGATCAGTTTGAACTTTTGCCTGCATAAGTCATTTAGATAGAAGAGTTAGGGGTCTTCGCAAACCGGGGAAGTAATAGTCGCTGGATGGGATCATTCTTTTCGACAAAGCAATTCGGAGCATTGTTAGTACAACAAATATGTCATTTAAGCTCTGGACTTCCATGAGATTCTGAAGGCAGAATTGATCTTACATAAGTTCAGTTTGATATGCTCTTAGTAATTAAGAATGGCACCAAACTTTGATTCTAATTTTGTTCAGAGGGTACAATGATCAAGATACACACAAGCAAATACTACTTTGATTTAGATATAAATTGAATTCTTTGGTATCACCAGTTAGATGTGGCAAACTATAATATGCAAGGAATTTGTAGAAACCTTCTGCGTCAATGTTCATCGTCTTGCAAGCAAAAGAAGAGAAGTAAACAATGAAGATACCGATTACTATCTCCTCTTCCTTGGGTGTTCAAATTATTTATTTAAATAATTCATGTCTTCAATTCCAATGACAAATCCCAATTCCATCGATCAGGTGAAAGGAACTCTAGATTACTAGTACTTAATACTTTGAAGAGCTCTTCAAATTAGGGCAGAAATGCAACCGGTGAAAGAAAAATATGACAGCAGTCTAATTTATAGAATTGCGCACAAAATCAAATGCTAGAACAATCCTGCTCTCCAATTACAGGAGACAATCAAGTAAACTAAAACCTATAGGTTGATTATCACAAAGTTAAAATAGCAAAACATCGGAAAAATATAGCCATACGAACAATCAAATCAAATTGCAGAAACCCGTAGCAACCTCAGATCAAATCCACGCAAAAGCAACTGGAAATTACATCATGAAAAACGAAGAGGATAAGGAACGATACGCAGTGCAGAAGTTAGATAAAACTCACGGTAGACCGACGCTGCTCAGCAGCAACAGCGAGTGCAAAGGCGATCAAGTCCAAGACGAACACAATCGCCAGCAGCAATTTGGACACCATCTCCAAATCACCAATCCTCGAAGAACTGTTCTCTCTAAAATCAGATGCTCTATTAGCAGAAACTTGGTACAAACCACCAGAAAATTCGATAGAATTTCAACATACTTTCAACTCTGAAGAAGAAGAACAACTATACATACATGTAAAAGGCAAAGATTCTGCCGAGCGTGTGGACCACGCGAATAACCTTTCACAGCGGACTACCAAAATATTTCGTCAAAAAAAATAAAAATTAATAAAACAAAAATTTATAGATAAAGCTATCGTCCCTTTCAGCAGCTCTGTAAATAAATACGCAATCTGCAATAATATCTGAAAATTTAATGCACTGTATATTTAGCCTCTGCTCACATATCCTTTTTAATAATAAAGATAAAAAATACATCAAATATTAATCTAAAAATACATGTAAACTTAAATAAGTATATATATAATTAAAATACACAACCATAATCTATACGTAAATTCCATAAACCACAAAGCATACATAAGTGGGAACGAAATCCACAGATTCAGCTACCGTTTGGCTTCGAAGATTCCTTCCCTCGCCACACGGCCAATACTTCGTCGGTTCTGAACCGCTGAGTAAACGTCGATTCCTCGAGCGGCGTTGATATGCCGTGAGCATATGCGAGGAGCCCCGTGTACGCGATCATCGCGCCATTGTCGATGCAGTAGCGATCGTCCGTTGCGTAGAGCTTCCCGCCCCTTTCCGAGCACATTACGCGCATCATCTCCTGCAGACGCTCATTGCAGCCTACCCCGCCGACAATCAGGACGTCCTTCTTGTCGCAGTGCGCCATTGCGCGCTCCGTGATCTCCACCAGCATTGCAAACAATGTTTCCTATCGATTTTTTAGGAACATTTTAGCTTTTTTTGGGCGGGACGCGCAGAAAGAGTTTATTAGTTAGTTTACCTGTAGTGAGTAGCATAAATCCGCTGGGGTGCATTCGTTATCTTTGAGTTTCTCCTCGGCAGTCGCCTCGATGAAGCTCAATATCCCGCTAAATGAAACATCCATTCCTTTTACAACGTACGGGAGGTCTATAAATTTCTCGCCTTTCTTTGCGAGCTGTTGGAAGGTAAACAATCATCTCCGAGGCATGAGAAATCTTTACGTAATTTATGTAAAATCAAAACTTTTAATACTATTCGTAAGCATTGTATACTATTCCCAAAAATTTCCAAAACTTCCATCTAAATGGAACCTTAAACAGTTGTATGAATAACCCGAATTGCTGAAAAAAAGGAGATTTATATTTAGCTATGGGTGTACCTGCTCGATGTTGTAGCCCGGGCTCGGATCATTGGATAGCTTAAGGACCCTGGCAAATCGATCCAAACAATTCCCGACAGCGATATCTATTGTTTCTCCAAAAATTCGGTAACGGCCTTCGCTATAGGCGATGACCTGAGTATTTCCCCCACTGACGTATAAAACCACGGGGTCATCAGCACCCGTCACAATCCTCCCCATTTCGATATGAGCGACACAGTGATTGACGGCAACAATTGGCTTTTTCCAGAGCTGTGATAGCACGCGGATAACCACCGCGGCCACCTGTAATGGAGGTTTCGGCATTAATCTAAGCTAATATATTTCATTTCATATACTGAAGAATAACGAAATGGTAACGCTGCTGTTGATTGAAAGCAGAGAATAATGGAAATCTGTTGAAATTCAAATCTAAAACAAAGCAGAGTCCATTAAGTTCTAAGTAAATACACAAGATCAAAGAATATGAACGACATCCATTAAGGAACACAGCAATTTCGAATCATAGCTACTGTATATAATAACTGATCAATTAGTTCGATTTTACGAGCCATTGATGCAACCGATTCAAGCTAATTCACACAAACAGCAATATCCGAAACTCCACCAAGCATCAGTAACATTTCAGTATCAACTACGGCGTGGCTCAAATTGATGGAACACTAAAAACCGCAGCGGTTTTTCGATACCTGGAGCGGGGCACCCATGCCGGGGCCTTTGGTGTAGCAGAGGCAATCAACCTCATCCGCCGTAATCCCCGCCTCCTTCAACGCCGACTTAACGAGCGGAAGCACGTGCTGGAGATGGTGCTGAGCGGTTTCTCGGGGGAGAAAGCCATGCCCCGGCGGCGTAATGTAAGTATGACGCGGATTTGACAGAATGTTGCCGTCGAGAGTCACCACCCCCACCCCGATTTTGTTGGCGGATCCCTCAAACCCTAGCGCCACCAGCCTCTTCTTCTCACCCTCCATGATTTTTGGAGTCGCAGCAGAATCTAGGGTTTCCGCCTTCTAATTGATGTTCTTCAGCTTCGACCCATCGTACGGACAAATTGTATTCGGATTTTTGCATTTTTTTAAGAAAAGTTTCATTGTTGAATATTTTCTACGGCTCGAAACTCAAAATGGGCTTTAGAATTTCTCATGGATCAGTCAATGGACCCTATTTACTTAAAAGCTTTAAAATGGTTGGCTGTTTGTTGAAGGTTTTTTCTTTTCTTTTTTTATTTTTTATTATTTTATTATTTTTTAATATTCTAAATACAAAGTAAACATTCAACCTTATATTTCTTATATTTCACAATAAATAATAAAAAAAAAATCTTATCAAACCATTTCGCAAAACAAACAAATCTAAAGGTCCCGTAAGGGATTATGCGATAGTGTAGGATAAACTCGTGATCATGAGGTTATATACGATGAGACTTTACTTTTTATTATTTATATAAGAGAAAAATTTCATATAGTCGAAAACATCAAAACTCTAAATAAAGTTATAAACGAACAGACTCTTAATGGAGTCGAACACACAACTCTGGAGAAATATGACAGACATATAACAAACATATATGTAGACAAGACTCTCAATGCAAATGCAGAACTCCAATATGAAATTACAAAGGGATCTCGAAACTAAAAAAATCTCCATATGAAATCATAAAATTATAAAGTAAGACTAGCAAGAATAAGTATGATGTCAAAATTAAAGACTTCCGGGTACACCCAAGTTGAATCTACCCGGAAAATTGTGAATTAGTAAATTATATTTATTACGAGAGAAATGTAGAATCTTATACCATATTAGATGATGTAAATGACAGTCTTACCTAAAATCTTAAGTTGCTAGGAAATGTATTATATATTTATTTATCTACAAAATAAAAGTTTACAAACAATATTAATATTAAAAATATATTTTATTTTCAAATATCACATCAATAACTATATATATTATATAAAATAATTAATTTTCAATTCAAAATTTTAATGCTTAATATCAAATCCTAATCTCAAACCTATAAACAAACAACCTTTGGATTTAAATATAATATTTGAAAATTTTGAGCTACAGATTTGAGTACTTTGATTTAATGTTTCGCAGAATATTATTACAAATGAATATGGTGAAAAAATAATATTTGGATATATATATAAACAAAATTTTAATTAATTTATTGACTTAATTAAAGATTATATTTTCTTGAGTGCGGTAGTTATTATGATAAAAAAAAATTAAATTAAATTCAGTACAATTCTAACAACATAATATATAATGATTAACAATAATTGATATAATAACAAAAAATATATCATTTATATTAATATAATATATAAATCAATAATACAAAATAATTGTCTACATAATACATTACAATTAATTTCAACAAAAAAATTATTCATACAATATTTCATATAAATAGAACTGTGGGCCCATAGTTTTAATTGAAACTATGTAATACCTACTACATATTTATGATGTGTTGATTGTAAATAATATTAAAAAACAACATAAGCTAAAACAACATAAGGTTTGTTTGTTTTGTGGATAGTGCTTTTAACCGGCACATTCGATTTCAAATACAAACCAAAATATAAGGACCATTGTCTACTTTGGAACAAATGAAATATTAAGTGTGTGTTTGCCTTTTTTTTTTTTTTTTTTTTAAGTTTTTTGAAATTTTGGATTAATTTGAGAATAGTAAAAACTAAACAAAAAATGAGTTTGTTTGTCCAACTAAAATTTTACCCAATATGATTTTCAACAAATATTTTATTTTTTCATAAAAAAATCAATATTCAACAAAAAAAAAAAAATATTATTTTTTACTTTACCGTCGTAAATTTTCATACCACACATATAATGAAAAAAATATCTCAAATCAAAATGTTAAACAGACACCCCTTGTATATTTTGTATTATATAAACAACTATTTGATAAATAAGCATTTGATTTCGTATTTTGATATAATATTTTAAACAAAATATAAATATTTGATACATATACATATAGTTCTTAAGAAATTATAGTATTAAAATTATGCCTAGTTAAAAGCCCTTGAAAGAGCCAAACTAGCTTAAATGGAAGGAACTATTCACAATTTATTAGAATTGAATAATCGAGTTCAATTCCTATAGGAAAAATGGCTATTGATCAATGTGAAATTCACAGGTTGCAATTCCGATTGCAATTCCATTTATCCCAAATTTTTATTTTGTCAAAACAATTGTTTTTTTGACTTGCTTGCTCGGGTCATTCTCCACCGCATGTTGTTCGTTGTGTCTCTCGCCACCGCCAATGAAAGCTCAAAACACAGTACGACATTAATTCAGTAGTATATTCAAAAATTATTTCTTCGCACTCACCATCAACAAACATAATCGAATCATATTGTGATATTTTCATCCTTCATTTCTATCTGCTTATTTGGATTCTCTATCTACTATCTAGTGAAGGCATTTGGATTTCCGTACTTCAATTTCTATACAGATATTTTGATTTAGAATTGATTTGATTGCCGACAAATTTGTGTGCTAAAACATTTCTCAATTTGGTATTTGTTGTGTAACAATTTATGATACGAAGGTTTCCTGAGGATAGAAAAATATAAATGATTTGACTTTTTTCATTATTGTATATAAACATATACTCTCTCTATCTAATTTCAAAAGTGTTTTTTGAGATTTTGTAGTATATTAAAAAAATAATACTACTTTCGTTCACCGTCAATCTATCCATTTGCATTTGACGTCATTGTTTTTAATATTAAAAATATCTTTATATTTGTATAATTTTTTGTACAAATGTCATTACATTAATACTATAAGACACAAATAGAAATATTTTTGTCGTTTTTCTTTGATTTGTATTACGTTTTGATATAATAATTAATATTCAAAGATTAACATGCAAAAAGTAAACGGATAGATTTGTGATGGACGGAGGTAGTAGTATTTTATTTATTAGTAGAAGTGTGTAAGAAGTTTGATATTTTTTTTCTTTTGACTTTATGTATAAATTAATTGTGTGTGTAATGATATGTTTGTAACTTATGTAAAAATGAAGGGTATTTTAGTATTAGTGTATAATTATTTTTATTATAATGTAACGAAAATAATAAAAATGATACTTTAAGTTGAAACGAAATGAGCATATTTTTATATATTTCATTTCTAGAATGTTGTATTTGAAGCAACTTTGGGAGGTGATGTGATTTAGGAATTTTGGAAGAGTTTGAGATGTTTTTATTATTTAGGATTGATGCCGGAATAATTGTTGATTCCCGGGCTTGAGGTTTGGGGATGATCAAGTACGTGCTTAATCAAATTAATGGTTAATGTTTTAGAAAACAATGATTATGTCGATTTAATCCAGTGAAGCTCGATTAACGGCCTAGAAGTCCTCGGGAAATGTGCTTTATTTTTCTCATAAAACATTGCTCTGCTGACGGCAGCGATAAGCGAATAACGTGTTGACGGAAGTATAGGCGGAGATAAACGAGCATGCGGGTTAGAGCGAAGGTGAGTGCAGAATTTGGTGTAATTATTTTTTTATCTCTCCCCCAGTTTTACTTAAGTAAAAATCCAGTAGAAACATAATAGTTTATACTAACAAAAAACTAACATCATTATTCTAATTTTGAACAAGGGGTGAGTGTACAATATTTTTGAAATTACAAATAATTAAATTAAAATTTTAAGATCAAATGATTTTTTTTAGTAAGTTTCTCTGGTGACGAAGAATTTTTTTTACAATTTTGTCTATAAATATCATATTAATATATTCATATATTTAAATCCAATTTAAATAATAACACCATCTCTTATATTCATCAACAAATTGTATGAAACAAATGTGTTACATTTTTCAATATACTTCTTAATATGGTTCAATATATTTTTATATGATTTAACATATATTCCTATTGTTCAATCATATATTTTAGGAATTATATGATTGCACTTTTATTTAATTACGTTAAATTAAAAAACATAATTAATTGACTAATTAGTTTTTATTAAAGATGATTTTATTTTTTTTTTCTTTTTTACATTACGATCTAATTGGTATATATATTACATTACTTCAAAAATAATCTTAATCTTCAATACATTGTCTAGTTTATTGTCACACTTCTTCCAAATGACTAATTCAATAAATTAAAATACTAATGTTGTTATTATTAGAATAGTACTTGATCTAGAATTTTGTATAAGTAGGAATTAATAATTAATTATAAATTTTATTTTATTTTATTTTTAAATGGGGGTTTTCATATAGGAGACATGCAAATTAAATAAATACTTTTAGTCAAAGACAAGAGTAATTAAAAATCTACATATATGATCTTCTAGACTTCCACCTCATTTCATTATCTATATCACAAATCATTGTAATAAATAGTTTTAGCATTCGGATTTTTGGATCGAATTTTGTCAAATTCGAACAAATTTGAAAGTATGCATGTATTCGATTGAAGATAAACTATTATTTTAAAACAAAGGAAAGAAAAGTGATTCTAATAATAAAATAAAAAATATATATATATTATGAACTTGATTTGAATAATGAGAGACTTTACATGTTTGTATTTTTATTTGTATTTTTGTAAGATTATATATATAGTATATTATTACGAAGAATAATAAAATTTCTACAACAAATTAAAAGAAGTGAAAAAAAGAAAAGGGAAAGAAAAAAAGAATGAAGTCTTCTTTTGAAATTGTCTAATTGAATGAATATATATATATATATATATGTGTGTGTGTGTGTCCACTTTGCTTGGAATGAATGGTGGACTTAATTTGTTCTTCGATTAACTTGATTGCCGAAGTCGGAACTTTATATATATATATATATATATATTTTTTTTGTATGTGATTAATTTTTGAAATTGTTGACTCAATCATCAACATTATAATTTTTATTCAATTAGAGTCAAAGATAATAGTCAAGCTAAACTTCAAGTTTGGTTTATTAATTAATTAGATCATATATGCAAGATTTGTTGGAATTGTCACTTTAACAAATAAGTTGGGATGGGGTGAGATATATATATTTAAAGGTGTATTTTGAATTCAAATATAATTTAAATAAAGTATCTTTAATATATATACATATGTGTAATTTTATAAAGAATTTTTTTATATAATAAAAATATATATATATATATACATAATTAGTATAATTGAATTAGTTTATAACTAAAAATAGGAAAATATATTAATGTATATTCAATAAAGTAATCCATAAATTGGCTAATTAAAAGTCTCTTTGCATATTGTTATTATAATATAAATATGCTGTTGTGATATATATAGTGTTGTACATAAAAATACATATAGCATATGTATATAGGTATTGTATGTGAGTAGGGTAATGATCATAAAATAAATAAAACATTAGATTTTAATCATAATTTAATATATAAATTAATTTTGAAAAATAGATGTTTATTGCTAAAAGATAATACGTACTAATTTCTAAATTACTATCTTTTCATTCAATTTTGTTCTTGTTCCTTTTGTAAAATACGAAAAATAAAAACAAAAAATTGAATGAAATATATAGCATTATGGTGTATTCTTATTTTTTTTAAAAAAAAATACATGTTTCTTCCAAAAAAATTATATTACACATTTTCATTATTTTTATATTACTTACACAATTTTATATATTTTACATAAAAAATATTTATTCAAACTATTTAACAAAATAAACATACCTAGAGATTATATATTTTTTTTATTATTCAATAATTTTATTTTTTTTAGAAATATCATCAATTTAAAAATTAATATTTACTTTAAAAATATTAAAACTACAAAAACTGAAATACGAGTTAAATACATTTTTACTAAAGTCTGATTATTGAACAAAGAAAAAAAAAAGAATTTCAGAATGTTGAAACAGTAAAACAACCATAATAGTAATAGGAGAAGTGATCGTCAAGTTTCTTCACAAAGTACAAAATAATACTTAAAAATTAAATAAAAAATAAAAATAATTAAGGGTGTGTTTGTTCTGCTCAAACTTGGACTGTTTAGGTTGGGGGGACACGGTCGAAAAAGGTTGTGTTTCTTTTTTTTTTTTTTTTTTTTAGTTTTTTAAATTTATAATAATTACAACGGAATAAAATATATACAATATATATGTCATTTTATAGAGAATAAAAACTTTTATTATAAAAATAAATAAAAATTTATAAATATATATGTAGATATAAAATAAATTTATATCAAATTATACAAATTAATACACATTTATATTATTATATTCATTATCATCAAATCAATACACATCAAAACTTTTCAAAACTAACCAAAATTCAAACACATAAATTCAAAATTCAAATAAAAATCAATATCAATCTCAAATTTCCCCTAACCAAAACACACCCTAAATTATTATTAGGGCTGCAGTACTTTAGTACATTGAGGGTTCTGTTTCTTTTTTTTTACAATAAATCCCACGTTGGATAAAAGCGTGTTTGAAGGATTAAACACTCTCGGTTTCCATTGCAATTCAACCCCCAAGCACGATTTTTCCTCAAATGTATGTTCAAAACAACTATTTTTCAAGAGTCACACATCTTCAATTTGGTAAACATTCCCAAAATTCAAAATTAGACCCCCAACTAATGCTATATAAATACCCTCTACTCAGACCAATTTCAAAATTATAGTATAAAATTCTTCACTAAAAAAGAAAAGAAAGAAAAAAAAAAACCATACATTTATTACACAGACTACATACATTAATAATCAATTACAGCATTCGCATAACCTAAATAATGCCAACACGTCAGTCCGCCGTCAAATTGGGCGCCATTTCCCGGCGGGCAATCAGGGCCGTCGGATCATCGGCGGACTCTCCTCCGCCGTGCGATGTGTTCATCAACCACCGCGGGATCGACACGAAGCGGAGCGTGGCGGGGCTGCTGTACCAGCGCCTCCATGAGGTCGGCGGCGTGCGGCCGTTTCTGGACAGCCGGAATATGAAGGCGGGGGACAAACTGGTCGAGAAAATCGAGGAGGCCATAAAGAAATCGAAGGTCGGGGTGGCGGTATTTTCGCCGATGTATTGTCAGTCGTACTTTTGTCTGCACGAGCTGAGCCTTATGGTGGAGACGAGGAAGAAGATTGTCCCAATATTCTGCGACGTGAAGCCGTCGGAGTTGGCCGTTAAGGACGACGGCTGCCGGCCGGAGAAGGATCTCTGGAGATTCCGGTCGGCGCTGCAGGAGGCAAAGGACACTGTCGGATTGACATTCGACACCTTAAGAGGGTATCATATATATATATATATATATAAGGGTAAATTGTATATATATATATATATATATATATTACTCCACCATGAAATATCAAGGCACTGTTTATAAGAACAAATATTTAAATTTTGACATTTTTATATCTATTTTTTATTATTTATAGAGTTTTTCAAAAATTCAAACTTTTTTTTAAATAGAAAATTTTTACTCCATAAAACCAGTGAGATTGTTGATTTTAATTTAGACAATATTCATTAAAGCATTCGTTAGAATGATTACCTCAATTTCATTACCCCATTTAGAGAAAATTATGTAGTATTTAATAAAATGCAATAAGATAAAAATTTGTTTAAACATTACATGAATTTACCAACCAAAACAAGAACTAGCATTATTTTAAACACCGTTTTTAAAACACAACATTCATAGGAATGACCTAGCGGTGTAAGGGTTGGATTTTCTTACATTTAATTTCATCAAATTACTCTTATTAACTTATATATATATGTAGGGATTGGCCGGAGTTTTTGGCAAGGGCGACCGAGGCGGTGATGGATAACTTATAGTGGCGGCGGAAGAAGAGATGGTATCACCACCGTCCGATTCGATTAAAGCTTTGTTGAAATGTTGGTCTATATACATATACATTTATATCTATATGTTCTAACTCATTCTTTATTTTTATTTTTTAAGAATATAACTAATTGTATCCACTGTAATTCAATATATATATATATATAATGTCTTCGCGTCCGTTTCTTTGTATTTGGTTTGAATTTGATATTAAAATAATATTTGATGAGATATTTTGTAAACAAAAATATATACATATATATTTTGAAATACACATGGTTAAAATAGTACAATTTGAAATTCTTTTGCCAAAAATACTCTCAATAGTGTTTTATTCTCCTTTGTACATTATATTAAATTCATGCATTTCTATATTTGGTGATTATTATTAATATTATTATTATTATTATTATTGAAATGAAATAATATATGTTAGTGATATTTCATAGAAAGACATAATATATTTTATAGAAATTATGGGAATTATACAATAAATATATTTTTAAAAATAAAAAATAAAAAATCTCAAAGTAAACAATAAGAATTATATTAATTAATCGATAAATCAAGAGTTCACTTTCTAGCTATAAGCTTCAAGTTTATTTAAATGTAATGGAAAGCACAAATAATTTAACATACATATTCAGTTTCTTAAGTTTTAATACTATTTATCAACAATAGTACTAATTCGATTTAAAATATTATATATAGCTTGATATATTTTTATTTCGTTTAATAACTTCTTACATTGTGCTACATATGAACATTCTATATAATTCAATAGAAAAAAAAAAAAAAAAAAAAAAAAAAAAAGTCGTATTTTTAGTAAAATGAATAAAATATCTCATAATTCTTTATTGTGTGAAACTTATTATATTATATTAAATTAAAATTTGCACAAAATACTCTATTTGATTCAAAGCTGATGTTTTGCTATAAATACAAACTTAAATTATATAAATTTACACAAATAAAAAATAAAATATCTTAATAGTCTCTCTTTTATTAATAAAATAAATAAATAAATATTTGATCAATCCTTTATTTTGATAATTTTGTAAATATTGGAGTTTGTCTCCAAATTAGTATAAAATAAAGCATTAATCAAATATTTATTTATTGATTCCATTAAAAAAAAAAAAAAAAAAAGACCTACATAATATATTTAGCTCTTTTATTTGTATAAAACTGGTATAAGTAGGTTCGTATTTATATTTCAAACATCTGTTTTAGACTAAGAAAATATTTTGTGCAAATTTTAATTGAACATAAAAAAAATTCATACAATAAATAAAATATGAAATATTTTGTACACTTTTACTACAAATACAATAGGTTATATAATTTACCCTTCCATAAATTATGGATGTAGTGTACTATACTTTTTTATTATTATTATTAATTTGTTGTTGGGTTGTTTTATTTTATTTTTACTATATTTATCAAAAAAATAAAAAATATTAAATTAAATATTTATTTTATATTATTCTAAAAATTTATTTTGAATTCAAATCAAATTAATTTTTATTTGAATTATATAAAATCAAACAAATATTTAAATTTAAAATTATATTATTCAAATCAAAATTCAACCCACAAACAAGTATACCATCATTGTTTTGACACTTTAATTTGATTAAATCAATACGGTGCTGATTTAACTCAATCAAACAAATATATATGAAAAAGTAACAAATATTGATAATTATATAATCTAGTATCACATAATTTAAGAGCATATCATATAATTATATATAACAAATATAATATATATATAGTAACATAACATATGATTTTCTTTTTGTGATGAAATATTAATTATTTTAAATTAATGTGTTATACCATCTGCTTATTATAAATTATTGATTATTTTATTATAAATTATTTTTTACTTTGTATTAATTTGATAACTTGGTCAAGCCAAGAAAATGAATTTGGACGTAGGTGCAAGAGTGTTATAAAGAGGGTCATTTTGAAGTAAGACGGGAGAATCCGCTCATTTCTACTTTCGAACTTTAACTATCCTTCTTTTTTTTTTTTTCTTTTCTTTTTTCTAAAAAAAAAAAATAATAATAATAATACAAATGAATATATATATATCAATAATTGAGATAAGCCTCTAATTATTGTATATAATCTTTTGTTGAATTTGCATTATTTTAATTTTAATTTTTGCATCTGTTCAAAACCAACCCCCTCATCTTTTGTCAAGTAATAATAATAATAATAATAATAACAATAATAATAATGATGCAATCAATCCTATTCAAATTTAGAAGAGTAAGACTATTTCATTGCACGTGGTGAAGGCAATTACAAGCAGGCCGTGTATGAGTGCACAGCCCAGAAAACACTTCTTTAGAAACTACTCATTCTTCAAGTAACTAAACTTTAAATCAGAATGATCTTCTTACACAAAAACAAAATAGAATTGAATTTCTTCTTCTACAATATTGAAGTAACAAGCTGAAGATGACAATGACAATGACAATAACAATAACAATAACAGGAAGAATCTTAATATTTACTAAGTACTATATACTAACTGTGATCTGATCATCTCTATGCAAAGATGTCTTGCCCTGTCAGTTAGTCAGTCAGTCAGTCTGTCTGTCAAATATGGAATGAAAAAGAAGAAGAAGAAGAAGAAGCTCTTTTGTCTGAAGATGGTTTACCTTTGCAGGCAAAATATATTCCCAAATCTGTTTTTCTTTTTCTCTCTTTTCCACTTCCCTAATTAATAACTAACAATAATTCCTTCCCCAAAAATCACCTCCTCAAAGCTTAAACAAAAAATAAGAAAATAAAGAAGAAAAAGTAAAATTGCAGTTGCAGCTGCAGCAGCTGTTAGAGCCTTCAAAGAATCTTACCACTAACCAACCAACCTTCACATATGGATAGATTCAGATGATCAGACCCTGAACAAATACTTGAGATCTTCAACCGTCAGTCGCGTCTGCCGGCTGCCCGTTTCGTCCTCTCCGAACGCCGATGCAACCATCTCCCTCTTTCGTTGCTGGGAAAAACAATGGCAAATCGATTACAATGTCATGGAATTGAATGATTTGAAGTATTTTTAACATTATGTTCTTATATGGGATTGTTTACAAAGGGTACCTGTAGAGCCAGGATCCGATCCTCCACGGTATCCTTAACAGTCAGCCGGAAAACAGAGACAGGACGAACTTGCCCAATGCGATGTGCTCTGTCGACAGCCTGATCTTCAGTCGTCGGGTTCCACCACAGATCGAGGAGGATGACATTGCAGGCTGCAACCATGTTGAGGCCGAGACTCGCAGCTTTCAGGGACATGATCATGACAGAAACCTACAGGTTTGGGTTGAGGATCGTCGAATTGATTCTTAGAAATATGATAATAAATTTATGGCAAAATGAGAGAGAATAATATATACTTTCCAAACCAAATGTGACTTATAAACGTGACCAATCTGGCAAACCTGGGGAATAGTATTGAAATCTTTCACAGCTCTGTCGCGGGAAGAAACAGACATCGTGCCGTCAAGTCTGCGATACTGAATTGCAGAAGTTTTCAAGCAAGCTTCGAGCAAATCGAGCATTCCTGTCCACTGCGAGAACACAATTGCTTTCTGCCCTTTGGCAGATTCGCTCTTCACATCCAAAGCCCCGTTATTTTCAGAGGTGCGTACCTTTTCTGCATCATCAGAGAGGTCGTCTTTTGTTTTTGTCGTGCAATCCTGAGGTCCGCACAGAGTCAGCAAGATGTGGAGGGCGGCCTTGATTTTGGAAGAATCTTGGGGACACATCAATGATTGAGGCTCGGATAATTGGGTAGCATCAGGTTCAGACTTCACGTTGTTTTCAATGCTTGGCTGCTCTGACAGAGCAGTCCGTAGGGCGATTATCGAAAACACACTTGACTTGGCGAGATTCTTTCTGCACTTCTTGGAGGGGCATTGGCTGTCGGCACCTATCATTTGCTCGCATATGCACTGATTGCAAAATACATGTCCGCAAACAGTTACAACAGCATCTTCTGGAGAATCCTGTAGATCATGAACATTTTGAATGCATTCAACAAAAGAGGGATTTTTTCGCGAAATAGTATAAAGAAATGGTGTCGTGCTAAATACCAGCAGGGGAAGATCCGAAGAAGTAACAAGAAGCCAGGATAAAAATGGCGACATACCTTGCAAATTCCACAGATAGCCAACGACGCTTCCAAACAGTTCACGAGGTAAACTTTCTTTTCATGAGGAAGCTGCTTTGCCGCCTCGATGGACTGGTTCAAATTTGAATTGGAATTGAACCCCTTTACAAGAAGGGGGTGGTCGCAAGCTTGTCTAAGCCGGAGAAGCATTAACAGTATGTTAACGTAGTTCTGTTTGACCGTTCCAGCTGCAGCATATTCCTGGCAGAATGAATTGAAAGGGATGACTCCGTGGTGTTCAGAACCAACAATGATGCTGAAAAGCAGCTACATGAGATTTCGGTATAACATCAAAACATACCGCAAATTGCGCGCGTGATTCAGCCTCTAATCTACAGTAGAAATCACGTTCCTCTTTGGAAAAATCAATTTTTTTAAGATCTACTGTTTTGGGTGGGAGATTGATAATTGGCTTTCCATCAAGGATAGTACCTGAATACAACAGTAATGCCATTAACCATTAACTACATCAAGGATAAACACTGTAGAAACAATTTGATACAGCAGCTTCCAATAGCAAAGCAATTCAGCAGAGTATTATAATGGAATTGATGGAAATAAACCATTAATTAAGCCTTAGGTCTCAAGAACAGAAAGAAACTAAGTAATACGGAAGCTAAAAAGAGTGCATTACCGCACAATACTAGCAAACTTAAAGTTGGAAAACAGAAATTCAGAGATATGTCTACCTTTGGTCCTTCGCAGCATAATTGTCTTCAGCACTGCTTGTAGTTTTTTGTAACCAGTCTTCGGATTCTTATGAACTGGCACTTTGATTTGCTCACAAAAAGTTTTGAACACAGAATAAGGCTCGTGTCTAAGAAATCTGAAGTAGCTATAAAGATCATCAATGGCATTCTGGATAGGTGTCCCGGACAGACACCATCTGCGCTTGGCACGAAGACCCCAACAAGCCCTGGCCACTTGAGTGCGATGATTTTTAATGCTCTGAGCCTCATCCAACACAACCCTAAACCATCCAACCTTGGCAAGTGGACCAGATATATTTTCAAGCAATTCATTGTCGACTCCATTTTTACTCTTCTTGGAGGATCTTTTGCCAGTAGTCTCATTTAACTTTCTTTTTTTGCTGGACGAAAATTCTTTATATGAAGAGCCAATTTGATCTTCATTTTCATTAACAACAGGCTGTTTAGGCACCTCCATACTCACAATTGCATATGTCGTAATCACCACATCATGTTGTGCCAGTTCATAAGGATCCTTTGTCCGACTGCTTCCATAATATACCAGAACAGAAAGTTTGGCACTACGTGATACTTTATTCTGCAACTCATCGGCCCACTGGCGAAGAACACTTGTAGGGCATACAATGAGAGTGCCACCAGAAGGCCGACCATTTGCTTGCACAGATGCCTTGCCACCATTAGCAGGCAATGCATTAAGGGGATGAGATTCAGGTCCTTCAATTCTAGCCAAAGTCTCTTCGGCACCATCATCATCCTCATCCAAATTCAGCATCTCTGTCTTGACTTGTTTTTCATTTCTCTCAGGTGTTTTTGATGATGGGGACCTTTCCTTCAGTAACAGGGCAATTGTTGATATCGTCTTTCCAAGTCCCTGAAAAAGTAGAACATTAAGATTACTTAATAGTGATTATCAATAATAAGGGTAACTTGAAGGAAAAGTAACACCCTAAAGAAACCTGATCATCTGCAAGAATGCCACCAGAACAGCATCCACCTCTTGTTTCCTTGTTGACCATCCAGGATAAAGCAATGCGCTGTAGATAAATTCAACCTCTATCAAGAGTGATATTAAACATTTGTGGAACACACACTCCCAACCCATAAACTGTCCCATATATAATATTTACAGCGACAAATAATCACAAGAACCATCAAAGGCACCTGTTGCTGCACTCCAAACCCAAAAGTCTGAGTACGAAGATCACCGTATACAATCATTGCACTCCAGAGCTATTCGTGAGAAACTTTAAAAAATTTTGTATAGCAAACAACTAAATCAGCTTTGGCAGATATCAGCTTCTAGTTTCCTAATACCCACTCATTGGGATACAATTGCATTTTTCAGGGGGGAAAGGATCAACTTGTTACCCTAGGGGAATTTTATAGTTTGTATGCAATTTTTCTATAATTGAATTAATATGGTTTGTCATTAACAGTTACCCTAGGGGAATTGTATATTGTATAAATATAAACTAGCCATGATATCTTAGCACATTCTTATATAAATCTAATCTTCCGCCAAAAGCTGAAGCTATACATACATGGTCTGGAAACTAAGATTCGTGGTCCAAATTCCATTTGATAAAAGTAAAACAACAATGTCGATGAATTTGCATCAGGTTACTTTCAACAGATCTTGATTTCGTTCGACCACAAAAAATTACATGAAAGGATATTTACCTGGTGTTTCAGTAGAGACACTGACAAAAGGCCATCAGGTAAGGTAGCCTCTAACTTCGGTTGTGAAAGATCCTGCAATAAAACACCTTCTCTATATTATTTCTCCAGGTCAAAATAAAAAATATATCTAGCCTGTTTGTTTAAGTTTTGGATCCACTCTCGAACTATTCACCACCACTTTCTACCTCTCAAAACCATCAAACCAAGCAATTATTTTTCATTAATATTACATCAAAATTCAATGTTCATTCAAAACATATCACTAAAACCCTGTTTCAATTAACATATTTACTTTTCCCAAACCCCCAACCAAATCACAAAGGTATAAAAATAGATAGCATAAATAGTTGCAATCCAATTTTTTTTACAGCAACAGAATAAATTATCCCAAGTATCTAAACTAGATACAGATGATAATTAATTCCAATTCTAAACAAGTTTATTCTGATGATAAATAGTTGCTTATTTGATTTTTTGCTACAACATATATACATAGATATATATATATATATAGATATACTCATCATTATAGCATTCTCCCATGACCATGGCATATACAGCCTCAAACTATGGAACAAATATATATATTATCTATTTTTTTCCTTGTTGATCTTTCCAAAGGCCACATCAGCCATTTCAAGAAAAATTGGTAAATGGAAAATCTAGAATGTGAGGGGAAGTAAAAAAAAAAAAAAACATATTGTAGATTCCAGACAAGTAGATTAACATTAACTACAAATATGAAAATGGAAGCCTAGAGGTTATTGCATTAGAAATATCACCTGAAGAGCAACTTGAAAAATGACCCGTTCATCATTAGGTTTAAACCTTGAAGATACAGCCACTTGACTTGTGGGAACTCTTGAAGGCAAGTGATGTGATGAAATAGCTGGCTTAATGCTCATCCCATGGTTTGGACGTGCAGGAGTGCTTCTATCCTCCAAAATACACAGATCGGAATCATCTTCGACATCGATCTCCGTGCGGGTACTATTTTGAACCTTGTTCTGAGTATATTTTGCATGAAAAAGATTACTGAACTTCGGAATCTCATTTTCCAGCTGTAAGGAACTAATATTCCCCTTAAACGGAGGCAGAGCCACTAAACCTTTTTGCTCTGAAACACGCAATTCTGGATAACAATCTGGAGCAACAAAAGTAGAATTGTTGTTGTGAGTTTCACCAGCTATAAAAGGAAGACGATTCATCCTAAAGTCTGAATTTTTTTCTTCAATTTCTTCTTTTGTAAGGGGTAAATACTTCAAATGTGAATCAAAGATGTCATCAGAATATCCTAACGAACTATATCCAGGAAAATATGGTTGATCCTCCGAATGAAAAAGAGACATATCACTATTTTCAGATAACATATCTGAAATGTCTGCTCCAGCAATATCCCCTGAACTAGACTCAGTATTAGAGACATCAAAGGAGATCTTGTCCCCATCTATGGCAGCTGAGTTTTCCATTTGTGTGAAGGAAGATCCAATATTAGTTCCCTTGAATAATGTTTTCCCATGTGAATCTGCAGGCAGTTTTTGAAACTTGGATCAATTTTGTCTATCAAATATTTAAAATAAATGCAAAGCACAAAGGTCAACATATGTACAAAAATGGCATAAGCATAGGATTCTATGATTGAAGGTTACTTTGAAATGAGAGCTCATAATCCAGGGTTTGCAACAAGAAATCTAGACATATATAACATTATCTGCAGAATGAACACTAGTAGTGCCCTGTGGTTGAGGATTCGATATGTTCAGCTATTTTTTGGTCTAATCATACTCAATGATAGATACTACTATGAAAACCAAAATAAGTTAATATGTTGCTGTGTCAAATAGGGGAAACATTACCCTCATTTTGGTAAGAAGATGAGGCATTTAGTGAGCCATTGTGTCCATAACCATAGTACAAATCATTGCTCTGACTCTGGGATGAAGTTTCAATCTTTTGGCTTGCGGGAACACCATAATTCCAATCAGATTCAAGGAAACCATCCAAATATCCTCCTGTAGAAACCAAGGCTTCAGAGTTGTTTGGCAGGTACGAAAAATCTGAACCTGGCAACATATCTGTTGAAGTCTGCATTTCTGTTGAAATACGCGAACTTATCAATTCAATATTACATGCAACTCATAATCGTAAATGTTTTGAGCTTATCAACAACAATAACAACTTGTTGCAATGGTCAAATCCCATCTTCCTAAGCATATAAATATTAGAATGGTGCACAAAAGTCAATGCACAATGAAAATAAACTCCAAAAATTAAAAAATGAAAACAGACTGCTCACAAACCTTTTAGGCCATCAACAGGAGGGAGATCTTCAGCCATATTACCCTGCAATTTCATAAAGAATATAAAATAAGTATCATTCAGTTATATCAACATATTGAAGCAGTACTCGGAACCAAAAAGAAAGTCATTGAATACAAAAACCTAATGGGGTTCCCACAAGTGCATAAAAAATCACATCAGATCCGATACAGACAAAGGTGTATTGCAAAAACCTTTCAATTTGAGAATTCAAGGAATACAACTTTAGTGATTAATATTTGAAGTGATTCATATATACCTTAAACTGTTCTACCAAATTAAATCAGATCAACCTTCGTAGAAACATGCATAGAGATAGCAACCCAGTGGATCATCTATAAATCATACAATTAGTTCATTCATTACAAGTAAATCTCTAAGTTCCAAATCTTCTAACCCCTAAATTACATACATTTAGGCCCAATGTTTAAACAAATAGAAATTATAAATCATCAATTAACAAGTCAGTTCCATACACACTGATTTCAAATCCTAAAAGTCCAAGAACTACAAATTTCACAAAGCACAATCAAACACGCATTCCTCGAATTGAAATCAAACCTCTTGTTGTGAGGCCCCCGGAGGAACTCCCCAAGTGCCAATCAAAGAATCAACATCGAGTAAAACATCGTCAGCGTCGTCCTCCGCGTCGAAAACAAACGCAGACGACGATCCCTCGTCTCGGTCCACCATCATCATCTCAAATCCCAAAATAAGAACATCAAAACCCTAATATCCCCTTAAAAAAAAAAAGAGTCAAATCCCCCACCCCAAGTCGGCCCAATCCAAACACCTAAAAAAGAAAAATCAAAAACAGAATCGAAAACACGAAAATCCACGGGGCAATTACAACCCCAAATCGACAAAATTACACCCAGACGAAACTATTCGCCAATTTCAGCCGGGTTTCCCGAGACCCGGGGAAAGATGAAAGAAATCGCTCGTAAATTGAATTGAATCCGAAAAGGCGAAGAGAGGCGGTGGGTCAAATATGCGCCGCGTTGGCCGTTTCCCATTCGGAGTAGGAAAAGATTAGGAAAGTGGCGTCTTTAAGTCATGCTCGCTATATACTTTACTGTCTTTGTTTCTGAACGATTCCGTGTTGTGTTACGCCATTGCCTCTCAATTGTGTTATTATAAATCGGAGCTTTTTATTTTTGGAAGGTCCCAGGACCTCGACTCCTTATGGGAATTGGGCCCTCGATTTTGGGCCTCCGGTGCTCTGCACCGTGGGGCTCCTGAATACTACTATTGACTCGAGTAATTTACCTAGGTCGACGTAGAGATTAAGGTAAGTGAACATGAATTCCAAGATTATAATCAATCATTGTATGGTAAGTATATGAATTTATTCAATAAATTATATCCCTTTTCTATTAATTTTTAAAAAATAATAATAGTGTAATTATATTGGAGGGAATATATGGTAAGTGTATGTATTATTAAGTGTTCCAAAATATTTTATGGTAACTATTTGTATTGCGACAAATATATGGTAAGTACATGCATTCTGATTTTATTTTTTTAAATAGAGATTTGGATGCTGGAATTTATAAATTCAATTGAGCACATTTTAAAAAATGATCATCTTAATTTATATTATTAAATAATATAATTAATTTTTAAACATCAAAATGAATGTTGAATTTAAAATTAAACACCGATCTATACTGCTTTAAATAAATGCTAGTATACTGAGTTGTTTAAAAAGCTTCATCAAATTGATATTAGTTGTGTTTGATAATTAATTAATTATTAGAATATTTAATTAACTATTAATTGTTAGTTTATTCGAATAATTGATCTGTGTAGTTAAATATACTGTTTATATTAAAATATTTGGTGAATATTTTTTTGATATTTATTAGTTATTTGTATTTGAAATTACAATTATTTTGTTTTCAAATATCAGTATGCATTATTATTTAACTACTGATTCATTATTGTTTTTATTAATGGAATATAATATTTATGTGATGAAAATAAAATAATAAATTTATATTATTCCTTAATTTTAATATATTTATAGTATATAGTATTTTTTTATAAACAAAATAACTGTTAAACTAGTTTAAAAAAGTAAAACAAAACTGTATAGCATCTTCACACATTTTAGTATAAATGCATAAATATCTTATCATTTGTTTATTGTGTAGATTTTCATGTTCAATTAAAATATGCACAAGAGATATATAAATATATTTTGTCTAAATATGATATTTAGTTATAAATATACATTTAATTGTACAAATTTTATATAAATATAAAATACAAAATATCTGAAATAGTATTTTATAATAAAATAATAAATTAATAACTTATCAATTATTCCTTAAATAAATTTAAAAAACAAATCGTTACCTAATAAATAAAAATAAAAATAAAAAGTTGAATATCAGTTGTATAAAATGTTGTTTAAGATATTTTATATTTCTTTATTTGTATAAAATTTATATTGTGTGTTACATTCAAATATCAATTTTAAATTAATTGAATATTTTGGGTCTTCTTCAAGTTAACATGATAGAATCTTACATAATAAATAAAATACAAAATATTTTGTACGTTTATATTTTTAACAAAAAATAAATATAAAAAAATATTATATAATATACCCAAAAATAAAAACTAATGTTTAAAATATACATATTAAACTATAAGTAAATAAAAACGCTATTTTAAAGCAGTTACAATGATTCTTGTCTCAATTAATGATTTCAGATGGTCTGTCAAATCAGAATAACAATGGTGGTTTTGGGACAATGCTATCCGATAATTTACAAAATCACAGTATCTCTCAACAAACTCATAGTAAGCATATTTTTATTTATTAAAGGCTAAATTGCACAAAATTCACACTTGATTTTATGAAATTGTGTCAAATCATCATATTTAACAGTATATGACCTAAATGAATTCAAATTGCGAATAAATTTTAGAATTTCAATTTATAAACCCTTAAAATTACAAATATATTTATTTTTCTTATATTTACTCTTAAAAAAAAAAAGTAAAAATAAACTCTTGAAACCGAAAAAAGTAACTATATTTTTTAGTATATTTATTATTTTTTTAGACTAAATATAAGAAAAATAAATATATTTGTAATTTTAGCGGTTTAGAAATTGAGATTCTAAAATTTATTTCGAATTTGAGCGTATTTAGGTCAAATACCGTTAAATAAGGATTGTCGAGGGGTTAAACGCAAAGTTTATGAAATCACGGAGCTCTTTGACGCAATTGTAGAAGTATAAGAGATTTGACCCAATTTTATAAAATCTTACAATTTTCAAAGTGATTATTCAAATAAACAGTGACTTTTTTTCAAATCACTCCAAAAAAAAACACTTGAGACAACTCCGCAGCGCAGACGACGATGGTAATCTTCTTTTGTGTCTTTCTGTTTGCTTCCATCTTCTCTCTCCATTGAGTTTCGAGCTGCAGTAGGGATGAAGCTATACTAGGGTTTGTAGGGTTCCTAATTTTTTATAATTTTTTTAGTGTTAAAATATTAATTTTTATGTATTTATATAAAATTTCTCTCTCAAAAAAATTATCTAAATTCATATATAATTTTGTCATTATTTTTTATTTAAATTTATTAATTAAATATTAAATAAATTATAACAATTTCGTCCATCGATATTTAAATGCTAGTTTTGTCCCAGTGCAGCAGTGCTAGTGGACGACAACGACGACAAAGGCAGCAGCTGTAGCAATCAAATCACACCGATGAAGGCAACTATTCAAAAATTTTCACTATGTACGAAAGTAAATGAATATGGAGGATGAAAAATGATAGAAAGAGTGATTCAATTCACGTAAAGGAGGACAATGAGGGAGAAAAAAAGAAAGAAATATAGCATCGATCCGGCATCACTGCACCAAGCACTGTTGATTTGATCTTTGATTTTATGTTGTTGTAATTTAGGCCATTACAAGTGATTTGTTTCGAGCGAGCGGCAAGAACTCTTAGACCTCGCGCTTCGAAACTGTCTAAAATGAAACCATGCTTTTATCGCTTGTGGTAATTTATGATTATTAGTGGTACTAACAAAAATCAAATATTAGTTTTTGTCTACATTCTCAATGTTTTAGTTATGATCTTTATTTAGAAAATTTGTACAGTTCACACGTCAATTTTGAAGACTTTTGTATTATTTAATACTTTTAAAAATCACCTTAAATACACATATATTTTTACAAAATATTATATCAAAATATTATTTTTTTATTCTATTTATTTTACTTAAATTGTTCAATTTTTTTTTAGATACGAAATTTTAGAAATTAAGTAATTAATAAAGTAATTAAAAAGTATATTAGAAAAATAATCATGATTTAATAAAAATAATTATAAATTAAAATTAAAATAATAAATAATTTATTTAAAATTAAAAAAAAATAAATTATAAATTTTAAAATGTGATTAAAGTATATAAATATATTTAAAAAATAACAAATAATATGCGACCAGTTCAAATAGAAAGAGTGGACAACGTAACTTGAAGATCTAAAAAACTTTATATCTAAATGAAACTTGAATTAAAAAACAAAAAACATTTGTTGTTATGGTTTGTAAAAGAAAATATTATAATTTAATTTAATATATATATTTTTTAGAAAAAATTAATGTTATATGGAAATAAAGCCCTATTACTATTAATCATTTAAAATAAATACAAAAAAATTCTGAATTAGTTTTACCCAAATTTAAGTCAAGGGTTCGAATCTCACAGCGGTAATGAATTGAATTAAACCATAAGTAAATTGTGTTGTTTGTTTATAATTCCACTGTAAATTGAAAATTTGAACATTCCAGATTAATCCCTGGGATGAATTTCTTCCATTTTTTTATTGGGAGTTGACAGCGCCAATCGGTGAATTCTGATGTCATTGTTTTGGATGGTCATTCGACAGCTCTCTGAAATCGAAGCCATGGTAAGACCCCTTTTCCTATCGCCACGCAGAAATTGTGGAATGATTTTAGTATTGCATTACATTTACTAGCTCCTTTGCCTTGAATTTGAGGCTTTGTTCAACCGATTCGTTTTCTAAATGTGGACAGTAAGTCGGTTTGCAGTCAATTGATGTTAACGCGTTTTCACCTGCTTGCGCGCTCGTATCGTTTGATAGAGATCGATATCTGTCGATTAATTCAGCGTGTGTTCTTATTCTATGCTATGGGGTCTCTTCCACCGCTATGATTATTTCCCTAGGGTTTTTGAACTGGTAATCGATGCTGGTATGGTGCATATATATATACGTATATATTGAGGGAAAGAAAGGGGGAAAATATTGTATTAGGAAAATGCCAGTGGACTTATGTTTGCGTGCCCTTCGTTAGAAAGAATTTAATTATGCTTCTTACTTTGTAGGGCAAGTCTACAATTGTGATATTTTGTTGTTCAGAGTTTGCTTTTTCTTTTTGCTTTTAAACTTTTGCAGGAGGCGTGTTACATATTAGATCTTGTTGGATTTAATTCGTTAACTTAGTTGATTAAAACTAACTATTTTGATGGTTTGAAACTTGGTGCACTCCTTATAGCTTTTGTTTTGTGATTTTTGGCTATTTTCAGTGATGTTGTTTGTGTGTAACTGCAGTGTGATGTCATTGACTAGTGTGATTGGTTTGGTTTCGCAGGCTACGTCAAAAAAAGTTATTACTAGAGCAGATTGGGAGAAAAAACTCAATGATGTTAAAGTTAGAAAGGAGGATATGAATAAACTTGTGATGAACTTTCTTGTTACAGAGGGCTATGTGGAGGCTGCAGAAAAATTCCGGCTTGAATCTGGGACAGAGCGTATCCTGTTTTAATATCATTTTTGTGTGGAATCAATTTGATTTATAACACACTGTTGTTTAAACCATGTTGTATTTCCTTATTGGAAAAATAGCAGATATAGATCTTGCAACTATTGCAGACCGTATGGCTGTTAAGAAGGCAGTACAGAGCGGTAATGTTGAGGATGCTATTGAAAAAGTTAATGATTTGAACCCTGAGGTGCGATTTTCTTTACTTGTTTCATTTTTAGTTTCTTCTGTTTTTCTTATACATGTTGAATGGAATCTACTGGAAGTTGTGTATTTAGCTTGTAAGTTTGATTGCTAGAGGTGAAAGGTTTCTGTAATATCATAGTTATTGTGAAAGGTTAATGTAAATTTTCCTGTTGGTGGTGCAGAACTTGCATCATTTACAACTATGATTTTCTGTTCTGTCACAACATGCATCATTCATTTGTTTCTCTATCTTTCTTTTATTTTGCTTCTGCGTATATGTAACCCTTATGGTTTTTTTTCCTGTCTGATATCAATGGTATTTCTGTTTAGTGGACAGTCACCAGTACTTGGTCTCTCTTTCTTGGTCTTTTGCGTTTCATAATAATGTAGCAAGTCTTGATTGTTTTGCTGCAGATACTGGACACAAATCCCCAACTATTTTTTCATCTTCAACAGCAACGGTTGATAGAAATGATTAGGAATGGCAAGGTAGAAGAGGCTTTGGAGTTTGCTCAAGAGGAACTTGCTCCAAGAGGAGAAGAAAATGTAATTATTGGATTGATTTATCATGTTTCTGAAGCCATATATTGTAGAGTAGCTTTCAGCATTAGACATTGCTTATTATTTGACTGGTTGCACTATATATTCACAGCCTTTTCGCTGTATGAAGTTCCTCTAATTAAAAAATGTGTTTCCTTCTATCATTGATACTCATCATAAGTATATAAATTTTCAGCAAAGCTTTTTAGAAGAGTTGGAGAGGACTGTTGCGTTGCTTGCTTTCGAAGATGTCACCAGTTGCCCCTTAGGTGAACTGCTTGACATATCCCAGCGCCTTAAGACTGCCAGTGAGGTCAACGCAGCCATCCTTACGAGTCAAAGCCATGAAAAAGGTTAGACAACCCTGGTGCCTTGTGAAACTTGGTCTCTTGAATGGTTTAATATTTTTCTACTACCATTTTAGACAGGTTGCCAAATCAGCACCATGTTTTACAACTCTTAATAGAGCCTGCGCTAAACCTTTGATGCCTTTATATTCCAGTATGCATAGCCCATAATGATTTCCAAAGGGCTTGTAATCTCTTTGTAAGGATAGAGCATCCATTATTTTATAAAATCTAAAACTGTGTGACAAGCCAATCTAAAATTATCAGAGGGCATGAAACTTGTCACGAGAATTATAAGGAACTGAGGTGTACTAATAAAGGAGATCAAGTGAAATTACAGGTTTCAAACTAGAAGCTGTTGAATAAATTTTAAGGATGTCGGAAGCGGTAGTCTTATACTTTTTTTGCTGCCAGACTTCTTTGATTGGATGATCAGCCATCATTTGTATTTGATTTGTTTATTTCCCTTATGCTCAATCTCTTATAACTTGCCTTTATATCATTCCTCTTCAATTTGGTGAGCTTCTAATGAAGCAAAACCAGGCCAGTGCTTGAGGATTCCTTCATACTATCGTGGTACATTAATTTATTTTATTTGGAACAGATCCTAAGCTTCCCAGCTTACTGAAAATGCTGGTGTGGGTGCAAAACCAGCTTGATGAGAAAGCTTTGTATCCTCGAATAAATGATTTGTCCACGGCAGCCCTAGAAGATCCTGCTGTTTGAGATACAGAATAAAATCAACTTCATCTGAGAGGTAGTGTTCTTTTCCTTGGAAGATGACTACATTCAGTAGTAAGTGGGATGTCTGAACTGCTTTGTGAATTTAGCGTTTGTAGTTTGTACATGATTTTATGATGAATATTGAATTGTGTAAGATTCCAGATCTGTATAAGAGATATAATATGACACGTATTTCTCTGTTAGTGTCTGCCCATGTCTTTATCCGTAGATCAGTTTTTTTATCAATTAAGATTCTTGCTATTGAAAGAAAACATCATCTAGTAAATAAATGGCTTGGGGCATGAATTCAGAGTATATGTCTACTTGTGTTTTGGGATGTTATTGGTGTTTGGATTTCAATATTTTGAAGTGGAATATTATATTTTGTATGAAATTTAGGGACTGAAAATGATATTTTGCACAAAAGAAATTTTTAGAGGAAAGAATAAAGTAGATATGCTTTTTGAATATTTTGGATAGTCTGATGTCTTTGTTCAGTAGTGGAATTATGTGTTTTGGCCAAAATTAAATATATGCTGGCTTAGGCGTGAACTAGAACTTGGAATGGTTTATTAAATTAATTTAATTACCATTGATCAAGTATGAGTATAAATTCCATTAACTATACCCTTAAGTTTAGCAAGCAAATCAATTGTTGGTATTGAATGGAATCAGATTCCTGTATGGTAGTCCTGTAAATTTGAATTAATAGTGGTAAATTTTCAATGTCAACATTTTTCTCGTTGGTTAAGGCAATTTGGATTTAGATTATTTATTTATTTATTTACATATTCCTGCATATCTTTAGGTCTCTCTCTCAATTTTCTATATGACATGGAATACAAAAAGTATATCCATTGCTAAAAAAACACTATAATAAAATATTATCAACATCTCATTGAGATAAACTGCTAAGAGTTTTATAGTACAGCATCCTCTTAGCAAACATCACAAAAAATATAGTAATATGGATGTTTGCATGTCTATGCTGTTATATTTTAATTACCTCAAAAAACACACCAACCACAATGTACTAGACATCAAAACTTGACAAAACATTTATATGATCTCCAAAAAAGCATCCAAACCAATACACAGAGTCAGTCTTCCTCATTCCACTGTCCCAAACAAGTAATAATAATTTATTGTCATGAAATTGATGCTGATTGTGCATCAAATCATTCTTCACTCCACCAAAACAACACAAACCCAAATCACTCTTTCTGGGCACTCAAGAAAACTGATGTGCTGCAACTCTCCATCCTTTTCTTGGTGAATCCCATCATCAAAATTGAGGGCATAGCTGTAAGGATCATACCTGAATTTGAACTGGGATTTGCTCCCATTCCTCACACCTTTCTTCATTGCTGCTCTCAGTCTTCTGCAGTGTTTCTTCCCCACATTCTGCATCCACTCTATGCTCCCTAGAAACCCCATTCAAAAGAAACTGATTCAGATACCAAGCTACTACTTGAAAAAAAATTGGAAATGAAGAAGAGGAGTGATGTTCTAGAGTGAGAAATAAGAGGGTATTTACTTATTCTAAGAAATGGGGTCATTTAACCACTGAGGAATTTGCAAAATCAAAATCCCTTGGTGTCTCTAGTCAATTCTTGCTGTAGCAGACTAGATGATCCCTCTCAACAAGAGAGGACCTTTTTTTTTTTTTCTTATTGCTTTGGGGGGCTCAAATCAAAATCCTCATTTCAGAGAGAGAAAGTTGAGCTCAGCAGTGGGAAAAGAGCCACATTTGAGGGTGGGGGAGGGGCCCTTTTGCTCTGTCAAGTTTGTTGGTACAAACATAACAGACAGTGGTGCTCCACAAACCAGAAACCCCCCACCCCCCCTTTATTCATGGCAGGGCGATGTGAGTCCTCCATCATATCATGCCCCTCTTTTCTGCATTACATTTCATTCCTTGCATTTATGCTTCAGTTCTTAGGCAAAAGCCCATATGGCAAGACTCCCATTAAAAGCCCTTTCTTGTTTCAGCAATGTTCTATAAACAATGTGTTCTTGGTGCTTCAGTTTTTTGCTGTTTGTGTTCGACAAACCCTTTGTTTATCATTTCTTGGAATTGCTGCTGTCTGAATTTCTGACATGGTTGGAGAAGTCCGTTACTGCCTCATGTGTCTGCTTCTTGCATGAGATGTGGTCATACTTAGTTCTTGACATTTCCTTTGGATTTTTGGTTGATTTGCTGCTCGTTTGTGTGCACAGCTGTCTGAGGTTGATTTGGAAGTTGGAACTGATTTGAGCACTCCCTTCTGGAGAATCAAGACAAATGCTTAGGTTTATTCAATTATTCATATTATCATTATTTATTACCATAATACACACACAAAATAATAACTCAAGAAATAGTTATGGTTGGATTCTCTGCAAGGGGCATCAAATCAAGAAGTCCCCTTTGCGTCTTCAAGAAACAGGGGGATTCTCTTCACAACCTATAAAATAAAATAAATATAAAAAGTGATCCCTGCTCTGCTCTTACCCTGCCCAACCTTTTTTACATACAATAATCTTGTCAACTTGTGTCATGTCGTAACCCCTGCAATGCAGTATTCTTCTGGCTTTGGCCCATTCCTAGATTTGGGATTCTTGAATATTACTGTCCATGGAAGTCAGTTTCACCCTTGAGTGGATATCAATTTTGTTGACAATAATGGATAAGGGCCTATCTCTTGTGTCAAAGTAAATATGATCAGCCCATTATTTTTTTGGTTTTCTACGGTTAAAATTACAAATAAGCCCATTAAAATTTTGTTGAGAAATTCCACATTAAAATGGTGCAGAGTCACATTTAAAAACAAATGAAACGTGAAAATCAACGAGGTTACATTCTGACTTACTTACAAAACGACACCCACTCATGCTCAAAACGACATCACAGAAATATGAAGCATTCCAATGACATTGGATCTTCCAGCAATGCATTAGTTGTCGGTGGCCAGTTGTCGTCGATCTTGCGGGTTTCCCCACCCGACCCGGAATTCCCGTCTATTCCCTCCCGCTGGCGATACCCGTCACGATCCGACCCGGAATCCGTATCCATCACCGGCGACATTGTCCTCCCTCTTCTCGCTGATCCCTTCCCGCCGCTGTCCCTCCTCCAGGATCCGAATGCGGATCTAACCCAATTGGGATCCGGATCGTGGAAATGGGTCTCCCGTTTCTGGCTAGTCCTCTTTCTATTTGCCCCGTCGGGTAATGACCCGTTTTGGAATGCCTCCGGCAGGTTCCAAAGACTTTCGTGGAGCTGAGCGGTGCCGACGACGTCGTTTTCGGAATTGGGGACGGTCGGACGCTCGCTCTGAGTGCGGGGGATCTTTGAGGATGATTCCGGGAGGTCGTCGGCGTTGCGCCCCGAGGGATTCCGGGAAACGGAGCGGCGGTGCTTCTCGCATTTGGTGTTTACGAATCGAATTTGGTTGAAGTAGTTCCGACTTAGAATTGGCGGTGGATTTTGGGGAATGGCTGGTGATTCCGACGAGAGGACTTCTTTGACGGTTTCCTCTTCCGGCAGCGGCGGCGATTTGCCGCTTTCATTGATCCTGTTCGCGGCGGAGTTGGATGATTTGGGAGGCGGAGGGGCGCTGATGGTGCTGATGCAGGAGCCCATGGAGGCGATGGGAATTGAAGGAAGTTTTCGAAGGGATGAACGGCGGCGAGCGGCGGAGGAACAAGGAGGTCAGGTGAGTGTTAAATGGAGGAGCAGTTGAAGCGAGAAGTGAGGTAGAGATGGATGTTGGCAGAGGCCGGGGACTCTGGGTCCCCATTAAATCTGTACCGTTCATGTGTTGGATCCCACGCTTGAGCGCAGTAAAGGACCTCGGGAGTCCTAACACGGGAGTTTTCCTTTGATTCAAGAGAGCTTAGGGCACGTGTTTCATTAATAGTAGTTGAGTGATGAAGCTTTGCTGCATTAGATTTAGTATTCTATAAAGCGACGTCGTTTTGCCAAGGTGCGGTGTCGTTTTCTCCTGCTTTTGTCATTTTTAAAGAGTGTTTGGAAATTGAGTGTGGTTTTGGATATTTAGATAGTAAATGTATAAGTCAAATATATTTTTGATATAATATAATTAAATATTTGATGTAATAATTTTATAATTTGAATAAAAAATACATATAGTTTAAAATTAAAGTAAAGAGTGATGTATATGCCGACACCAAACAAACCATTTTATTATTATTATTATTATTATTATTATTACTAGTATTATTTTTTATGACGCGAATCAAAGAAACCAATTTTAATTTGCTCTTTCGCAGTATTACTTTTCTTGGGCTGAATTAATGGATCATATGAATATTTTATTTATTCGTTACTAATGGGCCAAAAAAATTTGCGGTGAAATTCTGACTTCATTCCTACTCCAAATATGACTCTTGGGCAAAAAATTAGTATTGAAATAACTAGGGACAAAAAAGAGAAAAGACTACTGAATGCTGTCAGTACTTCGTGGAGTCGCAACGACGTCGTTCTGGGTCTCCTTCCCCAATCCCTACTGCAAATACCGTTCCGCAGGGCAGCAGGAAATCTTTGCCCCATTTAACTTATTCTTCAAAGCTGCGGGTTTTACGAGGTCTCGGAAGAGAAGTTCGAATTTAGCCCGAAGTCTGCGTCTGCAAGTCCATTCTGTTAAGGTATGTGTGTTGCCCTAAAACTTGCACATGAACGCGAATTATGGGTGTTGGCAACGTTTTTATGTGTTTATATGTTTATGGATTGTAATTTTAGTGCAATTGGTAGGTTTTGAATGTAAAAAATTGTGTAGCCGCTGCGTTTTATGCCCGCTGGCAGTTTGCTGATTGCGAGAATTCTATTGGCAGGGATTTTTATTTAATTATGTACGTGAACTAGGGTTTGATTTTTCAAGAATTTACTGCAGGAGTGAATGCCCTTGGAAGGTATGGCGATCGCGCATGTGCTCCTTGGAAAGCCCGACTGGTTTTAATTTGCGTATCAAGCATTGGATGCGAACATTAGTGAAGAGAGTTTTCTTCGTTATGCTCGTTTCGCTTGAAGGTTTTGATTGACGAAATGTAATTGTGATTGTGAACCCATATGCTTGCTGAGTCTGATTGAAACTGAATTTTTCCGTTGTTAGTTATGTTCTGTCATTTTACACGCCCCCACCCCCAAACAAAAAAAAAAAAAAAAGCAAAAACAAAAAACAAAACTTGAACATTCCATATGATCTTCTAGGAAAATTTGAAATGGCAATGAGCTCTGCTCATTTCATTTGTATACTTTTCATGATAGTGAAATATATTTATTGCAGGTTAAAGGATATTCGGTTTGCTCGCTTGTTACCTCTTGAATGTTGCACATTTTATGATGGATCATCAAGGTGGTGCTGAGGACAATATAGGAATTCCTGATGATCTGCGGTGTAAGAGATCTGATGGAAAGCAATGGAGATGCACTGCCATGTCCATGCCCGACAAAACTGTGTGTGAAAAGCATTACATACAGGCAAAGAAAAGGGCAGCAAGTTCTGCAATGCGAGCAAGCCTGAAGAAAAAGCGAAAATCATTAGGTGAAAGTGATATCTATTTGGAAAGTAAGAGTGATGATATGGATCTACCTCTTAGCTCACAATTTGGTGATTATTCTGGCTCTTCTGGGAAAAAGAAAAAGGAGAAATTATCCAAAAACCAGGCAAAATATTCACCTGAGGCACCGCCAGGTAGGAGTTTTTCTGGTCGAAGTTCTTTGAGGTCAACTGATGATCTTGAAAGAGATGGTTCTGAGTATGAAGATAGTAGGAGATGCTATAGAACACCGCCTACGTCTGCTGTAGATTCTGATAGAAGCCGGTCGCAGAAGATGTTTGAGATTAGTCCTATGACGGTGAGTGGAATACTGTCCGGTGTGAATAAAGTAATCCACCAATCTCTTAACATTTTATCTTTTATGCTGTCTGCCACAGTGTCCTATCTTAATTAGCTGGTTTAGTAACAGTGTATGCTCATGCCAAATGGCATCAAGTAGCCTTCTTAGATCCCTCCCCACAAACCCCAACCACCATCCTGACCCACACAGAGACAAACACAGGGAGTTAAGATTGAACACAGCATTTTCATAAGCTGTTGGCTCATGAGAATCCATCTATGATTCTGATATTGTTCTCTTATCTTAGTCATTGTAGTGATAGCCCATGATTATTTCTTTGTCGATATCAATGCAGTAGAATCTGGATCATGGCAACCGATGGCTGCCAATTGCTAGCCCTTGATTTGAACTTAATATTAATGCAGGCTTCTTGTCAGCATAGCTGAATTCTTGAGATGCTGCTTTTTATATGAAATTTATTATTGAGTGGCTCAGATAATTCCATATGTTTGATATTCATTCCACCTTTCTTCTATGCACTTAATTTACTGAGAGAGAGTATTTTTTCTTTTTCCTCTCTCGCAGGAGGCTTCTGATGGAAGCTTGGAATCCTCTGATGATGATACTGGGGAACAGCCTTGTCACCAGTGTCGAAGCAGTAACAGAGATAGAGTGGTTTGGTGCCTCAAATGTGATGGAAGAGGATATTGTGAAAGCTGCATTGCAACATGGTTAGACAAATACCATCTAAAAGAACCATTTTCTTGTCTTTCTCAATTCTAAGCTGACGGTACGATGTGTTATTTCTCAGGTACTCTGACATCCCAGTAGAGGAATTCCAAAGGCTCTGTCCTGCATGTCGTGGCACATGTAGTTGCAGGGTGTGTATGCGAGGGGACAATCTGATTAAGGTAGTAATCTTTCCCTATTTATTCCCATCATTTTAAACTTGTGATTTGGTTTATATTTTTAAAGATAATGGTGCTATCTTGTCTGATAGAATCTTTATAAATGTTTTTGTTAAGGCAAGGATTAGAGAAATACCTGCTAAAGATAAGTTGCAGTACCTCTACTGCCTGTTAGCTGCAGTGCTTCCGATAGTGAAGCAGATCCATGCAGTACAATGCTCTGAGGTAGAACTGGAAAAAAGGCTCCGAGGTATGATTGTCCATGCCTTTTTAGATTGATGTGATAAATATGTTAATAATCAGTATATGCAATTCTGTGTTTCAGGAAATGAAATCGATTTGGGCCGAACTAAATTAAATGCTGATGAACAGATGTGCTGGTTAGTTGGTGCATATTGGCTTTCTATTTGCATATGCTTTTCTATGGCATGCATGAGAATTTTTTTTTCTTACTTCACAAAATTGAGAACATGGTAACAATATTTTTGCCCCTGATTGGCTCTTTTATTTTCTCTAAATATCTTGGAGTTATTCTTATGTTTCCCCTGTTACAGTGATTTCTGCAGGACACCTATCATCGATTATCACCGACACTGCATAAATTGTTCTTATGATCTATGCCTTAGCTGTTGCAATGATATCAGGGAGGCATCCATGTGTTCTGTCAATGAGGATATGGGTTCTGTTGGTAATGAATCCCAAAAAAATGATAAATTAATAGTGCGCAAGCCTTCATGTTTGTCAGATGTTCAGTTAAATTCATTAAAAAAGCTCACTGATTGGAAAGCAAATGCTGATGGAAGTGTTCAATGTCCGGGAAAGGCACATGGAGGGTGTGGATCCTCTGTGTTAACTCTGAAACGCATCTTCAAGATGAATTGGGTGGCCAAACTAGTAAAAAATGTTGAAGAAATGGTTAGTGGTTGCAAGATAGATGATTCTGGTAATCCTGAGGAAATTTGTGATGGTCTCAAGCTTTGCCAAGCTGCACACAGAGAAGACAACGACAACTTCTTGTATCATCCATCTTCAGAAACTCTGAAGAATGATGGGATTAAAGACTTCAGAATACATTGGAGAAGGGGGAAGCCTGTTATCGTTAAGAATATTTTTGATGCATCTGCAATGGCTATCTGGGATCCTCTGGCTATATGGAGGGGGGTAAGAGAGACAGCAGCAGAGAAGATGAAGGATGAAAATATTATTGTGAAGGCCATTGACTGCAGGGACCGGACTGAGGTATACCTTTATTCAGTGGGAATTTGTTTCATTTTTTTACCTTTTAAAAACTCCACCTTTGGCCTAAAGCTTCCTTTTGTGTTTCTAGAATTCAGTCAATCATTTTCCAGTCTGAATCTCTTTTTGTCTTCTTGTGCTGCAGATTAGTATTGAGCTTGAAGAGTTTATCCAAGGATATTCTAGTGGCAGATTGCAGGATAATGGCCAGTCACAATTATTAAAATTGAAAGATTGGCCTTCACCTAGTGCTTCTGAAGAATTTTTGTTGTATCAGAGGCCTGATTTCATCAGTAAACTTCCGCTGCTTGAGTTCATCCACTCCAAATGGGGTCTGCTAAATGTAGCTGCAAAACTGCCTCATTATTCCTTGCAGAATGATGTGGGTCCCAAGATATATATCGCTTATGGGGAAGTGGAAGAAATTGGTGATTGTAATTCTACGGAGAATTTGCATCTAAACATGCGTGATATGGTGCGTGCTGTTGCATTTGTACTACTGTTTAATACTTTTCCCTTGCTTCCATGCTCTGTATAACTGCCTGTGCCTGGCTTGGTACTTTTGTGATTTGTTAAAATGCTTAGTCTTTAGATCTATCATATATTATTTAAAGGAATAGAATGTTGAAATGGTAGAAACAGCAGTTACGGGAGATCCTGATTGATGTGCTTTTTTTGTATTTCTAAAGGAATTGCAGGGTGAATGATTGGCTGTTGGATAGTGTGTGGAATATTGAAGAAAGGTTCTCTAAGGCGTATGTGTGGCACTTTAAGTCTAATTGCTAATTGTAGAAATTCATCTTAGTAGAATAGAATATCTATAGTTTAATTCGGAATATTCTGTAAATGATAAACTGTTGTTTCACTCTTTAGTAGTAGCAAAAGTCTGCTAGTGTTGTGCTAAAGACAAGTCATTTTCCTCTTGCTTCACTACTTTGTTTCTCTTATCATGTTTAATGCCTGTGTTGATGTGGGTAATTTAATGACTATCTGCTGCCACAATGTTAGGTATTTCTTTTGGTGCACATATGTGAGGCGAAGCTGACTGGAAAAGAGATGCAAGATGATGCTGTGGCACAATCGGATAGAGGGTTGGACAGTGATACTGAGATTTGCGTAAGTGGCAGCGGGCACATAATCTCAACTGATAGGCTGGATGGCTATGAAGCAGATGAAAGGGCAAATGAACCTGAGAAAAAGGATGATCTAGAAATTGAAGGAAGTAGTGTTATTGAAGAAAAAGGTATCAGTTGTTTTGAGAATAAACCTGGTGGCAAACCTTTGAAGATGCAAGCAGGTGCGCACTGGGATGTCTTTCGTCGAGAAGATATCCCCAAATTAATGGACTATATATTCATCCACCAAATGGATTTTGTGAAGTCCAACCATGCCCTCGGTGATTATGTGAGTTAAAAATCTTGTCCTTTCTTCTTTTCCAGGAAATATCCTTTCTTATAGCTAAAACTGCATTCTTCTTATCAGGTATCTCAGACTCTGTACGACGGGTCAGTATACTTGAATACTCATCATAAAAGCAAACTGAAAGATGAATTTGGTAAGTCCATAATTATGTCACCTTAAATTTGTTTATGTCCAACCAGGCCAGTTGAATGTCTGAACCCACCTGGAAGTCTCTAGATAATGAACTTTTCGGCATTGTGTTATTCAATGGGTGTACAATTTCAGGTCAGAATTCGTCTTTTAGGTTGGAGGGGAACAAGTGTGAGTCGAAGAATAAAAGAGAGATTGTCATTTGTTAAAGTACAGCTCTTGTATTATGCATAGAATAAGATTTGTAGGGTGGGTGGGCAGTCTGCATAGAACACGCAAGCAAAAATAATTTGAAAAACATATGATTTTACTCAAGGCTGATTTTTACTCTGGTTATACTACTTTGTATCTATTAATAAACTGGGATATGATTTTCGGATTTTGCTCACAGGAGTGGAGCCTTGGTCATTTGAGCAGCACATTGCAGAAGCAGTATTCATCCCTGCTGGTTGTCCTTTCCAAGTCAGACATCTTCAGGTGGGCACTTCTTGGCCATGCCTAATCCGATTACCCAGCTTCTGCTCTATGTTGGTTCACGGTTTTAACAATCCTATAACTTGTATCGGTCCTGCACATAATTATCGTATGGTTGAGTGTAAGAAGCTTAAACTCATTTTTTTATCGATCTTGTATTTTCTCAGTCTTCAGTTCAGCTGGGACTCGATTTCCTTTCCCCCGAAAGCCTTGCTGAAGCTCAAAGAATATCTGAAGAAATTCGTGGACTCCCAAACGACCACGAAGCAAAGCTCCAAATATTGGAGGTCGGGCATTCTCCTTTTCTCCAGATTGATCTTACATACTAATAGACTGAAGAAGTTCCTAATTCCTGTATACGACTGTTTAATGGATGTTTCAGGTGGGAAAAATATCATTGTATGCAGCAAGCTCAGCGATCAAAGAAGTCCAAAAGCTTGTTCTCGATCCCAAGTAAGCCAAGCCAAGCCAAGCCAAGCCAAGCCGTAAATTTTAACAGTAGATTTTTGAAGCTGTAATTCTTCAACAACGCAACGCAATTGCTGTTTTCTGTGCAGGCTAAGAACTGAGCTTGGTTCCGAGGATCCTAATTTGACATCACTGGTGTCCCGGAATTTAGACAACATGGTCAAGCACAGACAGATCTCTTGTACCTAATCCATCCCATCCTCAAGGTATCGAACTCTATTCTATTCTTCGGTCATAGAAATAGTTAGTTATATATATATATACGAATGTTAGAAATCATATCTGCCGAGGGGATCGATCATAACTTCTTTAACATCACTTTTTGAGATGGGCGTCAATTAAATGTGTAGAGCATAGAAACCATATTGTGATAATATTTCGTCACGATCATCAAATTGCCTGACCTTTCATTCCTTTCTTCTGTCTGTAGCTTAGCTCACATTGAAACATTTTATTTCATTCTATAAATATATAAATAATCAACCACAAATATTAAAAATTGTTTCTGAGGGTTCTGATCAGGGGTTAATTAGCACCATATTGATTAATTTTAATAGGATATAAATTAGAACAAATAATAAATTAGAGTAGAATAGACAACATATGTTCTATAGTGTTAATTTATGTGATGTATTTGCATTATATAAATCTATATTTTATGTTATTGATTTATATATAATGTTTTGTTGAAAAAATTGCTAACATCCGATTGAACACAATAATTAATATCTAAGATGGACCATAACTAACGCACCTAATACAACTTAAAAGTCAAAGTTAGCTCAAGTTCGCTTGGTTATAGATTTTAAATTTATTTTCGATTCATAGTAAAATATAGACTCTTCTTATTTCATGATAATGAGATTTTTTATTAGTCAGTGAAAATTATAGAAATATTTTGAAAATTTTTTAGGTTTGAGTGAAGTAGTTTTTATTGTTTTAAAAATAAAATATTATATTTTGTTGAAAATTTTTAATTAAAAATTGTGTACAGATTAAAAGACCAAAATAGTATTCTTTTTCTCAAAAAAAAAAAAAAAAAAACAGAAAAATAAGGGTGTGTTTGTTTGGGGGTTTGGATTTTGAATTGGGATTTGAATAGTAAAAATTTTGAATTTGAATAGTTGTATGATATGATATAAATAGGTGTTGATATGAGTTTTGAATGTAAAATTGATTTTTAGTATAATATAAAAAATAAAAAATAGATATTTGATTTGATATTTTTTGGGGGAAAAAATGGGATGAACAGGGGAAATTAAATCCAATCCCCCAAACAAACACACCCGTAAAAACTAATATATACGATGCAAGCATCAAATATATGCCAAGTCGAGGAGAATCATCCTTTCTCAAAATTTGATTTTCATTCAAAATTCAAACCCTATAGACTACGAAGATGTATATAAGACTTGTTATGTCCAAGTGTGTGTATATATATATATATATATATTTATTTATTTACTATTCAATTTAAGAATGAGTTTGGGTGCTGGTTTTTGGTTTGGATATTAAATAGTAAAATTGTGAATTGAATTATTTAATATAATATAAATATAAGTTGATGTGATATTTTTAATATAATATTAAATTTTAATTTAAAATAATAAATAAAAATAAATATTTAATCTGATATATTTTATTTTATTTTTGTAAAAAAATCACAACCAAACGCAACATCAATATTCTTTAAAGAAAGCCTTAAATCTCAACATCTTCAAGTTTTGTTTGTGACTTTGTTTAGTATAATTTTTTGTTGAGCCTAGTCTAAAGACTATTATGTTTGATAGCGGTTTACTCATAATTTATTCGAGTAATATTAACCGAAGATTCACACGCTATAAATATATATATATATATATATAACATGTTTCTATAAAACTATTTTGCACAAGTAATCATAAGAAGTTAGGGTGCGTTTGTTTGGGAGTTTCGATTTTGAATTGAGATTTGAATAGTAAAAATTTTGAATTTGAATAATTGTATGATGTGATATAAATAGGTATTAATGTAATGTTTTGAATGTAAAATTAATTTTTAGTATAATATAAAAAATGAAAAATAGATATTTAATTTAATATTTTTAAGAAAAAAAATTGGATGAATAGTTGTATTTAAATCCAATTCTCCAAACAAACACACCCTAAGAATAATAAGTAGACCAACTCCATGTGACCCGCAACTCTAAAAGTTTTATGACCGATAATAATAATAATAATGTCCTGAGTTACTTTAATGACAATATATCAACAACTCCTTCAACTCATTCAAATTTATACTCACTTTTTATTCGGTTTATCATTAAAAAATATTCTCATTTCTTTTTTAAGTAAAAAATCGTTTCATTTTTGTACTGTTTTTTATTGTAAAAAAAAAATTAACAATTATTACACACTTTTATTAAAACTCGTGTTCGTTCAAATAAACACATGTTTGCTTGACGGAAGGAGTATATAATTTAGACAACATCACAATTTAATTTAATTTTTTTGGAAAAAATAATAATAAAGAAGTACCTTTGAAAAAGTTGACAATGAATTATTCCAATTTTTTTTTTTTTTTTTTTTATTTCTTTACATATGTATATAGCTTTTTCATTTTATTATTTTGAATACTTCATTTGTACATTTTATGTATGTGCAATAGATAATATAACAATACATTGATTGTATTTCAAACTACAATAAATAAAATATAAAATAAGACAGTATGATGACCATAATTATTTAGAATTCAGATACATCTAATGTGGATAATTCAAATAGTGAAATGAATATACTGATTACGGATATAAAGGTATAATATATAAAACAATTAAAGATACTTTAAATTGACTTTTTTTAAAAAAAAAAAAAAAAAAAAATCTCTTTTCCTTATTTTAATCATTGATCATATTTGTTAAAGTTTTAATATAGTAGATAACTAAGTACCAAAATTAAACTAATGTTATAGATAATATATTAAAAGGATAAAACAATATACCTTACCTTCTACAAAAACTATTCAAATTAGAATTAGGAATAAACTTATTAAAAAATTACTAACAATAATTAATATTACCTAAATAAAAAAAGAAAATTACTAAAATTATAGCATTACCTAAAGAAACCATAACAAAATAAAAATAACAATAAAATTAATGTAGAATATGGTTACATTATTAAGACTTATACGCAACTATAAACACATTCTAATTGTTTGTTGAATTTTGATTCGAAATTTATTTTTCAACTATGAATATGCATATTTATATTATCTATTTTTTTAAATAAAATATTAAATGAAAATTTATTTAAATTAAAATAGAAAAAAATGCAGGACATCAATTGCATGCCCGCCACGTGCCCGGACAAGACCCACGTCTACTGGAAAGGCGAAAAATGAAAACCTCGTAGAATGCAATTTATCATCAATACTAAATTTAAAAAAAATAAAAAATAATAATAATAATTATTATTAATCTTTAATGTTACTGTTAATAATCTGACACAAATTCAAAACCTTCCCCAGCTGTACCATAACATAACATAAATACACTCGTAATTAATTTATTATTGTTCATCCAAATGCATAAACAATCTCGTACGTGTCCATTCATTTTTGGGATCCACTAATATTCCACGATCATATTTAATTACATATTTTAATTATCTAAAAAATTATATTTTATATGTCAGTTTCGGAATTCTCCCACTATCAACAGTGCTAAAAACGTGAAAACAGCAAACTAAAGTCGCAATTTTGAATTCCCTTTTCTAAACACACGACTTTTATCTTCACATGAAATGCCTGACCGAATATTGCTTCTTTCTTACCCGAAATTCACTGAATCTATCCTCGTTATTACCACACTTTCATTTCAAGATTTCCACTTCAACTAACATGAAATGTTTTTTGATTTTTTAATTTTTTGCTAAAATTATTTACTGCATCACCTCTCTATTTTCTGTTCTTCCTCCACAGAAGTCATTATCCAAAGATGGGATTTTGATTTTACCCCCAAATAGTGAGTTGTTCATCACTTTCTTTTTTGTTAACCCACTTCTCATAGTGATTTCTTTTTCAAGAATTAGTCATTAATAGTTTCATTTAATAATGGAAGAGTTTTGTTCATCTTCTTCCCAAGAACAAAAGCATTTAGCAAAATAGCAATCACTGGTTGTTGGTCTTTCTTCCCCAATTTTCTTTCTATTCGTCTGTTCCTCCAAAATTATTGCCACAGTTGTTGGGCTAATTTTGGTGCCTTTCACAATTTTTTGATTTTTCAATTTTTGGTTTGGTTATCAGATTTACCTGCTCTACTTAAATCCCCCAACTTTTATATTTTGCTCTTTCCTTTTCTTCTCTTCGCCATCGACGCTGCTGCTGGCTAAAGTACACCCTTATTTACGTGATGTACAAGTACTGTTATTGGTAGCTCAGTTTTGGAATTCCATTGATAAACCAATCGTGAGAAGAAGCTTTGAAGGTATGTCTGCTGTGTAAATTCATTTGAGGTTTTCGTTCTGCTTTACCATTGCTGTTCTTCGTGTTGATGTGAAATTACGATTGTGTCCCTTTCTCTGATTTGAAATTGTTGGTTGGGAATTGATGGGAGTTTAGTGGATTGTTGGTGCTTTGCTATTCACCATTGATAGGGTTTGGTGTTGAATGAGAAAGTAAGATTTAGACAGAAAGATTCATTGATTATTGATGAAAGAAAGATATACATATACATACACACATATATATATATATTGATAGATAGATATAGATATATTTTCCTGTTTATGACAAGAAGATTCAAATTATTTCCATGAGCAGAGCTGCAAAACAAAAAGGGGTAATCACAATCTAAGCATACCCTAATTTTGATCGATTCAATGAGAAAGGTTGAATACGAATTCTATATTCGCAAATTTTGTAAAATTGGAGTCTTTAAGTTCTATTGTTAGAAATTTTTCATTAATTAGAGTAATGAACATGGAAAAATAACAAGGGGCTAATCAATGTAAAAATAGTTTTTTTATTGAAATAAAAGTTTACTTAAACTGAATTTTATCGTATTTAGTTCATTCTCTTAACCTATACAAACAAGTCATCTTTGAAAGCTAAACTCAAACACGATAAAATTCAGTTTGGTTTGGTTCGATTCGTTAACCGCTCTTATCAATGAGTAAGCATAATTATATCATCCTTGTATATAGTTTGAACGACTCGCTTTATGATTATATTTCCACCTATGAGAAGGACGCTTTCTTTTTGTTAGGATTTGAGAATGTATATTTCTGTCGAGAAATGTTTATTAATTATTACAAGAGTTGAAAAGCGAACCATTTTTAGGGTACCTTGTATGCGGTGCTCAAAGCCAGCTAATGTTTGATGTGTGTATGAAAGTATTGGCGCCTCGAATTCGATGACGTCGAAATAGTTGTTTGATTGTGTTTATTGTTCAAGCATTGTTGCGGCTCGGAATATTATTTGAAGGTCAATTTTATTGGTGAGTCCAGATGTGCATGCATTTATTGCAGTTTGTTATGTATTGGAATCATACACCGCCCTATCTACGCTATTTTGGCTGTTTGCGGCGGAGAACGCTATACGGCGAACGAAAATGTTGTGTATAATGCATTTGTTAAATAGGTGTCAATTAGAAATTTAAATTTTTATAAACTTTTAGATGGGATTAGTATAGTGTTTACTTATGAGGTACACGATGGTACTATGATTTTAAAATTGTAAAATGGCGCGGTAATATATATAGTTTATAATTACCGTTTTGGCGTATGTATATTAAATACAGATAAGGAAGTGGTGTCATCGAGGAATATGGTTGAATTTTAAATATTTGTGTGTAAATGTTACCTAATTGAGATAGAAAGGTAATAACGAATGATTTGGTGTATTTATTTGGAAGGTATTCGAAGGGTCGAAGAACAAATAGAACCGAAATAAATATAGCTTCCTATGAAAAAATTAACATGGTGGAAGTGGCTGATGAAGAAGCAGCAGTTCTTGTTTGATGGGGTATGGAAATCGATTTTTTTTTAAAATTTTTTATTTTACTTAAATCATCGAATTTTTTTATCGATACTTGTGGTTGGAGCTACAGGTGTTCCGCGGATCGAAAATGAAGCAGCTTCCGTTTATGGGAGTTGTCTGTGTGGTTATCTTGTTTGTTCTTTATAGGACAACAAAATATCAGCATCAACAGACAGAGGTACTATCGAATTCGTTTTATTTTTTCGAGTCTTGCTTTTGACAATTGCTTCCGCTGATTTTTAATTCGTTTATCAGATTGACTCGAAGTTGCTCCCGTTCTACACATCTAAGGTATCTTAATATTAATTGTGACATTATTCGAAGCCTATAAGAATCGATTTTGCAGTCGGAAGTAGCAAGAATATAGAATCTTTAAATAATCTTGTTTCGTTTCCGAGAAAAACTAACTATTGAGGTTTTTTTATCCAGACTTTTGGCAGGGATAGGCCGAATTTAAATAGTTTACCTCATGGGATCATCGAGGCGAAGTCGGATTTAGAGTTAAAGCCTCTATGGAGGATGAGTGGTTCGAAGTTGAAGGTATAACTCAACGCCGATTCATTTTATTTCTTTTCCTAATTTTCGACTAATGAATTAAACTTGATGTCGTATACATGTTTTTGTATTTTCAGAAAAGCGTACGAAGCTCGAGTAATTTGCTTGCGATGCCTGTTGGAATTAAACAGAAGAAGAATGTGGATACTATTGTTCAAAAGGTACCGTAAAATTTGACGACCGATTAATTCATGGATTAATATCCAATGGCTCCTAATGATTCGTCTTTGAATTCAGTTTCTTTCGGAGAATTTTACCGTCATATTGTTCCATTACGACGGGAACTTAGATGGCTGGTGGGATTTGGAATGGAGTGGTCAAGCCATACATATAGTGGCTATCAACCAAACTAAATGGTAAGAGTGAAAGACACATACATCTTAGTCGAATGTGTGATCCAAAGGTTTCTTTGTACTAAGATTTTATAAATATTATTGTTTTATAACTTACGGGAGTCGTGGATAACCTTTTTTTTTAATTAATGTTTTTAGGTGGTTTGCAAAGCGCTTTCTACATCCGGCAATTGTGTCTGTATATGATTACATATTCCTCTGGGATGAGGATTTAGGGGTCGAGAATTTCGACCCGAGAAGGTACACATTAGCATATTTGTCATGTTTTCATATTATCATTTTCATGTGTTCCGTAAATGAGTTCTTTTTTTCATAATTAATTCTAATTTCCTTTGTTTAGATATCTTCAAATCGTAAAATCCGTAGGACTTGAAATATCTCAGCCAGCTTTGGACCCTAATTCTACGGGCATACATCACCGGATCACAATAAGAAAGAAAAGGAAGATATTCCACAGGTATGTAATAATTTGTGTAATTTCTAGGTGCCGTCAATATTTGTCACGCCCCGAAAAATCTAATACAAAGTCTTATTTACTTTTGTAGTTGTAAAATCTATTCAATTTCAATTTAACTTATCCGTACTATTTTGAGCAGACGAGTATACGATTCCAGAAGTAGTAGCAAGTGTTCGGACGGCATTGACAGGCCGCCATGCACTGGGTAAATTTGTTGCACATAGCATTCCCAATTTCTCCTTAATTCTAACACTGTTTGATTTCCTTTGTAATAATCGAGACTCGTGTTGGTTGCTGCCTATGGTTTTGCAGATTTGTCGAAGGAATGGCTCCCGTATTCTCGAGATCAGCCTGGAATTGTGCATGGCATTTGATACAGGTAATAAATAATTTCTGAACCGTAAACACACTTCGTAACCTCGACTAGATTCGCGTACTAAAAAGACATTGCATACGGCGCACCCTTTGTTTACAGAATGACCTCGTACATGGTTGGGGAATGGACATGAAGTTCGGCTATTGTGCACAGGTAAGAATCCACCCTTTGTTTAGCGTCGATCACAATACCCGCAATTTTTATTAGAGAATAAAATTCAAACCTTCATACTTGTACCTAGTACTAATACTATCACCTTTTCTTGTTTTGACAACCTTGTATTATTCAAAGGGTGATCGCACGAGGAAAGTGGGAGTAGTCGATAGCGAATACATTGTTCACCAAGGTATACAAACTCTCGGCGGCCAATCTGCAAAAAAGGTATCCTTCTTCACTCGGACATGGTGCATTATTCTCCCCTACCTATTCATAATCTCGAGATTTCCTCGAAAAAGTGTACTTTCAATTGTATTCTTACATCGCTATCGATCTATCCATGAACTTGACTTTCTTACATTTATGGTATGACCAATGCAGGTCGTCTCCAATACCAGTAACAAAGCCATTATGAAGGTACAAATTTTTCGGAGTTTTTTTTTTTTCATTGTCATTGATGAATTCTACTTAGATTCGCCATGTCTGATTTGGTTCTTCGACTCGACAGAGGCCCGGCGTGGATGTTAGAACAGAGGTGAGAAATCTTACTATTGTACATTAATTAGCCTGTTTTGTCTGAAATCTGGACAAAGGTATAGTCGACATTAATTGATAGCGTTTAGTAGATATATTGGAAAATTTTGATATTATTTATTGATATATATATATATTTTATGATTCCTATATTTTCAGAAACTTTCAAAATCTTATATAAACGGAGTCTTTATTTGTGCAGATACGAAGACAGTCTTCAATAGAACAGAAAAGGTTCAAAGAAAGATGGGAAAAAGCTGTGGAGGAAGACAAGGAGTGGGTCGATCCTTTTCCAAGGAGCAAGATGAGACGACGTCGTTTTAATTAATTCAGCAGCTAACCATCCCCAACCAAAAGTTACTACTACTCATTTTATCTCTTGTCTTCTTCTTCATGTCGTCTATCATTCTTGTACATTATTATTATTATTATTATTATTATTATTATTATTATTATTATTACTACATAATTATTTTTTTATCATATGTCAGCATTATTCATTATTCGATAGTTATTCAATCTCGTCTTTTCGCTTACTAACAATTTACCCTTCTAGAATTTATTATGAATATTGGATAAAAAACTGAAGAAAAAAAAGTAAAGGAAAAAATAGTAGGTTTTCTTTGTCCGGAAGCATTAGGAATAGCAAGTGCGTTTGATTTCTATTTGAATTTGAATTTACTTGAAATTAAAGTATTTTTTTAATAATAAAAAAAATATGGTTTTTTTTATAAAATATTATATCAATTATTAATTTTTTATATTTTTAAATTTTTAATATCCTAATAAAAAAAGTTAAAAATACGTATGCGAATGGGCAGAAATGTAAAAAGAAGATAATAGTTGTCCCTTTTGGCGCACCGTGGACCGTCCGCATACGAGTTTTCTTTCCCCCGTTTTCTTCTCTCTTTGTACGAATCCAAAACCTCTGTCTAGGACGCCTTCGCTCTTAAGCTTCCACGCTCCGTCCTTTACCTCTTCTTCTGTTGCGCTGTTTGGATCACCGGACATCGGTTCAATTGAAGTGAGAAGGAGTCTTCAAGTAAGGAGATGGCCGGCCGTTACGATCGCAATCCTTTTGATGAAGAAGATGAAGTTAACCCGTTCTCTGTATGTACTTTGAATGGATTTACTGTCCCTTAACACCTTTTAATATGCGTAGAAATTGTATTCCTTGCTTGCTTTAATTGCTGAAGGAATCTATATCGAGTTTCTTCGAAGTCGAGTTGATGAAAGAGTTTGCGAGGAAATTTTAGGGTTTTTAGGTTGACTCTGTTGATTGCTTGTGTAGGGTTCTATTTTGGAAGTGTGGTTGTTGGATATTTTACCATACTGTTTTCTGTAGTCGATTGCACGCGGAATTAGAGAGTTCATTGCGGTTTTATGTTGGTATAATAGAAGCATATGATTTGATTTATCTTCGTGAGATTTTAATGATAGTAGAGATTAGAGAATGCTTAGATCTTATGAGCAGGGGATATGTATGATCTTTACTTATCTAATATTCGATGTTCTTGAGTTTTTGGATATAGATAAAATCCTTAACGGGAATGAATGTGTTTGTGCGGGTGCCATATGATTAATGCTTCTATGCAATGCATTTTTAATATTGATATGCTAGAAGAAGGTTTATGTTGGTGCTGCTTGCTATTAAAAGCATTAGAGATTGGAAATGGCTGAAGCTGAATGCGTTTCTAGTTATCTGTTGTGGTCGAATGGGATTATTTTATATTTTATTTTTATTTCTTTATTGTCTTGTTTTGTTTTATGGTATTTGGTGGTGAGAGGAGTTTTATGGACTGGGTTTTACCTTGATGTGATTTTAATAAAGCATTGCTTGAGTGTTTTATGATTTTGTCACCATAGGTGATCACAACCAGTATTTTGAGGGGCAAGATTGTGTAGGATGTAAGAACGCCTTTATTTCCTGAAAAATGACTCACCCGCTAGTCAGAAGTTGCATAAAATTTTAGCTTGGAACATCATCTTAAGTTAAAGATACTTGCATATGTAGAGGACTATAGGAGAGGAGTATTCAAGGGTTTGTGTTTGGTTTAATTTTTGTTTTTGGGGTTAAATATTTGTTGGAACAAAATGATATGTTTTTTATAGCGAAGCTTGAAGTGGCATAATAAAAAAACTGAAAATGTATATTCCCTATTTTTTTTTTAAAAAAAATAATAATAAAATTCTGCAGTATGTCGTATAAGAAAGGGCTAGTCAACAAATGCAACACAACATATTCATTAAAATTTTGAACCTATACATGTATAAGTTTGTCATGAGTTTACTGACAAGATACTAAGGGGGGACAGTAATGCCTCATTAATTCAGCAAGTACAAACTGATAAGAATTTATTAGTTTATTCTTTTAGACAACTGATAGGCCCAGTTTATTTATGTATTATTATTTATTTTATTTTATTTTTTTCTTCAAAAAAACTGATGCTGATATCCAGGATGGAGGGGCTAGAGGAAAAACATCTGGACAATCAAATTTTGGTGGTGGCGCATTTTATACGACTGTGAGTTTCTGTGTATAACTACTCCGCTGAGAAGAGCATCCTTTTTAGTTTAGAATGTGTGATTAGTTGCTTCAATTGGATGGTTTAGAATATATATATTTCTGAAGAAATGTAATTCTTATCCAAGACATCGGCATTATCCTTGGTGGAGTGTAAGCTGATTTTCTGTCTTCCAGGCAACTGGAAGTGTTCCTCCAGCTGCAAACTCAAGACTTTCTCCTCTTCCACCAGAGCCTGCTGATTTTTACAACCCTACAGCTTCAGTTGACATTCCTCTAGACAGTACTTCAGTAAGTGCATCTCTTTTGTTTTGGTTAACATGTAATGCAAAATTGGCCGCCTTTCTTTACCGAACTCACATTGTCTGGTTTTTAATTAAAAAAAACATTTCAAAATTAGGATTTGAAAAAGAAGGAAAGAGATCTGCAGGCTAAGGAGGCTGAATTGAAAAGGAGGGAACAGGTACTGTTTGCTATTTTGTCGTATTCTACCAGCCATGAATTTGTTTGCACTGTTATCAGAATGCCCTATGCTATAGAAAATTTAGCTGAAAAGTTTTATTGAATTTAATTGAAAGAGGTTTGAGGAGCTGAATTACTGCTCTGCTCAATAAGCATATACAACTTGTCTCAGAGCAACATTGTAGGGTCTCCGTTGGATGATGTTCACATTTCTAATTGTAGCTTCTAATTTGAATGATGCCTGCAGGAAGTACGGAGAAAGGAAGAGGCTGCTGCACGAGGTGTTTTATCTTCTCTTAGTGTGTTCATTTTGATTAACTTACTGTGAGACTGTTGCAGGACCAACACTATTTACCATAAGAGGACTAAGTATGGGACGACACTGATATATTGTTTCTATGCAGCTGGTATTGTTCTCGAGGAGAAGAATTGGCCTCCATTTTTCCCACTTATTCATCACGATATTGCAAATGAAATACCAATTCACCTGCAGAAGATCCAGTATGTTGCATTTACAACGTTTTTGGGTATGTTACTTTTGCTAATAAATAATGAGTAATTTGTGTTCTTGTTATAATTACTGCCGTGCTATTTAATAATCCTTGTTATATCACATTTCTTATTATAATTTCCGATCATATTGTCCATGGTTCACATGTTCTATTTTGAAACAAGTGTTCCTATTGTATGGCCACTGGTCGCCCTTTTTGTACAATTAGCATTTATTTTCATTTATTTTCTTATCTGTAAATAAAGCAACAAGTACTCTTCACTCCCAAGCTTAGCGAGAACATTGTTGATGACTGCATTCTTCTTAAGTTGGGCATATAATATATTTGTTGAATCACTCGGAGGTGAAACTTTGTGCATAACAGAAAATTAATTGTGTTTACAGTTACTACAACATATACATTCAATAGTTTGTCAGTCCCAGCTCTGCAATATTTACCTTGTCATGTACTTTCGAATTTGTTGCGCAGAGTTCATTTTAATATCTGAGATTTACCTATATAACTATGCTTTTTAGATCTGCAAAACACTTCTAATCGGTGCACTTTCGGATCACGACTAGATGATGTTAATGATTGTATGCTGTTGGTGATCAGGACTTTCTTTTGCCCTTCTTTGGAATGTTGTTGCTGTGACTACTGCATGGATTAAACAGGGAGGTTAGTCCACTCGATTTTTCAGTTGATATCCGTTTACTATTTTTCATTTTCTTTGAAGTAATTTTCTGAACTTCTGATATGTACGCCAGATGCAAAGATCTGGTTTCTTGCAATTATCTACTTCATCTCAGGGGTGCCAGGAGCCTATGTGTTATGGTATCGTCCTCTCTACCGTGCTTTCAGGTCTGTGCTTTTATCCCTTTTCACTACCAATTCTTTTATATCTACGGATAAGTAACTTGTGCTAACTTCTCTGAGTGAGCTTGGTTACAAGGTTACCATAGTCACCGAAGTGATTCAATTTAGCATTGTCATATCATCGTAATAATTGAAGAAACCTCTAATTCAGTGAGCTATATGACATTTCTCATGTGTGATTTAGACTTTGAGCTTTGGTATTTCAGGACTGAGCGTGCTATGACGTTTGGGTGGTTTTTCCTGTTTTACTTGGTAAATTTCCCATCTCCCATGCAACAAATGATGATTAATATACTATAATATTATATGTATATATTTATATATATATATATATATAACATGCTTACTCTATACCTTCTTCTGCAGCTTCACATCGGCTTCTGTATCTTTGCCGCAGTTGCACCTCCTGTGGTTTTCAGGGGAAAGTCTCTAACGTAAGCCCACCTTTGTCATTCCAATCATAGTATTTGATGACGTATCTGTATTCACCTAATCTTGAATATTTATTTCGGTTTTGCTCCGTTTCTCTTCTTTTAATATCATGTACGCTTCTGCAAGTATTCTGCTTAAAATTTCAATTAATTCCTGGTTAATCTGATTGTTGATGCAATCTTCGCAGAGGCATACTTCCTGCTGTGGATCTCATAGGCAAACACATACTTGTCGGGGTAAGTATGATCCGGACTTTTATATCTTCCATTGCAACAATCGGAACATGATGTAAATGTCTTTACCTGATTCTTGGTAATGCCAGATTTTCTACTTCATTGGGTTTGGACTATTCTGCATCGAAACAATGCTCAGCATTTGGGTTATACAGGTAAAATCGCCGGTAATTGAACTTAAATATGGTCTTGCACAGATATTATATGTTTTTACATTTTTGCTCGATGTTCTGCGCAGCAAGTGTACATGTACTTCCGAGGCAGTGGCAAGGCAGCGGAGATGAAACGCGAGGCTGCCCGGGGTGCCCTTCGAGCAGCCGTTTAATGTATTGTAAGTGCCCAAACGTAAGCAAAATTTACTTGGATGTGAGATTATATGATGAATTGGTTGTCTGTTACATGTAAAGCATATTTAGTTTCACGTATTTTTTTCTTCCCTTCGGTGAAAAGTTGATTCTAACTGTTTTATTTTTCTGAAATAGCCTTTAGAGAGAGAGAGAGAATAGAGTATATGATCAACTATGGAGTTGTTATATGTGTTTGTAAATTTTTATCTTCAGCATACGGCCTTCTCCTATGTTTTGTAAGATATGTAATTCAATATTTGCTTCTGTGATTTTAAAATTTTAGGTCCAAATACTCAATATTTTGGGCATTATTATAATTTTGATGAATGATGTTAAAGTGGTGTTAGACTGATGAAAACATTCTGAATATGTCTTTGTAGGTATATATATTTAAAATATTTTTATTGTAATAAAATAATTGCTTCATAAAACGATCCGTTTGTTTTTGGGTATTTTGATGCTGTTTTGGAAAAAATGGCCTGTGTCAGTCCGGATTTACCCCAAAGTGTCCGAGTGCATAGGCCCAAGTCATCTGAAACGAGTATGGGCCCCACATGTGATGTAGCTTGCCATGCCATAGATGCCCAAAATATCAATGGGCCGGTCCATGTGCTGATAACGTAGCGTGTCAGTCATGCTGGCCCAATAAAAGCACGAGTTGCATAAGCCCAATAATGGCCCATGAATCTTCTAATGTGTTGATATATACAACTCAATTAATGAGGATATGGGCCTAATAATCCATTTTATAGGCCCAGTTGAAACGTAAATGGGCCAAGCAACTGGCCCATCTCACGGGTAAAATGTTATTGGGCTAAACGGCCAAAATCAGGCTACCAATCTCCGTACATTAATTCTTCTACCAGCACTCTTAAAGGCCCAGTTTGATTGGGCCAATCTTGGCCTAGCATAAGCCCAAAAACGGCCCAAGAATCTACTGTGGTGATATATCCAACTCGACTAATGAAGATATGGGCCTAATAATCCATTCTTATAGACCCAGTTACAAACAAATGGGCCAAGCACTGGCCCATCACAAGGGTAAAATGTTATTGGGCCAAAAGGCCCCATTCAGGCTCACAATCTCAGTGCTAGCATTCTTAAAGGTCCACTTCAGTTGGACCAATTTTGACCTAATATGTATTATAAATGTGGGCTAAAAGGTAGCATTTATACCTATTACAATGACTGACGAGATTTAGGCCCAACACAGGTTTTCAGGCCCACATTTAGATTTCAACGATATTAGGACCAGTTACTGGGCCAGGGATGCTCTATTGGGCTTTACTTTAGGCCAAGCCCAGTAACTGAAATACGATCTAAAGCCCATGCATTATAATTCATTTAGGCTATGCATAAATGGCAACAAAAGTTTCCTAATTAGTAGTACTTCAAAATAATATTGACGTAATAATAAAAACAATACAAGTGGGAATAACAGTGTATGCTGAGGTTTCCTACAAATAGTATATAATACAAAACTCATCCTTCTAAAAGAGATAGTAATACATTTATCATCATCATATATAACATAAATTTTTATCAGTCAAACACTAATTTGGCGACGACGATCGATTGTTAAGGAACCAATATATATATCAAAGAGATTCCGAACTGTCCTAAAGCCATTGCAATTTCACCAATAAAAACACACTATCAGTTTTAATTTATATTCATATTTTATAGTTGTATAGCAGTAGTGATGATAGCGATGAACTAAAGGCAGGATGAATTCCAGCTAGCATCGACAGCCCTAATAATTTTTTCATGCAATGCAACTCCAGAACATGCAATTATACCTCGATCGAGGCCCTCTAAGAACATACCTTTCGAAAAGCAGAGTGGGTTCCCTCTTGCATCAGTCACCACTCCTCCAGCTTCTTCAATGATAACAACTCCAGCAGCATGGTCCCATATCTTCTCCTTGTACCCGGCCCGAGCAAACTTCATGAATATTTCAGCATCTCCTCGCGCTATGGCTGCATACTTCACCATGGAATACACCCGTAACGGTTCTTTCCTGCAATCAATAACTATACTCAGTTTCATCTTTCCTAATTCCTTAAGATTCAATATGCTAATATCCATATTTTGCAATCTAGATCGAACGCTAAATTAATAGTATATTATATGCTATTAATGATTGAAGGCTTAGAAGAAATATATAAATCACCTGAGTCCAACACTGTGAGCTAATCCGGCAGTGAAGGAATGGCTTGAGTTTGCCTTCTCAACTGGTTCACAGAAGGTAGCAAAGGCCGGATCTTCAATGCTCGAAACTCTGATTTCTCTTGCAGAGTTCGGCCAGACAAATTTCTTTTCTTTAGTTAATAACGATTGCATCCATGCCTTACCATCTCCTTTCCTTGCATACATCACACATCCTTTATCCCAAGATGTCGATGATGCTGATGTTAATCTGGATAATATTCTTTGGTAGCCATTTTGGTAACTAAGCCATTCCTTATTCATTGGATAATTTGGGCATCCAAGAACTCCGAGCACAGGTTCGCCATTCACTATCAAACCAAGAGCTACTGCATATTGATCCCCACGCACAAATCCCAATGTGCCGTCCACTGGATCAAGCACCCAAAATCTTCCAGTTGGCCCCCCCATCGAGTTGCATCGGCTAATGGCTTGTAGAACCTCTGAAGTGCTCAAAGGCATAACCGGCGCATCGATTCCAAAATTAGATGCTTCAGAAAGACATTCATTAACTGTCTTTGTAACAGCATCCAGTAAGCCGACTGACTCGACCTTGGACAACACGAAAACATCTTCTTCAGCAACAATTGATACATTTTTACCCCCAAAAGCCTCAGATAGCACCCAGCTCACAGTTGCCTGTACACTCCAATCTGCTAACAAGTAGCAGAGGAGTGTTAACTACAGCAGCCTGTGCTATATACATTATTAGAATTCGATATAGAGTATTTTCCTGAATGATTTAGCTTCATCAAAGGAAAATCGATCCAGAAGTTCCCTGAGTGCAAACATTTTAGGCACGGCCATCATTTCATAATCTAGTGAAAATTCTTCACACTACCAAAACATAATACTAATGCCTGTACGCAAAATCCAGCTCCAGCTGAATCAAGTATTGATAATCAATCACACCCACAAACGTGGAAAGCAAGTAAACTAACGAAGCAAGTAATTGATATTTCTCCTACATTTGGTTTATTAATTTTACAAAATACTCATAATATCATAAAAACAAACAGAAATTTGATATCGAGCAAAGTAGGTCATTTCAATACGGAACAAACTATAAAACTAAGGTAAAAAAGCGTTACCGGCAACAGTAACCGGAGAATTATCATCCTTGGCTTGCACGTGGTCGCCGCTATTCGAAAGCAACCTCTCCTGAACTCTCTGACAGAGCAAGCACGCCATGTGCACTGCCTTTACAGCGACTTCCAACTCTTCGGAATACCTATCGTCGACCGCCGCCATGGATTCAAATTCCAATGTATCACTGTAATCGTGCGCCGTGGCAGACAATATACCGCAACGTAAGGGATTACAATTCAGATTCAGTGCGGCTGAGGCTAGGTGGGATTTGTAGAAAGCAGAAGGAATAATTGGAAATCCTCGCCCCGGTAGCGAAGCGTTCCTCGTGGAAAGTGGCAAGAAGGCGTGGGGGAGGAGAGTCGCGGCGGCGTGAGAGACGGGCATTTTTGGAGCATAGAAGGATGTAATGTTGGGGAAGGTATATATAGAATAGATGTAGTAGTAGTAGAAGATGGTCGCCCAATCCAAGCCAAATGAGAGTGAATGATTGATTGATTGATCGATCGATCGATCTATGGATGGTGTGAGTTTTATTAGGGTGGGAGGAAAGATGCCAAAACGACGCGTTTTGGTACGACATCAGTCAAACCAAACCAGCTGAGCTGAAGCTAATAAAGGTGTGTTATTATCCTTTTTTCTTTCTACAATATTCAGTATATATATATATATATAATATAATATTTATTTTTTATTTTTTTATAAAAATTAATTATTCAATATAAAATTTTAAATTTTATATTATTGATTTATTTTTTATATTTCAAATAAAAAATTTCAAATTAAAATATCAAATAAAACATATGTGTTTATTTGACAACAAATCCTATAGATATTAGGATTTGAATTCATAATGAGTTCATCCCCACACATCAGATCATCGATTCATACGTGAACATCCATATTATGAATTCATAATGTTTTCATCCCCACACATCAAATCATCGATTCATTCGTGGACATCTATATTATGAATTCATAATGAGTTCATTCTCACGCATCATTATGTTGCGGACTCTATGATGTAAAACTCATTGATATCCATTCTATTGCTACTTATATGGACAATATGGTCATCAATTTTTATTTTTCCTATAGTTATTTTCTTTTTACTAATGTTGAAGTTACAATAACTATGATAAATATTATACGGTTTAAGGGTGTATTATTGGTTTTTTTTTATTCCACATATTTTTTTTTCAAAAAATTAATACATTATACATATTCATTATTTTTATATTATCTATACAATTCTCCATATTCCACATAAAAAAAATATCATTTTAAACTATTTCACAAAACAAACATACTCTAAAATTGTACTAAATATGTTTTATTAATGATAATTTTTTTAAATTTTTAAAAGAATAGAAAAACAAGTATAGTATTCACTCAAGTATGACATGTACAAACTACTCATACTTATAGGTATGGTATATGAACATATCTATTGTGTTGAGTTAACAATAACATATTTTGTACGAATTATTATTTCACATACTATATTTATATTATATTAATATAAACTAAGAATATTATTTTATGTTTCATATGTTGCATTATAATATTCAAAGTATTGTTAACATGATTGTCACACGACATATTTACCGGCACATAAACCACCTTAACATATGTATATATACATATTCATAAAAAAAGAAAAAGTAATAATAAAATCAACTAAATAGTGTTACATTTCCTAAGTGACGTATTGGTTCTAAATAAAGAAAATTCAAAAGGTGAAAGAAACTCTAAGCTGAAAAGAAAATCAAAGTTTTATTTGATAGCTGAGTTGAATTTTGGGTGTTGGTGAATCAAATAAGTGTGCAATTAATTCAAAACAATCGGCCAAACAAAATATTAATCAAAGGGTAAATAATGAGTTATGATTATTTTGATAGCTATGTGATGGTAAATTTCATGAGAACCCTATCCATTACTTAATTGATATGTACACACAAAATATTCTACAATAGCCTATATATATGTTTCTATCTATTGATTGAATGATTGATCGTTCATATACTCTAATTCATATCTATATATAAAAAAAAACTAAAGTTGATTAAGTAGAGCCATATTGGTTTTTTGCTGGTTCATGAATTAGAAAATTATACAGTGTATTTCAGAGGCCATTAATTTATTATAGCAGCAACAGCACCAAAAATTTATTTGGGTCGGCCCAGTGAGTGTAGGAGCAGGAACGGGAGCTTCTCTGCTGCCCCCAACCAAACACTTGTTTTTTTTATTTAACATTTTACTATTTTAAAAGAACTAAAATACCACCTAGATATTTCTTTAAAAGATATCTGAATACACCCTAACTTTTGGAGTTAAAAATTGACTATGACTAATCATTGTTTCATTTGAGTAAAGATAAAGAATAGTCAAACTAAAATTAATCTTTACTATTGACTCAAAAGAAATACATAATTTGATATAATTGTCCTTGCTTAATCAAATGTTAAATTTAATTCAATTTATACTGAATTAAATTTATATATCAGCATCTTATCCAAGGCCAAGGAACATAGAAAGGTAGAAGAAACATATGCAACAAATTTTGCTTCTTCAATATTGTGAGGCTCGAGCAAATCTAGAATATACTTTCTCGATCCACTTTCACTACATATATTTTACTATCTTGAATCATCTACACTCAATATATTTATTTTTAAATTTAATAAGTATGGACTCTACACATTGATAAAACACTTTTTACATTTTACCTAAAATTATAGTAATACAACTTGATTGCGAATCCGGTGCTGACCCAATCAAATCAGTATTGATCGGATCAGCATATAACAAAAAGGTAATCACATATATTATATACTATCATAGTATATTTATGATACAAGATATTTTATGTTATAACTCATATATATGATATTTTGTAACATAATATATGTAGTGTTATACAAAAATATATATTGTATACATTTATGTGAAATGATGACCTAATCAAATTGGCACCATACTGATTTGATTCAGTCAACACTTTATCTACGCTCGTACAACTTTATATCAATTGTACTTTCGACAATATTTTACTCAATATATTCTTACACAGTATTCATCACATAAAACACTAATATTCCTTAATTTATGTATAAAAAATAAGCAGGCACATACACTCCGGACAAAGAGAGTATGCAATAAAGTGGGGAATTCAAGAGCAAACAATAATTGAGATGTATTGCGAGAATCGGATATTTGTTTGAAGGATTTTGGTGGATTTCCACTGTTCATCTAATTTTTGCCCCCCAAAAAATCAAATCAAATACCTATTTTTTATTTTTTATATTATACTAAAAATCAATTTTACATTCAAAACATCACATCAAACCCTATTTATATCACATCGTACAACTATTTAAATTCAAAATTTTTACTATTCAAATCCCAACTCAAAATCCAAACCCCCAAACAAACACACCCTAAGAAAACGTGGTACAAACTACACATATAAGACACAAATATGATCATTTTGAAAAACATATGCATGCACTTAATTATAATATGACTTCAAAAAATTGAGTATAAAAATTAACATATATATATATAGTAAAATTAATAGAACATACTTTCCTATGATATCATAATTTTGTTATAAAATAGTAAGTATTTTAGTTATTTTAAAATCGAAAAGTGGATAAGAGGTACGTACGTGTATATTCTACTATCAAAATTCAGCACCCTATGAATGAATGCGTGCCACCGGTTCTAATCAATTATCACAATTCACATGTATTTATTGATATTTTTCTATCAACATGATGATGTGGAAGATGCTAAAATAGCCAAATTTGGAGTAAGAAGATAGCAAAAGTAGACAAGTGTTGAGATAAATATGGGGAGAAGAAATTAATGTGAACTGTTCTATCAAAGCATGTAATGTGAACTGTTCTATCAAAGCATGTTCTCACACAAGTAGAATTATAGAAAATTCTTTTCTTGACCAAATTTGGCCAATTTTTCCCCATTATTCTATAACTAAACATATTAAAACACTCGTGCAAATATCCTAATTAAAGGGTCAATAATCGTCAAAGTGTGAAGGAATTTGACAGGACTTTAAAAACACCAAGTTGAGCCATTTTGCTACCAAGTTCTACCTAAATGATTGCTTACAAAACTTTCCTAGATTTCGGAGGTCCTGGGAGCACGGTCCAGCAGCAACTAAAAACCCTTCGTTGTATGAACTACTCAACTACATAATCAAAGGTGTATGACTCCCGGGTGTCACTCTCAATTTGCCTACAGTTCACCTTCCTAAATCCTAACTGTATATAGGCAGCCTTAGGAGATGCACTGAACCTCAGATAACACGAATATGTCTGGATTCAATTCACCTACCTATCAATATCCAATAATATTAAAATATTATTCTAAAGAAGATAAAGAAAGTGACATAAAGCCTCCACCACACACAGGTGCTGGAATGGCCCGACTAACTAATTGATGGCATGTGAATTAACCCACGTGTTCATAAATATCAACGCGACTCACCTGCAAATTCCAGCACTAGTAATTTTCTAGAAGTTGAGGGGCATTTTTGGAATGCTATCTACTATATAAGTGGATTGAACTTTAAAGAAAGAAAGCAGAGGATAGAAGAAGGCGAAGAAGCAGTTATTACCTGAAGTGAAGTAAAGAGGACTTGACTTGTTGAGATGGAAAGTGGAAGACGGGAGAGAATGATCAACGGTGGGAAGCCATGGAGGAGGATGGAGTACAGCCGTCCGATTCCCAAAAGAGGGCAAGTGAAGGCGGCCATTGTGCTGGTATTGGCACACTCCTTGTCGTCCATTTTCTCTCGATCTCAATATCAATCTTGAGCAGAATTAGCTGTAAAAAGCAGCAATGTCAGTGGGAATGAGAGAAAACCTAAATTGGCCGTCGATATTAGGGTTTTGGCCGCTTGGGGAAGGATTTAGTTTTGAATTTGTTTTCTGTACAGTTGTTTTATTAATAGAGAAGGTTTTGAGCGATTCTCCTTTTGTGATTACACTCAGTAGGAGAGACATTAGTGGTTCCTAATACTCCTAAGCTATCTGAACAAAAAGCACAACAAGCAGAACAACATTCAATATCATTTCCTGACTTGGACTGCACCTGGTCTGAATATGCACAAGTCAATCTCCTAAACTGCAACAAATTTGCAATTAAAACCAACGACTAATTATCTATTTCAAGTACTCAGGATGAATCAGCCAGTCTTCGAGAGGGCAATGAAAGAAAAATTGCTTTCTAATCGCAAAATATGAAGCGAAACCTACTGGAACACATTCGACTGAGAGTCTCGAGTCAAAAATAAGATCTGTTCTCGCACATTAGTTTTAGATATGTAGATCTAAACTTCAAACTCGTAGTTTATCCCACTGTATTCGTAAAGAGTTTTGACGAACTGATGAAAACAGTAAATTAGACGCCATTCTTCAACCATAAAGTTCGCAGGAAACATATCGATTAACGACGTCCCTAAATCTTCCGAGACATACAGAAATTCCGAAGGATCATTGCTCAAACTCAAAGAACACAGACAATATGCTGATTACCATCGGTGCGAAATTACTTACACAAACGAACTGATTTCATTGATACTTACATGCAGTGCAGGGCAAGGAGACGCCGTTTGCTCGGTAATTTTTCTCGACAAACATGACGACTGAGTCTGAAACCGATATAACAAGAAGCCGCCTTTCAAAACATCAATCCGCACATTCATTAAGCACTCTACGCTACGACGCCGTTTTACCCATAAATTAATTGTTCTAAAATTTTAGTTTTGGTGGTGCGTTTTCATAAAGCAATGTCGCATGTAGAGAGTGCTTAATGAATGTACGGATTGTCGAAGAGGATGGTAAAACGGCGTCGTTCCGTAGAGATCGCTTAATGAATTATGAATGTACGTATAGATACTCAATAAGGTGAATTGAATGATCCTTAACATGCATGTACTACTAGTTCACGTCCTTATTTCATAAGAAATAACAACATATATTATTAGACTTTCATGCATTTTATTAAACGGCAGATCAGATGTTCAAAACAGTACATGAAAGTAGTCGAACATGTCTCGAAACATCACAACAAGCATTACATATTTCAAAGACGAGGAGGAAGCGGCTCAGGAACAGAGTCGGAGTCATAGTCAGGATCAGAATCAGAATCAAAGTCACCCAAACCATGCATGGGAGCAGGCACAGGCTCGGACGCCACGTCGACAACCGAGGCAGCGCCGAGCATTGGAGAAGGCATAGGCCTGGGGATCACAGGCATATCAAGCTCCGGGACTGGGGGGACAGGGGGCACAGGGACAACCAGTCTCCGAATAACACGATCGGCCGAGCACATAGACAGGTTTAGACTTAGGCTTAGCAGGGCAATGCACAAGCACCAGTGCCATTTTGTTGCAGCCATTCTGAGTGATTTTGATGGATAGAAAACATCAACTCTTCAAGGTTTTTATATAAAGTTTGGGTAAGTGGAAATTACAGAATTTTTGAACATACAAAGCTTGTGGACCATAAATTGTGGATGATAAAGAGGAAGATTAGATGATGCAATGCAACAGAAAGAGAAACAAAAAGAGTCTGAAACTAAAATTCTCTTACACAGTTATAATATTATATAAATTTTTTCTATAAGACAAGAATCCTACAATTCTGACTTTCTTTATTCAAACCTCCTATGATCTGTATTCTTCGACCTTTTCAGCTGTCATTTATTCCATCTCGAAAACGGGACAAGAAGAAGACAAGTGTAGTCATCAAAACAGCACAAGGAAAGAAAGAAAGCAGCAGAACAAGAAAATAGTAATCCGGTTCAACGATTCATCGACCCGCAGCTCGCGCCTTCGACTCCTGACGGAGTGATACGAGTGTGGATATGAGTACAGACCTGCCGAGTTTCCAGACAGTCTATCATATTCCATGTTGACAACCGGACAGGAAAGGACAAGCGGTGCTATACCGCGAAGATTAGACAATGTAGGTTGCTGCAAACCTCCATCACCATCGTTGCTCTCGTCATAATTCGGAGAAACAGGGGGGCTCGGATGGGGGCCACAGCCTTCGGGGTTGAACATGCCGGAGAGGCCTTTTATCCCGGAGGCTGGTGGCCTTGGAGGTATGGGAGGTCCTCCATGCTCAGGTTCGGGGATGGATTGGCCGCGGCCGTAGAGAGGGACTAGAGTTTTTTCTGAAGTTTCGGCCTTGCAGACGGGGCACCGGGGCAGCTGATCTGATGGCAGGGAAGATGTTTGGGAATCTATCCATTTGTATATGCATGGCCAGCAGTAGAGATGGCCGCAGAGAGTTACGACTGGATCGTGGGCGAACTCTAAGCATATGTTGCAGTCGAAACAGGCTGCGGATGAAGAAGGAACTGGATTCCATTCTTGCTCGAAGAACTGATCAAATGCCATCGGATTTTCAAGCCTGCAAGAGTAATTGACAGGTAATTGGAATAAGCATAGAATCCATGGCTGCTAAGATATCAGAGCTCATATGTATTTTGTTATAAGAAATGGGAGGTTGCTAAAGCATGCTGGATGATTATTTAATGACTATTGCGTAGAAAGAAAATCTTTTAGGAAGAGGAGAAGAATTAGTCCAAATTGGGAAGATGGATATGAAAAACAACTGCCAAATTGCACATATGGGAGAAAAATATATTTCCAGGCAGCCGACAATGGTGGATCCATTGAAGAAAGACAAAGTTATGATAATAATCAAGTGGTAGGTGAGGATTCGAAGAACATAGTTTGAGACCTTGATTATATTCCAGAAGAATGTCAGGATTAAAGAAATAGCAAAAACCAAAGACAGATTCGATGAAGTTACAGATATCTCTCATGAAAATGAACTCAATAAAATGGTTCTATCCAATGCAGTAAATTCATCAAATCTTAATACGTATCTGTACACATACTGATTCACCCCCAAATTATGAACAGCTACTTGATGATATACCTAGAGTCGGCTAACTAATGCGAAATTATACACCAAGACAAAAAATCAATGAATGAAATGCAGAAAATAAGGCATTGATAAGACATTGAAAGCACTGATACTTCTGCTAGTTAAACTAAACTTTTCAAACACGAATTGAAACTTTGACGTCCATGAAAAACGATCCACAATACTTTGAGTCAACATTAAAAGCATTGATACTGGTGCTAATTAAGCTAACAATGATCAAACACAAACTGAAACTTTGACGTCCATGGAAGAACGATAAGCTTCCTGCCTCCGCAACACTTTGAGAATTTTTAACAGAAACAAGCCTCCAGACTTACCAGATGAATGCGGTAAGAGTAGAATGGAGAGGAATTTGCGGAGAACAGCAGTAAAGTACACAACTCAATTATTTATTCGAAAATAATGGAAAATTCTGCCTTGAAACGCGCAGGCTGTCTGATCATAATCATACTTTCAGCGCAAGAAACTGCCGATCCAATCTATCCATGTATCTTTGAGCATGCATCCTCCCTGTGTTCAATCTTCTTCTAGAATTTTGAGAGAGATACAAATGGCATCTTCTTAATATGAGAAAATTTATAGCAGCAAAATCTGCACGGAATGAGTAGGCAGCTTCATTACTTCCATTTATGGTCTTTTTTTCTAAAATATCACAGTCAAATATTTTTTTTTTTTTTTAAAAAAAAACATAGCCTTAAAAAAGAGTCTTCAAAACTCACATAGAGTGAATAAAAGTAATTGTATTGAATTGTTATTTTATTATTTTTTTTTTAAGAAAAAATAAAAAATATATATTATATATTGTGTGAATTTCTGTATATTATATTTTTAAATAATATTGATGAGAAGTCATATAAAAAAAATACAAAAACTACCAAGTGAGTGTGTTTGCTTTCTATGTTTGGATGAATATATATATATATATATATATTTTATGTATCAATAATATAAAAATAATATTTTCTTAATCAATTTTTAAAAATATATATTTGTTTTTACGTGAAATTTTAAAAATAATAATATTTTAATTGCAATGGATAATTAAAAATAATATTAATATAATTTTAAATTTTTTTTTTTTAGTAAAAATAATTATGTAATAGTAAAATAAAATCATTCTTAATAAAAAAAATAGTTATTTTATAGAAATTATTAATTATTAATTATTTTTTTTGTAAATGAATAACATGTATATATTATATATATTGTATTAATATAAATATATAAAAGAATCGTGCCACTCAAAAATATAAAATCAATACATTCAATAATATTAAATTATATTGGGATGATAATATTGTTAAAATTTTCATAGCATAGATAAAGTATGATTTTGATTCTGGAATTTAGAATATTTTATATATAATTTGATAAGAAAAAATTGGATTATGTACTGGCCAATTTTCAAGATAATAAAAAAAATGAGACTAATTATTTTAACCGTGATCAATTTATAATTTTTTAATTAATTCAACTCATGATTTTTAATATTTATAGTTATTGACCGAATTTAAACTTAATAAAACGAATACACTAAGGATCCTTTTACTTTTGAAATATTATACTCTATAAAAAAAAATGTTTTTTTTCTTTCTTATTATTAATTTTTACAAAATCAATAAATAGATATTTAATTATTATTTTTTATTCAATATTTATTTACAATAAGTATCATTAATTTTATTTATTATTTTTTAATTTATTCAATTACTTATCACTTTTTTAATAAAATATTTATTTTTTTAATCTCCTGGACCAAGGTGTGCAAATTTTAATGAAGAAAAAAATACAAATTTTCAGAAAAAAAAAATTAAAAAATAATATATTATACATATTTTTATATTAATTATATAATTTTTTAAACTTCGTAAAAAATATATATATATTTGTTCAAATTATTTACCCTTAAAATTGTCTTTCACTTGGTCCATTTTCTGAAATACCCTCCATTTACTCATTCCTAGCCAAACCTCAGAAAAAAGTACTTATCTTGAAAGCGGCGCGTATCTACGTGGTTGGGTGGTCCGGGCCGACTATTCATAAATCATAATGCAGTAGGTACCATTGGATGGTGCTTCGCAATTTCCGGGTGATCTGTACCGTTCATGGTCTGGGGCCCACACGCCGTCGACGGATGATGATTGTCAACCGACTACTTCAGGCAATTTGGCATGTGATTGCCTCTTCATACTAACCTCTTGTGTCATCGTCTTCATATCCAATATTAAAAACTTTTTTGTCTCGGGATGACTCGTGTAGGGGTTGAACATGTGACTGTGAAGTTATGAGTTCAAATTCCAAATACTTTATTTTTGGATAGCGATTGCGGATTTTTACGGCATAACTCGTTAACTATAATTCTTTCATCTATTAGTACACTTTTAATTTTAATACGTCTAAATAAAAAAAAATATATATATTTTATTCTTTTAGAGAAAATAACTATCAATTAAATATCAAAATATATTTATTTTTTTAATTTTTATATTACTTTATTACATACATATCTATATAATATTAATTTGCATTAATTGACCAGCAAAATCAAATATATGTGAATCAATAGGAACTCAATAAAATAATAAACAAGTCGGATTAGAATTAGAACCCTTAACTCAAACTCAACATTACAAACTGATATAATACATTAATACACCCTCACTTCATCCCATTCCAATTCAATGTATTTACTTTTTATCGTTCTTGTTCATTCACTAAATAATATATATTTTTATGATAAAATAATTCATAGTACATAACTATCAAAATCTTCGTAACTTCTATAATATAATTTTCCTTGGTACATATATGAAAATATCAAAACTATATTATACATTTTCATTAACTCATAAAATACTATCATTTATTAATTTGCTAAAAAAAAGATAAAATAATGCATTCGATTGAGACATATGGAGTATTAAATAATTAATTTATTATGCATATAATAATTTTATTATAATACCATACAATAATTCTATATGAAATAATAGAATTTGAATTATAAATTTTGATTGAATTCAAGTTCAACCCCGTACAAATCGACTTATTTAAAACTTTAATAATTTTAAAAGTCATAAAATATTAAGTCTTTTCCTTTTGCAATTTTTTTTAAAATTTTAATTTAAATAATAATTTATTCAAGATAATATATATCTTAAAAATATAAAGACGATTCTTTTTTAATTTTTTTCTAGAAAAAACCTTAAAGTTTCTTCTACCCTGGGCAGCTCGGCCCGTCTGTTCCAATCAGGCCTAATCTGAATCATTATACGGGCCTCATATGGACCTATCGGTCATAACATAGCCCGCGCCAACATATTTTGAATCTTTTTTTTGTTTTGTTTTCCCTTTCTAATATGATCAAATCAATACCTGTTAATTTAATTAATTTATTATTAACATAATATTATACTCCTTCCACCTAATACGAAAAAGGTATAATTAGTAAATAATTTAAGATGTATTAATGAAAATAATTATATGTATAATAAAAATAATTATAAATTAAACTAAAATAATTTATTAGTTAATTAAAATTAAAAAAATTATAAATTAAAATTTTAAAAATAAAATTAAAATGTATAATTATTTTTTTAAAAAAATGACAAAATAAATTAAACGGACTAAAATAGAAAAGTGAACCTGAGAAGTGAAGTGGGACAAAGGGAGTAACATGTATTTATATCACGTTAAATACAAATATAAACCTTAAGGAGCGCACTTGTTTTTATCCTTAGTTATGAACTTTATACAATTGGTTGGCAATTTTAATTCTACGTTTTATTATTAAATCAATTTTAATTCTATTTATCGACAATCTCAACCTAATGAACATACTTAACCATTCCACACTTCCAGTTCGATCGAAAAGTGTGTATAACCTAAAACTACTTTTTCTTTTCATTACTATTTGCACCAGTCACATGAGAGAAAAAATAATTAAAATAAATAGTAAACCTAAAAATCTCATTTTTAATTATAAAATATATATATATATATATCAAACCCAAAGTAACCTAAAATACTACCAAAATACAAATTCGAACACACGCTGAATAACCTTCATTATGCCAAACTAACTAAATTAAGAATAAGAACAAGACTGAAGCAACAAAATAAGCCACAATTATAGATTAAAAAATGATCGACAACTTTTTTTTTTTTTTCCTAATAATAAAAAAAAGAAGACATCAACAACATCAATATGCACGAAAAAAATACTTTATTTTCAATTAGATATTATCATCTATATAGAGATATATATAAATACATACAAATTTAAATCTAGGCCGGACCTTGAGCAGCTAGCAGTAGTTGAGATTGATAACAAAGAAGATTAACTTCTAAGGCATACCATATTCATGGAAAATAATGCTGACATATAACGAAAAATAAAAAAAGACAACAAAACCAACAAGATAATCCTACAAGATAAAGAGCAGAAAGGCTAACGTGCCCGCGTCATCACTCGATGTCGTCGCTGAGCCTGTTGAATCTGAATAGAAAGAGGGGGTCTTCGATTGTGTGCCTACAAATCAAACAACCAACGGATCAACTTGTAAATAGATTGAAGTGCAGTCACATTCGAAAACAGAGTAATCTTGTTTTCTTATTCGAGCAGGCAATCATTAGATGTGTGTGTAGTAGGGAAGAAGAGACGCATACGCCAATTTCTGTTACAGTGCGGCACGAAGAGCATTGAACTGCTGGCGCTCCGTGCGGATACATGAGCAGAACATTGCACCCTCCGCACTTGATTTGGCCAACGTCATGGGCTGCACGAGAAAAGAAAAAAAGTTGCATTTGTTAATGGACTATGGACTTGAAAATCTGCGAATCTTGTGAAAAAAACATTAAAAGAGGATTGGATAAACCTTCGAGGACAAAATTGACTTCTTGGCATCCTGGACATTGTACCCATTTTGTTCCTCGAGGATAGATGCACAGTTTTCGGCAAGTACCACAAACAAGCTGTGCCTTTTCTGCAGGAAGACAATGTCACTGCTTGTAAGAGTAAGTAAAGGCAGAGCTCATAACATCACCAGTTAGTTCACAAAAGTATTCAAAGCTGAAGACACATCAATTGAATCACAAAATAGACAAGCAGTAAAGATAATCGGTGAAATATTGCTGGCGTGAAAAGGGAGCAAACACTCACCCGATCCAGATTTTGCTGGACCTGATGCAACTAGCCGGTGAGTTGGTATAGGCTGCTGTAATGGAGATGCAGGTTGGGGCATGGATCTAGGCTTTTTGTCCACCATAATTTTGTCATCGTCTTTCGTCACTAGATATATGAATGAGCACAGACTGAATGATTAGCCGATATGTTACACTACCTCCTGGAAGTATGTTTGCAAGGCAGGAGCATATGTAAATTTCTTTTCAAAAACAATTCAAAGATGTCTTCCTTCTAATAGGCAATCATTACTCTTTTGCAGCTTATATCATTTTTCAGAACAGAGTTTCTGCTCATATTCATACAACTAAAAGACATGAAAATTTGTTATACTGAGGAAAAACCTTATTATATATACGAAAAGCAAGGAGGAGATGATGAATCCCATCAGATTAGTCGGTAAAATTTATCCAAAGTAGTCAAATTTGTGAAAAAGGAATCTGTAAGAGGTACCAACATATCCTAAAGAGATCAAGGGAGACGAATGTGATGAAAATACTCTACTACTGATAACATGTTTTTAGCATATAATTATGTGCGGGACGTTTGGTATCTAAAAGGCATACCACTGGTCAAGTCAGCTGATGATAGCTTCTGTATAGGCGGTTCAGCTGGCGATGAATGTCCTTGCAAGGAAATGGATTGGGACACCATTGGAGACGCTTCATTACTGATCCTTGTATTTGTTTGTTTGCTTCCTATTTCAATATCTACAATGGCCCCCAAGTCAGATCTGACTGATGTCATTCAGCTGACTTTGTAATGCAGTTAGCCAGTTACTGTGTGTATAGTTGAACTTGAGACACATCCTATCCTATTAAAATTATCAAATGTTTTCAAGATTGAACTGACATGACATTCTTGAGGTAGAATATATAGGAGACGAATTTAAAACAAAAACCTCTCAAAGAAACCAATTAATATTATTAGAGAAACATAAAACTGCAAGGCATACTAGGCATGTTTAGAGTTCAGGGTCAGGTGGTTGTGGTTCTAAACTTTCAGAATCTCATTCCTCCAAATTAAAGAACCATAACCAAACCATGAATAAAGCATCACTGGAACCAAAGCACAAACAAACAGCTCGTGTTCCAGTTCCAAAACCATTATGGTTCCAATTCACATTTTAGATCAGTTCCAATTTGAACCCGGTAGTTCTTCAGTTCCATACACATACAAACCAGTTACAGAAGTAGAACTGGATATTTTCTTCAGTTGTATCAAAAGAAAGATTAAATCACACACGAGAATTTATGGTTCCATTTTGATTAGCACTTTAAAACAGCACAATAAATTTATTGGGCGTGCATTTCATAGAAAGACAATTTCCCATTGAGATGAGTTTTACTGATGTATATAGAACAAAAAGGTCACTGTGATTAAAATGGCACAGATGTGTTTGGGGTAAACTAACCTGAAGAAACAGTTGATGATGGCTGCAATGGTGGTGTGCTCGGCTGTGGCATTTGATGTGGCACTACTGCTTCCCATCCAGGCGGAGGCCCTTCATCTAATTCTTCATTGCTCTCCATCTTCACATCTGAATATGTCCAATGTAAAACATGCAAGGAGAATTACAAAATAACTTCACAGCAAACCGAAAGCTCCAGGACATATAATACTCACAATTCAAAGGATCCCAAAGCACTCTAAGAAGGCAATGCAACATGGTTTGTCTGGGCATGAGAAAATAGTCGCATGCAATATATTCACATGCAATTCTTATTTTCAAGATAACTCATGGATTCCTCTGACCAAATTAAGTAGATACTCATTGACTCAAGCAATGTGAACTAATCAGAAAATTTTCAAAACCAGATATCCAATTTTTGGATACAAAATTATGACAGAAGATTATCCATATTTCCAATATAAATTTCATCTAAATACACAATAAGCAAGGACTGTCACCTGCTTCATTTGGTACAGGATCAGGTAATGTATTTACAAGATTACTGAACTCCCAACCCGGAGGTGGCCCATCTTCATCCTCCTCCTCCTCCTCCTCCTCCTCCTCATCACCATCATGTTGGGTGCTCATTCCCATATCTAAATAGAGACAATTAGTTAAATAGTATCTCAATAAGATTTCTGCAGCCACAAAATCTAAGTGAGATATACCACCACAATGGGCATTACATTAGAAAATTTTCCATCCCTGTCTACAAAACTCAGAAAATAAATGCATACGCTCAATGGTGCTCAAGGTAAGAGCGAAACTAGAAACTATCCTAGTCAACAGTTACGATGGTTGGTAGATGCACATCAGCTATGTCACATTGATGTTCGATAAGAGTATATAGCAAAGAAGCATACTTGCTTGAGCCTAATAAATACTTCAACAGAAAAATAGAGGGTCTGTATTAAAGTTTGTAAACCTCAACTACATTCTCAAAGTGTTTCGAAGTCAAAAACAAATTCACACAACTAAAAAAGATACCGAATTCTCATCAAGCAAGTATTTCAAAGTCAAAAGAATTCACGCAACTAAAAGAGATACCGAATTCTCATCAAGCAAGTGTCGCAAAACCCTAATTCTTCTCCAAAACTAAGTGACAAGCTAGGCAGCATTGAGGCACCAATTCCATGTAGTTCTTAATCCCCGAAACCACAATATTAGAAAGAAGACTAACCAGGAGGCGGAATAGACGGCTTATTAGGGTTCGGGACCACCGAATCGAAACCAGGCGGCGGACCTTCTTCTTCATCTTCATCTTCATCTTCATCTTCATCTCCACCTCCATCCTCATCGTCTTCGGGTTCAACTTTTTCCGGCTGCCGATTTATGATGCACTGAAATCCAGGCGGCGGCCCATCGTCCTCTTCTTCCTCCTCTTCTCCGATCACCACTGCTTCCGCCTCTTCCGGCACATCCATTTTTCTCGCTCGTAAACTGCACAGAAACTTCGGAGAATCTCTGTCCCTGAGAGCAAGAACAGCTGAAGAACACTGCCTGAATCCTGCGATCTTTCCTTTTCATACTTCACTCCGAGACCAGAAGTGACTGAAACACTTACTTAAAATCACTGGGCCCAAACGAAATGGGCCGGGCCCAAATAATAATAAATGGGTCTAACCTATATATAATTGGGCTTATAATAAATCAAAGCCCATCACCGGTAACGTATAATAAACCGCCTCAACTTGAAAACCTCTCACGTAATAAGAGCTGATTGGCGCCGTACAATCTGAACCGGCCGGTGGTGGTTGAACCGTTCGGTCACCGCTAATTAACCGGCCACCAAATTATTCACTCCCTTCGTAGTAACAATAGAAGGAAAAAACTCGAGACCAGATTAGCTAATTTTGTGAGAAACACATATTCCATTAGGTAACCAACAACAACCAAACGAAGCCAAAGGTCACCTCTCACTTATCTGCCTTTCCTAACACACACAAATCAAAAATCTAAATCCTCCCTTAATTCTCTTTTATTTTTATCACAGTTCAATTTATTTCAGATCAATCCTTCATTCTCTATCATCATCTTCTCTGAATGAATGAACGAATGGCTTTGTCCAAGAGGATCCCACTGTTTCTACTGAGGCTGCTCGCCATGGGCGCCGCGCTTTCCGCGACGCTCGTCATGCTCACCAGCCGCGACACTGCTCAGGTCTTCGGCATGAAGTTCGAAGCCAAGTACACCAACTCCCCTACCTTCAAGTGAGTCTAGCATCACAAACAACACACAGTTTTCAAATTAATTAAACCTATCTGTTCAAAAATCAAAGTGTCGCGGCAATGCGTAGGTATTTCGTGCTGATGAACGCCATTGCAACCGGTTACACGCTGATACTACTCTTTGTTACTTATAAGGGCTCGTACGGGCGCGTTGTCCTAATTCTTGATCTGGTAAGTCAAAGTCTCACAATACACGCACACAAAAGTTCAAGCTCAAGACTACCTACTACTCTTTGTTTTGCAGGTTATGGCAATGCTGCTTGACTCGAGCTTATCGGCATGCCTAGCGGTGGGGCAGGTGGGGAAGAATGGCAACAACCATGCAGGATGGATGCCTATTTGTGGGCAAGTGCCTAAGTTCTGTGATCATGTCACAGGTGCTTTGATCGCAGGTTTTATAGCTGCAATTGTGCATTTCCTCATAGTCCTATTTTCTCTACACACATCTCTCAATCTTTTCATGCCCAAGACTTAAATTACTTATTTCTACCTACACACATTTATATCACATACATACTATTTTCTCTGTAATCTCTTTTCTTGTCATGTTATGACATCCTATTTTATAGAGATTTATTCTTCTAAGACTCGAGGCTTAACTCGACTTGACTAACCATTCTTGCACGAACAAAGAGCAATGTAGATCGGGTCGTATTTAGTTTTGAAGTACTTCACACATAAAAACCATTCCATGTACCTAAAGTTTGAGTGTACATACGGTACATGGTTTATTCCAAACCACGCTATATTACAACAACAATACACGCCACTGCAATTGTTCGAGTTTCCACACTATGAAACTCATCCTAATGCAGTGCTTGCATCACACATCGATTGAATCACAGGATAGACTAGCAGTAAAGATAATATACACAGTATAGATATAATTCAAAGGATAGGATTGTTTTAGAGAACCTGGTCGGACACATCGCCGCAGATGAAACCCTTCTCAGAAAATGCTTCGACGAGTTTAGGGTAGAGCTTCGTCAGCATGATCTTGAAGCCCGTCGAACATCCTTCCTGAATTCCTTGCTCGTCGTTCCCATGATTAAACGGATGTCCAACTGGAGCTCCTTTCACATAAGCCTTACAAGCTGACAGGATCTTTTTGCTGCGGCGACTAAAGTGTTCGTCCACAAGCGCCTCGAAATGCTGTCCCAATAATTTCTACTTTAGAAGGAAACAATAAGTTTAAAATGGAAATGCCGTGGCATTGATCGGGACTGATTTACCTTGGGAGGCTTGCGCAGTATGTACAGCATGGACCTGCAGTTGACGAGGAAGGCATTCTCGTTATACGAGAATGAATTCTTTTCACCTTCTGCGCGGCCAATCTGCGCATCAAAACCAGCCTCGTTGAAATAAGGTTTTTCATTGAGCACAAGGGCCTGGAGGGAGAGAAGCACTTGAAGGATCGTCGAGGAGCTTGGATTCCAGACTTCACTTTGAGATCCTGACCATGTGTTGAGAAGGCTGAGGCAAACCTTCCCCGACTCGTACAAATTTGGATTTAACCTGAGCCCACCAGAGTTGTAGAAGACCATCTGCACAGACCAATTCAATTTCGATCATACATATATCTTGTCAAACAATTGGTACTATGTAAGAAACAATTACATGTCTAAAACTGAACAAAGAACCGACTTACAGGTGGTTCGTTTGGATATTGTGGAGGAAGGTAAATATCGAAAAAGAAAACTCCATCGTGATATGGAGTTCCATCACTGCCTAGTATCGCAGTTCGCACCAAATCCATTCTTTCCTCGTAGACACGGACGTACAGACTCTCTGTTTCGACAGTAGAAAATTACTTAAGATTGTCAAAAAGAAAATGAAAGTTTTATTAACCATTACTTACCAGGAAGATCCTTCTGAAAAATGCTCCATTCCTGGTGAACCTTCTTCATCCAGCCTCTTTTCAACTGTATGCATACATAAATCAGAAACTAAGCCAACGTTCAGAGAAGAAATGGGATATAATTTTAGCTAAGAAAAGCCTCATGTTGAACCTGGGGAGACTGCAGATTTATCCCGGATTGGTGGAAAAAATGGTGATCGAAACAATTGTTAACCATATCAAATTGCCTAAAAGAGTCCAGATGCTCAACTTCTTCAATCTTCTGTGGAATGATTCTTTCCGGCAACTCTGAGTCATCGACAGCTAGAAGTTGTCCACCAAGGTTTAGATTGCTAAGCTCCACAGCTTCCTCCTCAGGGGTTTGGCTGTGCCCCTGTGCATCTACTGATGTGCACTGATAACGACTAATCAGGGATGTGTGTGCAGACCCGAATAAGCTCGAAGCAATCCTAGTGAAAAGGCCTTTTGCGACTTGAGAAATGGAAGGTAAGATGGATTCCATTGTATTATCACAGTGAAGATCTGACTCACCCTGCGCGATGTAGCGTAACATTAATAGGCCATTTTCGTTGCAGGAAGAAATGGAAATAGGAGATTTTGGCATACCATTAGCTTTTGACCTAGTAATTGGTTCTTTACAGGGAGTTCTTCATTCGGTTGTTGATTGTTTTCTTCACCAAGCACAGATGCCGTTGAGCTCTCACATTTATCAACCCGAAAAATCTCACAGGGCGCTACCTGTTATGATGTTAGATATGATAAACATTTTCTTAACAGTATCAAGAATAGATTACACAATGTAGAATATGGATACCTTGCTTGTAGCACAATCGGCCCATTTGACTTCAACCTGGCCGTGTTTGAATCCAACAACGGTCCCAAAATACGACAGGTATTTACTCTTCAGATTCTCGCTCTGATCCCCACCATTTTCACCATCCTCCGGAGCAGCTTCCTCCCTCATGTGAATCTTAGAGACCGTATCGCCTGTTGCATTGTTTCCATTTTTAAGTTCAAGAAGACCTTCATCAGCCTTGAGGACCACCTCGCCAAGGCTGTACGAGTAGTCTGGATGCTCGACAAGTTCATAAGCGCTCACAATTTCCTCAATATCTGTTTCCTCCGATTTGCATGGTTCCGGCAACAAGTTGCACCATCTCACCTGCACAGTTCGTTCTTTAGGATCAGCAGTTCTGATGATACCCCATTTCTTCTGTGAATCATCAAGTGTTCCCGTCCCCTTTTCCAACACGAACATCTCCGGCCAGAAGTCATGGCCATCCACAACGTTTATAGGAAGTAATAAATGGGAATCCAATGCCATAGATAGGCTTCCATCCTGCCACAGAACATCAACTTTAGTTTTAGTTTTTATGATCACAGCAGTCTGTCGAAAATTAGGACCTCCCTCCCATGTCTGAACCGTTGCATCAGATTGATCATGACCTTTAACCATTTGAGAAACAATAGCACTCGGAAAACTCTGCTTGGCCGGAAGAGAACACCAATCACCGAGCTGCCAATTTGTGTGGGGGAAACAGGGAAGAACAGTCAAACTTTTCGAATCCTGAAAACCTAAAGGCACAGGTATCTTCTTGCTCCCATTTAAAGCACAACAAAGCCAGTCGACATATACAAGTCCAGCATCCACATTGCACACAGTTCCTTGCTCTTTTCTATCCTTTCGATTGCCACACAGCCAGCGAGTTGGTGCAGAGGTAGACATATACTCAACCTGAACCCTTAGTCCAGGATAGAAAGGATAGTGAGGATCATCGATTAAATCAGGTGATGTCGGAGTAATCTTCTCAGGGCCCTCAGCAGATAACTGGCACTTTGTGCCATTATCGAGCAGAATGGTCAAACAGTCGATTACCCTTTCGACTTTCCCAATCCACGCCCCAAGTATCACATAATCTGCAACAGAAATCGAGCGTATTTTCTGAAGATCTCTAGTATTGATATCAGAAATTTTGCATCCATAGATGTTTTCGACATCCACGGTCATGTCCACATCAATGACCTTTCCCTGTAGGCCAAGTGGATCGGAAGCCATGCAAACGATGTCGTTGTGCAAGAAACCCCTCTCAAACAAGAGAAAATCATCAATCTTCTCAATGGTCTCCTCGAGACTTGAGAAAATTGTCCGAGCTTGTCCACCATACAGAGACTCCATATCCTCTTGATCATCAGAACTGCTGCTCTCACTCATACTGTCAAAGTCACTGAGAAGCGATTCCATAATGCTGATAGAACAGGACAAGCAATGAACGTAAATGAGTTAAACAATTTTCAACTATATAAACCGTGCAAGCATAGAACGATAATAAAAGTAAGACAGGAGCTTACCACCACAATTAAAGATGTGATCAACTAAGTTCCAATGATACCACTGCCACACAACGACTACAAGATATCCACTGCAACCAGAATCAACAATACTTACTTTCTTTCTTCTTTTTTTCCTTTTTTTTTTTTAGCTTAAATATATCTCCAGCACTGGAGATTGTATGCCAAAGGAGATTTGCCCGGTACAGTTACAGGAGTATGAACACTCCTATAATGCCAAATAACCGAGATTTGCCCAATGAAGGGTAAGGAGTACTGAGACTCCAAAATGCCAAAGGAGATTTGCCCAGGGGAAGGGGGACAAGTTTCGGCTGACAGTGCAGCCAGTGCAAAAAGCACCCTGTAATGAACAAAAAACAACAATTAGGACAACTGGATTCATCGACTGGATATGAAGCACAGTATATCAGAGAACCCACCTCAAATAATGGAATTCTAACACACCAACGTCAAACTCAAATTTCCCAAACGAGATTAACCGAGAATTCTAACAAACCAACGTCAAACTCAAATTGCTAAAGAACTGGAAGGATCTATCTATACTTTAGAAGCCAAAGAGAGTTGCCTCGTCAGTCCAGCCAAACTTTAAGTCATCTTCACTCAATACCAAAGGAGTTAGATTTGCCTCGTAGAAAGAGTATCAACCTAAACATGGGGAGAGCTCTTGCTGGAAGATTGATGACTGTACACAAGAGATTTTTCTGTCAATGTTCGCTTATGTTCCACGGATGAGCAGATGAGTTGAGAGCAGATTGGTGTTGAATCAGAGGTCTTGTCCTCGGACCAGTTCAGAGCTACAGAAAATCATGACCACTGCAAGGATGGGGAAAACTGATTAAAAAGCAAAAATATGAACACTTTGCAAGTGTGTTCTATCTTCTCATAGTCGAAGTTCCATTAATAGCTCTCAAACGGACATAATTTATTTAAATAAATACAATCAACATGAAAAGACAAAACAAAGACGCTACAAAAGTAGGTCCAAAAATGCATATAAGTGAGGATTCTCCAAAACAAAAAATTCCATTTTAGGGTAAGATCAAACAAATTCATGGTTCAGTCTAACAAATTCACAGCAAGATAATTAACAGGATGGATGAGCAATCGTAATCAAAACTTAATAGACAATAACATATAAAAAGTTAACATCCTTCTGAGTTTTGATAAGGCTTTGTCAATAAAAGGAGATACTAATGTCTTATTATGATACTATCATGCATGCAATGTATGTTCGGCAATAAAAGAATGAATTAAAGTTGTCTCTATTTAAAACAACACGCTTTTTGCATGATTATCCTCTAAATCCCATAACCACCACCCTGATTGCTTGCAGTCTAAGTTCAATCATGAGCCGTATAAAAGTTCTCTTGAAGTTTCATATTAGAATCCAACTTAGTAATATCGAGGCTTTACTTGTTATATGAATTACAAAATTAGGATCACCAGCCAAACCAGTACACCTCTTGCTCTTCTCTCTAACCTTTAAATTGTTGGATTTTCTTAAGTTCATTACGTCCTTAATATTTGAATATCAAGAAGTGGGTCGATTGGAACTCAAATCCCAACAAACAGAGGGAAAAAAAAGATCTAAAAAGAAGACAAAAACAGAAAACTGAAGAAAAGGAAATTCATCTGCTACAAACATAGCTAGCGAGGCCACCAGCCAAGGTGTGATCTGAATTTGAAATCCTAAATTGGAACTTAATGTCCTGAATCCTAAACCCTATAAAGATGTTCTAATTCCATCACCCACTAAATCATCATTCCTACGTAAAATTATACTCAATAAACTTCCCTTCACTTGACCCCAGCAATATTTCTAATCATGTACATAAACTCAACAAGCTTCTACACACACCCAAGAGATCAGAGTAATCCAATATTTAAAGAGATGCCAGGACACATTCATTTCCCAAAAAAAGAAAAAAAGAAAAAAATGTTCCCAAAGCAACCCAGGAACACCTACCAGGAATCCTCCGGTGATGAACAATCAACCCAAGCCAAGCCCTCAACACTGATTCCAAGCAAAGAACTTCCCCCACTTTCTTGGCTTCACACTGTACCAACTTTCCGGCAACGCTATGGCCAGTTTCTGAAAACAAAAAAGACGAAAACGGAAAGGGGCTAAGATGAACTGACTCTTAAGGGCAAAGATTGAAGACGGGAATTCAGAGAGGCCAACAAGGCACTCTCCAAATCCTCTCGTTCAATCCATTTTTACAGCTTCCGAACATGGCAAAGATGGATTTTTTCTTTTTTTTCTTTTTCTTCCCCCTTTATTTTCCCCTCGCAGAAACAAAGCGGAAATTACACGCACGCTTCTTCTACTGTCTGTATCTCCCGATTGGGGATGCCTCTCTATTTGTGAACATCATAAAAGAATATACCACAGTATCTCTATCTGCCCTGTATCCGCATCTCTCTCTATTCCAAGTTTGGCTACATACTTTTTCGTCAACACCACTAGACGTAACGGTTAGGCAGTATAAAATAAAATACAGTATTTCGATTTTATTTATTCTAATCACTTAGCCCTAGTTTTAGAAGTCATTGCAAATGCTCAAGGTCGAATCTTTACCAAGAATATTAGGACTAAGGCCTCATAGAAATGCATAAGATTCCATTTATTTATGATTTTATGTTCTTGAAAATGAAAAACAAGAAAAGCCATGGAAGCGGAAAAAGACGCTTCTTTTACTTTCATCTACTGCAAAGTAGCGCGAGAAATGAGTTTTGACCTGAGAATCTGTAGCAGCATTGACGAGCGGACACGTGGCATCTTGCTGTGGGCCGCCCCCGTTCAGGCAATCCCAAACTGTGTTGCTGATCGTCTGCCCACTGATTCAAAAATGGTGCCACCATTTTTGCTGAGAGTCAACTCCACAGGTGGACCGTCCACTTTGCGCTTCATTTGCAAGCTACTGTGCACAATTATTAGGCATCATCGACAAAAATATGTATATAATTTATAATTATATAAAAAATATTTATTTTCAATTCTAATTTAAATAAAAATACACTTAATATACATCACATTGTAAAGCATAAACTTTTGTAAAATGTATTTGATTATACAAAAATATTTAATCATAATTTGAAGTGAGAAAATTTCTTGTAGTATTTCTCTAAAAACTAAAAAGTGAACCCTTTTTTTTTTTTTTATGTAACCTGATGGAGATTTTTGTTTTGGGAGAAACATGTGTATTTGTTTTTTTATTTTAAAATAAAAATATACAACTATTTTGTACTATTTTAATAAAAATATATTATCCTATTAAATTAAAATATTATTTAAATCAAAATTCAAATAAATTATCTTTTCAAATTAATTTCGTGACTAATATAGGATGCAATAATCCTAAAATTATGTTTGTCTACCATTTTCGGATAAAATGTAGACAACATATAGGGTGTGTTTGTTTGGGGGTTTGGATTTTGAGTTGGAATTTGAACAGTAAAAATTTTGAATTTGAATAGTTGTACGATGTCATATAAATAGATGTTGATGTGATGTTTTGAATGTAAAATTAATTTTTAGTATAATATAAAAAATAAAAAATATGTGTTTGATTTGATGTTTTTGGAGGGAAAAAATTGGATGAATAGTAAGATTTTGCACAAATCTTACAAACGAACACACCCATAGTTTATTCCGGAGTTCAAGTTCATAGAACTATGGCCATGCACCATGTTATTTCTTCCACGAAATAAAAATCTCATCCAACCTAACTTTCTAAAATTCATCTGACTTTCATTCAGAAAATTATCTATATATGTGTGTATATATATATATATATATCTATTTTAAGATTCAATATCTATATAGAGTACATATGAATAAAACTTATTCTAAAATTGCTCCAAACATATCATAAAAGATAATATCATGGAAAAAGCATATGAAATCTGAATCAACGAACCGGATTAAGGGTGTTTTGCAGCAGGACTGAAAGTCCAGGACCAGCCAACATCTCTTGTAGTACTTTTTTGAAATAAGATATAGTTCATACATATGAAGCTAAAAAGGAAAGAGACAGCCCACTATTTTCGAAGCCATGAATTGGTCTACTGTGTTTATGTTATGAGGTCAAATCCTATTGGATAGAACTAGAACAATAAAAAGTGTTAATTGAGTTTGACTACATATGTTTTCCCTAATTCTTTTTTTAAGTATATAAAATCTACTATACCTAATCAAGGAATCAGACCTACACTTAGCTTAGCTATAGCCGCAGGAGAAGTCCAAAGAGTATTAGTATTCCGTGTGTCCATTAAATACATGTAATAATTCGAAAAGGGTCTATCTTTATACCCAAACAGCATTAAGCACTACTGACAATAGTAGGAAAGACACAATTATAAGTGCAAGTAATTTTAGCCTATGAAAACGACTTGCTCCTAACATTCTCTTTTCCACAAAGGATTTATTGGTATTAATTAATTCTTTGCTGCCCTTTTGTTGAATTTGTCTCCTTCCTGTGGTGGATTACAAAGGGACTCAGCACTTGGGGTGTTTTTTTTATTTCTCTCTTTTTTTTTTAATTATTATTATTTTATTAGTGTAATGGATAGTTATGAGTCTTTTATTGGATTTGTATGTAGTTGATGTTGTTGCCATCCTTAGTGATGTTAGGGGTCCATCGGATACAGGGAATTAGATTTGGTTGGGATTTGTATCTTGTGGAAGGTTTATTTTATTTCAACTATTGATTAATATTGTAATTGTAGTTGTGGTTCTGTATAGGATGATTCTGTTTTAGATGCTTGTGCCCCCAATCACTTGTCTAAATATGAATGGAATGACAAACGTAAAATTTAATTGGAGGATCATATAGTTTAAAGGGGTTTTGAGTCGTAAGCAACTAAAACTTCACTCTCCCTTCATTAGATTTTTGGACCTTACCGATACATGTCTAACCCTACACCATTAAATCATCTTTTAGGGGACAGATTTTTGTTTCATTTGTATCGTATATATAGTGGCGGAATCAAAATTTTCATTTGATGGGGACCATGTTTTATTAATTTACGAATAAAATGTATTTGGATACTTAAATTAAATTAAATTTTGTATTAATAATTTTCCTATTAAATCTATTATTCAAATTCTAAAAAATATATATATTTATACATATAGTACAATAGAACTCAAAATAATTGTGGGTTAAAACCCTTAGACCCTATACTAGCTTTGCTATTGTATATACATATTTACTATATAATTATTATTATTCAATCTTTCAATTTCTCCAAAAATATATCTAACATTCATTTTTCATATGTCATAATTCAACAACTATTTTACTTATTAAAAGAAAGAAAAAACAATCCATATCAAAGTATGACAAGGATTTTGATTTTTAATAAAAATATATACTCTCTCTCAGATGCTTAAGTAAATATCTATTTATTTTTATGCAATGAGTTTAAAGTATATTAGCATTATATTAATACGTAATAGGAATAAAATAGAAATAATTAGTTATTTTTTGCAAAGAGTTTAAAGTATATTAATATTATATTAATATGCAGTAAGAATAATAAAAATGACTAAAATAACACTATTAGTATTGTATCAATATAAACACAATAACATTTGCATAATATATATTATAAGTTGTAAGGATATTTTTAATGTAAAGTAGAAAAAAATGGATATTTTATCATAGACTTGACCAAAAAAAAAAAAATAATAATAATTTGTTAAAAACTGCAACAATATTATATATACCAAGGATTGATTCTTATTCTTACTTATTCAATCTCAGTAAGTTTGGTCTTCCTTGTTGCTAGATAAATAATAATGAAACGATAATATTTTATTAACAAAGAATAAAGTCTAAAGCTAAAAAATCATTTAATCATGAAATTTTATAACATCTAACTACTACTTATTGTATAGCCACATCTGCACTCACAAACATAAAAATATAGTACTATATTATATAGAGTACTTACTTTATATTTAAACATTAAATTCAAATCATGTTGTATTTAAAACATCATACACAATTATTTGTTTATGTTCGAATCATCATATTCAAAATATGTTTTTCATCTAAGCATGTTAAATTAAAAACAGAACCAAGCAAATATAAAAACTTATATAAATGTCCTCTTAATCATCATTAGATTCAAAATTTTAATTATTTATTTAATATGATATAGTTAAGTAAGAAATAATAATAATAATAATAATAATAATAATAATAAATGTTCTAGATAAGACCTAAATAGCAAGCATGCGTATCTATATAGCTCCAACTCCATACCATGAAGTCATTTTCGACTATGTTGGTCACTATCAACTTCAAGTTGATGCTTAAATCAATCCAGTAACAAACTCCATCTAAAAATGATCTTAATTCATATCCAAACCATTATAACAGCTAAAAAAATTTACTAACACGCCTTCAAAATTCTTTGTTAGATATATAATATATTCATTTCAATAATCAATCTATCCTATGTATGTACTTTATGCATTATAAAATTATAATTTAATATGAAATGATGTACTTCGAATATAACAACTGAATAACAGCATTATCTTTTAATATTCAACAAAATAAATATGTATGTATGGACCTCCCAAAAATGAAATCATTTTTCTTCTAGTGAAACTGAAACATGAAACATACAAATCAAAGGAATTGTTGGAGTGCAAACCCAAGTCCACATCGGAAGTTGTGAAGAAATTTGTACATCTTATAAGTCCCAAGTGAACTCCACTAGTATAGTCAGTTCAAAAACAAACCCGTACGGACTAAGTCCAAAACGAACAATATCATACTAGTGTTGAGTTGGTATAGTCACAACAGTGGTATCAGAACCTGGTTTGATGGTGAAATAGACTGGGTGGCATTGGGCATTAGTTATGATGGTGGGCTCGCCCTCGTGACCTGCGGATGTGCCTTATGTCGAAAGTCTCCTGACGGCGTTGGATTGATCTCGACAATTATAGTTAGTTAAGCAACGAGTCCCTTTGTGATAGGCGGTACAAGGTGGGCAGGGAAGATCCTTGGTTTGAAGGGAAGATTGTTGGGGTGCAAACCCAAGTCCCACATCCCACATCGGAGATTATGAAGAAAATTGCACAGTCCCAAGTGAACTCCACTGGTATGAAGTCTTTTGGAGTAAGTCTAAAAACAAACCCGTGCGGACTAAGCCCAAAGGACAATATCACTAGTGTTGAATTGGCCCAATCCCATCGAGACTAACCAGAAAATTATTAAATCTAAACTACTCTTCAAATTCAATTCAATATATATATATATATATATATAATATTAAAGATACATCTTCAAAATACGGACAGCAGACTAACTCATTCTATCAGAGCATCATCATCTCAATGTTGCAAAGAAACAAACTTGTGCCTATTGCATATAAATCCAATCAAATTTCATCCCTCCAAGCAATTCTGTATCCTTTTTAAAATCAGTCCATAGTCTAGCAAATACTTGCATATTATGTGCACATCTAAAAATGCAAACTACAGATTCAACCAGAGATATCCTAAAGAAATTTTTCCCACTATCTTCCAAAATTCAAGAGTCCAGTCCAGTTAGTACAATCTCAAAGAATATTCCAAGGCTCTACCTTGTGAACAAACCAGATTTGGTTTAGGATGGGGTTTACAAAAACAGGAAAAAGATCCCATCAATAATCCACAGGCAACGTTACCTAAAAGTGTGTTTAAATGGAAGATTTGTGTGGGGCAGAGCAGGCAATTTGGGCACATGCAAGTGGAGGAATTATTAGCATTGACAAAGAATTCCATTACCATAACTATATTTTAAACACAAGTTGGAGCACTCAACAAAGGAGCTAGTTTAGATTGCAAAAAAGTTAGGATGGGCATAGGTGGCAAGAAAAGTAAGGTCCATTGAAGCACTTGTAGAGTACACATGCCTTTGATAAAACTGGGATATTCTCCAACAATGGAAACATTTCAAAGTATGTAGATTTCATCCAGACAGAGAGAAACACCCAAAAAGGATGGAGAAAAGACTAGTGATCTTACCGCTCAGTGTGTTTTCAAAGATAAATGTTTCCACAAGTTTTCTGTTTAAACATCTGTAGCAAGCCTTGAGGGATGGATAGGAAGGAGATATAAGAACAATATATTCCAGTCTGTATTAAATAACTCTTTTAACTTTTAAAGCTATGAGCGATGACTATGAATTACATTAAGGATGAAAAGGCTAAGACAGATCAAGAATATGTCATACAAAGATCCTGAATAAAAACTTCCATATCCAATTTACTACTAAGGAAAATGATGCTTTTTGGTAACAATGTGGTGGAGTGGACGTAACTCAATGACAAGAGGGAGTATACAAACCACAAAAACCAAGAATGGATAAAAGACATGTGAATTAATTAAGTAGTGAGGACTAAGTCATCAGACTGCATTTTATGTAGTTGTGGACAACGTGGGGAAAGGGAACAAAGGCAAGAAAGAGATACAGTGAGAAAAAGTGAATGACGCATTATTTCATTGAGGGAGATGTGAGTGAAGCATACTTCACTGTTTCGAATGAAATAAATGGGACATCGTTTCGTTGTCCTTATCCATGTATCTGAAATTGTGTTGGATTAAGGATAAACTTTGGCGCAACAAAAACCATATCATGACTCCTGTTCTACAATGTCCAATCAAATTGAACAGGTGAACTGTTGTTGTAGCTTAAAGGTCTTGCAACAGCAGTTGGGCAGTCCATTTACATTAAAGGTTACATCAGACTTAAAAAAGGATGCATACAAAACATATTTAGAAAGGAGTGTCAAATTGAAAGGAATAAGCATTAGTAGAACAGAATCATTATTACACGCAAGGATACATCTCATGGCGGAACAGTACCAATTAATGTTTTCAATTTGGTAGGGATGAATCCTTCGTCACTTTCCACCATGTAATTCAGGTTAATTTTTTGAATATCCAAATTACGAAAGGACCGAAGACATCAAAGGTGTATAATGCACACGGAGCATCACAGCAACTGATTTAACCAGGAATCAACACAAATACTTATACGAACGACCAGAAGGCATTACCAAACCAGAAACCCTAGTGTTAATCAAATTGACAATCTACACTACAAGATATTCAACTGTACTCAAGATGTCGTCATTTTCTAATTAGTACTGCAACGAACCTGTCAGCGTAAATACTACACTTGTCGCCGTCTATAATCACACTAAATTTAAGTGACGATCAAACAAAATGCATTCAGGAAGAATCAAAAAAGAAAACGAAAACATGCATTAATTGTACCGACGCCAGGCGAAGAGAGGCTCGCGGAGTTCTGAAAAACTTCCGATCGTCGGAGAGAAGAAAATCCTACGAACTCTGCACCCCATTTCAGCTTCCTCCTTTTTCTCTATTCCGATGTACAGTACCAATTTTGCTCTCGAAACGACAGCAAAATTTTAACAAGAAATATATTTCAATTTTGAGTATATATATATATATATATATATATTGACATTAAAAATGGCAATATAATTATAACACAGGTATACTAATTCTTTGGAGAAGCAGTCTCTAATTCAGGTAATGCAAACATTCCTAAACCAAAAAACAAAAAAAAAAAAAATTAAATTCAAACTCTAACAAAAGCAAAAAAAAAAAAAAAAAAAAAAAAAAAACTGACCCAGAAAGAAAATCAAGAAATCAGACAAGAAGCAATGGAGGCAATGCCAAAGATATAAATTATTAAGAACTATAACATATGTGCATGTACACAACAAAAATGGATAAATGTTACATCTGTGGGTGTTGGAATAAACACTTGACAAGAAATAAAGCCAACAAAAATGAAGAGAAAGAATTTTAATGTTACTATCCGAGGAAAAATATTACCTACAATTCCTCTGTCTTGCTCGATCACTCCTATATTCGAAAGCTCGTTGAACCGGCAAGGTAAAGAGAATCAATAATCTCGCCTAGAAAAAATTATGGATGGTATTAGAATCTCTGCTGCCTCCGGGGTTGATTTTCCGGTGCCTCCTGGATCGCCTGTCTCTCCCACGCCTTGTGGGGAGTCTCCTACCTGATCGAGCTTTGTTCGGATTCTCATGGGGTATGATCACAGGTGGCGGAGGTGGAGGCGGCCAGCGCTCAAGTAAGTCTCTGTGGTAACCCTGCAACATCCCAACAAGAAAAGAACAACATGTGTCAGCCTGAAACTGAATCTAATCTGTTAAAGAGCATTGCAAGAAGATGTCGAGGATGTTAACTGGATAGTGCATGAAATTTCTCTAAAATGATTTTGTCCAATGCTTTCTGAAAGACAAGAAAATCTCATGCAATTTCTAAATCACGAGCAAAATAATACATATTTTCAAACTACATGTAAATTATATGCAATTTGCCTAAAAATTAGCATAGCAACCTCAAAGGGATGATGCAGTAACACAACAATGTCATGCAGAAATATCACCTGAATCACAAAGTTGCGCCGTTCACAGTCCAAGAACATGTTAATGGTGTAATTAGTCTTGGCCCGGATCTTGTCTCTTGCAGTGGAGAAACTTATTTGGTCTCTCGAAGTAAACCGGTCCACCTCGTTGAACCAGAGACAGGTGAAGAGATTGGCGATGGGAATGTGCTCCTTAATAATCACACACCCTTCAGGGACATCTGGGAACCAAAGTCACAAAAAAATTACATATAATACTGCAAAATTTAAAAGGTAAATTCTGTATATTCCTTAACGAAGGAATATACAGAAAACAGTGTTAAGCAGTACGCTACCACTAGTGATGGGTAATTTCTTAGAAGAATATGGTGTTAAGCCTTCCTTTTTATAGAAGTCAATCTGGAAATCGATGGAAGCATTATCATACTTCCCTGCAGCTTTATTAGCTTCTGCTTCTACAAACACATCGAAACGACGGTAATGCCTTGATATTGCAAAGCTTGCATTTTTCCTCCACAAAAACCTGCAGAAATAGTAAAAGGCAACTGGCCATAAGCCTGTAAAATGATGCCTAGAATTTGGAAACTAATTTTTGAAATTTGACCACAACAACACTCTACTTGCACCAAGCTAATTGTACCTTTCAAGAATTTGAACTGGATCTACGACCAACTCAAGCTTTGCATCAATCCACAGTGAATATCGGGCATTGGGGAAAAGCCGGTGAAGTAGTAGTTTTGGAATCTAACATCAAAAAGGCAAACTCCGGATAAAGTAATTTCAAAACAGGACTAAAGCAGACTATTCATATGGCAGACACAGGTTAAAACTAAGCACAACCTATTACTGTAACAGCTAGCTGAACAATGGCCACTAAGAGGTTCCGACAGGGGTTAAGAATTAAAAGCCCAAATACTAACTGGGAAATATGACTTAAACACCATGGTTATACCAACTAGACTATGTATACCTTTCCATTGCGTCTTGGATCAGAATAAGGCAGGTTGTTGACCTTTATAATTCGCCACAGCCCCACCTTGTTGTCATTTCCAATCTCACTAGAATTTCTCAGAAAAATCTTTGTTTCTTCATCAACAAACATATGAAAGCAGACATTTTTCTGGGAGTATTCACTAATATTCTTTGGTTGACGTATCAAATCAAATGCCCCTAATCAAGGATAAGCTTCACATCTTAACATATGTAAGAGTTAATGTTCAACTTAATAATTATGCAGAAGGCCAGTACCAAATATTGCTGATGCAACAACAATCCCTCTACAATTATCCATCTCCTGAAGGTCGGCATCATCAATGTCAAAGCCTGTTTGACGGCCTGGCTTCACTCCTTTAACAAATCTATTACAGGTGCACCAAATATCAGGGGAAAGAATAAGGCCTAACGCTGGTTATAGATCCAACTGAATCTAAATTATTCATGATAGATTGTCACAGGGAAGCATCTTACCCGCAGTGCACACTCATGGAGTCTCTTACATCATAGGACTCACTCCTTTGTTTCAGTGAAGGATACCCACCAAATTCTGAACCTCCAAATTCTGACTTACTTAGACTTTCTTCATGGATGTATGTCAAGTTTTTCAGCACCGGAGAAAAGGATGATGCATTTGGCATTAGAGGAAGAGCATCTTTCAAAGGAAGGTAGCACACAGGACAAGCTGCAAGAAGAAAAGATCACCAAAAGTAGGAACACTAATGATATGTTTAGAGTAAGAACATCTTTCCCCAAACTAAATTGCTAATGTATACTTACGCCGTGGTCCAGTCCTCTTTTTATCTGCTGGTGGTGGTGGCAGCCTGAAATTCTCACATGGATTACCGGGAGGAAGTGTGTATCCTGTAAAATAAACAGTGGCTGGAGGCGGAGATAGCAAAGATTTATTCACACTTGCAGATGTAGACCGATTCACATTAACTTTCTCCTCAGACTCTGGCCTCAACACAATATTGATGTTCGATAAAATGCTGTCCCGAGCATCTTCGCCTGCAAAAGGCCAAAGTTAGCAAACCATACAATCAGCATATCACAGGGGAGCCAATTCAAAATTCACTTCCCCATTGGCTTCCATCAACATTTCACCAAACCGGCAGCATAAGGGCAAACTACATGAATTCATTTTCGTATTCTTGGAAACTAGGGGTTAAATGCAGTAGCAGTCGTACATTAAATGCGACCACCTTCCCATGTTTCTGTAATATCATTACCAATTCACATTAGCAATTTAGCACTCTCCTTGCCAACAATTTGCCTAAAACAAGCTTTACAAAGAAGGAATCCAAATAATAACACAAAGATACAGTAGAGAGGAGGCCAAACCTTTGCCAACAAGCAACACCCACATGAAAACTGCAAGGGAAACCAGACACAAGAGGAACATGCCAATCTTCTTTCGAGGGGCGAATTTGAAGATCCAGTGGTACAATTTCTCCTTTTCCTTGGACATCTTCGCAGACTTCCGCGGGACTGGTGGTGTGTTCTGAATTGGGAGTGATGATAACAAACCGTTCTGAATTTGCTGCAATGACCCATAACTTGCTGAAGATCGAAGACCCAATGACCCTGTAGTCATTGTTGTCCCCTCAATCCCAAAACTTCACCTCTCATCTCCTGCTTTTATCATCCACTGTGTCCCAACAATTCTATAATGAATAGAACTACCCTCAACAACCCCAAGAACCAAATTATTCCCCTTCCCTCTCAAACTGCAAATCCAATGGATCCAAATCCCTACGCTCAAAGTTATAGACCCAAATCACCGAAATAGACCTAAAACAAGAAAAATGATTGCCTCAAGTAAACAAATCTAACGACTATAGAAATAATGATAATGATAATAATGTCAGCCCCACAACATTTCGATGTACGAACCCTAGAAATTTCGTAAAAAAATCGGATACAAATATTCCGAATCTGTCCAAATTGTTGCCAATAAGGAACACGAAACCTGAGCTTCCACGTTCGAATCGAACCAGATTTGTATAAACACAAATCCAATCGAAATCCACTACCTATTCCACTAGCTAGTTCCCACCCCGGCAATTAATAACCATAAACACTCGGAATTCAACTAGAAGTCGGTAATTGAAGATCACCGCAATAGGATTTGACATAAATAAAGGAATTGCAATTACTGCAGAAACCTAATGGCCCTAAAATTGAGGGATACGGGGGCCAATTGATAGGGTATGCCCGAAACCAAAATGAATCTAAACGAACGAGGCCTTTTTAATCCGAACACAAACACAACCGTATGTATATTAAACTGCTCTTCCTTTGGAAATGTACAGGGAGATTGACGACCAAGTGAAGCAATATCTCAATTGGGAAATCATTGAGGCTAACGGCGCCATCTGCGGTTACAGCTTTGAACGGCATTCCAAATCCAAACCCCTCCCGCGATAATCCTTCTGATCTGAAAAGGATTAACGATGATTCTTTTGGCTGATTTATTGAAAACAGAGCTCCAAAACTCCGCCTTTTTGCATCATCGAAGGGAAAAACATTCGAGAGGGAAAATAGGTAAAAGATCAATTGTGGATCAAATCAGATCCTTAAAAGGGTTTGCAAAAAATTCACTTTTTTTTTTTTTTTTACAATGAGAGTGTCGTAGAAAAACATTTTTCTCTTCTTTTGTTTTTTTCTTGATATTTCACCTTCCCAATTATTTAAGGATGTGTTTCATGCAAAGAAATGATGCCAAAAAAAGAAAAATGATCTTATTTCTGAAATAAGTTATTTCTCATTGCCTTGATTTTATTTACAGAGAATTTAACATGTAATATATTTATTTTTATAATTTTTAAAAATTATATTATTTTAATTTTATAAAATATTACAATCAATCTATTGCTTTTTTTGTTTAGACAAAAAAAAAAATAAAAAAATTGTTAAATTACAAAATAATTATATCATTAAATTAAAATACTATACTCCCTGCTGCCTGACTCACGACTCAAAATACATTTTTCTCATTTTTGTCCGAATCCCTTAAAAGTAATCATATATGCAAATACGATCCAAGTAATAAAAATCCAATCAATGTCAAAATATTCAAATTTTAAGCTAAACTATAAACATATCATTACATATATAATTATTTTTTACATCAAGTCAAAGAAATATCAAAATCGTATTTCCACTCACTAATAATATAATTATTATTTAATCATCTATTACAAAACTTGAAAGAGCCATTTAAACTAGAACCAATGGAGTATTTTTTTTTTTCACAAATATTTTATTTTACTATCATATTATTAATTTTATATAAAAAAAATACTCATTGTAATTAAAATAATATTATTATTTTTAATTATACAAAAAATAAATATATATTTATTAGCAAGAGGGAGAAAGTATTTAAATAATATTTTTTTTTAAAAAAAATCTAACACACTTTTTAAAAAAATAATAATAATATAGACACCGCCAACAAACTTTAAATTTTTAAGGATTTTTATTTTTTTAAAAAAAATTACACTAAAATTTGATATTACAAATATCATAACTAATTTATTATTTAAAAAAAAAATTACCAAAAATATTTTTCTAAAATTTGTCACAAATTAACACTGTCTTGCTTAATTAAATTATCTACTTTATCTGCAATTCTATCATTCATACTAAGGCTCCTAAGATTAATGATATATATTTGAAGAATGCACATATTATCTAATATAATTTATTTTTTTTAAAAAAAATAGTTAATACAAAATAAGTTCATATATATTAATAAATTATATTTAGACTATATTTTTTAGTAAAAAGATTAATAATAAATACAAATAATGATTTTTATATTTTTTTTTAAATGTAAGTTTATAATTTAAAATTAAACTTATTTACATAAGATTATGACTAAACTATAATTAGAATATATACATATACATGAGATTGAGCGAAAATCAATGATAAAAATTGAATTAGAGCAAAGATTAGAGTTTCATCGCTGTTTTTCCCATACTTACTCTTGCAATCTTGCCCAAGAGTTAGAAAAATTGATAGGTATAGATAGTGTCAATCAACAAAATATTCGAAATTTGAATATGTGATCCAAATCAAATTGAAATTTAGAACATAATCAAATTTTCAAATGATTTCGAATTAAATATTTTATAAATTTTGAATTTTAGAATCAAATTAAATCTGACATGCCAAAATCACCAATATGAAATGTTAAATATAATATAATATGAATATTTTGTATTGAATTATTAATTTTTATATTACTGTATTTAATATTAAAAATATTTTTATAAATTATTATATAATTGTCACTATATTTGTACAATAAAATACTAATATAAATATTTTTTATCTTATTTTTTATTTATATTATATTTTAATATAATAATTAATATTTAAATATCAATAAACAAACATAAATATAATTTTTGTTGTTAAAAAAAAAGTAATATTAAAAAAAGAACCGTATCACCTAAAATAAGTTAAAAGTAAGTTCTAAATAAATCCTAAAATTTTTTTAGCAATATTTAAATACGAACTTAAATCAATTTTTCTTAAAAATATGAAAAAATAATAATAATAGTAATAACACACTCTTCTTGGAAAATTCTAATACGGAAAGAGTTTATAGAAGTTATGACACAGCTGACAGCTGGATCGTTGTAAGTTGATCAGCTGTCCTGTCGTCGGACCGCCGCTGCTTTCCTTCCTGTCGTCTGTAACTCCGTGGTAGCTCTCACATGGCGTCCGCCTCAAAAAGTCCAAATTGCCCTCTGCTCTGTTGCAACGCGGCTTTGAAAATTCTTATTCATATCTCTTCAACGGCGGAGATTCCTCTCTCGTTGAATCTCCTATTTTTGGTTCCCACTACGTCGACCTCCATTGCTTCCTTCCCAAGAATCGCATCTTTTCTTACTCTCCACCGCCGCAGCTCGTTCCGCCATTGTTTCACCTGCAATGAAGAAGCTTAAAACCCTAATACTCCTACTACTCACAGCTCTCGCCTTCCCGCCATCCTCCGCCGTCGATTTCATCTTCAACGGCTTCAATTCCACAGACGTCTCGATTTACGGCAACGCCACAATCGAAGATCGGATTCTCACTCTGAACAAGGAGACTGGATTCGCCATCGGCCGCGGTCTCTATTCCTCGAAAATTCCGGCGAAGCAACCAAACTCCTCGATCGTTCTTCCATTTTCGACCTCTTTTATCTTCTCTATGGTGCCCTACGCCAACAGGCAGCCAGGCCACGGCATCGTGTTCATCTTCGTGCCGCACCAGGGGATCGAGGGTGCCGAGGCGTCGCAGCACTTAGGGTTGCTGAATTTCACCAACAATGGAGATCCGAACAATCACTTATTCGGAGTGGAATTCGATTGTTTCAGGAACCAGGAATTCAACGACACCAACGACAATCACGTCGGGATTGACGTGAACTCCCTAATTTCTGTAACCGCTAACGAAGCAGGGTATTGGTCCGACGAGAGTTCCTTCGAGAAATTGACGCTCAACAACGGCAGAAACTATCAGGTTTGGATCGATTACTCCAATAATACTGTTAACGTTACAATTGCGCCTGCGGGAATGAGAAAACCTAATCCGCCATTGTTGAGTGCTGCCCTGAACCTTTCCGAAGTATTCGAAGATAACATGTATGTAGGATTTACTGCATCTACTGGTGATATGATTCAAAGCCATAGAATCCTATCCTGGAGCTTTAGCAACACAAATTCTTCGATAGGCGATGCATTGTTCACACAGGATTTGCCTTCATTCCAGCTTCCAACTGCTCCTAGCACCACTGGTTTCATAGTTGGTGTAGTTTTGGGGATTTTTCTGTTCAGCATTATATGTTGTGCCATTGCTCTGTTCTTCATGAGACGAAATCGAAGGCTTCGAAACGCCGACGAGGAAATGGAGGATTGGGAGTTGGAGTATTGGCCGCATCGAATTTCTTATCAAGAAATTGATACGGCAACGAAGAGCTTTGCTCCAGAGAATGTGATCGGAATCGGTGGAAACGGCAAGGTTTATAAGGGCGTATTGCCCGGAGGATCGAAGATTGCCGTGAAGCGAATTTCGCACGAAAGTGGCGACGGGGTACGAGCATTCTTGGCCGAAATATCGAGCCTAGGCAGAGTGAAGCACAGGAACTTGGTGGGGCTGAAAGGATGGTGCAAGAAAGAAAAAGGCAGCCTCATTTTGGTGTACGAGTATATGGAAAACGGGAGCCTCGACAGGAGGGTGTTCGACTGCGATGACGAGAAAACATGGCTCGGTTTCGACGACAGGATAAGAATTCTTAAACAAGTGGCGTCGGGGATCCTGTATTTGCACCACGGGTGGGAGGCGAAGGTGTTGCATCGGGACATCAAGGCGAGCAACGTGTTGCTCGACAAGGATATGAACGCGCGGCTGAGCGATTTCGGGCTGGCCAAGATGCACGATCACGACAAGGCTGCCGGTACCACGCGGGTCGTCGGGACGGTGGGGTACTTAGCGCCGGAGATCGTGAAAAGCGGCAGGGCGTCGACGCAATCCGATGTGTTTAGCTACGGAGTGTTGGTTTTGGAAGTCGTATGCGGTAGACGGCCGATTGTCGAAGGCAAGCCGCCGTTGGTGCAATGGGTGTGGGAGAATATGAGAAGAGGCGAGCTTTTGAGTGTCGTTGATAAACAGTTAATAGCTCGCGGGCGGGTTGATGAGGAGGAAGCGAAAAGGATGCTTCAATTAGGACTGTTATGCGCGAATCCGAATCCGGCTGCCCGGCCAACGATGAGACGGGTGGCAAAGATGTTCGAGGAGAGGGGCGAGTTTGAGGGCGAGGCGATGGATGTTTATCTTCTGGAGAGTTCGACGTCCGCCGCCGCTTCGGCTTTGGGTATGGAACATGAGATTCTTGGCAATGGTTTACATCCAACGTTTGCTGAGATCAGGCAGGGGTTGTCTTCTTCAATGTCACTGTCTTGGAGCAATACTGCTGTGGAGGGCAGGTGATGAAATGTGAATAGGTTTGATTTTATTTGGTATGTTTGGGTATAAATTTTGAGCTGAAAATGGTTTCTTTTAGGGGTTAAGATTGGGTTATATTGAAACTGTCCACACACACATGTACTTTAGAAATTGGAATAGAAGATTGATTGTATTGTAGCTATAGGGCTATGGGGCTTATTTATTGAAAATTTTGAATGTAATTACCTGCAAATGTTTTTGTTGAGTCTTGGACTGATGATCCTTAGCTGCAAATGTATAAAAGAATTACCTTTACATGTATAAAAGAGAGTGATATTTTTTTATAAAGTGAGATTATTTTAGTATTTGTATATTGATTATTTTTATTATACTTTTTTAGTGGAAAAAAATAGTACTCCACGTATCATGTTCACGTTGTCGTTTATGTCCGTCCCACGTACCATGTCACTTTCTTTTTTTTTTTTGGAAAATGATTACACACTTTAATCTCATTTTAAACTTTTTAATTTTTTTTAAAAAATTTTAACCAAATTAATTAGTTATCTTAATCTTAATTTATAAATATTTATATTATAGGATAATTATTTTCACTAATACATTCTTAATTATCTGCTAATTACACTCCTCCTAAAATATCGTGTTTACAGTGTAGCACACAAGCTATGTGGGACGGAGGTAGTAATAAAATTATTGTTATTCCTGTCTTGAAATGTCTTATATTGGTAAAGATCTTATATGATAAAGTTCAAGCAAGGTTCAGTCGCTTCGAGTAAAGCTCAGCTGCATCGAGCAAGATCTAACTACGTTGAACGAGGTCCGACGGCATTAGAGTTGTTCGTGAACTCGATTCGCTTCAGCTCGGTTAAAGCTCGTATGTAAACGTTAATGAGTCGAATCGAACAATATAAACAGACTCGTTTGGTTAACGAACGAGCTTTGTTCACGTTCGTTTAAAAATATATTTATTATAAATATTATATATACATATAAAATTATAATTTATAAATAAATAAAATTATTAATTTAAAATATATAAATAAAATAAATTTAAAATTTCCTTTTAATTTATATATAAATTTTAAAAATAAGACAACGAGTTCGAACTAACTTGAGCGAGCTTAAACGAACCTAATACAAACACGAACTTAAACAATAAAATTTTTTTACGAATCGAACTCGAACACTACGAACGAACTTGAAAGCTTAATGAACAAATACTAATCTTGTTCACAAACGTTAACGAACAGTTAAAATTTGGCTCGGCTCGGTTCGTTAACAGCTTTAAACGGCATCGACGACAACTCAACACGCCAAAAAAAAAAACCTAACACGTCGCGCAGCTCACGAATTAGGAATTGTAGTCTCAACATCGAGCTCATATCGAGCCCAACGAAATTGAGGTCTAAAAACTGTCATTCATGCCCAAAATTCTGCACTTCCTTTTTTTTTTTTAATCTTTCTTTTCGTTTTTTTTTTTTTTTTGAAATTTTTTGTTTCATTTACATTTATCAATTTTATTTTAGTTTATGCATTAAATTCGTGCTAGTTAATTATTTCATTTTATTCATCTTCAAATCATCTATACAAAATCGAACTTGGATACTTTTTTAAGGCCGAAAAACCATCACAACGACTCTTCGACCTGCGAAACCCAAATGGACATAAAAAGCATAAGTTTTTTTAGACTAGTTATTAACAAATAATGTAAATTTTTCTAAAAAATATTTATGTAAACAAAAATATAGTCCCCACTTCATTGGACAAATTTAGATCTATTTTCCAGCGAAATCTCTGAACGAATCCACTGTTGAATTGAGGTTCCATCAAGCAGTAATGGTGGTCAACAATCTAAAGTAGGATCAGCCTCACATTTTATTATGCCTCTTATATCTGCGCCGTTCATAGCATCGACTCTTTCAACGGCTTCGATTAATCTAAAGACTATAGCCCACGGATGCTCCTCTCCGTACTTCCTTTATTCTCAAATCATTGGCCGAACATTCTTCGGCGCCCGAGCCATCCGCACCGTTCATTAACTGGACCCCGCCAATATCGACGGCACAGATTCACTCTCATTTTCATATTCAACAAATCCACCTCCTCACCGAACTTATAATCAATGTATTTCTCCTTCAATTTTCATCCACATGTAATTTTGAAATTCTAGAAAAAAGAGAGAATGGAAAAAAGAAAAAATCCTCACAAAATCCCAACAAATTTATGTAAAAGAAAAAAAAAATAAAAAATATATATATATATATATATATAATCCATTATTGTAAATATTGATATGAATGTCCTTTCACGTAGGATACACACAATTCTTGAAAGACAATGACGGGTTTGTTTTTGTATTCCCAACCTTTCCTACTCCTCATTTTCCTCCTTTGCTCTCTTCCTCCCACTCTTGACTTTCCCAAAAGTGGGCCCCGCGTGGCCATCACGCTCCACCATAGCCCGGCCCCACCAAGAAGAGAATCCTACCCCGCCCACGCCTACCTCCTCCGTATACAATACGTATGTTTGTACTATGCCCGCAGACACAGACACTCTCTCCTCACAACCCATGCTCGATTGTATCAATTTTTGGATTGATAATCTGCACTCTTTGCTCGCAAATTGATTTTTGTGTTGAGGCTGGGAAACGGCTGTTATCGATGAAAAATCCAATTTCAGTCCTTACATAAGGATATATATTATTCCTTCTTTGGTAAGTCCAGATCCTGTTTCGGTTTCTTTTCTGCTTTCCTTTTTTAATTTTAATGGCGGAGGGTTGTTTATTTCTTTATTGTTATAATTATTATTGTTTATTTGTTTTCCTGCTGAAGCAATTATTGGGTTTCTTTTGGGGAGAATGGCGTGGTGTGGAATGATGTGTGATTTTTCTTTATTTCTAATCCAATCGATTCAGCTTTTGTTCTTTTGCGATATGTTTTAATTGCATTTGGTTCATTGTGGGTTTTTTCCAGGCTTTGAAGGAACGTCGCCTTTGACTTTCGAAGCCCAGAGGATTCTCCCCATTTTACATCGTCGGCGGTCGGTCGGTCGGTCGGACGGATTCGTTCCGATGATGAGGTACGAGTGAATATATTACTGACTCAATCGAAGTTAATGTTGGTCGGACTCTCCAGGAAGTTTCCTCAATTTGGTTTCTAGGTCGTCGATTCTATTCTATTCGTAATCTGCAGTTGACTGGTTTTAGAAAATTTCCCCCAATTTTCGATGGCGTTGGTGTTCGATTCTTCTCTCTTCGTAGTTTAATCCGTAATCTTCAAATCGAGAATTTTCGGGGAGAAGTTTGATTCGAAAAAGAGGGTTACAAATTTGGGGGCAAAATTAGGGTTCTTATTCCCTGACGGAGCTTCCAAAGAATGGATGAAGAGTCTTCTTCCTGGATTAGACGCACAAAATTCTCTCACACTATCTGCCACCGAATCGATCCGACGAGGTTGTCATCAGTTCCAATAACATCCCTTCCCAACCGGAAATCTTCATCCGCAACATTTAGATCCAGTAAGAGTCTGAAACCAGGGCAGCCTAATGTAATCCAAGTTCAGAACAATCCTTCTACAAATAAGTCTCGGGCAGTATCCCCTCACCTTGAAGTAAAGCTTTCAGAGACCTTCAAAGAAGCTCGGTCGAATCAGAGGAGGTTTTCGACTCCGAATCCGCAGAGAAAAGGCCGAGAGAAGGGCCATGTCGGGAAATTACTTCAGAGAGAGTCTCACGAAGGTAAGAGTCCGAAGAGCCGTGGCACCAAGTCGCCGGAAAGTATTAGTCCCCTCCGGCATTTCCCCTCGATGAAGTTTCACGACAAGTTTAAGAGCACTAAAGAGTCGTCGTGGACGAAGTATTTTGATCACGGTGGAGGGAGAGTTACATCCGTTGAGACAGCAGATGAGAATACTATTGATCTTTCCAAGTTGTTTCTCGGGCTTAGATTCGCTCACGGTGCTCATAGTCAGCTCTACCATGGGATCTACAATGACGAGCCTGTCGCAGTTAAAATTATTAGGGTACCTGATGATGACGAAAATGGAGACCTCGGCGTTCGATTGGAGAAGCAGTTCCATAGAGAAGTCACTCTCTTGTCGCGACTGCATCACGAGAATGTTATAAAGGTAGCAACGGTGTATCGTCATTCTGTTTACGTAAGCTTTGCTGTCGTATAGCTGCTGCTAAAATTCTTGAATTTGTAGTTTGTCGGGGCGTGCCGGAAGCCGTTGGTGTTTTGCATCATAACCGAGTATTTACCGGAGGGATCTCTGAGGGCGTTTTTGCACAGGCTGGAGCACGAACATCTTGCGTGGGACAGGCTGCTCTCGATGGCGTTGGACGTCGCCAGAGGAATGGAATATATACACACGCAGAAGGTCATACACCGCGATCTCAAACCCGAGAACATTCTCATCACCAAAGATTTCCATTTGAAAGTTGCGGATTTTGGGATCGCCTGCGAAGAGGCGTATTGTGACCTTCTTGCGGATGATCCGGGGACGTACCGTTGGATGGCTCCGGAGATGATCAAACGGAAACACTATGGACGGAAGGTGGACGTTTACGGATTTGGACTCATTTTGTGGGAGTTTGTCTCCGGAAGCATCCCGTACGAAGACATGACGCCTATACAAGCTGCATTTGCGGTGGTGAACAAGGTAGTATTGTTGTTCTTGAACATTTGCTTTGACAGCTCTTCGATTCTTAATTTTACTAATGAAATGTTGTTCCCGATTTGTCAGAACTTGAGGCCAGCTGTACCGCAAGACTGTCCTCCGGCCATGAAAGCTCTAATCGAACAATGCTGGTCGTTGCAGCCGGACAAAAGGCCTGAATTTTGGCAGATTGTCAAGGTTCTTGAAGAGTTCGAGGCTTCTTACGCGCGGGACCGAACCCTAAAACTGATGTCAAATTTGTCTTTCCATGATCAGAAGAAGGGTCTTCTTCATTGGATTCAGAAGCACAGCCCGAGCCATAGTCCGAGCCTCAGCCCGAGCCATCCGTCCCAACCCGCGCCGATGCCGATGCCGATGCTGAAGCCGAAATTCGCCTGATGCAGTAATGACGGGTAATCTGGCTTGCCTTTGTAGCTATCTCTCACTGCATTAGATTCCATTTGTAATTAGAAAAAAAAAAAAAAAAAAAACAAAAAAAAAAACAAAAATTATGGATTTCTCTAGCTTCTCGTCGTTAGTTGGTTTTAGATTAGCTTTAAAAATTTGTGCAGCTGCAATCTTTTTTTGATTTTGTTTTAAATGATCGAATATCTCAGCTGGGAATGGATTGCTTCGCTTTGTGTTATTTTACACTTCGATTTCATTTCAAATTATTAAAAAAAATAAAAAAATACTAATAATAATGTTTGAGTTGTTACATTGAATTGAGGATATTTATTTAGGTAGTCTGAAAAAGTGCCTTGAGATATTTTTCTAAGTCTGATCTGGTCTGGTCTTGTCATATGTTATTATTTGTAAGAATTGCGTGATTCATGTGACCATCCTATCCTAGGAAGAAGGTGATGATGATGGGGTGCTTTATGCATAAAATTGATTGCATGCATCTTCTTTTAAAAATTAAAAGTAATATACATTAAATGTTTTATGTGATGTTATAGGAGAGAAATTGCTATTTGATTGATAATTTTTTTGAAAAACTTTCACTTTCAAAACTTTTTAAAAATATGCATGTAAATAGAGTTTTAATTTTTGTTATTCTTTAGGTTAAATTTTGTTACTTATATATTATATATAAAACTATATATATTTTTATTAGAATTTGTGTGATTATATAAATATAAAAAAAAAATCAAAGAAAATCTATTCTTATTTTATTTTAATTTTAAAATACAAGATTTGTTATATACAAAATTGATGCTTCATTTTATGAATTTATATTAATATAATATGCTTTAAATAACCCTACTAGGCTACTTATCAAACTGTGTTCTACGTATTCTGAGATGTTCATTTTGATTTGAGTTTTGAGTTTGGAGATAGTTAACATTTGAACTGAAGTAATATTTTATATGTTACAAATATGTGTTTGATTTAATAATTCAAATAGTATTTGATATAATATATGTTCAATTGAGGTTAATTTTAAGTCTCATTAAATATTGTTGCATGTGCATGATATATGCATGTAGCGTGTAACTAGGAAGGAATTAGGGTTAGGTAATGGACTAGTATAGTCTAAATAGAAAAAGTTATTCACGAGTATTTTAATACTAAATTATATACTAGTTAATTTAATTTAATTTATTCTTTATAAATAACATTGACAGTTTCTTATGAATATTTTAGTTATTTACAATAATCGAATTATTATATATCTAAAAAAACTACTTCACTCAAAAATGCCATTTTTTTCTTTTTGGAAACTTGATATGTTCATTAAATATATATATATATATATATATATTTAGCATAAAGGAAGCATAGACAATTATCTTTGTTTTACATTAACTTTAAACCGGAGAACTTACATTCTTTTACTTCAAAAAACAACAGCAACAACATATAGTTCTCTACAAAAATAATGTGCAACGAAAGAATCTAATCTAACCTAATCATTTCCACATTTCTTCCATGGGGATGCCCCGCTCTTCAGCGACTTCCCGGAATTGCCTCATCTGCTGCACCGCTGCTACCGTGGCTCTTGCATTGTTGAGTGCGTTGTCGCTGCCGAGCTGCTTCCCCAGAGCATTCTCCACACCCGCCATTTCCAGCACGATCCTCACTGCACCGCCAGCAATCACACCCGTACCAGGAGAAGCTGGCCTCAGCATCACTTTCGCTGCCCCGTAGGCTGCCTCTGATCTGTGCTAGTAGTGATCTCGATTATGATGATAACAATGCAAATTCAAATCCCATAAATAGCAGCAAAGAAATCTTATTTGTTAGACAGAGGCATTGTTTGCATTGTCCCATTCTTGTGAAAGCAAAGACAACAAAACTTTAAGATAGAGCTGTTGTTAGAGTCGGAAACTATTTGATTTAAAAACCATTCAATTAATTTGTAATAAACCTTAACAAAACTTGTCGAGCCTATTTGATTTACAAACCATTCAAGTAATTTGTAATAAACCTTAAGGGCACCTGTGAAACTAAAAGTTCATCAAGAATCATCATCATCTCCAATTCAGATTCAAAACCTGTATTCAAATGCTACTCAATTTTCAGAATCCAATATGATTTTAATAATCCCTTTTTAACTAAAATCTAAACATGCTATTTTATTAGCAAAATTATCATTGCAACTAATGTTTCATGCTTCCAAATTGGGATTTTACAAATCCTATAGTAAAAATTGTATTAGTACTGTTATATTATCGCTTTCCAGTTTCCTCATGAAACATCACAAGTAAGCATTGCAGAAAAACCCTAATTCATGACCAACATGCTTAACTCAGCCCTAATTTATCAATCAGCAACTACAGCTGCTCATAATTGCCAAATTCAAGATTCCAATGGCCAATTCATATCCAATCCAGCAAGAAAAGCAATCAAAGAACAACTATCGCCAACAACATCACAAAAATCGAAAGGAATAACGAGGCAGAATGGGGAAGGATTACCTGTGAGGAAAAGTCTTGTATTTGGTCATGGGTACGGTGATTATATTCCGGCGTGCATTCACCGCCGATTTCTGCACCGCAACCACAACTTCCTTCGCCTTAGCGACGCCGACTCCGACGTTGCCCTGCTTATCGCCGACCACCACAACCGCTCTGAAATGCAGCTGCTTACCTCCCTTCACCACTTTGGTAACTCTCCGAACTTGCACCACTCTCTCCTCGAATCCGTCTCTCACTTTCTCCTTCTTGTTTTTCGATCCGAATCCGGTCGTTTTCTTCACCTTAGAATCCATAACGAAAACATCGTTCCCTAAGTAACTCTCTCCACTGTAAACAGGACCGTAGAGTTCCTCATATGCTGCGGCGATTTCCTCCTCCGATTCCAGTGGACCTTCGTCGAACGACGGAGGCGCGACGAAGTTCTCCGGCCGTTCGGGAGGATTGAATTCGGAGACCTCCTCGGGATCGGAGGTGTCGAAAAATGAAGTGTCGATGTCGGCGGAATTCGCCTTAGGTGGAGGGGATTTGTCAAGCCGCGTGGAAAGGATCGAGAGGGGGGATTTTAAGCTCGAGGCTTCGAAATGGCGTGTCGGACACACAGACGGCCAATGACAGCGGCGATTGATGGATACGGCGGAGAAACCGGCGGCGAGGGAAGCGGCGGAGGCGGCAGCCATAGGAGCTTCGATCAGTGGAGCAGAAATTGGATAAGAACCGATTTCATCTTATGGTGAACAGATCAGGTTTGATTTCTAAATTCTGAATATAGTTGGGCCTTAATATGAAATTGGCCCAATATTCTTAATTGGGCTCAAGTAATTAATATGGCCCATCATCTTAAGTTTATTGGGCCAAGGATGGGAAGATAGTGTACAATTTAGAAATTAGGCAGGAAAAAATAAAATATATTATTTAAATGATTAAAATAAAGTAATTGGGCTAAAAAAATAAAATAAAATAATCTGAGTGGGAGGTTGTCCCAACAGACCAAAATTGGAAGTAAATTTTTGGCTTCATCTGAAAAGCAAAATGCAGTTGTAACCTCCAAACCATACGTACATCGTCACTCTTCGTTTCTTAGTGCATGGCTGTCACGTGCCCTCTGCAAAGTGTCACGTGACAAAAGTTTGTTTGGAATTTGTCCAGACATTGATGAAGCTAGAGTTGAGAGTTTCATAGGTGTGTTTATTTTTAACTTTGTTTTAGATGTTGGATATTGAATTTTAATTTTTTTGTTTATATAATATTTTGATAATATAAATATATATTTTTTAATTTATTAAAAATTATAATTATTGAATAATAATAATAGAAAGGATAAAGTGAACACACTATCCTATATATCAATTAGTTCATACAACAATTTAGCATAAATTCTTTCTACTTCTTTCGTGCCAACTCAATATATTTATTTTACTATTTTAATTTGTCTTACTAATATATATATATATTTATTATAATAAAAATAATTATATACAAACATTAAAATACTTTTAATTCTTATAAAAATATTAATTTATTTTGTCTTTATAAAAGCAAAATATCAAAATTACTTACAAATTTTCACTAACTAATATATATTATTCAACTATTAATTCTTAAAAGCATCTTAACCATTAATTTTATGCTAGAATTTATAGCTATGCTATCAAATATAATTAAAATTTATCGGTGACAGTGGACTTGTAACTGCAAGACCATGAATTTAATACTTCTAACGTCTCTTAATATTAAACTTAATATGACTTACCTGGTTGATATGATTTGCATGCCATTATGCTCGATTGGTTGCAAGTTTTCACACTTGAACGCTTTCTTTCAATAAAAGCTTAGGAAGTTTTGAAGTTACGAAGAATTTTAAAAATATATTTTATAAGAAAAAAAAGAAGCATTTAATGCAATATTTTTTTAAAAAAATTACAATAAATGAATATTACTAAAAATTCTAACTATATATATACATATAAATGTTCAGTACATAGTGAACAAACCCTTTTCAGATACAAATGAACGAAACCCCCTACAATGACTACGGTTCATATATCCGCTGCTATAACTGTTTATGCAAATATGTAATGCGTTGATTGACACATAAAATAAATAGATAGACAATATATAATTTCAATTAACACAACACATATTGTATTAGTTGAAAATATTTGTGTATAGTTCTATTTATAAGGTTAGGTTGGATGCACATATCTTATGTGTTAAAATAAATACTTGATTGGTCTCTTAACAATTTATCTATTTTTTCATTTTGGTCTGTCCCATAAGAAAGTATCAATTTTTTTTAGTAACTGTACTGTCTACTTAACATTACAAATATCCTTCCAATTTATAATATATTACACAAATGTCATTACTTTTATATAATACGATACTAATAGGGTTAATTTAGTCTTTTTACATTTATTTTTACTTTATCCCAATATAATACTAGTATTTCTAAAACTCCGTGTAAAAAACAAATGTTATATAGATATGAGATGGAGAGAGTATATAGTAACATGTTGTGAGGTAAATTGTCATATATTGTAAATTTATGTATTGTACATATATTATGTTAACATAAATAATGTATACTGGTGTGTTTACTTGTCAGGTTTTACACTTGATTTTACTATTTCAATTTTTTTTTCTCCAAAAATATCAAATCAAACACCCAATTTTTATTTATTTTATTACACTAAAATCTAATTTTACATTCAAAACATCACATCAACACATATTTATATCACATCAAACAACTATTTCAATTCAAAATTTTACTATTCAAAATCAAAATCGAAAACTAAAACCAGACAAGTAAATGCCTAATATCTATAGTTACATCATACTAGTGTATTGTTTGTTGCTATACGGTATGCTGGTAGTATTGTACTGAATTATTTCATTCATCACCCCAAATATATATACTCTTGAACCCACCCCATTAAATGATGATGTCATAAAGAATGTTGAGAAAAAAATATATACATAAAATGAAATCAAACTATAAGAGCAGAAAAAAATAATAATAAAAGAAAAAAAACAGAAGTACATTACAAAAGGATAAGGAGCTAGCGTAGCAGTCGCGTCGTCTCTTCATCAAAGAGTCCTGGAGACCGCCGCCGTCTTCCGCCGTGGTCCTATAACCCCTACACTCTTATCCTATTTTCGATCTCACCCCAACCCTAGCTACCTATCCTCATTAAGGTTCGTCAATTAGTTTATTCAGACAGAGATATGCATGCACCTGATCCACAATTTCATTTAATTTATTGCACAGTTAAATTAAATTTGGTCGTCTGTTCATCGATCGATCAATTAGAATAAAAGGGTTTAATTTGTTTGGAATCTCCTGATATGCTGTCTATATTTTTGAAAAAATTTCTTGTACTTTGTGGATAATTCAATTCCGACAGAGATCTATTGCTTGCAAGAAAGAAATTGAGATTAATTAATTAATTAATGAATCAATTAGGTCTTGAATGATGCAGAGATCAATTAATTGAAGAATTAATCGGCGGCGGCGCCGGAGATTCAAAATGGCGGCGGAGGATAATAACCACGGCCACCGGAATCATCAACCGCCGCCGCGGATGTGCCCGCGGTGTGATTCTTCCGACACCAAATTTTGTTACTACAACAACTACAGCCTTTCTCAGCCGCGGTACTATTGCAGGGCCTGCCGGCGGTACTGGACTCACGGCGGCACGTTGAGGAACGTCCCCGTCGGCGGCGGCTGCCGCAAGACAAGTCGCCGGAAGGGCCCCGGCAGCGGAAATCATCAGCTGCCGGCGGCGCTTCCGACCGGAGATCTGATGGCTGTAACTTCCCGTCAAGCAATTAGGGGTTCGCCGGCGATGATTCCGGCGACGAGCAATCCTTTCTGCGGTGGAGGCCCGTTATTAAATTCCATGGCTGCCGTACAGTCCGTTTCCGGCAATCAAGGGGCGGCGCTGAATCCGATCGCCGGCGGGGGTCAATTTGAGGTGAGTGCAAATTTTCTGCCTTCGATGGGTGTTCAGCCGTCGCAGCAGCGGTGGTTAATTCCGGCGGCGGCGCAAATGTGGAATCGGCGGTTGATCAACACCGGCGGGAGTGGTTCAGGTTATTTCGCCGGCGGCCGCCCCAATTTTTGGAGCTGCGCCGCCGACGGCGGCGATCCGGCGGGCCCTTCTTCCTCGTCGGTTTCAAATCAATGGCGCGGTAATCATTCAGGGTTTTAATATATAATTAATTTAATTATCAGTGTTATCTTTATAGACTCTGAATTTTTGATAATTGTCTTTTTTGTGTTATTTTATTTTATTTTTTTTTAGATATTTACTGGAATATTTGGTTTTATGGAGTTGGATCTGATTTATTTTTCTTACATGGAATCGATGGAAAATTTTTATTAGTATAGACAAAGCTAATAAGTTTTAATGCTTTACAAACATCAAATAATTTATATATATAAATATTATATATTTTTCATCCGGGGCCAAGGCGGGTCCCGTTTAGTAATTGTATATATATATATATATATGAAGATATGAAGGTAGAAATTTTCACCTAATTTTATGTAGTATAAAATATTTCAAAAGATAAAAGATAAATTTGTACATTCTCTATTCAAAACAAACAAAATTATACTAATGTATAATTAGCTGGTGGTAATAATATTATATATTTATTAATATATTTTAAAATATAATTTAAATAAATGTCTTGAACTTTGAAACCCAATAATCTTGACACAATCTATTTTTATAACAAAATATATTTTCTTGCGAAATCAGTCAATAATTGTGAGGGTTTAATCTTTTTATTTTATAATTAGTAGTCATTAGTGACAAAATATAATTCCTTAAAAATTTTGTCATCAAATTGCGATACCTATCCATTTCAATATTCAATTGCAAAAATAGTAACGATGACCAACCTTTTTTTTAGCATAGTAGACTTCATGGCAAAGTTCTATCAACTTTTTTTTAGTGTTTGTTTTCACAAGCTAGTAAAAGAGTTAGGGTACGTTTTTTTCACTTACATTTGACAATTATATCATTTAAAAGTTAGTAATAATAATAACACCAAATTTATTTGGCAATATTGTATGTAAAACCAATTTACATCTTACATGTTTGCAACAAGCATATTGATATCAAAGTTTTTGTGATAATTCCAAGTATAAGTGAAACAATAGATTTTTCAGTAAATATATTTAATTTTAGAGTTCATTCAAGTGGATGAAAGTCTCCCGAAATATGCATTAGTGAAGACAAAATTGTATTGAAAGGACTTGGGTCAATCTATTATCCTTGATTTGTAGGCATAATGTTATAGTTGGTATTAAAGCCGACTTGCGACAGTTCATAATCGTTGACTGGACAATTAAGAGGCCTAGCCGTTAATGGATCCAATGGTGTAACGTAAATATTGCATTCTTAAGTGGATGAGCTATGTATTTCCCTAGAATTAAATATTAAAGATGAGTAAATATTAAAGGGATTAATTAGACTTTTTATATCAACAATATACGACATATTCTTTTTTGGATGACTATTTGAAATAATTTTAGAGTTAATTATGCTTGTTTTAAGTAATTTTAAAAAGTATCACAATGTCATAATAAAGATAAAAATGTGTTGAAATAACTTACGATTTGATACGTAATATCAGTTTGCAATCCCAACACATGCAACTTGTGGGCTGGGTGTTATAATTTCACTTGAACAAAAATAAAATAAAATAATATAAAGGCTTTTAAAATATATGATTAACATGGCATACAAACCAATACAACTCATCAATAAATTAGAAAAAAAAAAAAGAAAAAGAACTTCATAACAAGAATTGAAAATAGACACCAATTCTTGTTCACACAAGAAATTGAAAAATCAAATCAAAAGTAAATTAACAGCAGTAATTAAAGAAAATGCAGATGGAGCAACAAATTAAAATGATGACAAATAAATATGCATATATATATATTAGGATAAGGGATGGATGTTCCTTCTTTAAATATCACTACAGTAATTATTAATTCGACTTCAGATTCCCCCCAGCGCGCATTCGACAAGCCCCCCGCAGGTGTCTACGACGCACTTAGCGTTAATCTTCTTGCAATAACGAATGCAGCCAACTGTGCCCAGAACATTAAGGTTACTGAGACAATGACTTGCTACGCAATCAAGAAGATCCACATAGCACTTCACACAGCACTGCAAATTCGAATCTTTTGGTTGAACTTGAACACACGACGATGATGACGATGAAGATGAAGAATTGCCTCTGCAAGGGACTGCCAGCAGCAGCATCAAAACAATGCCTGCAAAAGACATCATCATCCGTGATCGTGACATCATTTTTAATTAATATTTTATATACTAAGAATAATATAACCTCGATTTTATTTGGTTTAAGGTTGGGATGGGATGGATTGTTTGAGCTATTTATAATGGACTCACTGTTTTTATTTTATTTTATTTTATTTTTTTAAAAAAACACTAATTTATTACCACGTCGTGGGAGTGTTGGTGTTCTTTTAATATTTAATCACAATAATTAATATTGATGCTGTCATTAAATAATAATTAATTATAAGGAATTACGAAAAGTGTGTGGACGACACCGATGCATATATGATACCGTCCCAATAATTTTACAATCAATTTGACGTATCTTTTCATATCTTATTACAGCTGCTAATTTGACCCTAATACATTACACAAAATAGTAATCGTGCTTTTAATTGAATAAATTTGATCTTATTTATAATATTTTACGAAAAAAATAAAAAATAAAAGATATGAAAAGATTAATTAGTAAAATAAATAAATAAATAATACACCGATTGATATATTTGTATATGAAAATTGGTTAGGATGATGAACGAGCATAATTAGCACCATTCTGATTAATCCATCTAACATATTAAAATCTACTCCCTCCGTCAACGAATTAATGTCTTATTTTTTTATTTGGGACGTCCAACAATTATTGTCCTATTTATTTTTAAACACAAAATTTTCATTTTGACCATTCGTTCATTTATTACTTTTAATTTCTACCGTACAATTATAAATATATTTTAGAATAATAGAATTTGAACAGAGAAAGTATTAGAAAGCACATAAAAATACATCAACATCATATATTATATAGATTATTAATATGTATTGTATTAATATATACATATATATATATATATATTGCATATGGTATTTTATGTGGATTCTTCAAGCTAAAGAATCCTCTATATCAACATTTTTTTAAAGCTATATATTTCTTTAATTATTATTATATATTGTAGTAATTAAATTGATTTTTATTTAAATTATATTTTAAAATAAATAAATGTGATATTAACATAAATAAAATACGCAATTATTTTGAGGCGGCAAAAAAGGTATAATGGAATACTAAATTTCTTACCTAGAATTTTTTTTCAATCTTTTTTCCCTATCCATTTTTTACAATTCTTACAAGTTACAACTATATATATATATATATATATATAAATCAAAAGTTAAAACCAAAACATATAACCAAATCCCAAGTAAACAAACTTAAGAATAACACTGTTTCCTTTTTAATTAAATTTTTCCAAAGCATTTTTCCAAAAAAAAATGCACTTTATTTTTTTTTTTATAAAATATCACATCAATATTATTTTAATATCAAATTCAAACTAAATTTTTTTCAAATTTAATATGAAGAAACAGACCCGTTTTTTATTAAATCCGAGCTAAATCGGGCTGGGCCGGTCCACCTGGACAAGTTGAATCCTAGCTGCATGCATGCAGTAATTAACTATATATATATATATATTTAATAAATCTAGTCCCATGCACAATTACACAATTTAATTGGCAATATATATATATATATATATATACATTCATCACGCAATTAACACTTATTACAACAATTAAACATGTGCAGAGAATTAACTTTTAGAGGGAGCAGAAATTAAATATAATTTGCGTGTGTATTATATTTGTCACTTATCATTTTTGCATGGGAACATACTCACTATTCATGCATGCATGCATGTTCTCCAATTAATTTATAGAATTCTTAAATTCAAACACAACTCTTAAAATTATTCCAAAATTCATACTCCTAATTAAAATTTTAAACTTTAAAGGTGCAAATTTAATTTTTTCAAAGATTGGGCCGCGGCCTGTTAAAAACGAGTATCGTTAAATTTAAGTAGGCCGTTCTAGAAGACTCTGGTGCAAACCGTTAGTTCGAAATTATTTTGGGCCGAACATTTTAAATTCGAGATTATATTACAATAATATCTACTTCGATATTATCGAAACAACTCAGCATTAGATTTTTGAAATTTAATGTACGTGTAAATGTGTGTTTCTAGGGTTTTCTTTATTTTATTTTTTTTGGGGTGGAATACCAAAAGCGCAAATTGTTTCATGAAAAGTCGTTAGTTTGGGGTTTGGCAGCACGAAGGAATTGTAGGAACAGGAGAGAAGAGAACCGTAGGGAAAGGGACCCCAAATTTTCACACTAAGATACATAGAGAGAGAGAGAGAAGGAGGCATACAATTCATACCATTTTCGTTTCAACAAAGAACCAGAGCGAATCTACGCTCGATTTTCTCTCTAGAGTGTCGGCGACGCCTCGCCACCGCTTCGAAGTTCCGCCGCACCTCCGTGAGCAAAAATGCCTCCTCAAAAGCGTCGCCACGAACGCACAACAACTCCGCCGCCGCCTTCGCCATCGGCATCGCCATCGCCGGAGGATCGCGAAAAAGACGATGAATCGCCCCAAGGAAGCGAGAATTCTATCCCGGAGCAGGTCGAAGATGTCGGAGGTATGTGCGTTTATCCTCACGTCGGCGAACATGCACTCTGCTCGATCGTTGCGATAGAGATTCGAGTTCGGTGTGTGTTGTTTTTCGGTTTAACTCTAATCTGGTTATTCCTTGTTTGTTTTTCTGGATTTTGATTTGCAGATTCCGATGAGAGTTCTTCTTCTGAAGAGGAAGAGGAAGAGCAAAATGAGTACAGTATTCGTATCTCTTTCTTCGTAGTTTTAGAAATTCACACACACACACGTAAGGGTACGTGGCCGAGTTCATATAATTTGATCGTGATGATTGTCTCTGTGAGTTTCGAAATGATTTGATCGGTAAAAACGGAGGGTTGTAGCTTCAGATCTGCTTACCATTTGCTTGATATCTGTTGAGGTTTCTCTTTTGTCTTTCTGAGAATAGATTTTCTACTGAAGGAAAGTGTTCATTGACTGATTGATGAAGCCAGGAAATTAGTTATTTATTTTACTTCATCTTTGTGGTGTCGGTGATTTTTTCCTATCGGTGGCGTGCTCGTTGCATGGTGTTTTATGCATGATAAAGATGAGGTAAATTCAACGCCATGAGATCTATATTTGGGCTAACTTGGGAGCTGTGCTTGGTATAATACTACAATGTTTCTGTTTTTGCCCGAGCAATCTAATATGTCTTGAGTTGAGTTTCAGGGGGATGATTAATGGTATATGTATATATATTGAGTGCTTGTTTCCATGTCAATGTTGTCAATTCACCTTGTCTTGGGTACTAATGGTTTTAGCTTCCTTTTATGGTATAATCTTTGTGAATGGTGACCACTGGTTTATACAGTTTTAGAAAAATATTATCTATTTCATTGGTGATCAGCATATCTGTGTATTGTTAGTAACAGAGACATTGAAAACACTGAAATTTTTGGTGTTAAATTTCAGGTATGTTGAAGTGAACTTGGCTGAAATTCGGAAGGAGTTTCAATGTCCAATATGTTTGGGTATGCATTTCTGTCTGTGATTTAGTTTAAGCAGATAAACAATGCTCTGCGATGAAAGCTCTGATCTTCGTTATATCTTGAACTTGAGCTTCTTCTCTTTCGTGGATGCACTATTTAACCTGTTTATGTACTTGTATATATGGACAGGGATCATTAGGAAGACAAGAACAGTAATGGAGTGTCTACATCGCTTCTGTAGGGCGTGCATCGATAAAGCAATGCGACTCGGGTATGCATCTTCAATTTCTCTGTTATTTATGTGATGCTACTGGTACTGATTGCTGATCTCCACCAAGGAACAACGAATGTCCGGCTTGTCGCACTCACTGTGCCAGCCGCCGTTCTCTGAGGGACGATCCAAATTTTGATGCCCTTATTGCTGTATTGTACCCTGACATTGACAAATTCGAGGAAGAGGTAACAATTTCCAATCAATATACATAACGAATGCCTCCTCTAATGTTTCTTTGTTTCGCTTCATAATCATCATCATCATCGATCTATATCGTCATTGCAGGAACTTGCGTTGGATGAAGAGGAGGAGGATCTCAATACTCAGGTCAATGATCTTAATGTTAAAGAGGAATGAACAATGATCATACGCAGCTTCTTGTTTTACATAAACTGATAAATAATTTATGTTTCATGGCAGATCCAAGCTTCCATTGCAGAGACTTTTCGCCGCCAGTCAGAAGCTGTAGGGAAGAAGAAGGCGACAACAAAGGGAGCATCGACTTCATCTCCAAGAAGTCCCGCCAACAATCGAACCACAAGGCGTGGAAGAAACACCCGTCGCCCTGAACGCGACGAATCAGATGCAGAGGACGCTGCAATAGAAGAGTCATCAGATGATGAAGGCCGCCGCCGAGCCAAGAAATACAAAAGAAGGCGCAAGGCTGACGAAGGCAGCTCGAAAAGGGGTCAAGAGCAATCCAATCCGCCATCTATACAGCCCATCAGAACCCAAAAAATTCTGTTCTGGGGACGATTAGGCCTGCGAAAGAAAAACCGGCGACCTGGCCGCGAATGGCGTGACTGCAGCAAGCATTGCCGGATTTTTGACCAGCGAGACCTCTGCGATCGGATGCAGAAAGCACGTAATAGGCCTGAGGTATTCATCATCATTATTATAATTCACTGCAATGCTGAATTCTTGACACACATAATCCTCCTGGAGGAATCAATGGATGGATTGGTCATGTTGTTTTCTTACACAGCCGGAGATCGACGTTGTGGTGGTGCCGTTGAACGGGCAGTCGCTTCGGAAAATTAGACGGCCGTATCTGCATTGCAGCAGAACAGCAAAGGTGAAAGATGTCTGCAAGGTAGGAAGTTAGTTCATCCTGAATCAAAAATTCTCACACTGACTTATGTTATGTATGGATCCTGGTTGAAAACAAACGTTTCTTGCAGTTCATTTCGTTCAAGTCATCCATGCCGGACGCCTCCCTGATGGAGATGCTGATGATTCGCGATGTCCCTAATGTGAAACCTTCCATTATTTTTGAGAAAGAATCATCGGTCATGAGTCCATCTCTCAGCAAATTGGTGGTCTTGGATGAAGACCAGACTTTGGAGGAGATATCTTCCAAATTTAATCAGCCAAATCTGGTAAACTCTAAGAGAAGATTCTTCCCTTCTTACATGATAATATATATATATTTAGAAGTGTGGTTATATGTCTTCTTTCTTGCAGGTTTTGGCGTACCGGTATAAGGTACCATCAATGTTCTGGTTTGGGTACGAACCTCTGCGTGCCTTGATTCCTCTTTTTGGCTGAGCTTGGATTGATGAAGTGTGTGTTGTTGGGAGTAAGTTTGGAGTTGACTGCTTTACATGGCTGTGGATGGACCATTTTAATATTCGATTGACTGACTATCTTGAAGAACAGAACAGTGGTTGAATTATAATATATGTGAATGTGAATGTATGTATGATGTGGGGTACTAATTTATTCCAAGTTTAGAATTAGTTATCCGGTGGAGGGAGGTTGAGGTCGAGATTGATGCCTTTTGTTGTAGGGAGTTTGGGTTCGTCGTAATTGTTGGTCTTTTGTGCTGCCCAGAAGTGTTGCGGCGGCGGCGGCGGGTGGAGGGTGGTGGTTGTGAGGAAGTTGACGGGGGGAGGGAAGTTGGTTTTGGCCCTGTGGCCGCGGAATGCGAGGGCGGCGGCGTCGTAAGCTCTGGCGGCGGCCTCCGGCGTGTTGAAGGTTCCGAGCCAGAGGCGGATCTTCTTGACGGGGTCCCTAATCTCGGCGACGTAGCGTCCCCAGGGCCTCCTCCTGACACCCCGGAAATGGACGACGTGGCGGCGGCGGCGGTTGGCCGGGAACGGCGGCGTTGCGGTCATGACAGTTAGGAGAGCGAAGTGAGTGGAGATGAAGATGATGATAGGGTTGGGAGTTGGTGGGCAAATCATTCACATATCAATCACATATATATATATACACAGTATGTTGACTTTAGTATTGTACGTATGTATGCATGTATGTATATATGCATGTCTGCAGATATGCGAGTAGGGGCGCCGGATTGCTGGGTTCCGAGTTCCGACGGCTCTCTTTGATTAATTAATTACTTATTAGTAGTAGTTGATTTTTTCATGATAATAATTAGTAAATAAAAAGTGTATTAATAAAAATAATTATTATATAATAAAAAATATTATAAATTAAAATTAAAATAATTAAATAATTTAATTAAAATTAAAAAATTTATAAAATTTAAAATTTAAAATATAATTAAAGTGTATAATTAATTTATTTTTTTTAAAAAAAGAAAAATTATGTGAACGGAGAGAATAATTGTTTATTTTTTTTAAAAAAAAAACAAATTATGTGTACGAGAAAAACAATTGTTTATCTTTTTATTAAAATTATAAAATATTTTATTCATAATTCAAATATGCACTCAAATAGTTGAACATGAATTTTAGTAAAAGCAAATAACAATTGTTAGTTTTATCTTTTATAGTAAAATAATACAAAATATATATATTTACTTAAAAAAATATGATAATCCAATAAAAATAGATGTATTTAAATGTAAATGACAAAAAAGATATACCTAAATTAAAAATCTTACAAGTCATATAGTAATTGTTTTAATTTGAAATCAAAATAAATCTATTTTTAAAATAATTTTGATTTGAAACATAAGGTATTGAATTTTGAAGTTCGATTTAAAATTTTATATTTAGATAATTATTTAACATAAAATAAATTTTTAGTGTAGTATAAAAAAAAAAATTAAATATTTTTAATATTCTATATTGTTTAGATGAATAAAATATTTATTATAAACTAGATACTAGAGAAGTAATTCAAATACATTGGTAAATATGCATTTAATAATAATAATAACGGCGATGATGATTGAAACCCCCCGCCCACATCCAATCCAACATTTCAATACGCTATTTTACTCCTTGACCCCAACTCGATCTCTTCTGCGCCCATTGTGGCCAACCAACACAGCACAATACGAACTTTCACAATTTATTATTATTTTTTTTTAGAGAAAAAGAAAAGAAAAGAAAAAGCCTCTTAAAATCAATTTTAAAAACGCTTTAGCTCCCTCTCACGAGTCAAATAAACTTTCTACAAAAGCCATCCATTACACCAAACTCGTAATTAAGAAAAAGTATATAATATATTGACATGATCAATCTCCCCAACTTGTTAATGTAACCACATAGCCATAGCCATAGCCATAGTGATAGCAAGCGAGCAAGCAATTGAATTAATGGTTGGGAAAAGGAGCAGCACGAGACGAGATGGAAGATATATTCAATACTGGGTCAAGATCTTCATTTTCAAAGGAAATTTCTTAACAACCACCACCACTTGGGTGGGTTCACATCTGTCTGTTGTCCCACCATTACTCACTCAATCAGTCTTCTTCACCATCCCACCTATGAATCACACCAGCAACCCACCCCCCTGTTCTGTCGTCTATCTATGACTATGTATGTTCACACTCCTACAATAATGCTGCTACTACACATTCACACATACACAATCAAACATTTACATATACGAGTGTGCGTGTGCGTGTGTAACATGCTCTCAAATAACTCATTGGAAGTCAATCAGTGTTAGAAAGATCAAAGAACGTGGGGGTCGAACACACATCTCACCACTCCAGCATATATTCATCGATAGTTACTTAGCATGTCTGTATGCATGTAACAACAGGTTCACACTCTTTCACTGCATTCTCATTCATCTACAAATATTACTACTACTGTTCTTCACTGCTACTTCATAATTCAAATCAATGCTACCCATGTCTTTTTCCCCGTTATATTTCCACGAGGTGTTTAAGTCAAGGATCTCATTTTCGAATTCAGGTTGGCATTTTTATTTAACTGAATTCAAATCAAGCCCGAACTCAGCATTTATCTATTACTATACTAAATAATAAAATATAAATTTATTTCTTTATTGCACCTACTTAACTTTCTATATATATTTTCAAACTCAAGATCAATTTATTACTATAATTTGAGTTTTAATTAGCAAAACTTTTGAGCAACTCAACTCACATAATAACTTTGCATCATACATAATGAAATAATAGTTTCACTGAAAACAAAAAAAACAAAAAACAAAAAAAATCACATATAATTCCTACTTTTCATAATAATAATAATAATAATAATAACAATAAACCCCGTAATAAAATAATAATAATAATAACAATAAGCCCAAACAGCCCAAAACACCAAGTAAACACATTTGCAATTATTGCACTTACATAGACTATTATACACCTTGTGTGAATTGAAGGTGTTGATTCAAATTCGGACAATTTCTATTCAATCTGCAAGGATGCGTCCAAATACCTAATATCAACTGAATTTTAAAAGTATTTTTCTAGATACATGAACAAAGGGAGTAAATACATTAACTTGACGTAGTTGATTGAATACATATATAACATTTGTTCTAACTTTCTGTATCGAATTTTCACTGTTCCAATACCATTTTCTAATAAGGTAGATTGTCTACAAAAAAGACAGTTTTTTTTCTATTCTATTAGTAGTTTTTATTTCATGAGAACAAGTACCAATTTGTATATAAATATGATACTGTGTCCTTTCTTTTCCATGATGAAAACATAAAAAGATAATCAAATTACAGATATAAACTAAAGTAATGTTCACTACAAAGGATAGGATGTTACTTTATCCCGGTACATTAATTAACACACCAGGATTAAACAATCACATCCTATCCACACAGAAGAGATATTCTCACTTTTTATTGAGATAGATGGAAAAAACATACTATAACTCATGCCAACACAAACTTTGATTTAAAATCAAACAAAGCATAAGTTAAATGAATCCTTCAGTCTTGAACAGTGAACGTTGCATATCACATATCTATATCCACGAGATACAGAACTTTTCAAGCAAATGAGAGTTTGGCAGAAACATCTGAGATCATAATTCATTGTGAAAATATTGAAAGCTATATATAGATACCCAGTTATAGAGGTTTATCTACAAATAGCTTAACAATCTGAACTTCAATTATGACGAACCAGAAAATCTCTCCCGGAGCAGAAGTATATATGTCCACAGACATCCATGGAAATATCGAAGAAAAGCACCGCATCTTAACATATTATTACAATCATCCATCTACAATATAGGAAAAAAGAAATTTCTTATGAAATGGCGGTACAAGTAACACAAACCAAAAAAAAAAACCTACATTGTGAATTGGTTCCCAAGTGCTAATTTACTGTCTCAAGCTTATATATTGATAAGCTTAATGATTAGTTTAAGCAAAAGGGACAGTTTGGAAATTCTTCAAGCCGAAAATCAGCTGAGTGAGCAGTAATCATAATCCTAAACCAAGAAAAGAGCCCAAGTCAAAAAGTCATAGTAACATCTATTGTGTGATATCACCCTTTTAGAAACAAGGTGATACTTAGTGCAAAATATAAACAAGTGGAATAAATGTTCTATGTAATTGATGTGAGAAAACTTTATGGATTGTAATATAAGAAAAAACGAGCTTTGAAGGTCATATGGTTATGAAGAGTTATAAATATAAAGATTCTCTGCTCTTTCAGAAAATTCCATATGCATTTTCAACATCTAATCACAAACAAAAGAAAATCATATAGAAATATGATGTTCATTCAAGGAATCCAAAGACAATTCAACCTCTAATTTGAGATATCTGATGTTCCTCTTCATGACCCTACGTATCAGGAATTTTCCTAGTGTTCATGTAATTAAAAATTTTTGCTCCAACCATCCAACAGTCATCCTACATCATCATTTGGATCTAGTGAATACCATTAACAGGATTGTCTATCCAAAACTAATATTTACAACTAGCTGAAAAGACTAAATAAAAGACTCTACGGGGTACATTGTGATGGATAATCCAAGATCACTTCAATATTTTACTAATCATTGCCAGCTATCCCAAATGCTACACAGTCTAGTCTATTACAGTCATAAGCATGAAGCCATTCCGAATAATTTCTCTACATGCCACAGGTACACTAATCCATCCGTTTTATGAATCCAATTATATCACCTAATCAGAGTTCCTATGTTTTGAAAGGATGATCCTGACCTCTTTTCCAGATGCCCTATAGTGTTATATTTCCAAAAATGAAATAATTTTAACTGCTGTGTCTCTAGTCTACAAAAGGTTAATTAATCAAAAACTAGTATTCTAATTCCATACCACGCACTTAATACAACATACATGCACATTTACCTTCAATACTCCAAGCAAGACTGCGAGGTGCAACCGAGAGCATGGAAGTGAGCACCGCAGAAGCGGTTGCAGTGTGGTACGGCATCATCGACATTCCGCTCACACTGCTCATTTCCACAGGACACCTAACTCATATAAAATCGAACAATCAATCCACAACATTCATAAATTTATCAGCTATCGACAAGCATCCAGTTAAGACCAAACCTGAAAATTCGAGCGGAGAGCGAATTTTGAGAAGAAACACGAAATGGAGACGAAATAGCACTCGGCTTGACACCAGACGACAACCTCGAGACCGCACTCCGTCCCGACGCGGTGGCCGATCGCACCACTGACCTGGCGGCGACAGCTGCCATAATCGCGCACACGGAGAAATCGCCGACGAGAAAAGGTAGGGCTTTGCTTGGGTTTTAGTTCCTCACCTTTTCCCCCTTATTTACATTCCTAAAGTCGTTGGTAAAGTCGCTAATAAAAAACCAGCGACTTTACATAAGTCGCAACTCACACTACAGTGTGAAATTCCCGAAATACCCATGCAGAATATATTCCCGTTTATTCAATGAGGAACACATGACAATTACAACTCACAAACAATTGCTAATTCACAGCAAGCCAAAGAAATAAATTTCAAGAATTCACTGCAAACACAATTCGCATAAAACACAAAAATCCAGAGATGATTATTAGTTTATTGTCTTTTGCTGTCTCCCCCACTGGACCCTTTCTTCCCAATGACATGGTGGAGCAGTGGAGCGCAGAGCCCCTGTCGAAAGTCCTGATCTTTATCATCAGACACTTTCCTGTGTTCTTCATCACAGCAGAGGCTTACTTTCTTCTTCAATGGCCTAATTCCAATCAGCTTTCCCAAGGATACACTCTGGTCTGGAAAGAAAGATGCTGTGGACTGCAAATATGAATGGATTCATCCATCAGAATCGAGAGATTGGTGTGGAACCAAGATCGATCTTAATTCTTACCTCAGTGTCAAGATTTGAGGATGAGAATGAAGAGAAGCTTCTGGAACGGAGGCTGCGAAATTGTTGCGGCTGCTGCGCCGCCACTGCCGCCGTTCTGAATCTGGAGATCATGCTTCTGAGGCCGAGTGGCCATCCATTAGCCATCATGTCATCGTTATTGGCCTAGTAAAGGGATAGCAAATATATTAGCAAATGAGAGTTGGAAGATGGACAGGAATTAATTTCAATACCTCCATGATCATGAGCAGGAAAAGAATCAAAATATGAAGAGAATTTCCGAGGATGATCAGTGGTGACAGAGGCAAGAGACTGACTTGGTGGGGTGGGGTGGGGGGTGGGGAGTGAGTTGGGAGAATGGCAATGAAGAATGGACAAAAGGGTGGCGACTGTCCCACATCGGAGGTCAGTCCATTCAATGGTTTGTCGGCACTTGTATTTATTAACAATTAGAATGGTGGTGACTGCACAGCGGACGCTAATGAATGTGGATTTGAACGAACAAAAGTGTACATTTTTATTCAAGTGATTCCCTTATTTACAAGGTAAGTGATTTTATTAATTCATTATGTTGTTATATGAAGTTTGATTTGTTAGTGGGAGTTAGTTTGTGTGGCATGTGATTGGGGGAAAAGGGCTTTCTTTAATTTGAAAGGGCTTTTGAATCTGATTGTAATTGATTGATGATCGGATGATCTTTCTTGATTATGTGTTAAAAAGGGTTTGGTTTTTGGTTTGAGTGACAGAGCATATGATTGATTGGTTGTTGGTTCATAATGAGCATGCATTATTTGGGGGGTTGCTGATTGTAGTTACTATGGATGATCATTTGGAAATTGGTTGAAGTTTTAATTCAAGTGGTTCGTTATAGGGATTGGGTTAATATAATATAAATCAACATTGTCCTATATATATATATATATCTATATTCATGTAAGTTTTGACACAGTAGTCGCCGATTGGTTGTCTAGACAACTTCAAATAAAGTGAAGTAATTTTTTCAGCCAATAACACATGATTAAAATAGGACATCCCAACTAACCTAAGTATATACATAACACACAACACATAGTAATATATACATGCATTGATGCATATATAGAAAGAGAGTACAATTTCAAATATGATTTCTACGACTGTTAAAAATAGAAAGAGAATACAATTTCAAATATGATTTCTGCGACTAAGAGCAGGGCTTTATCGCGCAAAGTGTGTGTGATGTTACCACTTGCCGTAGGAAACATTCTTGTTGTCTCCCTCGTAGGCAATAAACGAATCTTTCCAGTGATTGATGATCCCTACATTGCCCTCATCGAATCCCAGATGATCTAAAAATGGCCTGCACGGATGATTCCTCGGATATAATTTGGATTATATTGGTACCTTTATCTCCATGGCAATTCATTCTGCCCTGGCTAGCTAGATTGCGACAGGAGCAACATGCATATGGACATTATTGGAAAAGCAACCAGAGCTGATGCCTGAATTGGCAAATCGAATGTTAAGCTTGTCCTGTTTTTGCAGATACAGTTTTGATAATCAATGGTGAGGGAAAGATACGTACCACAAAAAAGACCACTTCTTGATGAGCAAGAGCTGCAGTAAGTTCATTCCTACTCATTGCATTCTTAATGAAACCTTGCAACTAAAATGCCCGAGGATATTATCAGAGCTTATAATAAAATATTATATGACAATTGAAGAGAACACTGTCTTCTAAAGTTATCGCCTTTGCAGATTAAGGATGGAAATCGTTGTTTTTGAAAATTAACATTGCTGAAAAAGCATTTCGATCTTTCGAGACAATACCTGATGATGGTATCGCTTCCCAGCAGCAAATGACTGCAAAGCTATTGACTTGCACTTGCCCAACAATGAATAGGCTCCCGGAATGTAAGGATATAGAATGCCCTCTAATGTTTCGAGACAATCTTCATAAAGTGTAATAAAGAACTACATAGTGTAGACATGCATTGTTTGTTATGGTATAAACAGAAGAAATATATATATATATATATATACATTTACAAGTTGGAAAACAATACCTTAACAACTGGGCATCTTCTCCAAAGCTCTTTTCTAATCTTTGACGTTCGAATCTGTAAAACAAAGTTCAATACAAGGTATTTATATTGGCGGATTTCATTCATTTCTTTTCACGAATTCGAAAAGTACCTCTGCCATATGAACGGCCTGTTCAAGCTGCTGAATTTGAATCCATTGTTCTGATACAATTTCAGCCATCTGCAGCAGATACATAAACAAGCTAGAAACCTATGATTCAATCATATGACCAATAAACTAACACAAGCACAAAAAAAAAAAAAAAAACCCTCAATCATCCTTCTTCATGCAGACTATTTTTCTTATAGGAGCTATACAGTAAAGATGCACAATGGAATTTTGAAAGAACTTATTGAACATTTGAACTGACCTCTGTGACCTGTAAAGTGGCATCTTTCAACCTTCTTTCGGCATCCAAAGCTTTGTACTCCAAAGAGTGAATTTCGAAGTTATTTGTCCGAGAGGCAGCCCATAGAACTTTAACCTTAAATGAAATGGATTGCAACATTCATTCACTGTTTTCAGACCTTAACCCTAACACATGAACAGAAACTGATAAACGAGAAATCTAAAAGCATTAATCGTACCTCTTCCTCGAGATTGTTCAGCTTACGGCTTGCATTCAAGTAATCGCGCTCGAATATCGACAAGGCAGCTTTCTCACTCTCAATCCGCGCATTCAATGCCTCAATTTTCTTCTCACAGTCACGGAAATGCCAACCTTTCGATTCCACCTCTCTGGTTCTTTCATCGAGGATCGATTCTGCATAATCGAACAACAGATACTCAGGACCACCAATTCGCCAAATCAATTCTTAGCACCTGCTAAGAATGACCATAAACAACGCCTACCTAATCGAGCGATTTCGTGCTCCGCCTGTTCCACTTCGCACTCGATTGCATCTCCATTCCGCCGGTGGAAACAAGACGGCAGCGTCGCCGAATCAATCGCGGATGTTAGGGCATTGGATACAGCGAGATAAAGCAAAAACACCGAGCCCAATATGGCGGGAAGCGCTGATCCAGAGATCTCCATCACCACCATTTTCCTCTGCACATATTCTCCTAAATCCCAAAATTGGCAATCTGCAGTATTCCGAAATTTAAAATGACACTTTTAACCCTCTTATTTCTGTAATTAATCCACTAATTATTTCGGTGTTGTTCGTTACATCCGTCTCACAAATGTGATTTACGGACATTGATTGGGCTGGATTACATTTTTTTTTTCTTTGGGATCAAAATGAATTTTGTGGAGTTCAAATAAGCAAAATTCATTTGTCATATCATCAATATAAGTCAAATACTAAAATTACAAATTACAAATTACAAGTGCATACTTTCGAGATTAGACATCACTCTATTAGTATAAAAGTGTTAAAAAAAAATAAAAAATACTAAAATTACAAATTAAGAAGAATGTTAAATGTATATGTAATTTCCAAAAAAAAAAATCATTTTAAAAATGAAGAATATTATCGAAACAAGAGGAATTCCAATGCAATAATTTTCAAGACAGTGAATACTAAAAACATAATTTTACTTTTTTTTCAATGTATTAATAAATTGTACATACTACAAGTAATCTACCAATAAATATTCATATTGTATAAATATTTGATATGCAAGAAAACATCAATATATTTTTTTTTTAATAATTTTTTTTCCACAACTCTTCAATTTCAACATCAACATTTTTAAACGAATCTATATAAAAATATATTGTGAATTTTTCTTTTATGTATATTTTTTTTGATATTTTTTAGATATTCCAACATTATCCTTCTATCTTATTATTTTATCAGTTTTTTATATTGATTTATTTTTATTTTAATATTTATTGTAGTGATTCTAATATATATTATGAATTGAAGTTATAAATATAAAATATGAATAATTTTATTTGATTTTTTAATAATTTTACTAATAATTTTTTTTTAATTATTATATTAATGATACTATTTTTGAATTGGAAAGTGAATAATTAAATATGGTATTGTAATATTTAAATATAAAAAAAATATTTTATTGAAGATTTTAATATACAAATATATGTGCGAAAATACAAAATTCATTTTGTACGGCAGCCTATTGGCTTACCCTCAATAATCTTCCAAACTCCCGGGATCCAAGATCCTCCATAATCTACAGTTCTACTCCACTCATGAAGTGGGAGTTCGTACGTGGATATTGAACTCCTGGAGCATCCAAAATTCATCAAGGGCAAAAATGGAAATTCACTACACTCAGGTCAGGCTATAGGCATTTTCTCAAAGCGTTTGCCGCGTGCGCTTCTTTCCACAGAATAATCAACGCGAGGAAAAGGTTTTCTTCACAGACTCGAAGCACCGCTGCTTCATTCTTCCATCGCTACTCTCCACCGACCCACGCTCGGTCCAAATCGGTAATTTTGTTCGCTTTTGGACGCTTGTAGTCCAGTTGCTTTCAGAATTTTGAACTTATTGTTCGATTCATGTAATTTCCTAACCTAGTGTTTTATTTTTATTTTTTTCTTCAATGATCGTTGCACTTGTGTGGTTTTTCTTCTCAATTTTGCGAATCTTGTTGAATAAACTTTGATTTGTTTCTGGTTTGTGGTAAGGGATTTTCCTAGCAGTGGTTTTGGCTTCGGATTTTAAGGTTACAAGTGCGTTTATTTTTATTATAAAATAAATTTATTGTTAAGGTCTTCTGTTATGTTTTCCAAATTTCGCAATCTGGATACTATATGTTGTGTGTATATATACATTTGAAGAAAATGCGAAGTTTTTCTTATTTGATGTGCCATGTGTGGAATTTTGGTCTTGCACTTTGATGACAAAATTGTGGCAATTTTATGTCTTTAATGTTTTGATGTGTGGAGTCGGTTAGTAGCTGCTTTAATCTTGTTTCAGTTTTAAGTTTGAAGTTTTTTATTTCCTGATCATTTGTGTAAAAAGGTATACTGCTCAACAGGTATTGATTGTGTTTGGACTGATTTTGGCAGCTGTTCTTGAGTGCTAAGATTGGACTTTTCTGATATTACTTGGATGAGGAAGGGTTCGAATAGCCGTGAAGGCATATCAACATCCCACCATCATTACAAGGATAGAGCTAAGAATCGTGTGGATGATCTGCAAGGCATGTTCAGCAATCTACAGTCAGCAAGGAAGGAGAGCCGCACAGTTGATGTGGCTCTGCTTGAAGAGCAAGTTCACCAGATGCTTCGAGAATGGAAGGCCGAGCTAAATGAGCCCTCCCCTGCTACTTCTTTGCAGCAGGTGATCATTTTCTTAAACAAAAATATATATGGTGACTAACCTACATATTGCACTCGTAACCCTGACATGCAATCAACACTAAGATGGAAGGATTGGATTGTTTGCCTTGTTGCTATTGGTATTTTGATTCATTTGTATCTAGTGAAGTAACTATGAGTGCATGATATTACTTCTATGTGCAAGCTGAATTGGTCCTCTTGAGTTTTACTGGATAAATAATCATTGACAGGGAGGGAGCCTGGGCTCGTTTTCATCTGAGATTTGTAGGTTGCTACAGCTTTGTGAAGAGGCAGATGATGCAACCAGTGTGTTAACTGCCCCAAAGCCAGAGCCAAATGGCCCAAAGGATGTGAATGGATCTACTTATGTGGAGGTAGGTGATTGCTTGCAAAATTTGTGGTCTGTTCTGTCTTTTCTAGTTCCAATGTCGGAGCGGAAATTTGATGTGGAAGTTCTACAAGAAGAATTTTATGGTTGATTGCAGTATGCAATTCCATCACCTACATTGTGAGCTTTAAACAACTATCTAAAGATTTGCTGAAATTTAATTTAATTTCGATTCTGCCAAGGATTCTTGGGAGTGCTAACTCAAGTCTAGGAAGCACGTTTCAGTTTGGAATCGAATCATTTTTGTGATCTTGAATGGAAATTTTTTGTACTCTTAAGTTTCTTGATTGTTTGCTTATTATAATTGCTTTACATTCAAATCATAGCAGCGCTTCCCACTCTCCAAGGGTCTCCAAGAACAAGACTTTCCTTTGGTTGATCAGTGCAAAAGCTCCATTGCGGGAGCCACGAACATAGGAATGGATAATAAAGCTTTGGCAACTCAATTAGATTATAATGCATTTAATTCCCATCAAGAATTTGAGCAGCAATTTTTCTTGGGAATTGATGACACTAAATATGTTGTGGAGGAGAGTACAGATAAGATTTCTGGTTATCAGCAGAATGTGTTTCCTCCACCTTCTGCTTTTTTAGGGCCAAAATGCGCCCTTTGGGATTGTACGCGGCCTGCACTTGGAAGGAACTGGTCTCACAAGTCTGATGACTATTGCAGTGCCTATCATTCTGGGCTTGCTCCTAGTGAAGGTTACCTCGGCTCACCTCCAGTTGTTCGCCCTGGAGGAATTGGCTTGAAAGATAACTTACTTTTCTCTGCCCTTAGTTCTAAGGCACAGGGGAAAGATGTCGGCATTCCGGAATGTGAGGGTGCTGCAACTGCAAAATCTCCTTGGAATGCACCAGGTGAGTTGTTATATCTTCCTTTCAAATTTCCACAGTTCGTGTAATTTTAAGAAAGAATATGGCTGATTTGCTTTTGTGGTATTCAACAGAGCTCTTCGATCTTAGCCTTGTGGATGGTGAAACAATCCGGGAGTGGCTGTTTTTTGACAAGCCTCGCCGGGCATTTGAGAGTGGAAATAGAAAGCAACGATCCCTGCCAGATTATGTCGGGAGGGGCTGGCACGAGTCAAGAAAACAAGTGATGAATGAGTTTGGTGGATTGAAGAGATCCTACTACATGGATCCCCAGCCAATGACAAGTTTCGAGTGGCACCTCTACGAGTATGAGCTCAACAAATACGACGAGTTTGCACTATATAGATTGGAAGTCAAGTGTGCCGATAGGAAGAAGGCTCCAAAAGGTAAATTAAGTAAAGCTTCTGTAGCTAATCTGCAGAAGAAAATGGGTAGACTTACTGCCGAGTTCCCAAACAACAAGCAACGCAATGGAAAGGGAAGAGGAAAGGGCAATCTTCCAAAGGATGGATCTGGAACTAACCATTCTGCTTCTAATCTGCCGGTGGGTGCAGGCGAAATGTGCGACGACGACTACCTTGTCGACAACCATGATGAATACTACCAAACATGATCGAGAGATCAGTCGACTGGGGCACATATTACTGCATCTCATGATATTTCTCAGCTGTACAGATTTAACTTTCTGACTTAACTCACTTGGTGGACCTGGAACTCAATGTATTGGATAGAGTGAATTATAATCTAACAGGGTTTCTGTGGCCCAAATTAAAGAATGTTCTTTTTGGAAGAGTAAGTTGATTGGGTATAACTATTTCCTCAACATAGGCATATTTAGCCGCAGATTATGTTCAGACTGTTACAACTGACCCCAGATTTTATCAAGAACCAGGTTTGACTTCTTCTCTACCCATTTATATATATATATATATGTATGTGTATGTATATAGTAGTAGAAAGTGAACATATCTTTACCTTAGGCTTCTGTGGAAGTGAAGTACATGGATGAGAAAGACAGCCTGAAAATCATGATGTACCCATGGTTTGCCATGGGTCATCTCACAGCATACCTTCACATATCCAACAAACTTGCTGAGAGAGGCCATGAAATCTTCTTCATCGTTCCTTCAAGAACACAGTCCAAAATATCCCATCACAGTCGCCACCCTAACCTCATCAGATTCTGCCCGATCCTCATTCCCCATGTCGATGGCCTCCCCCACGGGACTGAGACCACCGCCGACGTTCCTTTCTCCAAGTACTCGCTTCTCCGGCATGCCATGGATCTCACACGCCCAGCTGTCGAATCCCTCATGCTAGAACTCAGTCCAAATTTTGTGTTCTTCGATTTTGCGCATTGGCTCCCTGCTGTATCGAGCCGGTTGGGGATCAAGTCCCTGCATTACTGCAGCATAAGCCCTGCCGCAGTGGCCTTCCTGTTTCGCGATGAATCTGTCGAGGCTCTGAGGGATCCGCCGGCTGGGTTCCCACCGTCGATGATCAAACTTCGCACATGCGAAGCACATGTGGTTAATACGATCAATAATTTGAAGGAGCATGGGAGTGATATGAAGTACGTGCATGGAATGATTAAGGTGAACGACGAATGCGATGCGATCGGATTCAGATCGTGCAGGGAAATGGAGGGGCCGTATTTGGAATATCTGGAGAAGAGATTTAATAAGCCGGTAATTCTAGCAGGGCCAGTTCTGCCGGAGCCGCCAATGGCAGTAACCCTAGACGAGGGTATGAGGAAATGGCTGGATCAATTCGAACCAAAATCCGTTATCTTTTGCGCATTCGGAAGCGAAGCGAGGCTAAGAACTGATCAATTCCAGGAATTATTGCGAGGATTTGAGCTCACCGGATTTCCATTTCTAGCTGCTCTAAAACCGCCATTGGAGGAAAGCTCCGTGCACGACGCTTTGCCGGAGAATTTCCTCCAGAGGATCGGCGGAAGAGGAATCGTCCATGGATATTGGGTCCAGCAACAGCTGATTCTATCGCATCCTTCGGTGGGATGCTTCGTGACGCATTGCGGGTGGAATTCCCTATCGGAAGGCCTGGTGAGTGAATGCGCGCTGGTGCTGGTGCCACACGTCGGAGACCAGCTGATAAATGCCAGATTGATGGGCGGCGATCTGCGTGTCGGCGTGGAGGTTGAGAAAGGAGACGAAGATGGAGCGTTCGGGAGAGAAGGTGTGTCGAAGGCGATCCAAATCGCCATGGCTGACGACTCTGAAATTGGGAAGGAAATTCGAGCCAACCATTGTAAATGGCGAGAGTTTTTGTTGAAGGAAGGGCTGGAGAATTCCTACATTGACGAGTTCGTTCGTAAGCTGCATTCTCTTTGCAGCAATAATCCAAAAAAAATAAAATAAAATTGTGATAGGAAACCCTAATCCCCAAATTGAATCTCGTTTTGGTGATACTAATTTATATGCGGTGTCGCAAAAGAATATAAAATGCGTTTTTTGGTGGAACTGGAGGAAACTTTAGTCACCCGCACCGTATCTATCCAATGCATTTTGACACGTAATGATATATATATTCTCCAATCTCCGCGAGATTCATTCTCAGCTAGGGTTAGTGGGAGAAAAAGAAGGGAATCAGGTTCGGAAACTAAGCAGTAAACAATATGATCGAATCTACTTCTTTCTTCAATCTGGAATTGTCCATTTGTATATATGTATGTATGTATGTTATATATTGTCTGTGTCGATTGGAGAAAGGAGGAGAGGCTAGCACAAGGAAGAAGGGAGCATAATGGGAAGGGGGAAGTTCAAGGGGAAGCCTACTGGTCGGCGCCATTTCTCCACTCCAGAAGAGATGAGTATGCGTCTCCGATTGTTGAGATTGTTAGCTGCGTGTGTTTCGGAACTTTATCTGTTAAGTATAATTGTATATTATCGATATCTCTTTTCTACGTTTGATTCAGTTATTGGCGCTTCTGCATCTCGTCCTCGCACGTTCAAAAAGGTAATTGAAGCTGTTGCTATTTTCTAGCCGCTATACAGAAAACCGTACAACAAATGTACATAACTGCGCTTCTGAATTCGAATTTGAATTTTCATGTGTCTGTATCAATTGTTTATTGATCAGAATTCGGGATCTGTATATTAATGCAGATACAAGTCTCTCTGATTAGGTAATTTCTATTTCTGAATGTAAAATTTGTGTGATCAGCAACAAGCAGAGGTAGAAGAAGATGAGAGGTCCAGGGAAGAGCCTGAAGCGGAATCTGAGGATGAATCTCAAGTATGTTGCAATCAAGCATTTCACAGTTGGTAAATTTCAAAAGCATGGATACATAGATAAGCATTCTCTTTATCAATGGTATTGACAGAAGGCAAAAGGCCTTGAAGGCGTGATACAAATAGAGAATCCTAACTTCATGAAGCAAAAAAACTTGAAAGCATGCGATGCAGATGTAAGTTATTCCACATACTCAATACTTGTTGGAAGATGATTGCTGATCATTGACGTTGTTTTGTGCTGTTTTGTTTTTCAGGTAGAGAAAACAACTGAACTTTCAAGGCGGGAAAGGTTTGTGCTTCCTCTAGAATGATTTCTTTTACCTTGATTCCTTGTTCACTTTGAAATTTGCAACTATCGATCCATATGTTTTTATTGCTGTCTTTGGTGATCATTTTGGTTGAATTGTTCTTCTTAGGGAGGTGATAGAAAAGCAGAAGGCTCATGAGAGGTTCATGAGGCTGCAAGAACAAGGCAAGACTGATCAGGCCAGGAAAGATTTAGGTAATGGTTCGAATGTCCTTAATGTATTCCTATCTTTTACTTTAGGTTCAGGTTTTGGTATCAATCTCAATATCGAACTTGTCTCTATTTCCAGAACGCTTGGCCATTGTTCGACAGCAGAGAGCTGAAGCTGCTAAGAAGCGGCAAGAGGAGAAGGCCGGTATGTATGTAATCCTTTCGTTTATTTCCCACTCGACGTCCAGTGGTTCTCATTCAAGTATTCTTTATGCAGCCCGAATGCAGAAGCTGGAATCGCACAATTGAGGGAGCTCGAGCTCTCTTGCCTATAGTTGCATTAAAATGCTTGAATGTTTCCTGTATGTCATACTCAATCAATAATGGCAATGCTCTATTAATATGTCATTGCATTAAATACATAACAACCATAACTTGTGAATCAAATTCTTGCACCAGAAAACAGGTCAATTCCAAATTTCCAAGCCAACAGAAGCAGAATTCCAACCCAACCAAATTTCTTGTACTACTACTATATATATATATGTACATTTAGCATCTCAATATACTAATATGCACAGGAGCCAAAATCAGTTACCTAAGTGGCAACAGCAGCAAAGCCCAGGTGAGTGTGACTGTGATTCTGACCTTTCCCCTCCAAGAAATTTGCCACAATCATTTCCACATCTTCTATACCAACACCAATACACAATGAATTGGAATTGGAATTGGATGGAGCATTGTTCAAAACCTTAACATTAGGACCATCCCTGCACTTGCCCATGCACTTGCACCCTGACACTGCTCCTTCAATCCCCATAGCCTTCTGAAACTCCTCCAGCAGTAATGCCCCTCCTGATTTCTTGCACTTCCCTCCCATGCACACCTCTATTTTCGGATTCGGCTCCGGGAAAGTAGCAGATTGCAGGTTGGTAATGGCTGGAGAAGAACAACCAGGTTGCAGGGCAGGAGATGCTGCTTTTGATTCGATCATATTTGGCTGCTGTAAGGTACTTTTGTCCACCTGTTTTTGGTTCTTCATGTTGATGACCTCCCCGCATTCTTCGTCGCTGGAGGAAGATTCGGACGAAGAAGATGAGCCTGAAGACATTTCACAGTCCATTAATGGCCTGGAAGTAGCTGCCTTCAGCCTGGCCTTTTCTTCCTTGGCTTTCCGCTTCAGTTCTTTCTCTTGTGCTCTCAGCTTCTGTAGCATTTCCATTAGAACATCTGCTGCTTCCTGCAGTGAATCCAGTTTAAAGCAATGGAGGATGGATACTTTAGCAGAGTATTGATATCAATAATGAAGAACATTACAGGCTGAAGAATTGAAGGTATGCAGGAACTCTTTCATGATGATTAACTCAGTGAAAATCAATAATTCGACATCGAATTCAAAAGCAGCAGAAATTCATGAATAGACAAGAGAATTGGGAGGATCGGAAGGAGCAACAGAAAGTCATGATAGACAGATGGAATACGATAGATGATGATAGTGAATGATTTTGATTACCTTCATCGCATCACGCTCGACTTGATCGACCAAAACGCCATTGGAGTCCAATCCGAATCCTATCTGAGAGAAGGTGGATAGATCTCTGGACAGCTCCTTCAGCAATTTCAACTGCTTCTTCTTCTTCATCATTTTCTTCGGAGCTTTATTATCCTTCGTCGCCTCCTTCCCACTCATCGCCGCCGCCGCCGCAGCGGTGTCGGCTGCAGCAGGCGGCGACAATGAAGATCTACCATTCTTAGAATTGTAATACTGCATATGGCTTTGGTCGCAAAATCCAGACGACAGAATTCCGATGGACGGAGCCCTACGACTCACCGCAACGGCCGATTTGGACGACGGCGCAGCCGCGTAGTAGCACGTCGATGAAAACGGCAGCGGCTGCCCCAAAACCTTGGCGGCGGCGGAATCCATAACAACCGACCGAATTACAGCAACAAATGCAGAAAATTTTCGCTGAGAAGGCTGAAAAATATAACAATCTCAGCCCTCGGACGATGAATTCAATGAATTTGTATCGGATTCGAAGAACAATAAATTGCGTAGAAGGAAGCGCTATCGATTCGATCAAGGATTCCCTGATGCGATTGAAGGCGAAGAAGGAGGCTAGGCAGCCTTACGTAGAGTGGAGGATGGGTTTCCGGTCCACGTGGAGGATTCTGATTGGGCAAATAGGAACACGTGCTTGGGGTCTGCCGACTCGCGCCAAGGTTTGAATTTCCACACTTTATATGTGCCGACCACGATGATGCGTTGCCACGTCATATAATTTTCTAAACGTGGAGTGCCAGCTCAGCCTGTTGTGTTACACGTCATCGTTATATTTTCTAATATCGGAATGTGCTTAGAATATTCTTTGGAAGATATGTTATTATTTTATTATTATTATAAATATGTGTGGCTACGAGAGACATTAGGCAACTGTTGCAGCAAAATCCTTATATTATTAATTAATTACATGCACAAACCATGATGCAATATAATATACCAATTATATTCATTGTGAGTGTGTCTGTTTAATGTCTTAATTCGAAGTAGTTTTGTACGTGTGTTATGAAAATCAACATAAAAATTAATATTTTATATTTAATTATTAAATTTTTAAAAAATAATATATTAATATTATATATGTAGTGAAATTTATATTAAAAAAATTATTTGTATAAACATACATATTTCAAAATGGATATCATAATTTTAATACTTCATTAAATATATCAATAATTTTATGGAATACACCAAGTTTAATTAATATCGCTCAGTTATAAATTCAATACAGATAAGGTGATAATTGAAGTTTGAAGATCTATTACCATTTTTTTTAATACATTTAATTTTTTATAAAAATCAATATTATATATTTCATAAAATATTTTTATTTATATTATTAACACAATTTTTTTATACTTTATATTAAAAAAAAATAAATTCATTATATCTTCTTTAACTTATTCTTAATTAAATTAAAATTATATACTTTCCCATCTGAAAATTTTAATCTTACTTCTCTGTAAAAAAATATATATATATATATATAGTTAAATTTGTCATATAGAAGAAGTATATATAATTCATCGTGGACGTAAATTTCTTATCAACATGACTCTCTTCTACACACTATTGTTTATTTAAAATTTGGTTTAAATTATTTTACTATATCATTATTCATTATATATATTCTCTTATAAAATAGTATTATATTAATATTACCGTCGAATCAAAATATAAAATAATGTTGCATCGTAGCATTGCCATAAAATAATATTAAAAATGGCACAGTTGGGTTGAAAATGATCTTAACAAATCAATAATAGGACTAATTGAGATATTTTAGTATTTTAATTAAATTAATTATAAAAATATAATTGAACAAAAAATATTATATTGAAATATCAAAGGAATACATGGATTTTTAAAGTTTAAAAAATTTAGTATTTAATTTGATGTTTTTTTAGAGAAAAAATATTTTTGATATTATATTTTTAAAAATATATATTGGCAAATAAGTGAAAATTAATGGTGTAAACATAATGTTAGGTCCAAGTAAAATGTTAATGGTGGTTGCTTTCTTCATAGGCTGAAACTATACTTTCTACGTCAAATATGTAATCACATAATTTTTTGCAAGACTTCGATCCCATCTCACAGAAAATTGTTCTGAAACTTTTTACATGTAAAATGAACACACTATACATATACAATCTGTGATGTTTTTCTCAGCCATTCTTAACATATAAATAAATAAATAAATATATATATATATATCTCAATTAAAGAACAAACAATCAATCAATGAATTAAGTTTAGATTTCTGTGTTAGTATGTATAATCAAGCAAGAAATGAATAATGTACACACAAATTTCAACTCTGATTCATGAATAATAATAGTAATAATAACATGAATATGAATATGAACAGATAGAAGAAGATTATATTAGCTTTTTTCTAGCCAGAGCAGCAGCCTGTGTTCTTCACAGCTGATACATCATCTTTGCCTCCAATATTGATGGTTTGTCCCTTGGGCAGAGCCGACGGGTCGTCTCCGATGTCCAGCGCCTTGCGACTCACCACGTGGTAGATCTGCGTCAGCACTTCTGTGAACGCCTGATCGACATTCAGGGCTTCCAGCGCCGAGGTTTCCATGAAAAAAGTGCGCTCACGCTCTGCAAAAGCTTTCGCTTTGTCGGTTTGCACCGCCCTTAAATGGCGCAGGTCTGCCTTGTTCCCGACAAGCATGATCACGATGTTCATGTCCGTGTGCCCTCGAAGCTCCGACAGCCATCTTTCCACGTTCTCAAAGGTCACATTGCGCGTGACATCGTAGACGATTAGGGCCCCTACAGCTCCTCTGTAGTAGGCGCTTGTGATCGCCCGATACCTTAATTTAGTTGCAAAAAAGGTATTGAGTGAACATAGAAAAAAGTTCATGTTCTATTCAAGATGTCGAATAGCAAAAGTTAATTAATTTAGTAGCAGAAGTTATTGAGTTAACATAGCAAAAGTTCATGTTCTATTCAAGATGTCGAATAGCAAAAGTTCTATTGAGTTAACATAGAAAAAGTTCATGTTCTATTCAAGATGTCGAAGAGCAAAAGATTATTCCAAATTTTACGCAAAGTAGTTATCTAAAAAATTTTGATCACCAACTTCAAGTCTATTTAACGGATGTCATTCTAAAAGTTCTTTATATGGCCCTTGTAAACCATAGAGTTGAGTTTAGCATTTGCGGGTAAAAGAGCAATTGAACAAACATTGAATTCAATCTAACTCATACCATGTTCAAAAAAGCATTTTACTTTGAATTTCAATTCTATCAAGTAGTCCGAACTAAGTTCAATGATTTTGTTTGTAGCAAACAACTAGTTAACTTATCATAATCCAATACTCGAATCAAGATGTATCTTAAGAGTGCCATATGTAATTCATTCATCAATGATGATTAGAATCATTGAAAGACCAAAAACATATCTCACTATCATATCTTTTAGATGAATATTCAAAGGATTAATGAATTGAATGGATGAAAAGGGAACTATATGATCCCAATCAAAATCAATCGAACCTTTATAATTATCGCAATAAGAACCCTAGCATAGTGATTAAGATAAAGAAACACAATGCCTGTTATGTTATGTCAGATTACGAACAAAAAAAGCATCGGATCATTGCAATTAATTAATAAAAAAAGGAAATTACAAAGGGAATGAGTAGCGAGCGATTACCTCTCCTGGCCAGCCGTATCCCAAATCTGAGCCTTCACGATCTTATCGTCAACCTGAATAGATCGCGTGGCAAACTCCACGCCGATCGTGGATTTGGACTCCTGGCTGAACTCGTTTTTGGTGAACCGAGACAGAAGATTCGACTTTCCGACACCGGAATCACCTATCAGCACCACCTTGAATAGGTAATCGTAATCTTCATCGGCTCTGTAGGCTCCCATTTCTCGATCTGCTCTGCGCTCGATCCTTTTCCCCCAAAATTTTGTTCCTTATTTATTGGATCAGAAATACGATCGCAGATTACTGCAATGGCTGTCGTCGCTCATCAGCCTCCGTTGAAAATTTACGATGACAGCCAGCATCATCAATTCTCTGGCGCTTTGGTCGATCTTCCATCCGCAGATTTAGGGCAACCACTGACCAGCCATCCATTCGTGGATCACAATTTTCCCGCCATTGCGCCGCCCTCACTCTCCCTGAAATTTAAATCTAATTATTCATATAAAATATGAAGTTACAAAAATGCCCCTCACGGTTTCTTTTCACGGACAAATACCCCGTCAGATTATTTAATGTCAGTATGGTACCCAAGTTAATGTCTGCCAAAACTATTTGTGAAGTCACGATCGCCAATTATTGGAAATGTATTTATTACTTAATTCTTTATATTTTTCATTTTCATTCCTTTTATATAATTTATTATTTTTAAAAATATATTTACACATTTCAAATTTTATAATTCATACATTTTATAATTTTAATAAAATTATTTTAATATTAATCTATAATTATTTTTAATAATATATTTTTTAATTATTTACTATTTATAATTTATTTAAATTTATGTATCTATAGTAAAGTAGATATATAATTTATCCGAGATAAAAGGGATTATTATTGCTATTATTTTCTTTTTCCTAAAACTATTATATTATTTGTCATTTTTATTTTATTTTTTGTATGTAACCATATATTTTTAATATTGCATTTATATTCATATCAAAATCTATTTTCTTGTTTATTCTTAAAAAAAAAAAAAAACTTCAAAATATCTAAAAACAATCCTAGTAATTTCAACGACATTTTTTTTTTCTTTTAAATGTAGAAACCTGCCATGTACTTTTTTGAACCATTGATAATTTTGTTGAATTATAAAATAATGCTAATTTAAATAATTAATTTGAGTTTTAATTTAAGTAGTACTTTAAATAGATATATTATGAAAGAAAATGCATTTTTATTAAAACTATGAGTTGAATAATAATAATAATATATTTTATTTAAAATAAAAAACAACAAATTAAAAAACTTGATGACTCTTAAACTTTATTCTTATAGCAACTAACCTTCCAATATATAATCTAGTTAAGATATAAAAACATATTTGTTTTCTTATTGGGTCGGTGTGATAAGTAAATCAAGTTCAACGGTGCATTTGCCAATTAGCTAATAGTTTTTAGCTGTTAGCTGGTTTGACTAAGTGATTCAATTAGCGGTTTGTATTAAAATGTTTGGTAAAATAATAGTTTGACATTAGCTATTTATATATAAAATATGACTATTAAAGACATTGATACGTTATTTTTTAAAATATTTAATTTTATTCATTTTGATTTGAAATTTATAAGAATTTTTGTTATTAATTATTGAAAATTATAAAATATTATAAAATATTTTTTTTTATTTTTATTATTTAGATTTGAGAAAATTATTTTTACTAAAAAAATAATAATTTTTATTGAAATTATGTAAAATATAAAATAATAAATCTTTCGTATATATATTTTTATTATGTTAATTATTATTTTAATATATATAATAAAATTAATAACTTTTGTTTTTTCTATTTGATTTAGTTTTAAAAATTTATATATTTTATAAATAAAATAATTTATATGTAATAATTAATAATAATTATTATTTTAAATTTACAAAAATAAAAATATAATTTAATAAATTAAATATATTAAAAATAATTAATAAATATTGTTATAAAAATATATTTATATGTATAAAATAAATAATTAAGTTTTAAAGGTAAATAAGAAATAACCAAAATTAAAATGAAAAAACTCTTTCAAAAAGTTGGGCATATGGGTTTTTCAGAAATTAGCTTTTTGCGTCCAAAAAACTCTTTTAAAAAACTAATTTACCAAACATTTGACTGATCAAACAGCTAAAAGCTGTTCAATAAACTAAAAAGTCTTCAACACGTTGTTTCCAAACACCCTCCAAAATATGCGGAGGTTTCATTGGCTAGTTTGTCACACAAGACTTATCTAGGATTTATTTTGTTGTTGATAAAAATTTATTTAAAATTAAATATTGATTTGAATTTTTATGTAAATAGTATTTTATAATGATACTTCATCCGTCTCAATACAATAGTCATATTTATTATTTTTGTCTGTCCTAAAATAATAGTCTTATTTTCATAAATAACCACCGTTATTTTTTTATTATTATTAGACAATATACACTCACAATATTATATGGTAAGATCAATTATAATATATGATATAGTATGTATTAGCTATGTGCTAATTAATAAAAATCTAAAGGCAGCTCTAATTTTATTGTTATCAAGTACACAGGTGTTAAAATAATACGTAAATATTGAAGGAGACAAGACCAACTGCAAATAATGTTACCCTATCATTTTATAATCATATTTACAGTGACGAACTATTAAATATTTCTAATATAGATAGAAAGAAATACCACACACGTGGCGGATTTCTACTGGTCGTCGTTTGCCTAGTGATTGAAGGGGGGTCCGCCGGGGGCGTGGATAGGGCGGCGTGTGCAGCGTGCCCAAACCCATTCCTTATATTCATTCATTTTCGCTCCTTGCGGTTTCCTTGAGCCATTGTTGAAATCATGGCGGTGCTTAATCTCTCGGCAGCAATCGCCTGCTCTGATCGGAGGATTCCTAATTTCTGCGCTCCGCCGCGGTGTTTCGTGTTTCCGATGGTTCATTTTGCTGTTTTTGTTGTTGTTCTTCACGCATTGTGCTGCTTCTCCGGCGGCGGAGCTGCGAGGCCGTTCAACAATTCGATTTCGGCGATTTTGGTCTTTGGCGACTCAACGGTTGATTCAGGCAACAATAATTATGTGGAGACGGTGTTCAGAAGCAATTATCCTCCCTACGGTAGAAGCTTCGCGAACGGCGTTCCGACGGGAAGGTTTTCCGATGGTCGCCTAGTGACGGATTTCATCGGCAAGTTTATTTCCTGTATCTTCCAGTTTAGGTATTTTTTATTGTTTAATTAATTGATGATTAATGTGTGTTCGCATGGCAGAGCAGCTTCGTATACAGGAATCAAAGAGTACGTGCCGCCGTATTTGAATCCGCGGCTGAGCACGGGGGAGCTGATGACCGGAGTTAGTTTTGCCTCCGCCGGCTCTGGATTTGATCCTCTCACCGCTCAATTGAGCGTAAACTCTATTCATCTCCTTCTTCTTTTATTATTATTATTATTATTATTATTATTGGAAATTTGATAACACATATGGAATATGATATGGACATCACACACACATTAAAAAATATATATTTATATATGTGTGGGCATTTATGGTATGCCGAATATTATAGGTATATGAACACTAAAGATATTATATTCCAAATTACAATTTGTATATTAAAATTGTATTGAGCATCAATGTGCGATTATAATAATTTACATTCTTAATTATGATATCATGTACGAAGTGATATAAATTTGAGAAAAAAAGTAAAATTTAAGTCATGAATATTATTATGATGAGTAGGATTTATTCTCTCTCTCCATATATGTTTATAGTTCAATAAGATTACATTCGATATTTTATATATATATATATATATAGAAAAATCATTTAACAATAAGTTTAATTACTTCAAATACATTTACCGTTTCTTCTCCCGGTGTACATCTATATAAGGTTGTGTTGTGGTAAAATATTTATTTACCCAGTGCGTACTTTCGAGTCGCTGCCGCGAATTTCCACCTCATAAAAAAAAGAAAAAAAAAGAAAAATGATATTGTTGATGAAATTTTGAAAGATTTTGCTTGGTTGTTATTTTATCAATATATATATATATATATTAAAAATCGTTCTTGAAATCATGAAACAACAAACCTAAATAGTAAAATAATAATAATAATAATACCACAGTGTGAACATTATAAATATTAAATAGAGTAACATTTAAATTATCAGTTTTTCAGTATAATAATATATGTTAAATTATATATATACACACTGTTTTTATTTTCCAAAACAAATCAATACATTTCCCTAGTTTAAAAAGATATGTATCATTGTTTACTCTACAAATTATATAGATTCATCATATGTATATATTTGTACTGTATGTCAGTGTTTGTGAAGTAGCATAATCACTTTAATTCGACAGCAATAAATTCTCGATACATACAAGAATAAATTTTGGTCCACTAATTTGGTAGGTGCTTTTAATTCCAATAATTATGCGTAGTTGATGCATACACGTCTAGTGGTCAAGATCCTATAACTATCAGTACATATTTAGCAGTATTCAATTCAATTTTATCCATTATATTTTTAATAATCACAGATATGTACAATAATGCATGTAACGTGTTAGTGTTCGAAACATGCATGCATGCAGAACGTGATTCCTATAGAAAAACAAGTCGAATATTTCAAAGAGTACAAACAAAAGGTGGCAGCCGCCGTGGGCAAAAAAAGAGCCCAAGCTCACATCAACAAGGCAGTCTTTGTCGTCAGCGCCGGCACCAATGACTTAGTCTTCGGCTACCCGGTCCGTCGCCAAACCTACAACGTCGCCGCCTACCTCAACTTCTTGCTGCAAAACACGCGCCGCCTCATTCAGGTACCCGCCCAAAATTCTTCTATAATTGCTACAAATAAACTGCGAAAATTCATAAAATTTTCGAATATGAGAATAGAAAAATCTTATGCTCGAATTTGCAGGAGTTGAGCGACGAGGGAGCCCGGTTTATAGCAGTGGTAAGCCTGCCGCCGATCGGCTGCTTACCCCTCGTAATAACGTTTACCAACATCGACTTCTTAGGCAACCGGCATTGCAATGGAGCTCTTTCCACCATTGCCACGGATTACAATCTCAAGCTTCGGAACATGTTGGCATCTCTGCAAAACGCCGCTGCATCTGTACTGATATACGCAGATATATACACATCGCTCAATGACCTAATCCAACAAGCCTCCCGGTTCGGTAAGTTCAATCGATTCATATTGATAAAGATAAAAAAGATCAGACATTCAATGCGATTCAACATACAAACCTGTTAATCTGGCAGGGTTTGATTCCGCAAACGCTGGTTGCTGTGGGACTGGATTGGTCGAAGCATCCATACTGTGTAATCCGGTAACGCCTGTCTGTCTTAATCCCTCAAAGTATGTGTTCTTCGACTCTGTGCACCCGACACAAGAAACCTACAAGCACCTGTTTGACTCCCTGCGCCCAACCATCGACAATGCCATCAAGAAGTATCACCTCTAACATGTTTAGACGATCAAAACCTCAATCCCTCGATTCAAGTAACATTTATAGCCGTGATAAATTTAAGATGAATTGCATGAGTTCTGGACAGAAATCGCGTCCCCTTGCAACATATTACATATCTTCTTCTCATATAGTAAAAATTTCATCGCGCACGTCGACTCCAGAACTCAGGGAAGCATTCCTCGAAAGCAGGGGATCGTTGGTACACAACGGAAGCAGCCTTGATTAAAATCGCGGCAGTGAGAGCCCATATGATGTAAGAAGTATTCTCGGCTTGATGATCGAAGAAATGCAGCAGGTATTTATATCCCATCCATTCCCGCTCCTCCTGTCGCCTGTTCTCATCCTAAACAAGTCCATGAATATCACCACATACATCCACACATTATATACATATATATATATATATCTCAATGCTTGTAGAAATCGAAAAGATACCAAATGGAACCTACTTTGAGAAACATTTCTAGAGGAGCATCGAAGATTGATTCAACCTCATCGGCGTTTATGATTGGTTTGAAAGCCTTCCTGTCAAAAAGGATTCCTACTACCGGAACCACCGTAATGTTTCTCTGCAGAGAATTCCAAGACTTTAGATATCAAATAGCTAAGATTAATCAAATCTTGAACATTTGATTTCCCGAATTCTCTCTATTCCAACACTGATGCAATAGGCAATGCTAAAATCTTCAGCTGTTAAACTAGTTTTTCAGACAATTTTGGTTTGAGACTTGTGGTGTTGAATCACTGAGGGACACAGATGATGAAGCAGAGCAGAGCAGAGTAGAGATGCATAAGATTAGTTGGATATTGAAGCTACCAAATGTAACAATTGTGCATTTGTTTTGAGGATTAATGGAACAGATTGAGCAGAATTGGAGTGAAGAAGATATTCAAGAGATTCATACGCCGATTACCTTAGTGTGGAAGGGTTCGAGGACAGTGACAACCTCAACAATGGTGGAGTCCAATCCGATTTCTTCCTTAGCCTCTCTTAGAGCGGTCTCAACGTCACTGGCATCACCGTCGTCTCTTTTTCCTCCCGGCAACGCAACTTCTCCTGAAAGAGTGTTCAATCCCGACACCTCTGAAATCACCAAATCAATGGAGTTCAACTCATCACAAGCAGAACAAACACGACGCCCTACCGGAATGAGAGGAAAGAGTGGAGGATCGTTTAGTGAGAATTACGCGAAGATCGCCGTTCTCATCTTCGAACAAACAGATCAAAACCGCAGCTCTGCTTGTCTTGACATCTTTAGATTCAATGCCGTCTTCCACCGAATCCGAACCCGAACCGTAATTAGGCCTATAATGTCTCAGTAGCTGCGCTAATTTGACGAGGTTCTCCGATCTTCCACAGCCGCCGCCGGCATCCATGGTAATTAGGGTTTAGATTTGGGGAAGAAGACGATACCCACCTGTAAGATCGTTGTTTATTAATTATTTGTTTTTTTCCAAAGAAGCGGACGCATCCAACGGTGTAGATGCATTTGGTGCTGGAGTCCAGAAGCGTTCTAAAAGCATCGATCTTTTGGAACTGAAAATTGTGCACGTGAATAACATCATCTGGTAAATTAGGTATAGTTCAAATATCTTCTTTTTAGACAGAGAACATAGAATAAGCAAAAGAAATCACAGAGTTGGGCCATAATATGCGCAGAAGGACCGTTTGTGAATGAATTTCCCAACAGTCTTGAAAGGGCCTTTGGGAAAAGAGGGTTTTTTTTTGGACCAAAAGCTGGGGATGGAATCATTGAACCAATTTTTAAGTTTTAATCATTCAAAGTGGGGAGCTTTAGACAGAAATCGACTGTTCTTCATTTCTTGTGTGCAGGGCAAAGAGGGATTGATGATGATGGAGAACGCACGTGAGGGGAGGAGGGAGGGTTCAATTCCATAGCTTTCGTGTGCACATAAAGTGTTCGACCAAAGTTCTAAGAGAGAAAAAAAAGAAAGACAGGAAGAAAAGCTATCATCAGGGAGAGTGGTGATTGGGTTCCCACTCAAATTTCTTTTTTTATCTTTTGCAGCTGTCATTTTAATTTGCAAATGTGGCAACAGTAAAATCCCTTTTCTTTTTAAACTCTTGTTTAAAATTGTAGCATGATTTTCTTCCTTCATACCAAAGTTTTACTCATGGCCCATACATTGCCTGTGATCCCATATTCCCATTAGCTTTTGATGTCTGAAGGTTAAAATGAATATTAACTGAGAGAATGATAGTATGCAGAAAGGAGAAAGGAGGAAGAGCAGTCATTCTGGAAGTTGTTATGTGCTGTGGCCAAGGGGTCCCATCGAAGAAGATGACCTTTCCCTTTCTGTATCTGCTGCATCTTGGAGAGGAGGGGTCCAATGGGGTAAATTCAATACTCCATAACTGGTAAATTACTTGAGGATAATATTGAGCAAATGATTGTCCTTGTTCCATTACTGTGTTAGTAATTAATGATCAGTTAAGGGGGTGATGATGTAAGGTATGAAAGGTTCAGGAAATCTGGTGATGGCTGTTTTCTTGATTTAATTAATTATGGAGGTTGAGGATTCATTGATGTAGAAAGTGAAAAAAATGTGTGAATCCCAAAACATTATGAGGGTGGGGGTGGGGGGGGGGGGGGGTTAGTACAGAGGACACAGTACATGACATGATTCAGGCAAGAGTGGGAAGGGGAGACAGTGCTGATGTTTTACAACAGTGTTAACATGGATGCATCAATATGTTTTTGCAAGTACTGTTTTTGTTTGTGTTTCTGTGAATTCAGACAGTTCTTTCCTATTCACATGGTTTTCTTGTAATTTTTTTTAACCAATTCACATTTATGTATACAATCAGTATGCAGCAAATTTCTCATGCATTATGCTGTCTATATGTCATAAAAAAAAATGTGGGAATATGATTGAATTTTGTGGAGTGTTAATTTAATTGCAGATACATCTCTAAATCAATTTTATTGGCCTTTTTTTTGAGGTGACATTTTCGAGGGCCCCAAAAGGACATTATTACCAAAAGCCGTTGAAGAAGCTATAAAGATACGTACCAAATGAAAAGCTGGAAGAGAAGAAGCAGAACAAGAACAACAAGAAGAAGATTACCAGACTTGCAATGTATCCTCTCAGCAGATATCTTCAACTACACAGCCTTGAAGGCGACAGATTCAGCGGAGGAGATGTTGACAGCGGCTGCATGAGTAAAGACGACACGTTCCTCGGTCAGGTCTACCCGACACAATATTTTAGCGACGACGCCTCCCACAATGCGGTATGGGCGAATTCTCTATCTAAGATGAATTATGAGAGGCTTTTGCCGCAGGGTTTGATCAATTTGTCGTCGTCGTTGTCATCGCCACCTCGGACATCGGATTCGAGGAAGAGGAAGGTTGAGATGATCGAAGCCAATGGCGCCAGTAAAAAGGATAAGCACAGCAAAGTCTGCACTGCCAGAGGACCGAGGGACAGGCGTGTGAGGCTATCGCCAAAGACTGCGATTCAGTTCTATGACGTCCAGGATCGCCTTGGCTACGACCGCCCCAGCAAGGCCATCGATTGGCTGATTAAGGAAGCGAAAATTGCGATCGATGCGCTGGATGCGCAGCAGCAACCACCTATGGATCAATTCAAGATTGTCTCTGAATGCGGGATGATTGGGAAACAGGAGGATTTAGATTACGAAAATCACGTATCTACGTTCGAGCTTTTCATTGACAACAGTTCCAATCCGGCCGGGAACATATCCAAAACTGGCTTGGAAGAAGCCATACTTAACCCTGGTTACCAACAGGGGCTTATCTCTGGCTTAGCCACAAGTTCACAGATACTGGATACAACTTGGGAAGTGGCTAGATTGCAGAGACTTCTGACGGTCGATGACGACGCAAGAGTCGAAGGGCCGGAGATCGAATATTCTTCTCTCAACCCGCCGCCGCCGAGATTCTTTTCCGGCAACAGCCAGGCGTTCTGTCAATCCGGCATCATCAACTGCTCTCCACTTGGTATCAGTTTTCCAGGATTTAATTTGTCTGATGAATTATCAAATGTTGCTACTGCAGCTGCATTACTGCAAGAAGGTGCTAAAGAGAAGACAGATTTGAACAAGAAATCTTCCTTTCTGCAATACCAAGGTATTCTTACATGTTCGATTAATTGTTAGTATTATTATTTGAAAAGAAAAAATATCGAATAATAAATTTGAATCTTTTTTGTTTCTTGAATTTGGTTTGGAAGTTTCAGGAGGGATTTCTGGATGATGAGATTAGCTAGGGAGAAGCAGAGCAGAGGAATTGCAATTACATTTCCTAATGTATAATCCATTTTATTTTATTCTAAGCATATTAATTATGAATTGTATTTTGTTTTGTTTTGTTTGGTGGTGTTGTATTCTAAATTTAATTAGGTTTGATTGATCTAAATTATTAACACTTTGATTTGTTTGATGACCGAGTGCATGCTTGTCTCTTAACTATGTACCAAAGAACCTCTCTGGCATTTGTTCAAGTGTGTGTATGCAATAATTAATTGACTTAGCTACCTTCTTTTTATTTTATTTTATTTATTATGCAATGTTCACAATTTTATATAAAAAAATACATTAGTTTGTTTTGTTTTGTTTTAATTTTGATTCGAAACTCAAACCAAATACATTCCATAATTTTACCTTAAAAACTATAACCATTAATCAATACCTAAAAATACTAAAAAAAAACGAAAGATTGAATTATTGATTTTTGTAGATATATTATATATTGTAAATATTGTATGAATGTGTGTGTATATATTACTCTATAATTTTTTGTTATATACATGGTCATTTAATATTTAAGTGGTCATTATTATTATTATTGGTATGCATGTTTTAAAGAAATAAATTTGCATAGCCCACAAAGCAATCACCCTTTAATTAAGTAACCTGAATAAAGCCTAAAGGTAGTCAGTCAAAAAAGAAGCAGTGTGATTCGTGGGCATAATTAATTTTGGACATCATATTGTTTTTAACCTCTCTCTGTCTCTCTCTCTGTCTCTCTCTCTCTCTCTCTCTCTATATATATATATATATAGCACCCATGCATGCATAAAAGGTTGTTTTTATTTATTAATTATTTTTTTGCATGAAACTTTTGAAGGAGTAATTAAAAAGCCAATCTTGGGGCCTCAATAATAATTGTTACTACAAAAACAGTGCACATTTCATTTTTGAAATTATATATATTTAGTTATGTATATGTACTTTGTTAATTATTATGGGGCAAAAAAATCATCTATAATGAAGGTGATCATGGATGTTGTTAACTAATAAAAGGTATGCTGAATTATACTATATATATCAAAGTGTTTTGAATTTTGGTGTTTTTTAAGTGAAAATAATTATTGATTTTTATTTTTATTTTTAAATGAAGAATATTACAGATTGCAAATTAATATTTCATGGGCATGGGGTGGAATTGAAATGGTTGGTGAGTACTTGTCATGGGCTCACTATATAATTATTTTTCCTTTTTAATGAATCATTTAATTTAATTTGAAGCCTCTATGATAAGGTAAGATAAGATATAATGATTATGAAAGTGGAACTGGTGGCCAAAGGAAATTAGGCAAAGAAGTGTGTTTTTTAATACTTTATATATATATATAAATAAATAAATATGTATATATTTACCCCACACACATATTTTACAATAAATAAAATCATAACTTCCAATCTCAACTCAACTGTTTTAATAGCTTGAGGAAGAAGAGATGCATGTATATATGATCATGATACATGCAATTATTGGTTCCATTTATTATATTTTGTTGCACAGGTTTGGGCCTCAATTACTACTTTATTTAATTTAATTTGGTTATCCTAAGGAAAGGCCATCATTACTATTATCCATTCACTAATCACATTATTATTATTATTATTATTATTATTATTATTAAATTTTAGCATCATAATATTGACCATATTGAATATATAATATAATGCATTGGGACGATGTAATTGGTTGAATGTTTATATATTTATACCTCCTGAGTGATTTGTAATGTAAAAAAATTTAAAAATATACTTATTTTGTTTTGCAAAATATGAATTCTTAAAAAAAAAAAAAAAAAAAAAAAAAAAATAGTGAAAAGACAATTTAAATAAGTACTAAAAAATCTATGGTCCCGGCGGGGCTCGAACCCGCGACCTTCGGCTCATAAGACCAACGCTCTAACCAACTGAGCTACGGGACCAATATGTTAATTATTGTATAAAAAATAATTTTTTACATTTACAAAAGTATGGTTTTTCATTTTTTATTTTTGTGGTAAACTATATATATATATATATATATATAACTGCTGTATTTTGTATATAAAAATAAGTATTTTAAATAAAAGTATTAACTAGTAAAAAATAGATTTAATAGAAAAACATGAATTAATAAATTTAGGATAGTAATTATAATCCTTAATTGTCTACTAAATATTAGTAGTATGATGATCCTTATCCTAAACTACATTTTTTTGCTGCTGCTGATGACGAAGACGATGATAGTGATGATGCAAAGTAGCTAATAAAGGTAATTATTATTAATTAATTAATTTATACAAGTAAGATGAGATGAGATGAGATGGATATGCTGGTTCTCATGCAATACACCTCTTAACCTCATCTTCTAAATTCCCACTGTCCAATCATTTCCCCTTCTCCCAATCAGCATCTATTCAGAAAGATACTAAATCAGTATGAATCATATTGCTGATGCTGCCATTAATCTTCTTTTCAACTGTATGTATCTTTATATATATATATATATATATAGAGAGAGAGAGAGAGAGAGAGAGAGAGAGTTAGGGTTAGGTACTACTAATCTGTTCATTATTGCATGTAGAATTAATGATGAGTAGCTTCAAATTTTGGACATGGCTAATGGTTTGGCTCATCCTGCTTGGGAGTTTGCCCGGGATCGTCGCGGTGGCAGCTGCTGGCCCTTCTGTCCGGACAATAAGTTCGGGAAGACAACAATTCGGGAGGAAAAAGATGGGCCAACAACGGTGGCCGGCTAGAAAGAGCCCCGGGGGGCCGGATCCACACCATCACTAATTAATTAGCTCGATCAATCTTTGATGATAATATATAGTAGTATAAGATATTATTGTTAGGGCCATGATCCATCTCTTCGATTCGATTCTATTGGAATTTTCAGTGTAGAGATGTAATGATCAATTTGATATATTATCAATAAATTCTAGTTTGCAAGCTATTATCTTTAGTTGAAGTTTACCCCAAAGCGTATTCGAATAGTAAAAGCTGTAAATTTTCGCATTATCAAAATAATAATAGAAAAATAGTGCTTTTAAGTAATTTTGTAACTTTGAGATTAGTTGTAAGTCCAGTGTTTTTCATTGGAACTTACAGTATTATTATTTTTTATGAAATCCATGCAAAATTATTCTTTTTTTTATATATGTTTATTTTGATACGTAGAAGGCATAGTAAATATATTGTAAAATAAAATTACAATATCTTTGTAATTCTGGATGAAATTATAAATATGTATATTTTTTTAATCGAAAAAATGTTACATATATTTGAAAGTACAATAAATGACTATTATTAACGTAAAATATATTCAACATTATTCTGCCATTGATAACATGTGAATGTTTATATGGCACACAAATGCAACTTTCGGAGAGCGGCTGTGGTTCCCACGTCATAAAAAAAATAATAAATTACTTAAAAATGATTATATGCAGCCACTAATATATATATATATATATCGATGGCTAATTTATATTATAGTCTCAGTAAATTTATTAGATCGTCAGATTTAATTGTTTTTAAATTAATTGATAATTAATATGATTAATACTTATCAGTCTTTGGTAAGAAGTTGCTATTAGACTTACTACAAGTTTACATCACTTTCTTCTTTAATCTATATTTCTAATATATAAATTATATAATTAAATCAATATGGAAAAAAGAATTGAATTTACAGATTATTAGAACTATGGATCAATGATTTTTCTTAAGAACTAAACAATGGATTCTTAGAAAAATTAGGAACATATAGTTAGCCCGAAATTAAAAACAAGCAACTTTTCCAAATGTCTAGAAGTATATATATATACATATATACATGTATATTGTTAATGTTAAATGACTATCTTATCCAAAAGTATCGGATAGAAAACGTATTAAAAACTATATAATAAGTCATATTAACAATGTATTTTCCTAAACATGAGATAGTCGTTTAATATTTAATAAATAAAGAATCATGTGTCCCTTTTTCTTTATTACATATATGGGATTGGATTGGATTGGATTAAATCTTAAGCAAATAAATATCAAGAAACAAAATTCAAATAGGAAATAGAGACAACAATTTTAACACGTCAAATTTAAATATATGAAATATCACCCACCAAAAGAATACCATACTATATCAGAGATAGTTTTATACGTTGCAACTATAAAATGCAGCTAAAATCATAGTCTTAAAAGGCATGTAATTATGGCTGTGCTTATCAACATTCCATTTTTACAAACAAACCTTTTAATAAGAATTACATTTGGGTGTATTTCTTTTGATTTGATTTGGAAAATTTTGATATTAAAATAATGTATGATAGTATATTTGTGAAAAAAAAAATATTAATTTTTTTTTTTTTTTTAGAAACTCATAGTACAAATAATAGAAATATGAAGTTTGAGAGGTAAAACAGACTAGACTTTTACACACATATATACTATTTGACAGTATTTAACAACAAATATTTTTGAGAAAAAAATAAAATCACATCATATAAATAAATATTGATATAATGTTTTTTAAAAAGTTACATCATATTACCTAGAAACACACCCTTAATTATAAAACAAAATAATAAATGAAAAGTGATAAAATTATTTTATGTTGGCCTTTTTTTTCCTTGATTCTTCATTTTATTTTAATATAACCTTTAATCATTAAAGAAGCTTACTTATGTCTTAACATCTTTCTTGGCGGTTTTTTTCTAGACAATTATAGTTTTTTTCATCAATTCTTTTATAAAATATCATTACAAACATTGATTTATTTATTTATTTATTTTTACTATTTTTAAAATTTTCTAAATTTCTTATTTAAACGAAGTCATTGATATTATTTAATGGACACGCCATAACCAAATAACTGTAAGAAGAATCCAACATACATGTCATAATTGCTATACCCCTCTTCTAATTTACACTAGTATTTCGTCCATCTTTGTTTTTATTATTATCATTACTACAGCCATCTTATGATCAGCATTATGAAAATGATCATACTGCACTTGTCTGTCTTTCTTTTCATCACAGCCTCTTCGAATATTAATAATCCTCAAAAGATCAGCTGCTCGTACGACTCAATTTTCAGCTTTGGCGATTCATACGCTGACACCGGAAACTTCCGCCCCACCGGACCCCTTGCTTTCCCCATCCGAAACCACCCTTACGGCCAAACGTTCTTCCACCGCCCCACCGGAAGATGCTCCGATGGCCGCCTCATTGTTGACTTCATTGGTACATAATGCATACACATATATATATATATATATATATTAAGCATATGCCAAGAAAGTAGTCTACCATTTGAGTTACATTTCTTTTTTTAGTTTATAATTAAGTTTGGAAATTGCAGCTGAGGCATATGATTTGCCTTATTTACCTCCTTTTAGAGAAATTAATAAGGGCGCGAGAATCGAGCACGGAGTGAACTTTGCGGTCGCGGGTGCCACAGCTTTGGATGCAACATTCTTTTACGCTCGGGGCCTTGGGCTCGTCTTGTGGACGACCGATTCGTTGAGTGTTCAACTCGGATGGTTCAAGGAAGTCAAAGCTAACTTTTGCTCGAAGCAACAAGGTTATATATTTTTTTTTAAAAAAAAAAATAAAAATTGAATAATAAAAATATGTATTAAAATTCAAAAAAATAAACACAACCATACGTTAATGAATATACATTATTTATTTATTTATATAATGAACTAAGAATGTGAAGCAGATTGTGCAAAGTATTTTAAACGATCACTGTTCTTGGTGGGGGAGATCGGAGGCAACGACTACAACTACCCCTTTTTGGGCGGCGCCGCCACTATTCAACAGTTGACGGCGGTGGTGCCTCTTGTGGTTCACTCCATTGTTTCTGCTACCGCCGTGAGCTCTCTCTCTCTCTCTCGTCTGATCTGATCTGACATTTTAGGGTATATATATATATATATATATATGAAGTCTTAATTAATGAATATTGATCAGATGTTGATTGAGGAAGGGGCGGCGGAACTGGTGGTGCCGGGCAACTTGCCGATTGGATGCAGTACTGCGTATTTGACGGCTTTTGCGACGGCTAACCGGACTGCCTACGACGATTACGGCTGTCTTAAGGCCTACAATGGCTTTTCCGAGTACCATAATTTTCAGCTTCAACTTGCGTTGGGTGAATTGCGACGGAAATATCCCCAGGCCAAGATCAGCTACGCCGACTACTACGGCGCCGCCATGACATTCTACCGGAATCCGCTGCGCTACGGTGAGTACTCAGTCCCATATTATTTCCTTAAATTGAACTATTGACAAACAACACAAAATATATATTAATATAACAATTTACAATATATATATAACAATAATCCATATAACATATGTTACAATGAAACTTACCATATAAAATATATTCATACAATAAACCATATATTCATACAATATGTAATATATTACCCAAAATCATATGGTGTCTATATTCAAATCCAAATTTTTTTAAAAATACTTATGAATCCAAGGATGTGTCATGAACTCACCCGGCGAGGACATATTCGCAATGGATGCAGGATTCAAGAACGGCGCCTTGGTGGCTTGTTGTGGCGGGTTAGGGTTAGGGCCGTATAATTTCAATATTTTGATAAGATGTGGCGACCTAATATCAAATGTGTGTGCCGATCCATCAGCATCCGTGAGCTGGGACGGGATCCATCTCACAGAGGCAGCCTATCGTGTCATCGCTAAGGCTCTACTTCACGGGCCGTACATTTCCCCACCTCTCACTTGTGTCGCTTCTTGAAAAAACATCCGTGATCTTCACAATGATTTAATGATTTATACGTGTTTTCAATTTTATTTTCTAATTATTTATAAATAAATTACTCTCTTTGTCCCAAAAAAAAAAATGTCTACGTTGTTACTGTACATGAAAATTTAAATAAAAAATATATTAATAAAAATATTTGGATTAAGATTAAGATAATCAAATAGTTCGATCAAGAAAATTTTAAACTATAAAATTTAAAATATAATTAAAGTGTATAATTATATATATTTCTTTAAAAAAGTGACAAATTATTTAGAAGAAAAATAAAGAGAGTTGACACTTTATATACGGAAGAGAGGTAGTATTATTTTGCAAATGTTACGTAATTTACATTTAATATTTATTTTTATTTAACATATTAATTTGAATTCGAACCAAAAATTTTAATTAAAGATTGGTTCACGAGAGTGTCATGAATTAATCAATGTAGAAACAATTAATTAATTGTACGGAATTGGATTAAAGTTGTGTTTATTTTGAAGTTAAAATTTGAATGTGAGGAAGGGGGTGATGGGCATTTACGTAATTTCGGAGGAGGTGAGATGACCGTTCCTCGATGGGCGTGCAGAGTTAAAAAGGTTGCTAACTACCAACCAAACGGACCCTCACCTCACACAGTTCGCACTTTTTGCCATTTTGCTCTGGTTTTTTGGTTCGACAGGGAAGAAGACAGCGACGACTCATGGACGCTCATCCTCATTCGCATGCTTTATTCGTTATCCAGATGCAAATTCATTTCATATGCCCTAGCTAGCTGTGCTGTGAAAGGTTTTGGTAGGTAGACAGACTGGATAGATTATAGGTTGAATTGAAGCAAAGGCAGCAGCAGCGATAATGGTGGTGACTGGAAGAGTGAGAACTGCAATCGGATTGCAAAAATCGCCGTCCTGCAATAGAGCAACGCGTGAAGCATCTCCCAGGCCGGCGGCGGCTGCGGCGGCGTTGACGAAGTCGAGCTCTGCGAAGCTGGCGCATTCGCAGAAGGAGAAGGAGAAGCCGTCCGGCGCCGCCTTCTCGAGGTCTTTCGGAGTGTACTTCCCACGCTCGTCGTCTCAGGTGCAGCCTCGGCCTCCGGATGTGTCGGAACTCCTCCGGTTAGTTGAAGATTTGAGAGAGAGGGAGTCGCGGTTGAAGACTCAAGTGTTGGAGCAGAAACTGCTTAAGGAGTCTGCCGCCATTGTTCCGTTTCTTGAGAGCGAGGTTTCTACAAGGAAATTTGAAATCGAAAGGCTTGGGAAGAAAGTAGAATGTTTGGAAGTGGAGAACGAGAGGCTGAGGAATGAGAATGAGTTTTTACACATGGAACTGTCTAAGCAGAATCTCAAGTTTGATGAAAGAATCAAATGCATGCAGGATGAGCTATCTGACATTAAGAGAACAGTTACGGAGAGACAACAAGAGCAAGAGGAGTCTTCTTCTTCTTCTTCTTCCAGTGAAAAACTTACTGATGTAACAAATGGCAATAGATCTTGTTTTACAACCAGGTCTTTCAGAAAATGTGCGACTCAAAACAATATAGTGAGTCAGCTGCAACAGCATGTGAAGAACGAAGCTGCGGAGGTAAAGAAAGAGGAATTTAGCAGCGTGGTGGAGAATACTGAAACGAATAGCCATTCTCGATGCAGTTCTGACGAAATTCCAGAAGCTTCTGAAGTGGTAATGGGGATAAGAACGCGTGTTCCACGAATTCCCAAGCCGCCTCCGAGGCCATCTTCATCGTCTTCTTCCTCATTAACATCATCCGTCTCTTCGCCTGTTTACGGCTCTTCATCCTGTTCAGCGGATCGTGCATTAGCAGAGATTTCAAACATTCCGCCCCCACCTCCACCTCCGCCTCCGCAGCATCTGAAACCACCAGCAGCAGCAGCAGCTCCTCCTCCTCCGCATTTGTCAAAGGTAGCCGCTCCACCACCACCTCCTCCTCCTCCTCCTCCTCCATCAAAGGCGGCCGCTCTACCTCCTCCTCTTCCACCCCCTCCACCTTCCAACGGATTGAACTCCAAGCCAGTGGCTGCGAAGGTTAGCAGAGCTCCAGAGGTTGTTGAGTTTTACCATTCGCTAATGCGGAGGGATTCGAACTCCCGTCGTGATGCGTGCAGCGGAAATGGCTGCCCCTCCGAAGCCCAAGCGACAGGAGCTGCGGCTAAAGATATGATCGGAGAAATTGAGAACCGTTCTGCACATTTACTAGCGGTAACTTCTTAATTCTTTATCTCTTTAGTAATTACCGTGTGAAGCAAAGATTGCGTTCATACTTGAATCTAAGTCGATAATGCAGTAGAAGTTGATGAATGAATGACAATATCTAGATAAATATGCTTTTTATGCCTGCAAATGTAAACTGATTCCAGTATTAAGTATCTGAAATTTCTGCTGTGTATTTTAATAAAACTTACAACAGATTAAGACCGACGTAGAAACACAAGGTGATTTCATCAGGTTTCTGATTAAAGAAGTCGAAGGGGCTGCCTTCACTGACATTGAAGATGTTGTAGCTTTTGTGAAATGGCTAGATGATGAGCTCTCCTACTTGGTACTCTTTTCCCACGAGTGATTACTCTTTATATCTGGTATCTTCTTGATCAATAGTAATTTTTACCTTTAAATAATGTTATAAGGTGGACGAAAGGGCAGTGCTGAAGCATTTTGAATGGCCAGAACAGAAGGCAGATGCATTAAGAGAAGCAGCATTTGGATATGCTGATCTGAAGAAGTTGGATTCTGAAGTCTCATCTTTTTGTGATGATCCTAGACTGCCTTGTGGCCCTGCCCTCAAGAAAATTCACTCCTTGTTCGAAAAGTATGAGAATAAATATATACACATATATATATATATATTTATATATCTAAAAGCCGATGTTTACCTCTCTGTACTCACAATCTTGCTTGCATTGTGGGGGCAGATTGGAGCATGGTGTTTATAATTTGTCAAGAATGCGAGAATCAGCGACAAATCGCTACAAAGTGTGTCGAATACCAACAGATTGGATGCTGGACACTGGTTATTTGAGCCAGGTAAATATTTGCATACATTTCGTGGACCTTCCTTCTCTGTATGAGCTGATTCTCAGGTGTTTGTTAAGTTTCAAGGAACAGATATATTTTAAAAGTATCATTCACTCACTCTCTATAACAAATTTGAAGATGGAATTATGATAGTGAAACATATATATATGATCAGATGAAGATGGCATCAGTGAAACTGGCGATGAAGTACATGAAGAGAGTATCTGCAGAGCTTGGAGTCAATGGTGGGGGTAGCCCTGAAGAAGAAGAACTGATAGTTCAAGGTGTCAAGTTTGCCTTCCGAGTACACCAGGTAGGTTTGGTAATAACTAATGTGAGATTTCTTTCCAAATGAATTGATTTGAATTCAATTTTCATATATATTCGTTCGTATTGAATCATTTCAGTTTGCTGGTGGGTTCGACGTGGAGACAATGAAAGCATTCAAAGAGCTGAGAGATAAAGCAGAAAATGAGAAATTTGTTAGCAGCGGCAGGCCATCATCTTCTTCCTCTTCCTCTCTTTGCTAATAATCTGTAGCAAACTCAGCTTCAGATCAGACCAATATTTGTGAATTACTCCCCACGGTATTTATTCTATTTCATTATTTTATTATATAATTAGGTTTTATTTTATTTTATATTTATTTATCTTAATGGGATGTATATATATATATATATATTAATTAGTAAATATATTATAATATGAATAGTTTTATTTTTATGTTTCTTTAAACCAACATATCTGAAAACAAATTACTTTAATCAATGATTTATTTATTTATTTGTTATGGGCATTTTTATCTTTACCAATAAAATAAGATTTGATAATTTTGAAATTTTTATCAAAGTAATAATTGACCTTATGTTATTCAAGCTATATGCATATAGCTATCAATTATGTAGTACATTTATTTCCCATCGGCCAATGCACATGCACATATCAATTCCTTTTTTTTTTAATTTAATTAAAAAATAATAATATTTTAATATTTATATTTAGGATAAACAAAAATAATAAAAAAATACATTAAATTTGTTGTACACAAAACATCAAACCAGACATGATTTCAATTAAAAACTTTTATTAATTTCAAACCCAAACCCAAACTTTAAACAAACAAATCCGAGCTCGAGCTTATGTAAATAACTAAGCAAGAGCTTCGACATGTAAAAAGGTCACACCTTACCAAGCTTCAAGAATCAAACGGTAGAGACAGTCTCTGCCTTTTCCGGGGGAAAACCAACCGATCATACTCCGCCGATGCCGACACCTTATCAAGAACGTCTCCGAAAACCTGGCGGACCGATCCCGCCGCACATTCCCGAGCTGCGGCACTGCCATCACACGCTACTAAGAACACAGTCTTCATTCGACCTCCCAACGACGAAATCTCGCACTTCAAAACGCGCGCCGGGAGCCCATCCATCGCCCGTCTTATATCAGCCAGGAGCTCCGGTCTGTACTCGCAGCAAAGTCGAGCCTCCAGCAACACCTCGCCATTACCATCGCCGACATTATTCTCCACAACGGCGACCTCGACTGCATCACTGTCTGTCGGGATGTGCAGACCTTCGCTTGCCTGTGCTGCAGCCATCTTCAGTCGCTTCACTTGGCTGACGACCTCGGCCAGCAATGCAGCTTTGTCCATCTGTCCAAAATCAAGAATGAAAGAATCGGAAACAATACAACCTTATTATATATATATATATATAGATAGATAGATAGATAGATAGATAGATACCTTTCCGTTGTTTGGTACGAGGCTGCGAAGGGTGTCCAAATGTGCATTGATTCTTTCTCGTCTTCTCCTCTCGGCCTCGCTGTGGCTCTTCAAAGCAGCCACTGTCTTCGTCTCCGGAACCACACTTCTCTTCCTGGAATCCTTCACCGGCTGCTGTATCTCACCGTCGAAAACTAGTGGATGATTAACAATTGTGGAACGATCCGAGAATACGCCACAAGCTGAGTCGAAGGCCATACCATAAAGATCTTCGAAATCCATATGCGAATTTTCAGCAAGAATCATCTAAGTATGCAGATTAAAAGATAAGTGATTAAGAAAACAAATGCTTCATGCGTTTTAGGAAATCAGAGCATGAAGCATGCCTACATGTAAACCTGTTTCAATTTCTGCCTCCGTAAGGACAAAAGGCAGAAGCAAATTTAACAGTCTCTGGAAAACAAAAAACAAAGTTACGGGTCGAGGCCAGGAGGTCGAGTGGCAAGAGCAAACCAAAATGATAGCATAACTGATCGAATCTTAAGATTAGCAACAGAAGGAAGAACAAAAACAACAATCGCAGTAATCAATGGCATAGACATTATTCTATCAAGAATCAGGAAGAACTCTAGAAATCTTCGAAAAATATTATAGCCACAAAATGACTAAAGCAATCATCTGTAAGACGAAATCTGCAGTCTTGAATTCCTGCATTTGATGAACACTCAAAACGTTTAGAACATAGGAAATTCGGAATGAAATATGTGTGATGTATTAATACAGATTTAGGGAAGGGGAAGACAAGTGGGCTGCATACCTCATCAATGGAGTTTTTCTTTATCCAGAATTTAATATTGCTTCAAACTAAGCACAAGGAATTATTAAACCATTTGACAATAGATGGAGTGGACAAATCGGGTTTAACTGCCGGCAGCTACTCAAAGAAACAACACACATGCTGATTCAAGAATCAAGACTATATTCAATAATGCTTCACCAATTAATTTTGGTTGACTTTGGACATGATCGAAACAAATTAGGACACTACTTAACAGCATGACTAAGTACAGTTCATCTGTAATTAGCTGTAACTAATCTCATTTCTTTAATGTCATAGTCAACGGTAGTGTTCATACCAAAGTTGTCTTCTTTAGAGGCAAAAACTGATATTAAATATGTTTTATGGAAACCGGAATTATTGAGAGAGAGAAGATTGTGTGTTACAAATTAGCAGAAATGTACAAGGATGAGGAGTCTTGCTGCTTCTTTTCTTGCTGTTTGATGGTGTCGGCAACATGAGCAACCACTCCGGCTCCGGCGTTATGGAACCATTCGTTCTTCACCTGCAACAGAAAACATCAGGGACAGTTGAGGACAGACAAAGTCGGTAGAGAAAAAGTGTATGGAGATGGATGGGATCATGGTACATGGATGTTATTGTGGGCAAAGAAGGGCCAGAACGCCGAGTGGAAGCTGACATCAACTTTCATCCATCCTAGTCTCTGTAAACCGTGTATCATTTCCTCTGTCAAAAGAAAATTGCCATTGCACTGTCAGTATTAACTAAGTAGCTATCGTTCGACATTTGTTTGACAAGTACCTTCGACAATTTCATGATATTCAGTTGTGTTCTTTATGCTTGGCTCTGTTTGAGCAGCTTCCTTTGCTTTGGCTGCTTGGGGTGGGAAATGGGGGGCCTCTGATACGACTGGCGGGCAATACTCCACATCCATGACATGTTTGTAGCCATCCAAAGATTGCGTAGGGGGCTGACGGTTTCGAAAGTAAATCAGATCAGAAAAGTTATTTTCTGTAGTTTTAGCTTGAAACTGAGGAATTGATTGTATCGACAATGATGATTGATTGATAAGGCTGAATTTTAAGTACCTTAATAAGTTCCTTTTCTCGTCGTATGGAAGATGTGCGCCAACCAACCATATCTGCATTTGGTAAGAATTTCAATAATGAATGAAGTGAAAAACAAGATTTCGATATCTAGTGAGGCTACTTGGGGGTGTATTGGGATACATACGATCATAAGAAATGTTGGCATAAAGAACCCGGCATCTGAAAGCTCCAAGTGCAGATCTGTATAACAAACTATAGTTAAGTTTCAAAAGAAGCTGACAAATTCACAACAAAAGTAGACTAAAACTCACATGAATTTTCCATCTTCACTATCTGAGGCCATCCTTAATAAGAGTGGGGGCTTATCAGGCTTTCCATCGGTGAGAAACAATTGACTGCCAGTTCGACCCGTAAAAATTGGGGCAAGAGGAGCAGCAAGTTTCTCCAGGAAAGATACACCAAGAAGAAATGGAAGCTGAATCATGAGAGAGAAACAGTAGTTAAAATAGATGATGGCAAATAGTCGTAATTCAAGAAATAGAGAATCGATGACATTGGTTACATTCTCATCACCTGCCCCTACCTGCTTATTTCCTCTGACTCCAAGATGAGGGGTTGCCAGGGTAATAAAATTAATTGCTTGCAGCCCAGCAATGGAGCCTCTATTTGAAGAGTGCAAGGTTTTGAATTTTGTAGCCGGAGAGACAGCCTTATCATCTGATTGATAAGAGCCATTAGGACTATACAGCACGCTGATAGCGTATCTTGCGAATAAACCACCAAGTGAATGGGCTAGAAACGATATCTTCTTTAGGCTCTGTGTCTTCTTCACAACTTGCATGACCTGTTTATTATAGGAGCGAATTATCGATGGAAAGCTTACAGACATGATTCAGTGCAATGAGCTACACTAATATACAATCAAGAATAGGTAAAAATAAGCCCAATGCTTACTTCATCAGCCAGCCGTTTTCCAGCACCATCGATTCCAGTGAAAGTCTTAGTGTACATATTGCATGAGCTAGCTGGTATGCAACAACTGAGTCAATAGATAACTCTCACAACAAGAAACAGCATATTTAAAGAAATATTTATAATTGAAAACACCATAGCATCATTTATAAAATTCGTAGAAAATGTCTTCATTTTTCCATCTTTTTCATAAAGCGCATATGATTTTCTAAGATACTATTATCCCCAATAACCAAGCCAACAAAGAAACTATTTTCACTTTGTACCAAAGATTCACTATTAATGAAAACATAGCTCATCCCGGAGATAAAATTCTATACTGAAAAGTCAGCATACCATAAATCAAAAACTTTTTCCCTAACCGTCTCTTCAACTCTGCTTCAAAATATGTCCAGTCACTTGGGCTGCGATGCGTGGAAATTTCGATCAACATCAATATGATGTAAACAAGGCATTAGATAATGCATACAAACAAAGGGTGTGTTTGTTTGGGGGTTTGAATTTTGAGTTGGGATTTGAATAGTAAAAATTTTGAATTTGAATAGTTGTTTGATGTGATATAAATAGGTGATGATGTGATGTTTTGAATGTAAAATTGATTTTTAGTATAATATAAAAAATGAAAAATAGGTGTTTGATTTGATGTTTTTGGGGGGAAAATTTTGGATGAATAGTGGAATTTAATCCAAATCCATCAAACGAACACACCCAAAGAAGATAAGATATATCAGTCATTGAAATCAAAATTTGTACTGCAAAGGTTACTGGAGGATGCAAGAAATGCTCTTGGACTAAAATAAATTAGTACCATCATCACGAACATTGTGTCCATAAAGTTAACATGAAAGAGTACACGCACCTTGCCAAAATTCCATGTACAAGAACAAGAAGATGGTCGGGTTCGTCATCCGTATTAACTGCACCCCGAGGTGATGAAAGATTTCCCTGAGGCTTACTCATGGATTGAGCTCTAAGGCTTTTATGCATCCAGATATTCTTTAAGCCTGCAAGGGACAAAACAACATTTATGGGAAATATAAAAATACCTTCGAGAACATAGCAGTTCCAAATGCACAACAGCAACACAGTAAAGTAACAAGTATATCAAACCAAGAGAGCATAAGTTCCCACACAATCTAAGAAACGAATAAATGTCGTCAATTAGTAGCTGCATTCAATTTGACTCATGGATGAAGTTCCAGCAACTGGTTGATAACAAGTGTAAATTCAATTCTTCCATTGTAGGGAGAGGCAGAGGGCATTGTTGACAGTGGACTAAAAAATTGGGGGCTGCCAGAGCTGTTCGATACCCAATCCATTCATTAAGGATGAGATGCTGCTAACAAGATAAAAGCCATTTTTTTTTAATGAAATTCAAGATGCTACTCAAAAGATGAATTTATCAAGGATCGATTAATTGCTCAAAAGGAAAACTTCTATTCATTAAGGAGGTGATTCTACTCAAAAGATAAACCTCCTTAGAATTGCATTGACATTGTGATGACTACTTAATGGCTCTTAGTTGCAGATAAAGTCATTGTTGATCATAACTCACAAGGTTCTCTCTTCCTCTTTTTGTTTTCCCCAAATCAAATATGGCAGCAATACTTCAACAAGCATTCCACAGAACTAATTCGACTTTTAAACACACACCAATACAGTACGTGCTTATATATATATATATATTTATATATCTGTGTGTGTGTGTGTCATTCACTCTTCAAATCCTACATCATAAACTTCCTATCTGCAGACACTAATTTCAGAATGACCAGAATTTCAAGTGCAGAAAATAATTGGGCAATTAATACCTGAAAATGCCACGAAACTCAAGTTGTGTCGTCGGGAGCTGTGCCAATTAAAAGAAGAATAGGGCGACGGGGAGCAAGAACTGGAAGACGAAGGATTGGTATCGCAGCTAGGGTTTCCGTTGCGATTGGCACGAATTGAAGGCGTGAAGTGATAAAACAGAGGAGGCGCGGAGGACGCCATTCGTATCAGGCGCTATATATAGCAGTCAATCGCCGATAGAGTGGACGGCGGCCCTGTGGTGGCGTGCAAAAAATTTGGATGCATCTCAAACTCCCCTCCCATGCCGTAGGAGTGTTACACTATCCTCTGGCTCTGGCGCATTGCACCGCACCCATACCCACCCACCCTTAAGCCCATTCTCCGCCGTTGGATCGTGACGACACGACACACACCGTAGATTTTGTCTTTTTCATTCTTGTATTTTATACAAATGTACAGCATCGTTGACCTCCATTGATCTGTAAAATTCTTGATTTACTATTCCTAAAAATGCAAAAAAGACAGCTTTTTTTTTTTTTTGCTTATTGTAAAAATTGTATGTATATTTATAGTATTGTGAGTACGTGTGCGGACGGGAGAGTTCCATGGCTGAGTTAGTGTCAACAACCAGACATGAATAACCGCCGGAGGCCATAAATACCCGATTTGGTTCCAGGCAGATTCATCAATCCATCCATCAATCGATCAATTCAGAGAAAAGCAAATCGATTGGATACAAGAAACAATTCATAATGGCGAATCAAGCTCAAATTGCAGCAGCGTTGCTTGTCGTGTCAGCACTGTGCCTGATCTCCCTCCCGTCCGCCGCCGCCGCCGGCGGCCACCACCACGCCGGCGAGGAATTCTACGTTGAGGGCGAAGTCTACTGCGAAGTCTGCCGCGTCAATTTCATCAACAAGCTCAGCGAACTCATGTCAGGTACATATAAATTAGATTAGATCATCAAATCAATCGTCAATTCCATCAGAATCGAATAATTTGTAATTGGGCGGCGGTGCAGGTGCGAAGGTGAGGCTGGAGTGCCACGGCGAGGGGGCGAACAACATAACGTACACGGTGGAAGGGGAGACGGATTCGCAGGGGCATTTCAGGCTGAAGGTTGAAGGCGACCACGAGGAGGAGGAGTGCGCGGTGACGCTGGTGAAGAGCAACCGTGCCGACTGCGACGAGATTCCCGACGAGGGCTGGGCGACGATGCCGACGTCGAGAATCACTCTCACCAAGAACAATGGCTTCCATGGCGACACCCGCCAGGCCAATCCTTTGGGATTCTTGAAGAAGGAGCCATTGGCGGCCTGCGACGAACTCATCAAGGAACTCCGAGTCGATCAGGACGACGACCCAGATCATCCTTAATTGATTGATTGCCTCCATTAATGCTCCTTCGTTCGTGATTCCGTTCTGCGATTTAGTTTCTTGATTTTTAAAATTAGGGTTCTTAGCTGCTGCTGCTGCTGCTTCGTCTCCCATGCGATTCGGAGTTTTTAAGACCTCTTTTTCCTTTCCCCTTTCCCCTTTCGTTTTTTCATTTTTTAAGTTTTGGATTTATTTTTAAAAGGCTAATAAGATGATTAGTGTAGTGTGTTTGTTGTTTGGTGATGAGTGGAAATAAATTTCTACGAGTGTTTAATGTCCTTATTGTCAAAGTTTTTTGGTAAAGATTCATTTCTATCCTTAATTAGAGTTGGTAGTAATATTTCATGCACTCATGCATATATATTATTTATTTATATTATGGAAAATTATATCATTAATCTTTATACTTTATTAAAAATGAATGTAAGAGTACCTATGATTTTATTGTATAAAATGAATATTTTGTGTTACCATAAAATTTGTATAAAAGCATTCTAAAAAAAATGATAATTAAAAATTACATGTCTATTATACATACATATTGTCTATTCAATTTTTTTGTCTGTCGTTTAGATCATCATCTATTTAATTTTCACTTATTAATTAGCCGTTATAGGAAAATATACAATATATATTTTTATGTAATACATGATCGTTATAGGCAAAAAAAAAATAAAAAATAAAATTAAACAAGATTAAAAATATAAGCTCTCCTGATTATTTATTTCAATAATAGAGTATTATTTTAAAAATTTTACCTTATTTTATTTTTATTTAACATAATGTCATCCAAATTAAAAGCGATGTCACTCTTAGTTGTTAGAATTATTTTTTAATGTAGATTTTATGTTGAAACAATTAATATTTTATCATCATATTATATAAAATAGTGTGTATATTTTTAATAAAATACAAGACTTCTTTGTGCAATTTACTCACATACTATAAATGGGTGTATTGGATTTTTGTGCTTAATAATTTTTTCATTCAGTATTGAATTAAAGAATATGATCAATAATTAGCATGTATGTGTTGAAGCATTAAATTAAGCAAATCATAGTATTTTTTAAACCTATAAGAACTTAATCGATGCACTTGTTACTTAAGTAAAATAATGTAATTAATTCAGTATGAAATTTGTTGAAAGAAAAAATAATTTATAAATTTTACATATTTAATCTCGACATAGAAAATATCAAAATCTTATAAATATCTGTGTAATATTTATATATATATATATATATATTCTTGCAGCATATATAGCTTACAAAAGTAGCCTTTTGCATATGATTCTTATTCTAGAAGGAATAATTTTATTATTCTGATGGAAATGGAATCCACTCTATTCACATTATTGCAATTAATTAAATTATTCACTAACAACGAAATTATCAACACTTGATTTTGATATTATATTTCAGATAAGAATCAAATCAATTACTGCCGTTAGATTAGATCGATTCTATTCTTCATCAACGGCTGAGCTTTTTTACGCCTTAATTAATTTCGAATTATCATCATCAATTCAAGACCCATATTATACGCGTATCATACGATTAAAATACATACGTACGTACGCAAGAAAATTAATTACATACGGACTTAAAAATTTAGGACAGCCTGGCTGTCTGTACAGCAGGAGCCATTAAAAGTATCAATTTTGTTTTTTGTTTTTTGTTTTTTTGTTTTTTTTTTTTTAAATTTGATTAATTTTTTTTTTTTTTTAATTAAATAACTACAAGACAAGTTGGGAATTAGATGATCAGCAAGTTTGACTACCGGAGGCGAATCTCCTCCTCTTCCCGGCGAAGAGCTGCCGGAAACCGCCGCCGTGGTCGTCCTCCACCCGCCACTGGCAGTCGTCGACCACGGCGGCGGCGGCGGCGGCGTCGACGAAATCGAGGTGCTGAACCCGTCCGGAGGCGTCGAAGAAGCAGCCGTCGGAGAGGACCCGTCCAGGCGGCTTGGCCTTCCGGCGGCCGGCGCCGACGGGGACGTTCCGGAGGGCGCCGCCGGCGGTCCAATATCTCTGGCAGCCTTTGCAGAAGTGGCGGGGCTGATTAACGTTGTAGTTGTTGAAGTAGCAGAATTTGGTCTCCATACTTTTGCACCTCGGACAAGGGATGATCTTGTCGGGCCTTTTCTCCATCATCAGCTGCTGCTGGCCGTCGGATTTCTTGGGATTATCCTCACCGTCGGATGGCTTCTGATGGACGACGGAGATCGTCGCTCCGAACAGCTTGATCCCTGACGGCGGCGCGCTTATGTTAGAAGAAGACATAACTGGCGGCGGCGGCGGTGGTGATTGTGGTGGTGATCTATTATCTATACATACATACATACATATATATACATATATATATATATGGGTATAGGAATAAAAGGGCACGATTTAATTCATCAAGAAAGACGAAAAAAATCTGATCTCGGAGGGAGGGGGGGCGCTATTTTGGGGGGTGGGATATGTTCTTCTTACACAAACATATATATAGATATAGATATTAGATACAGAGACACGGATGTGTGTGTATATATGTGTGTGTATAGATGATATATGCTAAAAGTGGATAAAAAAGAATGAAAAAGAGGGGTTGAGAAGAAGGAGAGCCGCCAACAGGAAACAAGGTGGGTTGGATTAAAGGGTTGATGTTGAACTTTTTGTCTATGTAATGGTTTGAGTTTGGGGGGTCCATGGAGTGGAGGTCCAGATGGTTTTTAGATGAGTTTGTGGTTGGAGGTCCAAGGAGCTCCCACTTATGGTTCTTGAAATGAAATTACCTTGTTGAGTTAGTGGGGCCCCTGGCCAGGTATGTTGAGTACAAAGTGTTCAAAAGTGGAAGCATAAAGATAAAGGGATAAAGCTACAAAAGGGATTTTGATTTGATTAATCATAATGTTATTTTCTATTCTTTTATTTATTTATTTTAGTTTTAGTACAAGGAGATTTATCTGATTATTATTATTATTATGTATAGTATGGAGAGAGGTATATCATGTTCATGTGCTCTTTAGTCTTAACAATGAAGCTAATGGAAACAAAAGGGAAATAGATTTAAATATATATGTATATGTATGTATATATAAAGACAGTTGCAATTGTGCTGTCTATCCATGATATGTATAGGAATTTAAAAATGTGCACAACTATAACATATTTTTTTTGGAATACAGCATATGGGATGATTCCTCAATTTTTGATGATTAATTTCATAGAAATTAAATTAAAGATGGTTCCTTTTGAGGCATATATATATACTCGATATATAAGGTCATGTGTTGTGTTAAATTTGTTGCCTTTCTTTCTTTCTTTCTTACTTTCTTTCTATTTGGCCCTTTTGATCTCAATCACATGAATTATTGATGATGTTGTGGCGATCATTTGAGTGGGTTTCAATATGATCATGGGATTTTTTTTATGCTTTTTCTAAAGTTGTCTTTTTTTATTATTTAGTTGAATTTTTAAAATTTTGGCTGATGGAAAAGTAGCCTTATTTCCAACACTGCATTGTAATTTTCAAATAACCATTTTGGTTCTTTAGTGGGAAGAAAGGTAACAACTTTTTCTTTAGTTCTTTAGTCTCTCTTTTAAACACCAAAAACTATATATATATATATATATATATTCAGGCATCATATTTTTTTATACAACAGACTATCGTATATTTAATTTACTCGAAAAAAAAAAAGGAAAACAATATGAAATGGGAATTATTGAAACGAGATAATTTTTCTGTACTTTAAATTTATAGAATCCTGAAATCACCTACTGTTGACCATGAACAGATTAATGCATCACGAGTAAAAGAGAAAAACAATTCTATTAATTAATTATATAGAAGTTTGGGGGACTAAATATATCTACCAAAATAAATAAATAAATAAATATCTTAGATTTTGATAATGGGATAGTATTGGAAAGTTGAATCAACATGTTGCTTGCTTATGTGGCTAACAATGAATAATAATATTCAACTTGGCTTTACTTAATGATGATGAGAATAAAAGAAAGTCCCCCTTCTTTTCCTTTCACTCAAATCAATATTATTTATCAAAAAGGAATTAAAAATTGCAGTGTCTAACCATTAAAAGAAAGCTAAAAAGTTATGGAGCATTATGATAAGAAAATCACAATTTTTTTATTATTAACTTTACACACAATAGAAAGAATGAAAAAGTAAAGAAGAAGAAAAAAAAAAAAAAAAAAAAAAAAAAAAGCTCCTACAGAATGACCTGTAGATGCATGCACTGCATCCTATTCTGGATCATCTTTACTATGCTACTTCTTAGAATTCATTTAGTTCAAATACCATTTTTTCGACACGTGGAATGGGCAAAATCTTGTAATAGATTCTGTAATACTAAATCTATGAGGTGCATAAATGAACATTTCAAATGCATAGAAATAAGAACACAATTTCCCCTGTTTCTTATGGTAATTGCTTTAACAGCAGTGGCACAGTCAAATGAGTTTATTTATTTTGGATTATACAACACAAGCCAAACAAGTTTGATGCCTACATTCTTTACTAATGTTGTCTTTTCACCTGCCCTTTTAAGGGTTTGAGTTGGTGCTCAGAATGTATGTATGTATGGCTTGCTTTTTCAGTTAGGCACTGGTCAACCTTATCCTACCTTTCCTCTTAGTTTCAATCATTAATGTAGATGGAATTCCTAGGGAAAATACAATGCCAACTATGTGGTTTCCAATTATGTTCAGCATAGTGCCAAAAGGATTGGTCAAATTGTCATTTCTTGGAACATATACAGGACAAGAAATGAAAAGTAGAAAGTTGTGAAATAAAAGTAGGATTTCACATTCAACTCAAGCATTGCATATGAAGTTTAACACAGCCTCTGATTTTCCACCTAATTCATGCTAAAGCCTTGTTTTCGACACAGAAGGAAAAATAAAATAAAGGCCTACACATAGATGATTTAATCACATGAAAGAATTAAAACAGGGTTATTGACTGATATGTACCACATTGGTTGCTGAATTTCACTTCTGAATAACCGGAGCTGGGCTTTTAAGTATCGCTCCAACCCCCGTCGTCTTCGTCGCTTCCGACAGCCTGAATCAATGAAGGACTTATACAGTTAGTAGCAGACAAATGCTAGCCCTGGTTTTATAAATGGTGTTTAGTGAGTGGGGTACCTGGCGTATTGCATTTGCCTTCTTCAGAATTGCGGTGACTTGAACATGAGATGAGACCTCGGCCGGCGGTGGAGTAGGTTTGTCTATAAAAGTTGGCCGTAGATTGAATGACTGTCATTGCGCACACACACACACACAAACTTAGTACATAAAAAGGCAAATGGTATGGCATAACAGTGCAGAAAATTCTCGAGGAATTGAGATCAGTATTCCTGTGTTGGTAGCTGCTGCTTGCAATGAAAGAGCTCAAGAAAAAAATTTCAAGATTTCATGCCAAGAGACACCATACTACAAATTTTATGAAATGGCAAGACAGACTCAGGTCAACGAATATTCCATGTAAACCTGTAAATGCCGCATAATAGTAAACTTTTAATTAAAACTTAAAAGGATAGGCGTGTAGTAACTTACTCTCATTCTAATTTGTTGCAGGAAGTCCCCTGTTTCATTAATGCTCTTGCCCTGAAAAGTTTCCCTTTGTCCATTTGTCACAGGTGTAGACTGCAAAATACACAAACAGGTTAATTATAAGATTCTAACTGGGGTAATGACTAGGTAAGAAATGGGTAGAAATATGTGACCTTGCATTTCTGCAGATTTTCGATATCAATGTGATCTCCATTAGAAGGAGCTGGTTTAGGCTGGGAAATTGTGGTTGACAAATGTTTACGATGATATCCATAATAAGAATCTTCAGGCATTGTATCAAGCTGGCTTCTTGCGCCATCGACATGGGGCGTCATATCTTGCCTTTGAACTGGGGGAAGAGGTGGAGGTTCAGGGGAAGATTCAAACTGTGGCTTCACAATGCTCTTTTGGCTGGCGCCATTTCTTAACTCTTTCCTAAACGAGTGACCTAAGGACCCTGAACTTTGATGATCAAACATTTGAGAAGACTGAGAATTTTGCGAGCTAGTTCCAACAGTCGGAAACTCACAGCTGTTGTGGATGTCTTCATGGCTTCTCCTAGCTTTTTCTGGAACACTTGACACAGACTCTGTCAATGAGATCCTGCGAAGGGCATCATACAATTCAGGGTCCTTGCTAGGAGGGGATCCGCTTGATTCCCACTGCTCAGAATTTGACTCAGACTGAACACTTCGACAATCATCTGATACAGAAGGTGATGATCTATAGAATGTGTCGTCATCTGAGTCAGAGCCAACATCGTGCCGTGTGATGGGGTTCTCTGGGACCAACTGAAATGAAGGAAATATATCACCAGCACTTCTGCTATTAGTGTTTCCTTCAGGGAACTTTAGCTTCAGCTTTGACGTCTCAAACCCATCCATGGGTTGAAATGATATCTTCATGTGCTGAAGTGGTGGTGACGAAGAAGGTGATAACCTAGGAGATTCACCACAAAGACCTTTGTTTTGTCCAGAATATTTACCAAATGCAGCACTTCGATGGTTTTTCTGCTCAAATCCATTATTAGCACGCTGTAAGCCAACGGCATGGGAATTTTCATCCCCACCAGGCAGCAACTTTTTATTTGAACCATTTGGTTGCAGCCCACTGCTGAATCCCAACATTTGAGGTGAACTTCCATTTCTGATAGTCGGGAATGCTGAATTGACAGATATATGATTTCCAGATGCTGGTGCACTTGAGCCAATAGAACTGGTATTTGAATGAAGTGAAGATCCCAATTTACTGAGATCAATATTCAAAGCAGCAGGTGAGATTTTCCATGATGGCTTCCTCGATGATGCAGCACATTCTTGGTATTCATGGCTGTTAGAGCTACTCATATCATGACCCTCTTCAGTACTTATGATGTTCTCCGACTGATGATGTGAGTTAACATTTTTGCCAACTGGATCTTGTTGGATACCATTCCCTCCGCTAAAATCAGGTGGTTTTGAAGGCATAAGTCCCAACAACCCACCATTAGTCCAGAATGTAACCGAAGAGATGCTAGAAGTGTCTGATCCATGTTTCTGAGACTCAAGACTGCTCGTTCCATCACTAATTGGCATCCTTGACTTTCTGTCTTTGACATTTGGTGATACAGAACATGAAACTGATTCTACATTGTTCCCAGAAATGATGCTGCCATTCTTCTCAGTATCAACACTCTGTGGATTGTCTGGAATCATTGAGAACCCATCTATTCCAGATGGCTGTAAAGTTTTATCAAGTTTGGGGATGGAACTTACATCATCTTTTGCCTGGAATGGACCGCCTGCAATTGATGAGATGCCGTTCATCTGAGATGAATTTAGAGTCTTATTAACCGAAGAACCTGAGTCATGGGCATCTTCCGCCACAAGTGAATTGCCTGGAGCTGTTGACATGGCATCTGTTTGAGAAACTCTTAAGGCCTTGTCAACTGCGACTGAGATAAATTCATCCTTCGCCTGGTGCGGAGGACTGCCTGGAGTTGATGGCACAGCATCCATTTGCGACACTTGTAAGGTCTTGTCAATAGAGGCAGGGATAAATTCATATTTATCTTTTGTCCGGTGCAGACGATTGCCTGGGGATAATGACACGGCTTCTGGTTGAAACAATTGTAAGGTCTTTTCAACAGAGACATGGATAAATTCATCTTTAGCTTGGCGGGGAGGACTGCCAGGAACTGATGGTATGGCATCAGTTTGAGACAACTGTAAGGCTTTCTCGGCCGAGGCTGAGATAAACTCATCTTTTGCTTGGTGCGGACTGCCTGGAGTTGATGACACGGCCTCTGTTTGAGTCAATTGTAAGGCCCTTTCATCCAAGGAGGCTGCAATCGACTCGTCTTTTCTGGCTACTCCATTGATTAAACCATTAGCTTCCTGAGGAGATTTCAGAGACACAGAATCGAGATGTCCACAGCTTGTATCGGCCAGAGAAGTAAGAGAATCATTGGCCTGAATATTACATTCAAGACTCGAATATTGAAACTCCAAATTCTGTCCCTCAGTCTGGCATACTATACCACGTACTCTGTTATCCTCCAAGTTTGAGTATTGCTGTAGCTCTTTCTTTTTACCCAAGTCAGCATCAGTGTCACTTTCTGACTCGATGGTATTAAGTGCATCCATAAATTGATCAGTTTCACTCTCAATATCGTCGAGATGAGTATCAGTACTTTCTGCAGTTGCCAGCATGGTTCGTGGCTGGACATCCATCTTCTCAATTGCTTCAAGTTCAAGAGCATTATCACCTATGGTTTCCAGATTAAGATTTGGAGAAAATGACTCTACAAGTCCATTATGATTGTCCGGAATCACGACATCACCATTAGACTCCCTTCTGATATGATCAAGCGTCTCTCCATTTTCATCCCAAGTGACAGAAGACAAACTAGCAGACTGATCTTGAGACAGATTAATATCGACGCATGCATCTGCTGTTTTCTCTCTAAGAAAATCATAGTCTAGGAAATCACTGTTGCGCCTCATGACAGGAGAAGACATGGATTCTCTGGACTCTGGCTCTTCATGCTGCACTGAGTAACTAGGTTGGGAATCACCTTCAGTGTAGCCAGATCCGTTTTTCAAATCTAAATTCGATTGTTCATCCAACTCTGATCTTAATGTTGTTGCTGTTGGTGTCGGCGAAGGATGCCCGCCAATATTGAGCTGAGTAAATTGCATTCTGTAATATTAAATCATCACTAACTTTAGTCATTGTAATGCAAAATCACCAATATCCATATCAAATGATCAAACAATCATTGAGAATTCACCTGCCACTGTTATGAGAAAATGATGCATCCCGTGATACTTCTCCATTGCTGGTCCATGACCTTCTTTTCTGCTAAGGTTTCAACACACCTCAGTCAAAAAAGAATTTACTACATGAAATGAAAATATAAAACACATTTCATAATTCTCAACATTATGAGGAAGCCAAACAGTGTATGTGGTGCTGTGGATTCTTTCTCATATTTTCAATTGGTTAAATCAGTTCAAGACAATCCACTCTAACAAGAGGACATGCTGACATTCATTATGATTCTTAGGGCTTATCCCTTGGAAGAAAATTTACCTTAAACCTGCGACTCTTTTTATCTTTTGAGATTTTCTTAGCACTAACCACGCCAGATGCCACAGATGATCTCTTGAAAAAGGTTGGATCTGAATACCTTTTCAAGCAAGATCCAGGGCCACCGGTGTCAAACCTACAAGAAAAGCAGGGATTTAAAGTGCATGGCTGAAAATTGGGGAGCACTAGACTGTGTTTCAGAGTTGTCAAACCTATCGAGCAAGTGCAGATTTGGAAGATCACGACAGTCTTCATAAGTGTCCATAATAAATGGAGGCACTTCACTGTACAAAAAATGACTATGTCGACTTCGGATGCGTGTATGCCAATTGACGCCTGAAAAAATTAAACTTTCTATAAAAACTTGAAAGATCGACCAATAATTTAAAGTGCAATGGAGCAACTGCCATTGTATGTTGGAAGGGGGAAAAGATAATTAAGTTTGATATTGGGAAGCTGAGATTTTACCATACCAGCTGTATATGCAAAGTGCAAATGGCTCTTCTGCGAAAGCACGACCTTCTCAAGAGGTGAAAGTGCAGCTTCAATTCGTTGAGCACGATCCATCAACTTCCGGCTTCTGGAAGATGTTTTTGTCACTTCTTCCTGCAAGCCATGGAAAACTTCTCCGGCAAACCTACATGTTATTTCAGATTAGGGTAAACATTCGTCGATGAAGAACACAAACAGTTAATGCAGGAAAATAACTTCAACAAGTATCCATTCATCCATTTTGGAAATTGAAAATCAGCAACAATACTGTGCTATCCAATGCAACCTTCCCAAGTTCTATAGTTTATATCTGAGTCTTCTTCTTCGTTGCACTACTCCAATTTGCACCTCCCAACTTCTTCCAAATTCAACATCTTAACCTAAAGGATTTCCTTTTATGGCAGAAATTTAAAAGCAGAATATAAAGTACGATAATTAAAGAAAATGGCCATTGATTCCCATTCCATATTAAACTATCTTCAACAAACACTTCACTAATTCAAACAACCAAATATTTAATTGTTATTCCCAAATTAGAATTCTTCAAAACCCTACACATAATTACACTAGAAATACCCTAGAGCAAGAATACAAAATTGACAGCAGAAATAAACGAAGCTCACTCAGCGAGATCACCAAGCTGACGCAGAACTCCGACGAGACCGGCGACGGTGATTCCTTCGAGAATCTCCTTCGGATCTTCCTTACTGGCTTCCCTGTACAACTCCGGCGCTCCGAGCGCGTATTCATTCCTCACCTCCACTCTCACCAAAGGCATCTTTTTTCCAGACCAAATGAGCTCCGAACTTCCTCCAAACCCAAGAACCGCAGTGTAGAAACAAATGGAATGCGAAATGAATGCTTCAGGATTAAATGAAAGAATGGGGAGTTAGAGGAACTGAAAGCGAAAGCTCCACAAACAATTAGGTGAGGAGATTGCAGCAGCTTAGCTTCCCCGACAGCGAAAAGGGCCGCGACAAAGAGAGCGAATCGGAGAGAAGGTAGAAGACATTGCCAACTCTGGAAGCCATTCCCGATAGCAGCGTCTGCACTGTATCTGATAAACAGTGATGTCCAAAAAGACGGAAATACCCTTCTATGTACTGACCAAAATCAACCTACTTTTTCCGAAATGACGGGATTGCCCCTGTAAAGTACGGTACCCTTGGCCTCTACCGGCTTTCCGGCGTTATAATATTCCGTCACTCCGCTGATGAGTTTTGGGTTCATTTGGTGAGCTCCCAGGACCTCAGGACCGGGAATGAATCGCTCCACTGTGTCTGATCCATCTGGAGTCGAAATCCATGGATCTCTCAAGAACGATAAATAATTTATTGATTAATTACATCTTTGTTGCATGTTTATTTTATTGGAGTTAGCTTTATTGTTTAGTTAAAATTGGAAAAAATTGGCACAACTTTCATTAATTAATATATAATATTATCATTGTCAGTATTAAATTATTTTGTGATATTAATTAAGATAGATCCTTATCAATTTTAATACTAATTGTTTTTTTTTCCCACCCATCAATCAATTCAGAAAGATACCATTACCACCGTATCTTTGTTATCTTCTCCATGTCTGATTCAAGACACACTCACCTAATATTAGTACTGTTATTTTAATTATTACTATATGATATGTTTAAATTAAAAAAAAAAAAGTAATATTTTTTAAAAAAGAAATTGAGATATTAAATATAAACACTAAGGGTATCTTTTTTTTATTTTAATTTTTTCAAATTTTACTATTTAGATTATGTATTTTTCGAAAAAAAAAAATTTTTTTTTTTCTAACAAAACATCACATCAATCATTATTTTAATACTAAATTCAAATCAAAATTTCTCAAACTCAATCAAAAGAAACACAACCTAAGATTTTTGTATGAAATTTGACTATAATTTAAATAGTATTTTAATATAATATTTTATAAAAAAATAAAAAATTGTATAACAAGTTTGTATTTGAAATGCAACCAAACACACTTCAAAATCAAAGCAACAAATATTGTGTTTGCTTAAATAAGTAGTATTTTAATATGATATTTTATATAAAAAATATATATATATTATAATATAATAAAAAAATATACACAACACTGTAAGTTCAAATTCGTCTCCTCTCTAGGTAGTATTGAAAATCATCATCCTTGAATATAAGATCAAGTGACTCTATTAGAGTTATACAATGCATCTGATAACTGATTTATTAAATACAACTTTTCACATGTTAAATTTTCGATGAAAGTACTCTATTAATCTGAGAATGAGCAATGCAATATGTTGAAAAAAAAAAAATTCTTAGTCCTACTCGATAATAGGATTTTGTCAAATTCCAAAGAATCTCCTCTTAGACCATCTTCAATCCATCAATCATTTATCCAGTTTTAACTACAGTTGCTACAGTAATTTTACTCCAATCATAATTCCATTTTTCACTATTATACTTCAAATATTCAATTTTTTCTAGTATTTTAAACAACTTTTTATTTTTATAATTTAAAATATATATTAGAAAAATAAAAAAATAAATTTAAAAGTTAAAATTTAAAATTTTTAAAAAAAATTAAAATAAAAATAAGGAAGCAAACAAGATTTGGCATCGGTTGGAGATGCCCTTATGCAGCTACTCAAAATCGTAGAAAGTTCTTTTTATGTATCAGTAAGCATGATGTTAGAGTTACAGGAGAAGACGATAGCTTTTACTATAGACTAATAAGGTGTGAAGATATTCCCATTGATATTTTAATTGAAATTGAATTTAACATCATACTTTAAATTAATTTTACGGGAACGACAAACAAATTTAAAAATAATGCAAGCTTCTACGGCTTTCTTCACATCATCGTCTATCGAACAAGTATTTTAATTCAAAATTTTATTATTTAAAATAAAAATTCGGACCCGTATGTTGATTCTTAATTCCAATTTTAAATTTGGTTATTTTGTATTGCTCAGCATGTGTTTGATCCAAATTTGCAATAATTTATCCAAACTAACTTATTTAAAATCAAAGATTATGGTCAGATCTAGTCGCAAATTGTGACAATTAATTTATTACTTGTTTGCATCCATACATTAAAAACTAAACATTAAAAAACACAGAGAGAGAGACAGACAGTAGAGTTTATATATATCTGCTTGTCTAAGTTGACTCTAACTCATTTCAAGAATCAATCCATCTTTCCACAATTCTCTCATCTACTAAATATAATAATTGATATTGTTGATTCACTATCGTTACAAATTAAAGATCCATTCTCCTAAGTAAATAAATAAATAATTACATTAGCCATGGGAAGAGTATATTTTATGTGATATTTTTTAAAAATTATTCATTTCATCGGGTAAAATTATATAGATTTGATCCGACACACTTTAAAATAATATTATATTTTAATGTTCAAATAAGGTAGATAAAAATGTAAAAATAGAGTATTATAGAAAATCTATTAAATAAATGATAAAAAAATAAAAAAAAATAGAAGAGTTAGTAGAAAAATTAATTAGAATTTGTTTGGTTTGTGAAATAAATTAAGAAAAATTAATTAGAATTTGTTTGGTTTGTGAAATAAATTATTACATTCAAATAATTATTTTAAAAAAATAAAATGGAAACCTCAGGAAAACAAACCCATACTACAAGTCCCAGGAATCCAGGGTTTTGTGCTATTCCTTTTGTTTCCCAATTTCTTCGTTTTATTTATATATATATAGGATTCCTAATTAAGAACATCATCATTGCAGCTGAGAATACTATAAATTAAAGGGAAAGTCCAAAAGAAGAGAAAAGAAAAGAAAAACCAAAACACACAGAACAGAAACCCTAATGAAGATCACAGCCATGGCTGTTGCTAATCTTATCTTTTATTTGATCCAGCATTGAATAATAATAATAATAACAAATAATGATGGGAGTGAAGTGAAGACAGCAAATAATAATAAAGCATAGCAAGTGAGGACAGAAGCAGAAGCAATCAATCACATACATGTGTGTTAAATGAATAGATATATATATATATATATATATGTATTGGTGTTGTCACTGTCCTGTCCTCTACTGCTTCATTATATTGCTATCTATCTATCTATCTATCTGCAATATTTATTTATTGTCCAGAAAGTGAACCAACAATAACATTAAAATTGAGTATACTACATTATAACTTGCAAGAAATGTATAATATAAATTGCCTCACACTACAAAAGAAAATAGTATTTTTGTAACAATTTTTTCGTTACTAACAACATTAGAGATAAAATTAAGGATTGAAATTTCGTTATAAATATAATATTTTTTATCTAGCTGCTTCATCAATTAGCTAGGTTAAGCTGTGATATGTATATGTTAGTATTTATTTTCTTCCCAATTTTCAGAATCATATATATTTAAAATTTTGCCAAATCGATCTGTTAGTTTGATGCTGACAACCTAAAAGCCCTCTGCTCTTTTTGCTGTTCCTCTCTTTTTTTTTTTAGACATTTCTTTAATTTACAATAGTATTAAAGATTATTTTCTTTTAATTTGGAGATTAATTAATATTTTTATGTAATTATTACAAATTTTTAATAAATTATTCTTTCAAACAAAATCAAACTTCAAAAGAAATTACTCTAACTAACTATTAGGAAGGTGATAAGTGGATTATTTAAATTAATTATTCAAGTAGTTAGTACATGATCACCTATATATAGCACTTATCTCTGGGCAATTTCAAGAAAAACATATCTCAAGTTATATATATATGTATAACTTTTTGAAGAACATTCAATATTGACTTAGACAAATTAGTCAATTTTATGGAAACAATATAATGTTACTTTAGTTGGTCATTCAAGTTGATTCAATGAAAGTGGAAAAGAAGAAATTTCAAAATAAATTCAATTTTATGGAAACAATATAATGTTACTTTACGGTGTGTTTGGAACATAGAAATCAGACTAGAGAAATGGAAATGGTCTCATTTCTCTTGTTTGTTTGAGTTAAATAAATGAAACTTGAGAAATAAATCATTTTCATTTTTTCTCCTGTATGCAAAAAAATGATATAGGGTATATATTTTTAAAAATTTTTCAAATCTTTTTTGTACTATCTAATTTATATATATATATTTTTTAATATATTATTTTAATTTTACAAAACTCAAATTTAATTTATTGTTAAGGTATTTAAGTTTTACGATTTTTTAAGAAATTATACTAAAATATAAAATATCGTATATAATTTATAATTTTTTTAAAAAAAAATCACCAAAAATACTTTTCATAAATTTTTATTCGTTAAAACCCTTTTTTTTTAATCAAATTAATCATTTATTCTTGTTTGATCTATTCATATAACTGTATTTTTTTTATTTACATTTCTCAATTGAATTCTCTATTTTACCAAACAAGAGAATTAATTCTCATTCTCTACTCAATTTCATTTCTCTCCGATTTCATTGTCGGTACTAAACGCCACCTAATACTCCTAAATATATAGAAGAAGCCTATTGGAAGAATTATTTGTCTTAATGCGTAAAATCAGAATGAATTATTTCATGAAATAATAAAGGATAAATAAGCTAATGATAAAACACAGATGAAATGTATTACTTTCCCCTATCATCAATCATCAAATCTATATTTATTTTCTTTTCTTTTTTTTTAATTGTGGTAAAAGAAAAATATTTTTGTCTCTTTATTAAGTAAAAATTATTATATAATAAATAGTAATAATAATTATTACTCGCTAATAAAGGAAAAATATCAAGTTGTAGAAGTAGTTGCTGATTCCGATGTCTGATCTTGACCTTTCAAATTCGATTGGATATTATGAATATGAATATGAATATTTAAACTCCATGTTGGATAATTAACAAAGCATATATATGCATAATTGTGAATGTATATGTTTTAGTGGGCAGCAGCCCAATATGGATATTGGGCCGGAAGTCCATTATTGAGTGTATTTAATGGGCCTTACAACTTTGTAATGGAAATACATTGGGCCATATACACCAACAACCCATGATTTTGCAAAACTCCTAATTACAAATCGGATGAGTTTCCGAATGCAAAAGAAGTTTTGGACAACCTTATTTATAATATTCGAGATTGGGTTCGCATTCAACATTATATGGGCTTAGATGGTTTCGAGACAAGCTTGTTATTGGGCCCAAGTAAACGGGTAGGCAATGCTTTGTGTGGACATCAATGGAAACTTAAGAATGTACACTTACTATGAAATGTTGATTAAGGTGTGTATTAAGTCACAAATTTGTCATTTTTTAGCCATGACATGAAATTTGTAGTCGTTATTTTTTGCATGTGCACTAGGTAAATCATTAGTTGAACGTGTAATAATCTACAAACTATATTAACATATGATCTCATAATTACAAGTTCATCAGTATACATTTGTCATTTATTTGATTGAGTTTCCAGTGGCTGGACGGGCGGGTGATCAGGGCAAATTATATAGGAGGCGCACAACGATGGGTTTTTGAGATGATGATCTTTGCATTGCATGCCCAAATCCCATCGGGCATGCAATGCATCGATCATATATATATATATATATACAAAAAATAAAAATACTTATGGAAATTACAAAAGTAAATGAAAATCTTGGATATTTCTCAATATTTAAATCCATCCAACTCTCACCAACACATTATAGTGATAAGGTGGTTTGCATTGTCCCCAACAAAAACAACTCCATTGGTATAGTTTGAGTTTTAAATTTCTTTGTTTAGCATTCAGGTTTGAGATTTGTAATAAAAATATATTGTTTTTTATTTTAAAACATTTTATTAAAAACTACTGAAGATTCAAATTTAATGATAAACCAAACAACACTAAAAAAAATAATATATTTGTAACGGAATTCCGTCCCTAAAGTTCACGTAGCTAACGTAATTCTGTTCCTAATTCCGTCTCTAATGTCATTAGTAACGAAAAAAAAAAGATTTAGAGATAAAAAAGTTTTGTTACAAAAATGATTTTTTCTTGTAGTGCTATATCTTGAATATAACTAGTTTTTTATACTTTCTTTCTTTTTATTATATTGCATTACCAATGTGCATATTGATATTGATGGATCATACATATATATATATGTCGAGGAATTTCATGGTGTGCATGGAAGACAAGAATCTTGATATATAGATAGCACCTCTTAAAGTATGAGAGAGAGAGAGAGAGAGAGAGAGAGAGAGAGAGAGAGATGGTAATGTCGTGGGACACTTGGACCCATTCCAAACAAAATGTCGATACAGCTTCTTTTTTTTTTTTAAATAAATAATAATAAAACTTTAAAAACTTTGGGTGGCTCCAATTCCTGAATCTCTCTCTCTCTCTCTCTCTATATATATATATATATGTGTGTGTTGTCCTGTCTTAAAATGTAAAAGCATATTTTCTTCCATCTTCTTCCTTACATTTTGGCTTCTCCATGTCATCATTAATATAATGCAATTATTGCCATATATACTTTTTTCTTTTTTTTTTTACCAATTACCTCATAATGTTTATATTTTATTTCATGATTCACTCATAGTGCTCATGCCTTATAAATTAGAAATTCAAACTTTAAATAAACAAATATAATCACGTATTAAACGATAACAAAATGCACCATATATATAAAGCTAACGTTGACACGTACATAACTATTGTACCAACCCTAGCTATGACATATTTATATATTTAAATATATATATATATATGCATGTAAATGTCACGAATAGTAAACGGGTACCTGTCTTTTAATCATACAAGTGAATTGTATTATTATTATTGTTTTTGTTTTTGTTTTTATACATATGAGGCATTTAATTAATATTAATATTAATTAAGATATACCAATTACTTCAAATAGTGAAGTTCTAAACCACAAAAATTAAGCCTATTTTTATTTATTTATCAGTAGTACTCACTTTTAGAGAAAAAATAAAATATTATATTAAAAAATATTACATTTGTTTATATCACGGAAAATGATATTTTTTTTATTTAATTTGTCATTATTTTCAAACCAACTAAACATTCCAAAACACTTTACAAATATATCTGCATTCTTATAAATTCAAACACAATTTAAATAAAATGATACAATCTTCTTTTGTAAAGATTGTATATGTAAATATATGCTCCATTTAGATATAGTGTTTGGAAGTTGGATGTGTTCACTTGACAAGTTTTTTTTTATTGTTTCTATATATATTCAATTACGTTGGGGGTAAGAATAAGCGTTGCACCAATAAATTTTCGTACATTTATTCAAATGGACTAACTCCAGAAGCGTAATTATATCACAGTTATAACGGCGACTTGTCAATGAAATAAATGCAGGGATTTCAAAGCAATAAATGACAAGTTATTTGTTTACTCGGTTCGGATATAAACCATCCTACATCCGGGGATACCAATCCAGGAGAGGTCCATTAGCCAGTGCTGATTAAGAACAAAACACCCAAACCTTTTTCAACCCAAACTACAAGTTGATTACCTAGGAAATTCCCTTGTTGTCACAAACACGTATTGACAACTAACAACTAGCTGGGCTGCTCAGATTCTGAATGTTCTCCTGATCGGAACTCCGATCTTCCTTCGACCGACGAACTTATCTGGCAAGATGATAGTGAATATCACTCACTCAAAGCATGGTTATGGGAAGGGAAGAGGTTGAGAGGATTGATACAATATTTCTCTCACTACACACTCTTTCAAAACCACTCGCTTACCTTCCCGTTAATCTCGAGTTGTGTTAAGCAACCACAACAGCCATGATTTGACATGCAATTAATTCCTTTTGATACAAACAAGGTATAGTGTTGTATCTAATCACTTTTGACAGCAAGATGACAAATTCAAAATGTTCATTTTATCTTGAGCAGCCACCATTCTAGGAAGGACAAAAGGGCTGCTTGGACAAAAGGGCTGCTTGATTGGACTCCACAAGCGCCGAGTCAAATGTTGCTGCTTTTGGTAACAAACGACCACAGCAGCAGAAAAAAGTTTTGGCAATATGCCAAAAATAGGTGATGGGATTTTTGATCAACTTAACAAATTAAATTTTATAATTTTCTATAGAAATACTTTATTTCTCCTTACAAAAAATATTATATTTAATATTTAAATTATTATTTAAATACAAATAAATTTAAATTTTAAAAGAAATCACCAACTAAGCATATATATTAAAAATAAATAAATAAATATTTAAAATGCTAGTTTATGAAAAGAAATATTTTATGGGATATATGATATTCTAAAATAGCACCGACAAATACTATCCATAGTGATTTTTGAGTTTGGTTTTAAGTTTGAGTTGTCATTTTTTAATTTTAGTATAAAAAATATTTAGATTTAATTAATTAATTTTTTTTTATGAAGAGTTAACCATTATTTAGGTTAGAAATCCAAACCAAACAAACATATATAAGTAAAATAGGTCATAAATTTTCAACATTAAAAAGATTACAAATTTGAAAAGCAATAGATGAGTGAATAAAAAACCAAGAAACTTTGACAATGAATGCTATAGAGAGAGAGAGAGAGAGAGAGAGAGAGAGAGAGAGAGAGAGAGAGAGAGACAGCTACAAAATTAATTAAAATAATAAATTGAATAAAGTAGATACAATACAAAAGGGCCCATAAATTGTTTACTGTACATGAAATGAAATGAAATGATCTCCATCTTTCTCCGATTCCAAATCCAATTCATACATGGACAACGTCGACAATTCCTCCGCCGCCGCGAATCAGCCGCCGCCGCCGCCGCGGCAGCTCAGCCGGTACGAGTCTCAGAAGCGTCGCGACTGGAACACCTTCGGACAGTACCTGAAGAATCAGCGGCCGCCGGTGCCACTTCCCCACTGCAATTCCGGCCACGTCCTCGAATTCCTCCGCTATTTGGACCAGTTCGGGAAGACTAAGGTTCACTTACATAGCTGCGTCTTCTTCGGGCAGCCCGATCCTCCGGCGCCGTGCACCTGCCCGTTGCGCCAGGCCTGGGGCAGCCTCGACGCCCTCATCGGACGCCTCAGAGCCGCCTTCGAGGAGCACGGCGGCTCGCCGGAGACGAACCCCTTTGGCAACGGCGCGATCCGTCTGTTCCTCAGGGAAGTGAAGGATTCTCAGTCTAAGGCAAGAGGAATTGCATTTAAGAAGAAGAAGAAGAAGAAGAAGAGATCACTCAATTATCCATACAAAATGAATTCAAAAATCGAATGATTTCGATATCAGGTACGTAATTAATTAACCAAAAATTTCTCGAATATATTAATCTTGCTTGGAAATATAGTAATTAATTAATTAAACTGAAAGAATTAGTTAGAACATACACACCAAAAGGACAGTATGATTTCGAAACCCTAATATAGGTAGATCGATCAAGAACATCGAGTAGTGAGAAAACCCTAATTTGGAACGAGGTGAAGCACTGTAGAGGGAAATTAAAGGGGTTCGACTTGAAAGGGAGATCTTCTGTGTAGTGTACAGTACTGTTTGTGAATTGACTGAGTTGGATCAATTCGATTTCTCTCTCAAATAATGCAAAACGACACTGTTGATATATATAGTAGTATCAGACTAATTTCTTGTTTCCCTAAACTAAACTAAACTAAACTAAACTATTCCTTCTTTATATATATATATATATATATATCATATCCCACTCGTTTGTTTTTGGGTCTCTCTCTCTCTTTTTTGGGGATTTGGGAAGATCTCCTTGCAGCTGCACCCCCATCCATTCAATGAACTATTCACTGTATTCATCACAAAACTGTGTTCTCTGTGTATGTATAGGTAAGTATATAAAGATGAAGTTTTTATTTGAAAACATGCAAGCCCAGATGGGGTTTAAAGGCTGTTGTTTTAGGGACCCAAAAAACTAGTGAGTGGGGTGGGGTGAAGTGTTTTTTACATGAAATAGTTCTTGCTGACACTACTACTTGGTCCTTGAATTAGTCAATCAGAATCTATCTATCTTATGCTGTTTAGTTTCTTCATCATCAACTCAACTGTGTTTATGTTTTCTCTAATCCAATTTTTGCAAAGAAACTTACTTCAAGACTTGTATGTGTGCATTTGTGTTTATATATGAATTCTATGATCTGTTGATGTTTTACTCAATTGTGTGTCTATATATCTATCTATATATATATATATTATATTTGACAAAAATATTTTCATGGGAATTAAATCTAACTTGCTTAGGTGAATGGTCACACACACACACATATTTTGTGATATCCTTATAAATAATCAAAACTCTTTTTTACTTATATTTTTCAAACGTATTTTTTGTATATTATTAACAAATAGTTTTTCTCTAAATATATATATATTATGGCAAAATTATTATCTATTCGAAAAATCACATGCAACATTCCATTTTATGTTATATTGATATTAGGATGTAAACACTTATATTATGCATATATATATATATATATATTTGTGTGTGTAACTGTATCTAAATGTATAAAACTATAATATATTTTCATGGGATAAGCAATTAATTGCAAACTTTAATATTAATCATTACAATTTTTTTTTTTTTAAAAAAAAGACAAATTAAAGATTGTGTATTAACTTATCCGTAGACAATTAAGGACTTTTATGGGATTAATTAATGTTTATTTATTTTTAAATTAGTTTATCATGGCATATATATATATATATAAATGCATGATATATTTATATTTTAAGGTCACAAGCGATTCTTTTAATTTTTTGTTTATTTTGTATATGGGTGTATCCTTTGCATGTGCATATATATGTAAGTATGCAAATTTTATACATATAATAATTAAATTCAACGAGGGTAAAATTTAAATTCATGAGATATTTTAAAATTTTAGATACTAATGATTAGGAAGAATTACGTAGAATTGCCTCGAAGAGATGTCATGTCACCTTAGCTATCTACTCTAAAGTATTAATTTTTGTTTGTTATTATATTTTAACTATATAAATTATTGGTTATAAATTTATCTTTTAACAATATATACATATTTATTTAATATATCATCATGAATTTTTAACAAAAAGATTGACTTTGTCTATTAATATAAAAAAAATATTAAATTTATTTAACATATAGTATTTTTTTTAGTATCAAGAATTTTTTACTTTCATCTATGGTCAATAAATTATTTATTTTTATTTTTTTAGACTCAAATCATTTTTTTAAAAAAAATCTATCATATAAAATTTCAAAATTAATAATATATTTAAAAATATTATCGATATAATAACTATAAATAGTTAAATATTAGTTTATGTTAATATTTGCAATAATTTAAATCAATATATATTAATTAAATAAAAATAAAATTATTTATAATGTAACCCTAAATAGTAGAATTTTTTTATAAAAATAAATATATAATTAAGATTTTGCTAATATTTCAATGTCATTGATTTTAAATAGTGCGGAATAGTTTAAAAAAAATTTATTTAATTATAATACAAGTAAAAAATAAAGATATTGAAGATGATTTTATTATTTTGCTATTACTTTAACATAGTTACGGACGATAATAATGAAAAATTTATAATTGTTTCCGTTATTTATGTTATGATATTTGATTTTAAAAAGTCACAGAAATTATATCATGACAATATCTGTAATAATTTAAACTGTTGCAAGTATTTTTGTTATTTTTGCCGCAACTTAAAATAGTCAAGAAAAAATTTCGTTACAATTTTTGTGACGAACTAATCAAAAGACACTTAGTTTATAGTTGTTTGTAATCTTTTCTGCAAATATTACTTACGGAATAGTCAAAGCAAAAAGTCGTGACATAAATTTGTCACGAAATTACTTTTCATGACTTCTAATTATCACGGATTAAAATTTGCGACAAATTTTCGCAATTATCCACTTTTTTCCTAGTAGTGAATATAATTTATATTATATATACAAATGACATGACGATTACTGTGCTGATTAAATATATATTAGATATAAATATACAATATATATAATAGAATTAACAATACATATATATTAATATTTTATACCATATATATTTTCGGTTATATTTTCATATGCTATTAACTGTATTTTTATGTGTTGATTAAGATAATCGACAAGATAATAATAAATCCTCAATTTGCAGCTATCCGTGTATATGTATATATATAGATTAAGAGGCCATTTAATGTTTAAATATATAATAGTGAAAAAATAGCAATATGTGTAATTATTATATATTTTTTAAAATGTGAATACATAAATATGCTATTTCTATTCTAAATTTTATGTTATTATTTGATATTTTAAAAAATTTATAGTGTTTCTAAGGGTGTGTCTGTAATGGGATTTTGGATATTTATGTTATGCCTCTTTTTTTTTTCTTTTTTTTTTTAAATTTTTTATACTATATTAAAAATTAATTTTATATTTAAGATATTATAAAAAAATCATTATTTTTATTAAAAATTCAGTCCCAAAATTCAAACCTAAAAAAAACACATCCCTTTATGCATATATCATAATATATATAGTAAAATAATGGGATAAAAAACTCCTCAAAATCGTATCACCTAAAAAAACCATATATAATATATATATATATATATATATTATAACATTTAAATTTGCAATTGTCAGTGCACAAGGTAAATCCTGAGACAAGTGCATTACTCTTAAAAATATAAATATATATACTTATAAATATAATTGATGGTTATATAATTTGTCCATAAGTGATTAATGAATTAAAAGTTTATACTTAACTAGAATTTTGTGTTAAACTTTAAAAATTATATGTTACTTGCAAGAATTCTGAAGTCTGTCTTGAGATAAAAATATTATGGATATCTGTCACATTCAACAATTAAATTAAATGTCTATCACCTCATTGCAAGCCTACCCTTATAGTTAATTCTATATATATAAAATAATTTTTTATATTATCGATATGTTTCTCATATCTAATAATATTAAAAAAAAAACATTTAAAGTAAAAATACAAAACAAACACATTTGTAGCTTGATTGAAATAAATATTTAAAGTCATAAATTGGATTAAAAAGATATAAAAATAATAAATATGCTTAGTGTATTAATTTTTTTTTAGAAAACTGTGTGTGAAAAAAAAATTAGAAAGAACACACTAAATTCATAATACTTTTTAATCAAAATAGTACATTTGTTGTAAAATAAAATATATATATATATATGTATGCATTGTTTTTTTTTTTTTTCCCAATATTAATAATTTCTTGCGACACGGTAATTGTTTCACTAATTGAAGATTCTCTCTTATGATATGTATTCATAGCTTTGTTTTTTTGGTTAAGGATATCATATATGTCTGTGTGTGTATTGGCTCTGAAATTAATCACACTCTAAATTTGCAGTGGAGGAGGTGTTGAAAATATTCTCTGTATTAGTGTAAATTGATTTGATTTATATGTTCTCAATTAAGTCTTTTTGTAGGATTATTGGGTGTGTTTTGCTTATATTTTGAGTATTGCAGATGAACTATATTTATCACAGGTTTGTTTGTTTTAACTATTTATCACAGGTTTGAGATGAATTGATTAAATTTTGATGATATATATATATATATATATATACACATACAAGAATGGTTTGCTAATTATTTCATATGTTATCAATTGTCTTTATATGATACTCACATAAACCAGAGAGTTATATTTTATGTGTTGGGGTAACTGTAACTGCCTAAAATGACTTATCTTGATCCATTACACTGTCCAATTATTACAGAGCAGCTGCTGATTCATGAAAGTTTTGAGGTTTTCTGTTGCAGGAATTGAGTCGAGTTTCTGAAGAAGATCACAAGAAGAGAGCTTGTGAGAATCTGCTATACTTAATTTTCCTACACACACATAATAGAGCTGTGTGTTTGTTTGTAAGAGCCTTTTCTGTGCCTATTTCTCACCTTTAACAAAAATACACACACACACATATATATATATATATATGAACATTTGGAATAATAGAGCTAATTAATGTATGAAAATGGCTTCTTGCTCGCAGTCGTATCCATCTTATGATGCTATGTAATAATTTCATGGCTTCAAAAAACGCCATTGCCATCACCATATAATAAAAACTGCAACTACTCAGGGTGTTTGGCTCATTCGCAATCCCGGCATTAAACCAGTAATGTCTTAGTGTATCATGAATTCAAACATCAGGGGATTTACTGTACTAAACAAACGGCAATCTATGGAACGATCGACTTTTAGAAAAACAGTTATATGAAAAAACAAATAAAAGTTATTGGTACAGAGTGAGGCTGTGAATCTTCTTCCTCCATAGATGGATAATTTCCCGGATTTGAGCTCTTGCTGATAAGAAACCTCCTACTTCTCTCTGGAAGAATAGTTGGACTAAGGTCCCAAAGTTTTAGCCCTCACAGCTACCGATAAATATCTGCAACATCAAAATTAAACCATACATGAGGAAAGGAATTGAAATATAAATGAGGCCGTATAAAAAGCCCTCCACAAATGCAAGAATCCATGGCCACAGTTGCCTGCAATCATCGAGGATCTTCTCTCTAATATATATAAGCATGAAGGTTTAGAATCCAGTCATTCCCCAATCACTGCCTCAGTTCAACTTTAAAAACATTATCAATATATATATATATATATAGAGACCGTCCTCAGCACCACTATTATAATATTACTACATAACTAGATTACTCATACAAAATATTTTTTACAGCATTCATCGCTTAAAACAAGCATTATTCTAAAAACGCACAAAGGCAAGACCAAAACCGACTTTAGCTCTCAATACATGCAACCCAGATGTAGCATAGTGTGTAGAATCATGATGCCAATGCCGAACATAGGGATAAAACAAGTGCAAGATTTTATCACATCAAATTAGAATCATACAGATATGGGCAAGTAAAAATTCAGAAAAATTTAAACAATAGGCACATTTAGCTTATGAAACCAACAATCACATATAGGTAATAAACGAACCCTTTTAACCGATTGAATCCATGATACTATCGAAAGGGTTTAATATTTCATAACATCATGCAATTCTAAATCACCCACTTAAGCCACTTTGCATTACCAAACTGAAGAGAGCAATGCTTGATCTCAAATCATTGATGAACTTTTTATACCCAAGACCTCAACTTTCACCAATCAAGTCTAACATCAAACACCCGAAAAAACACAAGTTCTTAGCATGCAATAGCACCCGGCATTGGGCCCATATACTCCATCCATTGACAATAAGATGAAATTCCCTAATACATATGGTTGGTATACATGAATTTGCTAAAACAAAACATAAACAGAGATCCCAAATGAAGAAGAACTAAGAATCCAACTAAAAAACAAGCACACATTGAGGATAAAGAACATGACATTGTTAAAATAAGGTATATAAAAATGCAATAAATCATTCTCATAATGCCCAATTGAGGAAGCAAAGCATGGCGGCCATACCATCAGAAGATCCAGAACGCTTGGCCTGGTTGATCTTTTCGAACTGGACCTGAGTATCCATAAACCATCGCATCCTCTGAACCTCCAAATCTTTGGTGAACTGCATCCTCTGCTTCTCCAATTCCACCATCTGCCTCTGCTTCATACACTCCACCTTCTCGTATACCTCCCCAAACCTCTCTATGGCCTTGGCCAATCTTTTCATACCTTCCTCCTTTTCATCTTCCTCCTCCACAGCCCTACCCTCGCTTCCATGGGCTTCCTCCCCCGCAGAATCTCCATCGTCGTCCTCTGCATCCGCTTCATCCTCAGCCGCTGCTGCCGCGGCAGCGGCGGCCATTGCAGAGTAATTTCTCTTGAAATACGACTCGTCCACAGCGGGCGAGGGCAGGGGGCGCTTCTGAGGCAAAATCATCGGCGAAAACATTGGGGAATTTAAAGTTCTACGGTACGGCAAGGGTACGGCCATCGGCGGCGATGGCAGGGATAACATCACCGGAGACGGAGAGGACTGCACAGGTGAGGCTGAAGGAGGATGCTTGCTGGGATGCTTGGTGAAATTAGATCCGATCAAAATCTCCAACCGAGAGAAGAATGGCCACGACGAGGTTAGGGTTCCGTTCGATTCGGCGATCTTCGTCATCTCGACCTTGTATTTCTTCTTCAGAGTATCGATCCGGTTCTTGCACTGAACGTCGGTGCGGCGCGTCTTCTTCGTATGGCCGTGACGTGCGTTCACCGCGTCCGCCACATCTTGCCAATCCTTCTGACGGAGATTCCCACGGTTGAGCTCCAAGTACCGGCGACCCCAAACGTCGACGAGCGTCGACGTCGCCTCCTCCGTCCAGCAATCCTCGCGAAACGGCACCTGCCGCGACGACGCCGGCGCCTGAGGAACCGACGATTCCGTCAAATCACCCATCAGGCAAAGCCCTAACCCGCAAAATCAAACCCAATCAATCAAGAAGCGTAAAAAAAACAGAAGGGAAGAAGGGATCAATCGAAAGGAGACAAGGACGGAAAAGGATGAAATGGAGGAAGAAGAAGAAAAGGGTTGGTGGGGGAGATAAAAGCAAGGGGAAGGGGCGGGGGGGTGGGGCGGCGAAGGAGGCGCCGGATGGCGAGAGCGCGTGGGGTTCGGGCGCGTGGGTGGGAGTGTATATCGCCGGGGGCGCGCGTGAAGGCGACGGGCACGGGATTTCGGCAGAAGTCGCATTGGTATCTGCGTTACGTTGCGTCGACGATTGATTCCTTTCCTTTCCTTTGCTAATTTCGGGGAAATCGAAATTTTTGTTAAATTTTTTTTGATTTGGGTTTTTGAATTGCAGAGGAATTAAGGATGGTCATGGTGGTAAGGGTTTGGGCTTTTGGATGGTCGGCCGGAAACAAAAAATGGGCCGATGGCGGGTGGATGATTCTTGTCCGGTGGCCGTCACGTCACTTCAATTGAAAAGACGGTTTTGCCCTCCGGGGAGCTTCTGAACTGAAGGCGATCGCTGTCGTCAAATTGGTCTGTCCGCCAGAAATCGTGACAGAGGAGACGGAGATGATGAGTGGCTGGCAGGCGGCGCCACCCACCGTGGCATCACGTGCGATGACAGATGAGACACAAAACGACAAGAAATCACCCTTTCTTTCTTTTTTATACAAACTCTTGTAAATAATGTAGATATATTTCCTGTAACTCTGAGGATGCGAAAGAATCCTCTCTATTTTATTACAACAGAACATATTATCTTATCTTTTTTTTTTTTTTTGTGCTAATGATAATGTTAGAAAATAAATCAGATATCTTGTTACAACAAAAGTATTTATCTATCGTTTCATTTTCTGTCTTCCACACAATACTCTTTTTGCTATCAAAGCAGGGAAATATATGCGAATTGTCTATTTTTAAAATACTAATATAAATATTTTTATAATTTTTCTTTTAATTTGTACTACGTTCTGATATTATAATTAATATTTAAAAATTAATATATAAAAAATAAATGAAACTTTTAAAGCCGATGATGGAAGTTGTATTATCTTTTATAATTTAAAAGTTTGATGTTGCACGTGTACGCTCTAGGCAAATTTATAGTTGAAATTAATATTTTGCAAACTAGATCCGATTAAACAAATTACATTAGTTGAACCATGTGTGACATATGAACCTAGAGACATCGGGATTGAAACAATGACCTCGTGGTCATAAATTCACTCCCCACATCATTAAATCATCCCATACGGTACTTATTATTATTTGTTATGAAATACGGACCATATACTTACTATTATTCAGGTGTGAGTATGTATTAAATAAATTTCTAACCATGTTAAGAAACACTTTTATTGTATTAAAATAAGCTCAATATGAATTTCATTTTGTAAATATATAGAAAGGAAAACAATAGTAATATACATACATATAATGTATAAACTAAGAAAATCAATTTAATTATATAGTATAAAATTATTTATCATGTTTGATTTGAGTACTTATTGAAAATCTTGAATGTATCTTAATGATTCACTATCAATTTGATTAAAATTAATTTAATTAAATTTCGAGACATTAGGCTTTAGTCATCTCTATTTTATCAAAAAAAAAAAAAAAAAAAAAAAAACAACCTATTTAACATCAAACACTGAGAAATTGACCCTCTCATGTCACCCAAAACAATTGATTAATATATATTTATTAATCTCAATTACGCAAAATTAGTTATGTCCAAACAAGTGTAAACTTACATCACCTCAGAACTATGCCTATATTTAATAGACAATAAAAAAAAAGTAAAAATAAAAACAAAAACAAAAGACCAATATAATTATTTTGTATGAAAAAAGTATTATTTATCATATATCATATCATATCATATATATATATCATATATATATATATATAAAAGAGCTCAAACGTGGACTCCATTTTTATATAAAATTATGTAATTCTATAATCTCATAATTTTGAAATTTTTTGATTTTTTTTAATTACAGTTTTTTAATTTTTATTCTTAGATTTAAAATTTATTATTATTTTTAATTATCAAAATAAATGATAGATGGGTGTGAATGACAGTTTTAAAATAGTGAGACTGTGATTTCAATGTCAGCGGAGGAAAACTGATTATTTTTTATTTTTTATTTTTCGTTCAGCACCATTCATCTACTGTTGCCAGAAGAAAGAAGAGAAGACATACGAGCAAAGGTAATGGGGCTAAAAAGTGAGAATAAGAATATTGAAATTTATTATCATTGATGCTGCTATTTTTTGATAATTTTTTTATTGATAATATTAAATTGTTTTGCTTCAACGTACATTATAATTGTAAGTTTAATATTTCTTTCATTGTATTAAAATATAAAATTTTATTTTATACAAAATTTAATTAATATTATATTATTTATTGAAAACAAATAGTATTTAAACTATTTAAATACATATTTTATTTTTTTTAATTATATAGTATATTAATTTTTATTTTAGAAACACTAATATTATCACACGAAAAAAAATGCAGTTCTCCGTTATAATAAAAAAAAATATAATATTTTTTTAATAATTATCATGATATAATATTTATATTTTATATGCATTTACAATCATGGTATTATATATAATTATATTTAGTAAGTATAATTTTATTTTTACATAATTTAATTTATATTACATATTTTATTTTAAATATATAAAGAAAATCATAATTTTTATCATTAGATATTCAATTTGAATTATTTAAATTATATTATTTTTTTAAAAAAATTATTTTATTGTTATTTATTTTATTATTATTATTTTATTATAAAATATTATGATTTTTAAATTTATTAAAATATTTAAAAATAAATATAAAATTAATAAAAAAAATTATAATAATTTATTTTGAAATAAATGATATGGAGTAATTTTTTTCATTAATTACATAAAATATCAAATCTATTAATTATTTAAATTAAAAATAAAAACTAAATTGGTTTGAATCAACGAGCGGCACGCTGTTTGTTGCATGCATAAAGCCACATGTAAAGAATCAATATGAGCCACCAAAAACTCATCAATGTCCTTTGTTTGTACATTACTATTTTAAGGACATTGAATGAATTAGGACTACAAAACAAATTTGATCACAGAAAATAAAGCAGGACTCACGTTTACAGAAGAAGTCCCAGGACCTCCACACCTTATATATCCACTGAATTTATACATGGTTTGAATCCAAGTGGTGCCGGAGTCCCGGGGGCTCCCCAGACAAACTACTCCTTTCCGGAAATGACCGTCGTCACCAGCCAATGCCGCAAAAGCAAAAGATCTGCTGATGACTGAGCAAATCCGATTAGCATCGTGGAATGCATCAACTTCATTAATTTAGGTTCTCATCACATAAGCATTTTAAAATTTTTTTATAATATTAATTTATAATTTTTTTTATAACTCAAATTTATTACTACATCCGTCCACGTACAAACAAAACACTTATTTTTGAGTGTGAGTAAGAATATTTATAAAAAAAAAATAGGTATTTAATGAAATGTTTAATTGGACGTCCCAAAATAGTTGGAGGAGTATTATTTTTCTTTTATTTTATTATTATTTTGGCAAGTTAACAAATCAATATATTTAATATTTATTTACAACAAATATTACTAATTTTGTTAGTTTTTTATTTTTATTTTTAATTAATTTTTCTTATTTGATTTTTTTATTTTAATTTTTAACTAAATTCTAAAAAATATCTCCAACTACGTATCAAACCGTCTAATTTAATTTGTTTCATATTTCTATTTCTGTCTATTCTATACAATTTGTCTTTTTTTTTTAAAAAAAATAAATATAATTATAAACTTTAATCATATTTTAAAATTCATAATTTATATATATTTTTTACTTTAATTTTAATTTATAATTATTTTTATTAAATTATAATTATTCTTATTAATATATTTTTTAAATACTTACTAATTAAATAATATCTAAAACTTTGTATTTGAGCTAAATCGGACAATTTAGCTTGGCCGGAATGAGGTGTACTCATATTTTTCTTAATATGTATCGATCCGAGTGAACTAATTTTAGCTAGAGAAAGAAGTAATATTTTTTAAAAAAATTAAATTCAGTATATTTATTTATTATTAATAATTTGGTTCAAAAAATTTTAAAATTTAAGAAATCTCAACAGAACTCTAATCGATGGATTCTGTGAATAAATTCCACCTCTAAATATAGCTAAAATGAATGTTTGGAGGTCACAGCTAGCCATGGCGGCTATACGTATATATATACACATACGTATAGAGATAGAATTATGCAGAGATACGGCGACTGTAGGTGTAAAAATGCAGAACCGTAGGGAATCAACTGTAGAGAAAATGAAGTCACTGTACCACAGCCACGCCGTGTGCCGGAACCAGTGCAGCTCCACGGTGGTCCAGACGATCGACGCGCCGCTGGCGGTGGTGTGGTCGGTGGTGCGGAAGTTCGAGGATCCGCAGGGGTACAAGCAGTTCGTGAAGGCGTGCGAAATGGTGTCGGGAGACGGCGGCGCCGGGAGCGTGAGGGAGCTGACGGTGGTGTCGGGAATGCCGGCGGGGAGGAGCACGGAGAGGCTGGATCGACTGGACGATGAGATGCACGTGATGGAGTATAGTATCATCGGCGGGGATCATAAGCTTGTGAACTACCAGGCGACGACGACGGTGCACGAGGAGGACGGCGGCGGAGGAGGAGGAGGGACGGTGGTGATGGAGTCGTATGTGGTGGATATTCCGGCGGATAGCTGTGGAGAGGACACGTGTCTCTTTGCTGATACTATAATTCGATACAATCTCAAGTCTTTGGCTAACATTATCAAGAAAATGGCTAATTAGATTATTATTATTATTATTATTAGTGGGTATTTTGCTTTTTTTTTTTTTTTTTTTTTGCACACTTCTATATTTCGTTCTGTTTTAATTTGTTATTTTGGAATAGAATAAATAAAAATATCACATGTATGTTATTTTTTAGTTTTTTGCACACTTCTTTACTATGCTTTACATATTCTACTATTGAGACATACAATTTTTATGATATTCTTTTCTTTTAATAACTTATTTTTAATTAGGTCAAATTAAAATATCATGAGTGTGAATATGAATGTGATGACATTTATTCACACAATTAGGAACTTTATTGTTGGTACTTGACGTTGAGAGATTCAATGGAGCTTTTTCAATGCATCGGATTCAGTCCATAAGACAAGTCCAAGTCAAACGTGTCCTCGTATGCGTGATATATGTCATAGTGTGTGTAACTATGTTTCATTATTAGGAGTTTTTGGTTATGGATTTTTCACTGGTCGAAATGAAGCATGTGTATTATATATATATATATATATATGTATGTATATATGTTTCTTAGGAAGATTTTTGTCTAAGTATTTTATTATTCAATGAGAAAAATCAGCCTATTTTTCCGTTTTTTCGATAGTATTATGCTAGGTGAGAGTTGACAATCTCAAATATCTATTTCACTTTGTGAAAAGTTAAAATATCATGGTGTAATAAATTAAGTTATTTCTTTGTTCTCTTTTATTAGAGGAATTTTCGTAGTAAAATTAGATCATATATTAAATAAAAAAATTTGAGAAATTTTTGTCTATTACATTGGGTTTGAACCTGATCGAAGCTGCTGAAGATTTGAAGTAAAAATGATATATTGAAGGAGTTTTTGTTGTCTGTTGTATCAACAAATTATTGATTGTTTGTTTGGTACAAAGGGGTTCTAAGAAGAATTGAAGGAGGAAACGGTGGAACTGTCTACACTTCGTCCCATCTCAAAACACATTCAATTGAGGTTGAGCTTATGCACGCTTGCCTTGACGAGGGAAGATGCATGTGTATGTGATAAAAAAACTCATTTTAGATTGTGTGTGGTTGGAGAATTACGGAGTTTGTGCAAAGAGTTTTTGTATCTTGTTTCTGTCTTGCTCATAGTAGAATTTTTCTGGGTCGGTACCTTAAACATAGGCCGGTTGATGGCCAATCTGGATCAACACCAACTTTAGACTGTGTGCTTGGTTGGAGACTTGTGGAATTTGTATAAGAAGTTTTTATATTTTTTTTTCTAACTTGTTCTAGTGAAATTTTCTTGGGTTGGTGCCCATAAACATAGGTTGGTTGAGATTCAAACTGAATCAACAAACGTTGTGTACTGTTTATTTCATTTTATTTTGCACACAGCACTCTATAATTTGTTTGTTATCCAAATCACAAGCACCGAACACAATAAAACTTCCGTTTTTGTATTACATTCTTTTGCATTATTCATTGATGTTCACAAGCACCGAGCACAACAAAACTTCCATTTTTGTATTACATTCTTTTGCATTATTCATTGGTGTTTAGAATTAAGTTTTAAGATGTTTGAAATACATCATGTGAAATTACTATATTATTTCCTTTTAGTTTGTCATTCTAAGTTTGATCAAATTAAATATTACATATTTGTGACGATATTTTTTTTAGGCACTCACAATGATTCTTTTTTTTTTTTTTTATATATAATTTTATTTTACATATTTATGTATTCTAAATTTCACATAAAAAGTTAAAACTTGTAGAAAATGAATGGAAACGACGGTGAAACTCAAATTCGACATTTATGACTTTAATATTATGTTAAAAGATTTAAATGATCGTGTTACCTAAAAATTTAAATTTATAGAGATACAATTCATTATTTTATTTATTTACATACGAAAATTAACCAACAATTATTATTTTTTAATTTATTATTTTAGATTTTATCTACTTGAAATATCAAAGCATGCATATATATATATATATATTATACCATGTTTTACTGTACCTGATCATATAATACATACTTTGGTCATATCATATAATCATGCTTAGTTATTTTGAATAAAATAAAAACTATAAATTTGATATTATCAAATCAAAATTTATTTTGATATCATCTCTTTGTAACTTCTAAACTCTATTTTACATCTGTCTGTTTATGTTATTATTTTTTGTTTAATTTGTTATTTTGAGTAACTTTAAAATTTTGATTTGATACCATTTACATGTAATTTTTGTATTCCCTTTTAACTTTTTATTTTGGAAAAAATTATATATTATATTTGATATCATCTACTTGTAACTTCTATACTCTATTTATCTTATTATTATTATTTTAATTTGTTATTTTGAACCACATCAAATTTTAAAATTGATATCATCTAATTGTAACTTTTGTACTTTGTTTTACCTATATGTTTAATTTAAGATTCCTATTTAATTAATATTTTGAATCATATCATATTATCTACTTGTAATTTATGTATTATATTCATGTAATTATTATTATTATTTTAATTTGTTGTCTTGAATCAGATTAAATTTTAGATTTGATATCATTAACTGTAACTTTAATTCTTGTACTCTGTTTTACCTATCTGTTCATGTCACTCTGTTTTGTCTAATCTGTTGTTTATGTTATGATTTCATTTTAATTTGTTATTTTGAATCATATCATATTATCTACTGTTAACTTCAGTACTCTGTTTATGCCATTAATTTATTATTTTGAATCAGATCATATTATCTACTGATAATTTATGTACTTTGTTTATGTGATTAGTTTGTTATTTTGAATCAGATCATATTATCTACTTGTGATTTCTGTATTCTGTTTATGTTATTATTTTCTTTTAATTTGTTATTTTGAATCAGATCATATTATCTAATTGTGATTTCTGCATTCTGTTTATGTTATTATTTTCTTTTAAATTGTTATTTTGAATCAAATAAAAATTTAAATTTGATATCATCTAATTATAACTGTTGTACTCTGTTTGTTTTACCAATCTTTACTCTGTTTTACCAGTTTGTACATACTATTGATCCTTTTAATTTGTTATTTTGAATCATATCATATCATTTTCTTGTAACTTCTATACTATATGTTAGTTGCCTATGTATGCTATTATTATCTTGTAACTTGTTATATTGAATCAAAGTACATTTTAGGGTTTGATATCTTCTAGTTGTAAATTCATGTGAATAAACTTCTTTCATTTTGTTGCTCTTGGTATAGATTTGCCTCACCAATCTTCCTTGTTCACTCACTTTGTTTCAACAAGCACACAATCACACACACATATATATATATATATAGATTCAAACCTAGCAACAATGTACCAGAATTAACAGTAGATCAACGAAGAAAGGAACATGTTATTACATCGACAACAAAGACAGATCACAAGCAGACGATAGATCACAAACAGACGACAGATAGATTGATAGATAGATAGATGTCATGACGATGACTGATCTCAAACAACATTACTCGAAATCGAAACCCTAGAGACAAAGACACAACCACAGTTCATATACTCGTCAGTCACGGAAGAGTCGTCGTCTTCATCGTCATTCCAAGCTTCCTGATCCTGACATGGATCACCGCCATGGAAGCCAAGAACACGACGCACTGGACAGGGCTCAAAGCATCCATAACCCCTTTCAGCGTCTTCATCCTCACGCAGTCCGCCATTCTCATTACCCTCTCCATCCCCTCCGCCACCCCCTTCACCGCCTCCACTTCCCCTTCCCCCACGCGCCGCCGCATCAGATCCACCATCTTCCGCCCCGCCACCGCCACCTGCTGCCTCTCCATCTCCCTCTCCACTCTATCCTCCTCCACCTTCACTTTCAACCTCAGCGCTTCGATCTTTTTCCCTTGCTCCTCAGTCACTCCCGCCACCGACTTCGCCACCCGGAACGCCGTCGACGGCTTCCAACCGGTGACCCACTGGTACGCATTTTCCATAGGGGTCAGCCACACCGGCGCGTAGAACGCCAGCACATCCTCACGCGCCGCCGCCCATTTGAAGGAGTAGTACTCCTTGTGGTGTGCAGTTAGCTTGTCCACCATCGCCTGGTAATCCACCTGATTATTTGAAGTCCGCCGGTACGCCATCGCCAGGACCTGCAGGAATTGCTCCAGCTGATCCATCCATTTCGCGTAGAACTCTGAGAATTTCTCCTCAGTTAGGGTTTTCGATGGTGGGGAGGAGGAGGAGGACGACATTTTGGAGAAATGAGGAGAAACAAAAACAAACACCGATTTGGTTTCTCAAAGTTCAAAATTGCTTTGACTGGACGCTCTGGTGAGTGACGATTTCCATGGGAGGTCATGTCGATGCGCAGATGCAGATGCAGGCAACACCTCCATGGACGTGTCGCGGGGAGGACACAGGTGTCTTCCCACGTGGAGGATACCTGACTATTCACTCTTCCCTACTCCCGGGATCTTGAATCCAATTCAATCTACTCTATTGATGACGGTGTAGATTTCTCGGGACTTCTGCTCCCTGGAGTTCTAGTAAATCACTCACGCCGCCTGATCCATTTTCAATTTAGTGGGCCGGCCCAATGAATATAGCCCATTGAATAGAGGGCCGGGTTTCGTGGGTCGGGTGGAACCCGATTCGGGCTAGTTGATAACGACAAAATAGCGGAAATAAAAAAATATCCTTAACATTATAATAATTTATTCATTTTGTGTCGGTTAAGGTTCAATGAACAGTGCTAAAATTCACCACATTTCTGCCGTTTAATTCTGTGTCCAAATTCTTTTTATAATTGTGCATAAAAACGTGAGATAAGAGTGAACAGATTGGATGAGCATGGCTTGAACGAGGACATCGTCTAATTGTCTCTCTCTCCTCTCTCTCTTTCTCTCTCTAGCTCTCTCTTTGCTGGGCTGGAATGGCGACGAGTGATCAAAACAGGGAGGCCTGTTTGTACCAGGAGTGGATGAAGCTGCAAGAGCAGGAGCTGACGGAGCTGAGCCGGGTAATAAATGGCTCCGCCGGAGATGCAGAATCAAGGGAGCTGATCGGGAAGATCATGAGCCATTTCCGGGAGTACATCCAGGAGCGGAGCCGGATGGCGCGAGCCGACGTGTCGCCGTACTTCGCGCCGACCTGGTGCACCTCCCTGGAGCGGTCGGTGCTCTGGATCGGCGGCTGCCGGCCGTCGTCGTATGTCCGGCTGATTTACGCGCTCTGCGGCCTGGAGATAGAGTCGCAGCTGTCGGAGTTCCTCCGGGGAGTCAGGATTGGGAATTTGGGGGAGCTGTCGGCGAGGCAGGTGGCGATGGTGGACGAATTGCAGAGCCGGACGATTCGGGAGGAGCGGAAGCTGTCGGGCCAGCTGGCGAGCCTGCAGGAGGACGTGCTGGATCAGCCGCTGGCGGCGATCGCCTTGGCGGAGCGGCGGACCGCCGCCGCCGGCGACCTGGAGGAGGCGCTGGATAGGCACGGCAGTGCCATGGCGGGGATTTTGGAGGAAGCAGATCGGCTGAGGCTGAATGTTCTTAAGGAGATGATAGGGATTCTCACGCCGCCGCAGGCGGTGGACTTCCTGGCGGCGGGGAAGAAGCTCCGGTTGTCCGTACGCGAATGGGGCCGGAAGAGGGATCTCGAGCATGGAAGGGGTTGTCCTTATTAGATAGATTACTACAAGTGATTATGTATAAAGAGGCATTAGCATTATATATATATGTATGTGCTTAGTTTGGTTCTGTGTAAGATTTAATTAATTGTAGTATGGGTTTGTATTACTTGTTTGCTTAATCGAACAGTATTGTATGTGTTTAGTGAAAAAAAGTAGAATCTTTAGGTGTTGCACAGATTCTTGATTTGAGGTCTAATGTCTCCACCGTTGGATGACGTGGGGTCCCTTCCATGGACGGTGTGTATCAATTTCTGAGATGAGATGGGCTCAAAGAATTACAAGTCATGCACAAGATTTCAACAAAAAGTCTTGCAAAGAGCTTTGAGAAGGTTGCTTGGGTTGTGCTCCCAATAAAGTTAACTCCCTTGTCTTGTAGCCAGCCCTAAAGAATTTGGCTTAGTTTAGACAGTCTTAAAAAAACATCGGTTGGTTGTTTGTTTGTTTCTCTATTCTGTCGGAAAGCAAAATGGGATAGACATGAGTCGACTTGTCGTCTATGTCTGTATACATTGGGAAATACCAAGAGTAAGGTTTGGATCACGACTATGAACAGCCATACTATCAATCAAATTTGGTATTGTTAACTAATACGTTATTGAAATACCTAAATTTAGAACCACTCAAATACATCATCACACAATGATTGTTATGTTACAAACCAAGATTTTTTATAAGTTGCTATACAAAACCGTTTTAGGCCACAAAGTTAGGTCCTCCATTGACGTTTAGGGTATGAATTGCGATGACTGATCATCATCCACACCAATTTCCGACACAAATCGAAATCTTGCCCCCCACCCATTTCTATATATTTTCAAATGCACAGTATTTCCGGAGATATTGGAGATCATATCTATTTCCTTACCCGACTTGGGATTTCTTCGAAAGATTAATTTCCTCGGAGGAGACGAAGTGTCCTGACCTTGCCTTTAAGGCAAGGTTGGTTTTCTCACATCCCTGTTAGTCGTTGTGAGTTTAGAAAAAGAACGAAAAGCTTTTGAAGATTTCTGATTTTTAAAAAATGGAGAAGAAAGGGAACATTCTGATGCAGAAATACGAGGTCGGAAAACTGATCGGACAAGGGTCGTTCGCGAAGGTCCACCACGCCCGCGACGTGAAGACAGGCCGGAGCGTGGCGATCAAGATCATCGACAAGGAGAAGATCGAAAAAGTGGGATTGATGGATCAAATCAAGCGGGAGATCTCTGTGATGCGTCTGGTACAGCATCCCAACGTTGTCCAGCTCTACGAGGTAATGGCGAGCAAGTCCAAGATCTACTTCGCCATGGAATACGTCCGCGGCGGCGAGCTCTTCAACAAGGTTGCCAAAGGTCGGCTCAAGGAGGACGCCGCCCGCCGCTACTTCCAGCAGCTGATCGCCGCCGTCGACTACTGCCACAGCCGCGGAGTCTACCACCGCGACCTGAAGCCGGAGAATCTCCTCCTCGACGAGTCCGGCAACCTCAAAGTCTCCGATTTCGGCCTCTCCGCCATCGTCGAGTCCAAACGCCACGACGGCCTGCTGCACACCACGTGCGGCACGCCGGCGTACGTGGCGCCGGAGGTTATCAACAACCGTGGCTACGATGGCGAGAAGGCCGACATTTGGTCCTGTGGTGTTATTCTCTACGTCCTCCTCGCGGGATTTCTTCCATTTCAAGATCCCAATTTGATGGAAATGTACAGAAAGATTTGCAGAGGGGATTTCAAATGCCCCCAATGGTTCCCTCCAGAAGTCCGGAAGCTTCTTTCAAGAATCCTCGATCCCAATTCATCTTCTAGAATAACCGTGGCCAAGCTCATGGCGAATCCCTGGTTCAAAAAGGGGTTCCGGCCGTCGAATTTAATCAAATCCGGACAGGGACAGGGGAGTACTTCTTCCTCGGACATTGTCCAGGAGGAGGAAGGAGTCGAGCAAGAGCCAGCTCCGGCGAAGCTGAATGCATTTGATCTGATATCCCTATCGTCCGGTTTTGACCTGTCGGGATTGTTCGAGGACGATCATCAAAATTCGAAGCGGGAGGCGTGGTTCACGACTCAGAAGTCACCTGACGCGGTGGTGTCGAAGCTGGAGGAGCTGGCGACGACGCAGAGTTTCAGGATCAAGAAGAAAGACGGAGGGCGGGTGAAGATGCAGGGGAGCAAAGAGGGTCGGAAAGGGCAGCTCGCCATTGACGCGGAGATATTCGAGGTTGCGCCGTCGCTGCACATGGTGGAGGTGAAGAAAACTGCCGGCGACACCATGGAGTACCTCAAGTTCTGCGATCAGGGACTCCGGCCTACGCTCAAGGATGTAGTGTGGCATTGGCAGGGGAGCGCCGAGGATTTGTGCCCGCAGGCTATACAAGAAGAGTGTGTGCCTAATTGATCTATAGTTTTAGATATGTGTGTATATAATTACAGGCCAATGTGCCTATGGTTCTTCATTGTATCATCTTGTGAATGCTTTAGTGTTAGTGAATACATCTTGTAGGAGCTTCTAGAAGTTCTTGGAGCAAGACATTTATCCTTACCTTTCGATAAAAAAACTACTGCCCGAATCCGAGCTACTTCAGTGCAAGAAATGACGCTTTATCCTCTGAAGCTCTGCTAGAGCTTCTTTTACGTTGATTCTGTCACCGGGCAATTCATTCGCGCACTTCAGAGCCAGTACCAATACACTTGACGCGCAATGCAAGTTCTTGTCCAAATGTGCCGGCTCAAGATGCAATAAGTTGGGATCCACGACACAAATTGGTGATTCAGGAAGTAAGCTTTCAACCCAATGTTTTAAACTCAAGTCTACATCAAACATTTCATCGCTCGGCTTCTTTCTGGTGAAGGTTTCCATCAACAGGATGCCGAAGCTATAAACATCCGACTTTGTGGAAACTAGCCCCTCGGAACCATACTCTGCAACAAAATGGGCGCTAATTAGATGTATATAGACGATTAAAATGGTTAAAGAAGTAGATTCACCTGGAGCAATGTAGCCTAATGTTGCAAGGGTGTTAGTATGCGCGACGCTCTCCCCCTCGGCCAACAATTTAGCAATCCCAAAGTCACTTACACGAGCAACCATTTCCTCATCGAGCAAGACATTGCTAGGCTTCAAGTCGCGATGAATGATGGGATTAGAGTAGCCATGGTGAAGGTATTCTAATGCTGAGGCGACATCGATCATTATGTCCAGTCTTTGCTGGACATGTAGGGAGTAGTTGTGGGAATATAGCCATTTTTCAAGGCTTCCCTTGGGCATATACTCGAGGATCAACGCCTTGAAATCTTCACTTGAGCAGCTGCCATGGACTTTGTTTAGATTTCTGTGGCGAACACCGCGCAATACTTGGCATTCCACGTCGAAGCTCCTGAAAGAGGCTTCTGATTGCAGATTAAACACCTTTACAGCCAACACATTCCCGGAACTAAACGTGCCTTTATAGACAGCTCCAAAACTCCCGGCGCCTAGGAAATTACTTTCGTGGAAGTTCTCAGTTGCTTGCAGGAGTTCAAAGTAGGAAATTCTCTTCGGCACAATGGGAATCAAGGCTTGAGTTTTATCTTCCATATTTTCTTTTCTTTTGTATCTCCTTATGAAGATAAAAGCGACACCCGTGATAGACACAATCACCCCTGTAAGAATAAAGAGCACGACGCGCACCCTTCTCATTTTCGATCCATGCTTGATTAAGCATGGAGGGACTTCAAACCTTGAACTTCCACATAATGCCTTATTTGCTTTGAAGGACTCAATGGTGAAGTTTTGAAACGGGCCGCCAGAAGGAATTTCGCCCGTCAAAGAATTGAACGACACATTAAAGTAGTTGAGGCTCTTAAGTGCCTGCAAGGATGTTGGGATCGATCCGGAGAGTTTGTTGTAAGACAGCTCAAGACCTTCTAAACTGACTATGCTCCCAATGGACTCAGGAATAGTACCTTGAAAATTGTTATTGCCCAATGAAAGGAGAATTAAATTCGACAACTTTCCAACTGTGGTTGGGATATGTCCGGAGAACTGGTTCATCGATAAATTGATATTCACGATGGCCTTTAAACTACTTATCTCTGGAGGTAAAGATCCACTCAAGGAATTCGAGGACATGTCAAGCTCAATCAAATTTTCTAGCTGCCAAATGCTTGATGGTATACTTGAAGTCAGCATGTTGAAGTTGAGATCAAGAAGCTGTAGAAGTCTTGCATTTCCCAAACAGCCGGGAATAGGACCGGTAAACTGATTGCGATCCAAGCGCAACTCGATCAAGCTTTGCAAATCACAGAGGCTCTCTGGAATAGAACCTCTCAAGCTGTTTTCAAACATAAACAATCCTTGGAGCTTCTGCAAATTCTTCCATGAATGTGGAATGTTGCCGGTCAGCTTGTTGCTGTTTAAAGAAAGTATCGACAAATTGGTTAAGTTGCCAATTTCTGCAGGAAGAGGCCCCTTGATATTACAATTATAGGCATAAAGTCTCTGCAAAGAGGAAGTTAGATTTCCTATAGCGGTAGGAATGACACCATCAAGGGGATTATTTGCAAAGGCCAGATCACTCAAAAACCTGCAACCTGACAATGAAGTGATGAAGCTCAACTCCTGAGACCTTAAATTATTGTTGGCGAAACGAAGGCGCTCCAAAAGCCTTAGCTTTCCAAGGGAATGAGGTACTAAACCTGTGAATTTGTTGTTCAATATAGAGATGAGCCTGAGTCTAGAACAGTTGGATATGGAGTCAGGTATAGCTCCGCTAAGATTGTTTTCGTCGAGGAAAAGTTCTTCAAGAGCTGGTAGACCATTACCAAGACTTGTTGGAAGAGTTCCAATCAGACTGTTGGAAGTGAAGGCTAGAGTTTGCAGAGTCGATGTGTTAAAAATTCCTCGTGGAATCGAACCAGTGAAGCTATTAGACTCTAATGACAAACTTTTTAGTTGGTAAAGATGGCCTAGTTCTTCAGGCAAATCTCCTGCAAGATTAGAAGAGTGGTAAGCATTAAAAATTTTAATGAGTTAGTTGTGTTTTCAGTTCTTTCATTTTGGTGGCTCAAGTCACACACCTGTGAGGCCGTTGTGCGAGAGATTGATGTCTGAGAGCATTGTAGCATTTCCTACTTCTCGTGGCAGCGGCCCGGTCAAATTATTAAACGTAAGATGCAGAAATTGCAAGGAAGGAATGGTGAAAATATTGCCTGGGATTAGACCTGTAATCCGACTGCTTTCAATGCCTAACTCTTGCAAGTTTTGAAGATTGCCGATGTCCGGTGGGATAACACCTATCAAATGATCAGAAGTTCAACATTAAAAAACTCAAAAACAGAACACATATTAATCATCATTTCTTTTTTTCTTGAAATATAAAAGCTTGGATATGAAAATGGAATTTGATATGAACTAACCTTCTAACATATTATTTCCCAAGTATAAAGTCTGAAGATGTTGTAGCTTGCCAAATTCTGCTGGTATCTGTCCATGAAAGAGGTTGTACGAAAGAGACAAACGACGAAGTTGCGAACAATTAGATATACTCGAAGGAATCTCGCCACTTAGATGATTGGAAGACAGACTAATCCTGGCAAGAACAGGAAGGTTGTCACACATGTGAGTTGGTATATTGCCAGTGAGTTCATTTGATGTAAAAAGCATCGTATTCGCCATTGTCAGGTTAAATATTCCAGGTGGAATAGGGCCTGAGAGATTATTGAAATGCACGCCGAACCTCTGTATGCTACGAAGGCTCCCTAACTCTTCTGGAATAGTTCCATGCAGAGAATTGTAAGAGAGATCAAGATATTGGACATTTGATAAGTTGGAAATGGTGATCGGGATGAAACCAGAAAAGCTGTTATTACTTAGAGACAGGTATTCCAGTTTATGTAACAAGCCAAGCCAGGATGGAATCATTCCAGTAAAGCTGTTAGCCTCTAGAGAAATGTTTTTCAGCCGATGTAGGCGAGACAGCTCCGGAGGCAAATTGCAACAAAAATGGTTGTACCTGATGTCAAGGTAAACAAGGAAAGAAAGGTTTCCTAGCTCTGGGGGGATGACGCCGGTGATTCCCATGTTAGATATATTCAATGCAGCTACTCTATGATGGCGAGAACTGCAGGTGACTCCGATCCAAGTGCAGGGAGAGCTTGACATGGTCCAGTTGCTTGTGATTATTCCATAGGGGTCTAATGTGATGTGATTCTTGAGGGAAAGGAGAGCAGACCGGTCGGTGGCGAGGCTGGTAAAGCTCATGGACAGACATGGCTTGTTATGATTCAATAGATGTAAGAATATTGCAAGTGTGAAAATGCAACAAGAAGTTGAGATCTTCATGTTTGTACTAACATTGAGGGATGTGTATGATGAAAAACAAGAAAATGTATAGAGCATTTGAATCTTTATTTTTTATATAATAGAAATAACAGAAGCATTGCATTAATAATTAAGCTTTTCCGGCCAAGTTGACATATGCAATGGCTCTGCCTCTAACTTTGTTTAATGTATGTATTCTGATGACTAAGTCACAGTTATGAGTTTGAATCAGTCAGATCTGCAGACAAGAGTATTTTGATACAATTGAATTTTAAAATGATCATCAGCCAGAATAATATTTTTGGAATAGTACAGTTTTTCCGACTGAATTCTATCAATCTTTTTTTTTTTTTTTTGATCGGAAAGATCAGGAATTTTAGATATAAATAATGAATAAATAGTAGATACAAAATACTCCGGGCATCCCCGAGAGATCAACCAAGGTAAGGCCTAGACATGCAAATAACGAAATTAAGGTCTGCACGCAGGCAGAGATGGACAAAAGAATCAGAGGATTCTATCGTGTAGTAAAGGTCAAAAATGGGAGAGCCCCAATCTGTGTTCCAGCAGATTAATTACAAAATATTTGCAATAATATATGGAAGATGTAGGCACTCGATCCCCGTAAAATCTGGTGTGTAAAGAAGCTGGTTTTCCAATTTGTAGCAGCAAAAACTGAGCAGCTGCACTCAGATGCACTTTCCTGTCGATTCAAGCAAAATCTGGTGCAAATAGAAATCTGATTACCAATTTGTAGCAGCAAAACACCGAGCAGCTGATCTCGAGTGCACTTTCCAGTGGCCAGCTTCAGATGTCTGGTCGTCCTGTTCGTTATACATTACCTGTGGAGTAAAGAATACGAAAACAGCAAGTTTTAATTTTGGCAATTGAGACATTCAGCTCTAACGGAAAATTTTCCAAGGCGCCTTTGTTACGGGCTGTCCAGAGGTAATAGATAGTAGCAGCGAAACCAGCTTGTCGCATAAGAGAAAGAGCTGTTCCAGGTTTAACGTTGTCTCTATACCAGTCCAGCGCTGCATGGAGGTTGTTAAGGCCTGGTGGAATTTGAAGCCACGAGCAGATACAATTCCAGACTGTCGAAGCAAAGGGGCACTCGAAAAAGAGGTGCTGACAGTTTTCATTGTGTTCCTTACATAAAACGCATAAGGGGACGATGTCCAGAAACTGGAGTCGATCTTTGGTCTTGAGTTTACCGAGAGTTGCGAGCCACAGGATAAATGTGTGTTTGGGCAGCCCATTGCTATTCCAGATCGTACGAGCAGGCAACCAGATTGGACTCGGGTTCCTGAAGAAGCTGTAGGCAGCAGACGCGTTCTTGTCGATCTTTAGCTAAGCATATTGAAGCTATTTCCTTGTTTTTGAACATCACACCAAATGCAAAGTCGTTTTTCTGTTCAAGACAAGGTGATCTTTCCCAATTCCTTTAATAAGTATAAATTTTCCACAAGCTCCAGGAACCAATCCATAAACCAAATTCACTTTCACTACAATCATGTTGAGAACATTGAGCTATGTTATTCCATTTACAGTGTTCTTATCACTACTACTGCATTCCCAGATTCCTTGTCAAGCTAAAAAATTTACGAGGTTAGCCACAGATCAGTCTTCTCTTCTTGCTCTTAAAGCTCAGATCACATTAGATCCTCACAGAATAATAACAGATAACTGGACAAGTTCAAGCCCTGTCTGCAATTGCATTGGTGTTGCTTGCAGTCCTCGCCATCATAGAATCGCCGCATTGTTGTGAATTGAAGCCAATTAATGTCTTGCTAGACAAGGACATGGTTGCTCATGTAAGTGATTTTTGGATAGCAAAATTGTTGGACGAGGAGGAAAGCGCCACACAGACCAACACCCTTGCTACATTGGGTTACATTGCTCCCGGAATATGCTGCAATATAAATTTGATTCCAGAATATGGTTTGGAAGGGCTTGTTTCCGCAAGGTGTGATGTCTACAGCTATGGAATCATGCTGATGGAAACTTTTACAAGAAAAAGTCCAAGTGATGATATGTTTGCAGGAGATATGAGCATAAGAGCTTGGGTTGAAGGCTCGCTTATTGCATCACCAAATCACCATATAGACGCCAGCTTAGTGAGTCCTATAACTTTTGACAAATTCATGCCATTTGTATCAAATGTATTGAGTTGGCTTTCAAATGCACTGTGGAATCGCCTAGAGTAGACATAAAAGATGCAGTTTCAGAGCTGCACAAAATCAAAGATCGATTTCTTGCATAACATGTTGTAACCTTGAATACATTATATTTTCTTCGAACACTTACTTTCCAAGATAAAAGAAGCATCATCATATGTGATGTGCCATTCTGAAAGACGACAGTAATTTGAACTTGGGATGAAAACATCTGATTTCAGCTCTGTATTTGGAAGCCTCCAAAAAGACTACGTTTGTCGTGATGATTAAAAATATTGAAAAGGCCTTAAAATTTTGCTCAGTTATAGAGTACAAGCAACAAAAAGTCTCAATGATTATTTCTGGTAACTGTTCTGTGGACAATTCTTTCATAGACTATAGAATCATTTTTTCTTACAAAGATATAACATTTAAGTGGGTTGAACATTTACATAGCAACATACTCAGATTCACCTATAACAGCACTTCAATACAGCAGCTTTTGAGATATGCAAACAATTGAGAGTTCACCACAATTCAATTTTTCGGAAGAGTGTATCATATCACTCAGCTAATTGGCATTTGATCTTGTGCAGCTCTACAACTACATCCTTCATGTTCATCCGAACTGTTGGATGATCTGCCCCGCACTTCAAACCCAACTCTAAAATGGATGCCACACATTGCAATATCTTGTCAAATCTATGCTCCTCTGGATTCACTAAATTGGCATCGATTACCTCATCCAACGACTTTGGAATCAAGCCTTCGACCCATTTTTTTAAGCTCAAATCTCCTTGAAACATTTCATTATTTGGCCTTCTGCCAGTAAAAGTTTCCATCAACATGATGCCATAGCTGTACACATCACACCTTGTCGAAACTATCCCTTCCAAACCATACTCTGCAACAAAATCGCATTAGAATGTGCAGTAGAAAGAAAAATGAATAGACACATGTATTAAGAATGGAAGAGTTTCACCTGGTGCAATGTAACCGAGTGTTGCTAAGGTGTTAGTCAGTGTGATGCTGTCCTCATTGCCCAACAATTTGGCGATTCCGAAGTCACTTACATGAGCAACCATATCCACATCCAGCAGGATATTGCTTGGCTTCAAATCACAATGGACAATAGGTGGTGAGCAACCATTGTGGAGATATTCCATTGCAGAGGCAACATCGATCATTATTTTCAATCTCTGAGAGACATCCAAAAAGTTATTGTGAGAATGCAGCCATTTCTCAAGATTTCCATTCGGCATATACTCGAGTATTAATGCCTTGAATTCCTCATTGGAGCAGCTGCCCAAGACTTTGGTGAGATTACGGTGACGAATGCTGCGGAACACATCACATTCCACATCAAAACTTTTGAAAGCAGCTTCTGATTGTAAGTTAAACACCTTCACAGCTAAGATCTTCCCCTCTCCAAAATCACCTTTGTAAACAGAACCGAAACTCCCCACGCCTAATAAGTTGTTCTCACTGAACTCTTCAGTTGCTTTCAAGAGTTCATAATAGGAAACTCTCTCCAGCAAAACAGGTGTTAGCTCATTAAATCTACTTTCTTCTTTACCTTTTCTTCTATACCTTACAACAAAGATACAAGCCAAGGCAGCAATGATTAATGCAGTCACTCCACAGGAAATAAAAATCGCCAAGAGAGCCCTTCTCCTCAATCCATGTTTCGAGCAAGGTGTGACATGGAACTGCTCAATGCCACACAATCCTTTGTTAGCTTTAAAGGATTCGCCAGTGAAGTTTCTGAATGGACCGCCACTCGGAATTTCTCCTTTTAATGAATTAAATGACACATTGAAGTAGCTGAGATGTTGCAGTGTCTCTAAAGACTTTGGGATTGAACCAGTGAGTCTGTTGTAAGATAAGTCTGAGGTTTCCAAACCAATCATGCTCCCCATGGATATAGGGATCGAACCTTTTAGTTCATTATGCCCCAGAAAAAGTCTTTTTATCTTTTCCAACTTCCCAATTGTGCTTGGAATAGAATCAGACAGCTTGTTCATAGAAAGATTCAAAAAGTCTAATCTCACTAAATTACCAATCTTGGGAGCTATGAACCCACTCAATGAATTTGAGGAAAGGTCCATTGCCAGTAGATCTGTGAGGCTCCAGAGGCTCAAAGGTATACTTGATGTCAGCATGTTAGAATCAAGAAAAAGTATCCTTAAAGATGTAACACGTCCAAGACATTCTGGAATCAGACCCGAAAATTGGTTTTGGCTCAAATATAAAGTAGCTAAGCTTGGTAGATTGCACAGAGCCTCTATGGATCCTCCCATCTTGTTGTTCATTAGATCCAATCCTTGAAGCTTATGCAAATGTTTGACTTCAAAAGGTATATCACCAGTCAATTCATTTTCACGTAATCGAAGTGTTACTAACTCGCTTAAGTTGCCAATCTCTGCAGGAATTACACCCTTGATTCTACAATCAGAGGCACTAAATTCCTGCAGTGAGGATAAATTTCCAATTGAAGTTGGAATGAAGCCATTTAAAGGATTGACTTCAATCCCCAAGTGAGTCAAAGACTTGCAATTAGCTAGAGAAGTAATGAAGCTCAATTCCTGGGTGGATGACTCAATCCTTAGATTGTTGTAGCCCAATTGAAGTTTCTGAAGTTGTCTTAGGTTGGCAAGAGAGTGAGGTATAAAACCAGTGAAATTGTTGATATTGAGGGAGAGGATCTGGAGATTGGAACAGTTAGAGAGAGAGTGAGGTATTTCTCCAGTAAGGTCATTCTCATCAAGGAGAAAGGTTTCAATAGCTGGAAGACCATAGCCTATACTTGGTGGAAGACTGCCGGCCATGCCAGTTTTCGAAAGTGAAAGAATTCGAAGAGCAGACATGTTGAAGACCCCTGCTTCTGCCACTCCAGACAGGCTAGTATACGCCAATGATAGTTCCTCCAAGCCATAAAGGAGGCTAACTTCTTTAGGTAAAACTCCTGTGTTTATTACATTGTGTATAACAAGTGTATAGAAAGAACCTAGACAAATTTTAAGACCGGTACTTTATTGACAATATTCGAACCTGTTAAGTTTGTCTTTGAGAGATATAAGGAGTTGAGCATCGAAAGATTGCCTATTTCTCTGGGGAGGCTCCTGGCAAGATAATTATCCTGCATTAAGATACTTTGAAGAGAAGAAATGTTGAAGAGACTTAGGGGTATTGGACCTGAAATCCTGTTTGTTTCTATGGCGAACTCAACCAAGTTGTGAAGATTTCCGATGTTTGGTGGGATAACACCTGTCAAATTGAGTTCAAATGGAGCTTTAAATTTCGACAATAAACTTAGATTGATCAGTACTCTACAGGATAAGAACTAACCAGTTAAATCGTTGCCCCCTAGACTCAGTGTTCTTAGATTTTGCAGCTTGACAATTTCTTCGGGTATTTCTCCACTAAAGTAGTTGTAGGACAGACCCAAAATCTGAAGCTGAGAACACTTGAATAAAGATGATGGGATTCGACCACTGAGCTGATTCATACCAAGGTAAAGTCCTTTAACAATCGAACCATTGCGACACGTGTTAGGGGGAAGATTGCCATCCAATTGATTTCCTGTTAAAGCCATGGTATGCAGGGTGGACACATTGAATAAAGAAGATGGTATTGGACCAACGAGACGATCATACTGCATGCTCAAATGTGAAAGACTACTGAGCTTCCCCAGCTCTTCCGGAATTGTCCCTTGTAAAGAATTGAAGCTGAAATCAAGCAGTTGCAGGCTGGACAGGTTGGAGATGGAAGTTGGGATGGAACCTGTAAAGCTGTTGTTTCTCAATTGTAAGAACTCCAGCTTAGTTAAAAGGCCAAGCCATGGCGGAATCTCCCCACTAAAGCTGTTTACCCAAGTAGTCAAAACCTTCAATCTGCGAAGCCGAGACAATTCCTGAGGCAAACTACCACTAAATTGGTTGAAGCTGAGGTCGAGCGCGACTAGAAATGACAGGTTCCCCAAATGAGGGGGGATAGTGCCGCTGATATTCATTCGGGAGATGTCCAGCACAGCTACACGACGATGGCGAATGCTGCAAGTGACACCAATCCAGGAGCAGACTGAGCTTGATTCAGTCCAATTGGTGGTGATGATTCCACGAGGATCTGATATAAAACTTGCTTTGAGAGCAAGAAGAGCCGATTGATCGGTGGAGGCTGTTGCTGGACAAGGCCATTGAGAGATGATCAGTAAGAGTACTAGGAGTAACATGCACCTTGTTCTCTCCATAGCTGTAATGTTTTGTTGAGGCTGGCTTATGGTAATTTTCTAACTTCAAATTATAGGATTAAAGTAATTGCATTGCCAATTTGTGGTGTTCCTTTTGAAAGTAGCAATCATTTTCCAGAAGTTCACACATGACCTTCCATGAAAGGCCAATTCCCAGTATACTTCATGTTGACTTGACTTAGCTTCAGGACAATACAATTTCGAGTATTACTATTAAATGCATTACAATATCAAGAAAGGTCAAACTGAAAGGGATACGTGACTTGGGAAATAATAATTTAAGCGTGTATTGGATTTTTAAATGTATTTATATATAAGTAGAAAATTTAAACAGATCTTTAACGTGTGGAGTCATACAGACCAGACAAAAAAGTTCGAATTTGATTACTCAGTCAGGAACAGACAACACGTTCTTTGTGAAACTAATGGAAAGTGAAATCAGATGTGAAGTAGTCTAGGGTGTTTTCCTATTAGATTTAGATTTGACATTGAAGTCGATAATAAAAATTGAAATTAAACATATCAAGCACCAACACTTTTTAACACAGTAGCTTTTAGAGAAATGCAAAAGTTTCATATATCTCATGCAACTATTAGGCCTTTGATCTTGTTCAGCTCTACCAAGACATCTTTCATGTTCATCCGATCCGTCGGATGTTCTGCCGCGCACTTCAAACTCAACTCGAATACGGACACTACACATTGCAATGCCTTGTCAAATATATGATCCTCTGGATTCAGCAAATTGGCATCAACTATCTCATCCAATGACTCCGGAAGCAAGTCTTCAACCCAATTTTTTAAGCTCAAATCTCCTCGAAACATTTCGTCGCTTGGCCTTCTTCTAGTGAAAGTCTCCATCAACATGATTCCGAAGCTGTAAACATCGCATCTTGTTGAAACTAACCCTTCCAAACCATACTCTAGAAAATAAAATCATGTTAGTCTATGTAGTCGAAAAGACAAAATTGAAATGAACTTAGCAAATGTGCAAGGAAATGTGTGAGAAGATTAACCTGGAGCAATGTAGCCTAATGTTGCTAGAGTATTGGTGTGTACAATGCTCTCCTCCTCGCTGAGCAACTTAGAAATCCCGAAATCGCTCACATGAGCGACCAAATCTACATCTAACAAAACATTATTGGGCTTCAAGTCGCAATGAACAATCGGCGTTGAATAGCCATGGTGAAGATACTCCAATGCAGATGCAACATCAATCATTATGTTCAATCTTTGCTCGACATTGAGGCAATGGTTATCGGAGTATAACCATTTTTCAAGGCTTCCGTTGGGCATGTACTCGAGTACTAATGCCTTGAACTCCTCGTTCGAGCAACTTCCCATGATTTTCGTGAGATTTCTGTGACGAATGCTACGTAATACTTCACATTCTACATCAAAACTCTTGAAAGAAGCTTCTGATTGTAAGTTAAACACCTTCACAGCTAAGATCTTCCCCTCTCCAAAATCACCTTTGTAAACTGAACCAAAACTCCCAATGCCTAATAAATTGCTTTCGCCGAAGTTCTCAGTAGCTCGCAAGAGGTCATAGTAGGAAAATCTCTCGGGTACAATAGGCGCCATGCCATAAGTAGTGTCGATTTCCTTAACTTTCCTTTTATGTCTTATTAGAAAGATAAAGGCAAAACAGATCGCTGTGACTAATGCAATCACCGCCGCAGCAATGATTAATGCAAGTTTCACCTTTTTCGACATTGATTTCGACTTGGACCTTCTGCCGCAGGGTGGAACATGAAACTTATCAATTCCACACAATGCCTCATTTCCTATAAAAGATTCAGAATTGAACTTTCCAAAAGCACCTCCCGAGGGGATTTCTCCTGTTAGAGCATTGAAGGAGACATTAAAGTTTTTGAGGTATTGCAAATCCTGTAAAGATGGTGGGATAGTACCGGAGAGATTATTGTAGGACAAGTCGAGAACTTCCAAATTGATCATGCTTCCCATGGACACAGGAATGGAGCCTCCCAGATTATTATGATCCAAATAAAGTCTTCCTAAGGTTTGCAGCTTCACAACTGTTTCAGGAATTTCCCCAGAAAATCGATTCCCCGAGAGATCAATGGTATTTATCATTGTTAAATTACTGATCTCTGGTGGTAAAAATCCACTAAAGGAATTCTTGGACAAGGTCAACTCCAACAAGCTGTAGAGTTGCCAAATGCTCGGCGGTATGCTTGAAATCATCATGTTTGCATCCAGATGAAGATGTTTTAAAGATGTGAGATTTCCAAGACAATCTGGAATAGGCCCTGAAAACTCATTTTTATTCAAATATAAAGCAACCAAGCTGCGGGAATTGCACAGTCCCTCTGGAACAGAGCCTCTCATGCTGTTTCCATCCAGATACAATCCTTGAAGCATATTCAAATGTTCGACAGAATGTAGAATGTTACCGGTCAACGCATTTCTAGGTAGAGCAAGTGTCACCAAGCTGCTTAAGTTGCCAATTTCTGCAGGAATGCTCCCTTTCAGATCACAACCAACAGCCTCAAAGTTTTGAAGAGATTTCGACAAGTTTCCAACACTGGATGGAATGATACCGCCCAGGGGATTGTAGCTGATTGAGATGTACTTCAAACGTCTGCAATTTGTCAAGGAAGTAATGAAGCTCAATTCCGAAGAAGATGACTCAAACCTGAGATTGTTATAAAACAGATAGAGACCCTCAAGATTTCTTAGGCCACCAAAAGACAGGGGTACGACACCGGATAATTTGTTCCCAGCAAGCGAAACGATCCGAAGATTGGAGCAGTTGGATATAGAAGCAGGTATAGCTCCACTAAGGTTATTTCGTTCAAGATAAAGCTCTTCAATCAGAGGCAGCTTGTAGCCAAAATTTGATGGAAGAGAGCCTCCCAGGTCAATACGTGAAAGTGAAAGTATTACAAGTGTTGATATGTTAAACAGCCAGTGTGATGTCGAACATATGAAGTTGTTGTTATCTACTGCGAGGTACTCCAGATGGTTAAGTTTGCCAATTTCTTGAGGTAAATCACCTGAAATAATGCAGGTTAGTTAAAAATACAACTTTCTCTAATTTTAAGAAATCAGTGATCATATCATAATGCCTTCCAGACACACCTGTGAAGTTATTTTCTGAGAGATTCAATATCTGAAGCATTGTCAAATTCCCGATATCTCTTGGGAGGGTGCCAGAAAAATTGTTATAGCCAAGATGCAGTGTTTGCAGAGAAGAAATGTTGAAGATACTGAGGGGTACTGTGCCAGTAATACGGTTTCCTTCGACGCCAAACCTCCTCAGGTTTTGAAGCATGCCGATCTCTTCTGGAATCACACCTGTAAAAGAATGCAAACATTGAAGCATCAGAATCGAAGCAAGATTTTCTATAGTTGTAGACATGCAGGGCTACTATAATATAATACAAATCATTCATTTCGACGCAGCGTGGATGAGAGGTAACCTCTTAACATGTTGAACCCAAGATACAGACCCTCAAGAGACTGTATCTTGCAAAGCTCTTTAGGTATTTCTCCCATAAAGAAGTTGGAAGACACGGACAGGCTCTTAAGTGTCGAGCATTTCGAAAGACTCAAAGGAATTTGGCCGGTAAGCCTGTTGTATGATAGGAGCATTTTTTCAAGAAATGGAAGGTTGCGGCAGATGTCGATGTGATCAAGATTCCCATTCAATTGATTAAATGTGAAAGCCATTCCCTTGAGGCTTGACAGGTTGAATATAGATAATGGTATAGGACCTGATAGCTGATTATTTACCAAACTGAGGAACTGCAAGCTACGCAGGTAGCCCAGCTCTTCCGGAATGGTTCCTTGTAAAGGATTGTGTGAGCAATCAAGCATGACAAGGCTTGTCAAATTGGAAATGGAAGTCGGGATGGAACCTGTGAAGCTGTTATTTTCCAAAGAAAGAACTTCCAACTTAGGTAAATGGCCAATCCAAGAAGGTATCTCCCCGCTGAAGTTGTTTACCCCGAGAGAAAAGGTCTTCAACCTGTGAAGTTTAGACAGCTCTTGAGGCAATATGACACCCAAAGAGTTGTATCCGAGGTCAAGGGACACGAGGAAAGAAAGGTTCCCTAGATGAGGTGGGATGGTGCCCGTGACGCCCATGTAGGATATGTTCAGTGCAGCCACTCGATGATGACGGATGCTGCAAGTGACACCAATCCAAGAGCAGACCGAGCTTGAATCAGTCCAGTTGGTAGTGATGATTCCAAGAGGATCTGAAGTGATACTTGTTTTGAGAGCAAGAAGAGCTGATTGATCGGTGGCGATGTTGGTGGAGGTTGCTGCTGGACAAGGCATTTTGGAGATGATCACTAAGACTAAGAGTAGGAGTATTCTGAAAACAAACATCCTTATTCTCCCCATGCTTGTAATCTTCGTGTCGAGGCTGGCTTTTGGTTTTTTTTCAAATTCTCGAATATAAAATGAATGCTAAATTTCATGGAGTTCCTTTATAAAATAGCTGTCATCGTCCGGCAACTGGCACTTGACTTTGCATGAGGACAAGAGACTTAAGTCTCCCCTCCCCTTGGCGATGACCTCGCAATTTGTTATTTCATTTACCATTTATTAAGCTTGTGGGAGTAAATCTTCCTTTTACCAAAGATTTCGAGTGAAATTTCTAGTTTGACAGCGCTCTGGACGTAGATTAGTTTGGATCGAATTGAATAGCCAAATTCTTTTCAAGTTTCATATGGTTCATCTTTGGTTCTTGGTAATATTTTGGTAACATCATTAAGTTTGTTATACTTGCTGTGATGAACTCGTACTTTATTTTTCCATTCATCATTTATTACCTAGCAAGACATTACTCTGGCTAGAATTCACGTTGTACCTTGGGGGTTGAATATATTCCAATGCAGATTGGTTGGCTGGAAATGTTTTGGTACTGAGACATCAGTTTTGTCTTTCACCATAAATCCAGTTGACCAGCAAAATGTATACCTCAATGTAGACATTTATAACGTCTGAAGTTGTCTATAAGTGTAAAAACAGAGTTAAGAAATACTTTTTAGAAACGTATTTGTTAAGTCTTGGAAAATGAATGAATGTCTAAACGGAGATATAGAAAACATCCAAACAAAGAAAATTCTTGGAAATTAAGATTTTCAATCACGTATGCGTGTTAACTATTTTGTTGTTATTAGATTCATCCACGAATGATGGCTGTCATTTTGAACTATTTTCTTCGAAGAAATGTGTCTTTCCTGTAATATTGAAAAGATATTACATAGTTTGTATAATACATACATATCAACACAGCAGCTTCAGAGAAATGCAAACAATTATAAGGATTTCACCCAACTAATAGGCATTTGATCTTGTGCGGCTCGACCAAGACATCTTTCATGTTCATCCGATCCATCGGATGTTCTGCACTGCACTTCAAACCCAACTCTAAAATGGATGCCACACATTTCAATATCTTGTCAAATCTATGCTCCTCTGGATTCACTAAATTGGCATCGATTACCTCATCCAACGACTTTGGAATCAAGTCTTCGACCCAATTTTTTAAGCTCGAAACTCCTTGAAACATTTCATCGCTTGGCCTTCTTCCAGTGAAAGTTTCCATCAACATGAATAGCTGTACACATCACACCTTGTCGAAACTATCCCTTCCAAACCATACTCTGAAACAAAGTCACATTAGAATGGAAAGTAGAAAGATAAATGAATAGACAAATGTATGAAGCATGGAAGAGTTTCACCAGGTGCAATGTAACCGAGCGTAGCAAAGGTGTTAGTGAGTGTGACGCTGTCACCATCACCTAACAATTTGGCAATTCCAAAGTCGCTTACATGAGCAACCATGTCCACATCCAGCAGGATATTGCTTGGCTTCAAATCACAATGGACTATTGGAGGTGAGCAACCATGGTGGAGATATTCCATCGCGGAGGCAACATCAATCATTATGTTCAACCTCTGAGAGACATCTAAAAAATCATTTTGAGAATGCAACCATTTCTCAAGGTTTCCATTCGGCATATACTCGAGTATTAATGCCTTGAATTCCTTATTGGAGCAGCTGCCCAAGACTTTGGTGAGATTACGGTGACGAATGCTGCGCAATACTTCACATTCCACATCAAAACTATTGAAAGCAGATTCTGATTGTAAGTTAAACACCTTCACAGCTAAGATCTTCCTCTCTCCAAAATCAACTTTGTAAACAGAACCGAAGCTCCCCACGCCTAATAAGTTGTTTTCATTGAGCTCTTCAGTTGCTTTCAAGAGTTCATAATATGAAACTCTCTCTGGTAAAACCGGCATTAGCTCATTAAATCTACTTCTTTCTTTGCCTTCTTTTCTATACCTTACTATGAAGATGCAAGCCAAGACAACAATGATGAAAACAGTAGCCCCGCATGAAATAAAAATTGCCAGGCGAGCCGTTCTCCTCCTCAGTCTCGAGCAAGGTGTGACATGGAACTGTTCAATGCCACATAATCCCTTATTAGCTTTAAAGGATTCACCAGTGAAGTTTCTGAATGGACCATCGCTGGGGATTTCACCTGTTAATGAATTAAACGACACATTAAAGTAGTTAAGCTGCCGTAAAGCCTCCAAAGACTTGGGGATTGGACCAGAGAGTTTGTTGTAAGACAAGTCTAAGTTTTCCAAACCAATCATGCTCCCCATGGACATAGGAATCGAACCTTTAAGTTCATTATGCCCCAGTGAAAGTACATTAATATTTTCCAGCTTCCCAATTGTGCTTGGAATAGAACCTGACAGATTGTTCATTGAAAGATTCAAAATGCCAATGCTCACTAAATTACCAATCTCTGGAGCAATGAACCCACTCAACGAATTCCCGGAAAGCTCCATTAGCAGTATATCTCTGAGGCTCCAGAGGCTCAAAGGTATACTCGATGTCAGCATGTTAGAATCAAGAAAAAGAACTCTTAAAGATGCAACATGTCCAAGACATTCTGGAATTGGACCTGAAAATCGATTTTTGCTCAATCCTAAATAAGCCAAGCTGAGGACATTGCACAAAGCCTCTATAGAGCCTCCCATCTTGTTGTTTACGAGATATAATCCCTGAAGCTTATGCAACTGTTTGACAGAAAAAGGTATCTCACCAGTCAACTCATTATTGTCTAACCTCATTTTTACCAGCTCGCTTAAGTTGCCAATTTCTGCAGGTATGACACCCTTGATTCTACAACCAAGGGCATTAAAATTCTGCAATGATGATAAGTTTCCTATAGAAGATGGAATGTCTCCATTCATCAGAGGATTCTCTGCAATCTCCAAGTGAGTCAAAAACTTGCAATTAGCTAAGGAAGTAATGAAGCTCAATTCTTGAGTGGATGACTCAATCCTAAGATTGTTGTTGGCCAATTGAAGTCTCTCGAGGAGTCTTAGGTTGCCAAAAGAGTGAGGTATCGAACCAGTGAATTCGTTACTACTAAGGGCGAGGATCTTAAGATTGGAACAATTAGAGAGGGAGTGAGGTATTTCTCCTGTAAGGTCATTCTGATCTAAGAGAAGAGCCTCAATAGCCGGAAGACCGTAGAATATATTTGATGGAAGACTGCCCGCCATGCCAGTTTTAGAAAGTGTAAGAATTCGAAGAGTTGACATGTTGAAGATCCCTGCTTCAACCATACCAGACAAGCTCGTATACGCCAATGATGCTTCCTCCAAGCTTTGAAGTAGGCTAAATTCTTTTGGTAAAAGTCCTGCCATTATTATCCGTTGTATAACAATTGCATATATAGAAACCAGAGAATCTGTAAGACTAGCTAGCACTTAACTGACAATATTCAAACCTGTTAAGTTTGTGTCTAAGAGATATAAATACTTGAGCATTGTAAGATTTCCTATCTCTCTTGGGAGGCTTCCGGTAAGATAATTGATTCCCGGTATTTCACCTGTAATCCTGTTTGCTTCTATGGTGAACAAATCCAAGTTGTGAAGATTGCCAATGTTGGGTGGGATAACACCTGTCAAAATTCAACAATGAATACCATATTTGAAGAATAAGATTGATCAATACTCCACAGGATAAGAACTAACCAGTTAAATCATTGTCCCGTAAATCCAACATTCTTAGAGTTTGCTTACATTCTTAGAGTTTGCAGCCTAACAATTTCTTCAGGTATCTGCCCACTAAAGCGGTTGCTGTACAGGCTCAACATCTGAAGTTGGGAACACTCCAATAAAGATGATGGGATTCGGCCACACAGCCTATTCGAACCAAGGTAAATTCTTTTAAGAATTGGAGCGTTGCGACACATGTTAGCTGGAAGACTCCCATCTAATGCATTTTGTGTGAAAGCTACGGTTTCCAGGGTGGACACATTGAATAAAGACGATGGAATTGGACCTATTAGTCGATTTTCCTGCATGCTCAAACGCACAAGGCTACCAAGGTTCCCCAACTCTTCCGGGATTGTCCCCTGTAATGAATTGAAAGTGAAATCCAGCACTTGGAGATTGGACAGGTTGGACAAGGAGATTGGGATGGAGCCTGTAAAGCTGTTATTTCTCAGCTGTAAGAACTTCACTTTTTTCAAAAGGCCGAGCGCCGGTGGAATCAGCCCACTAAAGTTGTTAAGCTTTGTAGTCAAAACCTTCAACCTGCGCAGCCGAGACAACTCCTGAGGTAAGCTGCCACTAAAATGGTTGAAGCTGAGGTTGAGAGACACTAGGAATGACAGGTTTCCCAAATGAGGGGGGACAGTGCCGCTGAGATTCATTTGGGAGATATCCAGCGCAGCCACACGACGATGGCGGATGCTGCAAGTGACACCAATCCATGAACAGACTGAGCTTGATTCAGTCCAATTGGTGGTGATGATTCCACGAGGATCTGAAGTGATGCTTGCTTTGAGAGCAAGAAGAGATGATTGATCGGTGGCGATGTTTTTCAAGGTTGTTGCCAGACAAGGCAATTGGGAGATGATCAGTATGAGCAAGAGTACTCTGAAAACAAACATGCACAATGTTCTCTCCATGATTGTAATGTTTGTTTGTGCAATGAATTGCCAGTTCTGAATTAAGCTTATATATATATACATATATATGTATAATGTATTTTAGATTGCTCAGGCTGTTGTCATGGACTGTGTTCAAACTGCATATCAATGGCGTTTTCCACACACAATTCCCACTCGTCTCCATACCTCTAAACAAAAAGAAGCCTTCAATCCAAGTTTATATATATATATATATATGTATATGTAGACATCATTGTGTGTTTCACAATGAACCCTGAAGTGCAGGCCAACTCAGCAAGCATTATGTTGATGTGTTAAAACACAAAATCAAAGCTTTGTTACCTTGTCGGTGGTAATCGATAGTCTTTCATACAGTGATAAATCCAATTGAACTTACCAATTTCCATATACACACAACACGTTCAAAGTTGAAACTTTTTGTTCATCAATAATTTTGGTTGTGTTTTTTTGTGGCTTTTTATTAGGATTCTTTTTTCCCTCAAAAAATATCACATTAAAAAAAAAAAAATTATGTTATACTACTAATTTATTTTACATTCAAAATATTACATTTAACCTCTGTATATCACATCAAACAACTATTCAAATTTTACTTTTTACCATTCAAAAATTTAAATTCAAAAACTAAAACCCACAAACAAACACAATATCTTCTTTTATTTACAAAACATCATATCATCTACGAATTCGTTACTATTTTCAAAACTTCTATATAAATGAATATTTTGGCATCAAAATATACTATTGACAAAATAAATAACTTTTAACAATTTTGCATATCTATATTTTGTTAGTAATTTTGGTGTATTGGACTTATTCAAAACCAATAGAGGTTTGAATTAAGTAAAATTGGGGATGGAAAAGATGGAGTGTGCATGTGGAGACTTAATTTCAAAATGATCATAAGTTAAGACAAGTAAAGGAATAGGACATTAGGACACATTAGGACATAAAAAATAAAAAAAATAAAAAAGAAATAAAAGAAAGAAAAGAAGAAGGTAATAGGACATAAATCTTGGAGACATAGGCAACTTGTAAATGTAAATTCAAGTCAATATTTGAAATTGAAACATTACATGTTTTCATTTTGAACAAAAGCAATGCATTTTATTGGGTTTTAAATGACAAATCTTTGATAGTATTTTGGTCAATATAAAGTAATGTCCAAATCTTTTTAATTGTAAATCCAAAACAGTATCCCAACGTGCTATCGATCAAAATTTACAGTTAATATATATGGTCTACAAAGTGGAGCACTTGTTTTGTAATAATTTCATTCCATTGAGTGAAAAGCCTATATATGTTTGAACTATAATGTGGTCAAAGAATTCCTTCACATCCAACATTTCCTTCCATTTTTGGTAACACCGACATGATAATAATAATTATATATATATATATATATCTCACTAAAAATTACCGTTGGAAAGAGCAATCAAAGACAAGACAAGATGGATTGTTGTTGCCACCAATCTGTTCAACAAAAAACTAAAATAAATGAAACCCTAGTCTTCTTCACTGCTTAATTTCCAGTTGCTGCAAATTCAAACCTCCACCATAACCATGAAATATACATAATCAACCATATGGAAGCATCGCAGGGCAAATCTCCTTCGGCAGCCAGCATATGTGCGTATGTATATATATATGATTAGCCTTTCTCCCGAAGGGAGAATTGCCCTGTAATAAATCCACACAAATTTAAACTGAGAATCATATTTTGGTGATGATTTTCATATTTTAATTTCAATGCTGATGATCGCTTGCGTCTAAGTATGGATGATTTATAAAAAGTAAGTATATTATGGAGCATATTCTCTCTTGCATTCACCATTAATCTAACAAAGACGTGTAGAAGATATCAACTCTCCACCCTTTCAATTTAACGAGTAAATTAATAAAAACACTTACAGAGAGTTGCTAATTCGATTGTTCAAATTAGTTTTGGAATGAGATGAGGAAGATGGTGAAATAGATATATCGGAGAAGAAAGCATATACCATTTCACCTTCAAGCATATCCCCCACCAGTTGCCAATCCACGTGGCGCATATCTGGCCAGCCATCCATCCGTACATATGCAAATCATTTGGTAAATAATATATTTCCCAAATTAATTGTTCAGACGGATTTTTTTTTTTTTTTGAGGTTTTTGGAATTTTTAAAAATTTTAAAAAATTAAAAAATTAATATTTGATTTGATGTTTTAAGAAAAATAAAAATAAAAATTTGATTTGATATTTTTTAAAAATAAATAGTATCAAATAAATAAAAATATATTGCGTAAACAAAACCGTGTCATTTTAGTATAGAACAAAATATTGTGTAAGTAATAAAATGGATAAGTAAAATTTCTTGAAATTGGCATGTTGAATCAATAATACTATATTTTATTTTATGAGAAATAAATGGTGAGTTTGGTTGGTAATTTTTTATTTCAAATTATTTGCTCCCTCGTCCCACCTACAGTGTCTGCTATACTGTAGACATTTTATTTTTAAAATGGTGTAATCAGTAGATAATGAAGAAGTAGATAATGAAGAATATATTAGTGAAAATAATTATCCTATAATATAAATAATTATAAATTAAGATTAAGATAACTAATTAATTTAATTAAAATTTAAAAAAATAAATTAAAAAAGTTTAAAATGAGATTAAAGTGTATAATATTTTTAAAAAAGAAAAGTGACATGGTACGTGGGACGGACAGAAACGGCAACGTGGACATGTATGTGGAACGGAGTGAGTATTAATTTTATGAAAAAAAATATATATATTTTTATCAAAAAAATAGTAAAAACAAAAATACAAATTAAATTACATCCAAAAATTTTCATTCAACATAGACAATGAATAGAATAATTTTATTTATTCAGGAATAATTATTGTAAAAAAAAAAAAAAAAAGACTAATTCCAAATGCAGTTTTGGCCCATCATGATTTTTAAAATCAAATGTACTTTGTAAGGTGGCTCTCCATTGGGACTATTCCCATATTTTTTTATATTTCAAAAACGTTACATATTTAATTTTCAATAGTAGAGTACAAATTGATTTTTAGTTTAAAACACCTCATCAAATAAAGTACATACTAAACTCAAAATTTTATTATTCTCAACATCAAACACTATTTCCAACCCCACATAATTTTTCTTTCTTGTCTACTTTTTGTATTATTTTTTTAAAAAAATAGTAGTTGAATATGAAATTTTATAAAATAGCAAAGATTGCATAGTAAGAAAATAGATACAACCCTATCTATTGTGACCATTATCGAGATATTAAAAAATAATAAAAATAATAATAATAAATAATATAATAAGGATTTAAATTATGTACTACTTGTTAAAAACTCATAAACTCTATTGGTTTACCTGTCGTAGGACTTGCCTAGTCTAAAATGATGTAGTTTGAAAATAATTGCATTTGAAATATATATATATATATAGTAAAAATAAATAAATACTATTAATATGATAATTTTGTGGGAAAAAATGTTTAATAAAATATTTTTATAAAAAGTTACTAATTGACCTTATCAAAATTTTCAAAAATATACGCATAATTAAACTGAATCTTATTCATTTTGTTGTATTAAATATTTATATTAACTTTTGTAATAATATAAGTATTACTTTTGTTGTCCCAATTCAATATGTTATGTTTTTTTTTTATATATAATAGATTAAAAAAATAATAGTATTTAATCAGAAAAAAAAAATTATGTTTGACATTTTTATTTTTATCAATACAAAGAAAAATAATATTATCTTCGTCCGACTTTAGGCTCTCATTTACTTTATTGTGTGTTGAGTTTTGAATATTAATTATTATATCAAAATGTAGTATAAATTAAAAAAAAAAATTGTAAAAATACTTTCATTAGCTACAATGATATTTGTACAAAAAAAATTATACAAACATAATAATATTTTTAATGATAAGACAATGAAGTAAAAAGTAAATGTAACACGACGGATGAATATTTTTGTAAAACTTACAAGTATTATCATATTTATATTTATATATATATTAAAATAGAAAATTAATACTAAAAATAATAAATAAATAAAAAATACTTTTAGTTTAGATGGAAAAAATATAAAACAAAATTTAGGCGATCAATTAATTATATCAATTATTGCTTAGGTATTATTTGAGACGTTGCAACTAACTCTTGTTATTATTAGCATTCTTTTCTAACACAAAACTTTGTCTGTTTATAGTTATTATTTTATTTATAGTACATATTCAATATATATTTCAAAATTCTATTTAACAATTATTTTCAATTAAAAAATACTCAAACTAAAAACATGAGTATAAACACACTCATCATGTTCAATGTTTATTTGTTTACTAAAATATTTTTTTAAAACTTTTCAAAATAATTAAAGAGATCCAAACAAGAAATTAAAATAAAATGTGGCCTAGAAAACAATATAATACTCCCTCCATTCCTTCCCGAACACCCTGCAATATTTTTTTTTGGTATATCTCAAATATCCTGTAATATTTTAAAAAATAATTAATTATATTTAATCTCTATCTCATACTTTATCCTCTCACATCATCCAAATAAAAAAAAATATATATATTTCTTTTTCCATTATATCATTTAATTTCTAAATTATTCTACTTTAATATTATTCACCTAAAAATTCGTATAAAAAACAAATGTTGCATCTTATTTGGGACCGAGGGAGTAATACACTTACATGTAAAAAGCAACAAATGTTGGGTTCTAAGCTTCCAATCATGCTACCCATGTCTTCTCCACCAACCAAACACGTCCTTATCACACACACACATAGATATATACATACATTATACATACATATACATCTATATATGCACACAGACACATCATCATCATCGTTATCATCATTATCATCATCATCTCTGTCCGATAATTGACACTTTCTTCCAGTTCTGTAAAATCAAACAAATGGCTGAGGAGGAAACGTCGTCCATCTCCGAGCCTAATTCATCCCCACCCGACGACGATGATGTCTCCGTCTCCGTCTCCGGCTCGGCCGGAAGGAGAATTCAGCTGGTTTCCCGGTCGGTATCGGACCGGCTGCTGTCCAAATTCTACGATGTCTCGGAATTCAACTTCGACTACACGCAGAGCGGGCTATGGTCGCCGCCGGTCGAAAGAAGCGTGTTTCTAAATTCGCCTGGACGCCTTTCCACCAAACACGACTTTGCCGCTAAGCAAAGAACCGTTCTGGAAAGCCACGCCCGAAGACGAAGAAGATCTCGCCTTTCTTTCAATGTACGTACATACGACGTCGCATCGTATTGCCCTAATTATTCACGCACGAAACGAAACTGCGTCGTTTTGACCGCTAATTATTTGTTGCAGGCTTGCTTGTGTTCTCCGAGAAGGTTTGGACAGTAACTAAATTAACAAAAATTCTCGATTCTGGAATTCCAACCAGTTCCATAAATGGCACTGCACAGTATGTACTGCTAACCCTCGTTTTCTTTATTTATCCAAATTGAAAAATATATATATATAGATATGAACCAGTATTAATTAAGATTATTGCTTGTATAAGTGAATTCGACGTGCTCTTCATCTCCTTCTCCATACTCCATTTTTTTTCTTGTAATTCTAGGAAGTAAACAAAGGCATATTCTCTGCACGCTGTTCTAAATCCATCAGACTTAGTACATTTGCAGTTCGTCTTCTTTCTTTTCTAAATCAATCAATGGTAGCAAAAAAAAAAAAAAAAAAAGGAATAAAACCAACCTGACAGTGTCTACTGAATTAAGCAGCGGTGTTTTTCAACAGCGACAGTCGGTCTCGTCTCGTTCAAATTCGAATATGGAAGAAGATAAAAGCGCATTTCTTAGAACCTCGTTTTTTCATCAGAGTCGCTAATTCAAAACTTCTTAATGGGCCTCCTTCTTGGGCCTAACATTCAAGCCCAAGCACAGGTCGTCTTCCCCAATTCATCCACACGTATACATACATATTATATATCTATACATGGATCAGAAATGAAGTGAGCTTTTTATTGAGAAGTCAGCATCAAGTTTGAAGTTAAATGTGCAGAAATGAGGAGGCATTATATTGCCATTTCATGGGACACTCCACATGCACATGCACTCCAGAGGTGGAGGCAAGGGTGGGCTGCAGCCCCTCCTCTCCCCACCCCACCCCACCCCACTTTTTTTTGTTTACTTATTTACATTTATGTATTTTTTTTCTTACTTAAATATATATAATATAGAAAAAATTGAGTAAATAAAAAAAAAATTATAATTTATCTGAATAAAAAAAATTACAAAAATAAATATTTATAATATATAACTATTATTATTATTATTATTATCATACCTGCGTTATTTGTATTTATTTTCTTCAAAATATATATATATATATATATATAAAAGATGTTGGTTAAAATATCCCTCAATTTACGAACCCTGTCGTCAATAATTAATGCCTCCATAATTAATGTCCCTCTCCGATGTGTTCATACAGTAATTACTAAACCAGTACAAATATATTTTTTTAAATCTTTATTTATTATTATTATTTAGTTATTGTTATTATTGTTATTAATTGGTTAATCCAAATGCAATGTTTCTGTATATGTTTTGACCAGGTCGTTGACTCATTCCTTTCTTCTTGTTAATTATTTTAATTAAAAACAGTTGGTCACTTCAAGTTGATTAAATGCATATTATATTATTTTAAGTAGTAATAATAATTATTGCTATTATCAATGATGATAGTTAGTTAGTTAATGATGAGTTTTTTAATCACAAAATAATTAGTATTTAATTTGTACTAATGAAGCATATATAATAAATATACTATTTTTCTTTTTTTAAAAAAAAAAAGATGTTAAAAAAATTTCACAAAAAAAAAATGAATATTTTTTTTACCTATTACAATTTAAATTTAAAAACATTTCACCTTAATAAAACAAAATACTTATCGATCGTGTACGAGTTTAACATTGAAAATTATAAATAATAGTACAATGTTTTTAATTTTGCAAGACCAAATCAAACCATCAGGCAACTTCATTGAACTTTCCAATATTAGTGATTTAAAACTATTACTAATATTTTTAGCAAATCACAAAAATAAAATGATTTGACTTTGTTATAAAATGGATGATTATTATAAGCAATGGTTAGGTGTTAATTAATTGTAATCAATATATTATCAAATATCAATATACAAATTAATCATGCTCCTATAAAGAATGACTTGATAGTATGAAGATGAATTTGTGACTGTATTTCTTCGATTTTGAAATAATTTTATTCATCCCAGAATAATAATCCACACTGTATAATTTAATTTAATTCAATCACATGAGAAGTAACGGTTCATGTGTTTTTAGTCAAAAAAATAACATTGAATATTACTATATACTTATATTATCACTATCACATACTTACATACATAGGTTTAGTCAAAAAAGTGCTTCTATTTAAATATACTTGGAAATAAATTTAGTCAAGACTGTTAAAAGAATTCAATTTTATTTTTCTTTCAATTTTACATTGTTCTAATATGTACCGATCTTAATATAAATATATTATTTATTCTTACAAAAATATTTAAATAAATAACAAAAATATTATTTTAATGACAATTTTAGTAATTATTTAAAAAATTACAAAAATTCATAAACATTAACAAAAAAAAAAATAACCATAATATTATGTGAAGAAAATAATATTTTTATTAAAAAATCTGAGTGAAAAAGTTCTATTGTGAAAAGAAAACTCAGACCAAACAACTTAATCTTAGTGTTGAAAAATAAAAGTCAAGTTTGTTTTATTGGAATTTTTTTAAATCTAACATTCCATTTTTATTATTAAAAAATTAAAATTAAAAATTCACCTTTCTGAAAAATTGATAGCAGATAGAAATCCTTTAAAAATTCAAATATCACAAATTATAAAGATAGCAATAAAATTGAGATAAGAAGACCTTGTATAGATATTCAAAAAAAATAAATTAGAACATTTTGGGAGTAGTTAAAAAAAAATGTATTTTTTCGGTTTGATTGAATTTAAAGATTTAAAATTTTTATTTATATAATAATTCATCTTTTCTAATTTGAAGGATCATTTATATAATTTTTATCTGATTCATTTAAAAATCTCTTTCTATTATAGTAAAAATATTTATATTCTTATCAATAAAATATTATTATTTATTAATTTATTATAAAATTCTAAAAGAATACATTAGAGTAGGAGAAAAAAGATTTATAATATGATTGATTATAACAAAAAGATAGTACAGTATTTTTTATTTTATTTTTTTCGAAAATACATAATACAAATAATAAAAAGATTCACACCCATATATTTCCAAAAGTAATTTTGAAATAAAATAAAATAAATAAATAAAACCAAGCCTTACAATGGCATGTGATGATACCAAAGCTCAAAACTCAAACACAGTACCCAATGCTCTCTCTCTGTTATATTCTAGCCATATGGTAGGCCCCTCTTCCTTTGACTTCAACCAACCCTTTCCCTCAATATTATTATTAATTTCTTCGTATTTCCCATTTCTATGCATCTCAAAATTCAATATTTAATCCAATAAAAATAATAATATCTCAAAAGTAACTAATACTCTCTCCGTCCTATTTTAAAAGAGATATAATTAGTAAATAATTAAAAATATATTAGTAAAAATAATTATAAATTAAAATTAAGATAACTAATTAATTTAATTAAAATTAAAAAAAAATAAAATTAAAAAGTTAAAATAAATTTAAAAAAAAAATGATATGGTACTTGAAACTGTTAAAAACGACAACATGGATATTATACATTAGACAGTGGGAGTAATGAATATTCTTAAGTCCAGACATGCACAAAATAACCACCACTGTGCAAGAAGACCGCCCACCACTCCCAGAACCAAATGAATGACACTTTATACTTTTCACGGAAATTAAGGTTTTAACTTTCCTACCCTTCACAATTATTATTATTTTTTTTTTTAGGATTTTGAAATTGTGAAAGTTTGAAAAAAAAAAAATAATACTCCCTTAGTTATTCAATTATGTGCTTATTTAATCGGATATAAATTTAAAAAAAAATATGAAAATAAAATTTTTTACTTTTTCTTAAAAAATAATATTTTTTACTAAAAAAATATAAATAAATTTAAATGACAATTAAAAAAATGATAATAAATTTACATGATAAAAAAAATAATTAGTATTTAATTTAATATTTTATAAAAAAAATAATTAATATAATATTTTTTGAAAAATAAATAGTGCTAAATAAATAAAAATGCATTGTCTGAACAAAAGTTGATGTCAGTCCCAGTTAATTAATGCCGTCATCTTCAAAATCAATTTCGACCGTCAAATCTTCCGCCTTTTCACCAGACATAGACGGTCCAGATCGCACCGGCGTTCCTGATCCGGGACCTCCATTCATTTACGTACTCCCCATCCCTAAATCTCCGCCTTCACACCTGACGGTGTCTGCGAAAATTGGCCGGCACCTAATTTTGCCTCCACGCGGCTTCTTACCGTAAATAAATTCTCCCTGTAAAATTCTCTCTCTCTCTACAACTTTCTCACTCTATATGTATTTGTGTGTATATATTATATATTGTCTCTTATTACGAGTCAGAGCTTACGTGTAGTGCAGACTCGGAAGCTCAAATTTGACTTGGCCTTAACTAACTTGTGCTACAAGGTCTTCCCCTTCAATTTCCCCCATCACGCGTTCCTCTCTCCACCCCATTTTCTCTCTCTATATCTATCTATATATATATATTGTGTATGTATTATCATTTTGTGTATATATAGGGTTTCATTACCTAAAATCATTCTCTCAAACCCTCTCCTCGCTCTAAAACCCTCAACCCCAATTTTCTAATTATCTCACACCTCAATTAATATGGCTCCAAAGTTTGCTCTTTTATTGATTTTCTTGGCGGCGCTTTCCGCCGTCGTGTTGCCGGCGAATGGGCGGAAACTCCTGACGAACGGCGTCGCCGCCGCGCCGGAAAATACGGCGCCGGCGTTCGACGCGAAGCTGTACTTGACGGCGCTCCCGAAGGGCCGGGTCCCGGCGTCGACCCCGAGCAAGAAAACCCACGGCGTCCCCGTCGACGAGAAGCTCGCCGCCCGCCACCTCGCCGCCGTCGACCGGATTCTGCGGTCCGTCCCGAGTCCCGGCGTCGGACACTAGAGATAACATTTGACCGTTGAAGTTTTTGGATTCTTTTGCCCGTGGATCGGCCTGTGTTAATGATCGGCGAGGTCCGGGACCTTTGATTGATTCATTAGTTAGGAACTGTATGTACTTATACAGGGAAATTGTGTATAGCTATACTTCCATAGGATAGAGGAAAATTAAAAATTTCCCATTTTTTTTTTGTTTTGGAGATTGATCGTTATATGTATTTTATTATTAAATTAAATATTCTTTTGATTATTGAGATCTAGCTGTTTTTATTTATCCGAAAGCTGCCGGAAAGATCAGCTCATACATTACATACAGACATTAATATTTAATATTTTGGATTTTGCTAATTCTTGTATGCATGGAATGGAAAATTGTCATTTATTTATTTTAATAAATTCTGCATATATACATAGTAAAATTATTGTGTTAGTAGAAAAAAGATGATCAAGAACGCGTTTTTTAGAAGCCCTTTTCCAATCTCTAAGCTGTCGGCAGCTTTTCTGGAAAGCATTGTCTGAAAATTATGGTTGACAGTATATACATATATTATATGTATATATATTGTATCTATATATTCATATATGTGTGTGTGATTTTGAGTGAATGTCCACAGCCATAGGAAGTGTCGAAACAAAATCATTCCATTCAGAATCTCAACTATAATCATAGTGGGATTGAGTTTATTGATTGTCCCATAACCATAATTAAATTATATTAATCAAGTTTCAACCATATATATATAAACTACATATATAGTTCTATTTTTATTCTAAATTACCATATTAAAAAAAAAAAAAAAAGAAGCAATAATTACTTTGATGGAGTTTAATTGAATATATATATGATACACTTTTTGAAAAATGGAATTTATAAAAGGTGTGGACTTTATCAAGCCTTATTAGTGGAAGATTCTTGAAGAACAATGAATGGTTTCCAAGTTTAGTGGGATTCAGTTCAGTTCTGGGCATTTTTTTTAATTTGTTTTTTTTTTTATTATTATTATTTAATAATCATAATCACAATTATAATTATATGATTGTTTCAGTTTATTTAATTCATTTGTGCAATAAATTGGATCGTTGATTCATTTCTAAGAGAATAAATTCACATTCTGTCTATATACCATTTATGGTTATTATTAGCTGTGCTTGTGTATCACTGATTAATTATTTGTCTAATAATAATAAAATGATAATATAGAATCTTGTGGGTAGTCAAATTAAATTAAAGTAATGGACTGTAAGGAATTGAAGATGCACCAGTAATCAGTCTTCAGATGCTGCTTTGCAACTTTATTTATTTATTTTATATTTTAGGGTTTAGAATTAGATGATCCATCAATAATATATATATCGAAATCCCTCAAAGATACATACATAACAAGATTGATGATTCCATTTGCATGAGAGGATGATAAGTAAAGTAGGGGGGGGGGGGGGGTGGGGAGGGGGTTGAATGAAATATTGCAAAATCCCACAATGGGGTGTCGATCGTTTGTTTTCCTTTTGATTATTTATGAATAAGTAGGGTATATATTATTTAGGTTTGTTTGTTCAAAAAATAAAATAAAATTTCGACATGATTTTCATAATATATATATATTTTACAAAAGTTACATTCAACAGAAAATATTACTTTATTTTTTTTATATTAAAGATATGATTCTTTATAATTTATACATAAAAATAAAAAATAAAAATAAAGTAAACACACTACACAAACAAACCCAAACCCAAACCTTATATCTATTTTATTAATATTAATTTGGCTTTAATTATTTTTGTTATTACGGTTAGCAATTAACATTTTATTCCTTCACGTTTGACATATGTATGTGACAAATGATTGTCAAAATTAATTCGGTACAGTGTGAAGGGAATTACAAGTTTGAATACTACTAATAATAATAATAAACTTTGGTACTGCCGAGGGTTTACGCAGTGCGCATTTTTGGGTAACGGTGCGGGTTTTTACGATCATTCAAAATAATAATAATAATAATAATAATAATAAACTTTTGTACATTAAATATATATTTTTTTACTACATAACTTATTACTCCCTCCGTCCCAATACAATAGTCTTGTTTACTATTTTTCCGTCCCAAAATAATAGTTTTATTTTCATAAATTATCATATCATCATACATGCAAAAGGACAAAAAAGTTTTTTATCTATATTTTTTTATCAACTATCAATATAATATTAATATTTTTTAAATTTTGTATCCAACTCAATTAAAACTATAATTTTTGGAACTGATAGAGTATAATTTACTTAAAAATATATGTCATATTTAGTGGTATTTTAATTAATTAGAAAAATAAGTAAATAAAAAGTTGAAGGAGGAAGAAGTAGAGCACGTGATTGCCTACAACTTAGACATCAATCAATCAATCAATCATTGTCAATAATAATAATAAATAAATAAATAAAAAATCCATTTAGATTTTTGGTTTGAAAATTATTCATCAGTACATTAATGACGATCAATGAATGTCTGCCAAGCCACAATTTCAGACACCTAAGTTTGAATATTTTTATAATATTCACAGTCACTGACACACACCAATTAATTAATTAATCTCACATAAAATTCAACTCTAATGCTCCTGCTCCACACCATTTAGTCAATTTTATTTTATTTTATTTTTAAAAAATAATACTTCCTCCGTCCCATATACCAAATTCACATTGTCGTTTCTGTTCGTCCCACATATCATATCATTTTCTTTTTTGGAAAATAATTACACATTTTAATCTCATTTTAAATTTTTAAATTTTATTTTTTTAATTTTAATTAAACCAATTAGTTATTTTAATCTTAATTTATAATTATTTATATTATAGGATAATTATTTTTTACTAATATATTATTAATTATTTACTAATTACACCCCTTCTAAAATACCTTATCTACAGTGTAGTAGACACGTATCTGGAACAGATGGAGTAACATATAACATGTATTTTGTGCTGTCAGTTCATATTGTATGAATATATATATTTATAATTAATGAGATCAATTTTAGTATGTGTTAGGTATGAGTATTAAATTTTACGTACCCATAATTGGATATCTTTGTATGATACATACACATACCTAAGTACAGTCCATATTATTTAGTTTGCTTTACTTATATAGTGTACAAAAAAGTGCAAACCAGTTAGTGAGAGAACCCAAAATTGGGGAAAAAATAAAAAAAAAAATATATAAATCTAATTGAATTACGTGACAAGGGCTGCAAAATATTACATTATGCATATATTTTCATAAAGTAGAAGGTACGTACAATAATAATACTATAATACATGTTGCCACGTGCAATCGGACAAAACAGTCCCTTTGACTCATGCACATTATACGTAATAATATTACTAACCACAAGTGTATAATTGTTTGGTTTTATTTTTAATTATTGTATTATTCAAAAAAAATTGAATTATAAATTCATAAATTATTATTGTTATTATACAAATCATTATTTTTTGTATATAGTTATTACAAGTGAGATTGTGATGAAATTACTTCCAAGCTGTCAAGTTTGAATTTCCATTTACTCATATAAAAAAATTAAAAAATGGTAATATTATTTCATTTTCACATCATTCTTCTTTTAATTTGAAAAGTCACTTCACAATAGTTGTGTATTTTAATAATAAAATAGAATAAAAATGTATCAACAATTGCATCATAACAATAAGTTAAAACCATATTCAACCATATAATAAATTTCAAATTTGAAAAAAAATAATTGAAAGCCCAAAAGTCATGTCTATGTTAGAAACACCTTCTTTTTTTTTTTTTTTTTTTTTTTTTATGCATAGTGTTAGCTATTGATCAGCTCACCGACTTGTATATTATTATATTTTAAACACAATTTATATATTTATATAAAAACAAATAAATATCAAGAAATCTCCCATTATATATATAAACAAAATCTACATTCAATTATGAGTTTAACAGTATAAACATTTTAGAATTTTTAGTATTATTCATCACTAGTATTTTTTTTTTAAAAAAAAAATATATAATTTTATTTTTTTATTTAAAATATTATACTTCATTTCTCATTCAAATGTGGGCTCAAGTTTTGGATACAAATTTTAATATATATATATATGTTAGATGTTAAGAAATACTGCAGAAATTAACACAAAAAACAACTGGAATACTTTATTGAAGAATAAATTTGACTTTTAAAGAGCCATACAAATAACAAAACTACTGAAAAATTAGGCTAAGAATTAGGCCACTAAGCATTTATTTAACTGAATATCAAGACTAAATCAAACTAGCTAAAATAACTCTAACAAACTCTAAATAATAGTTCTCGAAACAGTCAGAATCTTCCAACAATATGTATACTATTTTATTACTTTTTTTTTTAATCTTTATAATAAAAGGAAATACAATATTTTTTTAATAAACAGATAAATATAAATATTTTTTATGAAAAGAAAAGTGAGTATAATTTCAAATTACATATGAAGTATTAAAGAAATATTTTTATACAAGATATCACGTTAAAAATATTTTAACTTTCCACTAATTTTTAAAATTATTCAAAACACATTTGGATTTATTGACATATACAGTTTTAAAAATTATACTATTATTATCAATAATATATGTATTATATATTTTTTAAAATATTATTTTAAATATTTTTTCTAAAAAGTAAACATCAAATCAAATATTAATTTTAAATATTTTTTTAAGCCAAAACCTTTCAAAAACTCTTGTTAAACCTAATGCAAATTAAAATCGGGTTTTTATGATACGCAAAGCCCAAATTTTTAATACTTGCTGAGCGAGGCCCAAGTATGGACCCGAGGTCCATGGACCTCCCCAACCCAAAACCTACGCCAAAGATTCTCTGACAGTACATTTTATAAACAATCATTTAGGGAAGAGATGTACAGTAAAACAACACAGCTGTATCAGAGAGAGAGAGAGAGAGAGAGGGGGGAAGGAGGGTTTTGGGCGATCAGAGCCTCGAGATTAGTACGACGGCCGTTTCGCTCTCCCCGCACATCCACAATTCAGCATTGACTAATATAATTTTTATATAAATTATATTTTACGTTCAGATTCAATCTTGGAACTTCCGCAGAATCGCCGATTGCGTGTTGCTGCGCAGCATGGGTTGCGCTGGATCGCGCGGCAAAGGAGATGGTACCTTTTGACTTGATTTTGACTATTGTTGCCTGAGGATTCATCTTAGGTTTTTCTGGATTTCGTTTTTTACTCGTTATCTGGAATTGCTGTCGATACATGTGTATTTATTAAACAATGGAAATTACGTTTGCCTGCTTGTAAAATTTTATTTTCTGAATGCGAATTGATGATGAATAAGTAGTTAATTTCTGGTTGTGTTCATGAATTCCGATAGTAAGAGTGATTGAACGGCTTCATTTCTGTTTCCATTACATTTAGTGTTAGGTTGGAATTAGATTAGGTTTCTTTGGCATGAAGGAATTTCAGTTGTAGCGTTGGTATTTTACGGAATTGAGTTCAATTTCAAATGTTCAAATGAAAAATCTAAATGTAATGCTTTTATGTTCATATGCAGTAGTAGAAGGATGCTGTGAATTGAAGCCAAATTTAGTATTAAGCTTTAGAAATACAGTTCAGAAGTTTAAGCCATAGTTGTAGAAGGAAATTGTGAAATTGAAGCTACATTTAGAAAGGAATACATTTCAGAATTTTAATGTTCGAAATAATCCAGTTGGGTTGACAGTAGATGTGACTAATGATTTTTTGTATTTTTTCACTCTACTGTTTGGAAATTGTACATTCCTTATTACAATTTCCACCCCGAGAATGCTCACAATAATTTGGCATTATGCCCCTTGTTCCAAGAATGCCGAGGGAACTTTTTGGTGGAATGATTTAAGCTATTCACACATCTATTTGGTGTCTAATTTCTCTTGTCAGCCATTGTTTAACTTCATAAACACACATGCCGTATACTTGTTGCTCTTGATTGTTCGTTCCTCTGTTCTCCAGAAGCTTCGAAGAAGATACGAAAACCCAAGCCATGGAAGCATTCTGAGGCCATAACAAAGGCGCAGTTGATGAAGATGCGTGAAGAGTTCTGGGACACTGCTCCACACTATGGTGGTCGTAAAGGTATGTTTGCTGTTAGGAATTCTTGTTAATAGAAAAGACACTGCTAAGCTAACTATCACCTCTGGTTTTCTTCATTTATGCCTTTTGTTTAGAGTGAAATGCCTTGATTGATGGCCTAATCCAGTAAGCAATTGAGTGTTTATCTTTGACATGCATCAGAATTTAGTTAACCGTAGGTCATAGTCCTTTTCAAGTTTCAAGGCTAATATAAGCTACATTTGTTCATCATCCACATCATCTGTATCAACTCCAAGCATGTAAAATTAGAGTTAAAACTTGATATTGAGGACAACTAATATTTAAGACTCGTGCATTGAAATGAGTTGGAACTAAAGTCTCAATAGAAAATACCTTTGTCATTTAATTAGGGATATGCGTTTTTAGATAAATTGAAAGACGAACGACAAAGGTCATTGAAATGTCCTTGAAACATTCTATCTGATCTGTAAAAATGTGATGAACCAGGGTAAATCTCTGATAGCCAAGTGTTTCATATTTAATCATCCTATTGGCATTTTCTTCCACATAATTCCTCAATCCTCAAGCATTATTCATTGATATCAGAGATCTGGGATGCACTTCGGGCTGCTGCTGAAGCTGAGCTGACCCTTGCACAAGCAATCATCGACAGTGCTGGTGTTATTGTTCAAAACCCTGACTTAACTGTCTGCTATGATGAGAGAGGTCTGTCTGAATTTGAATTAGCCCCCCTTACAAATATCCCTTCTTCTAGTATTCTTTCTAATCTTCATCTCATTACAGGCGCCAAGTACGAACTGCCCAAGTATGTCCTCAGTGAGCCGACAAATCTGATCCACGACACCTGAGAAGAACTTGACAAGACTGCTGTATATTTGTACATTGCTCTTATTGCCCTTTATTTACCAAATTATATATATATATATCCCATTTGAATTATTTTCCATGACAATATTGCTAAATTCATTGACCGAATCTCTGGGCTCTCAGATACCTGATTAACATTAAGTATTATTTATTCTGCCAGTGCTAAAATCAATTTCTTTGCTGCATATTTTTCTTAGATAGTAACTTCCCTTCCAATTCTCATCTGGTTATTACCTTAGGCCCAAGTTTAAGATTCTTGCAATTGCTTTTTAAGTATCCTAGGACAGTGTCACTTTGTAACTAGACATGAATGTTCTTTTTCCCATGAACAAGTTTGGCAATAATGTATCTTTAGCAAAGCCAAAGCATGCCTATTAATATTTAATTCTGATCATATCTTAATTTTTATGCATTAGATTAGAATTACAACTTTAGTGGGCTAAATGTAAGTAATGATAGTGTCTAGTGTAGTTGAGGGTGTTTGCAGCCAACCAATGTAATGAAAAGTCTGCACGTTTTCTTTATTTAATATATATATATATATATATATATATTTGTGAATTGTGTCACAGTTGCTTAGGTTAGGCTAATCATGTGCTTTGTATTAGTCTTAAGTAGGTTGGTGTTAGATATTATTATATTAATGACTACAATAAATAATGTGTTGTTCTTTTCTTCATTGTAACTTGTGGCTATGCAATGTAGCCCCTTCATTACATGCATGCATAAGTTGGTTATGCTCTTCTTTTCAAGCCTCACTCATTATATATAATTATGAGATCCATTATTTTGTGAAGTACATTGTTTATTTTGTTCAAGTACAGCCTACCTAGGTTCTTTATTTTATTTGAAATTATAGTATATTTATATATATAGGGCCAATGAACAACATTTACAACAATGTGGTTGGGTTATAAATTGTTGACATATATGGTGCAAGAACCATGTAGAGCTGTCACTGTACTAAAAGAGTGTGTTTATGTAGAGATTTAGCCTTTGTTTACATATATCTTCAAATTATGTTTTAGATTATTTATCAATAATATTTGAAGTACTTCTAAAAAGATATTTACATGTTACATTTTTTAACCCTAATTCACATTGTGGTGTTGATATATATATATTTTTTCCAATATTATAGTAAAAAATTGGTTTGAGTAGCATTATATTATTAGCCAAAGTTGGATGCATGAATTGTTGAGCAGTATAACATTGACCATTGAATAGAATTACCATAACTATTAACTTTGTGCTTGATTTAATTATTGGAATTGTACAATTTTTTATTACTGACGCCAAATAATATTTGATATTACTGAAAAGAAGGGTAAAAATGTCCAAATGATTTTACATAATGGAAAGAATATGCAACTTTTATTTAAATTATTATTAAACTTATTCCAATCTTTCACTAAAACAATTACATGCAAATCTTTTTTTCTTTTTATTTATTTTTTTAAAGAAATTAAAATTAAATTTCCTAACGAAAACTCAACCACTATTCTTTTTGGGAGATTTCTAATTGTCCTATTACTTTGTCATAAACAGAATTTCGCTTTTTGAGGGAAAGAAAGCATTAATTGTTTGTTTTGTTTTGTTTATATACACTAGTGGGTATCTTTGCAGTGAATGCAGGTATTCATATATTACAAAACAAAGTATTTCCAATTTTATTTATTGTGTTCTGTTTTCAGGTGAGATCTTATTATTTAATTAAAAGATACTCAACTCCAACAGTGCTTGCTATTCCCAAATTTTAAAAAGTGTGCCACCTCAGCTTCAATGAGCTTTGAATTCTTTGATCCTCATACATTAAAATACTTTTTGAAAATGATTCTCTCTTTATATATGTTTTTCTTCGTATTATAAAATATTATTCTATCCTAAAAATTAAATAATATTATTTTATTTGAATAATATAATATATTGTAGATATATTTTCTACTTTAAAAGTACTATAATATATAACTGACGAAAATAATATTGTACATAATTCGACCAGTGTAACTGATCTGGCTGCCTGCGGATGCACAATTTGACACAAGAAAGGACGTTATTTCATTTGTTATTACTTCCAGAATTTGGACCAAAAATATTTGTGATAAGATAATTTTACCGAGGCAGTAAGAATGTAGATTCTCAAGGGAGTCCGGGAGCGTAACTCTCAGTTAAATCTATACCATTAGAAGAGTAATTGTACAGTTGGGATTTAATCAGGAGTCCAACTCCAGGGAGTTCTTAATAATTTATAGGAATCATCGCTTTTTTCTTGTGGAATTTCACCGGAAGCGTCAGCAGTGTGCAGAAAAACCATCACCCTCACTTCACTCATTACCCCTTCTCTCTATCTCTCTCTGCCTATACATACAGTCAGCATATATCTCTGCCTCTCTCGCACAAGACTCCAAATTTGACTCTGCAAGAAAACCAACGCTGTTCCTCTGCACAGACACGAAGTCCGGGCACATAATTCATTTGTTTCCGAATAATTCAAATCACATCAATAATTGGAATCATGGAAAGATCACACTTGGAATTGCGTTCTATCGTTTCCTTGTGACGTTCATGTGCAAGCATGGGGAAAGAGATCTGGGAGACGTCAGGAGGAGAGGATGGACATTTGATGCTGCTGATGGCAATGGGTGGGGAAAGTGTTTCTGAGTAGTTGGACAGTCTCTCCAAGATTTCAGGTGAGTCTACCCATTCTTAATTCTCCATTTTCTTAATTATCATTCTGTTATTAAAGATTTTATGCCAACAATTTCGAGATTCCTCCACCCCTTTGAAGTGTCATGCTGGTGTTTGATGAAATGCCTCACCCAAATTGGGGATAAATTGATAGAGTTTAGTAAGGAGGATGGAGTGGAGGACTGTTTGGTGGTTTGGTTTGAAAAAAGTGTCCAATTTGCAAGAAGGGAAACAATTGTTAAGATGATTGTAGTGGTGGTTGGAATGTAGGCTGGAAAAGTTTAATTTTTGTTATAATGTCAACTGCATATTCGGGTGGATTTTGCTCTTTGATTGGTTTTTTTTAAGGTAAATGTTATGCTTTATTGCAGGATTTGCTGTTGGTTCATCACTGAAATGTGGTCTTTTTTAGTTGTGAAAAACATTTGTTTTGATACATGCTTAGTGTAGAGTTTTGGCATATTAATTTAGGGGATCTTCAAGAATCTTTCTGGGTGGATCGATTAATGTTGTGATCATGACCAGGGCAGTTGGAGATCGAATGCTTAAGGATACAGATGGTAGTATTAGTGATCATCTGCGGAATCACATTCATTTGACAAATTGTATTCATTTGAAGAACCATATGCATAAGCAAAGTCCTATCTTGGCCAATAGGGCCTTTATGAGGGATCTTGCTGTTCTTCAGAGATCAAGATCTCTAAGGGATCCTTCTGCAAGTCCTCCCTCTCGGAATTCTCCTTCTGTCGTCGATATTCTTCTCAAAAGAGGCCAAAGGGATGACTTGATTAGTGGAAGACTACCCATTGGCCTAGAGCATTCAAACGAGCGTGGAAGGATGTCCGAAGACATGATTCATGAATGCAAACGAGTGAATAGAGAAGGAATGAGTGGAAAGTCTCCTGGCTATCCACAGGATGGACATGTCTTGGGTCAGAATACTGTTTCTGGAAACACTGAATCCGGAGATAAACATGTGGAGTTCAAAGGAGGCCATAGACAAGATAGGCGCCTAATGACCCTCTCTGATCGGTTAAAAGACGTCATAACTGAAAGTGATGATGCAGTTCCTTCCCATAACCAGGGGAATGGAAGGCACAAAGCAGGAGCAAGTACTCACCATGGGAATGGTGTTAGTCGGTCTAAAAGGTACAGATATCGAGGTGTGAGAAGAAGAAGGCCTTCTGGAGCACCCCAGCAATCTGTGGCACCAAATGAAATGTCGGTAGCGTCTAATTCATTGGCACAAGACGGAGCATCTCAGAAGTATCACTTGGAGGAGGGATTCCAAGAACAAACTGATCAGAACGTTAAAGGTGTTCCACAAAATGGCTGTGGCATTCCTTGGAACTGGTCGCGGATTCATGACAGGGGGAAGTCATTTATTGACCTGGCTGGCCGTAGCCTTTCTTGTGGTTTATCTGAATCAAAGCTTAAGAAAGGTCGTTCTGCATCTCATGGTATGGCTATCCCTGATATGGCTCTTACTTCAGAACTCTCGAGTTCGTCCACAAAGTCTGAAAGGGAAGCTTTGCCACTACTTCTTGATGCTTCTGGTTCTCGGGGGAGCATTGCTCGTTTGGCTTGGGGTCATGATTATTCAGGAGAATTAGGTATATTTTCTGAAAATTTGCTAAAGCAGGAAACTGAGTATGATCTCCCATCAGAAGGTAGATCTGATGAGCAACACAAATTACAGAAACATCACAATGGGAGGCATAAAAATCTCACTCAGAAATACATGCCGAGAACATTCAGAGATTTGGTAGGTCAGAACTTGGTGGTACAAGCACTCTCCAATGCCATTGCAAAAAGGAAGATTGGATCACTGTATTTGTTTTTTGGACCTCATGGAACTGGTAAGACTTCATGTGCACGTATATTTGCCAGAGCGTTAAACTGCCAATCTCAAGAGAATCCGAAGCCTTGCGGAGCTTGCAACTCTTGTATTGCACAAATCGCAGGGAAGACAAAAAATGTGAAGGAAATAGGCCCTGTTGGTAATAATGACTTTGAAAGTATACTGAAACGTTTTAGCAAGGCAGTCACTTCCCAGCGTCGATCTCAATACAAGATCTTGATATTTGATGCATGTGATACCTTGTCTTCCGAGCATTGGAAAGCCATGTTGAAGGTCTTTGATCAAGCCCCAAGGCGTGTTGTATTTATCCTCATTTGTTCAACTCTTGAAGCTTTGCCTCATCTGATAATATCAAGGTGCCAGAAATTCTTCTTCCCTAAGTTAAAGGATGCAGACATAATATACACATTGCAGTGGATAGCAACCAAAGAAGATTTAGAAATTGATAAAGATGCCCTGAAGCTTATTACATCAAGATCGGATGGCTCTCTGAGGGATGCGGAGATGACACTCGAGCAATTAAGTTTACTAGGGAAGAGAATCTCCCTTGACCTGGTACAGGAACTGGTATGTTCCCACTTCACAGTTTTACATTATCAGGAAAGCATCATCAATTATGACCCAGAGACATGACACTGATGGATCTTGTTTTGTTGTTTTACAGGCTGGGCTCATTTCAGATGAAAAGTTAATAGATTTGCTCGACTTAGCATTTTCTGCTGACACAGCCAACACAGTGAAGAATCTGAGAGATATCATGGAATCTGGTATTGATCCATTAGCATTAATGTCTCAGCTTGCTGCAGTCATAACTGATATTCTTGCCGGAATTCATGATTTCATTAAAGACTGTCCTAGAAGGAAGTTTTTCCGGAAACAAGAATGTGAGTCTTATAATCCAGCATCATTTTCATCTTCTTTTATAACATGGTCGATATAATGTTATATGACACCTAAATTGCTCGTACACATATTGCTCTTTGACTGATGTAGAAAGTATTTTTTTACAGTATCCAAAGAAGACATGGAAAAATTACGTCAGGCATTGAAGACATTATCTGAAGCAGAAAAGCAGCTGAGGGGGTCAAACGACAGGATAACTTGGCTAACGGCTGCAGTACTGCAACTGGCTCCTGATCAACAATACTTACTCGCACCAAGCTCATCGGAAGATACAAATTTCAATCAAAGACCTTTAGTCTTGAATAATGCTTTAATAGAAAGGCCAAGAAAAAGCAATTCTGAGCGATCTATGTTTCCAGCAGGAAGTTCAGGAAGCGGTCATTATAATGGTATTTTGAAGGGTACTGATGTGGTTAGGAGCACAGGTAATGGAGGTGGGACGGTTTCTCAACAATTCTACCTTCCTTCAAATGATAGAGATCCAATAAGTAAGGTTCACTTCCGAGGACAAGAAATCGAGGGCATTTGGTTGGAAGTGCTTGAAAAGATCCCACATACTAGTGTTAAAGAGTTCCTAGCTACCGAAGGAAAGCTGATCTCAATCAACTATGATACAGGTACTGTTGATGTTTGGTACATCCATTTTCTAATGCTAAATTTAACAATCTGTTTTTAAGTGTTATTCAGAATATGATTTTCTCTTAATATTCTTCTCGCTCACAGTAATACGAAAGCTTTTCAGCCATTTAAGATAACCATATGCATCTTTAAAGTGACAATTCAAATATTTTGACTTTGTGGTTCATTAGACGATGAACATTCCATAATGGGATGATGAATTGAATTAGAACTTGTGGGCATCATGGCTTTTCTACATGTCCTGTGATTGCATTTGGAGAGATGAATGATAAGTTTCAAATCCATAAGAATAACTTTATTGCTCTTGTTAGGAGTATTTTTGTGGCTTTGATGTTCATTTATATGGGGTCGTTGGAAATTGTCCTTCTCAATGTTATGTTGGAGGTTTCAATAACCATTTGCTAACATACAATTAATAAGTGATGCTATGGTTTGCCTCCTTAGAAGTTTTTAAGGACAATTTTTAGGAAATTACTCTTATGTGAATTTGTATGAAATACCACACCATTGGATCGCAACCTAAATTTCTAATAAGGTTCTGAAAAAAAAGTGTACAGAATCATAATAAGCTGAGAGTTTGTTGGCCTAAAGGTGTCCTAAGAAATTTGATTAATAGGATTAGCTAAATGTGACTTAACTCAGAAGCTGCTAAGCAAAATCTGTTCTTTATTGAAAATTTGGGTTGTTGGATATCTATAAATTGTCGACATCACTCAACTTTGTCTTCATTTGTAGATTTAGATTGGTCAATGTTGGCTTATATAGTTAATAAGGAAGCTTTGCTGTAAATTGTCCATATCACAAAATACATAAAGCTGTCTGATATGACAAAGGAAATGTTTCTTGGTGTGTTGATGTAGTACTAAAATTTCTTCTCAATTTTCAGATAAAAGACAGATTTAATGACTTCTCTCTTGCCTAAGTAGTTTTGGTTTGTGAAAAGAATCATTTTTTTCTTTCAATTGTGCTGTGACTTGCATGCCTTATGAGTTTGACCTTTTGTAGATCCAACTGTGCAATTGCTGTTCAACTCTGAGCTAGCAAAGTCGGAAGCAGAAAGATTTAAAACGTACATCTCACAAGCATTTGAGTTGGTTCTTCGATCCCCAGTGCACATTGAGATCCGATGCAACTCAAGAAATAGGGGGGAAATTGTTGAAATTTCTGAGAAGACAGAAAGGGACAGACGAAATATTGGAAATTTAATTGGAGTAACATCAACTACTCTTCCAAATGTGTCTAATCTGAACTATGAAAGGAATCAAAGTCTTAGCCTTGTCCGAAGCAGGTTGCCTCTTGCTCGGATAATTCAGCAACAGGAGGAAAGTTCAGAACATAGTGGATGGTCCAAAAACAAAGCAGTTTCAATTGCTGAAAAGCTCGAACAAGAGAATTTGTACGTATCTCTTTTACTACTTTATGAAAATGGAATTAGATAAGTGTAATCCAGTTTTAGTAATTTAGTTACAATGATAAAATCTTATATGTATACACATCTGTGTGTATCTTACACTTGTTTGTTTCAGGAGACTTGAACCGAGATCAAGAAGTTTGCTCCGTTTGACACCTTCAAAAGGAACTCGACGAAAGGTAAAATATTAAAGTAAAGCTTAGTTACATTTTTTCTCGAGATTTACTGCATGCTGAAAATGCAAGTATGCATTTCATTTTTGATTTATTTTCTCAAAGTTTGTGATGTCGAGTGAATATCTGTTCTTCTGTGTTGCATATTTTTGTACTTATGTGTATAAATTATTATGTGTAATGTACAGCTTTCGCGATTGAAAATACGAACAAAGAAGCCGCGGGCTCTGCTGAAATTAGTCTCCTGTGGTGGAAGGTGCCTCTCCCGCAGGTCACCAAGGTAGACGCCAACTACCGGTAACTGTCTTAAAGGGATCTGTTAGTTAGTTCGTCTCATGTACCTTCTGTTTAGGCCTTCCATTTATACAGATCCTACATTTATTTGTAGAACTTTAGAATAGTTCAAATCCTCTATTTACAGCCTCCATTGATGAATTCTTGAAACGACGTTTCTCAATTCTAATAAATTCCCTATTTTAGTAGCTGAATTTGAATGCACTCTTTATACAAATGCAATAATGGGTTCAGCCCTTTACGCCAAATTTTCGCAGTCGAAAGAGAAAACAGTAGTGATAGTGTAATAACATATGGCTGCAACAATGTTAATATGAAGCTTTCTCCACAACCCCATAGATCTCTGTAAGATTTGAATGAAGGATAGAGTGAGAGAGAAAGAGAGAGAGAGAGAGAGTAGTGACTACACATTCTTGAAATGTTGCTGTAAGAAACAGAATAACCAACCAGACAAGGATGCTGGATGCAGGACAAACCTATGTACAATTATTACATACATTCTAAGTACCCTGTCCTATAAACTCCTATCCAATTCCTACCATTGTACAAATTCCTCTGCTACAATATATACATACATATATATATATTCTCATCTCTGTTTGGGCAAACATGTGATCAAAATGAAAGAAACACAATGATGAGTATGGCCTTTGATGAGGTGGTTGGGGGTCCATGGAGCAGTAGGCAACCTTTGTAGAGGTACAAAGCAGAAAGTAGGATGAAAAGTGGTTGAAGTGGTCACAGGATCTAATGGCGGGCCTTTCTTTTCAAATAATTAAATACATACATACAGTAAGTCTCCTTTTCTTCTTACACATATATATCCTAACTGTCTTACTCTTCTATCTCCATTATTATTCATCTTTCATGTCCTGAACCTGCTGTTACATAGATTTCCCAGAAAAATCAGAAGATGAAGTGGGGGAGAAACAAAGCCTCTTCGTCGTCTCCCGGTTCTATAATCGCCCGTGTCTTGCCCCTTTCTTGGTTCTTCAAGTTCAAGAAGAAGCGGGGCGACTCGGGGAGTAGTAAACAGAGCGGCCGCGGGTTGTATTACAGGACTCCTAGCAATTCGTCGCCTGGTGGTTGGAAGGAAGGAAGGTTCTACAACATGAGCGAAGACGATATGTATTGGAGGATATCGTTCAGGCAGGAGAGAATCCTCGGCAGGATGAGTACCGGCGGAATGAGCATGAACCCTCTTTGGTATGATCCTGATCTCGAGCTTGAAGTACCCGTTTCAGGTCTTACGGCGACGAGGGGAGGACACTCAAACTTCGATGACATGGTTTCGGACATAAAGAGGATGAAAAAATGCGACAAGGACAAAGCGTTGACAAACAATGGCAAACTGCCGAAGATTCCATCGCAGGATCGCGAAATGCAGAAGCTAAGCAGCAGCCGAGTTTCAAGGGAGAAAAGGCGAGAACAGCGCCGCGACGAAATCGATGATTTTTCTATGGAACCCGAGAGGTCAGCAGCGGTGTCTAGTTCAAGAAAAAAGCAGCCGAGTCTTTGTCCGAATCCGGAGAGAGAATATTACACGCGCCGAAAGCTGCTAAAGGACATAAAGCTCAAAGCTGATCAGCCTCAGAAGACAACAGAGTCTTGCTCTAGAAAATCAAAGCAACACAACATTAACAAGATCAAAGCCTATTCCCCAAGAACAGAATGCAAGATTAGAGCACTTGAAGATCTGAAAAAATCAAGAATGAGATGGAAGAAGAAAGGACAGGGGCAGGGGATCGGGCGCGAAACGATCTTTGATAGCTTTGCTGTGATGAAGAGCTCGTCGAACCCACAACAAGACTTCAGGGATTCGATGCTTGAGATGATAGGGGCGAAAGGGATTACTCGAGCCGAGGATCTGGAGGAGCTCTTGGCTTGTTATCTCACATTGAACTGCGACGCGTACCATGATATCATCGTCAAGGTATTCCGGCAGGTATGGTCTGAAATCGATGTCGATCTGCAGTTGACAAATAGAGAGTATTTTGCTTATTAGAGAGTTTGTTAACTGTTTGGTCTCAATGGTCATTTTTGGATGGTGATTTTTCCTCTACCTCATTTGGATATTTTTCTCGAACAAGACAATAAAACATAAATAATGACCAAAGAAGCAAAATCACATTCTTAAACTCCTCGTCAACTCCGTGATCATCGATAAAAACTAGCTTTGTTGGACAAGTTCTTCGCAAATTTCCCATCGATTTACTCGCACAAATGGTCGAGTGAGATATCGGCTTCCTCCCGATTAAGCCTCGATTTCTCCGGCGGCGGCGGCGATGGTGGCTGTTCTTCGAGGGTTTTTCAGGGGATCTTCTAATCTTGATGAGAACAGAACAGTAACAATTTCAGGGTGATTTTATTTGGAATTTAGGCTCGGGTATAACGGTCGAATTGGTTGGTGGACAGCTGGCACTGTTCAATTGGTGGTGGCATATTTCATTAAACTTTCCACTGTAGCCCAACCGAGATTGTACCTGCAATAATTGAACTTAATTAAACTGCTGAAATAAAATGTTCTCTCTTAATAACAGCACCAATTCATCAATAATTGACACTGAATAATTTGTGGGGTAGAAAATCTACAATGCATTTGCAAGAATTCCCAAGTTTCCAGTGAATTTTGAAGCAATAAGGATAGAATCTGATCAAAAGAACTCGAACAAGAAAGCAACTCAATGATGTATACATTTTTGTGTATATATCTATATATACATATACATAACACTCTTAACTTTTAACTTCCTCCTAAATCGAAACATAAATTACAGAGCACAAACTTACAAGATCATGCCTTGCGATTCTACATCGAATGATTTTTCGCGCAGCTGCATGAAGCTATGAACCCTAATGGGTTTTTTTTCGGCATCCCTCTATGACTTTATTTGAACTTCATCTTCTTGCTCGACTGTCATTATCGGAAGCATCTCTATTTGGGGTGTTTCTCAGTCGTAATTTGGGGAGGACAAGCGGTTTGCAGCACAGGAGAGCCACGAGCAATTCCATTGCGAAGATCGCCATGCTGATCCATATGAAAAGTGTTCTCTTCCAAAACCACAGGATGTGTAGCAGAAGGGGAAGCTCAGATTCGAGGGTGAGAGAGGCATCGTATATTTCAGGGACACCAGCACCAGGCGAGAATTCAGCCCGTTGTTCTATGATCACACGAAGGTAGGCAGTTGGCATGTCGCGTTCAGTAAAACCTCTGAAGTGCACTTTCAAATTCTGGGTTTCTGACGTGTAGCCGGTTAAGATAGGAGCGAGCTTGAACAAAGTCAGCAGAAGTCGGATTGGCGGACTTCTAAAGTGCAACATACACGGTTGCTTGGAACTTGCGAGGGTTTTGCCATCAGCACCGTGGAAATCTACTCTCACCTTCAGGGGAACACAAAAAATTATGTTGTCAAAACTCACAGATAACAAAGATCAGTATGCAGCCCACATTGTGTAAGTCAGACCTACAATTTATCAGACCGTAAATTCAAATAGCATGTTCTGCAAATACAACGTATGCGATCTTAATATAGAAATGAATGCATCACAAATCCTTATATGTGCAGAGCCTCAAACTTATCCAAAACTTAAAAGGAAAGAATGTCAAATGCTATAGCTTTTTACGCAGATTGTAGTTGATCTGTTAGAAGATTGAGCAAGAAAATAAATAGAAGGGATGTTTTACTTTACTAAATTTCGAAAGGCGGGTTAAAACAAGTGAATTCAGAGATGATATTTACATGTTCTCAAAATCAACAATATTATATGTAAATATGACATAATTCTAGACGGAAATATGCAAATGCGCCCAAAAATAGATTTAACTTTGAAGTCTGAAGCTCTGTATACTCATAATATGAAAAGATAACTGCATCAAGCTGTTCAACAGATGCCAACATTTATGAAACAAGAACGAACACCAGCAACATTCTCAGCTTATGTAAAGGCGTACGAGCTCATTCAGCAGAATTTCTCTCAAAATCCACTCCAACCATACAAATGGCACAAAAAAATTATTCTAGCATCAGAATTAAATCTTCTAGCACCAGAAACAAACCTGAAAAATCCCAAGATTACGATTGTAGTCCGATTCAGGTAATGTAAGCGAAACAGCAACCCTAAACTTGTGATTAAGCGGAATAACTCTTGTTTCACTAGCCTTCCCTAATTCAGCACTTCCCCCAATATTTACTTGGTCAAATTCGGGCTTTGATGTCAACATCACAATCGCCGCCGGGCTGTTCTCCACATAATCAAAATTCAAACTCCTATTTATTCTAACCGGTTCCACGACCACCGTCTTTATTAGTATCCCGCCAATTACGAAAGATGATATCAACAATGTGACAAGAACAGCACACACATAAGCTGACCACAGCAATCCCCAACCACACTTCAACCCCAGTTTCCAAACTGCTTGGTGTTCCTTCAACCATTCGTAAGCAGATCGAGTCACGACTTCGAACCCAAAGCCAAAAAGGCCTTTCACTTTCAGAACAACATATTGCTTGCAGCGCAACGACAGCCCAAAGGGATCAAACACAAACATGTACAAGTAGTACACTGATTTTACAGGAAACGTGAATAAATTGACGAATAAATTAATTTGGAAGGCGACTAGCTTTATTACTATACCAGCCAAATTCATTAGAAGGCTCGAATCTGTGGCTGAATCCTCATGACTGTTACCATATTCGCCACTAGGTGGAGTAGACCGATCTCCATTCCTCTCATCCTTTTCTGAAGGATCTATTGGGAGCTCCGAAATTTCTGTTATCTCTGAATAACTCGATTCTTCAGCTTTGCTCTGCCTAATTATCTGAGAATGCCTTCGCCTCCGCCCTACGGAATTCACCTCATTTTCAAAAGTTACAGAAGATTTACCCTTTGACAAATCATTGGAGTCCATTGCGATGGGCTTATGACGAGGTTGTGATCTACGGCGGCGGAGACCAGTCGGAGATGGGATTTCGTCTAGCGAAGAAGGGTTGGGATTTTCGGTAGAGATCGACGAGCAACCATCGGATTCAATCGGTTCGGAAAATGCTTCAACGCAATCATGAAAGGGGAACTCATCAGGCGCATCGCCGAATTCGTCATTGCGAGATGATGGCGTGCTGGATTCGTCGTCCTCCATTCGAAGATTATCGCCGGAAGCAACGATCGCCCGCACAAAATATTCCCCCTTTATTTTCTCAACGGTAATTGTACGCACACGCATTATGAGTTGTACCTAAACCCAAACAAAATCGTGGTCAACCACACCCACGACTTCTCTCCAAAGTAGCGCTCTGTTACCTGAGATATTTTTACTCTTTTTTTTTTTAACTATCTATTTTTAAAAAATATCGTATCAAATATTAATTTTTTTATAATTATTTTTTTTTATTTTCAAATTTTTAAAAATTTAAAAAAAAAAAGAAAAAACCGTTACGCCTGCCTTTTTCACTGTACATTCATTCTTGTTCACAGCAGTCAGTACACAACAAATCAAGGTAGGGAAGGCCATTGTCAGGATAGACCCGACACAGCTGCCCAATCCGATCCAATTATTTCGGATTTGATCCAATTATTAGTAATAAGGTATTATATACAGTTGGATCCGATCCATACCCAATCCATTGCGTCATTGATCAATGGCAACTGCGGTGATATCCTAATAATCTTCCAGGTGCTGAATCGGCGGCGTTTGAATCTTCCAAGAGTTCGTGAAGGAAAGCATCTGGCGGCGTCTGAAGGAAACTGCAATTAAAAAATCTTTCATCATTCTCAACTTTGCTTTTACTTTCCCCACGGGAGTGGGGCGGACGCTACAGTGATATCTTTCCTCTTTGATCACTTTTGACTTGCTTGCATTATCTATTTTTATTTAATCCAGAGTAATATTCATCCTTTGATTAATCAATCAATACGATGTTCATATCTACATCAATAGGCGTGATTTATGTTAGTTAAATGCTGGTTGGTGGCCATCTAAGTGGAAAGAAGGCAAGATTTCTTGTCGAGGTTAAACACGTAATCGGGAATAAATTTGAAGCTTAGAGAAAATATTAAATTATTTTACAGTTAAAAAGGGTGCCAAATTCGACTTTACCATCATCATTTTCAAACAGTCAAAATGTTTTCCTTAAAGGAACAGTAATTTACTGGAATGCTCTCTCTCCGCCGACTAGATTTTGCCTGCGGGTCATGGGATTCACCTCGATTCTAGATTGGTCTCATTTCTTTTGCTCCCAAGTTATAACTGTTTTTCCCTTTGTTATTTTTTTATGAAAACCTATACGCACATGGTGCATCAAAATTCTTGAATCTTGATGTTTAAGAATGGTGGTTAGGGAGATTGTTGCCATCTGGGTTCTTACAGTTTGTTGTCTCGGGCTGTTCAAGTTGTCGAAATCCCAGGTGCCTCAAGAAGAAGGTAAGTAAATGGATTTCTCTGCCTTTTGACTGTGTTGTGCAGTTTTAGTGAACAAAAAATGCTCGTTTTCGTAGGGTGTGTTTGGTTAGGGATTTGGACTTTAAATTGAAAATTTGAATAGTAAAATTTTTGAATTTAAATAGCTGTACCATGTGATATAAATAGGCGTTTTGAATATAAAGTTAATTTTTACTGTAGTATAAAAAATGAAAAATATATATTTGAATTGATATTTTTGGAGGAAACAATTGGATAATAATGTATTTAAAATCTAATCCCCAAACAAAGACACCCTTCGGTAATAGAAATGGCTAACAGTTAGTGCCAAGAAGAAGATTTGAAAGACAAGTTTGATTTAGTAATAACCTGACAAAAATTGCCCAAAACATTCGAGAGATTTCTACTCTTCTTGCTGTCCTTCCTTGTTGTTACTGTTTGTGTGATTTTGTGTGTAGTTGTAGGGAAGATTAGCAGCCTAGAAAATTTAAAAAGTCTACAGTTTGGATGATATGATTTGATTCCTTTCTGTATCAACAGAATGGTTCTACAAAATCGAATTTGCCATTTTTATCATCAAGGCATTCATGATCAAGCTTGATCATCTTATCTATGTTGTTCTGTGGGATTTGATTTACTCAAATTTGTCTCATCTCAGTGGATGCCCTCCAACAAATTGCCAATGAGATGGGGGCAACCATCTGGAGCTTTAATGGTGAATTATGCGAAATCGAGAAGGTTGGGATTCCACAAGAGGCTCCGAGTGGTTCGGAGGGTTATGTTACGTGCAACTGCAACTTCAATAACAACACCATCTGCCATGTTACAAAAATGTGAAGCTTATTACCTTTCTGTGTCTACATTGTTCCATTTCTAGTTTCTGTGGATCGGCTATATCGTGTATACTTCTTTTGCAGTGTGCTTAAGAGCTACAATCTTCCCGGAGTTCTTCCAGCTAACATTGTCAAGCTTCCCTATCTACAAGAAATGTAATGAATCTGCCAAAAAAGTATTAGCTTTATTACAAATTTTACTGGTTTTTGATTAGGCTTGTTCGTTGATCAAATTTGTTTTTCAGTGATTTTGCATACAACCTTCTCACCGGTACAATCCCGAGACAATGGTTTTCAACACAATTGGCTTCTATGTATGTCCATCTTGTACTTCAACTTAGATCTGTGTCAAAACTTAATTGGATTAATCTTCATTCTTCAGTAATAATGCCTGATGTTTTCTATGCAGCTCTGTCCTGGTGAATCGCTTATCAGGACAAATACCGAAGGAATTGGCAAACATTACTACTCTTACATACCTGTATGTTTTAGTTACTTGCAATGTTGTCCCTTGACTTTGATGTGATGACATGTTTCTTGGATTACTATTCCTTAGTTGTATTCATTGTTTGGGATTTGATCAGGAACCTCGAAGCAAACCAATTTTCAGGTCTGATTCCGTCTATTATTGGAAGATTGAGGAACCTGACCACATTGTAAGACTTCATATCCAAAATGTATTTTAGTTAAGTTGAAATCATGATGCAAATCGAATAATCTTCGTGCTTCTGATTGAACCAGGATCTTATCTTCCAATCAATTCACGGGGCACTTGCCTACCTCATTTTCCACGCTAACAAATTTGCGTGACTTGTAAGCAGTTATATGAACTCTATTTTGCTTGTTCATGTATGGATTGTTCAATATATTAACTGTTTCTTGCTGTGAAGTGTAGTAGGATAAACGACAACAAATTAACTGGCCAAATCCCCGACTTCATTCAGAATTGGAGACAGCTAAACAGACTGTAAGATCTTCACACATCCTCGAATCACAAATTATGTAAGATTAATTCCTGTTTCAATGACTGTTTGCATGCTCAATGAAGAGAAATGCAGGGGAGTGGACTGCAAGGGCCCGTCCCGGCGAACATATCTCTTCTAAATGCATTAACAGACTTGTGAGTTTATTCGTTATCAGGTCCACATGTTACTTCCATTCATGATTTGTTAATCATATGACTGTTTATTTTCATTCAACTGATATACAGGCGAATTAGCGACTTAGAAGGTCCATCACAAGTTTTTCCGACACTCAGGAGCACCACAGGCCTAACAATATTGTATGGTTTTCGAAGAATTGTTTCTTGGTTATTGCACTATAAGCTTCTAAGATAATTCTATTCTTGGATGTAGGGTGTTGAGAAACTGTAACATTTCGGGGACAATACCTGAATACATTTGGCGACAGCTCAGACTTCTTCAAGAGTTGTGAGTAACCATTTTTACAATGAGAATCGTGCGTAGAGAGACTCGATTTCCCATCGCCTATTAATCTTATGAACAAACTTACTATTTCTTTACAGGGATGTTAGTTTCAACAAGTTGATTGGAGAGATTCCAAATAATATTGCAAGAAATCTGAAAACTGTGTAAGTGCCAAGGCATGTTGTTATTTTGCTTCGTTTGTTATGCATTCGATTCTACTCCGATGTATACAAAACAACCTATCATTACCATCTTCCTGTAAATAGGTTTGCAAATGGCAACATGCTAAGTGGAACTATTCCGAATGCAATCCTGAAGGATGGAAGCAACATGTATGTGTTATAGATCTTATACATTGAATTTTTAGCTTTATGAAATTTAAATAATCTCACTGACTCTACTCACTCGTTCTATGCAGCGATCTTTCTTACAACAATTTTACTTGGCAAGGCCCCGATGAGCCTCCCTGCCGCCCAAACATGTGAGAATATCGGTTAACATTATATATCTTTTGCTGCTACGATAGCTATTTATTTTACGTACAAATCTGCTGCTGTTCCCAGGAACCAAAACATAAACTTGTTCAAAAGTTCATCAGCTGCAAACTCGTTGTAAGATTCATTTCAGCTTCGATCTCAGTATTCAAGTGAGGAAGATATTGATTTTCATTTACCTTATTTGAAACAGACAAAGGATGCTTCCTTGCTACAGGAATGTCATGTGTCCGAGATGTAAGACTCATACGCTTTGCAGCTAACTTGAATCTAAAGCCTATTATCGACATTGATTTGTCTGGTTATGGCAGATAAATGCTCCCTACATGTTAACTGCGGTGGTAGCGATTTAACTGTCAAAGAAAGCAACAGACAGGTTATGTACGAAGGGGATGCCGGAGGTGATCCAGCGAGATATTTAAGTGATAACCATTGGGGATTTGTTAGCACTGGAGACTTCATGGATGAACTAAATTTCCAGTATTCGCGGGTAGTCACGCCAACATCTGCCACAAATCTATCCGGCCTGTACACCACCGCTCGCCTCAGTCCTCTTTCGCTTACCTATTTCCACTACTGTCTTGAAAATGGAACTTACAATGTGAGCCTGCACTTTGCTGAAATAATCTTCACTAACAACAACTCGTATAACAGTCTTGGAGTGCGGATGTTCGACATTTACATCCAGGTTGGTTTAGTGTTACATTAGAATAATGATATGTTTCATTGATAGTCTTAGTGCTCGCTGATCATGTTCAAGCCTCAGGGAATTCCAGTCTGGAAGGACTTCAACATAAAAAATGAGGCTCGCGGAGCTGGGAAGCCGGTGATTAAATATTTTAACACGACAGTGCGAGATGGTACCTTAGAGATTAGATTTTACTGGGCTAGCAAAGGAACTACTCGGATTCCTAATCGAGGAGATTATGGTTCTCTTGTATCAGCTATTTCTGTCGTTCCAAGTGAGTATAGTTTCTTTCATTCTGATCAAATTACTCATTTCGATTCTTTCCTAATATGCAATGCATCCTTTTGTTTCTGTGTGTAGTTCTGAAGGTTTGTTCTGATGGAAGCGATAAGAATATAACGGCATATATTGCTGGTCCAGTAGTTGCTCTGTGTGTAATTTTCTTGATCGCAGGCGTCCTTTTCTGGAAACTTTATTCAAGTCGCCGCAGAAAAGCACGAAGAGGTTAGTGTTAGTGTTTCAACTTCTTTAAGCTGAAAAAACACCCCAAAAGAGAAACAACCATTTGCTCTTCTATGGTGCAGATTTTGGTGGCCTAGAATTGCAAACTGTCGCGTTTTCTTTGAAACAAATCAGGGCTGCAACGAACAACTTCGATGCTGCAAACAAGATTGGCGAAGGTGGTTTTGGTCCTGTTTACAAGGTACTGTTTTTTCTAAGAATGTCGCTGGTTTTTTCTTCGAGATTCTTGCATTACAGATAGCGAAAGTGGCGCAGGGTCTACTGCCCGATGGCACTGTAATTGCAGTTAAGCAGCTGTCGTCTAAATCAAGACAAGGAGATCGCGAGTTTCTGAATGAGATCGGCATGATATCTTGTGCGCAACACCCAAACCTCGTGAAGCTGCATGGCTGCTGTATCGAAGGCGACCAGTTGCTTCTTGTGTACGAGTATATGGAGAACAACAGCCTGGCCCATGTTTTATTCGGTAAAGCCTTTCACTTTCTATCATCGTCGTTCTGCATATTGTTTTTTGCAAGTTTCATTGTTTCATTCGTTTCGCCAGATTCAAACAAAAGCCAAGTGATTCTGGACTGGCCAACGCGGTTCAAGATCTGCATTGGAATCGCGAGAGGATTAGCTTTCCTCCACGAAGAATCACGGTTGAAAATTGTTCATCGCGACATTAAAGCCACAAACGTGCTGCTCGACAAAGAGCTGAATCCTAAGATATCCGACTTTGGATTGGCTCGACTCAATGAAGACGAGAAGACACATATAAGTACCAAAGTCGCAGGGACAATGTAAGTTTAATTCATGCATATATCCCCTTCGACTAAATCAATCTTTGGCGCGACTCCTTCTATTGATCGCTTTGTACAATGTATCGGCAGCGGATATATGGCGCCAGAATACGCACTGTGGGGCTACCTGACAGACAAAGCCGATGTCTACAGCTTCGGGGTTGTAATATTGGAAATCGTCAGCGGCAAAAGCAACAACAACTACATGCCGAGCAGCAATTTCATATGCCTTCTAGATTGGGTATTTTTTCCCCCTTTTTTTCATAGATTCATACCGTTCGCACAATAAGCATTCGCGTCTCTGAATTATTTCAGGCTTGCCACTTGAAAGAAAACAACAATGTCGAGGAGCTAATAGACGAGAGGATGGATTCAGGCACGGACAAAGAAGAAGTAGAGCGCGTGGTGAAGGTGGCCCTTTTATGCACAAATGCAACTGCGTCGCAGAGGCCGGCGATGTCTAAGGTCGTGCAGATGATGGAGGGCAGTATGGCCATCCCGGAGTCGGCTCTGGAAGGTAGCAGCAGCACGTATACGGCGGATGTTAGATTCAAAGCCATGAAAGACTTCCACCATGAGAGGCAAAAACAGAGCTCATCCACAGGAGCTGCTACTACAGGTTTTTCAGAATATGTCGATGAGTTTTCTGATATCAGTAGAAACGTCTTCTGAGCGGTTAGTATATTCTTTCATTAGTACAATCTGATGATTTTATTATCACAATATATATATATGTATATATATAGAGGTAGAGCGGTGTGCTGCTTTATTACAATACTGTATAGCAGACGGAATCATGTAAATTTTGTAATGAATAAATACAAGGGATCTTTAGGCAGTTGGAGGATAAAGAGCTCTTCCAGGTTCCCTCTCAGATAAACGTCCATGGTGTGTGAGGAGCTGCTTAGATAAATACACACAATTATATATATATACACACATGTAAGTATCATGTATGTATATGTTCATCACTGTCACTGACCTTAGCATTGACTCCATCTGGTATGATACGGTTCTCTGCTTTGTATTTAATGTAATCAACCCTATTGAACCTCGTGAATCCCCTGAAAAATTGCCAATTAAAATGATTTGGACGAGCTCTTACAACCTAAGGGTATCTTGATTTTTATAACTAACAATGTTATGTCACCATTTCCGGCTTATGATGATCTTCTGGCGACCAGGAAACTTGAATTTTGCGCGGCGCAGAGCTTCCTGAGCATGAGGACTGCTGGCATCGCGGCAACGGACAGAGAGCAGCACCTGACCAATGGCGACGCGAGCGCAGGTTCCCTGTGGCTTCCCAAAGGCGCCCCTCATGCCGGTTTGGAGCCTGTCGGCTCCAGCACATGACAGCATTTTGTTTATACGCAGGACGTGGAAGGGATGCACCCGGACACGCAGGTGGAATGCATCCTTCCCGGCGAATTTCGCCATGTACTTATTGCATGCGATGCGGGCAGCCTCCAATGCCTCGCTCGACACGTTCTCCTTCTCCCAGCTCACCAAATGCACGCAGAGTGGGAACTCGTCAACCCCTTTTTTCTTTGTTCCTACATCGTAGATTCTTATCTTCGAATCAGGCACGCCGCGGCAGAATCGCGATTTCGGATACGGCTTGCCTTTGATCTGCCGGTAGCATCGCGCAGGCCCTACAGATATAAACTTATAAAATATTACAGCAAAATACTGTTTAAATCAAAATTTCGAAACTGAATCAAAACCAAAATTTCTACCATTCTACCTAGTCTTGGCCTTGTAGGACATTATGAAATTTTATCCTCGTTTTCAATCTTTTAAAGTCAATCTAATTTCTTTCCCCAATATATATATACATGGTCTGTTTAATATATTGAATTAATATATTTTAGCAGCACAACACAACATATATACTATATATATATATACACAAACTATATATATGCATGCACAGAAAATAAAATAAAATAAAATCTCAAGCCTTATATGCATGTATACATCCAAAAACGAAAATGTCAAGAAATGTCACAGAAATTTCTCAACAAACCGAAAAAAGATAAACTAGAGGGTGGGTGTAAGAGAGAGAGAGAGATTAAACGCTTACTCCTTCCCATAGCTCTGTTCAGCTTGGTGTAGGTGGAGCAGAAAATGCCTTAGTCAGGTTTAGTAATTAGTAGAGCTGTCTGTAATAAGACAGCAGAGTCAGTGAGAATGGGAATCATATGTAGGCGTGTCCTGGAAGCTATATCGAAATATCTAAAATATTCTGTGAACTCGTGATCATCACTCACTCGCTCGAATCTCTTAATAAAAGCTTCCATGGCCCGTGAAAATAAAGTAACTTTTTACTGCATGATGGTGACACTGTACGATTCAGTTATTCACCACCGCAGATCGATCCGTGGCGGTGGCGGTGGCGGCGGCGGCGGCCATTCCATGGGTCGTGGTCGGCCGCTCTTCATCATTTTCTAATGCGACTTTTAAAAGTCATAAAAACGTGTTTCGTCTGTTTTCATAATCATTCTGCTGATCTGATGGGAATTTGTCCTAAAATACAATCAAGAACTATTTTGTGGTCAATTCAAGTGGAAACTGACGGATCAAACAATAGTACAATAAATGTATCTTCATTTGCCCATCACTATCAATTAATTGCAAGTTGCAAAATTAGGCCTTTGCCAGTTGTTATTATCCGTTAAAAGCGTAATCTTGGGGTTTCTTCCAAGGGATAGTTTCCATCCTAAATGGTTTATAGATTGGGAGGGCTTTGACGCGTTTTGCCGATTCACATTCTATTCGCCACTATCGATTTATAGCTTTGTTGTGAAATAATCCGCCATTTTTGGGGTTCTCAAAGGTTTCTCTTGTGGTAGTCGTTCCTGCGATTTAGGGATTGGACCTTGGTCCTAACCTATTTCTTCGATTTTCCATCTTTAGGTTTTAGGAATCTAGGGCTTTGATTCCTTTAAGGTTGGTTGTTCTTCTTACTGCAATTTTCCTGTTTTGTCTTCCTTTTTCGAAATTTTTTCCTGATTGCGGTTGGTTGACTCTGTTACCCATTTCACATTGCACGATTTCTTTCAAGGGAACATTTCTGCAGCGAAGGGAATCTTGATTTGCAGAAGTTTCTTCGAGAATTCCGGACTTTCTTGCAAAATCTGAATTCTTGAAATCAAACCTCTCTTCAAGAATTCGTGATTGGTTGCAAGAAAGTGAATCTCGAACCTTGTTAGAACCACCGATTACTATTGACAATGGAGGAGTCCGATGGCACCAAGAAATATACCCTGTGGAAGCAATCGTCCATGGCGCCCGAAAGGGAATACGATGACCTCGATCATCGTCCTCTGGAGGACGATCACGAAGACGACGCATTGAGTGAAATCGATCCAGGGCTACAGCTAATGTACATGGTCAATGAGGGTGATTTGGAAGGCATCAAGGAGATTTTGGCCGATGGAACTGATGTTAATTTCAGGGATATTGATCACCGCACTGCTCTTCACGTCGCCGCCTGCCAGGGACTCGTCGACGTCGCCAAATTGTTGCTCGAACATGGGGCAGAAGTCGACCCCAAAGATCGGTGGGGGAGCACGGTATGATCCTGAATCCATTCACTTACATAACCTGCATTTTATGCATTTGTTGTCTGGATAAATCTTGATTATAAGTTAGTGTTTGCCTCTGCTTTTTTCCCTGTTTCTTGGCTGTCGATCTGTTTCTATATGTTCATATATATATGTATGGTGTATAGGCTGTGAAAGTATGTGATTTAGGTGTGTTTTCTACCCCTATGAATTCGACAGTAAAATCTTTTTTCCCCTGAAATAGATTGCATCTAAGTTTCATTTATTTAGGTTATATATTATGTCGAAACTTGTTTTTCATTTAAAATATTTCACCCAGTTATTATTATGTTATGTATGAATACTCCCAAGCACTGCGCAAAATTTTCTTGCTATAGTGTCGATCATCGTGCAATTTGTGGATCATAGCGAAGGTTTGTGCTCATGTTCTTACAGATGATTGTTTCATGAAGCTTATTTGTTTCTCCACAGTTTGATTATCTTTTTCTGTGGATTTTCTTTGAAAAAAGTGCACTGATAGCCTATCAATTTGTCAAAGAAAATTCCATTTTTTGAGGATGGATGGATGTTATCAGCTAAGCAAGTCGAGAGATAGGCGAGGAGTCTGATGTTGGATAATTTCTTGAATGAATTACTCCAGAATGATCTTCTGATAGTAAACAATCAATTAAGACAAAATTCCGACAAAAATTGGGTGTTATCTTGACCTGCTTTTGAGGTTCTGTATTTTGTGGTGCAAAGTGCATATCCTCGTCAAGGATTCAAAGAACCAATTCATTGCATAAAATCGGGATCTTTATTTGATTAATCCGTCCCATCTGCTTTTCAGCCTCTTGCGGATGCAATGCACTATAAAAATCATGATGTGATCAAACTATTGGAAAAGCACGGCGCAAAGCAGTTAGTAAGTAGCTATGTTTCTTACATAAATCGTGCATATTTGCAATTGTATGATAAAATAAATCCCTGTTTGATTTTACTCTTATGTTTCGTTTAGATGGCTCCTATGCATGTTGATAATGCCCGTCAGGTTCCCGACTACGAAATTGATCCCAGTGAACTTGATTTCACCGACAGCATTGAGATAACAAAGGTACTATGGCACTTTACAGATAATATTGCCTTGGTTGTTCACTCATTTAAGATAGTGTAATGTTTGACCGTCTCCTCCATCCGACTCACCACTTTCAACTAAAAACATTATTCTAGGGAACCTACAGAGTTGCATTATGGCGAGGAACTCGAGTTGCTGTGAAAATATTTTGGGAAGGAAATGCGGATGAGGATAGTGTGTGAGTTTTCCGACTATGTGGTTTATACTGAACGCACTTCTTACAATCTACTGCTTTAATTTTATCTAAATTTACAAACCTTCACAGTGAAGCATTTAGAGATGAGCTTGCATTGCTTCAGAAAGTAAGACATCCGAACGTTGTTCAATTTCTCGGTGCTGTTACACAAACCAGTCCTATGATGATTGTGACCGAATACTTGCCAAAGGTTATTTGAAATTAAGCAGTTTTTTAAATTTTTCTTTCGATTTATTTTCTTAATTAGTTGTACTTAACATGTTGTCCCGAACATGCAGGGCGACCTTCAAGAATATTTGAAAAGAAAAGGGTCGCTTAAACCTGAAATAGCGCTCAGATTCGGCATGGATATTGCCAGGTTTTTTGTATTAATAAAAAGTTAATTGTATTTAAGAGCAGTTGAACATCGATCGAGGCATACTGAGGATTGATTTAAGAAATATGCAGGGGAATGAACTATCTACATGAAAATAAACCTGAAGCAATCATTCACCTTGATCTTGAGCCTTCGTAAGTTTGCAACATACCGACTTCCTGATTTACTGCGCTGTAAATTACTCAAAATAATTTGTTCTTATGTTTGAGTAAGATAACAGGAATATCTTGCTGGATGACTCCGGACACCTAAAAGTAGCCGATTTTGGAATTAGCAAGCTTCTTAAAGTCGCAAACAGAGTTAAAGATGAGAAACCTCTTCACAGTGGATATACATCTTGTGAGTTTGCATAATTTTTCTAACTTCTAGACTGCAGATTGAATAGACGATCAACGATCAATGTTTGTGCTGATTTTCAATCCATTGACAGGTCGTTATGTCGCGCCTGAGGTTTTAAGAAATGAAGCATATGACACAAAAGTAGATGTTTTCTCATTTGCTTTAATCTTGCAAGAGGTAATTTTGCAGCGCCCGATGGAGAGCTTCAACTAACTTTTAACATTTTTATTAGTTTACTGTAAATTTAATCCATTCTTACGATGCACTAATCTCAGATGATCGAGGGATGCCCACCGTTCCATTCAAAGCCAGACTACGATGTGCCCAAAGCTCTTGCTGCACGGGAGCGCCCTCCATTCAGAGCCTCGACCAAGTTTTATTCCCGTGGACTGAAAAAGTACATCGTAATTTATATTCATGGACAGAGAACTTGTTTCTTGTTTATATCAAGGGTTGGATAGCTGTTTTTCGACTTATATTTTCTCTTTTAATTTCTCTCATACAGATTAATCGAGGAGTGTTGGAGCGACAACCCTGCTGATAGGCCAACCTTTAAGCAAATTATTCCCCGATTAGAGGCCATCTACAACAGCATCGGCCACAGAATCCGCTGGAAGGTCTTTCCTTTTCTAAAGCTTGCTTCTAAGTGATCATTTTTCCATCCGTTCGAGCGATGTTTTGGTAGGCTTAGCAGGATTCTTGCATCCCCTTCTTCCTAATGACCTTTCTAACTCGACTAACGCATCATTCTTCCCTGTCAATGCGACACAGGTCATGAAGCCATTGAAATGCTTTCAGAATTTCGACTGGAAGAAGGATAGCTCTAGTTTGGGAAGTGACGCTCATTCTTCGACATTCGGAATTTAATTTCATCCTTGAGGAACTCTTGGCTAAATCATCTATGCGTGAATTTTTATGGTTTTGGAACTGCAAGTATTGTGTTAAATAATGCCAGAAACCTGTAGGCTGCTCTGTTTCTTGATGATGAATTGATCATATTCCTGATTTCAACTTAAAATTATTTCAATTCTGCAAATTCTAAAGAAACTTAAGAAAAACAAGAAATAAAAATATAGCTACAGCTACAGAAGATATTTCTGAAGAGATCTTGAAATTAAAAAAAAAAAATACAAAAGGGTTAAATTTGATGTGGAAATTAGTAGTGTTTGTAGGTGTCCAAGATTATTACCAAATTAATCATATTTCCAGCAGTGGGCCAGAAATAGATTCCAATCCATGTTGCAATAAAACAAGAAATGAATTGGAAGGGCAGAGATATTATTTATTTTTTCACTTCATCTTCCAAAACAGTGCCAACACCACAGGTAGTTTACTCCTCTCAGTACCCTTCACCTCTGCTTAAGGAATTTTCGTGTGGGTAGATGGAAAGATTAATTATAAAATGAGCAAAATTAAAAGTACAGAGAATTGGGATAGATGTTGTCAAAGGTAGAAATAACTAGAAAGCCAATATCCCAAATTAACCCAAACCCTAATTCTTGAATCTTGATGATAAGCTGAACTTCCATGTCGGTTAAACTTGTCAATCAGAATAGTAAATTAAAACTGTATTGTATGTATGTGTGGCACATATTGATGATAATTGAGTTGTGGGGACTTTAATTGGATTAGGTCTGTGCATTGAATTGAAGCTCTGCAGATTTCAACATCAAGAACCCTAAAAAACATGTAAGGTTTGTTCATGGTGGTCCCTTGTTGGAAAGGGTGTTGGCACACATAAAAATTAAATTTGGGGTGTGGATGTACTTCCATTACTCATGTTGTATCACTCAAATATATAATGTAACATTCTGCATAAAAAAGATCTAATCTTATACAGCCATGAACTAGATCATTGGATTTTATTATAAATTAGCCCTCCTTGTAATAAGATAGCAACTCCAATAAATTCTTATTGAACTCTTGTAATGTTTCGTATCATTTCTCCTCAAACATCTTTCCACAATCCTAGAATTTAGAGAGAATTTAGAAGGTAACTAATTAGCTCTCAAACAAGAAATCTGAACAATTTGATCATCATCACCAACTGGTTATTCTTGAAGTCTTCAGCTAACTTATACCTACATAATAGATAGATATATTTATTTATTTATTAATCTTACACATAATTAATTACCTAACAATATGGTTGACTAATTAGGTAGAAAGGCCATGAGTTGTCATGACTTGCAACACTAAAGCATAAGCCAAGAATTACAAATCAGCAAAGACATTAGTTTTATATAGAAAGAACACTGTCAAGGTTAGTGCCAAGAGAATACACATCTAATCAGCTGCTAAATCAACTCACATTACTTACCCTAACAATCCAATGAATAAAGCTCTAACTCAACATTGATATTCTGTCAACTAACCATTCTAAGCTTTCAGGAAATCAGCAATGGCAAATTCTTATATATTGTTCCAGCCACATTAATTGTAATAAATATCCTTGGCATCTCATCAAGCCAGCAACATACATAATCCAGTCAATGTCTGTAAATTTTTTGCAATACAAATTTTTGAGTAAAAGCAGCCGAAAGATCGATTAATTCATGATCAGTAAGCTTAAACACCAGCTGTATTTGCCTGTATGTATATATATATATATATACACATCTCTCTTCTGTATTAAATTTCTCAACTTCTATCTTCAAGGATGAAATGCAAAAGATTAGTTCATCTGAAAAAAGGGTATCTGAAACACTTTATGGGCAGGTGAGGCTGATGATAATTGTAATGATTGAATCTGCCCATTGTGCTGCTTCACTAGAAACCACTAGAAAAGATAACACGCATGCTTTTGATTATACAAAGATATGTATACATACATAAGTAATTAAAAAGGGATGGAGTATATGGTGACACCAAATTGTAATTTGTTTTGTATTAATCATCATCACATAAAAGAAAAAGAAAAAAAATAAAAATAAAAATCCAGTCTTTACTTCATGAATAAATACATATACACAGCTGCAAAGTGGAGCTGTATTTGCTATATATCCCCACCATCTTCTTCACATCTCTCTCCCTCAGATTTAGGTTTTCACTAAGAAACCTAACCCTAGCCAAATCCATCTTTCCCCAGATCCGAACTAGGTGAGCAAATGAAGCTAATTATCAAATTGATATTACCAGCAGGATGAAAATGTCTTCGATCCGTTTGCAATTTCTTCAAGAAATGAGTTTTTGGTTACAAACCAATGCTATTTGATGCATGAATCAGATTGCAATTAAAAGAGTTCGATCGATAAACAAACAAGAAGTTCACATGTGCTTGGTTTTCTTACCTTAACTATTTATATCTCCATGTTGCTGCAGAATCAATGGCGTGCCCAAGTGAGGAATCGAGGGAGATGTCTTCCGAGAGGAAAATCGGTCGGGGAAAGATCGAGATCAAGCGGATCGAGAACACGACCAACCGTCAGGTCACCTTCTGCAAGCGTCGCAACGGCCTGCTGAAGAAAGCCTACGAATTATCTGTGCTTTGTGATGCTGAGGTTGCTCTGATAGTCTTCTCCAGCAGAGGTCGTCTCTATGAATATGCAAACAACAGGTACGACACATCTTGAATTAAAAATTGGGGGAAACGAAATCGAGTGAGCTTCTTCGTTTATCAACAAATCTGGGGTATCTTTCTTGATTCTTGTGCTTCAATTTTTGTTTTGAGTGGTGAAAGAAAGAAGGATCTAGTCGCTAGGGCACACCTTTTCCTTTTAGCCCACAATTTTGTCTGATCATCTTAAGAGGATATGAAAGGAGTTTAATTTTGATGAATTGTTGTGAGCTCTTCGTCCGTCAGAGATCTTGCCATGGAATTTTAGGGAAGATTTTTGTACAGTGAAGGATTTCTTTCTTGACAAAGATCCAGTTGTCTTTCTAATTTTTCCTGTTTTGTTTCCCCCCTTCACTGTTCTGAATGTATTGGGTACTTTCTTTCTTTCTCTACAATCCCATGTAATTGGTAAAAACTCAAAGATCTCTTACAAAACAAATGATACAAAACCAGATGCAAGAAAGCTTGGAAAATGGAGGATAAGCTTTCTTCTTCTTCCACAAATTTCTGTTAGTTTTGGTTCTTTAATTTATGTCTCTTCTTGGAGAATCCTGTCTTTGGAATCAAGTGTGTCGAATTCCCATTTGTGTGCATTTATGCACTTCAGTCTTAGCATCGCAGAGGTAAGCAAAAAAGGATTCTGCAGGAAAGATGTCAGCAGTGGTATAGCAACCTCATTAGGGTTTTCTTTTTTCCTTTTTCTTTTTTGGGTTTTTAAAGTAAATACTAATTAGGGTTTCTAAAGTTGAACGAAATGGTTCAATTCCACCCCTATATTCTGAAATCTTTTCAACTATGCCGAATTAAAAGCAACCAAATTAGGGTTTACTACTTATATTAAGTTCCCCCAAATCTTCAAATGCATCTCTCTCCATATCAGTGCACCCATAACCAAAGATTGATTTTTGTTTTTTAATTTAAATTTAATTCTTTCCATAATTGCAATTGTCATCTGTTTCTTTCTCTTCTTTCCCTTTTCTTTTTTTCAGCCTGATGCTTGCTTCTCTTTGCTGGGATCTAACCGCAGTTTTCTTCGTTCAGTTAGGATTAAACACAAAATATAGATTTGGCTGACTCACAGAATATATTCAGGTCACGTCAGGACAGATTTTCTTGTTCTTAACTTTTTGACGAGAAGTAATCTGTACCAGCTTATTCTTCATCATAGCCATTATTCTTCTTACTTAAACTTTCTAAATTCTAGGACAAATAATCGAAACCCATCCTCTTAATACCTAAATTATTTCTGAAATCTGGAAATTCAGAAGTGGGAAGAGGGTTTAACAGACATGCCAAGCCAGCAATTTTATATTTATTAGTTTTCTTGTAAACTGCAATATGCAATCCCTCGCTTTCTTGAATAGGGCATCTAATTGTACCTTCTTTATTGGCCCATCTCCTCAAGATTCAATTTTTATTACATCCCATGCAAGTTTGTGTGTAATTTACTGTAGTAATTTCAGAACCTAGAGAGTGAAAATAGGGTAACTCAGACTTCAAAGACAAACGTACGGCCACTGCCCACCAATAGGGGAGTTCTGACATTCTGGGCTTGTTCAGTTCATCCCCACCGTCCGATTGTTTAGACGGACGGTCCAGATGATGCCCTCAGAAACTCATCTGACCTTGATTAGGGTTCCAAGATTTTTGTGGAGATGATATAATTAATTAGGTTAGAATGTAGAACTGAGAGGTGTTGCTTTGGAATTGGTGCCAATGGCGAAGCAAAGTATTAGTGCCAGCTTGGCAACGGCAGCCAATCAGTCCCTCGATGAATTTAAGGTAGCAGCAGTCCAAGAAACATGCTACACTCAGTGTAGGATTCCATTATCGTATTACTACATCAAATCTCGTCGATTGACTTTGATTAGACATGATGTTGAAATTCTTCGACTAACTTTTATAATCCTCAACCCAAGAAAAAAGAAAGGTGCTAACTTGACACCAATTAATTAACCCATTTAATTCTCGAGACTTATCTACAATTTATGCAGTGTTAAAGAAACAATCGAGAGGTACAAGAAAGCAACCTCAGATTCCTCGAATACTGGCTCGGTTTCTGAAGCTAATGCTCAGGTAATAATTTTATTTATTAAAAAGAATAATTTTAATAAATTTTAATGTTTCCACGGCATTGTTTCAGTATTACCAGCAAGAAGCTGCAAAACTGAGAGCACAAATCAGTAATTTGCAGAACCATAACAGGTAGGGCTTTTTCGTATATTTATACATTCATTTTTGGGGGTTTCTTAACATAATTAATTGCACAAATGAATGAATTTTGGTGTAATTTGAACACAGAAACATGCTTGGAGAATCTCTGGGTGCCTTGTCACTAAGGGATCTCAAGAATCTTGAAGCTAGAGTTGAAAAAGGGATCAGTAAAATCCGGTCCAAGAAGGTGCCTGCTAAGCTAGCTCTTTTTAATTTTCAATATATATATATATATTTTTGGTATTAGGGTAATTTCTTGATCATTCTCTTTGTTTCTTTTCTTACAGAATGAGTTGTTGTTTGCTGAAATTGAGTATATGCAGAAGAGGGTAAGTATTACTAGATGTTGATTTCCTGCAAAATATTTTTATTCTACAACTAGGTTGTGATCTTGAAATGAATTTCTTGATCCTCAACAAGAACATGAATTATGTTGTTGGTTGACTATATAATAACTAAACATATATATTATTTCAAATTTAAATTTTTAAATAGACGGTCATTTTACACGGTATAGAAGTCTAGACTCATGGTAATTTAACATAGTATCAAATCTAAAACGTCTTATGTTTGAGTTTCACAGCTCTTCATCCATCATCGAATTTGACATTGACTATATAATAATTAATGATGTGTATACGATCTAGCTTAAACTTTTAGGGAATGGGCATTTGACAAATGCTTATATAGTACATTAATTGATCTGTTCAATCTCTACTCCACCAAGATGATGATTATGCTTCTTTCTTGATCATGTGAATAATTAACATTGGCAGCAGGAGATTGACTTACATCAAAATAATCAGTTCCTTCGAGCAAAGGTACAAGAAAACACACACATACATAGTTATATATATATATATATATATAGATTGGAAGTAAACATGTAAAAGCTAATTAATTTAATTTAATTACTTGTGTAGATAGCTGAAACAGAGAGAGTTCATGAGCAAATGAGTTTGATGCCAGTGAGTTCAGGCTATCCTCACGAGCTGGTTCAGCCACATCAGCAATTGATCGATGCTCGCGACTATCTTCAGATGAACGGCCTTCAACCCGACGAGACAGCCTCCCTCAAGACCAGCCTTCACTTCACCTAGCAACATGCATCATGCGAGACCCCATTTGTAAATCCTTAATTAATTCCGCCGGGCCTCAACTGAGGAAAAATGTGTGCTCAAAATGATCGATTGGATCGATCAATCCCTTCTTGCGTCGTTATTATGATTATATATATGTATTTTGCCACGAACATTGTCAAGTGGTCCGACTGCTCCTCCTTCCTTCCTTCCTTCTCCGCTTGTATTGTATGTATTGTATTGAATAATGTTGTATTGTTGAGACCATCTTATATATATATATATATATATATGTAGTAGTTATCCTATCCATGCTTGTCAACTAATTAATTCCCAACATTATTTGAGATATTTTAGATATTCAATTTTAAATTTAAATATATTTAAAAGTCTTGTAGTTTGTTACACGGTTGAAAGTCTCGTTATTTTCAACTTTAATTCAGTAGAGAGTATTGCTTCTGATTTTGACACGGAAGTATGGTAGTGACAATGACAATGACAGATTATGTTTTATATGTTGTAGATTTAGATTTGAGTGAGTATACATATTTTATACTTATAAATAAGTCTCTATTTTCGTTATGAATAACAATGCAGTTCAGATACAATTTCGTCTTCTCTACTCATTACATTCTTAATTAAGTAAAAACTATGGATCATTACTTGTCAATGACTCCATTTCTTACATGTGAAAATTTAAATATTACATCAAGAGTATAATTTCAACTCAAAAACCATAACATTGTTTCCTCGATATATATATATATATATATATAGATATGTTGGCTGTTATATATGTTTCCTCCCTATCGAAGATCCTCCGCGACATTTAGGCCTGAGCCAGACGGCGAATATCGTAGGGGTACGCGTCCGATCCCTTCTGCGCGCTATATGATCGCCTCCCGACCACAGCATTCGCAGCTTCCGTCGGATGGAATGCATCCCAAAACAAATACTCATTCCTGTTCCGGCACGGCGGCTGCAGAGGCAGACATGTTATTTGCCCTCTGTTCCTCCCCACGCCGCAGCACCCAGCATTCGTCACTCTAAAGCCTGTCCGCGCAAAATAGGGTGATTTAATTTCTACAAAACTCTTATAATCATCTCATCTAAAAGTTTAAATGCAGTAAAAAAAAAAAAATGTACCATAAGAGGCGGGAGTGCTGATCATATCCTGGAAAATCCCATATGCATTAATGTAGATGAACTTCGCATCCGGCGTGTTCCGGTTGAACGTATCAACTAATCCCCTGAGCTTGTTGTTGAATATCTGATTCGCCGAATTGATCCTCTCCACGCACGTCCTCCCGTCGGGGCTGCTCTGCGCCAACGCGTTCGGGCTGCAACCGATCTGCCCGATTCCAATCAAGGCGAACTTCCGAGCTCCGTAGCTGTACAATGCCTGACGAACATGAAACAGAGCAATTTAGTGTTATTGACATTTTCTGAAGGGGGAAGACTAATTCGACGAGCTGTGACGCACCCTCAGCTGCTCGGTGTACTGCTGGATTAGGACATTAGCGTACTGTTCAGGGTTGTACTGTCGGCTCGTCGGGTATATAAGCGGCATGAAGTAGTTGTTGAGGTAGTCGTTGCTGCCCATTCCGACAGAGTATATGCACTGGCTGAGGTAGTCGGAGGCCGCGGCCTCGTCGCCGAGTATGTTAACGACTTGCGCCACCGTGTTCTTGTAGTTGTTCACTTGTCCCGCGAAATCAATTCTTGCCCCCTGATCGACAACGTCGGACAATGTCTTAAACTTGTCGATCGAAATGATTGTTTTAAAAAGGGGATTTTTAAAAGATTTATACCAATTGTCGCCCTGTTTCAGGCCGGATTCCGGCGGCTGCTGACGCGTAGTTCACCCCGCCGAGTATCTGCCGGCCGCGGACTTGGTTGTAAGGCGGAATGTGGTTTAAGCCGAGGAGTTCCGCTGTTTGATCATCGGAGGAAAAATGTCATTATTGTTATCGTACTGTTCAATCTACAGTATATTTAATTTTGATTTGAAATGTTAAAAGACAGCTGTTGTCGTTACCGATGACGTCAACGGTGGTCTTGCCGTTGGAGAATCGGCCGGTTGGACCGCGGGGGAAATCGATGCCGTAAGGTAAGTAGTTGGCCCGGGCGAGGGACTGAATGTCGTTATTGTTGCCATTGTCTACCAATGAATCGCCGAAGATAAAGTAACACGGGACTTGGGGCTGCGCCGCTACCGGCCCAACTATCATCGCCATTGACACCGCCACCGCCGCCGCGGCGATCCAAGTAGGAAACCCAGAAGACATTTTAGTTGAAGCAAATGTGGGATGGAAGAAGAGAGGAATTGAAGATGGGTGTTTGTTTGAAGCTCGTAAGTGCGTGGTATTTATATATACATGGACTGTTCATTACAACTTGTAGTGAACTGTATTACAATTACAATTACAATTACAATTATGTGTGTACAGATGAGGCAGTTAGTTGGATGGATCGATCGATGCATTCAATTCACTTTTCAGCGAGTATTTCACGTGTGCCCTATATATATAATAATATATATTAGATTGAAAATTGTAGGGTTTTTTTTTTTGCTTTTTTTTGTTATTTTGTTAATAATCGAAATGATGTGAATTGTTCTGGGGGATATGATTGATTTTCATGCATAATAAAGCAGATGTATAAATTGAGGGTGGAGATTGAGGCGGTAAAAAGCACATCCAACGGTCATAATTGGCCGGATCATTTAATCCAGCAGGTAGATGATTGTACAATTATGGGATACAAAAGAGTACAAAATATAACTATAATAAATATGTCTACACTGGGTTAGTGCAGAAATTAAATGCTGGTTCGCAACTGTTTTTGCGCGTTTTGGAGCTAAGTCTCCTCTAAAAAAAATATACTCCCGGCTTCTCATAAGAAATACTTTTTTTTTATTTTGATGTCTCCCAAAATAAATATACTATTTTCTAATTTAGTAACGGTATTATTTACCCAACACAATAAATATTTTTACAATTTACAATATATTACACAAATATCATCACTTTTATAACATACCATACTAATAAAGACATTTTCATCTTTTTTATTACAAACTAATATAATACTAATATTAAAAAATACATGTGCAAAAAGCTTGTGCGATGAAAGAAGTATTTAAATCAATACTCATAATAGATACAAACAACACATGTACGTAACATGTAAATGTAAATACATATGTATACATATGTAAACAATACAATGTGTTTTTCAGTTATACTAATCACTTGTTAATAACCACTTTTATTCTATATTGTTTCAGTTATACTTTAGTTTGATATATTTTAAAAAAATTACTTATTTATTTCGTAAAAAAAGGATAAAAAAAAATAAAAAAAAAAAAAAATTCTCTCTCTCTCTCTCTCTCTATTTATTCTTTTTAATAAAGTATAAAATCAAAATACAACTAATGAGTAATGATTAATGAAGTATGTATGGCAATAAAAATAATTAATTATAATATCTTTTCCACACCACTGATCCAGTCATCCAACTGATCCTTTAGCTAGACAAGTTAGCCGACATATTCCCAAATTTACAAAATAAATAAATAAATTGATAAAATTATTAATTTTTTTTTTATTATAATGATTCTTAATAATAAAAATAATTATAATAGGGTTGACTAAAGTGAGGAAAGATTAAATGTGTTGTGAGTATTTATTGCGCAGCTGCAATTAAATGAGGCCGTTGAGGAAATTGGGATATAGGACCAAGTCAGCTTGTTGACTGCATGTAATGTAACTAAAGACTACAGTTGGTTTGCATAGTATTATATATATATATATATTATATTTTTTTAATGTGTTTGTAATAAAGTCAAATATATGGGAATGCCATAATATTACATCCTCATTTTGTCAATGGCAACATGGAAATAATGGGCTGCATGGATCGTACACTGTCTGTATCCATTTGCAATAATATCGGATTGGTGGGTGGGTGGGTGGGTTGCTCCTCAATCTAATTATTAAATCGACTTATTTTTTATGATTCGAACATGATCCAACTAATAATTTTTATTTACAATACAATTTTTTTATAAAAGAAAAAAGAACTAATCGGCCAAAAATAATAAATTGGACCTAACAAGAATGGTATATCAAACCCTAATCAAAGAGAATGAAGCCAAGCCCAAAGGCCCAATAACAAAGTCGAGGGCTTCCATAGTCTTTCATTTTTTTGTAAATTGTTTATTATTTAATATCTTAAATTTTTTTTTTTTCTTGAAAAATGTTCGACACTAATTATAAGGAGAAATTTGATTTAAACATTGACTATTAAATTAATTTAAAATAATGCAATCAAGACGAAATATAGCATTCAAGGCGACTATAGAACTAATTTAAAAGAGCTGAAATCAAGATTGATCATGTTTTTCTTTTTTTTTTTTTTTTTAAATGGATGAAGACAAAATTAAATAATCAATAATTCAAATCGAAGAATGATTAGGTGTAATTAATCAATGAAACCAAATTAAATTAAGTAATGCATCATCATATCAATGATTATTAAATTAGGCAGAACCCAAATACATAAAGACAAATACAATTAAAACACACAAGAATATTTATATGACCCTTAGAAGCCTTTCATTGCGTGCTTCTTAAGTATTTATTTATTTATTTATTTTGGTAAGTGTCTAAAAGCTAATTAATCATCTTATGTAATGAAACTATTCTAATCCAAATGTCAGAATAATAATTGCTATTAATAGTAACAGATGACGAACGTATTCCCAATTGCATGCTACATGCACATGCACGTTCACGTGACAATCTCATTGCACAATATATACATATATATATATATATATATAAATATTCTACATTTCTATGTTGAAGTACAAACTTTTAGAAATTTTGATACTATTTGCAACAGCAAAATTCTCAAAGATATATATATATATATATTACCTTTTTTATTTTCTATTTTTTAAGATATCATATTAATTATTTAAAATTTTAAATTTTTTGGAAATAATGAATTAATTTGATACGATAGTTTGTGAGAAAAAATATATATTTAATATAATATTTTTGAAAAAATTATTATAAACATATCGTAGCAAAACTTTCAGAGATATTCATGTAAATATAACTTAAATATTTTGTGATAATTTATTGTCAGTTGTAGTAATAATAATAATAATAATAATAATAATAACAATAATAATAATGTAATGAAATGAAATGAAATGGTTCGTGTGTTGTGTGATAGATTGTTTGCTTCATTCCAGATTTTGTTTGTGATTTTACCACACGAAAAGAACGCCGCCGGGTGCTAGGCGACGTGGCAGTGAATCAATATACACGTGTCGGATTTTGAATGGTTTCTCGTGGATACTTTAATGAACGTAATAATAATAATAATAATAATAATAATAATAATAATAATAATATTCCGGCCCGGTAGAGTTGGGGAAACGATACCGGCCTTCTTTAAGGCGCAGGATATGGGAATTGCGCGGATCGCTTTTAACCTACGCCTTTAAATGCATATTATTTAGAAACTAGGCGTGGTCTATGAGGTTGATTTCGTCCTGTATTTTTTTTAAAAAAAATATTTTACATATAAATTAATTTTTCATTTAAAATATTGTATCACATATAATATGCAATTTTATTTCAATTGAAAAATTTAACATTAATCCCGATTTAATCATTAAAGGAACAAACTATAAATTTCTTTTCTAATTTAAAATTAAAAAATATATAATTTGTGTGTCGTTAGTGTATAATATTGACTAAGATACAAATTACTCGATCCGTCACCAAAAGTATACTCATTTCCTTCATAAATTACCAAAAAAAATAAATATACTTTTGATAGATAGAGAGGGTATAATATATAGATGGTAAAATAAAATAACAATATATTGATAGTTTTAGAAAAAAATGTGAAAGTATTTCAAAAATTTTTATAACCATAGTTACTAATTTTAAGAAATTAATAGTTAGCGCGGAAAAGTTGACCGAATTGGTTCGATAATAGTATAATAATTGTATATTTAAATTATATACAAAAAATAGTTGATCATATATTTATCCGCGTTATTTTATATTTGTACACGCGTATGTTTGATTGAATAGTACAATAAAGGCAAAAGATGTGAAAGACAAAAGAAATAAATATATATGGATATACTTCAAGATCAATGTATAAAAAACTATTTGGATTATTCCCCGATAATGCACAAATTACGCAGTTCCAGGACCCCAGATCTTGGGTTCATCCAAACCGTGAATGTTATGAAGTAATGATATGAGCAACGGTGTAGATTCAACCACCAGAACTCAAGAACCCGGACCCGGATGAACGAACTATTCAATGCAGACAACGGAAACCGTGAAGCGCAAGTAACAGCGTCTGCCCGCCGTAGATTGTTGCTTCTTACAGATTCCCGAATCATTTTATAATAAATAATTATTATTATTAATAAACACTGGATGCACTCAACATTCCATCACAGCGACGTCACGTCAGCCATTCTAAAGAGTACTCACTACGATTCCATATATGTATATATATGTCTGCTCAATAATTCCTCAGAATCAAAACCCTAGCTGATTTTTAATTTCTGCAATGGCGGAGGAGTTCCAGGAATCTGAGGTTATTTTCGGTGAGATTAATGGAGAAGATTCGCCGCCTCCCCAAGGATGGAAAATCAGCAGCAGCAGCACCACCACCAGCAGGAAGAAGCTGAAGGCGGCGCCGGCCGGGAAGGAGAACTCCACGCCGATGAAGATTCCGGCGGCAGGAAGGAATATTGCGTGGCTGCGCTACCTGGACGCGGAGCTCGACGGGGACGATCATGGTGAAATGGTGCCGCCGCACATTATCGTAGGGCGGCGCGTGGCCGGAAAAATGATGGCGTTTTCGATATGCAGCGGGAAGGGGAGATCGCTCAAGGGAAGGGATTTCTGCGAGGTTCGGAATTTGATTCTTAGAATGACAGGATTTCTTGAAAATTGATTAAATCAATCCAAAAAATGTTCATATTTATTTATTATTTTATTTATTCAAAATGTTGTATGTATCTGCACTTGGGCAGAATGTTGTATAATTGAATTGAGGGAATGGTTAAAATGTAAAAGAATTCCCAATATGAGATATTGTTTTCACACTGGCTGGAAAATTAGCAAAGACATGTCCAGGGAATAGAGGTGGGCTTGTTGGGACGAAAACAGTCATGCAAGATAGGTGAAGGAAGAAGGAAGTTATGGATATTTTCAATATTTATGCATATCAAAATGTAAGTATATATATATATATATATATGTTGGAAAGTAATTCCAGCACACATCACACATCTATATCACATGTTTCAAACACTTCATATATATATATATATATGTATAGTGGTTTAGGATGAATATTATTTGTGACTGATAAAAGCAAGAAAGGTGGAGACAAAAAGATTCCAGCAGCTACTAACTAAAACCACCCAAAGGAAAACAATCCCTGAGGCTATATATGAGTATTATTATCATTATTGTCATTATTATTCTTATTATTACTATTATTCATCATACCAAAGCTCAAGCTGCAGCTTCTCTGACCCTTTATTATATATATATATAGATATAATTTTTTTTTTTTTTTTTTTGTTATTCAGATGGGCTGCGTGTGGTGGCTAATAGTAGTGAGTGACTAATGTAGCTAGCACCTGGCTTATATGGTGTAACGATTCTTAGCACCGCGGTCGTGCCTCTTGGCGTCCTCCTGCAGGCATTGCAACACAATATCATCACTGATCAGGATAAGGCCAATACAATCAAATGATCAAACAAATGGTTGGATCAATGTAATTATCATGATGATCTCTTACATGGAATATGAAGCCAATTGTGTCATTGTAGTCCAGACATTCCTTCCATTGTCTTCCAATGCTCAGCTGAAATGTTATCAATGTAAGTGAAGCAAAGAAATGAAAGAAACCAACTAAAAATACATTTAATTAGAAACTAGTTAATTATGCAAAACTGAAACTTGTTAATTAGTCCCCTCTTATTTGCATCCACCAATCCAGAATGATGATATGAAGGACCATGATTTCACTCAGCTTTTGAATTTCCATGATAAAGCATACAGCTTTTATTATAAATCCTAATGTGAATATTGGACCACAAGATGTCTGTTTACTTATAAGAAGATCTTGAGATTGTTATTATTGTTCTGTGCCACTAATTGCATATCAAGATTGCATCAGGTAAACTTATTGTCAATCAAATATGCATAATTGAGGTTATTAATCAGCAGAGCAATCAAACAAATGAGTTAAGCTAATAATTATATATACACTTTAACAAACCTGAGCAGCTTCATTTGCAGCATTCTTTGTCCACAGAGCAATTTTCTCCTGCCTAGCCCGGACATTGACAACTGCCCCACATATTTCATCACCATAATCAAATTGTTCTCCAATCATAGCCAAAAGCTGAATCGGTCAACACAAATTATTAGGGGGTGAAACAACAATAAGCTTAATAAATAAGTTTCAATAATAGATTTTTAAAGCGTTACACACTGTATAGAGCCAACAGGTATCAGATTTGCCCCTGGAGAAACTGACTGTCCACTTCCCCCCGTTAGCACAAACAGGATCTTCCCATTTTGGCTCAATTTTGTTTTTGAAACAATAAAAATCTGCTCCAACTGCAAGCTTGCTTGGATGGTGCACATTATTGTAAACACTGCAGTAAACAAGAAGAATAGTTAGTGTAGTTAGACAGAGATGCGTGCTCCACATTGTGGTATAATTGAAAACTAGAGTGAACATCTCAGCAGAGGTGATGAACTTAAGTTTATAACCTTCTGAAAGGAATAAACACTTGGCTTGACTGCCACTAAAATATTTGCATTTACTGAAACAAAACTCTCTTTCAATCCAGAATCTTTATCAAATGTCAAGGTCTTTAAACAAAAATAAAATCTGTTGGGAAAATTCTCAAGAAACTGGCAATGACCTAAATACGTGTCATGAAAAGTGCATTTACTCCTGATTTCATATTTATACAGCAAAATCTAGTGACAGTAGATGGCAGTTTCACTACTTTAATGACTCGACTACACATGCGCACGGATTACTCACCAGATTTGTAGCGTCAATATTTACACGCGATTGAATGGATTAACATGTATGAACATTTCGCATGGAACGCTACCATTTTTATAATCGCACATTGATAAGTAGACTACACAAAATTGACAAGACTATTCAGCATTGTAAATAAAGCATACAACGTACATAAAATACATTAACCGATCGAGGATCAACGATATCAATTCTACGTTCACATCCTAAAAAAGAAAAAAGAAAAGAAAAGAAAAAACCTCCAAAAATCTTCGACGGTGGAGAAGGTATATATAGACCGAATGGAGCTTCCCCAAGCCACCTGCTTCGATTTGGCGGAAGGATTGTCAAACCAGAACGTCCAAGCATTCTCCAAAGGATGCACAGCACGCGGCGGAGCAGCTACGTTCGCAGCCGTCGGCGCCGCCGCAGCTGCTGTAGCTCCGCCTGATTTATCGCCGATCTCCTCATCCTCCTTCGACTTGGATTTTACCAGTGCGCTTTCCTCTCCTTCCTCCTTGACGGCTGCGCTCGCCAATTTCTCAGCTTCATCAACCATCTCCTCTTTTTCGTGTTTCTGTTGGGGTTTCAGTTATAATTCAAGGCCATGCGTGCCCTCACCTGAGTTTATATATACAGTCCACTGTTGACTGAAATTACAGTTTTATCCCTTGATATTTTATACTGCATTCCACAATAGATGCGGCCTATTTAGTATTAGGCCCAAATTGTTTAGGCCCAATAACTGACTTTCCGCAACCCATTTTATTTATATTTTAATTGTATTACACAACAATTTTAAAACAAAATAATGGTTTAATAAGCTATTTTAAAATAAAAATCCAATCCTTGTCTTTTGAAATACAGAATTATTTTCTTCACAATCACAATGACAACAGTTGTACTTAATTAATTAATTAATAGTGATATTATAATTAATTAAGAAATATGGTTGATATATTAATTAATTAATTAAATTTTCATGTAGTCGAGGAATGTTTTCCCATTGAGCCTCTGGGAGAAGAAATAGGTGACGTACTTCTCCATGCCCAAGGTCTTGAAGATGGGCTTTTGGTGGGCCAGCAGAGCAGGTGCTGGGCCCACCTCTGCTTGGAATTTAGGGTTGAAGAACATTGCTATCGATATCCTTTCTTTCTCTGAATTCACTACAGCTCTGTGCTCCACACTTCTGTACACTCCATTGCTTAATATCTGCATGCACATAAGTAATAATAATACTTTCTTTATAACTAAAATTATGTTTTTTTTTTTTTTTTATAAAAAAGTTTCTTATTTTTTTAAGCAGAAACAATACTATATTATATAATTTTCTTTTTTACTATAAAAGATAAATTTTTATTTTGATCTGTTTTTCAATAACTCATACCTAGTCAATAATGAGCATAAATTTCAATAATAGAAGTAATAATAAATTAATGAATAATCGAAAACAAAATTAGATCTTAAAAGAACACGCCTCTAACAAAATATTACTTAATAATGAACTATAGAATGTGTTCACTTAGGGTGCGTTAGTTTGGATTTTGAGTTGGGATTTGAATAGTAAAAATATTGAAAAATATAATATTTCTTCCATTCATGCGAAATTGTTATATCTATTTTTCCATTATTTATCATATATCTGAAATCAATCTATTAATTTTTATTTTTTTTAGTAAGTGTTGTCCCTATATAAATAAAATAAGACTATTATATTTTAATTATTATTATAATAATACCATCAATTTATGTATCTAATTTAATAATTGAATCAGTCATTCACTCATCTATTATTTTCATATATAAAAATATACTAAAAATTTCAAACTTCACATACAAAAAATAAACAAAGAGATTGTTTCGGGATGAAATGGAACAATATATAATATATAAAATTTATATATGTAACAATAAAAATCAATAAAAACACAAGAAATTTAACAAAAAAATACTTAAAATATCATTCATTATAATACATTTGCTATTCTCATGCTACACAAAATAACACCTAAAACTATTAAATATTTAATTAAGTAAATATTTATTCATTATTTTTATATTATTTATACAATTCTCTAATATAAAATAAATTATTTTCCAATACAAACACAATTATATGTTCCAAGTGTGTATATGAGGTTAGTACAAGGGATTAGGGATGGGGCTTAATCTGTTTTACTTGTTTGGATTATAGGATATTTCTATAAACATTGACTTGTATATTATGTTTCTATTTCTAGAAACTTAGGTTCATCTAATAGAAGTTTTAATTTTTTATTTTTTTATGTATAAAATTAATATTATATATAATTGAATTGATTTTGTGTGTGATATGGAGAACTGTCTTTATGATATAATTAAAAAATAATATTATTTTGTTGAATGATTGATTTTTTATGAATGGATAATTCATGTGTGTATATTTGTATTTTTTTAATAATATTTATGAGAAATAATTTTATTAAAAAATATTGAGTGAACATACTAAATATTTTTTTGATAAAAATATATTTAATACGATGCTTGTGAAAACGCTACTATAAAGTAATGATAGAAAATTTTCTAATTTGCAATACTTGCTAATTTTGGTAAGCAACAAACCTCGATGACATCGCCCAAAGTAATAACAAAGGCCTCGGGGAGGAAGCTTGTCGGCATCCAAACCCCATTTTTCTTGATTTGGAACCCCTCGACTCCATTAACTTGAAGCAATATGGTTATTCCATCGGCATCCGAGTGTGGAGTCAACCCGATGACCTTGTCTGGCTCCGGACATGGTGGATAATAGTTGACCCTAATTGATTGCATCCCATCTTCGAACATTTCTTGAATTTCTGTCTTACCAATTTTGAGGGCTTCCGCGATCAACCCTAGCATAATCTTCGACACATTTGCTAATGCCGATAAGTAAGTCTCCAAACCTTCCCTATGTTAATTGAAAAATGTGTAGTTTTGGAGTGGAAACACGGCCGTGTTAGAATCTAAATAAAACTCAAATATGTAAATATGTTGCCAATTATATATATCAAAATTTGTGATATAGTGAAATATTTCAGTCTTGGAAGACCCAAAAATAGAACAGTTATATATGACTAAATATAGTTAATTTGTTCAAACCTACCCCTTATAGCTAGTAGTAATTAAGCATCTCATGTGTTAGGTTTTGAATGTACTATATACTTTTTATAGAATATTTATTGATGCATGAAAATAAATTACACACAATTGATTATATATATATATATTATATTTCCCTTGTAATAATATTTTTGATCACATGATCATGGGATGCTTCAAATTTAAAATAGTCACGACTGCCACACATATTTATGTGACAAAATAAAACGTGTTTCAAATGCAACATGTGTTCTTACACACGCACACACAGTTATTTAGATATAAACAAAGAAGAAATGTACAGCCTAAATACCTAAACTTTGCAATGATCACTAATAACTCAACATGTATTTAATTGTGAATAAATATTATATGTGATGTTTTGATATTATTAGTAAAGATGTTAAATTAATACTATTGTTCTGGTATACAATCAATATATTCATAAAATTAATATTACACTTTCGGTATACAATTTGTTAAACTTTTAATAATTGATACATAACATATGCACGTAACTAATTAGGCATAAACAAAAGTAACCGGATTTCCGATCAAAAAGAAAAAGTAACCGGACACATAATTAATGATCGAAGACGGTTAACTTTTTTTTTTTTTAGAGTAAAAATAAAAATAATTTAATACATTGAATAGTGAAAAAATGGTAATAAAAAGTAATCTATTATTACAAAACATCCAAATATGAAAACCATTAAAAAAAAAAAATGACCTGAGAGGCATAGGAAGCAGAGGAAAGAGATGAGGTTTCCTCCGAGAAACCGGGTTCGTAATAATGTAAAACCGGTCGGCCCAGTCAACCTTTTGGTGAGCCGAGTGGATGACAGTCTGGCCGTAGCCCTCGACGTCGCCGGGCCTAACCTTGTACCTCAACCTGTCTTCCACCGGAAGCTTGTAGAATTCTTCAATCTCATACTTGACTTCCTCCAATATGGAAGTTTCAACTCCATGGTTCACAAGCTGCAAAAAAAATTAAATTAAAATTAAAATTAAGACAGGAGATGTCACACGTATGAGGATGAAATTGAAATAATGAATTAATTATTGGTTTGATCGAACTATATATTAATTACAGACCTGGAAAACACCCCATTCTTTGCAGATTGAGTGCAGGTTGTCGAGGTGGGATGATCTCATCATCTTGTCATGTTCTTGCACAAGGGCTGCCATGTCGACCACTGGGAGAGGTGATGATGATGATGTGAAATTAGGGTTTGCAATTTGGGCAGCTGCAGGCTCGGGATTGACGAGGAATTTTGAGGGGATTTCATGGATAGGGTTTTTGACCATTTCTTGAATACTGCAGCTTATTTGCACCTGCTGTGGACTCGCCATTTCCATCAATCGATCTCTTTAATTTGATTTAATTTAATTTAATTTTGATCACTTAATTGGTAGAGCGATTTGTAATCGATGACGATTGGTTTGGGTATTTATAGAAGAATATTCATCAGTTTCTTCATTTAATATTTTTTTACTGACACAATTCTCTCTAAATATTATTTAAAAAATACAATATATAATATATATAAATTATTTAATTATAAAAGTTAAATAAAATATTACTCCGACACGGTATTCTAGGAAAAGTATAATTAATAGATAATTAAGAATGTATTAGCGAAAATAATTATCCGATAATATAAATAATTATAAATTAAGATTAAGATAATTAATTACTTTAATTAAAATTTAAAAAAATAAAATTAAAAAGTTTAAAATGAGATTAAAATGTGTAATCATTTTCCAAAAAAGGAAAATGACATGTTATGTGGGATCGGACGGAAACGGCAACGTAGACATGGTATGTGGGACGGAGGGAGTATTTTTTATACTGTATTATTTAGTACCTAATATAAAAAGAAAAAAAACAAATTCATTTCAAAACAAAACAAACCGAATATTTTCAATGCATACTAAAAATGTGTTATTTCTTTTTTTTTTTTTTTTTTTTTTTTTTTTTTTATCTAAAGTCATTGAAGGAGACATTTTTTATTTTATAAGTAGTAAAAAAATTAATTTTTATTTATTTAATATAATGTATTAAATATTATTTCAATTTAAATTTATAGTATGCTCATATCCCAAAAAAGTAATTTTAAAGGAACACATCTTAGGAACTTTATAAGGCATATATACATATTCCGACCATCATAACTTAATTAGAAAGTATTTAGTCAACCTGAATGTTCAATGTCTAATTAATGTTAATAAAAAAATTTGACTATCTATGGATTCATTGCCTTCGAAGATTATCGAATTTATTACCCTAATCAATGTGTTGTAATGATATACACAATGCAAGACTTGATTAAAACCCCACGCCAACAGGTCATCTCATGCGGGACGTGCTAATTGCTATTTTAATATTACATATCGGATGTATTGAAATTAATTATAGTATGTATTGTATGAACTATTGTTATATAATTTTAATATTTGTATTAATTCAAACACAACTTTGTGGTGGGTTGTATATATTTTTACTATATATACTAATTAAACATAATTAATTGTAACTCCTGTCTCATTGTCTTATACGTAGAATTATCAATCATATGTTATTTAATTTATATATATTTTTAAAAAATGTTGGAAATTGACTCCATATAACAAATTTGATGTGATTATTAATTCTCGTTATTTCATACATATGTGGGTGGAGTTATTGCAGTTAACATGGCTTATTGGTGTAAACTTTTTCAATATTAATGTGACAAATCATGTTAGGTCCCATGATACTATACCAGTACAAGAATTTTCAATAAATTCAAAATATAGTACAAACATGGAGAATGTGTGGTTTGTTTTCTTATTTATATTTAAATAGTCATTTAATATAATATTTTATGAAGAAAAATATTAAAAAAAAAAATTAAACAAATCACAAAGAAAACAGAGCTAGCCATAAGTGATCCACTCCATGACTAAAATAGTACTTCCTCCGTCCCCATATACCATGTCCACGTTGCCGTTTCTGTCAGTCCCATATACGATGTCACTTTCTTTTTTTGGAAAATGATTACGTACTTTAATCTCATTTTAAATTTTTAAAATTTTTTTTTTAATTTTAATTAAACTAATTAGTTATCTTACTCTTAATTTATAATTATTTATATTTTAGGATAATTATTTTTACTAATACATTCTTAATTATCTACTAATTACACCCCTCCTAAAATACCGTGTATACAGTGTAGTAGACACGGTATCTGGGACGGAGGGAGTAATTTTCTTTCAAATTATTAATACTCCGTCCGTCCCATTGGAAGGGTGACATTTGTTTTTTTGCACGTAGATTTTTTAATATTAGTATTATATTAGATTGTAGTAAAAAAGATAAAAATACCCCTATTAGTATGGTGTAATATAAAAGTAATGGCATTTGTGTAATATATTGTAAGTTGAAAGGGTATTTATTATGTTAGGTAGGTGGTACAATTACTAAATTAGGAAATGGTAACCTTGTTTTGGGATAGACGAAAATAAAAAATAGTAATATTTCAATGTGACGGGAAAATAATGAAACTGACAGTATAGAAGTGTGTGATTAGATAAATGGTTACCTCGTCTAACCAATCAAATCAATCATGTATATAATTGGGTGATTTAATTATAAATTATAACAAATAGGGTGAGATTAATAATTGAAATTGAAAAGGTAAAATACTATAATATTAATTGAAGATATATAGGCAGGCGGGCAGGCGCGATAAATTTGGGGCAGTTTGAGAGTTGAACCGGCCGGCCTACATAGGTGCATATATATTTTCGTAAATGGAAAAAACGTGTTTGATAAATGAATATTATGTGGCGGTGAGAGGAGAAGAGAAAAGCAAAGCAATTAAAACGCTACTTACTAACTAAAGCACGTTTTCTAATTTAATGCATGGCTGACTATTGTTGCCATGCACAACTGCACTAGTCATCATGCCTGGACCATCATCAACTAAATAAGGCAAATCTGTCACTCATACCCAAAAACGAAATATATATATATATATATAATATTCACCATGTGAAATAATAATAATAATAATAATAATAATAATAATAATAATAATAATAATAATAATAATAATAATTGTATTGATCTATTATTTATATATGTAGATAAATGTTTTTTTATGAGTTTGTTTATATAAATATTTTTTCATTTTTTGATGTTATTTATTAACGAATATCACATTGAATGTTTTTTTCTTGTAAAATAAACATCAATAATTTTTTTTTTTTTTTTACTATTATAAAAAATTTCAAAATTGGAAAAGTGGTATCTAACTAATTAATTTGAATGAACTTTGACATAATGTAGTTGAATAGGAAGTGGCATATATATATATATAGGTTGCCTAGAATTATTATTTGCAAGTATGTAGGAAGACCAAACGAATAAACCCAAAAATGGGAGAAATTAGGAAAATGACATGGACTAAAATTGGGGAAAATTTCTATATAATCACGTCAATTGAACTAGCCTACACCTTTAAACAAACCTATTATTATTATTATTATTATTATTATTATTATTATTATTGAGGCAAAGTTTGGCGTGCATTTTGTTGAGATATTTTAGATATTCAGTTTTGGATTTATTAGATTTATATCTAGATTTGATCTTATTTATAGATTAGATTACTTAGATCGAGTCTGTTTAGTATTGTCTATATATAAACTTCTTATTTTGATGATTCAATAAGACAATCTCATTATTTTTCCCCAAAATTTCTAACACATTTGTTCCAATTGTTTAGAGGAATATGTAGCATATATGGGCTGTGTTATAATAAAAATGCCCCGAAATAAATTTGCTTTAAGAAATCAAGAATTTATGTATCCATCAATGACAGTCACTCTACGGAGTGATGCATAATTACAAGTTTGATTTTTCTATTGATGTGATGCCCTAAAATGACTTTTTTTAAAAAAAGGACATATTTTTATTAGTTTTTTTTTATAGTACAAATATAATAATATTTATTAATAAATTATACAAATATAAAATATTTTTAATATTAAATATAATAATACAGAAAACAAATAGTATCTTTCTTATTAGAGCAGTGTTACTATTTTTTATTAAAAAAATATATTTCTTAATTAGTTTATGATAAAAAAATAACACAAAAAAAATTTATTTTTCCATATTATTACTATTATTATTATTAAATAATTCAAAACAATTACAATACGGACAAAACATACCCATGATTATTCATTTATTTTTCTTCAATACCAACCACCCAATCCTGAGCCCAATATTGAAGTCTTATCCAAAGGGCCAACCACTTTGATTTACTTACACAAAATATCTCCATTTTTTTTAAATATTTTTGTTTGCTTGCTTAAGGTCTGATTTAAATAATTAGAATTTTTGTTATAAAATAACAAATTTGCCCTAAGACTAAATAAAGTAAGGGCAAAAGAGTAAATTTTGTGTATAAAAATAAAAAAATAAAATAATTATTGGACATTCTAAATAGAAAAATAGAATGTTAGTTTGTGGACGGAAGAAATAGTATAATTTAAACAGATAATTTGTTTAATTCAAACAAATCATTTGTAGAAATCAATCTATAAAATTTCAATGTATTTTTCTCCATAGGAGCCTAGGGCGAGAACAACGCCACTTAGGTCCCGCAAAGGATGATCTGGTGGTGTAGGGTTGGACTTGTGATCGTGATGTCATGAGTTCAAACATCTGACGTTTAGAGTCACCTGTCACACATAGTTCGCTTACTTGATTTGTCGAGCCTAATTTTCTAGATATTAGATTCGTTTGAGAGTTTACCCAATACGCATTTTCGAGTAACGACTGCGATTCCACGTCATTTAAAAAAAAAAAAAAAACTAGCGCCACTTAAGACCAAATACAAGTAAGAGATTCATTATTATTTATATTATACATATAATTTATATATATTATTTGAAATTTGTAAAAATATAAAAAGATATAATTTGATGTGAACTTATATCTGTGAAGTTATATGTTTAAAACTTTGATACTCCTAAATTTTTTGAACTTTGATACTCCTAAATTTTGAAATTCTTTTTCGAAATTGTTTTTTGCATTAAAATGAAATATTAAACAAAATTAACTATTATTGATATTTTTTCATTTAAAAATACTAGTAAATTATTTTATTTAATTATTTATATTTTATTATATGTGAAAAAATATCATTTAAGAGCTCCTTATTTTTGTTTTTCAGGGAACTTTGAAAGTCATAACCGATATAACAATCCGACAGGATATAAATGAATTGGGATCAAGAATTCGATTCAATTATATATATGAATTAATACAAATTTGACACGATAATAAACGAATTTGATTAGTATTAATGCCCTCCACTCGATTACAATATGTTAGTATTAATTAATTATGTAAAATAATTTTAATATGATAATTAGCCAATATATTAACTTAAATTAAGTTCAATTTAAAATAATCAAATATAATTCATTATACATAGTGCATTAGAATTGACAAAAACTAATATGACAGGACAACTTAACACGAATTCGACAAAAAAATAATTGGGTTTGGATCAAATATTTTGACCAAATTATGTATACATGTCAACACAAACTCAATATAATAATAAATTAGTCAGGTTAAAGTTGAATGATTTCACCAAATTTAAATAGTGTAAATTATGTAACACCCCACTGTGACTTAGTAAAAATGCACAAAATATCCTGTGTTTTATTTATTGCGTGAAACTCACTTGTATTAATGTAAAGTTTGCACGAAACACTTTCCTTGTCAAAACTGATATTTAGTTCTGAATAAAGATCTAAATTATGCAAATTTTATATAAATAAAAAACGCAAAATATCTTAAATAATTTTTTTAATACAATAAACAAATTATAATTGAATTATCTTTTATTTTATAGTTTTTGGAGACAAATTGTTATCTGATTTTTATAAAAATTATAAAAATAAAAGATTGATCAATTATTTATTTATTTATTTTATTCAAAAAAACTATTTAAGATATTTTTTATTTTTTATTTGTATAAAACTTGCATAATTTAGTTTTTTATTTAGAACCAAATATCAGTTTTGGACAACGAGGATGTTTCGTGCAAATTTTATATTAACACAAGGGAGTTTCATGCAATAAATAAAATATAGGATGTTATTATATAATTTACTCTTTAAAATATTCAAATCGACACAAATCAGCTCATTGTCATGCTTAAACTCAATACTCATTAAGTCTTTATATTAAGTAAAAAAAACTATATTTTTTCTTTCACGTCACATATGATTCATATTTTTTAGTCCGTCCAAGAAAAAATAATTTTTTTTTTATTTTTAATAAATTTATCAATTTTGAACATTCTTTACAAATATAAATTAATTTTATTAAATTTTTATCAATTTACACTATGATCTCTCAAAATTCTTTTGTTTTTATATTTTTTTAATAAATAAATATTTTTATTTTTTTAAACATATATTTAAAAAAAAAATTAAGCATATATTAATTAATTCATATTTTAAAAATACTGACAGTATTATTTATAAAAAATAATAAAATAAGTATTTGTACTTATAAATGAAACAAGGGAGAGAGAAATATTTAATTAGAAAAATAATAAAAAGAAGAAGAAGCCACGTCGGGGTCATGAAATAAATTAACAACATACCTAAACCCATTGACGTGTTTCAGTGAATCTCCAACGTAAACCACTTGTTTTTACTCCCTATTGTAATCGTTGCTGTCGAATCTCCAGACCGACCGGTTAGGGTTAAAAGGCCTGTCTGTTCTTCTCTTGTACTGATTTAATTAATGAAGGATCTCGATATGGATCTGTGTGTCTTCTCTCAAAATGTCTGAACATCAATCTTCCTTCGGGAGGTCACTGATCGTTCCCAGCGTTCAGGAGCTATGGAAGCAGGGCATTGCCGCAGTGCCAACACGGTACCTGCGTTCCGACCATCACCATCACCATCCTCCTCCCGACAATCTCGTCCCTGCAATACCTGTCATTGACGTCCAGGCACTGCTCAGTCCCGACCACCATCATGATCAGCTGCAGAAGCTTCATTCAGCCTGCCTGAATTGGGGATTTTTCCAGGTTTTCAGTCCCTTTCTGCGCTGCAGCTTCTGTATAGCTCTTTCTGACATTTCGTCGAACAGGTTGTGAACCATGGAGTAGCCCCCTCGTTGATGGAGAATTTTAGGGCTCAAGTCATCGCATTCTTCCAGCTCCCGATCGAAGAGAAAAAGAAGCTCTGGCAACAGCCGGACAACCAGGAGGGATTCGGACAGCTGTTCGTTGTTTCTGAGGAACAAAAGCTCGACTGGTCGGACATGTTTCTGCTCACAACTCTTCCCCTCTGCCGTAGGAACACTGCGTTGTTCCAAAAACTGCCTCCCATGCTAAGGTCAGATGAATGTGTTTTTTTTTGCCAAATTAGTTCAAATTTTATTATTTTGATTCTTAATTTTTCGTAAGAAAAGAAAAAAAATTATCTCACAAAATATTTTATAAAACGTTATTTTAATAACAAACTCAATAAAAAGGAAAAACACAAATCATAAAATGTATTTATTTAAACTGATAATAGATTTTAGTAAGTATACTACTGTTATATTGGTAGATTGTGACTGCAATAAAAATTAAAATAAAGATATTTTGTAAAGTATAAGTGATGTAATAAAATATGAGAAATTATTTAATAAATTTAATTTGTAAGAAATTGTGGTATTTTTTAAATAAATATAAAGTTAAAGATTATAAATTAATTAAGAAATGTAAGAATTACTAGTATTTAATAAAAATGCAAAGTCCATATTTTTTGTGTTCAAATAAAAAGAAAAAAAAAATTATAAATTTGGAACGGAGTGTCTATATTTTAATTTTTAATGTTCAAGTGAGATAAATAAAAGTAAAAATAATGTATCCTGATAAATTTATTAAAAAATTTCAAAAATTAATAATTATTGATAAAATAATAATAATAATTATTCGTTAATATTAACAAAATTAAAAATTCATTAGTGAAAATTTTCTAACTGAAATATGTAGGGATACATTGGAGGCTTATATAATAGAAACAAAGAAGCTGGCGACAACGTTGTTAGGCCAAATGGCTAAGGCACTAAACATTGCGGACGGAGAAATGCAGCATATGTTTCGCGATGGTGTCCAAACATTGCGGATGAATTATTATCCGCCTTGTCCTCAGCCGGACAAGGCCATCGGATTAACGCCACATTCGGACGCCGATGCTTTAACCATTCTTTACCCATTGAACGACACTAAAGGCCTCGAGATAAAGAATAACGGAGAATGGGTGCCCGTAGAGCCGTCGGACGGCGCCTTCATAGTCAATCTCGGTGACGTAATGGAGGTCAGTGCGATATTTTATATAGAAAATATTTTTTGATGGACTCAAACACAATCTTTTTACTCTTATATTATATTGAATGATCATCTCATTTAAAAAATTATATTAATAGAAAAATACATAATTACATACTTTCTTTAGTCCCAATTGATATTTATTTTACTATTTTTATACTTCTTCCGGCCTTTAACAATCTATCTATTTTTTTCATTTTTGTCAGTCTCGTAATAAAGTATCAATTTTTCTTTTTTAGTAAATGTACTATCTAACTAACATTACAAATAACCTTTCAATTTACAATATATTACACAAATATCATTATCTTTATATTATACAATAATAACAAGAGTAGTTTTTTAGTTTTTTTACTTTTATTTCTACTACATTATAATATAATACTAATATTTCTAAAATCTCGTACAAAAAGTAAATAGATAGATAAATATGAGATGGAGTGAGTATATCATATTAAAAAATTTTCATTTCTTTAATACTGTAATAACTTACTTGTATCAAAATATATCATTATATATATAATACAAAAAAGGTAAAAATATCAAAATTATCTTACACACTTCCATTTACTAATAAAATACTATTACCTCCGTCATTAAAATATGTTCTCATTCCGCTTGTATTTTACAAAGAAAATAGGAACAAATTTGGATGACATATGATATTATTTTTTAATTTATTACAAAAATTCATAACTATTTTCGTTAAGAACAAAAGGAATATTATACGGTCTTACAATAATATTCCACCGTCCTTTAACAATCTATTTATTTTTCTATTTTGGTCTGTTTCATAACAAAGTATCTATTTTTTTTAGTAACTGTACTTTCTACTAATATTAAAAATACTTTTACAACTTACAATATATTAGATAAATGTAATTACCTCTGTATCACACCATATTAATAATATTGTTTTACTCTTTTCTATTTTATTCATACCACACCCAATATAATACTAATATTTCTAAAATTCCATACAAAAAGACGAATAGATAAATAAGAAACGAATAGAGTAGTAAATTGTGTTGAGACTTAAAAATACGTATATAAACAGAACTTTGATGCAGATTATAAGCAATGGCGTGTATAAAAGCATCGAACATAGGGTATTGGTGAACTCAAGCAAGGAGAGGTTGTCAGTGGCGACGTTTTACATCCCCAACGTCGAGTCGGAGTTGGGTCCGGCGCAAAGCCTCCTTGGCCACGACAATCCTCCGGTCTTCGGGAGGATTACCGTTGAAGAGTACTTGAAGCAGTTCTTTGCAAGGAAACTTTATGGCAAGTCGAACCTCGATTTCATCAAATTGGACAGTGCAGAAAGACAAGGCTAGATGACATCGACTTGGTTTGTTTCGTTGTGCTTTTAGTTTTGAGGTAAATATAGCTGTGTTAACTTCGAAAAATTAATAAATAATAGTGAAATTCGTATTGATATTTGATATTTTATACTCGCATTGAGGGATTTTTTTCGGAACAAATCTAGTAAACAAAATATGATTTAATTAGGGGAAGCAATTTCAAATAAAATCCAATTCAATATAATACTTAAATGAAAATGAAATTAAACTAATCAAACTAAGAGTAATAGCATAATCTTGAGTTCGGAAATAATGAAAAAAAAAACCCCAATCTCTATAACTTATTCACCTTGTTTCACCCATCTAGGTGTGTTTGTTTGGGGCATTTTCCCCTGAATACACTGTTGATCCAATTTTTTTTAGCAAAAATTATCAAATCAAACACCTATTTTTTATTTTTTATATTATACTAAAAATTAATTTTACATTCGAAATATCACATCAAACACTTATTTATATCACTATCGTACAACTATTCAAATTCAAAAATTTTATTATTCAAATCTCAACTCAAAATCCAAACTCCGAACAAACAAACCCTTAATCTACCCAACTAACAAATCAATCTAACTAAATGGGTTAAACAATTTTGTTCGGCTTCGGGTTTGGGTTTGGGTTTGGGTTTGGGCTTGGGCTAGAGTGAATGGTTTGGGTATAAACGATTGGGTCAATTTCAATGGACGTACTAAAGAATAAACCAATTCATTATAGCTTGATGGCAAAAAATTTTCAATACTTTACAATGTTTTTTTTTAGATACAATTTTATTTTTTAAATCTTTTATATACTCCCCCCCGTCTGATTTCTATTATCTTAAAGTATATTTGCACGATTTTTTAGGTGATTGTCTCTTTGTTATGAATGGACAAATTTGCCCTTAATTGTATGATATAGATTAAAAGTAATAAATGAAGGAAAAGTAAAAATGTAAAATTTGTGATTAAATTAAAAATAGGACAATAGTTGTTGGACGTTCCAAATAGGAAATTAGGACATTAATTTGTGGATGAATGGAATACAATTTTAATTGATTGATAAAAATATTGAAAAAAGAAAAAGAATACGATAAGCAAGTATATGATCTAAATTATAACATTAAAAAATAAACAAAATAATATATATACATGACCAAGGAGGATGACATTATGTTAAACATTACTTTAACAGCCCAATGAAAATTAATACCAAACTAAATACTATAAAAAGTGAATTGATTAAATTTTATTCAGATTTTCTAAAATTCGCTATGAATTATCATAGTCCCGTTTTCAAAAGCAAACAAATCCAAATTCTAAATAAATGAATCTTGAAACTATCATACAATTTCAAAGAAGGTATCACAAGATTATAAAAGAGAAAAAGAATGCAAGTTACACAGTCAAATATTATATGTTTTTTTTGGCATAACAACATTTTCTATATTACATAAACAAGATCAATTCAACAACAATTCTGTGAACAAAATAGTATTACTATTATTCCCAATCAAACAAATACACACACATATACATATACATATATATATATATATATACAATGTATGTGGTCGAGCATAGCATCAGTTGCAGAAATGGAAGCAGAACCAATCGAGAAGTGCATTTCCCTTGAGGTTCCAAGCGTGCAAGAACTAGCTAAGAAGAAACTCTCCGCCGTGCCGTCCAGATACATCCGCCGCCATCAACACCCTCCCCATCCACCGTCGCCGGCGGCGGCCCCGCTGCCGGAAATCCCAGTCATCGATTTGCAGAAGCTTCTATGTGCTGATGATTCTGAGCTTCAGCGGCTGCACAGTGCCTGCCAGGAATGGGGTTTCTTTCAGGTACCCTAATTAGTTGATTAGTTGGTGTTTAATTAATTAATTAAATGTTGTGAACAGGTGATCAATCATGGAGTTGACTCTGCAGCAATTGAGAAAATAAAGATGGAAACCCAAAAATTCTTCGATCTGCCGATAGAGGAGAAGAAGAAGTTGCAGAGGAAGGAAGGAGAACTACAAGGGTACGGACAGGTGTTCGTGATGGACGAAGAAACAAGACTTGACTGGGGAGACAGATTTTACGTTGTCACTTCGCCGCAATCTCTCAGAAGCCCTCCTTTACTCTCAAACCTTTCCCCTACGTTTAGGTATATATTCTTTCTTAATCTAAACACTTTAGAAAATTTTGCACTATTCATCGACAATAAATTTTTTCTAATGATGTGATAGCAGAGTAATATAAAGACAATTTTACTTTGTTTTTTTGTTTTTATTTATTTAAAAGTAATGATATAAGGGTAAAATAGGAGTGTGTTCGTTTCGGATTTGGATTTTAAATTGAGATTTAAATAGTAAAAATTTTGATACCATATACATCATTATTATATACTCCCTCCGTCCAGCTATAAAGTATATATATTTCTATTTTGGAACATCCAATTATAAAGTAAACATTTCATTAAATACCTCTTTCTTTTCCCACAAATATTCTTGTTTTACATCACATCATTACTTTTTTACACCAAAAAACAACAGCAAAAATGTCGTTACACTACTTTTAACTTGTCGGAAGGAGTATTATATAGTCTAACAATATACAAAATCCTTTATGTATGTCTGATTTTCCATACTGATTACTGCATACTAAAATATTTTCACAATTTTTCGTATCGAAATTTTAATTAAAAAACAATAGTATAAATCTAGTATTCATTATATCTTGACGGAAATTTTATTGTAGGAATGCCATAGAAACATATTCATCGGAGCTAAAACTTCTAGCAATCAAAATTCTAAAGCAAATGGCCAAAGCCTTAAATATGAAAGAGGAGGAGATGGAGACATTATTCGAGGAAGGAGTGCAAAGCGCGCGGATAAGTTACTATCCGCCATGTCCTCAACCCGACCTAGTCCTCGGATTTTCCCCTCACTCTGATGCCAATGCCCTTACGATCCTCCTTCACGCCAACGGAATAAATGGCCTCCAAGTCAATAAAGATGGGGTTTGGATTCCTGTTGCTCCGCTCCCTAATTCATTCACGGTTAATATTGGTGACATTTTGGAGGCGCGCGCAAACTTAATTACTCGTAATTCATCCATACATTGCACATGTATGAATAGTTGTTGTTGAGATATTTTAGATATTCGGTTTTGGATTTAGTAGATTTATATTTAGATTTGATCTTATCCATAGATTAGATTACTTAAATTCGAGTCTGTTTTGTATTGTCTGCTCCTTAATTTGATGACCTATACATAATCTCATTATTTTTCCCCAAAATTTCTACAGTTTTATTTATTTCGAATCATTAAATTGGTCATTTTATATTTTGTGTCCGCAGATTATAACTAATGGAGTTTGTAGAAGCATCGAGCACCGGGTGATAACCAACCGGGAGAAAGAAAGGCTCTCCTTTGGGATATTTTTTAACCCGAACCTTGATGCGGATATCGAGCCGGCGCGGTGTCTTCTCAGCCATGAAAATCCAGCAAAGTTTAGGACTGTTGCTGTTACTGAATACTTCAAGAGACTGTACACTAAAGAACTCGACAGGAAGACCAATTTGGATGCCATGAGGCTTTAGGTAGCAATACATCTATGTATATATGTACATATGCATGCATGTTATCTTTGTTGTGTAATAATTAGAGTAAGTGGTGGGGTTATCCACTAATCCATAAGTCCAACCGACATCAATGCTATTGGACATTCAAAATTTGTCGTGTAGCATATGTCCTTAGGGTTTGTATGGTTTGCAGGTTTAACAGAGAAAAAACAACAATAATAAAGGGAAAAGGAACTTTAATTTTTATTATATTTAATTCGGAATTTTTAAAGGGAAGGAAATCAAATACTTAAATTAAAATATGAATATATATCTAAATTAATTGCTCTTTCCTTCCGACAACATTAGTACCTCAATTTGTTCAATGAATTAAAATGAAAATTAGTCCAGTAAGGGACGATTGGTGGTGTATGGATAACCTGGTGGTTTAGAGTTAGATTTGTAACCGTAAAGACACATCAAATACCAAAGAACACAATGGGATGACCCATTTGGATATACCATGAGAGTTTAGATATCAAGACAAGGATATATCCATACTAATATATTTGTTTTGTCCTTTAAATTTTTACTAATTATTGGTATGTCAATGTGGCATTTGATACTTCATCCGTCCCAAAAGTATAGTCGTATTGTGTTAGGTATGAGATTTAACAAATATTGATATTATATTGGTAGTTGATAAAAAGTAAGAATAAATGATTTTTTTGCCGTTGGAATATATTAGTGTAAAAAGTAGTGATAATTGTGTAATAATAATAAAAAAGTATGGATAATTTTATGGTGATATGGTTATTTATGGAACGGATAAAAATAGTAAACAAGACTATTTTATTGGGACGGAGGGAGTATATTTTTTTGCCCTTACAATTTTATTTTTCTTGTCTCAAAATACTTTTTTTTTAATATTTTCGTCTGTCATACTCAAAAATATCTTTTATATTTTAGTAAAAGTAATCGTATACTAATACTATAATACCCTTAATTTTTAATTAAATTTCAAATATATTATTACATATACAATTAATTTATACATAAAATCAAATAATAAAAATATCAAAAACTTTTTTTTATTTTAATCTACTACAAAATTTCAAAAGATAGGAAAGGATAGGATACGAAGGGAGTACTAATTATTGGTGTGCTATCTAAGTGAGGAATTGTACGATAGGACACCTAATATATATATATATATATAATTTGAATAATTGGGGTGTTATTAAGGGTATATGGAATTGACGACAATACTAAAGGGCCAATATATATCAAAATGAGACTGATTGGATTGTGCTCCAAGGCCCAAAAAGCAGTTGGAATCATTTGAATACCACCATAACACTAATAATTAATATTCGTGGCCCATAGGACTACAAAATACAGCTTACACATACGTTACAAGCATCATATATATATATATATATATATAAAACATGATTCATATGTATATTACTTTTATATATATATATATTCATATATTAATAAGCACATATCGAGAAATTTAATTTATAAATTAAAGTGCATTAATTAGCTGGGTGCAGAGGTGATTGTCGAGGAGGGTGTAGTGATGACAGATCTAACGAAGCTGGGGAGCTCTCTTGAGGTGCCTAATGTGCAGGAATTGGCCAAGGAGAAACTGCCACGTGTACCTGAGAGATACGTCCGCCATGAGCGAGATCGAGAAGAACCGGTTCTTCCCCAATATTCTTCTGAAATCCCAGTCGTCGATTTGCAGAAGCTCTTGGATGAATCCTCCATGGATTCTGAGCTTCAATTGCTCCACTCTGCTTGCCAGCAGTGGGGTTTCTTTCAGGTATATATATATATATATATAATATTAAGGTTGTGATTTTTTTTAATTATTATTTTTACTTTAGGGTTTGTTTACATATTAATTTTTTAAGGTATTTGGAAATTTGAAAATTTGAAAAAAATAAAAAATTATTATTTAATTTAATATTTTATGAGAAAAAAATTTATTTGATATGATATTTTTCTAAAAATTGAAGAGTGTCTAATAAAGGAAAATGTGTTAGGTAAACATAGTCTATTTTGTTATAAACTAATTTAATATATATATATATATTTTTTTTTTTGTTTGTTATATAATAACAATTGATATTTTTCTATTTTCCATATAATTTACTAAATCAAAATATATTTAACAAATATAAATCAACTTAATTAACTAAATAACATATAAATTATAAATAATATATGATCCACTTAAAATCCTTTCTTTTATTTTTATTCTCTTTCCAAAAAAAATAAATATTTTTATTTACATTTAAAACTCAACATATTTTATAAAATTAGTTTATGTTAATTATAAATAGATAAAAGTATATTTTTATTTAATTGTATCATAGAAAATTTTATTATCTATAAAATGATATTCATATTACATATATTTTTTATTGCGATATAATTTTTAAAATATTTAAATACATATTCTAATTTTCTTCCATTATATATATTAAATTTATTTTAAAACTATAAATATTATTAATTATATAAAAATTAATAAAATAATATTATAATTCATTATTATTAACTAATTAAACATCAATTCTTTAAATACAGTATCACTTTTGAAAATTGTAAATTATGTGAGATGAAGGAAGTATTAAAAACTAAATAAATATATTAATTTGAAAATGCTCAAATAAATCTAAAAAGACACAAATAAGGACATTAACGGGTCATATTTACTTATGTTTCAGATTATTTTTGGTAATAATTCATTGATAATAATATTGTTAAAAAATATATATATTATATTCAATACTTATTTTTTTATTATAAATATGCATCTATAGTTTTTTATTTAATCGGAGAAATTGATCATGTCGGCAAAGAATTTCTTTTCTGGCCGGCCAAGTTAGGTCTACCATTATCAAGATTGATATGATTTGTTTATATCTTTTTACCACCTTTCAAACTATACTGCTCACTTCGTCCTATAAAAAGATGTCTTATTAGGAATTGACATAAAAGTAAGAAATAATATTTCTTCTGTCCGAATACAATAGTCTATTTACCATTTTTGTCCGTCTTAAAACAATAGTCTCATTTTCATAAATAATCATATCACTGTAAAACTATCTTTACTTTTTCATTATTATTACACAATTGTCACTACTTTTTACACTAATACATTTATAAGGGCGAAAAAGTCTTTTACCCGTATTTTTTACCCACTATCAATATAATATCAATATTTCTTAAATCTAGTGCCGAACACAACTCAGACTATAATTTTGGGACGGAGGGAGTAGTATTTAATTAGAAGTGGGTATAAAGTAGAAAGTAAATGACTAAAATACCATTACTTTTTGAATGATTTAAAAAGTATATTAGAGCAATAATTATGGGTAGTTTGGAAAAGTAAGAAAAATTTTGTTATAAAGTGGATATCACAATTACTAAATAAGGAAATAAGACAATTGTTTTGGGACGGACGAAAATGGAAAAACAAGACTAACTCTATTGGGACGGAGGAGTATTATCCTAAAAAAATAATACTTTATCCGTCAGCTTATAAGGGTAATATTTATCTTTGACGTAATTGTATTTAATATTAAAAATATTATTATATTTATATAATTTTTTATATAAATATCATTCTATTAATATTATAAGAGACTAATCGAAGTATTTTTGCAATTTTTTCTTAATTTGTACTATTTTTTAATATAATAATTAATATTTAAATATCAACGCACAAAAAATAAATGAAACCTTAGAGTCGGACGGAGGTAAGATATATTAAAAATAATATATTACTTTAAATATATATTATTTAAATATTATATTTTATAATAGATTGTTATTAAAAATAATAAATATCAAATTTAGTATTTGACTTGACGAACCTAATTTGTAGGTTATTATATTCAATCGGATGTTATTTGAAGTGCACACGAAAATAGCGGCTGAATATTTTTACGTTACAAAAATAAAAAAAGATAAAAAAATAAAATCAATTATTTAATATTTTTGTTCATTTTTCATTTTTGAAAAACATCATTTTATTATTTTGGATTTTGGCGTTGATTTTTTATTTGAATGCGATTAAAAATATTCAATAAAAGAAAAAATATATATTTTTACAAAAAAACCATGAAAATTAAATAGTAATAATATTTTTTAAAAAAAAATGTCAAAATAACACAGCCATGCATTTCATGAAATTTTCTCTCTTATATTTTCATAGCAGTTGGTAGGGGGAGAAATTGTGAAATTTCTGGGTTTGTTCACTTATGGTTTTTGGATGAATTTTTTTTTTTTTTTTTTTTTAATGGTAGGTATTGAAAATTGTATTGGTAATATAAAAAGGTTGACTTTTATAAGTGAATTATATATATATAGTATATAATGTGTTAATATATGTATATATTAAATTTTTTAAATAATATTTATGGTAAATTATAACCATGAGAAAACTCATTGTTTGAAATTGATTTTAAATAAATTATTGATTTATATTTTTGTTTAAATAGTATTTTAATGCTATAGTTTTATAAAAAAAATCTAGTTAATTTCTCCAGTATTTTTTAACGAACAATTCTTCATAAATATTATTAAAAAAACACAAATATACACACATTAATATATATACATATATATTATCTACTTATAAAAAATCAATAATTCAACAAAAATTATTCTTTTTTATATTACCAACATAGTTTTTCGTATCAAAAAAAAAATAATCAATTCATCTAAAAACGCTCGATGAATAAACTTATTTATATTTTTATTGGCAGAGTCAATAGTGTTAATTTGAATAAATTGGATTAGTGTATTTTTATTAGGTGTTGAATTAATGAATTTCATCTACATTAATTATTAATTAGATTACTTATTCAATTAAAATAATTAAAATAAATTGAAATTAAGGGTAGAGATTTATTTCAGCTTATGTTAAAGTTTTTACTCCACTAACACTTGATTTTTTACTACAGTAACACTTGATCCGAAGACTAATTCGAATTTAAAATCTTATATTTTTGGATGAATAGTGTCTCATTTATCACACCTAACTAAATTATTATTTCTACCGACACATAAATTGATTAAGATAACACGCTACAACAACAACCACCACCGCCACAACAATAATAATAATAATAATAATAATAATAATAATAAAAGTAAGACTTCTTTTTCCTTCTTATTACATCTAACAATCTAAACTACAACCAAAAAAGCCTATGCTATTAGAGTGTGGTTGTTCAGGGATTGGATTGGATTTACACTATTCATTCAATTTTTTTATCTCAAAAACATCAAATCAAACATCTATCTTTTATTTTTTATATTATACTAAAAATTAATTTTACATACAAAACATCACATCATCAACACCTATTTATATCATATCATACAACTATTCAAATTCAAAATTTTTACTGTTCAAATTTCAACTCAAAATTTTTATTATTTAAAATTGATTTGAGAATTATAAAAATAAATAAATAAATAACCAAAAACAAATAGTAAATATATGTTTTCAAATCATCGCTGTTTATCTATATTTGTTTTCAGAAAAATAAAATAAAAATTAATATATCATAGTAAATGTATAAATTTTTATTTAAAGTATTAAATAAAAAATATAGATTGAGTTTAAAATATATTTTTCAATTGTTTCAGTATATTTGAATACACTTACATTTTCTATTTTTTTTCTTTTTTTTTTTTCTTCTTCTTCTTTTTCTTTTTTTCTTACGTTTTGAAATAATGATAGTAGATTAATAATGTAAAAATAAAATAAAAAAAAAACGTAAACAAACCAAGGCTTGATTCAAAACAAAATTAGGCTGAAATATATGAACCAAGTCATTGTTGAGGAATTCATTCTTTTCCATGGCAGCTGATCAACCACGGCGTCGATTCGTCAGTGGTGGAGAAAATGAAATCAGAAACTCAAGAATTTTTCAATCTCCCTCTAGAAGTTAAAAAGAAATTCAATCAAGAACCGGGAGACATCGAGGGCTACGGACAAGCTTTTATTGTGTCCGAAGAACAAAAGCTCGATTGGGGAGACATTTTCTACATATTGACAATGCCAGTGTCTTTGAGAAAGCCTCACTTGATCCCGAAGTTACCTTCATCATTCAGGTTGCACGATTAACATAAATTAATTAATTCAATAGTCGTAGAAAATATATTTATCATGTTTATTTGGAAATATTTAATTAATTTGTTTGTGTTCTAGGGATGCCATAGAAACGTATTCGAAAGAGCTTAAAATCCTTGCCATGAAAGTTTTGAATATGATGGCGAAAGCTTTGAGCATGGACAATAAGGACATGGTGACACTATTTGAAGATGGAATGCAATCGATAAGGATGAATTATTATCCACCATGTCCGCAGCCGGAACTTGTCACCGGTCTTTGTCCTCACTCCGATGCAGGCGGGCTTACGATTCTCCTTCAAGTTAATCACACTAACGGACTTCAAATCAAGAAAGACGGTGTTTGGATTCCAGTCACTCTCCTCCCTAACGCATTCATCATTAATATTGGCGATATAATGGAGGTATTGTTTACATATGTTTTCAATTCACTCATTTTTTTTATTTTTTTTCTAATAATGTAAGAATTTACAGCGCTACCGAAGTACAGAAAACTTTCATCCGAACCTAATATCTTGCAAACTAGAACTAGATCTTTGTTTTCAAATCACTCCTGATACTATGCATCTGTAATACAATTTTCAACATATTGTTTTAAAAAATATTACATCAATTTTATTTTTTTTTTAAAAAAAAAATTTATTACTATAAAAATCTTTTTTCTACACAAAATATTATATTTAATACTTATTTACGTCAAAATTAAATATTTACTTTTATTCAATTTTACTATTATTAGAACCCTTTGAAATACTTCTAAATCATAACTAAATATAACTTAGATTATCAAATTCAAACAACTACTTAGATAAATTTGATAATTTATTTGGTACATAAGTTGAATAGGTTCATTCAATTATTCAATAATGCATATGTTTTTTTTTTTTTTTTTTTAGATTGTTACAAATGGTAGTTATCCGAGCATCGAGCATCGAGCTACAACCAACTCAGAGAAAGAAAGGCTTTCGATCGCAACATTTCTTAACCCAAAATTTGATGGGGTTTTCGGACCAGCGCCGAGCCTCGTAAGCAATGAAAAGCCAGCAAGATTCAAAAGCATCGGCTTGGCAGAATACTTAAGGGGATATTTCTCAAGGAAACTTGAAGGAAGATCGTATTTAGATGTCATGAAGATCAATTAAATAAACATCATATATATGTATATGTTTAATAATTTGATTGTCCATTTTCATTTTTCGTCAAGATCGTTATATGATTTTTTTTTTATTGAATATATTAATTATAATACTTTATTATTGATAAGATTTATTTAATTTATTATCAAATTAATTATGGCTCTGTATATACGTATATAATATTTGTACAATATTTTTTATTTTAAGAAAATTTTATATTAATCATTGATATTTATTGTACAAAATATAATATATTCATATTTAAATACCATATATTTATTTTATTAGAATTTTATTTTCTCTTAAGATATATAGTATTTAACTAAATTTAGGCATTTATTTTTTTGTACATAGATATATATATATATTTATATATGTATGTGTTTGTTTGAAAATTTTCTTCTCTTGTAATTCATGAATTGAACTCATGATGTGCAAATATATATGTCATCTTTGCACTTTTCATTTTTAATCTATTGGTGGTTTTACATTTGAATTACACAAGAGAAGTATAAACTTTATTCTGTATCAAATGATAAACATCATTTTTTTTTTTTAATTGATCCGCACAAGTAATTCTCCGGCCAAATTTAAATAGACAAATTATGTATAACAAATAATACCCAAAAATATCGAAAGTTTAAATCTATGATCTTTTAATCACGAGTCACCCTATACCACTAAATTATCTCTTTCAGGCCATGATTTTTTATATATATAAAAATAATAATATTCCTAAACACCCATTACATATACATATTATGTCATGTCTTTAAATCAGGTTTTGTACAGGCCTCATCCAAAACGTGTCCAGTAACAGTCTATGGGTTGGGCAGAGGAGCTAGTACATGTATACTATTAGCCAATTTAGACGTTTAGCAATTTTAGTTTTATCCAAATCTAAGACTAATTGTGCCTAGGAATAGGATTCAGGTCCGGGTTCAGGTTTGGATCGGTTATAAACGGATTAGAAAATTTTGACCTGAATATGACCTATTTAATTAAACGGATTGATATATACAAACTGTTGAGCACGAAAAAACCAATGTGTAGGATTTTCGAGAATTGACCTATTAAATTGGGTTAAGGATTGATGTAGAGTCTAATGGGTCTGTTAATAGTAGTAGGACCTTTTAAGGGGTCCAAATATAAGTCCGAGCGCTTCCTCGGGAGAAAACTGTGATCAAAAGGAAATCGGGCACGGAGGCCGGACATAATAAGGTCGGGCACGGAGATCGGACGTGATAAGGCACGGAGGTCGGACATGATAAGGTCGGGCACGGAGGTCGGATATGATAAGGTCGGGCACGGAGATCGGACGTGATAAGGTCGGGCATGGAGGTCGGATATGATAAGGTCGGGCACGGAGATCGGACGTGAGAAGGTCGAACACAGAGGTCGGACGTGATAAGGTCGGGCACGGAGGTCGGACATGATAAGGTCGGGCACAGAGATCGGACGTGATAAAGTCGGGCATGGAGGTCGGATATGATAAGGTCGGGCACGGAAATCGGACGTGATAAGGTCGGACATGATAAGGTCGGGCACGGAGATCGGACGTGATAAGGTCAGGCTCGGAGGTCGGACAGGATAAGGTTGGGTGTCATATAGGTCGGGCGAAATGAAGTCGGGCAAGGAGAGGACAGACGAAGGAAATAATACGCTTCCAGGTCGGACGGCATATAGGTCGGGCGAAATGAAGTCGGGCAAGGAGAGGACGGATGAAGGAAATGATATGCATCTAGGTCGGACGACATATAGGTCGAGCAAGATAAAATCGGGCGAAGAGATGATTAATGCGGAGGTCAGACAAGTGAAAGACGGGCAAGAGGAGACGGAGCAGCAGGTGTGCATGTCGAGATAAAAGCATTTTCTTTTAAGACGGTTAAGAGAAGTTACAACCGGCGAGCGGAGATGAAGGCACGACTTGGTTGTGGCGGTTGACATGGGTTTTAAATAGGTCTGTTCATGATCTAAAGAAACCATCTTTAATTGACATCAAATTCACTAGAATTTCTTTTGGGATCACTATTTACTTTTTCAGTCTGTAATTTTTATTTTCCTAGTTTATTTATGTATGGAACCGTGTCTAGAGATTCTTAATCTCAGACATTTATTTTATCAAATTTGAAGATAATTTCTATTTTTGGATTTTACTTTTTATTTTTGAAAATCGGCATCAACACAACCTTAACCTGACTTTTTATTAATCGAGTCAATTTGAATCTGATATGTATAACTTGTTTAATTCTAAAACTTTTAAATTTTAATTTTTTTCAATTTCTACTATCAAAGTTTTCAAATGCATAATATATATATACATATTAAAGCAAAGACTATTTATTCATATCATTAAAACCGATTTCAAGAGTCGAATTAACAAACACTATATAATAGTAATACACAACACAATGCTTTATTTAATCCTAATTCCGAAGAAGTTTAGCTTAAATTTTATTTTATTTTTATTTTTATTTTTATAAAGTTGGCCGTAAATATTTGAATTGAATTGGTAAAATTAAAAAAATAAATTTAAATTTAAAATAATACTCCCTCCGTCCCGTTGGAAGGGTGGCGTTTGCTTTTTGCACGTAAATTTTTTAATATTAGTATTATATTGGATTGTAGTAAAAAAGACAAAAATACCTCTATTAGTGTGGTGTAATATAAAATAATTGCATTTGTATAATATATTGTAAGTTGAAAGGGTATTTATTATGTAAAATAGGTAGTACAATTACTAAATTAGGAAATAGTAACCTTGTTTTGAGACGGACAAAAATGAAAAATGATAACATTTCAACGGGACAGAGGAAGTATTAATTAAAACAAATTAGATGAATTAGAGTTATTTGATCAAAAATCTCAATACAAACCCAATCATTTCGAGTCAGAGTCAGATCGGATCAATTTTTGTCAATTCTACCTAGCATTGTACACTTTGACTAGTCAACTTAAACACTTGTATGCACAAACTAATTTGTGCAATTTTATTGTAGAAGTTGATGTATTTAATTAATATAGAAGTAAAATTGGACGAATTATAGTGAAAAATAGATACTTTTATTTAAAATCAACGAGGACAACAAATAAGCTATATAAATATAGACTTTCTTCTATAACCTGTAGTTTGGTTATCTTACATATTATACCAATTGCATTACATTTTACTGATCTATGAAACTTGAAACAATTGAAAATTAAAACTAAAAATATAATTAATACTAATTTTGAGGTGTAAAATATTATGATATACACTGCATGTATTTCAGAGCGCATATATATATATATATAATGTTTTATATAAAGTTTTACTTTGTTAGTTCATTTTGTATGTAATCATTTTTATTATTATTATTATTATTATTATTATTATGACATAAGAAATATTAGAATTTGACATATAATATACTATACATAAAAATATATTGACTAAAATATTTTTGAAATTATAATTTAAAATTAAATAATTGTATGTTAGTAATTTTATATAAAATGTAAAAGTAAATTGTAGGAACCACATTTATTAAATAATAAAATAAATAAATTGAATCTGAACAACTCAAAATTGTGAAATTTATAGTTTGTTTGTCGACAAATAGATTACATACATAGTTAGTACTGGGTTACAAAAATATATACAATGTTAGCATAATACTGATTCGATCGGGTTAGTATATTATATAAAGATAATTAGCATATATTATATATACTATCGTAACATATTTATGATACAACATATGCTGCATATAATATTTTATAACAAAATATATATTATATTATACAAAAATATATATAATATATCTTTATTTAATTAATATGATGACCAATCAAATCAGTATCATTTTGATTTATTGGAATTGGAAGTTGCTCAACAATCAAAATGGATCAAATTACACTATAAGATATTATCAATTTTGTAACGAAATTTTTTCGTTCCTAAATCACTTTTTCTGTTACTAATGATATTAGAGACGGAATTAGAGATGGAATTACGATAGCTACGTGAACTTTAGTAACGGAATTTCGTTACAAATATATAATTTTTTTGTAGTGTTAATACCAAGGTGAAATCGAAATTTCTGTATCATTTTAACAGCAGTAGGATCGGAGTTAGCTGTCATGTAAACATAAAATACCAATTAAATTAAATAGCCTATTTTTCTTTCTGATATATAAACAGTGTGGGTGATACAAACACCCACGTCTAAACCACACAGTATCTTATCAAATCGTGGATGTGATTAATTATTGCTAATTAAAATAGATAATACTAATAAATAATACAAGAAGGATTGTATGCTGATTTTAATTCAACAGTGCTGATATTTAATCAACACTCTTAATTTAAATTTCAGCACTCTTAATAATTTAAATTAATTAAAATATATTAATATGAAATTTTGTTTGATGTATCGGAGATCCGCAGAATGCTCGGACAACCAACTGGTGTATGTGTGGCTGCTAAATTGGCCACGTTGGCTGATGATGTGGAATGTTTTTCCACACTATTTTTTTGAGTTGGAAAAAGTCTTTTTAAGAGATAAAAAAAAAAAAAAAAAAACAATTGAAATCTTGTTTATTTTATTGACAAAAGACACAAGAAAAAATGTGCAAGCATTGATTTGGATCCGCAAACATATCAGACAACCAAACTGATGTCTGTATGTCTTCAAATCTGCTCTTGATGCTCAGTTCAAGGTCTTTGAAAAGCTCCAACATTAGATAAATTGTTTATCTCTATGCTTGGCTGTAATCAAAGACAAAATACCTTGTCCCTCGTGCTTGCATCAAAATGAAAAGTCAAAAAGGGATGAAAAAAATGAAGGGAGACTCAGTCCATTTTGGATTTGCAGAAAGATCAGACAACCAATCAGCTATCTGCAACTTTGCAACCTGCTCGAGTTCATGGTTCAAGGTCTGATGTTCTGGTTATTGAAAAAGCTTCAAAGTGAGACAAAATATATATTTCACTGTTCTACTTCATGCAAAGACAAATGAGTTTTGTTCTACGAAATTGCATGCAAAATGTAGGTAAAAAATAAATGAAGAAAAAGGTTTCCAACACCCATTATCAAAAGAGGCAATATTTGACTATCTCTTCCTTCTAGGAATTTATGTGGAGTTTGACATATCAATTTCGTCTCATATGCATAGATATGTGTCATGAGATATGTCTTGGCATATTTGATCATTAGATGTCCTTGGTGCTATCGAGTTTTGATCGGAATAAATGGGTTTGTGTGTGTATATATACACCTTCCATGAAATTGTGAAAGATGGCTTTCATAATTTTCTAAGAGAGAAAATGTAATATCTTTCATGTTCTAAGTAGGGAGTGAGAACTTGAAGAGTTCTACCCATCTTCACCGAAAGGAAACCCCAAATCCCATGGTATAATAGTTGAGTTTCACTTCTACTTAAGGAGGAGTGCTCTCTTTTATTTTGAGGGATTTTTGTGGAAGGTTAGACAATATTTTGAGTAGAAAAATCAGGGAGGAATTTTATCTATTACATTGGGTCTAAACCATGTCGAAGTTGCTGGAGATTTGAAGCCAAAATCACATCCTGAAGTAATCACAGCAGTCTGCTGTGTCGACAAACTGCCGAGTGTTTGTTTGGTTCAAAAGGGATTCCAAGGAGAGTCGAAGGAGGAGGAGGAGGTGACAAGCTGCCTACAACAACGTCTCATTTCAGAGCACAACCAATGGAGGTCGAGGCATTGCATGCTTGCTTTTGCAAAGGAAGATGCACTTGTATGTGGTAGATAAACCAATACATTTAAGTTAGGTTTGTGTCTGTTGATTTGTGGAGTATGTGTGAGGATCTTTTGTATCTTACTCTTGCCTTACTCATATTGGAATTGCCCTGGGTTGGTACCCCCAAACGTAGGCCGGTTGAGAGCCGAACTAGGTCAGCAAACGCTAGTGTGTTATTTGTTTCAATTCAGTCAGCAAAGAGTACACTCTTTGTTGCTTGTTTGTTATTTGAATCTCAAATATACAATATCACTCTGAACACAACAAACATTTTGAGTTTGCATTTCATTCCACTGCAGGACTGGAGTTTAAGATGTAAAAATATATCTCGTGGGACCGTCAAAATATATTTTTAATTAATTATAATCGTTAATGGACAGAATTAATTTCAATATTTTGCTGAAAAAATTAATGAACCAGCACATGATCCAAATGGTGATTTTTTATTATTGTTGACTGACATTATTGGGAATGGGTTTACATATAGTAAATTAAATGCACATGAACTATCATCATTATATATATATATATATATGCACATGTACCCTTTACTTTATATGATTATCATACGATAGATAATATTACTATATTATCCGGCCTAATTTTATATTTATTTTAATATATTAGAGTTTTATATAATTAAAAATACGTTATAATTATGTTAATTCGTAGGATTATTAATATAATATAATCTCTAGTATTATTTAATTTTACTTACTAAATTATCTAAATTACTATTTTCTTTAAATACTTAAAAATATTATGTATATATATAAAGGTGGGAGATGTAATGAGTCTTCGAACGGTAGATTGTTAGGATATGAAGTCCAGTTATATTATAAAATTTTGGAATATGATTTTGATATAATTTAGATAATTAGATACTATATTTTAGATTTAAAGATATAATTGACATGTCTAGGGTTTTGCTAGGCTATATTCTTTATTTAACGTGTGCTTGCGTATTATATAGTAAAATTTCTAGTTTGCAGCGGTTTCAGACGTAGATCATCCTAATCAAACTGAATAATCAAATTCCTGTGTTCTTGTGTCTTGTTTGTCTCTTTTTTATTTCCTGGATTTTTTATAACAATTTTTTTATACTCCCTCCGTCGTTCAAATCTATATTCACTTTTCTTTTTGGGTGTCATTAAAAAAATATTCTTATTTCCTTTTTAAGTAAAAATTATTACAATTTTATATTTTTTTTACTATAAAAGAAAAAAATAATCATTATTACTCACTTTTATTAAAACTCATGTCCAATTAAATAAACACACATTTGCATGACGAATGAAGTATTATTTACTCAATTTCATATACTTCATATAAAAAATATTCGCTAAAATTATTTCACAAAAAAAAAAAAAAAAACATACAAATTTCTTGTATTGAATTGATACTTGTGGCATACAAATATATAAATGTGCTTGCTATTTGCATTACATTTTACTATCTATGAAACTTGGAACAATTGAAAATTAAAACTAAAAATATGATTAATACTACATCTAATTTTGAGGTGTAAAATATTATAGATATATACCAATGACACACACATATATATTATTTTATATAAAGTTTTACTCACTGTGTTCCACTTAATTTGTCTATTTTTTTTATTTTCATTTGTCCAATATAATTTGTTATTTTCTTTTTTTGGAAATATAATTATACATTTTAATAACATTTTAAAATTCATAATTTAAATTTTTTATTTTAATTAAACTATTTAGTCATCTTAATCTTAATATATAATATTTATTATTAAGTTATAATTATTTTCACTCATACACTTCTTAATTACTCACTAATTACACAATACTTAAATTGCCTAAACTAAAAGTGACAAATTAATTGGAACGGAGGGAGTACTTATTTAATCCATTTTGTATGTAATCATTTTTATAAGTATTATTATTATTTTTTTTATAACATAAGAAATATTAGAATTTGACATATAATATAATGTACATAAAAATATATTGACTAAAATATTTTTGAGATTATAATTTAAAATTATATAGTTGTATGTTAGTAATTTTAGATAAAATGTAAAAGTAAATTGTATGGACCACATTTATTAAACAATAAAATAAATATATTAAACCTAGTTTGCAGGATATTAGATCCGGCCGGGGGTTTACCCAGTGCGTACTTTCGAATAGCGACGGCGGATTCCCACGTCATCAAAAATAAAAAAAAATAAATATATTGAATGTGAACAATTCAATATTGCCGCGGACAGATAGAATACATAATTATTTAGTACTGATTTACAAAAATATATACAATGAGTCTTTATTCTATCAAAATTTTGTACATAAATATGAACCATCTCATACATACATATATATATATATATATATATATGAACATGGAATTGGAATTGGAAGTTGCACTACAACCAAAATAGATCAAATGGACCAAGATGAAATCGAAATTTCTATTTGACAAATTCAAATTAAAATGGATGAGCATAAAGCTAAGCAGTTGACTTGAAATTATTTGAACAGCAGTAGAATCGGAGTGGCTGTCATGTATATATAGATATATATATATATATGTATTATGGGTTTGATTGTGTTGTTGGAATCGGATCTACATGTAGTAAATGCACATGAACTAACATAATTAAATCTAGCTTAGGCTCTAATACTATGTTGGATGCAGAATGACCGTCTTACTTAAAAGTTTGAACTCTTAGAGATACGCGTCATTAATTTATATATCCGCAAACGAGAATCTCAACAATTTATAAACTAAAAGTTTCGATATACTCGTCATTAATAACTAATGCATTTTATAAATAAATTAAACTTCTCAAGAAATTTGATCTATAAATTAAAGTGCATTCGTTAGATGGGTGCAGAGGTGATCGATCGAGGAGCTAAGGGTGTAGCGAGCATGGATCATCTAACGAAGCTGGGGAGTTCTCTTGAGGTGCCTAATGTGCAGGAATTGGCCAAGGAGAAACCGCCACGTGTACCTGAGAGATACATCCGCCATGATCGAGATCAAGAAGAACCGGTTCTTCCCCAATACTCTCCTGAAATTCCAGTCGTCGATTTGCAGAAGCTCTTGGATGAATCCTCCATGGATTCTGAGCTTCATGTACTCCACACAGCTTGCCAGCAGTGGGGTTTCTTTCAGGTATATATATATATATAATTAAGGTTGTGATTTTTTTTTTTTTTATTATTATTATTATTTTCACTTTAGGGCTTGTTTAGATAGAGATTTTTTAAGGTATTTGGAAATTTGAAAAAGAATAAAAAATTAGTATTTGATTTGATATTTTGTGAGGAAAAAAAATGTAATTGATATGAGCTTGTGATTTTTTATTTTAATTTTAATTAATTAATTTATGTATTTATTTTGTGTGTGTTTTGAATATTGTCAAGTTATGTAAATACACGCTAAAATGGTTTTTATTTATTTAAATATAATATTATAATATTGAAAAAAAAAATCAAATATAATAATTTGAAAATGCCCAAAATTTAAAACATTTAAAAACATGAATTAATAAAGGCATTATCTATCGATTTTTTATGACCAGCATATGAAAAATAGACGGACAAATCACCCCCTTAAAAGTGCATTGTACGAATATAAATCACATGGTTCATTGTATCATATTCACACAAATATCGGATTGTTGATTTATATTCATATATTGACCATTTATATTTTATTACTGTCGCCACCATCATGAATGATATTCGTTCACCATTATAATAGCTTTAATTTAAGATCACTTTTATTTGTGTTTTTGGAATTGTTTTAATATATCTAAACATATCTTAATATCTTTTGAAATAATGATATTAAATAGTGTAAAGCAAAATAAAATATATATATATAAATAAACAAAAGCTTTGTTCAAAAAATAAATAAATAAAAAGATAGACTGAAATAAATGAACCACAACATCTGTTGACGAATTAATTCTTTTCCATGGAAGTTGATCAACCACGGCGTCGATTCATCGTTGCTGGAGAAAATGAAGTCGGAAACTCAAGAATTTTTCAATCTCCCTCTAGAAGTTAAGAAGAAATTCGATCAGAAGCCGGGAGACGTGGAGGGCTACGGACAAGCTTTCGTAGTGTCCAAAGAACAAAAGCTCGATTGGGGAGACATTTTCTGCATAGTCCCGATGCCTGTGTCTTTGAGAAAGCCTCACCTGATTCCAAAGCTACCTTCATCATTCAGGTTGCATGCTTAACATAAATTAATTAATTCAATAGTAGTAGAAAATATATCAATCATGTTTATTTAAAAATATTAGTTTGTTTATTTGTTTTTATAGGGATGCCATAGAAACGTATTCGAAAGAAATTAAAATCCTTTCCATGAAAATTTTGAATATGATGGCAAAAGCTTTGGGCATGGACATTGAGGACATGGTGACACTATTTGAAGATGGGATGCAAACCATAAGGATGAATTATTATCCACCATGTCCGCAGCCGGAACTTGTCACCGGTCTTTCTCCTCATTCCGATGCAGGCGGGATTACGGTTCTCCTCCAAGTTAACGACACAATTGGACTCCAAATCAAGAAAGACGGTGCTTGGATTCCGGTCACTCCACTCCCTAACGCATTCATCATTAATATTGGCGATATTATACAGGTATTGTTTACATATGTTTTTGAATCACTCTACATCAACAATATAATTTTCAAAATATTTTTAAGAAAATATTACATCAATTACATATTTTTTATTTGAATTATTACTATTAAAAGAAAAAGAAAAAATTTCTATACAAAATATTATATTTACTATTCCCTTGTCCCATTTAAATTTTCCACTCTTGTTTAGGTATGGAGCTTTGGGTATTGGGTAATTAGTAAGTAATTAAGAAGTATATTAATAAAAATAATTATAATTTAAAAAATTATTATAAATTAAGATTAAGATGACTAAACCGTTTACTTGAAATTAAAAAAATATATATAAATTATGAATTTTAAAATGTAATTAAAGTTTATAATTATATTTTTAAAAAAAATGACAAATTACGGATTGACCAAAATAAAAAGAATTGACAAATTAAATGGGACGGAGGGAGTACTTATTTAAATCAAAATCTTTTTTTTTTTTAATTCAATTTTTACTATTATTAGAACCCTTCTACAACATAACTAAATACAACTTAGATTTTCATATTCAATCAACTACTTCATAAATTTGATAGTTATTATGGTACATAAGTTGAATAGGTTCGTTCAATTATTCAATAATGCATGTGTATATATATATATATATATATTTTTCTAGATTGTAACAAATGATAGTTATCCAAGCATCGAGCATCGAGCTACAACTAACTCAGAGAAAGAAAGGCTTTCGATCGCAACATTTTATAACCCAAAACTGGATGGGGTTTTTGGTCCAGCCCCAAGCCTCATTAGCAATGAAAAACCAGCAAGATTCAAAAGCATCGGCTTGGCCGAATATTTAAGGGGATATCTCTCACGGGAACTTGTAGGAAGATCGTATTTAGACGTCATGAGGATCAATTAAATAAACACAATATATATATATATATATATTGAACTCAAGATGTGATCTTTGCACTTTTCATTTTATTCTATTGATGGTCGTACATTTGAATTACACAAGAGAGGTATAAACCTTTTTCTTTTGAATTTTTTTATTTTTTATTTTTTTATTTTATTAGATGTTAAACACAATTTTTATAAAAATATAATATTGCTAAACATGCATTATATATACATATTTAAAGTATACAATATAAATATAAACACCCAATCCTAAACTTTTGTATAGGCCTCATCCAGGTTCGTTAATTTAAACATGTCCAAGGTCAGGATAACCCATCATCTGAGTTGAGCTAGTATATGTATACTTTTATCTAATTTAGAGGAATTTAATTTTATCCAAATCTAGACTACAATTTTGGATCTGTTGCCGCCATTCTCTCTATTTTATTACTCCCTCCGTCTCAGATACCATGTTGACGTTGCCGTTTTTGTCCGTCCCACGTACCATGTCACTTTCCTTTTTTTTAGAAAATGATTATATTTTATTTTTTTTAATTTTAATTAAACTAATTAGTTATCTTAATCTTAATTTATAATTATTTATATTATAGGATAATTATTTTCACTAATATATTCTTAATTATCTATTAATTACACCCCTCCTCAAATACCGTGTTGTAGCAGACACGGTATCTGGGGTATCTAGGACGGAGGGAGTATTTTTTATTTTTTTAATTTCTCTCATTCACATCGTTCATCTCAGCATTCAAATTACTTTTTTATTATCCATTATAGTAATATCTTCAACACATTATTCTTACTATTTTAAATCCGCAATAATTTTTTTTTCTATATATTTTTATTAGATAATATATATATATATAAAGTATTTATTTATTTATACATATTTTATATATTTGTATTGTCTAATATTATTTTTATATAATATTATATTTAAGCTTTTTAAATATTAATCTAGATAAATTTTAATATATTGACATATATAATTTACTATTTTAAAATTTGAAATTGTTTGAAATAAATCAACAGATAATTTTTGTTAAATATAATTTTTTTAGAATTTTGAAATTTCAAAATATTTTGAATAATATTTAATTACCTTTTTTATTAAAAGGTAATCAATTTTTGATAAAAGATAATAAATAAGTAGTATATGTATTTCCTTATTAAATGTAATGAAAAATATAACTAATTTTCATAATAAAAACTGAAAAAACAATCATAAAGGTAATAAGAGAGGTGACTGAAGTCGACATTGGATCTCATCCTGCCACTTTGACTAGTCAACTTGAATACGTGTATGTATGTACCAAATAATTTTTATTCTCTCTGTTTAATTTTTATTGTTTTAAAGTATATTTTTACGATTTTTTAAGCAATTATTTTTTTATTATAAATTGACAAATTTATTTTTTATAGTAAGGTAGAAATTTAAAGTGGTAAATGAACGAAAGGGTAAAAAAAAAAACTTGTATTTAAAAGAAGAAATAAGACAATAATTATTGGATATTCCAAATAATAAAAAAAAAAAAAATAGATATTAGTTTGTGGATAGATGGATTACAATTTTATTTTCTAGAATTTGATGTATTTATACTAATATAGAAGTGAAATAGAATTAATCGGAAAAATATTGATTTTCTCACGAGCATATATATATATATATAATAGTCAAACAACACATAACTTTAGTTAAATAATATATATTGTGTTAAATATATTATATTAATGTATATATTTTAAAATAATATATATATATATATATAAATAATAGTATCAATTAAAAATATATAAAGTGAGCAAATCCTAATTTTATATAATGCTTGTATAAACTTTTGATTTACCAAAAAAAAAAAAAAATTGGTAAGATACTGGAATAAAATATGATATCCAAACCATCCCAATATATACATATAATATGGTATATATATATATATATATGTCTATTTAACATTTGACAAATTCAAAAGGGATAAGCACTGCTTATGAAGACGATAAACTTCAAACACCAAAATAGCCCATCTTATGATAAACACAGTATTGGTGAGACAAACACAGCTTTACGACAAAATACTTAGCTTATGATCGAGTATTATTACTTTTTTACGAGCTACGCTATGTCCCTACTTAATTTGTATATATTTATTATCTATATTCGAATTATCAATTAAAAGAAGGAAAAATAAAATAAAAACAATCCATACAATTACAAATAGAAAAAGATTGGTATTATATTATTAAATCCGGAAACAATCTTAAAATTTAACCATTATCTAAAACCCTAATATGTATATATGCACTTATTTGGAAGAAATTAGAGCTCGAAGTTAGTTGCAGTGTTGTGAGTTTTAAATTTAGTAGATTTATATGTAGATTTGATCTTATTCATATATTAGATTACTTAGATTTGAGTCTATCGAGTCTGTTCTCTATTGCCTATAATTAGGCTCCTTATTTTGATGATCAATTAGATCATTTCATTATTTTTCTCCAAAATCAAAATTTCTAACATGATATCAGAGCCTATTTTTCTCATGCCATAGATATAGCCTACGAATCCGTGTTTCTCCGGGTACATTCAACCTACATTATACCCGGAGGTTTTGTGATTTTGAGATCTTTCTGTCATCCGCTGCTTGTCAGTCGTACAATCAGAAACTTGTCTGCGATCTTCCATATATCCATCTGCCATATGTCCACTGCTTGTCCGATCTATTTTGTGTTTCCGATCTATGTCGTTTTCGGCTCCGGTGGAGTCATGTCTGTTGGGATATGAAGCCTGATTATATCCTAAAATCTAGGGATATGATTTTGATATTATATTTTAGATTTTAGAGATATGATTTGGGTATTATTGTCAAAGCCTTAGGCTATAAATATCAATGTATTCTCACTCTGCGTAGTAAAATTCATGGCTTGGCAGCGCCCCCAGACGTAGATCATCGTGATCGAACTGGGTTACCAAATCTTGTGTTCTTTTGTCTTTGTTATTTCATCTTGATTTCCTGGGAATTTTCGTAACAAGTGGTATCAGAGCCTTATTCGTTGGTAAGGTGGACTAGGAGGCATCGGATATTGATTGTGGTTGTGGGAATCCCTTGTGACCTGCGGAGGTGCCTTGTGTCAAAAGTCTCCTGGCGGTGTTGGGTTGGTCCCGACTGGTAGGTCAGGCAGCGGGTCCCTTTGTGATAGGCGGTGCAAGGTTGGCGGAAAAGGATAAGGGTTTCGGCAACACAGCGGAGGAGATATCCGATGTGCTCTCATATCAATGAAATCAATCTTCAAGTGTGAGATTGTTGGGATATGAAGCCTGATTATATCATAAAATCTAGGGATATGATTTTGATATTATTGTCAAATGATTAAGCTATAAATATCCATGTATTCTCACTTTAACAAGTGTCTGCGTACTTTATAGTAAAATTCCTGGCTTGGCAGCGCCCCCAGACGTAGATCATCGTGATCGAACTGGGTTACCAAATTCTTGTGTTCTTTTGTCTTTGTTATCTCATCTTGATTTCCTGGAAATTTCCGTAACAAGTGGTATCAGAGCCTAGTTCGTTGATAGGGTGGATTGAGAGGAATCGGACGTTGGATCGTCGTGGGAATCCCTTGTGACCTGCGGAGGTGCCTTGTGTCGAAAGTCTCCCGGCGGTGTTGGGTCGGTCCCGATTGGTAGGTCAGGCAGCGAGTCCCTTTGTGATAGGCGGTGCAAGGTAGGCAGGGAAGGATAAGGATTTCGGCAAACGCATCGGAATATCCGATGTGCTCTCATATCAAGTGAGCCTTATGTTTGTTTGTGGGAGTCAAGATGGATGAAGTCTCGTAAAAGAAGATCGACAAGGAAGATGCAAGTCAGGTGGTATGTTGAAACTGCAAGGGGCACTTGAAACGAGAGTGCGGGGCGCCGGAGAAGGATCAGGGTTCAACAAACACAGCGGAGGAGATATCCGATGTGCTGATTCTGAGCGTCAGCAGTCCAATGGAGTCATGGATTTTGGTCTCAGGAACATCATTCCACTCATGCAGTGATTCGGGAATCATGGAATCCTATACCACAGGTAATTTTTGGTGTTGTTTATCTTGCCGATAATGAGACACTGAAAATTGTAGGTAAAAGAATGATTCGAATCAGAACACCGAATGGTGGGGAGTGGAGATTGGATGAGGTATGTTGAAGTGGAAGATGAAATCAGTCTTCAAGTGGGAGATTGTTGGGATATGAAGCCTGATTATATCCTAAAATCTAGAGATATGATTTTGATATTAGATTTTAGATTTTAGAGATATGATTTGGATATTATTGTCAAAGCCTTAGGCTATAAATATCAATGTATTCTCACTTTAACATGTGCCTGCGTAGTAAAATTCCTGGCTTGGCAGCGCCCCCAGACGTAGATCATCGTGATCGAATTGGGTTACAAAATCTTGTATTCTTTTGTCTTTGTTATTTCATCTTGATTTCCTGGGAATTTTCGTAACAATGTCTTTTGTTCGGCTCCGATGGAGTCATCTTGTTTACGGTTCGTTTTCAGCTCCAGTGGAGTCCTGTCGTTTTTTGCTCCGATGGAGTCATATCGTTTTCGGCTCCGGTGGAGTCATCTCGTTTTCGGCTCAAGTGGAGTCGCGTCGTTTTCGGCTCCGGTGTAGCCATCTCGTTTTCGGCTCAGGTGGAGTTGTGTCGTTTTCGGCTCCGGTGGAGTCATCTCGTTTTCGGCTCCGGTTGAGTCATGTCATTTTCGGCTCCGGTGGAGTCATGTCTTTTTAGGCTTCGGTGGAGTCATCTCGTTTTTTGGTTCAGTGGAGTCATGTCGTTTTTTGCTCTGATGGAGTCATCTCGTTTTTTTACTCTGATGGAGTCATCTTATTTTCGGCAACGGTGGAGTCATCTCGTTTTCGGCTCCAGTGGAGTCATCTCGTTTTCGGCTCCAGTGAAGTCATCTCGTTTTTTGCTCATGTGGAGAGTCATCTTGTTTTCAACTCCGGTGATGAGTCATCTCATTTTCTCCGGTGGGTGGAGAGTCAACTGCTAATTTTATTTTTATTTTTTTTTTGCGTTTATATTCAAATTTCTTATCAAACTCAAGTTGGTTTCTGTTATACCACTTGAGTTTGAGAGGGATGTTGAGATATTTTAGATATTCAGTTTTAGATTT